TGTTGTTTTGGGTGGTTGTTACCACTACGTTACCCTTTTCTGTCAGGCGTACTTAGGTAACTGCGTTATGTTGTAGTGCCTCGTTGAACTGGTCCCTTATTGTCTTTGGGACTAGTTTTTTTTTTTCGTTGAAGTGGTTATCAGCTAGCTCAAAGACTATTTTATTAGTGTTTAGTGTGACGAAACTGGTTCGTACTGGACTGGCTGCAGAAGGCAGACGCCTCAGGCAAGACTGGGGGCCCCGCTTGTCGAGCGCCAATCAGACGGTGCACGGTGCCAAGAGGGCTCTTTGCACCAGGCAAACGGAAGGACGGCCAATCAGGGGTGGCCCGGTGCCAGATGGCCCAGCACGCTAGCAGTGCCCGGCGCCGGGCAGCTCCTTCCTGTCGGGCAAGTAAGAGCGCAGCTCTTACTGGCCCGCCATAATTAAATAAATACGATGACCGTATCCACGGTCTTTGATAGTTCTTGCTTGGTTCTTCAAACAAGCAATACACATTCACTGTACTCATACACTTTGAGTGGCATTCCAATTTGACTGTATTACCCGTGCGATAGGAGCTTGCCCTTTGTTTTATCTTTATAATTACCAACCCCTAGCATTCTGTAGAGCCCGTGCTCCCTTACAGACAGACGACTCTAACAGTCGAGTGGTTTGTAATATTTAGCTGTTTTGTCTTCGCCTTCGTCTTTGTCTTTGTCTTTGCATTTGTAGTGGTTTTGGCTTTGGCAGTAGTTATATAGCCAGGGTTTAAGCCAGATACTAGTGCTTGTTCATAGGTAAGTTTCTGGCCCTGTGTTACGATCCTGGTTCAGGCGCGCAGGAGGCTGCACGGAGCCTCCCGCCATTGGCTGACGCAAGGAAGTGGGGTAGTTCCCCGCTTCGCTCAAATGCAGCCAATAACGGGGCGGTCAGTACGATCAGCATGGTCAGGGCGATCAGTGAGGAAACTGATCGCACTGAGCACACTGACCGCACTGATCACCTAGGACCAACGCCCTGATTGGTCCGCTTTAGATAGATATATACGACGACCGTAGCCACGGTCCCAGATAGTTCTTGCTTGGTTCTTCAAGCAAGCAATACACATTCACTGCACTCATACACTTTGAGTGGCATTCCGATTTGACTGTATTACCCGTGCGATAGGAGCTTGCCCTTTGTTCTATCTTTATAATTACCAACCCCAGCATCCTGTGGAGCCCGTGCTCCCTTACAGACAGACCACCCTAACAGTCGAGTGGTTTGTAATACCCTGCTTTTGGCCTTGGCCTTGGTTATAGTTGTTCAAAGTGTTTTGAAGGTTCTGTACCTCTTTGTCAAAGCTGTTCTGCAGTGTGTTGGCCTGTTTTACCAAGGATAGTGCAGCTTGTAGAAGGCTTATTACTGCTCCCTGGGTCTCTCTGGCTGTGCTAGTTGTACAAATTCAGTAGACTTGGGCTGGTTGGCCCTCTGGCTTCAAGGGCACTTTACTAGTTACAGTAGTGGTTTTTGTGTATATTGTGCTAGGGGAGGGGGGGTAGAGGTGTGGCCAGGGGTTACCTCCCTGAGGCTGTTTCCAACGCTTGTTAGCCCCCTAGGGCTAGAGCCTGTACTACCACCTCCTACAATCACATAGTTTTCAGAAGACGTAGTATGTTGAATAATTGGTCGGTTGCTACCTCCTTCCGGATTGAGCTCACTGGCCTTATGACTATTGGTTAGGCTAGAACCCCCGGTGCTAGCACCTCCTCCTATAGTGCCACCGGGACTAATTTGGCCAGGCCGCCCGTCTTCTGAAGTACTGTGTGTTGTAGCTTGTTTAGTGGCTTTGGAACGTACCAGTGTTCGGCTTGCTACATTCATAGCAACTGCTACGGCTATATCAGTGGCCTGTAGTTCCTTGATTGTTTGTGAGCTTGCAGTACGCCTAGATTTAGGCCACGTCATAGCCCTAGAGGCTGCATGCGTGTGATGAAGAAAAAAAAATCGCCATTAGCTATGTAGTCTCTGTAATAGTGGCTTTGGTGAGCGTTGTTGAACCCATTATTTCTTGTTGTTGGTTGGCTTGTTGACTGGTTGAAAGGTTTGTTGTTGTGAGACTTTAGAGTGGGGCTTAAACGTGGATCTCCTGTGAGTCGGATGGATCGGATGGAAGCGATAATCGCGTCGCGTGAACGCATTAGTTTGGTGGAGTTTTTGCGCGGCGTATCCACCCTGGGGTGTTGTTTTTTGAAATAGTGAATAAACTAGTTATAACAAGCTGGAATATTGAGAAACTCTTAGCGTACTGGGTAAAGCCGTGGGAGCAGAAGATCCAAGCAAAATCACTATCAAAGAGGGTGGGAAAAAACAAGCCAAAAAGACCACCTACAACTACTACAGAGCCTCAACCCGACTATGGTACCTACTGCAAAGGCCACTATGGTAGTATTCTACACAGACGGGTCACAAGGTTTCATAAAGGGCGGAATCACTAACTCAGCCGGCCTATGCCGACTGAGCGCGAACTTAGCACCTATAGTGGCCAGAGCGTGAAACCTGGGCTCAACCATCGAAGTGGCAGACGCAGAGATCATCGGGATTATCAAAGCTTTAGAAGAAGCCCAAGGAATTATCACTAATACGTCCACTACGTCTACCACTACGTCTACTACCTTCTATATCTTCGTGGATAGCCAAGCGGTAATCCCAGGCTAGAAGGCTACACATACCATGCAAAAAGGGCCCAAAGGCTGGTCAGGTTACTAGTCCAAAAAGGCCACAAAGTCGAAGTCCACTGGTGCCCTAGCCACGTTGGAATCGTTGGTAACGAGATAGTGGACCAACTAGTCAAGGCCGGCTTAGAAAAAACAACAAAAGAAGCATATGTATCACTAGCCTACCTACGAAGACAAGCTAAGACCTCATTGAAAAAAGCCTGGAAAACCGACTGGCTAAGCCAAGAAGACAGGGAAGTAATAGGATAAAAATCCAAAGGCTTAGGCACACACTATAGAAGGGTAGCCCGGGACTTGATCACTTACAGCTTCAAGCCCACAATACTACTACTACCTCGACCAAATCAGTCAGTTTATATGCAGTTGAAGACCGGGATTGGCTTCTTAGCTAGTTATCTAGCGAAGATTGGAAAAGCGGAAAGTAGCGAATGCCCCGGTTGTCTGGAGGACCAAACACCTACACACCTACTACTACGGTGCAAAAAATACGCTATAGAGCGGAAGGCCTTGACAAAGGCCCTGAAAAACTACCTTCTCACACTCCAAATACTATTCTACACCACCGAGGGAATAAAGGCCCTAGGGGACTTCCTTAGTAGTACGAGGATTTGTACAATGAAATAGCTAGAAGAACCCAAGAAAGATTGATCTATTTCCTTTATCCTTTATTCATATCCCTATATTTCCTTACTCAGTTAGTTGGTCCTGTTGGGATAATGTTACGATCCTGGCTCAAGCGCGCAGGAGGCTGCACGGAGCCTCCCGCTATTGGCTGGCGCAAGGAAGCGGGGTAGTTCCCCGCTTCACGCGAGTGCAGCCAATAGCAAGGCGGTCATCACGATCAATATGATCAGGGCGATCAGTGGGAACTGATCGCACTGAGCACACTGACCGCACTGATCATCCAGGACCAACGCCCTGATTGGTCCACCCTAGATAGATATATACAACGACAGTAGCCACGGTCTTAGATAGTTCTTGCTTGGTTCTTCAAGCAAGCAATACACATTCACTGCGCTCATACACTTTGAGTGGCATTCCGATGTAAGGAAACCACCCTCGTAACCACCATGGCCACCGCCACCAGGGCCACCCTCGCCACCATCGCCACTATCGCCACCGCTAACAGGGCCACGCACTATCGCCACTACCACCCTTCCCACGCAAGGATGACTCGTAACTCCTTTCACGTGTATATAGACCCATGGCCTTCGCACACCTCTTTAGCTCAGGCCAGGTTGAAGTCTTACGCCAATACCAGTCATTGCTCGCCCTGCTTGTTGCTCCTATTGTGACCACCTTGATCAGGCGTACCTGCCTTCTCTTACATCCGATTTGACTGTATTGCCCGCGCGATAGGAGCTTGCCCTTTGTTCTATTTTCATAATTACCAACCCCAGCATTCTGTGGAGCCGGTGCTCCCTTACAGACAGACGACCCTGACAGTCGAGTGGTTTGTAATAGATAACACTACACTTTCCTTATTATTCAGGCCCGAGGGTGGTACAGTATAAGTCCGGCCAAAGGAACCCCATTACTATGAAACTATTACGTTAATAAGGCCACGTGCCTAACGATGTACTTAGCTCTTGCTTTCTTTATTTCCTACTAGTATACTAGGTAGATAGACTGCCAGTCTTTGACTGGACACGCCATAGCCCTAGAGGCTGCATGCGTATAATGATGAAAAAAAATAACGTATCCTCAGAGAGAAATTAAATATATATAAATTTATATGATATATAGATTGAAGTTAGTTATGGAAAAAGCTAATTGTTACGATCCTGGTTCAAAGTTGCAGAGGGCGTTGCCCGCCCGCTGCAGATTGGCTGGAACGGCAGTTAGGGTGAGGCTCTCGCCAAGAGAAGGTGCATCCAATTAGGGAGTGCTTAGTGGGGCCAGTGCCAAGGTGTACTGAGCATGGCTGAGCTCAGTAGGATCAGTGCCGAGACCCACTGAGCGCACTGAGCAGGGAGCTCAGTGGGGATCAGTGCGTCTAGGACTGAGCACGACTGAGCATGTAAGGCAGGAACTCTGATTGGTTGCTCATAGTTCTATATAGGAGCTGGCAGCACGCTCTCTCTGGGAGAACGGTTCTGCAGCTATCAATGCATCTGGTTAAGCATACATTGGTTGTGTGTTGAAAGCCTGTCTTTCGCAATCTGTGCACGATACTCCTTGCTCCTGTCATCTCCTACCTGCCGTCCAGACCCCACAATCCTAGGCCGGGCCTAGCTCCGTGGACCTGTTGTCCAGGTTGTAACACTAATACTCGGCGGATATATGAATATATATAAACCTTATAATTGTATATATAAATTCCTTATAAACTGCGGTAAGTCGCTGATCGTAACCGCTTCTTTGATTCCAAGCGGTCGGCACTGGACCTCTACGCGTTTTCCTGTGCGCCACTCTCGGCCAAGCACAACTATTAATGGGAAGCCAATGAGATCGGCATCTGTTAGCTTCCATGGCAAGGTCGCCCTTCTATCGTCAATGATAGCATCAAATTGCCCTTCCATGGTCCCTAGGTCTCTGATAACGGTCTGATAAACCTCCAACGCATCCCCCTCATGTTCTCTAGCTGGAACGATTACACAGGAATAAGGCGCGATGGCGATGGGCCAGTTCAGCCCTCTCCTGTCTGCCAGGTGCTCTGCAACGGCGCCAATTATCCGAGAGATGCCGATTCCATAACAGCCCATCTGCATTGGAATGCCCGACGTCGAGGGAGGTATCGTGATTTTTGCATTCAGCGGCTCAGAGTATCGTGTACCAAGGAGGAACGTATGTCCGAGCTCCATCGCCCGTCTTACGTTCAGCGTTCCCGAGGAGCATTGCGAACACCGGTCGCCATCACGAACCCGAAGGAGGTTGAGGGGTCCAAACTCCTGACCCCCTCCGGCGTGAACAGACACGGCCAAGGGTGGTTCTGGCAAGTTGAGTCCTTCGGGCCAAGCTGACATCCCTAATTCCCCAACAATTTTGTCAGACAGGGAGAGAGGGAGCCTGCCGTCCACTATGTTCAAGAGCCTAGTTGCTGTTCTTGTCTCACTGCCAAGAGCAGCCGACCACAACGACTGGATGCCCTCGACCCCGACGACCAAGTCGGGGACTATGGATCTCACGGCAGATATGTTGATGTCCTTATCTGAATAGTCCCGTATTTTGTCTGCGCTTCCAGGTTGCCGGGCGCTTCTAGGGTACCAAACATTGACCAACGTCGATCCGTCTTTGGAGATGCCTCGCCAGATGCCCAATTGAGCACCGGGAGACGCCTCCTCGCGTACTCGTACATTGGCGATTTCCTCGTTGATTGCGTAGTCACACTTACTACAGCTGACAACCTGATCTTCTCCAAGTGGCATGGGTAGGTGATATTCGTGGCTCAGGTTGCCTCCCATATCGCCGGAGCTTGCCTTGGCTGCAAGCACAGGTAGCTTTAGCTCGGAAAATATTTCAGAGTACGCCGTTCGGACACTGTGGTATGTTTCAGTGGCCGAGTCGAGACTCCTGTCAAAGGTGTAGAGATCCTTCATCGTGAACTCCCTCCCCCGGAGTAGACCATGACGGGGGCGAAATTCGTCTCGGTACTTCCTCGTAATCTGGTAAAGTCGGAGAGGAAGCTCTTTGTATGACTTCACTGCCCGGGCTACAAGTGCTGTAATCTCCTCTTCGTGTGTCGGCGACAGCAAGTAGGCCACGTCTTTGCGATCCGAGAACCTGAAGAGCTGTGAGAAATGGTGAGTATTTCATCATCAGTCAAGAACAATATATCCCAGGTGGAGACGAACCTCTGAAGCAACATTCTGGAGACGCCCACTCTTCTCCCACAAGGCTTCAGTTGATATGGACGATAGTGAGACCCTCGAGGCCGCTGACCGACATCCTGCATTAGTTTGGTGTAAACACAACTGTGCCTCAAAGGAGGGACCTACATAGCGATTCTTCCATGTGCCTCGAGACTACACCCTCGACCTTGTCTTGGACTCGTCGCCCCAAGGGAAGAAGGTGGAATATGCCCGAATGCGACTGGCGCAGGAACCCAGCGCGAATCAACTTGGAATGACCATCTTCAGCTGCAGTTGCAGCAATTCCGCCGTTTGGCACCCATAGTTTTGAGAGCCTTGCAGCTGCTTGTAGAACCATTTGGATGGTTAATAGTCCCACCAATTTTGGCCAGTTAGGCTTTCGAGGTTTTTTTTTGTTGGCCTCCAATCTCGAGTCGCGCGACGGCGCGATATTCCGTCTTCACTCTATCCGTAATTTGGTAGCCGGTGGGGCCTGGGACAAGGTTCTTTAGGTACCTGTGCGTACCAAGGTATTCAGTCCTCTGTACGGAGTACCTAAAAGTTGAAGTGGTCTTGGCCCCTTGCCCTTGTAATGGTATCTGTCAATACATGGTAGTTAAGCAGTTTACGTAACACGGACCCCTGTCTTCAGATGGAGGGGCTTGTTTTTTTGCATTTCACTCCCCCCACCCTTCCAGAACCTCTATTGCCTGCCAATCAAAAGTTTTTCTTCTAAACGACTTGAAGCTTGCGCGACCCTATCAACTATTTTCCACGACTCCTGGACCTAACATTTCCGACCACAATAATAGCTGAGATCCAGAATGGGCCTGCTAAACAGAGCGGAGAAGAGGAAAGCGGCGGAGGCGTCTGGATTTGACGAGACTGCCCTTGCTCAGTTAACGTCTGAGATCGACAAGTCCCTCTCGCAGGCGGAAGCGCCAGCCACCAAGCGAAAGAAACAACGAAATGCCAATGACGGCGCAGTTTTGAAGACGCGTGAGGCTGGCCCTGCAGTCGCAAATTTCCAAAACGGACCGGACGGGCAAAAGAGCAAGCATTCGAGCAATTCAAAATCCAGTGCTCTTCTCGCCGAAATTCTTGTCCTCGGTGGGGATCAAGACGACTTTGACCTCGTCGCCAACATCGATTCAAGCGATGAGGATGGGCAGAACCTCAAGCCGGAAGCGTTACGAAATGCCCCCGTCGACAAGGCCTTCAGAGACGAGCTTGCAGAGTTTGCATTGAGCCTAGGGATTGGCAACGCGCCCCAGGATGACGACATAGATTCTGACGCATCCGAAGATTCATTCGAAGCTGCAGGCGAAGAAGATGAAGAGCAAGAGCAAGAAGCAGAGAAGGCCAGGCGCGATGCTAGCCCTCCACTGAAGGAAACACGCGGAGCAAAGCACTTAGGGAAGCTGGTGAGTACAAGCCTTTTCTAGGTGCTAAACAGCTTCAATAAGGGCATATATCTAATGGCACTCAGATATTCAAGCCCCGGCCTGATTGGCATGGTGTTAATGTGGAAGAGCTCCCCTCGAATGCTCCCGACAACACAAAGCCGTATTCATCTTCTATTGTCAATCTGAAGACATACGCCGAAAAGCTCCTGGATGAAGACTCTGCTAACTACAGCGCAATGAAGTCTTCGCTTTCGACCCAAAGGTTCATGTCCACAATAATGCTGTCTGGCACGCTATCGGACAAGGTATCTGCCTTGACTCTTGCAATCCAGGAGTCTCCACTCCATAACCGCAAGGCCTTCGAGAGTCTCGTAAACCTGGCCGGCAAGAAGAGCCGTGGCCAAGCGATTGCCGCCTTAGGCGCTCTTGTGGATTTGCTAGGTAATGGGGCAGTGCTCCCTGGCGACCGCCGCCTCTGCCCTTTCAACGCAGAGCCTGCGTTACTGGGCTCCTTGGACGGCCGTGGAAGCTCGCCTTGGATGCACGGACAAAAGCTCCCGGGAAAGCTGACCATGCCGCACTTGATGATGTGGGCATACGAAGACTGGCTTAAGGGCGCATACTTTCGGATCATCCAGCTTCTCGAGATCTGGTGCTCGGATGAGATCGAATATTCAAGGTCAAGAGCTTTGGATTTTATTTATGGACTTCTCAAAGACAAGCCAGAGCAGGAGGCAAATCTGCTTCGGCTTTTGGTGAACAAGCTTAGCGACCGAGAACGCAAGATTGCTTCACGAGCGTCGTATCTTTTGCTTCAGTTGCTCAACGTGCATCCGGGGATGAAGGGCATTGTCATCAGCTCTATTGAACAGGAGGTCCTCTTGAAACCTGGCCAGAGCCTACGCACCAGATACTATGCGATCAATACGCTGAACCAGACAATTCTGAGCAGCAAAGAACCGGCTGTAGCGGATACTCTGCTGCGGATATACTTTGAGATATTCCTCTCCCTCCTGAAGAGCGGGTCCTTAGGAGGTCTTGACGTTCAAGATAATATCAAAAATTCTAGTGCCAAGAAGTCTGATGGGGACCGGAAGAACAAGAAACGGAAAGTTCATGGCGCAGCGGACGCACCGACAAACGAGCAGGAAACGGCCCAAAAGCTCGTTTCCTCCTTGCTCACAGGCGTCAACAGGGCTGTGCCCTTCACCGATGCCGACGATTCCACCCTGGAGAAACACCTGGATACCCTTTTCCGAATAACTCACTCGTCAAACTTCAATACCAGTGTACAGGCACTGATACTTATCCAACAGCTTGCCGCATCAAAGCACCTGGCCGTGGAGAGATTCTATCGAACTCTATACGAATCACTTTTGGACCCTAGACTCGTCACATCATCCAAGCAAGCCTTGTATCTCAATCTTCTATTCCGCTCACTAAAGAATGATGTGGATGTCCGGCGTGTCAAGGCGTTTGTCAAAAGACTGCTTCAGGTATTGAACCTTCACCAGCCATCATTTGCCTGCGGAATTCTGTTCCTCATTGCCGAGTTGGAGCTCACTTTCCCCAACCTCTACGCGCTTCTGACCGTACCCGAAGACAATGGCGACGACAGCGAGGAGGTGTACCGGGATGTAACAGAAAACCAGTCTTTACATGACGTCACCTCCCAGGAAGTGGCCGCAACGACAAGCAGCCGGCGTATTGCGGGCTACGACGGCCGAAAACGTGATCCCGAACACAGCAATGCTAACCGAAGCTGTCTTTGGGAGATTGTAAGTTTCCCCGTGTACAGAGGGATCATGGCTTCAGAAATGGTTGCTGATAATAGACGCATCAGATCCCATTTCTCTCCCATTTCCATCCTTCAGTGTGTGTGTTCGCTGCCAATCTACTCGCCCAGCAAAAGACACTTCCCAAACCGGAGCTGGCAAACCACACCCTGATGCATTTTCTGGATAAGTTTGTTTACCGCAGCCCCAAGGCCGCCGATACCAAGCGGAGTGGTTCGATTATGCAGCCAGTGCTTGGCTCTGGTGGCCCTGCGCATGCTGGCAACTTGAGCAGCGCCAATGCAAGAAAAGTGCCTATTGTCAATTCGGCTTCATTCTGGAACCTGAAGCCGGAGCAAGTTTCGGCAGAAGACGCATTCTTCCACGAGTACTTTGCCCGGGTGGGCAAGCCCCAGGAAGAGGCGAGGGCCAAGAAGAGAGAAACCGACGGGGCTGAGTCCGATGAAGGGTCAGAACAGGAAATTTGGGAGGCCCTTGTCAACTCACGGCCGGATGTGGAAGGAGGCGATGGCGATGACGACTCTGAGCCAGATATGGGGGGCTACGATTCTGACAGCGATCTGGATCTCGATGACTCTGGCGACGAGATGGTGGGTGTCGGAGAGGAGAGCCCCAATGGGCACATGTCTTTTGAGGGGGTGTTTGATGATTCGCAAGACGACGAGCCCGAGTCCGAGGAGGATGATGCTGAAGTTGCGGAGCCAAAGGGGAAGAATGACGAAGGCAGACGCAGGAGGAAGGAGATGAAAGCCCTCCCAACATTCGCATCGGCTGATGACTTCGCCGAAATGCTAGCCGCTGAAGATAGTGGCTTGGACGACCAATGAAGTTAGTCACACGACATCAAGGCTGAGGAACAGAATATAGGAAATCGGCCATCTGATAGATAGGGTTGCGAGTCAAGTGCGCAAAACAGCGATGAGTTTGTTGTATGTGCAAGGGGTGGTTCTAACTTCTGGGAGCCCGTAATCCGAGACATGGAAGAGTTTATTTAGGTACAAAACACCTTATGTGTTGAACCACTCCAGGGGGTCATTCTTTGTGAATACCGCTCGGTAAGTGTGTCCTCCATCTTGCTCAACCCTGTCCTCTGTATGGAGACCGTGGAGTTTCGACTCATGTTCGGGACCACCAGTGAAGGCCCGAAAGTGAATGTAGGCAGGGCCTTCTTCATCTAGGGCCGGGATGCGCACCTTCCCAAACAAGTGAATTCCATAAGCAGATACTGCAACACGAACTAGTTGGAAGTCCTCGGCAGTGAAGCCCGCAAGCTCGGAGTCATCGAGGTGTTGGACTGCAGCAAAATACTCGGGTTCGTGCTCTGTCATCGCCGCGGATGCTATGTTAATAAGAGGCGTATCGTCGCGACTGGCACAAAATGCCACGTCAGAGGCCACATACTATTGTACTGGTGGCGGGAATGCACAAGCTGCTTCTTCAACTCGTGCTGGATGTCCCTGAAAACATTGATCGCCTCTTCCTTGGGCTCGTGCGGGGCCCCGAGGTTTACTGTTTCCTCAGTTGCCTGGGAATGGAGTTAGTCAAGTCACGGCCTCCAGTATTCCAGCATTGATTCTGGCGCTTGTCGTTCACACAGCATCTTGCTTGTACATGTACGTACCATGTTGAGATTGACTTGACAGTGTTGACTGTTGGAGTTCAATGAATTCGTAAGTAGGTAGGGAGGTAGCTATGGTTCTAGGCGACTTGATTTAATCGTGGACGGTGATCAAGCTTCTATCTTTTGTAGTAAGTGTAATTATGACAGCCCGGTTTACTGGCAGTTCGCCATCCCAGTTTTCTTGAACATGTTTTTGGCCGGTTGGTTTCACGCAGACCTTCTCTTATTGGTACGGACAGGTGGTGTGAGGCAGCCTTGCGTCATACTCGTACGCGGGGAAGATCAAGAAGGAGGGGTACTTCGTATCGTGTAGCTTTGGAGCAAACCGGAAGGTGTATTGATTTCCAAACGTTGAGCCGTGACATGAAGGTGCTAGATACTGGATAGCGACCTACCAAGGTCATATATCCTTTCGTCGACGAGACCTCCTTCAACAGACGACATGACTATATCAGTGCCATAGTTACCTTAGCAGGTGTTAATAAATATAAAGGCATTTTCTACGTTTAAAGTAATTGTTACCTACGAATGTAGGTACCTACCTACATTCGTAGGTAGGTAACTCTTCTCCCAAGATGGTTTTATAATGGAGGTAGGTAGTGTACCTTACTTAACTTCCTAGCATGTAATTACGGATATTTACCGTGCCTCCCTGACCCCTCCATCGCGACGGGAAAGGTGTGGGGCCTCCTGATCCCGTTTCTAAGGCCACTACTGGGGCAGGCAGTCTGGGACAACCACTAGGGCGCCCCCGACCTCTTCCAAAAATGTATTCCTCACCGTCGCTTGTCCGCTGCCGCGTCCGGCCATCTAAGCTGGCCCTTACTCAGCCTGTCCGGACAGCTTCACTCCGGACCTTCCCTGCTGCTGCTGGTAACTGCCATCGAGATTGACTAATCTCCTCCCGTGCTAGGCTTGCTGACCTTGTTCGAGTTGCTTCAGACCTGGGAACCGCTTCGAAGTCGGGCTTTCGACAATCCCTCTTCCGCCGGGCTGCGACGCTCAGTGCCCGCGCCTTTCTATTCACATCTCTTGGCTTCATCATGGCAGCAGCGCCGGCATACCCAACCGCTGCCGCCATCCTGTCGCCCCCAAACAGTGCCGACACGCTCTCCATGTTCACGCCTCACGACGACGACGCGCAAACCAAAGAGGACTTCATTAATTCGCACCCGCTCACTGCCTCGCTCCGTGAATCCCCTGCCCTCATCGAGTCCCGCCCACACATGAAAATACCTCCGTCGTGGCGGAAGCATAACCTGACTGGCGGTACTCTCGTCGGCCCGGGAAAGGTGACGATACCACCTTTCAGCTGGTCTGCACAGGACGGCAGCAGCTACGTACAAATCAGCCATGTTGGGACAGATCTATGTGGACACATGGGCATTATCCACGGAGGCTTCCTGGCCACGATGCTTGACGAGGGGCTTGCGAGGTGCTCCTTTCCAGTTCTACCATTCAACGTTGGCATGACCGCCAAGCTGGACATCAACTACAAAGCACCAGCTATAGCCGACCAATACCTGGTGCTACGCGCCAAGACCATCAAGGTGGAAGGGAGAAAAGCCTGGGTTGAGGGCCATATCGAGACGCTTCCTACCGAAGAGGGACAGCAACCTGTGATATTGGCCACAGCAACTGCTCTCTATGTCTCTCCAAAGCAGGCGGCGGTGCGTATTCCCCAATCTTGTTGAGCTCCTACCGTTGCTGACCGACGTGAAGATGATGGCAAAGGTATACCCAGTTTCTTAGGTGTAGGTTACGTTTAGGGGCTCAGGGGAACCTGCCCTCCTAGTTGTTAACCATGTATTTTCATAGAGTGCCTGCCGCTTTTCCCCATAGATTTGACATTGTAGTTCAACCTCCGTTCTTATATCTTTTACTGGATGGTATAGGAATGTTAGTGCACCAAAAGAGAAGATTCAGACACGGATTACACACCGAAAGGCCTGGAGCCCACTAGGAAGAGTGTTGCAGCCTAATATTTGCCCTAATATCCGTATAAATCCTAATTAGTAGTTGGCTACCAGTTGCTATTTCACGCCCCCGTTACTAATAGTAGTTAGTACTAATATTAATAATGGCAAACCCGAAGGTCCGAAAAAAAATTGAAAAGAAAGCCCCCCTAATTGAACCTATGTGGAGTACTAGGTCTCTTCGCACCGTTGGACTAAAATGGCGCCATTTACGGAACTGGGCCTCGTGGTGGCCCCCAGCCGTGATGTAATTGTCCCGTCTCTCGAGGACTTTTTGTCTAAATCCGTTCCCTGGCTTCCCCTGACATTAGCTCGCCGCCCTACGACCGCTCCTAGACGTGCCAGAGCTGACTGTAAAGACAGTCCATCATCATACGCTAGCGAGATACTCAATAATGGCTACGTGAGTACTACTCCTATTACGTACAGGTGTCAAAATATTTGCCTCTTAAACTTCTTTCCTCGAAGAATGTGCTTTATGATTGGGGGTGCAGCCTCGATCGCGGGGCATTGGCGGGCCAGCCAAAAGTGATGATCGCAACGCTTGTGACACTACCTAGCTAATAGCTTGGTAACAGCAACATTACCTGGCATCCATCGCTCTCGCGGCATGAACGCAATCAATTGCGCGGCCAGCGCGGCTTCACAATCTGGTTCACCGGCTTGTCGGCCTCGGGAAAGTCAACAGTTGCGACTGCTCTCGAACAGCACTTGCTCCACCTTGGGGTGGCTGCCTACAGGCTGGACGGCGACAATGTGCGCTTTGGGTTGAACAAGGATCTGGGATTCTCGGAAAAGGACAGGAACGAGAATATTCGCCGTATCGCTGAGGTTAGTAATGCGGAACCTCGATCACAATAAGAATTGTGTACATCTGTCGATTCTTCCCATCATTGCTGATAACTCATGGACGTTCCGTATTGTGAATTAGGTCGCAAAGCTCTTCGCCGACTCGTCCACTGTCGCGCTGGCGTCCTTCATCTCGCCCTACCGGGCCGACAGGCAAGTTGCACGGGACTTGCATACCAATGCGTCGCCGGCGGGAGACGACGGTCTGCCTTTCATAGAAGTATTCGTCGACATCCCTCTTTCAGAGGCCGAGAAGAGAGATCCCAAGGGTCTATACAAGAAGGCCCGTGCGGGCGAGATTAAGGATTTTACGGGTATATCGGCTCCCTACGAAGCACCTGAGTCGCCCGAGATCACAATTCGTACAGACAAGCTCAGCGTGGAGGAGTGTGTAATTAAGATAGCAGACTACTTAAGGGAGAGGGATCTGATCGGCGAGAATAAGGCTAACTAGATATTGCCTGTTTAGTGGGTCGGGAGTCTTGGTCTGCAGGTATAAGAAGAAACAGGAGGTGTAGTCCGCGATGAGATGTCTCGTGAGGTGGCGAAATAGTTCGTCTGTCATCGAGAACCCCCACGCATACTCGGAGGTCTTCATCGCACCTCGCCCATATGACAAGGTTCTCGCCAACATCTAAGGAAATTCTAGTTCATAGTACACATATGCCGTGTATTCGCTGCCTTCGCCCGCGCTCAAGCCCGCAGCAGCCATCTCGGATGTCAAACTCGCGTCGTCTTTAGTGACACGCCCTCGCTTGTCCCTCCCAAATGCGTTACCTCCAAGGTACGAATACGTCGAGTCTAGGGATGCCTTCACTTTTATTGCCTGCTTTGGTGTTGTCTGTACGTATGTCAGCCGAGGGAAAGAAAAATGGAAAATGCTTCTTTGGAAATTACCTTGATAAGAGCGCTCACGAACTCTAGAGGTAGGCCATATCTCAGCACCGTCTCCACAAATACGCGAAGCGTCATGACATGAGCCCAGATCATGACGCTCTCGCTCCAGCTGGTTCTTCCTAATAATAGAGCTTCCTCCCGTATTTTTTTCTCGTCCTTAACGACGCGGTCAAGCTCGCGCTGCTCTTCTTCCTTGCCGCCTTGGACATATTTATATTGTCGAGGTGTCCATTTCTGCTCCCGACACTTCTGGAGGAACTCGATGCTGTGTTTTTTGAACGTGGTAACCGCAAACAGCGTAAACTCGTCGTCTTGAGCAACCTGGACCGAGGACCGAGGAACAACCATTGGCGCAATGGTTTCGTAGCTCTTGAGAAAATCTTTGCGCGCATTTGTAGGGACCACGACTAAATGTGTCTCTAGGTACTCGGAGTCCTGCACGAGCAGCCTTGGGTCAACGATAGGTGTAAGGGATTTGGTCGCGAGATTTCCCCTAGCAAACAGTCAGCTTTGGCACGACCACATCTCGTAATCTCGTAAGCATACGTCTGCCTCCTCTGCAACGCAGCAAGGTTGGCTTTGACACTATTGTACTGGTTGAATTTTCCCTTCAGATCGTCGTCGAGGTTTTGCAGCCCTTTCCGCAGGTTATCTATGAGTTCCCCCAACGGGCGCTCAACTCGATATCTGGCCGTGTTCCACTGGAAACTGCACATGTACTGATCCGTCGGCTCTACGAAATTCTCATTAGAAATATGACACGGGCTGGTTGGATGATCCTAGACTTGCGACGTACTGTCATTGACCACCTTGTGCTCTGCAGCCTTGTTTTCGTCTCCGTCTAGAATGGCCCTTAAAGAGTCGGCAACCTTGGAAACGACAGCGTCGCATCCCGAGCTCAGCTTTGAGAGATCATCCGCATGTTGAACTAGAGCGTCCAGGGTGCCAATTTTGAATGATGGCACAGGAAAAGGTAGCATCTCGCCATTCTCGCGACCGACCGTGGCGCTCAATGCGGACAGTGGGTCGTCGTCAAAGATCCTGAGAGGCAGGGAAACAAAAATGTACCGAGTTGCCGGCATGGCGAATTTACCGGAGCCCTTATTATCCCCGTTGCGACTGAATAAGATACTGCGTTGCCCGTGCTGGCGACAGCCTCAACTTCAACCAGCTGCACCTATCAGTAACATGGCAAGATGAAATGGGCAATACAGATTTATCCCAAAAGCACAGATGCCAGGAACATGGGATGCACACGTAAACGTACCGATCCCGAAAGCCTACCTACCTCGAGGTGGTGACTACCTGTGCAGGGTTGTGCGCGAGCGAAAGTACGACGAGACTAGGGGGAAGGCGAGAGTAAGATTGAGAGCAAGAAGCAGATTGAGAACTAATGATGCTAAGAATCTCAGTTCAGCTAGTGGGGAGTTTCCATACCAAGCTATCACGGGATGGGATATACTAGGACTCTTGAGATGAGGCAGATAGGCAACCGTGGAGTGCAACAAAGAGGAGCTCAGTACTATAGTAAAAGTATCCAGGGCAGTTGTTGGCAGTAGGAACTGTTTAGGGGAGGATCCGCCAATGGAAATGGAGAGGGGCGGGAAGGCGGGGGACTGAATTTATTGCGACATTGGTCTTTAGCTCTTTCATGTACCTGGTACCAAGCACCCAGGCTAGTTTTGAGACGTGGCTGGTAAAGGGACTTGATTTCACACCAAGCTTAGGGTCTTTTCCAAGGGTCTCTCAAGTACTACCAAGCCTCAAAGGCATTACCTTAACTCTATTGCAAGTTCTCAAAGTATGTGTACTTCTTACATGGGTGAGTGAAGATACTGGGTACCTTCGGTAGTCACACTAGCCGAGCCGCGCCTGACTGCCAACTAAGCACCTTCCGGCGCCACGATCATTCAGCTGCTGGATGCTGGCCGTCGTCGCAAGTTATTTGTCGAGAGAAAGTATCGCTGGCGTCTCCAGGTGTCCGGATTCGTGCGCATGTTGCCATTTCAAATTGACACTGCCCGTGGGGGTCTATCCAACATTACCCAATTGTTTAAGCATTCCATACTATACCTAACCTTCTCCGACGACCGAGTCGAGGTGCTTAGTTTGTGACTTCATTGTGTCACCGCCTCGCGCCCGCCGGTCAGAGCGCCCGACCGCCGGGGGTAGCAAACGTCTCCCAGTTACCGACGGACATATTTTCGATCGTTACAACAACGTATTTGCATTGCGTCCATCTTCTACCCTGCACCTGATCCCATCTCGCGGGACGTTAAGGAGTTGCAACGGTGGTCTTCCACGAAAATTTACGCCCCGTCGTCCATCGTCTCTGGCGCCCCTTTTTATGCGACGATGCTCCCTCAGCAAGTTTATGTCTACTATGTAATTTGAGATTCGATCAAGATACCTGCCGCGTTGCAGACGCCTGGCCGGCTCCGGCACTCTTCGTGAAGCATTCTGCCACCCGGTGACGACTTTCTCTCCACCACGAAACCGCTATTCTGAAAACTGTGCTGGCAGACCTGGCCTAATGGCTACACATGCAGGTAAGCGGGAGCGGAACACAAGCTAGTAATGAAATCTCATAACTCAATCTGTCGATGGCTGACAGTGGTTTTGGGATCAAGGCCCCAAAGCTGGCAGGCCGGCTGATACCGGACCTTCTGTACCGGGCCGTCCTACAGCTGCCTTAAAGGTGACTCCTATCCCGGTTCCTAAGCCGGGTTCAATGCCGTCGCTTCCTCCATCGGCCAACCACGCGGCAGTAGCGGCAAGAGCATCCAGCGGCGGCAGCAGCAGCAGCAGCAGCGGCGGCGGCCCTACCCTAACTTCTTCGGTCGGGTTTGGCCTGCTTACATCCGCTGAGGCAAGTCTGCAGGACGCCGCGAGCGGTCCTCATCGAGATGGCCGTATCAGGAACCCAGTGCCCAGCAAGCTGAAAGGGAAAACGGATGGCTCCAAGGGTAACTTTAGCGTCATGCACATGGATGTGGCTGGGAGGAGCGAGGCGACAGAGCGTGATGCTCAGGCGAAGCGTACAAGTGAGAGCACCGAGCTGGCTGCCAAGCGCGCTTTCGAGAACGGATACGTTTCCCTTCGGAGGAGTCGGTTTGTTCATCTTCCCGATGAGATGGCAGACAAGCCTTTCATCCCTGGGCTCACCACCGCGCCCCCGACTAATCCAACTAGCCGCCGGTCACCTCTAGATTCCGAAGAGACTAAGTCCGAGCAGGCACGACTCCTGACCCTCCTGCGGAGTCTTCATCCTGTCCTCGTTGTTGATCAGATATGTAAAGCTTTGGCTTTCTTTGGAGGTATCCCCGGGGCGCCCCCGCCAGCAGACGGCGCATTTCCTCAGAGCGCAGAATCAAACGGCTCGGGCAGTCTCTTCGTCGGTTGGATAGCAGAGATTTTCCCAAGGCTGGGTGGAAACTCGACCCAGCGAGCTCTGAGCCCTATCGGGCAGTTTGAAGTTTCAGAGTCAATGAGACGAAGACGAGGCCGGCCAAAGGGTAGCAAGGCTACCAAAGTTCGAAAGGACAAGGGCATCAAGAAGGGACAAACGGCCTCTGGAGGAAATCAGTTCCAACTCGGAGACGCTGTTGATGAGAGTTGGGTTGACGTCGATGATGATGTTGTTGGCCTGTCTGATGATGTTGATGCGAATGTGTTGCTTCTCGCGCAAGCTGCGAGCCCACGTCATCCGTCCTCATTGCAGCCGGAACAGGAAGCGAGGCAGCAAGCACCCATGCCGAAGCACCAGCTAGCTAACTCGTCAGTTAGGACTGCTTTACCGAGAGCCCTAACTAATAGTAATGTCACCCCCAACGCTCCTGCTAGTGCGAAGAAGAGAGGCCGTCCGAAAGGTTCTAAAAACAGACCCAAAGATTTGGCCAATGCCTCCTCTGAGGTTCTCAATGCCCGCACACAGGCTTCGTCGAGCGTACGGATTGGAAAACCTCAACATGTCTCCCAGATACCCCAAGCACCCCCGACATCCCAGACGCCTCAGGCGTCCCAGTCTTCTCATATACCACAAGCACCCATCGCCTTTCATTCGCCTGGGGTCTCTCAGGCCCCTCAGTTGCAGGGCCCAGTGGCTAACCAAGCATTTACGGCTGTGAATTCTGCGACGGCAACACCGGCTAGGAAGAGAAAGAATGGAAAGCCAAAGGGGTCGGCTACCAATATTCAGGCGTCAGGCGGGATTCCCGATGCGCTCCCCGTTGGAGTATCGGTTCCGGCACCACCTCCTAGTCATTCCTCGGCGCAGTTCCAGTCAGTCACGGCTTCTGCTCCATCATTGAGCCAGATTCATAGCTATGAATCCTCCCAGCCACTACAATCCTCTCAGGGGCGGCAGAGTCTTACACTTCCAACACCCCCGACGCCTTCAACCGCCAGCCCAGCCCAAGCCAAGGCTCCCGCGAACACGGGCCAAAAACGAAAACGAAAGTCTGGAAAGGACGTCAACTCTCTGAAGACAAGCATAGGTGATGGAAATAGTGACATGGTCTCATCGCCCCAAATCAATGGCCTCGCATTGCCTACGCCCCCAACCTACCCCGCTACGGTGGCCACGGGGCCAGCTGCAACGATAGGCCCGCCGCCTCCAAAACGCCAGCGAAAAGGTAAAGATGCAAGATTAGCTTCAAGAAAGCAAAACGAAGCCTCGGCGACCCGTGCTACAGAAAAACCAACTGCTCTATCGACAATGACTCTGTCTCCAGTTTCGGCGCCAAATCCAAGCCCGAGATTAGCCTCGAATTCAGCAGCAGTGGCGGTTTCCAGACCCATACCACCCCAAGGCCCCACCCCTATCTCAGCAGACTCAGCAATAGCTTCGGGCCACTCTCCTCAGCATAGCCACTTCGAAGTTCAATCTCCTACCATGGAAAACTATGAAGCGCAGCTCCAGGCCCAGTTAGAACAACAGTCGGAAGCCGAAACTCAGGTAGCGCCACAGCAAAGCCGTGGAGATTCGAAGCAGCTTCTCGCCAGCCGCTTACACCAGCAGCAGCACCAATATCAACACCACCAAACGCAGCAGCAGCAGCAACAGCAAACCTCCCAACAGCAACCACACCAGCACGAGCAGCCACACCAGGCGGCGCCGCCAGCGCCACCGCAACACCTGCAGCACACCTCTACCGCCCAGAGCAGGTCTCCTAACCCTCAGCTACAACAGACAAAATCACAGTCGGGTAGTCCGATGATAACACAGCAGCAGACCAAGGTTTCTCAAAACCACTACAACCAATATCGTCCTCCTAGCACACAGTACAACCAGCAGCAACACCACCCACAACAAAACTACGCGTCCCCAACGCAGGCGTCCCCACCGCAACACCAACAACCGCAGCAATTTGCAACTCAACAGCCGCCCTCTCAAAGTTCGGCACAGATTTCCCAGATTTCACAGGTTCAACCATACTCAGCGGGTACGTCACAAACGCAGCAATATTCCTCTAGCCAGCCGTCATATCCAGGCGGGCAACAACAATACCCCGACGGGCAACAGCAGCAGCAGCAGCAGCAGCAGCAGCAGCAGCAGCAGCAGCAGCAGCAACAACAGCAACAACAGCAACAGCTGGGTTCTCAACAGCGCTACCCGCAGCAGCTGGGTACGAGCTCCACGGGGAATACCTCATATACAGCGCACCAAGCACCACAGTTTACCGCTTCAACAAGCAGCAATTTCAACCCTACCGATGGTAGTTATCGTACCTCAGCTGCAAGCTTGAGTGCTTCATACAGTCCCCAGCGGGGCCAGTCTGTCACACCTACTGGCGCCACGACGTACCGCGGGAGTAGTGCACATAACCTGCCTCACCACTCGCCATCGTTTGGTACCACTACAACCACTGCACCACAGCGAACATCAGGTACAAACCACCCCACTAGCCAAAACATGCAAGGTCTAGCAGGCGTCCAAGCGTTTACCGGGAATGCCGGAACAGAATGGAATCTTTTCGACGCTGGCAATCTGGATTCCTCTGGCAGTCAAGCAACGCTGGGCTTGGCAAGCACGGGCTATGCCATCAACACAGCCAACGTGAGGGCAGCATCAAACCAAGGCGCGTCTTTCCAGAGTGGCTCCCTGTCGAACTTTGATAATTCAACCTTGGGGGGGAATGAGCGGTATTATCGGGTTGGACGGAGGTAGGCTGTGGAGGCCTCTATTTTTTCTTCTTTCCGTGTCACTCTCCTTGTCTTCTCATTCAGGGTTTGGAGTGAACGGGGTCTGGGGTGTTAAATAGGTCCACCTTATGAAGATGATCATGACATTGTTGTTTTCGGGGCTTTCTATTGTGTTTATCTCTCGATAGTCGTTCATGTATGTACGCCTGAGATTCTCGGATGGGATCGTCAGCCAATGTTGAATAGAAAATATGGAATAGAGCATCATATGAATTATGCGACTCAGGTTTCGAGTCCGCTGACACACTTAATGGTGAGGTCAGTGTATCTAATCTTGTCCATTAGGGACTAAATGGAAGTGGGGATTCCGTGACCCTAAGCACTTGGTCCATAGGCAATTAATGCATAAGTATTCAAAACAAACTTCAAGATTTCAAGACTTGTGTGTGCCAACTGTGCAGAAGGCGTGAGTTGGCAGGGAAGAAGTAATTCTATGATCCTTGCTTTTCCCATGTAAATAAATATAGCCCTAGCACAGGCAAACCCATACAGCCCCCAAAACAATAACAAGAAAAACAGACACAGACTAGTACGCCTAGCTTGTAACCTTCCGGATCGTACCCTAGACACCTGATAAAGTCCACAAGCATCGCCGCCGTAACAGAAAATGAAAACGCCTGGAAATGCCTCGGTGAGAAAACTGATTTGACTAAAATTATTAGATGCTGACTCTGGCCAGCCGTCCATTTTGTCGTGAGACGTGCTGCTTAGTCAGTGGGTATCAAGACTCTGAAATGCTCTCGTTTTGTCATCTTCTCCGCTCAGGGAAAACCGGAGCACATAACCCGCTCACTCTAATGGATCCTCCTCGATAGCTTCCAAATTTGGCCGTACAGATTCAGGAGCGCCAGTACCATACCACCATTGATCCTCGTCTTCGACACCATCCTCCCGAATTAAATCGGTAAGGATTTGAGCATTCCGCCTTATGTCGGAGGACCGCTCAACAACCTTCCGGTCCAAAATCATCGCTTCAGCCGTCTCGGACCATATTTTCTGCAATACAGGGAGGTCCGGGAGGAGGATCTTGAGCTGATCTCTTGTTAGAGAACCCATGGGCATGCCTTCTGACAAGCTTGTGCTAAAGACAAAACCTCGCGCCGGGTCTCCATTCATGGCGGATGAGTCGTCTGGTGCCCGGGCTGTGGGGGGAACTTCGGTTGTATGGGCTTTTCCAAAAGTCAATGTTAATGATTTCTTACGTTTTAACCCGAGCATGCCCCGCCGTTTCTTTGGCTGCTCTGGGTCAGCCAAATCCCGGGTAACTGAGTTATACCAGTTGTCCACAGCTGCTCGCCGCGTGTTGTAGCCCTTGACTTCCCAAATTCTTTCAACCTCTCGCAGGCCACCAATACAGAGTATTGCGACATGCACTTCGTCCGGCGGCTTTTCCCGGAGGTACCCCCTCAGCGACCGCTCCACCCGACCGACATAGGATGGGGGACGAAGCCGTCTGCAGAAGGAGGATATTACCAGGGGAAAAGCCTCGTGTACACGGAGCAGAGTCCGGTCATCGTACATGTTCAAAATTTGCGTTTCAATGGGATTGACCGTATAGGGCTCCTTGAGCAAACCCTTCCCGTTGCGGTTGGTGAGATACTGGAGGTGGAGATCTCGGTATGTTTCGAAGAAATGGAAGACTGTAAGAAGCAGAGGGATCAGGCGGCGCCGCATCCGTTCCCGCTGTGGGGCAAACTCTTTCTTCTTTTCCTCCGTGTTCCTCAAGAAGAGCTCTTTAGATATCCACTCGCACATTAAGTACGAGAGTTTAGCTGCCACGTGAAGCCTATGCCATATCCCACATAGATAATGAAAGTTCAGAGAAGCTCCCCCAGAGATTGGATATAGACGTTTGGCGTAAGCGGGAACGTGATAGTCGAGATGATAACGTGTAATAGGAGCCTCATTGAACGACACTAAAGCGTGGAGAGATCTTGAGGCTAATCGTAGACTCAATATGTCGGAGAGGGGGAGCGAGGCTATTATTTCAACCTGCAATTCGTTTGGTAGAAACTGGAACAGCTGATCGAATGGAAGACTACAAAACTCATGTCAGACAGTGGCTGGTAGGACCAATTTTATGAGTACTTACCTTGGTTTGGTCGTCGTCGTCTCGGTTAGTGACGGCCGCCGTTCTGGAGGCTCGACGCCAGAGTGAGCTGGTGTGCCTTTGGTATGAAATTTGGCTCTAAATCCCAGAAACCCTTTCTTCTCCAGGCGTTTCTGGTCGCCCGACTTGACAATGGAATCGTCCGCATCTAATGGATTTGGCGCCCGAAACGGTAATATAAACTGCGATGGAGATCTCCCGGCCACGGGAATCTCCGACTGTGTCGCACTCGCATGTGACTGACTGATCTTCTCCAGATACCGATCGGACCCGAACTCGGTGATGTGGAGAGGGTCCATTGTTTCTGGCCGCTCGCGGGCAACGCGACCAGGACTCGGAACAAACCACACACGATGGACAGACCATGCGGGGGCTACAGACGGACCGTCGTCATGTACTGGGACTGTGCCGGCAAAAGAGGCGATATGCGAGGATCAAAGACGCAGGAAAGTCGCAGCTCAAACATGGTGGATCATCTGAGCTGGAGAAGTAACACCGATAGTGGTAACAAGTTCGGGAAGGCGCTCGACAAGAGAGCGCGCGTGCCCACTCGTCGTGCGTTCGGCAGCCGTCCGTCGCCGATATTGTCGTCGAAATCGGCGGCCTTGAGTGTTACACACGCCAAAAAGTCTTGTTGACAACAAGGCAAGGGGTGAGTGAGATGCGACCGGCAGCCTAGCAACTATGGTAGCGCCCCAGGGAAATACGGAGGTCCGTTCCAGGGTGCTTCAGTAATCCGCAATATTCGCCGGAAGGCAATGAATAACCGAAAACCAATTGAGGATGGGTGGGAGCTCGCTCGCTAGAGGTATGTATGGTTGAATGCAGGAGGCCGACGAAGTGGAAAGCAGCGGGCTTGTTGTCTAGCGATGCGGCAATCAATTCAGCGTCAAGGGCCGGCGGCAGAGAGGAAACGGGTCTGGTACGTAGACTGGCGAAAAGGGAGGAATGGGAAGGGAGGAATCGAGGCCTGTTTTGGAAGCGTGGGGGGCGAACGACGTGCGGACACTCACTGTCGAGGAGACGTCTAAGCAGTGTATGAATGGCCGCTGAAAACTAAAGAAGCAGAAACTAGCGATTGCTGTGAAAGCGCGGTCGTCTGCGGCCAGCGGTCGGCGAGATGATGGGATGGGCAAATGAGCTCCGGGGGAGGGAGGCGTTGATGGTGAGAGTCTGGCGACGGTCCATGGGATGGGCCACGGCGGTTTGGCCGGCGTAATAGTGGAGAGGAGTCGGGCCAGAGCCCACAGCAGATGCGAGCCACCAGGTGACGCCCCAAGAGGGGGGTACTGGATGGGCCCGCACAAGTTGCGATCCGAGTACCCACAAATCCGTGGGGAGTGGCTTGGGGAGGAGGTACTCCGCTATCACCCATCTGTCGCACGCCCAGGTCGCTCGATCGTTGGGCGAGCCCCCCGGACCGTTTGCTGGCGTTTCATTGGGGGGAAGGCCCCAAGGACGCTCAGCTTCCCTGTCTCAATCGGGCCTGCTCAGTGCTTGTTTCCCAGCCCGGTAGCGCCTGGGCCGCCTTGTGTATCCATTACTTTCAAGGAGCCCAAGTTGGATAGCCGGCCCTTTCTTCGGGCTTGTGCTCAATACGACCCAGACACCTGTAGCACTAACTAGAACAGAGCGAGTTTAAACAAGCCCGGCGACAGCAGTCGTACATGTACGGCAAGATACTATTCCCATCACGGCCCCGCAGGACTGCGGGCTGTTGTAATTTAGCCGTGGCCAATAAATGAAGGCAAAAAATGACCGAAAGATGGAGAGGAGCTCACAAGCACGCAGAACACAGCAGTCTCTCTCACTTCAAGCACCACCTTTACCAGATCTGGACTTTCACCCACGATTCTCTCGCCTGTCCATTTGCCATGTTGCACTGGTGGGCTGGCTGCTAAATACTTCGTATTCTGCCCTAGTAACATTTGGAGGTACTGCGTAGGAGCCTAGGCGCTGGCAACTGCCTCTGCCTCGACTATGTAGTATGTAAGGCTTCTCGTGGTTTTTCTACACATCTTCAATCGTTTTTTTGCCCCCTTGGCCAGGCCCTAGACCATAAGGCACGAATGGTAAGCAGTCGCATCCGTCTGAACCTCTCCACGAGTACTATGTGTACATTACCTATCAGTACTGAATTAATCTTGAACTATTAGAGCCTACCTACTCAAATGCATACCTTTTCCACCGATGTCAGGTACTGGTTACGCTCTGCGGTAATGCAAGGCGCCAAGGTGGCAAGTACTTGGGATTCTCCCCGTACTCTACTGTACCTTCACGTGTGTAGGTACAGTATACACATAACCACTTACCTCGCTCGAGTAGCTGTGCGAGTTCACTCGAGTAGGTAGGTGTTATTTGCACGTTCACAAGATAGGTATGGTTGAGGTGATGGACGGGCTAAAGGTTTTCAGGAAGACGTTTGACCTTGCCAACCGTTTTCACGACGTCTGCATGGACTTAAAATCGGGTTTACAGTACGGCGTGCCACTACGGTGCAATTAAAATGAAAGCAAAGCTGTCCCTGCCAGCATTCCTGTTGGCTATCGAGTGCCGATCCTCGCTAGGTCCTGTTCCATGCCACCTGGTATCACAATTCGGGGACATGGCTCGCTCCTAGACGACACTTGTCGAATGCTTCGAGTCTTCGGCAGTATTCGATAAGTATACATCTATACTCGATATGATCGAGCAACGAGAATACGTGGCTGCTATACATATAGGGCACACTCGGGCATAGCAAGATGAGGTACGGATACCCACCAGTTATGAGGCTTCTGCGCACGAGGGCCACGAAGGATTTCACATCGTTTTTTCTGTGTGATTATAGTGCATAGGGCGACCTTTCTCTACCTAGCAGTCTTATGTATGTACATGCTACTTAATATACCTGGCACTACTTATATCCCCTCCTTCCCTAGCAGATAGAGTTCGAGACTTGCAAAAGTACTACCGTCACACAGACATACATACCTAGTGTAGTACTAGTAGTAGTCAACCCATCATACATAGACACCTACCTAGGTAAACACATGCACGCTGCCTAGAGGAAAACAGCCCGCCCATGCCTCGACCAAGCACACGGCCATGGAAAGTTAAGAGAAAGAACAGGACTTATCAGGCGACCCATAGTCGAACACTCATTCTTAACGGTTGTTGCTCTACGTCACGGGTTAACAACCATGGGTTCCTCCTTCTCACAAGCCTCTTTCCAATTTCCCGTTTCCCGTCGAGTTAGTACTAAACCTGGAGCTCCCTATCCGTTTCTATATGTTGATGATATTATACCTCGGTAACTCAACACTTGCGTAACTCTGTAGGCGCTGCTTCTCGTCAGCTCACACCTTACTGTTGGCTAGTAGATACCTTTTTTTTCACGTACGACCGAGTTCACGTCCCTAAGTTACGTGATAGACGGAAATATAGTGCTTTCTCCATTCTTACATTGATGTGGGAGCAATACCGTGCCATATTTGACAAAGGGCCACCTAGGCCCGGTGCGCCTATAACCAACCGAGGGTGACCTAGAGCATACGGCTCAGAGAGCAGGAGGGAGAACCCGAATTTTATATCGAAGTAGCCGAGACGAGATCTGGTGCTTCTTAACTAATTAGTTTCTAAGAAGAGGACCGTCACTGTGCCATATACCGTACTTTAATGGCTCGCTGGCTGCTTCTAGGAGCAGACATGCAGACAAGGTACTGCTGTGAGATATCGGCCTTTCCATAGGCTACCAAAGTTTCTTTGCCGACATGTCGAGGCCTGAGAAAAACGCCGAGAATGAAACTGAGACCACGTATCGAGTGTGTGGATAGCAGAGCAGCAAGTCAGCATAAAACACCCACTCGCCAACAGGCGGCTTCAGATCACTCGGTGCCCGCTCCAAGGACGCGAATCTGAGAAAGGAGCCAGAGTCTGTTGTCCCGACCCTAGTGGTTGTCAAGCCACAAGTACGGAGTACTACCTTGGTAATTGTTAGATGGAAATTACATCGCCCGGTGCCTATTCAAGTAGAGCCTAGAAATAGTGGGTTTGGCACTGTTGTTATTCGTTGTTCGTGCCCCTACACGTGTATCTTAGACTAAGCGTTGGAAGACGCCCGAGGGCAAATATTCTGGAACGAGGGGAGAGAATCGAGACTAGTCACGAGAACTCACTGTTATGACTGACGAGTGAAAATCGCCGCTCTACCCTTCCTCCGTTTACTGAGCCTTTTGTAGAAGTTAGTACGGAGTAGTTAGCTTTACTTTCGCCGCTGCACATTTGGCGCTAGGAGGAGAGCCATCGCGTTACCTACTATTACATCCATAGGTACCAAGGTAGTTATTGTATGTACATACCCAGTCAGTCCTACCACGACTAGTATGCCTTCAATACTTACCTACCTACCTAGTAAGGATAGAAAGACAGCACTGCACAGGTAAGGTAGGGTATATATCATGTTGAAGTCTGTACGGTATACTGTACATACACGGTACCTTACCTACATTACAGTACCTTAGGTGTGTACGCACGCATATCCCGTAAAATTCTTATTTTTAGGATGCCTAATGTCTCCCACACCTCAGGTACTGCATACATTCTGAATTACCCCCCCCCCCCCACACATTCATTCTATCATCACTGGTTAGATACCTGTGAAGGTACCTTAGGTATCCTTACAGCAAGCCCCAAAGTTCTAATCCCGAACTGGCGTCTGGTTTTTGGGCGGTTTATGGCCATTGGCTACCATTCTTGGCATATACATACAGCCAGATACCCCCCTCACGGAGTACGCGTGCTGTAGGTGATTAAGCCAAGGCTTCTTGTCTTCAGCCAGCTTTGGTTCGTGCGGCATTGAGCTGGGATTTTGGATCTCAATGCCCCAGCGAATCGCGACCCCAAGTGCCCGGGGTTGGGGGTTTTAGCTGGGCGATACACCCCTTTCCCATTTACGAAGCACCGACACTCCATCATCAGCAGCTGTAAAGCCATGCTTGTACACCACTACCCACGTAGAGCATCATGATCTTCTAGGGTCTGGCATGCAGCAGCGTCGACTATCGCCTCCCCAAATAGCTTGCTGGCAACTTCCCTGCACCCTTTCTAAATAGGGAGCCTCAAGGCGGGGTTACGCAGATAACCTACCTGCCTACCTTACCTACTTGATCACCATCACAACTCACCATTGCCCCACACGAGCACCGGCCCTGCAGTAAACGAGCCAGCCCATCTCCTCTTGTCAGCGTTGGCAAGCTGTCGAGAGATATACCGCCCTCAACAGCGAAACCAGACTCCGAACGACCATCTAACTGTGCTCCGCTTGCAGGGTCTCTGGCGCAACACCCCGGCGCAGCATCGGCGCTGTTTCCAGCAGAGCACCGACGTGACCGCTCTGTTGCTTCGTTCAACCTTCCTGGCGTGGCGGACATCTGGTTGAACTGGCCCAAAAACCCCGACCAACGTCTCAATTGATTGATCGAGTAGTACTTGGCCATTTACGAGCTGTGCTGGGACTGTAGGCCCTGCCCCACCACTAACATGTCCTCCCCGAGCAGGTCGCCAGTGGAGGTAGATGTACCAGCCGAGTCCCTGGACGTTGTGGAAACACCGACCTCGCCCTCATCGGGCCTTGCGCTTTCCCGGTTCGAATTTGAAACGGGCAAGGGCAACGAAGGTACCAAAATTCTTATGGTCGAATGGGACACGGTCGTTGCGGCACAAGTCGAGCCGACTGAGAAGCAAGAGATAAGAGGGCCAAAGGAGGCTAGTGAGATTGACTGGGAGGTGTCGTGGGAAGGCAAGGAGGCGGTCCTCCCGATCCGCGATGCCGACTCCGATGCTAACGGCAAAACACGTCGCGTGTACTTTCTGCTTCCTCCAGGAGCCCCAGTCCCGGCACTCGTCAGCATAACACCCAAGGGTGGTACCGGGATCGGAATCGGAGACGGAACCGAAGCCGGGGCCGGAGCACATGAGAATATTGTGCTGCACACAAAGCCGATGCCGGCTATTTTCCTTGCCGAGTTAGGAGGCGCCGAGGAGGCGGGTCAACGCGGCGTGCTTCACACAATATGGGCAAAGAAGCGCCTGGCTGAGCTGAAGGCCGAGATCGCGGCCGAGCTAAAGGACAACGGCGAAAGCGTGGGGCTTGAAATGGCATTACAAGAACGTCAGTGGATAGTGGACCATTTTGGGCTTGCGCCCCAGCAGGGAATACCCAAGCCGACGAGACTGCACACTCCCCAGACCCCAGTCAGCCCTGCCAGCCCACGGAGTCCGATCGGGGGGAGACTGGGCGAGAAGCTACGGGGACTTAGACTTGCCACAAGCCCTTTGGAGCTTGCGGCTGCTACACAGGGTATGCACGCATTTGGAATTCACTCCGTACAAGCATACAGTGCAACACGAAATAAGGTGTCATGGTATTGTCAGTTGCTGATTATCTGATTCAAATTTCAAAGCCGCGAAAAGTGCACAGCCGCGAGCGCGACCTCTTGTCACGACCGCCTCCGCCAATCCTTCAAACACAGCCGTCTCGTCGTTTGCTAATTCCGGGGGCCGGCTACCCGCAAAACCTTCCGGAAACGCATCCGTTGCTTCGCTGGACGCTATCGTCGGAAGTGGCTTGTCCACAGCAGCAGTTGGCAGAAGCGATGACACTACCGAGGAGGAGTTATTTGCTTTACCTATGAGTCCGCGGAGTCCTGAAATGAAGAAGAGCCCATTCAGTCTCCTATAGTGATATTGGTTGGTCCATAGACCAATTATCACAATGCCGATTTATTTTGCTGGGAAGATTTGATGCTTTTTGCATAGGCAGCCTGGCCAGCCAAAGGGCTTTCTAGGCCCATCAACGTCTGGGTTCTCGAGTGAAAACCTCCGTACACTTGTTCTTATGCTGGAGAAAGCGTCGTTTTACCGCGCGATAAAGCCTAGAACCCTCTCTTCCTCGGCTGTACTGCTATATATATCAGCATAGATCACTTCTTCAGACGACCGAGATACGGGCATCCCAACACCAAGACCGATGGGAACAATAACTAAATTTTCAAGTCCATCCGGCTGATAAGATATAAGATGTAGACTTCAGCGCCACCCGCCAACACGCCCTTCGTCCCATCTCTCTTTCCTTTCCTGGCGCAGATAATATAGTTTCTTTGCCTCTCTGTATCTCTTGGCCCATTCTGCGGCCTCCCGCTCTGTGGCGAGTGCCCCATCTCCTTCTCCCTCAAGGAAACTTTCTTCGAGCGCGTAACACACGCTTTCCTGCTCCTGCACACCCTGTCCCAAACGTTGGTACAAGCTTGCCGGTGCGAATGGCGCCAGGGCATGGTCCATATCGGCCTGTTTGGCTCGCCACTGCCGCTCAAGGGCATGGGTGGACAGTAGCTGGGCTTGGGTGGATGAGCGCTGGTGAGAAAGGCGCGACTCCAGGTCTAGCAGGTGCGCTGCGCGCTCCATGTTCTCTGCTAATGCCACCTGCAGAGTGTCGTGTGAGACCCGTAACGAGGGGTGGATGGTCTGAGGTGAGTGTGTCAGCGCTGAGAGAAGCGCCGGGCTAGAGAGGATTTCGGCGAGATCCTGCTTGCTGTTGGGTAGATGCCCAGGTGCTTAGTTAGCCGTCTCGAATATCAACAAGCTCACTCGTCGCGGGAGAGATGATGTAGGTGGGAAACACCTACGACTTGTCCTGTAGGAACTTTGGGAGCCATTGTTCCCCGGGGTCATCAAAATGCTGCGGCTGTGCAACATGTACCGCCGAGGACGAGCTGGCAGCGCCATTGTCCCCTGCACGGACGCTGGCCTCGGGCGGCGGCGGAGGCTGGGACGATTGTCGTAACCCTGCCGGTGTGCCCAGGCGACTTGTGTCGTGGCTCCCCGGTGGCTTCGGCGGGGGGGCAGGCGGCGTGTGTGAATACATTGCAGTCGCTAGGTCGGGAAGAAGAATGACGCCGTTGCCTCCATTCGAGATCACAGGTGGCTTTCAACTTAGTTCAGGACTGCACTTACAGTATTATACCGTATATGTGTATGTACAGTAAGAATAAGTATTCGGCATACATGCGATATGAGGAATACGGAGTACACAGTAAAGTATCGTATCCTCTCCATGCGGTACTGTACCTCCGTATCTTTCTTTCCAAAATTCGACCGAACGGTGGCGGAAAGCCAAATCTCGGCCGGGCCTATGCGTAATTCATGACTGTAACACACACGATACAGGGGTTACATTGGTGATGATTCACGGTACTAGGTACCTTTTGTAGGATACCGGAAGAATTAGGAACTAACTCATTCTCATGTGCAGGAATTACCGATCAATCAGGGTTACGCGGCTTAATCAAGCTTATGCAAATGCAGGGCTGTCTGTGATTGGTCTAACTGGTAAAACAGCGGAAGGATCATGCCAGCGCACGGGCCACATCCGCCCAGCACGTGGCGCAACACGTGACCGCGGGGCCCCTGATTGAGCGCCTTCGTGTCCTCGTGGTTCGTGATCCTTTTGGTAGACATAGAAGAATACGATCAACACCACCACCCCACCCTTTCGTAGCGGTTACTACAGTGACTAGCACGGATGACCTTGTCATTCCAACATCACGCGCTTTGTTAATAATTAAATTGAATAAATAAACAAATAAATATAGTTACTCAAGGTAGGAGATAATAATTTCAATATAAATACCCAGCTAAGGTAGCGACCATACAGCATTCGCTACACTGTAATAAACACATCGAGTCTAAATTTTCAAACGACCTAGCCTACATAGGTACATACATATAGGTACCTACTTTACAGAACACAATTGTAGTTTCGCCTATTTTGTTTCTTGTCCCGCAAATGAAGCTGGCTAGCAGGGGACCACGAGCAGGTATCAAACTACACAACAACAGGGGAAAATTTTCTGCCCACTAAAGGATGAATTCATGAAAGAGAAGTACCAAGATCGTCCCATAATCTGCTCGATGTCCAAGTAGAAATAGGGGGGAGGGGGGGGTTTACTGCACAATTGCCGTCTGACCTCAGCCAATATTCGACAGTGTCGACAATGAAAGGTTAGACTACGAGTCAAGCTCAACATAATTGGCAGGAAACAGGCCGGAGTCTCCCTTATAGTGCCCAAACCACCAGTCCTCGTCCGGAAACTCGAGATTGGTAATCTTGGCACCTTCGGGAAAGCTAAGCTCTACAACATCATCAGCTTACAAGTAGGACAGGTTTGGCCAGGAGCATATTAGACAAGGGCAGTCACATACCATTGTCTTCCGCAGCCTCATAATCGAACTGTGCTGTCGCAGTGCTTGCTCCGGCAGTATCATTGATGGGCTCAGGTTGTACTGCCGCGGTAGGGGCGGCAGGGGTGGTAACAGGAGCGGGAGCAGATACCTGGTGAGTAACTGCTGGGGTGGCTGTCTGGTCGGCACCGGCGTCGTCGTCATCATCGGCAATAAGCTCAACATAGTTGCTAGGGAAAAGACCACTCTCGCCCTGAGAGTTGGTGCCCATCCACCATTCCTCATCCACCATCTCAATGTTCTCAACATACTCGCCTTCACGAAGCTCAATCTCATTATCCTCAGCTTTCTCATAGTCATACTGGATCAATGCTCGTTTGCCACCGCCACTAGGAGCGTGACTATCGGTATGGTGGCTAGCAGACTCGTTGGCAACTGCCTCAGCTGCGGCTCTTGAGTTATGCGTCTCTTCTTTCGCGGGAATTTCATTTTCTCTCGGTAGATCCTGTGGGACAGGAACCGGCCGGGGGGGGAGTCTCTCGGCCGGGGGCTCGAGATCAACCGCTGCGCTGCGTGAAACCGGAATCGCAATCCGAACAGGAGAAGACCCACGCTCCTCATAGGCACCGGATGGTGCCGAAAGGGCCTCCGTCTGCTCAGCCTCTACCTCTTCTTCTTGATTAACGGCGGCACGATGTGGGAGACCGGGGGGCGCAAAGCCGCCCGATGGTCGGCTTCCCATTGGCGGAGGTGGCCATGTCGGCTCATTCTCAGGAGAAGTTGTCACGCTAGGTGCTGACCGGACAACGCTCCCTATCGGCACCGTATCCTTGAATTTGTCACGCAGCGCGGAGATACCAGCACCCGGAGAGGCAGGGGCGCCGGGGTCCGAATGCTCAGCTCCGCCCGTTTCGTACGTTTCAACGCCGCCACGAGCAAAGTTTGCGGTCTGCACCGTCGCCCAGCTCTTACCAGCATAGCCACTCTTCCATTCACTCCCACTCTTTTGAGCAGCGATCGGTGACGCGATGGACGGAGAGACAGCAGGGCCCGGCTTGATCACCGTAGTGGCTTGCTTGGCCTTTTTCTCGGCCCATATCTGAGCCGGTGTCTTACCGCCTTCGTCGGCAAATGTCCTGCTGGCAGCGCCAATTGGCGGTGCAACCGGAACAGAGGGACCTCCTAGCCCAAGTCCTATGGGAGTGGGAGCCTTAGTTCCCGAAAAAGAGGAACCACCAAACTTCTTAGCCACCTTGGGCCTGGGCAGTTCGGTAAGGCGTTCTGCCTGGGAAAGCCCGGCATTGCGCTCCGTGAGATTCTTAAGAGTCGCCGTCTCCTCTTCGGACTCAGCAGGGCGCTGGGCTCTCGCTCGAATGGCAGCAATGTCAACCTTCCCCACGGGCTCATAGGCGCCCTTAACGATATTTGGACGGTCGTCCTGCGCGCTCTTCGCTTGAGAACGGAGGGAGGCAATGTCGATCTTGCCCACCGGTTGGTATGCACCCTTGACGATGTTGACAGATTGGTCGTCCTGCCTGGGTGATTTGTCGAAACGAGAGTCATCCCTGTTCATTCTCAGGCTGGCCATGTCCACCTTGGTCGGCTTGTACGCCGATTCAACCTTCTCAAGCTCGCTTCTTGTGACCTGTGGCGCATCATCCCCCCAGCCATCTTGGTCGACATTTTCCTGCCTCTGGCCACGGGAGGCAATGAGAGGATTGAAAGAACTTCCAGAACCGGACGTGGTCGGGGAGAAAACGGGCTTTTTGGAAACTGGGGGTAGAGATGCAGCTAGGAAAGGAGACGAGCCTCCTGCTGTGTACTTTGCGCCGGAAGCGTCAGAGACCTTTTGTAGAATGTCTTCGGGAGAGAGGTCGCTGTCGGATCGGGCCGTAATCTGAACGTGATAACCGTGAAGGATCTTCGCGACGGCGGCAACATGGCTCGTAAAATACCCCTTTGTGCGCTCGGGGACACCTCCGCCACACCAAGCAATAAGGACATTTTTGGGGAGTCCACTGTTCGGGTCCTTGACCTTGACGAAAGCAAATTGAATGCGACCTTCGTTGAAGTCTTCGACGAGATCGGCAAGCTCGCCGTCTACGGGTGGGTTGAGTTAGGTAGCAGTTAGCCTAACAGTCTCCGTCCAAACACACAGACGCGCAGTGCTTACCGCCAGTGCTCTCGACCTTGAGGACGCTCTCTTTTGCGCCGCCGTCTTGGAAAGCATTCATCAGCGGCGCCTGGACCGAAAAGAGGGCCCACTGGGCGAAGGTGGGCGGGCTTGCGGGAAGAGCAGGGCCATCGACGACTCCTCGGTAGCTGCTCTTAATCGATGGACCGTTGATTGACAAATTCAGCGACGCCATTTTTAAAGAGATATGGACAACCTGCCAAAGTGTCCGTGGCCCAAGATAGAAACCTAGCAACTAAACGAGGGACCTGGTGTAGTTATGAGAGGTTACCAAGGCAGTGGAGGCGGAGGGAGCTTTCCCAGCACAGGTAAAGACGGGGAAGGCTGTGCGAGGTGGGGCATTGAACTTCCTGGGCAAGGAACTGCCTAGGGGGTACATAAGGTACTGTACATACATTACCTTGAGAAACGTATGCACTTTACGGAGTATGTACTAGCTAATACAGAACATGCCGTATCCACTCGTCCAATACAAACTTAGCTAAAACACAGCACAATTCGACCATGGGATTTGATTGACTTTGGGGATGCTTGGAAGAGAGTGTACAAAACTAGGATCTATTTAAGCGCGATAAGCTAATTATACGTAAATATTATAAGTTTAATAAATATATTATATAACTTTATAAGGTACCTATGGGTTAGTACCTGAAACCTTGAGAGAGATTGAGGCTTAATGTTACGTGACTCCGTATTCCACTATCTATGTTGCTCATTGAATAGGTACCTAGTTGGGATGCCAATCCTCCTCGTGCATAAATTGTTCCGTGTGGGTAACAAAGCAGATATTGGAGAACGACTAGTTCCGTAGGCCGAGGCGCAGAGCAAACGCACGGGACCTACCAAGCGGGAGTGCCAAAATCGTGCAGTGTGGCGAAAGCTTGTCCTTTCGCTCGCGCTAACGCAAAACTTATGATACATACACATACCTACCTTACATATTTCAGGCGCAATTACTAGGCGAAGGCAAACTTGGGAAGACGCATGCGTACTTCCTAGAATACTCAGGTACTACACCTGGTTAGATGTGAACCGGCAATTGGCGGCCTCAACTAATTTAGGAAGTCGCTCGACGAACTTAATACCAGGTTCGGAAAAGGAAACCACGCAGAGGGATGGGAGCCGTCACATCTATTCCACAGGGGAAGTGAAACCAGTTCCTGAAAAGGAGTCCGTAGTTTCCTCACCGACACGAGTTTGCGTTCCAGCCCCGCCGATTTCCGGGCAGGACGCCAAAGGTCGTCCGAACAAGCGCTTGCGCGGGCTCCCTTGCTGATCATTTATAGGCCACGTCACTTGGGGCCTTCCCCTCCCGCGTCCAAGCCTCTCCCCACCCCCATCCAAATTCACTCCTCCACACCACCGTCGAGATTCTTGGCGCTTGACCTCACCCTGGCAGCCCAGCTTCTGTGGCGGATATCAGCTTCCTAAATTCAAACTTCTTCCCTTCTTCTCCCGACGATACAGAATTTGGAAAAAAAAAAACATTCCCTTCAAGTCCCTAGAGCCCAAGCAATAATGTCTGCTCAGCAATACTATCAGCAAGGCCCGCCGGCCCATCAGGGCTACGGCAGCCCGCCCCCTCCACAGGGCTACCCTCAGTATCCTCAGGCCGTGAGTCGCCACGGTCGTAGTCTTCGTAAAGATTTGTGCTGACCATAGTTGTGGTTTAATAGTCGTATCCCGCACCGCAGCCGCAGGGCTATTACCCACCACAGGGTCAAATGCAGTACCAGCAGCAACCTGCCCCCCGAAAGAGTGGTGGTGGGGGATGTCTTCAGGGCTGCCTGGCAGCCTTGTGCTGTTGCTTTGTCTGCGAGGAGGGCTGCGAGTGCTGTGCCGATTGCTGCGAATGCTGTGCCGAATGTTGTTGAGGCCAGATACCACAGCCTCAGAGCTGCCAAGCGGAATATGGCGAGCGATACCGGTTTTACTAGTCACGACTTTGACTTGTCGATACTCAACCCGATTGTTGTGGGGGGGGGGGGGGGGGAGCAGGTTTGAGTGAGATAGAGCGGCTAGGGAGTTCAGAGGAGGGAAGAGGGTGGTCACTGTCCCTTCTTGTATACAATTGGCCCTCGTCGTGAGGGCGGGCCATGGCTCTATTGGGGCGATTATTTTCCCATTCCCTATGTTTCTTGCCTTTGTGCTCGAGTCTCCAGTCAGCAATCCGCTACCTCATTTCACAAGGAACATTCATGACACGATTCTTGAGCAGTGTTCGAGATGCGTTCTGCTGTGGGTGCAGCAGGTAAGCCATGAATATGAGTGACGCGATGAGTCTTTGTCGGTCAACGTCTTCCCATTTGCCGAGCTCGATGCTTGGCAGGTCCTGGACGATCGGGTGGCAAGGTGCCTAGCCCACCCAAACTGAATGTTAGTGTAGTCAAACTCCAAATAATTTATGTATAATGATAAGATAAGCTTCAAAACGTATCAGATGGTCGGGTTTGCAACTTATGGATGGTGTTAGATTGGATTTGGTCAAGAGAGCATAGTACCAGTCGCTCTTATGGTTGTTTGACTTCAAGTTGGTATATTTCTGGTCACTTCACGCCCCACCTGCCTTTCACGGCTGGCGAATCCACTGGTATGAAATATTGGAATGTATGTGAAGAGGGTAAATATTCCGAGGCAAGAAAAAGCCAATCCTCCTTAGTGTGATAACTTAGCTGCTTCGTCTATGTTTAAGACTCGACTCGGCAGGTATTTCGTCCTACTGTAATGTATGTACTATCCGTGCGGAGACGGAGCTCAGCAGGCCACAGCGGACAGGTAAGTCACAGATCATATTCCATACGGCAGAATACGGTGGGGAAGGAAGGCTAGAAACTATGAAGTGAGGCAGCTGAAAATGACGCAACAGTGGTTATCAAATCAGAGCCTCTCAGGCGGGGCGAGATTCCGCCCGGTTTCGACCCCGAAATTTGATAGAGGGGCAACTGGCAACCCGAAAAAGCTGCCGAAACTAACGGTCGCCCAGCTCAATCCAGGCATTCTCGACATCGCCAGCGACGTTGAAAGTGAGACGACCGAAGAGGCGGCGCTTGTCTATTCTATCCAATACTACAAAAACCCGAATCCAACAAGACGCTCAGTCCAACTATCAAGCCCACTTTACCCAGAGATAGACATGTCAGCCATCAAAGAGATCACCAGCCTTGAGGGCTGGGCGCAACACATATCATCGCTCCTTCCTTCAACCCTCTTGATCGTCTCGTTCCATGCTCCTTGGGCAGCACCCTGCGCGCAGATGGCAAACGTTCTATCGACCCTAGCGAACCAGTACCCCGTGACTGAACCGCTTTCGACGTCATGGGTGTCCGTCAACGCTGAAGAGCTTTCCGAAATCAGCGAAACTTACAATGTGACGGCCGTCCCGTTTCTTGTCCTTGTCAGAAATGGCCAGGTTCTCGAATCGGTCAGCGGGAGCAGCGCGGTCAAAGTGCGGAATGCAATCGAGAGTCACGCAAAGCCTGCCGCACACTCAAATCCAACCGTTGGCGAGCAAGCAGCGGCTGTCACCAACGGCGGTGCACCAGTTGTTAGAGATGAGATTAGCGAGGCTCTTCCGAGAGACGCTGAGAAGCAGAGAGAGGAACTTTTCAAGCGCCTTGCCGACCTCGTAAAGGCTGCTCCAGTGATGCTGTTCATGAAAGGAACACCTAGCGAGCCCAAGTGTGGCTTCTCACGACAATTGGTGGCAATTTTGCGGGAGAATGCTGTCAAGTACGGCTTCTTCAATATCCTAGCCGACGACGAAGTGCGCCAGGGGCTGAAGGAGTTTGCGGATTGGCCAACGTTCCCGCAACTCTGGGTTGACGGGGAATTAGTTGGTGGGCTTGATATTGTACGTGCTGTCATCTTGAATAACAAAGTATGTCATACTAATGATATATTAGGTCAAGGAAGAACTAGCCAGCGATTCTGACTTCTTCAGCAGATACAGCACTAAAGTGAACGGCGGTGCCTCTGCTGCAGCGTCTTGATACTAAGGTCATCATGCAAAAATCCCAATTAATCCGATGGGCATTTCTCATGTGCTATTCGTGTATGCTATTTACCGCCAGATATCTTTGAGGAGATTCCTCGTGACCTGCTCGACTATTGTCAAAGGCTTGGTGAAGGCTCATCCGTAACCCTCTCTGGTCAAGTGGCGCCAGGGACTGCAATGAAAGGGTATTCGCGATTTATGCAGTCTTCTATCCCCTTCTTGGCAATCACTTTGACAAGCCACTAGTATCTTTCCTAGTCATCACCGTTCTCTCATCTCAGAGTTCGACAGAGTTAACTCCATTGTTCTGGCGACGCGAATCACCCCGAGAGTATATAGAACACCTACCTAACCTATGGTTACAAGCGTGTGATTTGGGGAGCTAAACACCGAGGTAGCCGTTAGAGCTAAAGAGTGCCATGTTTGAGATGTGGGAAAAGTTGCGCATTATGAGATAATTTATATATTAGTTATAGTTATAAAGCGACTGGTGAGAGTTATTTACCTTGTATACCGTCGGTGCCGTTGAATTGTTTGACTTTTGCTCTACCGCGGCAAACACCTGTGTTCATTTTTGTGTGTACAGTACGCGGTGATGGGTATAGGCCATTTATTTCACATTCGAGTAGAAGAAATATTGCATCTTTTTCTAGGTACGCTACATAAGGCCGGCCGGAGTGGGTTGAGGGGTGGCAACTCCCTGTCCTTGCTGCTGGAGTAGGTTGAATCCGTCTAGGTCACAGTTGCGGCAGTTCCCCACGTAGTGCGTCCTAGCATGGGCTGCTCAACTGTCTGCGGGCCACCCCAGAAACCGACTACAGAACTGGACCGAAAATATCTGAAAAGAAGGGCGTCCCTTACTGCCGCAGAACTACTACTACCTTATGTAATTCTGGCAGTTCCTTAGATTGCAGCTCGAGTGGATGGATTGCACTATTTTCTTTCACGACAGAAACGTGTGACAAATACGTTCAATACTACCACACAGCATTCGCACACACCCCAAATTGAACAACAACCCACAGTGATGACTCACCGGATGACGCCCAAGACGGCGGTTTCCTTGGCTTGGAAGGCAGGTACTGTACGTGTCAAAACACCCTTAAGGGAGGTAACGTAAGGTATATGATGTACTGATCATACATGAACGTACTTTACATGTATATACATTTACACACATGACCCTAAGAGACCCCACCTTCATTACCATCACAGAGCATTGCCGTCGTCGGCTCCCATCCTGATGATTCCCGCTGCAGTATCTAGACCACCTCGAGTCGTATTCTCAGCGCCCACAGTTTGCTTGTCCCTTTCACCATTCGGCGCGCACGGGTTATGACGTCTTATTCATCGGCGCCCTATGCAACTGAGTTGAACACTGCTACCTGCTACCCGTAGCCTGACAGCATCAAGTATTGTATGTGTTGCACTGTATTCGTACATACATGCAGACGCCCACGCGAGCATGACCTTTTGCGAGCCCTGTGCCTCCTCTCCCCTCCCTTGATCAGGGCAACAAAGCTAATAAATAGACAGAGAAAATATAGCCCCCGCCTTCCTTTTCCCTCTCCGCTTTGCGGTGCCTTTTCTCATCGCGATACCTAGCTGTCTGGGCTCACGAATTGTGCGCTTTACTGCGAACGTTACCCGTAAACTTCCGAAATACAGCGACGGCTTGATCGATCCTCTGGACATAAAGCGATTGATCCGCGCATTGGTACTGCTGGCCCCGCTTGCGGTTATATCGTCGAAGCCAGCACGGCCGTGGCGGATATCACGTTTCTCTAGGAACTCGCTTGGCTGGCCTCACCGAACGGGTTTGCAACCTGACGCCAACACCCTCAGTCGTAGCTGTCCGTCGTCTGTGGTTACCTGGCCCTATCCAAGCACCCTCGCTATCTCGAGTCGGTCCGGACACTTTTGGTCCTTCTTCAAGCCCGGCGATTAATGCGCACTGCAAAACCCCATCTCCCCTACTTTGTTTTCGGTTACAGCCTGTCCTCGGTGTGATTGTTCACCATGACTCCCACGCCGCCTTCAACCACATCGTCCTCAGGTGCCCGATCGCCCGAGGAGCAATTTCGTGTCGTTCGGAAGAGAAACAGAGTACCGCTGAGCTGCTATGCTTGCCGGACAAGAAAGTGAGCCGCCCAAAGACAAATTATATACCAGCCCCCTGGCCCCCAGCCCCGATAATCTTGGCGGCCTGCTAACAACGATGCCGGTTCAGGTTGTGAGTTTTCTTACTGCCCTCTTACCTCGGGCAGTGACTGCTGTAATGCGCCTCCAGAGGCTTACATCCATTAGGAAGTGTGATCGGACCCATCCTTGCAGTAATTGCACCAAGCGTGAGGGGATGGACACGTCGTCGTGCTCCTACGCTGCACCATCTTCCCGCAAAAAGAACCAAGGCCAGGGACCGGCAAGTCCTGATGACATGCAGAACCGTATTGACAGGCTAGAAGGTTTGGTATTGTCTTTAATGCATGGCGGGGCGAATATAGATGCCTCCTCGGCCGCCGCGGTCGCCGCCACCGCCACGACTGCTGTAGCCGCGGCCGCCGCCACAGACAGCGGCTCCTCGGCCAAGATTGACAGAGACGACGCTGGTGCGATGCAGGGTGATGACGAGGATAGCGATATCGATGAAGGGCTCGCATCTTCTCTTGGCGTCCTAAAGGTGGATGCAGATCGAGGAAAGTCCATGTATGTCGGGCAGGAGCACTGGCATACGATCCTCGCCGACATCAGCGAAGTTAAGAACTACTATGCCGCGCACAAGAAGGACCTAGAGAAAAGCTACGAGAGGGTGTTACGCAGCAAGCCAGCAACGGCACGCAACGGTCCAACCTTTCTTCTAGGCGCAACGCCCGCGACCGAAGTGGAGCTTCGAGCAGAGCTGCCCCCAAAGTCGACAGTCCTAACTCTGTGTGGGCGGTACTTCAACTCGATGGATAATGCGGTCAACATTATCCACGCACCCACGTTTCACCAGCAGCTTCGTAATCATTGGCAGGACCCATCTAAGTCCCCAATCATGTGGTTAGGCCTGCTCTACTCAGTCCTGTGTTTAGCCATGCTGAGTTACCACAAGGTTGGAGATGAACCTCCCGAATGGAAAGGACGGTCTCTTGAGCTGGCTGCCGAGTATCGACTGCGCACGGTGCAATGTCTGTTCACCGGTGACTACACACGGCCAGTCGAATACACCGTAGAGACGATGTTGCTCTACGTCTTTGGCGAGTACTCGTCCCGGTGGGACGCCGATTTGGGGCTGTGGCTTATCACGTCGTCAATCACAAGGATAGCATTCCGGATGGGCTACCATCGCGACGCCAAGTGGTTTCCGTCAATCAGTCCTTTTCAAGCTGTGAGCCTGGACTTTTCTTTTTGATCCCACTCTGCCCGTTGTGCCTGGATATAATTGCTGACGAGCGCTGGACTTGCACCCAATATCAGGAGATGAGACGGCGGACATGGGCACTTGTCAGAATGACCGATGTCGTCTTCTCGCACCAAGTATCGCTGCCTAACATGATATACGAACACGACTGTGATACGGAATTGCCGCACAACATATTTGACGAGGAATTTGGGCCCGACAGCAAGGTGCTGCCGCCTTCTAGACCCAATGCTGAGCCGACTCCCATCAGCTACATGATCTCCAAAGTTAGGCTGTGTATGGAGCTCGGTAACATACTTCAAGCCACGGGCAGGGTCAAGAACCAGGTTCACTATGACGAGGTCCTCCGGTTTGACGCGCGGTTGCGAGAGACCAAGGCGGAACTGCCCCCTCACCTCAAGCTCCAGCCCCTCGAGGACTCCCATGACCCACTCACGCTCATCATTGCCCGCTTCAACATCGACATACTCTATCTCAAAATCATGTGCTTACTCCACCGAAATTACATGTCCCGGGCAAGACACAACCCCAGGTATGCGTACTCGCGGCGCAGCGCGATCGAAGCCTCGCTCGAGACGCTGCGGCACCTCGAGACACTTCACCGCGAATCGCAGCCCACTGGCCGGTTGCGGTCGATAAAATGGTTTGTGACTTCCGTGGCAACCAAGGACTTCCTACTTCCTGCCATGATCATCATTTTGGACCTGCACTTTGACAATGTGGCCGAGAGGTCGCAAGGGCGCCAAGACTCGCAGAGCCTCTACTTCTTGACGCCTGAGCAGCGTATGGAGATGATCAGAAGTCTTGAGCTCACAAGAGACATATGGAAGGGACTAGCGGACGGCTCCATGGAGGCTGTCAAGGCATCCAACATTCTCGAGATCATGTTGGAGAAGATAAAGAGCCCTGTGCCCGGCAGCGGGCAGTCGGGCCCGCCGGAAGTTACGGTTCGGGACGGCCTGTTTGGGACGGTGGAAGCGAATATGCAGCCCGAGCACTCGGCAGCCATGACTCTTGGCATGCTATCGGGAGGCGTGGGGCCAAATCCGGGTGAGCCGTTTGGCATGGTACAAAGCCCCGGTGGCGCGGCGTACACGGCGATCGACCCAGCCCTCGGCCCTACGGCAGCGAGCGCGGGCATCGGCTCGGGCGTGTCACAAGACTTCTCAAATGAGACACTGGGGATGGAAGGCGCGCCGTCTCCGTTCTCGATGTTCAACAACATGGCCAGCAACAACAACAGCAACATGGACTTCACGAGCAGCAACTTTGACTGGGTATGCAAGAATTGGCCACCCTTACTTGCTCTGGCGGGGCCGTCGCTAATGTGGAATGAATGTTTGCATAGGACTCGCTGGAAAACTACACGCAGACAGCGCATTGGGGCACAGATCAGTCGTTCCAGTTCTTCTCTGGCAACCCGGACCAATCGCAGGCCCAGGGACCGAACTTGTTCCCTTTCGGCAACCCGGAGCCTTGATGTCGAGCGACTTGCGGGCAATTTCCTCTTTGGAGCCGAAGAGAGACGTGCAACCGATTTCCGATTTGCGATTCACGGCGTTGGTGGCAATGGTTGGTTACCTCGGTTGGGGCCAAAGGGAGCTACGAAGGGAGGTAGGGAAAGGAGCACTGGGACTCGGTATGAGGGATCCGGGCGTGTTTGGCCGAACACAGGCGACTCGGCCGCATGTAGTTGTAGTGGGCACGACTCTGTACAATAAAAAGAAAAACAAAAACCCCTCTTCGATTACCATGGTGTCAGCGAATAGAGGACCGGCGGGCCAGTTGGCAGGCATAGAGCTGCCCCAACTATATGACTTCTCGGCGCCACTGCGGATACTTGGTAGTGATGGTTTCTCGAGGTTTGCTTTTAGTAGTATGGAGGACAGATGCGCCCGGGGGCGGGGGGGGAATCGGGCGGGCGAAATTACCCAACCCCGGCTGCTCTCCTTCCCCCGCGTTTGGTGGCGTTCGGAACTACCCTGTGTGGGTTGCAATAAGCACCCCTAGCGTTACCTTTCCGAGTGCCGAGACTGGGGATGGTCTTCAGTGGGCTTAGCTCGACGCCATGGACGATCGAAACCTCGCTACGGAGCCCGGACGTAGGACACATTCGGGCCTTCCCCTGAAGGCGACGACGACGAGACGAGACATGGAAGCCACAGACGATAATAATGATTCAGCAGCACGCACGACGGCCCGATTGAGAGGTGCTGCTTGCTCTTGGTCTCCTCCTCCTTCATGGACTCGGCGCTTTTTGACGGGCCTTGTCGGTCTTGTCCTCGTCCACCTCGACCTCGACCACGATGACGAGCTCCTCGTCCTCGTGGGTGCGGCATGCGCGTCTGTATAGTCACGTAATTATACCCTATATCTTCTATTCTTGTGCAATGGGCTAGCTAGGCAGCAGGCCTTTCTTCTTCATCTTCATCTTCATATTCTTCTCTTTTGGGTGCGAACCAGTCAACAAACAGCCAGTAGGATGCGCATCACCAGCCTACACCTCGGCGTCCTAGCGGCAGTCGTGTCGTGGGCACCTCAAGTCGGTGGCATGGCGGCTGCTGGCTGGCGAGGTCAGTCCATCTATCAGGTCGTGACCGACAGGTTTGCCCGGACCGATCTCTCCACCACAGCGGCCTGCAATGCCTCGCAACAGGTCTACTGCGGAGGCACGTGGCGGGGGCTGATCTCGAGGCTGGATTACATTCAGGGCATGGGCTTCACGGCTATCTGGATATCGCCAGTAGTAAAGCAGATGGACGGCAACACGGCCGACGGGTGGGTGTTCTGGTTCCGAGAACGTGGGCTGTGTTTTGCTGACCAAAAATACCCGAGGTAGCTCATCTTACCACGGCTACTGGGCCCAGGACATTATGGCCCTGAATTCAGCCTTTGGGACGCCGACTGACCTGGCAGCGCTTGCTGCGGCGTTGCATGTTAGGGGCATGGCCCTCATGGTTGACGTGGTCACTAACCATATGGCCTACAAGGGCTGTGGCTCCTGCGTCAACTACTCTATCTTCACTCCCTTTTCGTCGGTAAGACGCGTGCATTGCGTAGGCCATGCGCGCCTTCCCATCATCCTCTTATTGCTAGACAGTAGGAGGGAGCCTAGCAATTGATACCTAGGTAACTAACCCCGTGCTGTGCTGTGCCTAGGCTTCATACTTTCATCCATTCTGCTTCATCGACTACAGCAACCAGACCTCGGTCGAAGTGTACGTGCAGATCTATCTATACAGGCGTATATGTAGATTGTATACCCATGCCCCTTGTTCGAAGGGGGTGAACAGCCAGCCCAGCTGACACGAAACCACAATCCAGGTGCTGGCAAGGAACCAACACTGTCAGGTAGACGGACCACAGTCGAGATGCGTTGTGTGTCGAGGCCACATGGACTGACCATGATAAATGCGTGCCCTCCCCCCAACAGTCTGCCAGACCTCCGCACCGAAAGGTAAGCCACAAATGCTTCTCCTAACGGCCGGTCCGTCCCTTGCTGACTCCAAAATCAACAGCGACGATGTCCGCCTAGTATGGAACAACTGGATAGCTGGCTTAGTCTCAACTTACTCGATGTTCGTGCAACCCCATGATGGCCCTGCGGCGAAACTGTTGTTTGTTTTCGCGGGTTGTTGTCGTCGAGATAGCTCTGTGTGTGCCAGTGAGGGGCTGATAAACCTGCTTTCTCGGTACTTAGCGACGGCCTGCGAATCGACAGCGTGAAGCATGTCGAGCAGTCCTTCTGGTCTGGGTTCATGGCCGCCGCCGGTGTTTACGCAGTGGGTGAGGTGTTCAGCGGGGATCCTGCCTACACAGCTCCCTACCAAAAGTACATTGACGGCGTGTTGGACTACCCCAGGTATGTACAGTACTGTACGAACGAATCCTGCAGGGTAGATAGGTATTCGGCGACCAGGCGCGCCTCGCTAACGGTTTTGCCTCTCCCCACAGCTACTACTGGATCACTCGCGCTTTCCAGTCCCCAGCTGGTAGCATTAGCAGCCTCGTCGACGGCCTCAACACGCTCACACAAGCAGGTTAGGCGAGACTAGCCAATCTTGGGCTCATTGACTTGTGTCCCTCCCGCTGACAGGCCGAATCCGTCTAGCCCTGGACCCAAGCCTTTATGGATCGTTTATCGAGAACCACGATGTGCCGAGGTTTCCATCGCTCACGGGCGACGTTGTGAGCTTACCTCCCCCCCACCCGGCCCCTCTCGTCGTTGCTAACCAGCCGGGTCCTGCCAGGCACTGGTAAAGAATGTATGTGTTTTCCCTGTTGGGACAGCCGGGCCTATAGATAAACAAGCTGACTGGTGACGGCGGCTGCTGCCTCTCAAGGCGATTGCGTTTACCATGCTCAAAGACGGTATGTTATGCCCTTTCCACCTTTGTTGATGGCGCCCAACTGACCCATCTGACCGTGCCTCTGTAGGCATTCCCATCGTGTACCAGGGACAAGAACAGCATTATTCTGGCGGAGCCACCCCGGCCAACCGAGAGGCGCTTTGGCTCTCGGGATACTCAACCAGCTCCGAGCTCTACAGGTGGATCAGCCAACTGAACCAGATCCGGACGTGGGCAATCTCCCAAGACGCCGGCTATCTGACATATAAAGCACGCCCTATCTACTCGGACGGCCACACAATAGCCATGCGCAAGGGTCTCCCGGGCTACCAGGTCGTCGCCGTCTTTACCAATATCGGTTCCGCCTCGTCTTCTACTGTCGCACTGCCCTCGTCGGTGACGGGATTCAACGCAACCCAGTCGCTCATCGACGTCATGAGCTGCACTACAGTGGTCGCCGACTCGAGCGGCGGTCTAGCATTGGCTCTGACTGGCGGTCTTCCGAAGGTTTTGTACCCGTTGGCGCGCCTCTCTGGCAGCGGAGTATGCCCTTCCACGGTTCCCGGAACCACGTCGAGTTCAGAAACCCCCACGACGACATCCCCAACGACCTCGACGTTGAGATCATTAAGCAGTATGTTTTCCCCCTCGCCCCGCTACTGCCGTTGCTGCACTGTGGTTCATTCTCCGAGAACTATTTGCTAACTTTGTGTGCGGTAGCTGTATCTGCCGCTTGCACGTCCACGGCAGTAGCAATCACCTTTAATGAACTCGTGACCACAACCTTTGGGGATACTATCAAAATGTACGCATAACCCCGTCCTCCATCTTCTAGGTCCCGCCCGCCCCTTGGGCGGTACTCCCGGTCTTGTCCACATTGTTGACGGCGAAGAAACCAGCACCGGCAACGTCGCTTCTCTAGGAAACTGGAACCCTAGCAACGGCGTCGCTCTGAACGCATCAAAGTATACCACCAGCAACCCTTTGTGGTTCGGCACGGTTTCCATTGCTCCTGGGAGTGTCGTTGCTTACAAGTTCGTTAAGGTAAGCAGCTCTGGGGCGGTGGCGTGGGAGGCCGACCCGAACCATACCGCTACCATCCCATGCACGGCTGCCACTCTCTCGAGCTCCTGGCAGGCATAAAATTCACTATCATTAGAACTCTGCTGCTGCTGCTAAGAAAAGTTGATATTTTTCTCCCGCCTGGGTCTCGTTGCCCGCCTTCTAGATTGTATCCCTCCAATCTCTATGCGCCCACTCCTGGTACCCCCATGTCCCCCTTTCGATGCCCCAAGGAGGAGAATCACTTCCCCCTATCAATGTTGATACAATATATATATATATATATATACATGCATCTGAAATGAAGTACCGGGTCAACTTTACAAGACCTGCCATGCATAAAGTAAAGCTTTGCTCATTTTCCCCCCAAAAGAGGAGAAAGTTAAGAGGAAGAGAAACAAAGTGAAACGTACCAAACGCCCAGGAAAAAGAAAGAAAGAAAGTGAAAATAATAATAAAAAGAAAAATCGTTGCCTTTTAGGCAAGGTTGAATGCCGCCTTGGCCCGATTCCAGTAGGCCAGTCGCGCAGCATCGCTAGAGTCGACGCCTACACACCCCATGTAGGCGGACCAACCGGCATCCCCAGAAGCTTGCAGAGCGGTGCGTACGCCAGGATCGCATTTCTTGGCCAGGAACCAGGGGGCCGAGCCAAAGTTGTACTCGTCTGGCGTAACGAGGGCGAGGACATCGGCGGGGCTCTTGCTGGCCACGGCGCTCGCGCCGAGCACGTCGACAGCGTACTCGGCGACAAAGGTAGGGCTCATCATGTTGGACGTGCCCTGGCCGGCCACGCCGGGGAACACGTTGTGCTTGTACTTCATGTCGCCGCTCTCGTAGCCGATCAGGGCAAGCATGGCGGCCATTTCGCTAAACTGGAAGTCCGCGAAGGCCTTGATAAAGAAAGGCGCCGCCTGCATGGCGGTTCTGCACTCTTCCAGGCCTCTGCCGCATGAATTTGATGTCGGCATTATCGCCTCAATGGCTGCTACGGCGCCGACCGAAGTTGCTCTCCCTGCGAGAGGGACCAGCGAAGCTGCTGCGCTGAACCCGGCAAGGAAGACGGCGAGAAAATATTGCGTGAGCATGATGAATTAGGTTGTCGACCTTTTGGTAAGCCGTGTTTCTCTTTTCCTTTTTTCCCTTTTTGTTCTTTTGGAAAAGGGATCCGTGATGTTCCTTGGACGACGTTGAAGAGGTGGACCCAAGAGGGAAGGCAAGGGAGCTTGAAATATACTAACATCACGCCTCATACTGCCCTCTGATGGTCGAGGGAGGCCCTTTGTCCTAGAGGTTAAATGCTGTGAATAATAGGGGCTGACAATAAACCAGTCGCCTTTGAGTAGACCCTTGTTTCAAGCTCAGCAAGTGGCTGTGTCCAATGGGCCTTGAAGATCGATGAAACAGGAGTGACTGCGGAGGATCGTGGTGTCCAATGGCTGTGGGCGAACAAAAGAAGGGTCTGACAATGCGGGGTCCAATCGGCCCCAAGGCACACGCACACGCACAACAGTTGCCACATGGGAAAAAGACAATAAGGCCGTTTTTGTCTTGAATAAAACACACGACACGATGGAAATGGATCAAGAGGGAATAGAGAGGTCAGCAAACTTGGTCGAGATGCTAAATTACACAGTGGAAATTGGTTTTGACTTCTGTAAGTCGTAAATACCTACCTGTGTCTAGGAATGTTGTACAGGATAAAATGCAGTATCCGTACAAAAGGTACCAAGGCAAGGAAGGTGCCTACCTTGGCACCTCTGGCGCTGTATTCGTGGTACCTAACCGCCGCCTCGTACGTCAACAGCATCCCATTAATGCATGCGACAGCCAATCACCATCCTGTACAGGGAGCTGACCAAACAAACCTCCTAAATCCAAAGATATACACAGGGATATGGTCTATAACAAATCACCAAGGTCGGGCAGGCCCCGCCTCGGGCCGACACTAGGTGTAACGAGACAAGAGAGAGCAGGCTGGCCTTCCTAATATTGCTGCATCCAACAGCCCTATTTCCCTCGAGATAAAAATGCCCAACAGGATCCCTCGACAGTGGCTATACAAGCCATAATAGGCAGCAACTACTCATGCTCGCAGAAAGGGACGAGAGAGAGGCCGTGTGCAGTGCAGCAAGCAATGCCAACTCAAGCTGCCGGAAACCGGGGATCATACTCATAATATGAGGGGTCCTCCCGACGGTCAACCATGGGCCCGAGATGTTCCCTGGCCAAGTCGGTTCTTGAATCTGGAACGTAGACAGGCTCATAAGCGGTATACGGACCAGTATCTCGATGCACTCTCCGTTCTTCATAAGCGTAAATGGGATCTGGCTCACGCCGCACAGGTCTTCGGACATAGTACTCCCCTCCCTCGTCAATGACGTGCACAATCTCCCATGTCTCAACAGGCGCCTGTCGAGATGGGGCACGCGTGTTCTCCGCGTAGCGGTAGTATTCTGGTCGTCGTGCTATGTCGTCACTAACATTGTCCAGCCGGTGAGGCTGGTCAGATAGCCTACCCTCTACACGGCGAGGTAGTTGCTCATATAGCTCTGGCTGTAAGGGATATCCATCACGGTTTGCGACGCGCCTTTCTGTCAGCCCTGGCTGGAACAAGGATACGGGCTGAGGTTGAGGTTGAGGCCGAGGCCAAGACTGGATCTGATGTGCGGCATGGGGCCTATCTGCCCACTCTTCTTGTGCTGCATGGGAACGTCGACTTCCATTGACCGGAAACCTTGAGCAGTCCAAATTGTCCTCGTACTGAGTTGCAGTTCGAGAAATGTATCGCGTATTCAAAGGCATGACCAACGCTCTGTCATCAAGACGAATCACAGTATTTGGGGCCCGTCGCCTCGCCGCAATGGCTGGAGAGTGTTGCTGGTCAAGATGCATTTCAAGTGCCGATGTGAGGTTCGATTCTTCCAGAGGCCAAGGTTGAACTGGAGGTCTCCGAGATGCGACTCTTTCGGAATGCTGTAATGGGCGAGTGTCTGACTGTAGCGTCGATTGCGGAGCGCTTGCCTTTTCTTCTTTGTTGTTTTGGACCGGATTGGCCGACGAGTATGCGCGTGCAGTTTCGACCCTTTCTGCAGCCCAAATTGCTCTTATCTTCTGTTCTTCACGGCGAGCGTCCTCTTCGCTCTCCTTGGCCAACTGCTTGATCGCGCGCTCATCAGCGGAGCTAGCTTTAGGCATCTTCCTGCGCTTCGATTTGTTTGCTACTTTCTTGTGATTCTGGGAATTTCTTTGCTCCTGAGTTGTTCGAAAGCCCAGTGATGACTGGTGACCACCTTCGGCGCGACCTGTTTGACCATGTTCAGTCACGCTCACGGATCTTGGCGCAGATGATGATCCCTCAACTGCGTCGTGGATCACACTGTGCGATGCAGGTAGGGTGTGAGGCTGGGTTGTATAAAGGTGATCTCCGAATGGGTGGGCTTCCACTGTACGTGCATCGAATGGGTAACTGTTGGGAGTACTATCTTTAGTTATGTGTTCATTGGTACTTCGTTCCCGCAATAGCTTTACATCGCGGGCGCTGCGGTCATCACCAGAGTGAGATAGCATGGCTCCAGAGTAACCCGGTTGATGCTGATATTGGGGATGACGCAGCTCAGTCGCAGCGATGGGGCGCGGTTCAAAGGCATCTGGAAGTGCATCCAAAAGTATTTCCCGCTGCGCTGTGTTGATGCTGGACTGGATTTGGGTCATGACTACTGGATTTGGTAGTAGGACCATATCCAGGACCCAGTCGACGACAGAGGCCGTTTCTTGCACTTGATTATGCTGCAATGGCTGGGCGTGTTCTGACTGAAAGTGGTTGACAAGCTGAGGGAGTGAAAAGGTCCTCCCGTCCTTTTCCACAGATGCGGTATCGCCTAGCCCTTGGTGACAAGTCTTGCAAGCAAGGCCATTGATGTTACGGACAGGACGCATATCTTTGTTGTTGGATAAACCGTCTATAAAAAGATATAGCGGGGGCTTTTCGCCAAACGTCGACCAGTACCTCTTGGCGAGATGGTGGATAGTGACAAAAACCCTCACGGCACCGGGGAGGTCCTTGATGTTGGCCAATGTTTGCCAAATTTCCCGAGAATTTCGGGCGATATCGTCCAGCTTCGTTTGGTATAGATGTTGCGGGAAGGCCGGTGGTGGGGGTGCTGTGTAGGCAACCTGTGCATTTGCCTGGTATGAACCATGGTAGCCCGCATCAGGCGGAGGCCCATAGCCATGCATTGGATCAATACCAGGGTGGTTGTATGGGCCAGGGGCCGCTGGGTACGGCTGGTACTGGGTCGGGTGAGCGGCATAAGGTTGCTGTCCATAGCTTGTCTGTGGCGGATAGGGATGGACGGCGCCCTGGAACTGATACGACGGAGGGGGCAGTGCCTGGTGATGGTAGTGATCGACAGAGGGCGCTGCACCATACGCAAACCCGGAAGGCAGCGGGTAAGAAGGGTGCATTGGAGTGCCAGACGTGGGTAGATAGTTATAGCCGTCCTGGAGAGATGCAAGATTGTTGGTGAAGGGGCCAAACCCCGGTGTGAAATGGGGTCGGTTCGCTGCTCGAGCCTCACGAGCAAAAGGGGGTGTTTTTGGCCACTCAGCTCTCCAGTGGACTACGACACTACCCACGCTGAGGGCTGTTGTATGCTTTGCCGCGTAGTGTTGAACCACACCCTCAAAGCCAAAAACTTTGGAGTTCCCCTCACAGCCATTGCAGTAGAAAATCTCCTTGCGGTATAACTCGGTGAAGGGCTTGATTTTGGTGTCGAAGATCCACTTCATATTCTCCAAAGTGAGCTTCTGTGTAAACGGACCGTCGGGTGGATCAACAGTCGGGTCTTGACCAGAAGCCTTAGCAGCAGCGGCATCTTTCGCCACGCCGGCATAGAACTTTTCCCGAATGTAGACGAGTACATCGACAGCGAATTTTGAGCAGTTCTGTTTTGACACCCTTTTGCCCTTATCCCACTTGTCCCGGATGATCTCGTCTGCCAAATGAGAGATGCGAGCGCGCAATGGTGCTTGTACCATCTCCCAGTCTTTGTCGATAAGGTCTCTTGCTTCTTTCGTAGTAGCTAGCGTTGCTTCAAGATGGCGATGCACCGCCTGATCCTGGCTAACTTTGGTGTGGGCAGATTGCTCATTTTCTTGCTCTTCCACATCGACCCGCTGAGCTAGCAGTCGCGGCTTGAGAAGATCCCAGGCATTATCGTCTAGGGGCGTGATAATGTGCGTAGCGGCCTGAAAAGAAGGGATGTGATGAAGGACATCTGCTGCCAATGGTGGATCGAGAAGTGCGGCACGTCGCTCAATCTCTGCTTTCCTAGATGCTTTCAGTCCCGCTACTTCCTCCACGGTTCGTTCATGGCGGGGCTGGGACAAAAGCTGAGACGAGCCAGGTGGTGGAAGACCTGGCAACGACGAAGATGGAGGAGGAATGGCCCCAGTTGAATGGGTTGGGGCGGGAAGCACTGAAGTTTCTTCCATGTATCCCGGGTAGAGCTGTGTGCACATTCTGGTGACACCACCGGAGCCATCCCACTTCTCCCATTTCGATGCCTCGTGGCGCAGTTCCTTGCCTCGGCCACTAAGACCCTTCAACCACTCATCTACAGTTCCAGGCCCCATGTCCTTCACAACTTGAAACTCGAGCTCTAGGTCCTTTACGTCTGGAGCTGAGAAGAGTTCAGTGACCTCAAAATCGGCGGGACGTTGGCCTTGCTCGAGTGTCGAAGCAAAGAAGACGTCAAGATCCGACGTCAAGAACACGGATGGGAGGGCAGACACAATGGCGGAGGGGATAGACGGTGAAAGAAGAACGTCAAGTTCCTGCGAGCTGTTAGATGTTGACTGTCCCGCACTGATTAGTGAGGAAAAAGAAAGAATAAGTACCTTGATAGATCTTTGTACGAGGCACGAGGCACACATGCGCTTGCCGTAGGGCCAGACGACAACCACACCCTCAGCTCCCGGACCGGGGCGCCACGGATCAGGTGGAGCAGCGTGATCTCGGGAATCGAGTTTGCCGCAGGTCTCGCACCTACGTGAGCATGCAAGTCGCCACATATCAAGCTCGGTTTTTTTCCGGAGCGGTGCGGGCATGTGTGGCCAAAAGAATCGCCTTGAAGCCTGCCAAATGGCATTGGGCTTCAAGGGACCGAGAGAACCACGGTTCACAGAAACAGGAACTTCTCTGTGAACTGATGAGAAGGGGACAAGATAGAGGTTAAACAATTTGTTGACGCGCAACAAATTGCCCAGAAGCTTGGCGGGGCAGAAAGTAAAGATATAATGCCAGATCTCGGCAGGCAGGAAAGATTTATCCCTGGCGAGTGAGTTATCGGTTAGGGTGGAAAAATGGCCAAGATGTGTTGTATAATCCTCGGCCAACTTCATTTTCTTAGGTCCTGCTCTTTCAGAATCGACGCCTTGGCTAGTGGACTTGCGCTTCTTGTCAAGGACAAGTCGATCGCCCGCGTTTGTGTCATCTGGAAACGCCAGCACATCTAGCGGACCTAGTTCTGGTGTGCCAGCAATAGCAGTCACCTTCAGGGTGCAGTTTTTGTCCGTTCTCATCGACGCATTTCTAGAGTCGGCGTCGGGTTTTCCATCGTCGTCTGCAGGTGTGAGATGTACTGAGTCGTCTCTGCCTCGGTCCTCTGGTAGCGACATAGTAGGAGGGCCGGATTGTGTGCCAACAGACTCCTCGTGGAACTCCATCGCCAAGAGATGAAGTTCCAACAGGACTTTCCTTGGAGGATTAAAAGCTGGCTGAGACCGAAAAAGAAAGGAAGTAGCGGAAGTGCTCAACACCGCGGCGGTTCAATTGATTAAGAAGCGCGGAAGGAAAACGTGTTGAAGAAACACTTGTCTAGCGACGTGGGGGGTGGACAACGAGGCCGGATCAAGTCACGTTGTCTGCGCACAAGAGAGCTTCTTTCCTTGAAAGGACGGACATCAAAGTCCAAGGAGAATCGCCAATCCAAGCAGAGTTCTACAAGCTGACCGCGCAAAACCCATAGTCTTTGGTGCTCTGAGTGAAGCGGTTCAGTGGAACAAACCTCGCAAATGTGTATGTTCACTGGTGAGGTTGTGGGCTCCTATAGGCGGTCTGTCGCGCGGTCTGCGGTCGAGGTAAAGCCTGGGAGGGAGTTGGGGCCCGAAGAAGATATGAAGGGTAATTTGACGTAGGTGACTATTGAATGCGTGAATTGATTGGGGTCTTTCGGTGGCTGGACTTTTGAATTGAGGGTGTAGGAATGGGTGAAATGGAACAACTAGATGAAAAGGTAAGAGATGGAAGTCGCGAAGTGTCGTAAGGGTCTCCTGAGTGTTGGGAAGGCGCACGCGCCAGCGGACTAGCCGTGTGGAGGTAAAGTAGGTAAGGTATGTATTGCACACATGTACATGTACATCCATACATGCAGTACCTGAACTAAGCTTAAGGAATCCGTACTACTGATCAGGCACCATATTTTGGGATTTACACTATTCCACTACCCTGCAAGATCGCTCCACCAACTTCTATATGCATTCCATTTTTAGCTAGCCTAGTAAGATCAGGATGTAATCGTCAAACCTTCCAGCTGCAAATGTGCAGTGCGGGTGAAAACCAAAGTCAACTTGAATCAGCAAATATAGTACGAGTACTAAGTACTTACCATATATGGATACTCCGCATATAGATACGGTACACGGTATTAAATGTATACCAGAGCGGACGACGGACGAACACCCGCCAGAGAATCATAGTATAGTTTTGATGCTTCGTGGTGCTACAAAGAGGTTTACATATTAGAACTAAACAGTGATAGAGGGGCAATCTGGCCATGCCAATATGTACAAATTCGCTGAGGAACAACAGTCAGCTCTGGTCTCGATTCGGCCGACCAAGGCGATTCCAAGCGGTGTGCCGCTCTGTTAATAACCATTTTGCCCATACCACCGACTGTTTCCTCGCGTATAGTAGTGGTTCTTTTACAAGTATGAAAACAGGACCCGTCTATGAGAACCCACGCGAAGTCAGACACTCTTAACACGCCAGACAAACACCACCTTCCCCCCAGCCTCGCTTCAGTTTATATCTATACATTGCTCCGGCTTGCTAGACTAGCATGTCGGACAAATAGGCAAAAAGAGGGTTAAACTACCTAGATGACCTCACCGATGATCTTGGCTGCCTCCCGATATGTCTGGAGCAGCTTCTCGCACTTCTCACGCTCCTTCTTAACTGCATCATCTTCGTAGAGAAGCTCCTCGAAGAGCGTTTCTTTGTACAACTCACTCACAAGTCGGTTCTGCACCACATCCTTGCAGTAATTGACAAGCAGGTGCATAATAGCCTTCGGCACCTGATCCGCAATGCTCTCGCGGACGATGTTGAAGTATGAGCTGATAAGCGCCCTAATCAGCTCCGTCTCCATAGCCTCGCGATCTGTCATTGCCGGCTCGCCGTTATTGCCCTACAAAAAGCGAACACATTAGCGTCTATCCGAGAAATATTTGAAAGAAAGGGTAGATGGGGTAGTACTTACAAAGTCGGCACCTTTGGGAGCCTTCATAAAGTCGTAATCATCATCCGCTCGCATATTCTGGATAGGCGATCGTAATGCCTTCTCCTCTGGTCGTCTGATGCTTTGACTGAAGGTCGGTTCCGAAGACTGGCTTACGTGGCGACCAATGTTCGCATTATGCGCAGGCCCCGTTCCAGGCACAAGCGCGCCATCTTTCCCAAAGAAATAGTTGAGGAACGAGTCTTTTGCGCCTCCCAAGGCCGGCCCGCCGAGCCGGGAAGGCGAAGATGACCGAACACCGTTCAGAGCTGTAGAAATGCCACCTGAGCCGCCTTCGCGAATAGCTGGCGACAGGCTGCGTGCCCCCTTTCCAATAGTTTTCCGTGTAGTAACGGCATCGTTCTTGTCGGCACCAGTGTTTTCTTCCTCTTCCTCAATCGGAGTGTCAGCACCATTCGTGGCAAGCTCCTTCATTCGTCTCCGCTCGCGCCGCTCACGCTCCTCTTGCAGGATACGCTTCCTTTCCCTGTCCTGCTTATTGCTGACAACATGGCTCATGGCAGCCGCAGCTCCAAGAAAGTTTGGGTGATTAGTGTTGATGTATGCCCTTTGGATAGAGATGAGCGACTCGACATAAGTCGAGGCGGGGCCGAGCCTTTCCCGGAGAAGGTCCGAAACAACCTCGATGAGTTTGGCCTGGAGTCTTGGAAACCGTGAATGTTCCGTCGAGTGACAGGTGTGGCAAATCTTGATAAGTTCTTCGTAGACTAATTCCACACAGCGCTGACTGGGAATTTCGAGAAGTTTTATCTGGGGCTTTACAAGCAGATCAAATGCCATTTCAGGCACGAACAAGCTGGGCCGCGGGCCGGTGGAGTTGCGGATTGCAGTCCGTATATCAAGTGCAGAGAGGTTTGACGTGGGGTCAATTGATTCTAGCGAGCTGCCGAAGACCGAGTTGAAGATGTAGTAGATGCGGGCACCACCGCAAAGCTCCTTTGTCGAGATTTCTGTCGAGGTACCGTCGATGGACGAAATGAAAGACGTCGCGAAGCGAGTCATGAGCTGCAGAATGAGTGATCCTCGGTGCTCCTTGCCGCTGAAGTGCATGTCCCCGTAGCTTGCAAGCTCTTGCTGGGTTTGTCCCATTAGAGTGTTGAGTCGAGCCTTGATGTCTGGAAGGCGATCGCGAATGTGCGCCATGAGAGTAGTGTTGAGAGTCTTGGCCAAGAAACGAGTGCCACACCGGGTCGCAATGTTCCTATACGCAGGGTGGTGCCTAAAGAACTCGGACTCGGACTTCAGTGCTTCGTCCATGGGCTTGTTGCCTTGGATATCCTGTTGCGACCGGTTCACAACTCCTATCCATCCAAGCTTCAGGGGGTAAACACGGCCAGACAAGATGTCGAGAGCGTTTGTGCCGTGGTCCATCAGATCGACCTTTGTAAGGACTCCAATGGTCCTTCGCCCGAGAGGATCAACATGCCGGGCGAGTTTTAGAGCCTCCGAGTTGACGATGTCGACGTTCGCCGGCGACACAGCTAGAACAATGCTGTTTGGCTTTGCGATGTACTCGGATATCAAATTCCGCGTCTGCTTCTCAATGTCCGTCGGCTGATCTCCAATGGGCACCTAAACACTCGGGTTAGGAAAGGGAAACAAGCACGAGGCAGGTACCAACAGCGCCACACCTTTGTGAGCCCCGGCAAGTCCACAAGGGTAAGGTTGAGGACGTTCGGGGAGAAAATTTTCAGATTTATCGGTTGTCGATTGATGCCCTTATTGCTGCCCGCGATCCTCGCGGTTTCGTTCTCGATTTCTCTCTTGACGTCGCCAAAGTCATTGAATCGCCGGTTTGGGATGTGGTGGAATTCAGCCCACTCACTGCGGGGAGCTTGATTGGGATTCTTGTAACTGGTCTGCAGGCTCTCTTCGGGCTCGTCTTCGGGGACGTTGATGAGTTGCAGGATGAGCGGCCTTCTTGTCACGATGCCGCTGCCGCGAGGCAGAAAATCTCGACCGACAATGTTTTCAAGCACGGACGACTTGCCGGCAGATTGAGAGCCGACGACGACCTGTACGACACAAGCGGCGAATTAGCTAGTCTGCGACACAGAATGCAATATGGGGTGGCTCTTTTCTTCGGGTGCATGGGCATACAATCTGAGGCAGATCCAACGAGTCATTTCCGATAGTGTTGAAGACCAAATCTTGCAACTTGTTGACGGTTGCGAGCAGGTCCTCGCCGAGTGCAGCCATGGCAACGCTTCAGCAAGCCGTGGACCTTTGTCGCGTCAACGGCAGCAGCGCGCGTCCTCTCCGAAGAATGGAAGCTGAAGGCAGGCGTCAGGCCGAGACTCGGTTATGTCGGCGAGATCGAGCTCGATTTCGAGATCGACCAGTGGGGACGGAGCAGCCGAGGAAGGAGGGGCGCGTGCCAGGAACTTGGAAGCAGGTGGGCGCCTGGCCAGGAAGTAAAATCGCACGGCCTCAAAAGACGTCGGGCGCCTGTCTATCTAAACGACCCGGGGATGTATGCTTTTGGAAGACGAGACGAGGCCCTCAGGTGGTTGCAACCGGAAACTAGAATCTAGGTCGGGGCGACTTGGACCGGGCCGTGAGGATTTGCCGTGGCAAGCAGGTAGGTGTGGACTCAGTTCCCTGCACAGGGCTGTGAGGCGACATAATTTCACGAGTCTTATGCATGGGGGGTCGCGTCAAAAAGATTGGTGCCTTAGGCGAGACGTGTAGGTACCTGGTACAAACCTAAGATACCGCCTCTGGTACGCATGATGGAACCTGAATACCTCAGGTGCCCCACCCCAGTATTGCTCTTTACACGTCGCAAAACATCCCAATTGACCGGCTCTATTTTTCACCTTTAATTGTTGATTACAGGAGACGCAGGAGGGCCAAGCACAGTCGAAGCGGCTACATTTATATCTCAGTGAGACGATATTCGGTTTTGCCGCTTCCGAACATGAGTACCTTTGGAAGCCCAGGTACTCTTCCGACCACGAAGCCATCCCCGTAAGTTCCCGTCTTCGGCCAAGCCTGTGCCCAATGAGCTAATCGGGTGCGCTCGCTGCTGAAGCCCTCAAAGGGGAAGCTTCCCTCTTGACCACGATGGTGGGAACTTCTCTCCTCTCCGGCCCACGGCATATTTCTCACTACTAGACCAGGCGAGTGCAAAGATGTTATGATGACCTACTTGACCTGCATCAAGAGGGTAAAAGGGGTCAATGAGAATGAGTGCCGGACGCTCGCGAAATCATATCTGTCTTGCAGGATGGAACGGTGAGTTAAATGCATAATTACATCCACGTCTTGGCATTTTCTTTTCTTGGGGGGCGGGGTTTGATAATTGGCTGACTGTTTGGTGCATAGCAACCTGATGGCAAAGGACGACTTTAAAAACTTGGGGTTTAAGGAGGAAGGGAAAGGGAGCGGTGACGAAGGAGGGGTTAAAGGCGAGCTTCGGTGGTGAAGAGTTTACAATACACCCAGCCGTTCGAGATGCGGCGGTGAGTGAACTTCTACCAGTTGACCCCGTGCAGGTATCCGTAAACCGAGGCGCTCACATAGATACTCCATGTCTTCGGGAGGTAAGGTATCTACCTATCTACATTGCCTCTCTACCAACACGGATACTGCCCAGTAAACTACCTACCACCTAGGTAGACTGTTGCATCTCCGGACATGTTCGAGCAAGTATGGCGTCCGCACGTAAGCTACCTATACTTCCTGGCAAGGGCGCCTTGGTCCATGGCAAGATCGCACATAATTACACAACATCATTTTTCAAGCGCACACAATCTAACAGCGCATAAAATGCATCGACATCTGCGTCCAAGTTTGGGTCCGCGTCGGGCGTCAGGATGGCATGTGACCCGTGACATCTTGACGGCCTACACAAAGACGCTCCCCAATCTTCGGATTGGCAACAACACCCGAGTCATGTTTCAGGGGTTCACCGGCAAACAGGTCGGCCCACTGCTGGAATCTCGTGGCAAATTATATACGACTCTTGCTGACATGGACCAAAGGCAACAGCAGATGCTAAAGATTCCATGGCATGAGGCACCAAGATCGTCGGAGGCGTAACGCCTGGCCGGGAGGGATTTCATCTCGGACTTCCTGTGTTGCCTGCCCTTCGACAGGTGGGCATGCTACAGTTGCGAGGCTCGCCCGTTCTTTGACAAGGGTCTGACCGTAAGGCAGGCAATGGAGCAGCTCAAGCCAGACGCGACAGCCATATATGTTGCTGCCCGTCATGCCGCAGCGGCCATCGAGGAAGCCATTGAGGGCGAGGTACCCCTTATCGTAGCGGTTGCTGAACATATCCCTTTGAATGACATGCTCCGAGTAGGTCGGACTCTGGTTGTATCGTGCATGCTCTGATGTCCCAAAAATAGATTCAATCGATCTTGAAAATACAGTCTAGGCCCAGGCTCGTTGACCCCAACTCACCAAGCATCATATCTGCGACTGGGCGATGTCGAATAGGTAGGGCTGTTAGACTAGGACTGAGCGGCTGCCCTCTGCTATGGCCGCGGCCGTGGGCTAATATATAATCATGGCAGGCTTCCAACCGCTGTCATGCTTCTCGCCCGGTAGGATCGGAATCGTAGCCAAGTCAGGGACCTTGAGTTATGAGAGTAACACTTCTCACTTCTTGGGTTTTGTCTCCACCCCCCTAGTTCACCCATCGTTAGGCTGACAGTGCCCAGCGGTGGCATCAACCACAAGAGCAGGTCTTGGCCAGAGCCTGTGCATAGGAGTTGGGGGTGACATTCTTCCCGGTATAGATCTTCGGGAGTCCTTGGCTGTCTTCGAGCAAGACGGCGACACGGATGCTATTGCATTGGTTGGCGAGATTGGCGGAACCGGAGAAATCGATGCCGAATCCTGGATTCGGGAGTACATATCTCGGACACGGTCCCCAAAGTAGGCAGGCCTGTTGCTTCGGTCCGTGTTGTTTTCAGACGAGGCTGACGAAAAGCTCGTTGCAGGCCGATCATCGCACTTGTTGCCGGCCTCACAGAAGCATCGAACCAGGTCTTAGTATGCTGTCTCCGAGGGCTTGCAACTTCATCAACTTCTGTCTGCCATTCCAAACCTAACAAGACGCGAACAGGGCCACGCCGGCGCCTTTACCGTACTTGGGGAACTAGACGCGAAAGATAGCAGCGCTGGAGGATGCCGGAGCAACCATAGTCAGCCACCCGGAAAAATTTGGCGAGGCCTTCAAGGCACGACTGGATGCGCTTGCGACTAGAGGCCAGGTTAGACATAGGAAGGGGCCAGCCGGCGCCGTGACAAAGGGTGAACATCGTCGATAGTTCCACCTGGACTCTAGAATTCGCGAACGAACACGAGCCGAATTGCACAGAATGGGCAGGCGGGAACGGCGCCACATGTTCCTCGCCGAGGGTGAGTGCATGGACCTCCTCCGGGCTTCGGGGGAGACTAGCTGCGGTGCCGGTGGCTACTCGGGCCATGGAGAGAGGTGTCTGCTAGCCATTGGAATCGATCGTTCGGCCAGGTCACCCTGTGTCATCGCGGCGCCAACAACGAATCAGGAGTGCCTGGTGCGGACCGTCAAGCGCTATTCTTTTGATTTTGGACGCGGACGCGGACCCAGCGAGCTCGACATTCGACATATCGCCGAACACATGCAGCTGAGGGGTACGGGAATGGCCGCCGACTCATTGCGACACACTGTCGACAGCCTGACAGCCATCTTCTACGAAAATGAGGCCTTCCTACTGACAACACACATTGTCGAGAGTATTGGGGGGGGGTCATCAAGGTGGTCGGAGCCCGCTTCGGGTTTCACGACGCGGCTTTTCCCAGCGGCGGACGGCAGGGCGCCCTGCACACGGCGCTAGCGGCAACTAGTTCAGAACATGGCCCGTACCCGGAGGTGCAGAGGAGCGGCATTGTGTACATCAGGCTCGCAGGCGACGGGGCCGTCGGCACAGTTGTGAACGGTGCCGGACTGGCAATGAACACGGTGGATGCGCTGCAGGGCAATGCGGCCAGCTTCCTAGACACGGGCGGCAAGGCGACCAGCGACACAGTCAAGGCGAGTTTTGAGATGGTGTTGCGAGACCCCCGGGTCCGTGTTGTCTTTGTGAACACCTTTGGGGGTTTGAAGCTGGGCGATATGATCGTGAGAGGTATCATTCTGGCTTTCCAGACACTGTCCCTCAAAGTCCCCGTCGTCGTGCGCATCCGGGGAACGAAGGAGAAAGAGGGCCAGCAGCTCATCGCCGAGAGCAGGCTCCCTCTTTATGCCTTTAACGACTTTGACGAGGCGGCCGCCAAAGCAGTGGAACTGTCGATGCGCAAGCCTGGGAGCTAAGGTAAGAAGGTATTCATTCTACGTATTTCCAACAGTTCCATGATGGTGGGGACAGGAGCGTGCAGTATCCACTAGGTACCTTATGTTCAATGGATACCACCTAACAACGAGTAGAACATACAGAAGGTCCTGGGCTGTCCCACCTATACCTACGCGGAAGGCTAAGGTAGCGCGGCTGTCCAGTGCGGGGCTGTCTAATTTCGTGGACCTTTCCGACAGGACCGGGGGAGGAGGCGGGATGGGGGGAAGGGCGGTCGCTAGGGGAACCCCGTGTTGTCTCTTGCTCAGCGGCCCAATCGCATGATGGGGAATGTTTCTGCAAAAGGTCGCAGTCCATAGTCGCTTGACTTGTCCAGGGTCTCGGGGGGTTGACTCACACAAGTTTGTTGCTTCTCGGCCTGTCTGTTTTTTTCTTGTTGCTTACTGGCATTAATCTTCTGCCCAGCAACGTCGATTGTTGGGCGGCCTTTGATTGTGAAACTGCCCTGCCTAGGATAAACAGGGCCTCCCTACAACCTACAACATACCTTCCATGCCTTCTGCCTCGTCCTAGCATGAAGCATAAATTGGCGATCCCTATCCATACCCCGTTCCTGTCTCTTCATACTATTAATAATAGGCTGTACCTACTGTACATCCACACTGTCGGCCTGTTCACTGCCCCCTTACCTACCTACAACTTTGCCGCCCACTGTCTGCAGTACGCGCACCTATTCTAGCAACAGCAGCAGCAACTAGGCGACAAGCATTTTTATCCAAAGCTGCTCGTCGTCCTCGACTCTTCGTCTTCTACAGCCCTAGGCAGCTTGCTAGGTGTTTGTTTACTCGGCGTCATGTTTGCGCGGAACAAGTCCAAGGAGCGAGGCTCCACGCGCAAGGTCACACCGCCGTCGCCTGCCTATATGTCGAGTGGACAGTTTGGTAGGTCATGTCTCTCGTTGCTATTACTTTGGTTGTGGTGATAGTGGCTGCAGGCAACTGCGGCTGCCATTGTCCTCGTTCTTGCCACTTCTGCAACATGTGCATATGGCTGGCCCTCTTGCTTACAGGTGTCCAGCTGCATACCTTACCGATTTGCGCAATAACCGCGTCAACAGACCTGGTGGTTCGCGTCCCCAGCCCGCTTCCGGGCGCGATTCTACGGTCAGCGGCGGCCGCCCATCTCTTGGGGGCCCTCCGCTCTCCGATTCGTCCTCAGTCCACCATCAGAGGACATTATCGGACATGGCCCGTGTGGTCCCTTCTACCAGCCGTCCATCCATGTCGGCCAGCGTCTCGTCTAGGTACTCGGCATCAACCTCGGCCTCGACCCGGGGCAGGGACTACTACCCCGACCGCCCTGTCAATGTCCAACCCCTGAAACCATCTCAGATCGTGCCGAGCGCAACCTATATCGAGCGCGGCCAGCGGTGGATGGAGAAAGAGGAAGCCGTCTCTCTGCGCCAGGCCATGGAGGATATGGACCTTCAGGACCAGTCGTCCAAGAACGAGCACGGCCCTCCAGTCGAGGGCGGTGACGAGGTCCGCCTCTACGAAGCCGCCCTCAACGAGGCAGCCGAGTTAGTCTGGCAGCATCAGAACCCCGGAAGAGTGCCGCAACCAGGTGCGGCTTACCAATATAAGCCACATTTACGCAAAAATAGCTACGCCCATGCCCGCACAGCCAGCGCCGGCATGTATGGGGGCGATGTCGCGCCTACTGGGCTTGCCCGAGAGCCTACCTCACGCTCGGTATCGGGCAGCTCGGCCAATAGCGACGGGGTGGGATCCACGCGCAGTCGCTCGTCATTTGGGTTATCTCGACAGGCGTCGGGGACCAGCGAAACCGCGCGTCGGAGCACCGAAGGCGCGCGAAACGTGTCACCAGAGCCCCGGAGCGCCAAGCCATACGCCGGCATGTCGGGCGGTCCAGCAGCCCTGCCAAGTGGACGCCGACGGAGCAGCATGAAGCGAAACATCAGTGGCGAGGTTTGCCAGCCATTCTCGGGCGAGCAGATTTGGGAAGAACAGGATGGCCAGGTGCCCGAGGGCGGTGGTCGCTCGACGGGCACCGATTCGGCCGCTGTCCAGCCTCTGCGGTCAAAACCAAAGAACCCGCTGAACCGAGTCCAGTTTGCCCCCGACGTGCCTCCTGCGGCCAGCGCATCCCCCCAGCCTCCGTCCAAGGTGGTGTCCAAGTACGAGATATATCGGAACCCCCCTAGCCAGTCCCGCAACCCGCAGTATACGACAAACTCACGTCCTAAATCGCCCGCGGCGGATCGTGATACCGTGTCTCGCAAGCATGGCATGGAGGTCCGGAGTGATGATATCAGGGATGCTACAAGCATGAGGCTGAGAGACCGCAGCCCGAAGCTGCCGACTCCGTCGGCTGTCAGCGACAGCCCCGGCCGACCCATCGTAAGCTTTGACAGAAACTGGAAGCCCGAAGAGGACGCGACTGATGACGCGCCAGAAGAGTGGAGATTTGGCCGAGGCGGCACCCGATCGTCGCCCCTCGTCCCTGGCCGAACACAGGGTCAGCAGCAACAACAAACCCAAGCGATCCCTACTATCGCTGTTACGCCTAGTCTCCCGAACCCGCAGTCATCGTCCCCGGCCTCGAGGCCAACAAGCCACCGCCCACAGCCGAGCCCGCCCTCTATTCAGGTAGACGGACCGCTAGTTCCAGCCATCACGGTGTCCGACTCGCGTCCCGCAAACCCCACGACTCCTGCACCACCTGCCATCGTTATCTCTGGCGGGGACGAGGACGGCCCCATGATACCAATCATCGTAACCCCTGACGAGGACAATGCCAAAGACCCCCCACGTCGCCCTCTCCCAACGCCCCAGCCCGGGGCCCCTCGCACTCGAAAGCCGGCATGGCCTCGCGGTCACTGGTCGCCCGCGCCGCCACCGGTCGGCAGCCGGGCGACGGCCCGCTGCCACGAGTGCCGGAATTTCATCGAGGGTCGCTTCGTGTCGCTAGCAGGCGGCTCGGAGCGGTTCCACCCGCAGTGCTTCGCCTGTTACTCGTGCGGCACCTCGCTCGAGGCGCTCGAGATCTCGCCGGAGCTAGACACCCACCGAGCAGAACGTCTAGACCGCATCGCGCGTCGCGCCGCGGGCGCTCGGCTGCCCGAGCAGCCTGGCGAGACAATGGCCGAAGACGGCGACGAGCGCCTCCGCTTCTACTGCCACCTGGACTGGCACGAGCTGTTTGCCCCGCGCTGCAAGCACTGCACGACGCCCATCATGGGCGAACACGTCGTGGCGCTGGGCGCCCACTGGCACTTTGGCCACTTCTTCTGCGCCGAGTGCGGCGACCCGTTTGAGCGCGGCATGACGCACATTGAAAAGGACGGCTACGCCTGGTGTGTCGCCTGCCAGACCAAGCGCACCGAGCGCCGCGCCCCCAAGTGCCGCAAGTGCCGCACCGCCGTCATCGGCCAGTATGTCCAGGCCCTCGGTGGCGAGTGGCACGACGACTGCTTCCGCTGCGCTACGTGCGCCGATGGCTTTACCGACGGCCAGATCTTTCCCGTGGAAGGCCGCGGCGCCCCGGGCGAGACTGTGGTGCTGTGCACCCGCTGCATGGAGATGGAGCTCAAGGTTTGATGATGTGGTTTCAGCTGAGGAGATGGCTCCTTGTTTCTGTAGTAGAGTGCTGCCAACCGAGGTTGATTCCCGAAACGTTCATGTGCTTTTGGGTGTCTGGACTTGAATCAAAAGATTGTGAACCGTACTGATAAGTCCGCAAAAGAGTTCCAATGTACGCCCCCGTAATAGTCAATTGAGTGTAGCGATCTTGCGAGCCACCCAAATTTGCCCGTCTGTGATTGTCGGAGAGCATATAAGAGTTGATATGGTGGACAACTTCCGCTCGTCCTACCCAAAATTCCCCAGCGGCATAGAAACATCAAAACATGACTCTGTTGGCGCAGACATACCAAAGATAGAGAGAACTTGATACGTAAGAGAGAAACTCGCCAGTTGCTAGATACCATGCCTATAGAAAAAGCCCGCAGGACCTAACAGCGTAAGGCCGAGGCAAAAGAAAGGCCCCTTTCATGATTTTGTCGAAATCTTCGCCCAGTTACGCCTATCGTTGCCTTACCCCAGTCAAATGATAATAGGGCAATTACCATGGCCAACCCAAGCACCACAAATCCACCGCGCGTATGTAGGAGTCCGTGTCCTTGCTTTACCAACCGCCGACCTGCTCTTGGTGAACCTCGAGGGTATCTCCGTCTTGCATCTCGAGCTGTACACACCAAAGATGAAGTTGTCAGCGGGATTTCGGCATTCGAGACAAATATATGTATGGCAAAAAGGATGCTTATCTGCTATGGGTAGGGATCGAGAAACTTACCGTATCTGGGGTATCGCTGGGCTGAACTCGTTGGCCCTCGAATAGGAACCGCACCGACGCGAACGTCTTGCCCTGCCGCTCGCAGAAGGCCGTCATCAACTTCTCCAACTTTGTGCTACGCTTGATTTTGAAGAAAACCTCGTTGTTGTTATCGGTGACTTTGATATTCAGGTGCTCAACAGCTCCGGCCGCAGGCGCTTCGGTCTGGCCGGGGCTGCCATTCTCCGCATTGTCGGCCATGGTTCTGGTACTGGACGGTTGATTGTGCTGGAAATGTGTGAGTTCTACAAAACCAAGCAAGTCGGCTCTGGCAATTGGAAGGAGGGGCTGGGCGCCGAAGCGGGTTTGCACGAGGGTGACGCGAAGTTCATTGGCATGACGCGCTGCGGCGACTCGAAGCACTGGCGTTCAGCCGAGCGCGCGCGCGAGGAGGGGTAAAGGCGGGCGAACTTACTCAACCAGGAACTTGGCAGCGCGCCGGATCGCAGATGTTGCGAGTTGCTTCTATAGAGAGCACAAACACCAAGGGCGTACTCGGTCGATCTAAGCGGAGACGTTTAGTGGAGTGGAGAGCTGCAGCCGGACTTTGTGAGGAACTGGTAATGAAGTGGAAGGTGGGATAATGTTGTGGCGGAAGAGGGGTGGGGTCAAATAAAGTTTGGGATGGATTGTGGAACAACAGGCTGGGAAACCTCACCTTCAAGGCTAGGGCACGTACCAATTACTGTAGCAGACAAAAAAACCCTTTCAGATTGCAAGTCCGTACTTGCCTGAGGTGTAGAAGATGTTGGTCTGCCAACCTAATTTCGATAGTTGGGTGAGAGGTTATTTGGTAGGTACCTAGGTATTCTATGGTGCTCCGGTGAACCTCCAAAGGTTTTACGAAGGCAAGGCAATTGCCAAACCGAAACTTGAAGCAATCGGATTTTGCGACGGTTCTCCATATTCTTGCTCCTTCCTCACTAGTAGTTTACGCCGTTGTTCGTGCCTTTCACCGAAGCAGCAACTGTCTGGGCACGTCGTCGCCGGAAGATTGGCAGGTAACGCCAGGCACTCCGTACCTTACTAAAATAGGAGAACTTGATATCAGGCAGCCAATGTCCCTCTTTGCCTTAGGTCGGTGCCTCAGGTTCTCACAATTCCTACGAGGGATACTTGTCTTTCGCATATGGTAATAATTCTCGACCATGGTAGGTGAAAATCGGGGTGGGTGGCTCATGGAAAATGCTCAGAGCGTCTATGCTATATTTTGGTATCTCTTTGGTCGTTCTCCGTCCCTATTCGTAACCTTACATCTTGAACCTTGCAAAAGTGAGCAGTTTCTACAAGAGTACGGCCTCACTTCCACACACCCTGATCAGGGCTACCTCCTTGTTGAGTCTTTAATTACAGGTCTTGCGACGACATTTACAAGCATTAGTGAGTTTTCGGGTCTTACCAAGTCTTTGGGATACAATGCAAGGCACCCCTCCAAAAGAAGTCACCGTCAAATCCTCAAAGTCGTACTAGGAACTATATTGAAACCTAGGTGCCTACCTTGGGTGGGTGTCTCTATACTTTTGACGAGGTCACCTGTTGTCCGCTTGTCTGTCTTGAGGACTATTACGGATATAAAAGGTCCACCAGGCTTCTTGCCTGCCAAGCCGAACTTCACACACGCTAGCGGCGAATGTTTTGTGGGCAAAAAACCAAGACCATTGATATTATCATCCGTCCTACTAATAACCTCCATACCGAACTGCAAATCCACCCTTTCCACCCGCAAACTTAAGCTTATGCGCTTTGTAACTTTAGATTTCAAAACTCCGAGTATTCCGTAAAGGGAGGACATATCAAAATCCTACCTTGCACAAGCACATATTCCTGCCTAAGGTACACAAACACCCGGCAGTTGTAGTGTGCAGTTGAACAGTCTACCCTAAGCTTCAGTCCTCGATATGGTCGGTCCCAAACTCCCCGGATCAAGGTGATTGGGTTTCCATTGCTGACCTGGCGGCGTTCACCTCAGACCATCGAACAAGACATAAGGAGCAACCCTCCATGCCAACCACGAGCATGTGCTATCCAGGGTGAGCAAGCCAATTGAAGAATCTCTGCCATCTTGACTTGACCGCGGCGTAAATATTGACAACCACGGCTCTAGGCTGTCTGACGAGGAATGGATTTGATGAGGGTAAGTGCACCAAGTTTGTGGATTCGCTTTATGAATGCTGCCAGGCATTCTATGCAAATAATGGCGACCACGCGAGATCGGCAAGCTGCCCAAAGGCAGATCTATTGAGACTCAGGATAGAGCAGAGAAGAGAACCCAAATAAAGCCAATGTAAATGTATCACTTATCCAAACAATTGTACCCAATTTCACCTGAGGGTGCTAGGCAACATGTAGGGAAAGTGTAGAGTTTTTCTAGGCTATCATTGAGCGCGCAAAGAGGCCGCGATGGACCTGAACAAGCAGTGAAAATCTTGTTCCGAGACTCTAATATGAACGCCAGTGACATTAAAGAAGAAAAGAGAAAAAGTAGGTTAAAAAAATCAGAGCCTGGGGGGTTTATGTAGTCGCTGAGATTCCGGCGTTGTGGGCCGCTGGAGGGTCCGCTGAGCCCAGGTCCGTGCGCCAAAGCTCCCAGCTCCAATTTAGTCAGTCCAGTTGTTCAACCAATTTTCGAGTCGCAATTGTTGGCTACACGCGAGCGCGTCCTGACCAGCAGCAAACAGCGCGCTTCCGTAATCAATCTTGCAACTCAAACTGCTGAACGAGGCTAAAACTCGACTGGTGGCGTCGACTTTCTTTTTCATTAATTGCATTTCTCCCTAGCTACAAGAGAGCTTTCGCACAGAATGCAAGGGGAATGCCAATCATTATTCAAAGCTTTCTACCTCTGAAACCGAACCGACTGGTACCCACCAGGGGTGCCCAGCTTAGGAAGTCCACTAAAAGCGATCGTAGCAACTCGGTCGCGATGGCTCCAGCATTTGTGAGCATAATATTCCCACTTTCTAATATTGGTAGTGCGACCGAGTTTTGCTAATACCACTTTCTCGCCCACCTAGGATCTTCCAGCTGCCTCCGACGATAGCCCTTCGCCCCGCGCGCAAAGCCCAATTCGAGGTTGGCTCGCCCAGGTATCCCAATGGCTACGACCGAGTGAGTTTGCTGATGGTGTCTCTAGAACCCCTCCATGACGATATGGCTGCCCTCGAGGCCACCTACCGGGAGAGCAGCATCCGAGTGGGCGATGAAGTCGACTTCTTCGCTGCGGAGCTCGACCGTTACAACTCAGACTACAGAGAATCGACGGTGGAAAAGCGCGACCATGTGTTCAAGCTCATCGACTCTTACTATACCTACACAAGAAGGAGAGCCGATCGGCTCCGCGAGCGTCAGTCGCATGAGAGATCTGCGCGGCGCGGAAGCTGGCAACGGGGCCCTTCAGCTGACATGGACATCGACGATGCCGATGACGTCAACGCCACCGGCGGCTCAGGAGACTTGCGACGAATTGAAGAGGAGGCACAAACTTGGGATCTCTTGCGACGAATATTACCCCTGAGGTACCGAGAGCCGACCCAGTCGCAGCCCAAATCCTACAGCGACCCCCCAACCATGTCTCGCAGGCAATGGTGGGACGAGTTCTTACTATCCGACTCTGCCGCGAGAGAAAAGAAGGTGGTCCTCGAGTGGCTACAATTCAGTGCGACCCACGGGCCACCCATTGACGAAGTCGTCAGTGAGCTTCAGCAGAGTGCCGAGAGGGGTGACATACTCGCCCATGGCTGGCTTCATACACGCCACAAGATCAAGCTGCAAAAGAGTATGAACGGATACCAGGGTGTGCTCGACCCCAACGACGCCGGCATAACGGAATCCCATCTCGGCTCTAGGACTTTGATTTCTCAGTTGGACCCGGATGCAGTCGCGCGCCAGGGACGCAAATTGGAGCCTCAGGACGAGTTCTTCGAGCGTGCCATCTGGCTGGGTTGCTTTGAGATGCTCCGCCGAGGGTGCACCATGTCCGAAGTGCGCGAATGGTGCTCGGTGAGAACAGAGCTCTGGAGGGCCGCGTGTCTCGCTCCCTTGCCTCTTTCGAGTCCCGAAGATGACGATCAGCCAGAATTCGACCCAAATTCGTTGGTTCTCTGGAGGCGAATGTGCTTCGCAACCGCTCACGAAGGAGGGACAAGCGACTATGATAGAGCAGTCCACGGTCTTCTGGCGGGTGATATCAGCAGCGTGGAGAAAGTCTGCAAATCCTGGGACGATTTTCTCTTCGTCCACTATAACGCCCTCCTCCGGACTCAGTATGATTCGTTCCTGATCAAGCAGTTGGGAGATGACGCCACTAAGATTGCGCAACAATTCCCGGTCTTCAATGCTGTTTTGCATCACGGCGACCAGTCGACAATGGGCAGACGACTTATTGCAGACCTAGAGGTGGACTCGAGAATCAAGAGTGAGGCCATTCGGACCCTAAAAGCAATACAGGGCGCCATAGTCTCAAATGACTTGGATCGTCATATGTACAACCAAGGCCTTGTGTTATCGAAGCACGCAAACCAGAACCAAAAGTCCAAGCTGATTCCCGAGACCAGCCAGTTCGCGACCGTCTATGGGAAGAATCAGGAGAAGTATTTTGACTTGGCGGATCACGACAGCCTTCGGATATTGGCACATATACTCATTATTGTCTCAACTCTCGATCGACTGGATGGTTTCTCAAAGGACGACGGCCCTCTACAAACCCGCCACCAGGTCAAGGAGCACATAATCGCGGCTTATGTCAGTTACCTGCGCCTCGCCAACCTCGAGGAAACGGTTCCACTGTATTGCTCTAAGCTATATGGCGCGCGACTCAACGAAACCTTGAGCCGAAACCTGATCCACATCGTCAGCGTAGATGCGAGGCTAAAACAACTGACAATTATGAAGAAGTTGGGGTTAGACTTGGCAGAGTTTGTGAAGGCTCAACCGGAGATCTATCTAGGAGATGTCTTTGACCGGTCGCTGCGTTGCGAGGCCAAAGGGAGGTTTAAGATTGTTGAGGATGGACCTGCGACGTTGAAGTACGGCCGGATCATTAAGCCGGACTTTTTCGGCGAAGATGCAGAGTACGTCGATGCGGAAGATGAGCTAATCATTCGCTCTATGGAGTGGCTTATGCTAGTCCCCGGCTTGTTCGTGGAGACTTGTACCTACGCAACCAGGGTGTATAAGTACTTCCTGAGTACGTTATCCATCACCCAGCGGATACTTTGTTCCGAAGCTAACGGCCTAAAACAGAACGCGCCCGCCTGCGTGCCGCCCGCGCCTTCAGCGATCGTGTGTCTGGCCGCGATATTGCCCGAACGAAGACGCCGATTCAGATTAGAGCTGCCGAGGAGGACTCTGGTCCCGGCTGGTTCGAGGAATTCGCGAACGGCGAATTTTCGGCCGAATTCCTTCAAGAATGCAATGTGGACAGCCTGAGGCTGAAATCGATTGTCCGGAACATGTGGGAACTGGAGTGTCTTGTCCGGGCCTTGGACTCAATGGAGACACTATCGTCGTTGGCGGGTCTCAGCAGGGAGTAAGTTTGCGCCATACCGTGTTATCGCGTGGAACTGAGGGCTAATCGGAGCTGAAATAGGGAGAACAACAACTCACGTGAGATGTGGCAACATACAAGCCAAGAAGTCCGCGTCGCCAAAGCATGCATGCAACCCGTTCTCAAGAATTGGCTGCTTGAAGCAAACGATGGTGGGCTATATTTCTACCTCGTTGGCGGCAGCCCGCAGGCTAACATGATGCTAATAGATGATGGAGACTTTGTCGCACTTCGAGAGGCTTACATTCCGGAGACGGTGCTGGCATTTGTTAGCTCACTGCACTTCGCCGGAACGTCGCTTTCGCGGGACAATTTGCTCGAGTGCATGGAATTAGCAGCTGTAATCGCGGAGAGGGGCTCTGATGTGGCTCAGGAATTCATGAAGTGTGGGAGAATGAAGGAGCTTCTTGAGGCCTTTACGTCTTGCAGTAAGGCTCTAGCAATTTGGACAAGCGATAAGAAGGGGTCACAGACCACTTCTAAGAAGATGAGAGAGATGGGATGGTATGTATCCCACCCCCCTTTACTGGAGACACTGGAAACCGGAGATGCTGATAAGGTTGGTAACAGGTCACGAGATGTCTGGTCCATCAAGCCTTAGGACCGGAACGTTGAATCAGGCGACAGAAGGCGTTGATAACGGCCCAGTGGACGTCGCCTGGTTGTGTCCGCCTTGCAGGCCGACCTTTTACAATGGTATCCTTCGAGCGGTACGTCTAGGATTCCTAAAGCAGCAAAGTCCTTCGTAGATAGCCTACCGTGCATTCTTTTGCTGGGAACTCTCTGCAAAGAGCGGGCTTGCCGAGAAGCATTGTCATATATATAGGCAATACCACGGGGGTTGACGACGCAATATTTGGTAGCTTTGGGTTACAGGGGATAACGCATTGGTCGGCCGGTGGACCAGCTGCCTGGATATGCTGCTTGTTCGCCCGATTCTTGCTGGTGAGCTAGCCTATCATGGAAAATATGCTGTTGATGATGAAGTTACTATTGCCAGACAGATAATGCTGTATTGAGGCATGGATCGGCCATCTCAAGCTACCTTCTAGCTAGATGTTTTTAGGTGCTTAGGTACTCAGGTTAATAACACCCATGGGTCGCCATCCTGCCTCGGAAGTTGACAGTGTAAGCCCCAAATTGTCCCAGCTCCCAAATGTGGGGGAAGCTGTCTGTTTGTGCTCACTCACCTTTGTCTTTGGTAACCAGCCTACCTACGTATCTATCTACCGTCTACCCGGCGCCACCTTGTTTGCTTATTTACCAACCTCCCTATTATTCAACCTGCCGGAATCGTGTACTTGGGGAACATGTCGGGGCTTGGCGACAAAGAAGGGGGCAACGGCGAAAAGGAGAAGGAGCCCTTCAGCCAGTACCAGCTCGACCTCTATGCTTTCGCTATCATGGGCGGAAAGAAGCCCATCACCACCACAGACCCTAACAAGCTGGAACAAAAAGCCCGGAAGGCCATGAGCCCCGAGGGCTTCAACTATGTCTTCGGCGGAGCAGGCGAGCAGGCGACCATGCAAGCCAGCCGCCTAGCCTTCAGGCAGTGGAAGCTAATTCCACGCCTCTTGCGGCCCACCCTCCCGCGCGACCTCCGTGTCAAGCTCTTTGGCAGGACCTATGGTAATTAACGCTGCTCATGGCACCCATTTAGCGTGCAGCCAGCCTACCACGCCGACGCCGAGACGGGCGTGGCCTCAGCATGTGCGTCGCTGAGCGTGCCCTTTGTCTACAGTACGGCCAGCAGCACGGGGCTCGAAGCCGTGGCCGCGGCCGCGGCCGCGGACGCCGCCGCTCCAGCCACAGCTAAAGCTCCGCGGTGGTTCCAGCTCTACTGGCCGCTAGACGACGATATCACGGCCTCGCTGCTTGGGCGCGCGCGGGCGACCGGGTGCGAGGCCCTCGTGGTGACGCTCGACACGTTCACCATGGCCTGGCGGCCCCTCGATCTGGATGCAGGGTTCCTGCCGTTCGCGGTGGGCGAGGGCAACGCGCTGGGGTTCGGCGACGCCGTCGAGGACAACGTCATGGTGGCGAGCCGCTTCTGGACAGGCGAGGTCTTCTCGGGCCACGCGCACTGCTGGGAGGATCTCGCAACGCTGCGGCGGCTGTGGGGCGACGGGCCCATCATTCTCAAGGGCGTGCTGAGCATCGACGACGCGCTGGCGGTGCGCTCCGGCGTCGACGGCATTATCATGAGCAACCACGGGGGCCGGCAGCTAGATGGGGCCGTGCCGAGCCTCGAGATGCTGCCCGAGATCGTCGAGGCCGTGGGGGACAAGCTGACTGTCCTGTTCGACTCGGGGATCCGCACCGGCGCCGATGTCTTGAAGGCGCTGGCGCTGGGCGCAAAGGCCGTCTTTGTTGGCAGGCCCGTCATCTACGGGCTGGGAATAGCTGGACGCGAGGGCGCCAGACACGTGCTTACCGGACTTCTCGCCGACGTGGATCAGTCTATGGGCTTAGCTGGTGTGCAGACGGTAGGGGAGCTAAATAGGAGTATGCTAAGACGGATCAACTACGGCGGCGACATCAAGTCGTCGCTCTGATCGACACAAACTGGCCAGATGGGATTGTATAGCAAGGTAGGTGGCTCATGGCCCCCGTCCAAGGTCAACTTATACCATACAGCTCTGCCAGACTTGGGTATCTCCTGTATATATGCACATGTTTCTTGGTCTGTCTGAACAGCCGGCCTTGTGCAATGTAGGGATCCGCATGCAACGCTGCAAGTTCATCTATCTAGTCCAACATCTGTTATGAACGCATCTAATTCCCTGGCTTGGTGTAGACTAGATCTGAACGGCGCCAAGGTGTTCGTTCGCATTGCCCTACGCAATGTCGATGCTGAGAATCTTGATATCTTCCTCCGGCTTTTCCTTGTACGTTCTCACATTCTCAATCTTGTGGATCACGTCGAGGCCTTGTACCGCGCGTCCAAATATCGTATGCTTGTTGTCGAGCCAGGGCTTAACCCTAGTTAGTATCTACCAGGCATCAAATAAAAAGGGACGTCGCTCTAGCTTACTGTCTTTTCTGTCGTGATAAAAAATTGGCTTCCATTGGTGTTGGGGCCGGCGTTGGCCATGCTGACCGTGTACGGCTTGTCGTGCTTCAGGCTGCTAAACTCATCCTCGAACTCCCTCCCCCAGATACTCTCGCCACCCGTTCCGTCACCCAGGGGGTCTCCGCACTGTATCATGAACTTCCGGATCACGCGGTGGAAAATGGTATTGTTGTAGTATCCCCGCTTGGAGTGCGTGACAAAGTTCTCAACGGCCTTTGGTGCCGCGTCTGGAAACAGCCGGATGTGGATGTCGCCATAAGTGGTGTGGATGATGGCGGCTGTGCCTGTCTCGGTCACCTTCTTCTTCTCCGCCTTCTTCTGACCAAGAATGACGGGCTTCTCGTTCTGGACATCTCTGGTCGACTTGGATATCTCCTCGTCGTTGGTGAACATGTAAAAGCGAGCTTTTCCCACACCCGTTGTAACCAGTATTGGGTCTCTTGTCTCGGATTCCTGGAGAAGTGGGTTGCTCGATGCCGCCATGGCAACTGTTGTCACTCCCTTTTTCTGCGGCTGGCCTTGGTATAATGCCAAGCCTAGTGGCCGAAACCCTTCTTCCCTCCCGAAAACTTTCACAACTTGGTTTGTGAACGTATTCAGTACTTTGATTCCTAGGTAAGAACCGTAGAGAATAAAATGCCCAGACTCGTCAAATATGACGTTCAACTTGTTACGCAAAGTCGGCGATTCGATTTCTCGTTCCACCGCAAGCCGGCGGCCAAATTCTACAACATCCAATTTTTGCAAGGCGGTTCCAGCTTGCTGCATCTCCTCGATCACCCTGAGAGATTCATCGTACGCCCGATACAGCTTTCCCGAAGCAAACTCGAAGATGCGAATCTTGCGGTCAGGAAAGGAGAAGGTGGCAAAACGAGTCCCATCTGGAGCCACAGTAAGCGACGATGGCACCGATTTCGCCTTTTTGAACTCGAAGAGATCGGTGGAGCTCTTGTACTGGAAGACATTATCCGGCTTTGAATATGAGCCGCTCGGGCGCCAGTATTCGACCATGCCGCCATCATCAGCAGACAAGACACAGTCGTAATTGTCGTTAAAGGCCATTAGGGCTACTGGACTCCGATGTAGACTAGTAACTGTATGTATCGGCGCCTGACTCTCTCCTCTTCCGTCATACAAGCGAATGCTAGGACTGGCATCGTCGGACACTGCAAGCACAGGGAGAGAGGCGCCTCTTTTGTGAACCCAGCAGATGCACTTCGGCACGAAGTCAAGCTCCAGAACGGCCAGGAGATCAAACGTGACCACGTCAAAAAGCTTGATCGTTTTGTCGAGGCCAGCCGTGGCAAAGCTCCGGCCATCTTGGCTGGCAGAAACAGACCGTATCTCGCCCTGGTGGGCCTTGAACTCCTTAACAAACTCGATTCCGTCGGCTACCTTCTTCCAGAATTTGACAACGCCTTCGACTGAGGAAGTAATGAGAAAGTCTGTCAGTGGTGTCATGGTGAGAGTCGACAATTGCTCCTTGTGCATCAAAGACTTTGAGTAGCGTGTCGACTTGGGCAAGGCCGAGATGTACAACTTCTCGTAGGGCAGGACGCGCCGCTTTTTCTTGGGGGCTGCCGAGGGCAGCTGTGGTCCCATGTTGTCGTCGTCGGAAGAACTTGCTTTACGCGATAATTAGCTTCAGTCGGTATGGGAGTTAAAGGTAAGCGGTAGGAACATCGTACCGGAACCATCTTCTTCGGCGAAGTCTGCGTGGCTGCGCTTCGTCGCCTTGAGCGCGTCGTCATTGCTGGCGTCTGCCATATTGGTTCTCGATATCCCTTCCTCCCTCTATTTGGAAAGCGTGGGTGTAGTTCGGGTTGTTTTGTTGAAGTTCAGGCCGCGAACATTTGTTGTCTGCAACAATATCGCGCCTTGCGGTTGTCGCTCTTGAGGAACCTGGAAGACTTGCTGCGCGGGATCCCCAACTGTGCCACCATGCAAGCCTAAGCTCGCCAAGGCAGCCCTGCCGTTGCTCTAGGGAGCTCCTGTGGGGGGGTCACGACTGCTAAGATTTTGCCCCACTTCAGAGGTTTCTAGTTGCGACGAAATACGACGTAACATTTCGGGATGAACGTTACACATATGTATAGTAGCCAGTATCCATGAGATCAGGTAAGGTAGACGATTCCAATACGGGTTTCATTAAGCAATAGGTAAGGTATCTTAGGTATATACCATTTTCGTAGACTAACTGAAGGCTACCGATGGTAAATAACCGTTAAAAAGAGGATACCTCAAATAAGTACCAGGAAGCTTGCATTCTGCCTGCCCTGAGAGGCAAAGCAAGGCAGTAGGATGGAGCTCAAGAGTTTATTCTATAATTGACCCTGGCGAATTTGTCACTCACTCTCTACCCTCATCTATCAACCCATTGCATACCTTAGTTCAATATCATCGGTGGCCACACGCCCCACCATTCCCTCTCATCTCAGCTGAAGACGTTGGTGGTTTACTAGGGACCAGTAACTTCATTCCAAACACACACACACACACACACACACTACCGCCTCGGTATCCCGTGATTCTCAGAATGGAGACGCACTTGTTGCAGCGACTGGCTTATCCTGCACGGAGCGTCTCTGCCATCGTCCATGTTCTGGGGCTGTCGTCTTTTTCTGCCAGCTTCAGATACCTACGACAAGTCCCAAGCCCCATGAGTCACGGGTTCGGGGGCGACTTCCAATATTTGACCATCATTGGGCTTGCCCTGGCGACAGCGACCTTTGGCATCGGTTTTCTTGCTGATCTGACTCTGAGCCCCTGGCTGTTCCGTATTAAGAACGTGTTTTCTGTCTGCTCGGCACCCCTCGAGGTTCTTGTCAGCATTCTATATTGGGGGCTTTGCGCCATCAATAAGAGTTTAATTATGCCTCCTTAGCTTCAGCTACCTTTCCTACCAGACTTGTAGGCCCAACTCCTGACCTCCGTCATATCCGTGCATGGCTAACAGTGCTCGTTACAATTTCTATACAGCGGATTCCATGCCATGCCGGCTGTCATGTTGACTCTAGATCTGATACTCCTGAGTCCTCCATGGACAGTCAAAGTCTACGGAGCCATGTCCATCAGCGTGGCTGTGGCGTTCCTCTATTGGGGCTGGCTCGAGCTGTGCTTCACCAAAAACGGGTGGTGAGTAGTTTGTTGACGGCCATTGCTCAACCACCAGTCTGACTTCCTGCCACAGGTACCCATACCCTCTCCTGGGCCTTCTTACCACATGGCAGCGCGTCGTGCTCTTCGGTTTCTCCGCTGCGATGATGGCTGGCAGTACTATTGCCCTAAAGTGGGTGTACGGGAAAGTTAACGGCATTGGCAAGTTCAAGAGGGACGCCTAGAACCCCCTCAAGGCTGACTGAGCGCTTTGTTGAGTCGGTCCCGGAACGAGGGACGGACAATGACACGGAGCGGAAACAGGATGTTCCATCCCGTGGATGCTCGGCCCATAGTGTCTAAAGACTAGGGACAACCCAAAACCAAGAACTAAGTCTACGGCCGCCTCCAGGGCCCAGAGCATCCCAAAATATCTAGTCTTTGTAGGTGAATATGACGAAGAGTAAGGAGCGAGAAATTCGCTCGTCAAAGGCTCGGTCAATAGATCAAGATTCGAATGCCGAGCACCCAATCAGGTAGTTGCAATTTCTTGGCCGAATATCAATACTCCCATCCATGTTACCTTGACTGTTCGCGTCGGCCGAAGATGACCGAGAGAAACTAGGAACTTGGAAGCTTGCATGCTGTGCGAGGGTTGAAAGCTTTGAAAAGCGGCACCATTCAATTACTGGAGTGGTACGGAGTACAGTTCGGAGGTTGTAGGTCGCGGAGTACATAAGGTAAGTACCTGTTCAGTATCCGTACATAATACATAACGGTTCCTTGGTGGGGCATGGCGTGCCTGCAAGCCAAAAGGGACGAGTCAGTTCAAGTTCCAATTCTACTTCATTGACGGGAATGATCAATTAAGAACTTCCCCACATTGAGTCATCGCTTGCCCCTCTAAAATCTAGAGCCCGCCTAGCTCTTAGACCACCACCGCCAGCCCAAAAAATATCGGTCGACTTTTGCTCTTGCATTGTTAAATTAAAGCAGGCCACGTACGCCGAGTCTCCAGAAATCCCAATTGGGCTGGTATTGGCAAACAAGAATATCAGGCTTGCAACAATGTCGGTAAGTTCTCCTTCTCCATGTGCTGCGGCGCCCTTGGACAGCAGGGCAGGCTGGCTTACCCAGTTTGTGACTCGGTAGTCATTCTATATCGAAAACAAGAATGTTGGCAACAAGGCCGAGAGCGAGGATTGGAGAAGTATGTCTCAGATACATGTGATCCCTTAGCCAGAGAAATCTAATGCAAGTCAGTTCGCGGCTACAACCCGCTGACGCCGCCTGACCTCCTCCAACACGAAATCCCCCAGACGGCTCAGTCCAAGCGCACCGTTCTCGACAGCCGCGAAGAAGCAGTCGCCGTCGTCAACGGCACAGACCCGAACCAGAGGCTCCTCGTCATTGTTGGGCCATGTTCGATACACGACCCCAAGGCTGCGCTCGAGTACTGCGATATGCTCCTGCGGGAGAAGGAGAAACACAAGGATGAACTACTCATTGTAATGCGCTCGTACCTCGAGAAGCCGCGCACAACAGTGGGGTGGAAGGGTCTCATCAATGACCCAGACATTGACAACAGCTTCAAGATCAACAAGGGCCTGAGGCTGAGCAGGCAGCTGTTTGTCGACCTCACAGACAAGGGGATGCCCATTGCTAGCGAGATGCTAGATACCATCAGCCCGCAGTTCTTGGCCGATCTTCTAAGCGTTGGTGCTATAGGTGCGCGCACGACAGAAAGCCAACTTCATCGGGAGTTGGCGAGTGGGCTCAGTTTCCCAGTAGGCTTCAAGAATGGCACCGACGGCACACTAGGTGTCGCCATTGACGCCATTGGCGCGGTCAGGCACCCGCACCACTTCTTGTCTGTGACCAAACCGGGTGTGGTAGCCATTGTAGGCACAGTGGGCAACGAAGACTGCTTTGTGATTTTGCGCGGCGGCACCAAGGGTACCAACTACGACGCGAAGAGCATCGCCGAGGCTAAGGCAGCGCTCCAGAAGGCCGGAGTGCGGGAACGGCTCATGGTCGACTGCAGTCACGGCAACTCGTTGAAGAACCACAAGAACCAGCCCAAGGTGGCGGCGACGCTAGCCGAGCAGATTGCAAACGGAGAGGACGCCATCATGGGCGTCATGATCGAGAGCAACGTTAACGAGGGTAAGGCGTCCGTCCAGATTTGTCATGTTTTCCTGGTCGTGCTAACATACCATAGGCAACCAGAAGGTTCCCAAGGAGGGCAAGGAGGGTCTGAAGTACGGAGTGAGCATCACCGATGCATGCATCGGCTGGGAGGACACCGTTGCCGTCCTAGACAGCCTTGCAAAGGCTGTAAAGCAGCGGAGAGAGACGCGAGGCAAGGACGTCTAGGCTGGGGAGGCTTAGACGAGCCATGGCATTGTCACCAAGCCCACTTCATACTGAGAGGCTTAGCTCTGCCTCGTTATAGTAAAAAGAAAAGAAAAGGTTCCGGGGAGCGAGTGTTTTGCGGAGTTGGGATACCAAAAAGTCGAATTCGGGATTGTTGAAACCTCAATGACGCCGCATGTGGGTTGTGAAAGATTTCTGGATAGTAAATAGTACGTATATAGGAGCAATACAGGCCTACAAGGGATATATGAAACGGAACGTTGTGCCCGGCGAGCACAAGTAGCTTGGACCGGAGCGTGCGTGATGTTTGTGAACAGTTTGGACTCAGTTGGAAGAAAACTGGAGCTCCTCAGATGCTGCCTTTCGGAGTCTGGGACGAACCGCGCAGTCCCCAGCGCAGAGAGGGAAGGGGAGATGACCAGGGGGCCCGCTGTTGCCGTGTATGTACCAAGGTGTGAGCTGCCGGAAAATCAATCAACCGGGCTAGGTTGGCACCTGGGAATGTGCACAACCAATCACAGCCAATCACGGTGCTGGAGTTCCTAAGAAACCCGAATTTCGAGAAACCTGACCGAAGCGACCTTCACCAGCTCGAGCCTTCAAGCCTCAAAACACCCACATTGGCAGCCAATTGCCTGCCAATCCGACCGCGATACCGTCCCAAGCTCCGCGAGGCTAGCCCACCATGCTGGCGAGGTCGTGCCTGCGCTCGACGCGAGCGCTGGCCAGCGCAAGAAATAGCGCGGTTCAGTTTACCAAGGTATGTGACTTGGCTGGTTGCTGCGGTGCGCAAGACCGCTGGCAGCCATTGGCATCTATCCCTCCGCCGCCGCGGGATGACATGCTCGACCACTCCCCCGTGCCTGCCCACGAGCTTCACACCCTCTCAACTGGAGCTACTACGGCTCGTGCCTTTCTACTACGCCCGGATTGAACGAATCTAACTGACGTCTGTGTCAATGGACAGCGGGCGGCATCTTCCTCGAGCTCCGGATCCACTGCCGAATCCCCCCTTCGCCTGAACGTGGCCGCCGCCGCCGCGACTGCCGTCGCCGCTGGCTCAATCGCCTGGTACTACCATCTCTACGGACCGACCGCACACGCCATGACGCCGACTGAGGAAGGGTGAGTGCTACTGCTTAGCTGATGCGGTGCCCGGTGTCGTGCATGTGGGCCGAGGTTGCTCGCGGACCTGAGGCATATTTGGCCCACGGCGGCACCACACAGCGCTGCACTATATAGGTTCCCGGGGCTTACTGTTGATGTAGCCTGCACCCGACCAAGTACCCATGGGTCCACGAACAGTGGTTCAAGACGTTTGACCACCAAGCGTAAGATATATGCCCCACCTCCTGGCCGACCCGTGTCTGGGCAGCGCAACTAACTAAGGTGCTATACAGCCTCCGGAGAGGTTTCCAGGTGTACCGGGAAGTCTGCGCTTCGTGCCACTCGCTCAGCAGAATCCCGTACCGGTCCCTTGTCGGCACCGTCTTGACCGCCGATGAGGCCAAGGCGCTCGCCACTGAGAATGAGTACGACACCGAGCCCAACGACCAGGGCGAGATCGAGCAGCGGCCCGGCAAGCTGTCGGACTACCTCCCCTCCCCCTACAAGAATGACGAGGCCGCCCGCTTTGCCAACAACGGCGCCCTCCCTCCCGACCTGAGCCTGATCGTCAAGGCGCGCCACGGCGGATGCAACTACATCTTCTCCCTGCTGACTGGCTACCCTGAAGAGCCCCCCGCCGGCGCCTCTGTTGGCGCAGGCCTCAATTTCAACCCTTACTTCCCTGGAACTGGCATCGCCATGGCTCGTGTCTTGTACGACGGCTTGGTCGACTACGAGGACGAGACACCGGCATCGACGCCGCAGATGGCCAAGGACGTGGTTGAGTTCCTCAACTGGGCGGCCGAGCCCGAGATGGACGATCGGAAGCGCATGGGCATGAAGATACTAGTGGTGACATCTGTGCTGTTCGCAGTGAGCATCTGGGTCAAGCGATACAAGTGGGCGGCGATCAAGTCGAGAAAAATTGTCTACAACCCGCCAAAGGATAACACGACCACCCGCTTCTAATGTCGTGTGAAGCTACAGAAAGACGATTCGCCCCTCTTGTATGTACCATATGCTGCTGGGCTTCCCTGCATTCCTCCTGTATCGCCTAGACCACATAAAGAGCGGTAATGGGACTTGAGCTGGTTGCGGGGGCAGTACCGGGGGTTGCCGAATGAGTTGGGCGAGTGTAAATCAGTTTCGGTCTCAATACAAGCTAGACTTTTTTTCCCATGCTGTATCCTACGTCTGTCAGACACATGGCCGTCGCGTCGAGCACGTTGCACCGAGCGCGTTGCTTTTGTTTTTTGACTGCTGGTTGCATTCCATCTTTTCAATTCTAAAGTATATTCCAACCTGCAGAAACGTTTTGCAAAGCAACCGGCGGCATCTACGGAATATGCCTGACATTTTCAGCTGACCTCACCTCATTTGTTGATTCCATGAAAATTGGGGTTGTCTCTCGCCACCTCGCTGTTTCCCTGCGTCTCACTTCCCATCGCTAACACTCGCTTTTGGCCTTGTATATACAGAAGCACCAATTCTCGCGAGGTCTGAAATGCCCTCCGCGTCATCGTATTCTGGTCGCCATGTCGAAGCGAGAGGCACCCCCAGATCGGTGCAGGCTTGCCCTGGCTGATCAGGTCATCTCTAGCTTTAATGTCGGCGACAAAGCTAATCGGGACTTTCTTTGCTCCGTCATTGCCTCTGATCAAGGGCCCCCGAGCGACATGGAGGAGCTCATTAGTTTGAGTCTGATGCGAGGCGTCGAGGAGTGGGAGATGCTCTTCGAATGCGCCAGGGCTATGAGGAACAAGGCGCTAGCACTTGAAAACAATCCCGCTCAAGAACTGAGTTTGCTGCCCTTCCTCAGGCTCATTCTCTCGGGAGATTCCAGCCAGGCTCCGCCCAAGACAGGCAAAGACGGGAAAAGAAACAGGAAAAAAAAGACAGGCAACAAGGAGAACGTCGTTAAAGGTGTTTCTCGGTTTTGGGCCGAGCCCAAAGATGACAGCCCCCAGATAGGGCCTGGGGCTTTTCCGGTCAAGAAACAGTATGCCAGCGTCCAACAAAGTCCCCCCGATAGCGATACATGCCACGGCAGCCATGCCACAAGGGGTGGTAGCGGTATGCTGGGTAGTGTTGCATCTGAACTCGACTCAGGTCTCAGCCCCGAACAAAAGATGTATGCTCGCAACGACAAGCTCCTGACATATGAACCGGCCATCGAGGGACGGAAGCGGATCGAGCCAGCAATCAATCCAAAGCGAGCAGTGAAATCTCCCTTCTTCAGTTCGACGACTCACCCAACCGTGACAGACCCGGCAGTGGTGCCGGTTACTGTCACGCCGTCACCGTCATCGGCCAAGAAAAGGGCCCGCCCACCACGAGGCGCTGTCTCTGGTCTCCCCATCCCGCCCCTCTCAGCCAGCCGCTTCGGGCTTATCCAGGAGGAGCTAGCCGACGACCCTTTCCGCGTCCTGGTTGCCGTGACGTTTCTCATTCGCACGGCAGGCAAGGTCGCCATTCCCGTCTTTTACGAGCTGATGGGCCGCTTCCCCGGCCCCGCCGCACTCGCCGCTGCGGACCCGGCCGGAATCATCTCCCTCATCCGCCCCCTCGGCCTGTCCGCTGTCCGCTGCGCCGCCATCCAGAAGTATGCTCGCGCGTGGCTCTCACGGTCACCCACCAGAGACAAGCGGTACGGCGTCAAGAACTACCCCCTTCCCGGCGACGGCCGCCACGTTCGGACCGGGGAAGAGTTTGGTCCAGAAGGGGCCACAGGGGCTGCTGTTGGCGGGTGCCCGAGCGCAGGGATATTGCTGCCGCCTGACGAAGAGGTCGACGCCGTGGCCGACGCGAGGCAGCGGGCGCTGGGGTGCGCGTGGGAGATCGGCTACCTCACTCAGGGACCCTACGCGCTCGACTCCTGGCGCATCTTTTGCAGAGATGTGCTGCTCGGCCGGGCCACGCACTGGACCGGAAAGGGGAGTGCCGACCCTACCTTCCAGCCGGAGTGGATGCGTGTCCTGCCAAAGGATAAGGAGCTGCGCGCTTGTCTGCGGTGGATGTGGTATGTTTTCTCTTCTCCACTCCCGTTTTCCTTTTGGTTTGGAGTCTGTTGTGCAAGCACCTGTAGGATATAACCTGCCACCCCTTTCCTAGAGAATTTGCTACCATCTCTTTCCCGAGCAAGTTGAACATAGCTAATATGTAATCGTGGAAAGGTTTCGAGAAGGATGGGAGTGGGATCCCCTAACAGACGAACGCCAGCCTCTCCGCGAGGAATTACGAAAGGCTATTGATGGAGGTCATGTAGGATACGACGATCATAGCAGTTTAATTATTCTAGACCAGCAATTAGAGGATCTTAGTTAGATTTCTTCTTCTTCTTGCTTCATTTGTAATAGTAAAGAGATCCCCCAATAGAACTTCTTGTTTTTATTTCTTTTGTTTGAATGAGATGCACTCCTACCTACTCCCACCGAGTATAATGGCTTCCTAACGGACGCAGCAGCGTTTTCTATCTCCAGTCATCTCATATGGGCAGAAATGCCTTGACCGTGCGGGCCGTTAATGGTGACCACCCGGCCACCGTACACAGGGAACGGCCTCTATGGAGTGTAAGGCCTGAACTCTGGTTGGGGTTCCCTCGTTATTTCAATACTGGTCTGCACGTGCACTGCCGACAAGGAGTCAAAGTCCCTGTCGCCATCGCGGCTGTCCCGTGGTCTCCCGGGCGAATTCTGCCTAGCGACGGCGGCAGCGGGAATCGAGACCAGTTCTCGCATGAGCTCGATTTCGAAACCAGCACCGTGTTTCATGTTGTCTTCGGGCCCTCCAGCGCCAGTCTTCTTCGAGCTCTTGCACCCCCCCAGGTCTGCCGGCGGCCGGGTTTCTCGCGACTCCTGCTTCCATGTCCCTTTCCCGAATGGCTTCCACCCAACGCCCCACGCGAGTGGGGGTAGAGTTGCTGCGCATCCGGAAATGATGCCTAGAGAGATTTCTATGAGGCTCTAGAGACTAATGCTGCTGTTGTGGGGGGGTATGGTCAGAGATCAGGCGTCCATTCGTTTTGTTTGGGCGGGGAAGGGGGGTAAAAGGGGTTGGATACTTGGATCCGGGCTTTTCCCACTCGGCTTGCTAGACTAGAATGGACTTGATATATGGGATTCGAACTATCAATGCTATTCCTGCTCTATTCCTTGGTAGGTTAGCAACTATTTTCGTGCCATGACATGTGAGGTTGAGGGCTTACAAAATCCCAGTGCCCAGGGCAGCAATGCCGAATTTCGTTGGCTTGCCGAGTCTAACGTTCCACAAGATGGCGATGGGCATGAGTGCTAGCACAAAGTCGACAGCAGCACTAACTACACTAAACGCAGTGGTGGCTCCGGGAACTATATTCTGGTCAACGCTGTTCAAGCCCTGTCAGTCCTGTTGTAGTTTGATGGTTTTGGTTTGGCCGTTGTATAGAACATATGTCCTCAATATATTAAGAAGCCTCTTCCACATCATGGACTCGGTGGAAGAGCCTTGACAATCTGGGGAGTTAGGTCGACGTACCAGGTGCCAGGCTGCCCGAGGACTTGGCCGTAGAAATGCGAGATTGGGCTACACTGGAATAAAACAATGAAGAGGTAGACAAACGACATGACCAATATACATACAACGCTAGCGTATATAATGTACCTGTGCGCCCTGGCCATGAAAATGCGCAAGAGGAACAAGGCCGCTCATGTTCTTATCATGGCTGACAACGGTGCGTAGATGACCTCGCAGACAAACCAGGAATACAGGCTAATGCTCTCAGCCTCGAGCGGGCTTGTTGACCGCGCCTCACTCGCATACACAATCCCACAGATGGACAGAATAGCATACGCAGTGTAAATCAGCTATTCGTAAGGCTATCATTGGTGTTCTAATCGGCGAGGCCATCATCTGGGAAGGGCCAACTTTCTTATCACAGACAGGAATATTAATATATCGTCAAGAGATACACGCTTGATTATGAGAAATCGGACAAAGGCCCAGAGGAAGACGAATATCCAAATGAGGATGAGAAACACGACTTGGGCAGTAAAGAGCTGGTCACCGCGAGGGTCAATATCGAGGCCTATGGCCAAGGAGGAAATAAGTCTCCGTGGTGTTTATTTTCCGGGACTTTCATCAAAGGAGAGACGCAGACGTATCAAGATAGGGGCTGCCACGGCACCAAGAGGAGTTTACTACTAATGAATGAAGGTGGCAATCCATGCCAAGAACATACGTCTCGTTGACCAAGGGGAGTCCACAGGCGCAAGGCATGCCTGGGCACGAGACGTCGTAGACTGGCCCCGTGGGTCGCGCCTCAAATCATGCCAAGGAACCTTTCGGAGAGAGGTTAAGGGGGTTAGAGTCCCGCTTGACGATTCATCAGTAGAGCTAGCATCTCGTTGACATCGCCGTCATGCGCCACCAACATCAACAGTATCCCATCCTGCTGGGAAGAAAACGAAATAAAAACGAAATGCCCAATAGAAACAAAGAAACAAGGGAATATGGACAGATCAGGCAGAAGTTTCGAAGACAAACTACCTACCAGGTACATGCAAAATAGGAGGCGGGTAAGGAGTCGGGTGTTTGTCCATGTGGCTGTCAGTAGTGCGAGAAGCATGTCTCTGACGGCGGCAGCAGACTTGCAAGCACCAAGTACTATGAACAGTTGGAGGGCAACAGAAAGCCACACCATTTCCCTGCTCCCATAGCTTCGTCTCGCTCGTACTACTACTACTAGTAGTAGTAGTAGTAGTAGTAGTAGTAGTAGTAGTAGTAGTTGACAACCGACATGGCCAAATGCTGCAGCGGCTCAACGGGAATATTTGAAGAATGAGTGGGAACCTTTTGCTCTTTCCCGCACAAACACAAAGCGGAGACCGAGAGCTGTGCGACCCCAGCTGGAAATGGAAGCAATGGGTAGCGACGATCATGATCTACTGCGTCATCGATCCATCCCATGCCATAGCTTCTCGAGACCTGTTTCAACGCTCCTGCCCGTCTTGCTCCCCACTTACGAAACATAAACGACAGGAAGCTGGGTTTCTTCTGGGCCGTCAATTATACCAATGACTTAGATCAATCGAACAAACTGATTTTGCGTCTTCGTTGATACTTACATGCGAGTGTCAATGGTGACCAAAGCTCAATTCGAAAGCGGTAAGCACTACATCGACACTCGATGCATATCCTACGTAACCCGTTATCTCAAACTAACTGAAGATGCTAATATTGGAATCATGGCGGTGGCAGGTCACAAGATACACCGCGGTGACTGACCAGGAATTCCCGGGCAAGGAAAGCATAATGACCAACCCCAAGTCCCTTTTTGACGAGCTCCCCACAGACGACGGCAAGATCCAGGAGTATAAGGCGGCCGGGAAGCTCGAAGGAAAAAACGCAACCATTACGGGCAGAGACTCTAGCATCAGCAGGGTTACGGCAATTCTCTTTGCGATGGAGGGGGCCGACTCGCTCATCACCTATCTAGCATAGGAGGAAGACGACGCCTAGGAGACTAAGAGGCGTGTTGAGCAGCATGGCCGCAAATGCTACTTGTTCCCGACTGACATCACAGATCGAGAGGACTGCAGAAAGGTTGTTGACGAAGCAGTCGAGGCCTTTGGTGGGCTATTGAAATTCTCTTCAACAACGCGGCATTCCAGATGATGGTCGAAGATATAAAAGGCCTTGACGAGTAAGCTGACTTTCGCTCTCCTGAAAGAACATGAATTTCGAGGCATCTAACGTAGCCAACCTCTATCTCCAGGGACCAGTGGCTCCATGCCTTCAACACAAATATTCACCCCATCTTCTACCTCTCCAAGTATGCCCTGCCGCACAGAAGCGCGGCAGCACTATTATCAACAATGCCAGTATCAATGCCTACACTAGCCGTCCAGATCCCCTCGACTACACGTCCACCAAAGGTGCCATCGTCTCCTTCACACGGGGATTGAGTAACCAGCAGGTGGGTAAGGGCATCCGGGCCAAGGCCATTGCTCCCGGGCCGGTGTGGACGCCTCTTATTCCGGCGACCATGACCAACGGCGCCAAGAAACAGTTCACCGCTCCCATGGGCCGGCCCGCCCAGCCAAGTGAGATTGCAACATGTGTAGTGTTTCTGGCAGCTGCCGATAGCTCGTGTATCAGCGGGCAGACAATCCATTGCAACGGCGGAACCATTGTTAGCGGTTAGGCAGCAAACGCGAGTATTAGAAGAAGGTGCTAGAATGCTTTCGGACAATAGTAACAACAATGACAATATGTGTATGAATAGGTACACCGTCACAGCTATCGTGTGAGACAACGGTCGATTCGTTTGCCAACAAACGCAGCTCAACTAAACAGACGCCTATAAATAGCAGGATGCTTTCAAGTCCGCTCAATTGTTCGTTACCCGGCTCGAGTTTGTGCATATTGATATTTGAATTTGTGCTTTACTTTGGCCGCATCGCCTCTCTCGAAAGATTACTCGAACGACTTTGACTTGGTCAGACTGCCTAGCTACCTGCCTAGGCTGATAGGCCGCGTGAGACTCTACCTCACGCCGATTTTACCCAGTTCAAAGGAGGCCGTCAGCCCGCCCAGCATAACGAATCCGTTTCCCCTCGCATTTGGCGCCGTTCGGGCGGAGCCGCCCAAGGATCTTTATCTACGATGGACCAAAACGTCGCCCGGGAAGTAGCCAGGGTCGTGGCAGCCGTCTGTGTTGGACTACTAACGGCACCCGCGATCAGCTACGGCTGGAAAATGAAGGCTCGCCTCGGGGGCTATGTCCCCGTAAACGTGGCAGAGCACTACGAAGACAGGGACGGTGTGGCCACTGAGGCATCGACCCAGTCGTATTCAGACATGAAGGCGAGAATCGCAGTCTGGCTTGGTGTTTGCATCGGCCTGGTCTCGTCCTTTGCGTCAAGGGTGGTAGCCTTGACGCTCTTGCAGCCACCGGGTCACCAAACCGGCTCCTCGTTACTGTCGAAATTGTCCTCGTGGGCTGATTTACTTTCCTGGGTATGCTCGCGCTACGAATTCCAAGCCTCGTTCCCCTGCCAGTGTTCTCCCGGCTGTGCCTGCACCGAAGATGCCGTGGCCGAAGATGCTGTACTGACAGGATTATTTGCTAACTCAAAGGTGTTCTGCTTTGCTGCCTAGGTCTTTTTATCAGCCCAGTGTGCATGTTTCCCTGCTCAGCACCAGTATCTCGAACGGTTTCGTTTGACTGTTTTTGGGCTTTTCTCGTCCTTGCTCCTGGCTGCTTCTGTGGCCCTGCGCCACGGACAGTACTTCACGTCCGTCCAGGACCTTCTGTGCCTGGCTCAACTGGTATCGGCCGTGTCCGCAGCCTGTGCCTTTGCTTCGTTCCCGCGCCGCCCAGACGTATACCACAGGGGCCAGTTAGTCGACCAGCAATACACCGTGTCGCTGCTGGCTTTCTTCTTGTTCTCTTGGAACCAAGCCGTCTTTGGAGTTACCAAGGAACGGCAGATGGAGATCGAAGACATGCCAGGCTTAGACTTTCGTACTCGCTCCACGAACCTGCAGTCCAGGTTCCTCGAGGGGTGTGGTGATGGGCCCCTCTGGCGAAAGCTCGTTAGATTCGGGACTCGCGACCTCGCCCTGCAATGGTCCTTTACACTGCTTCTCTCTTTGTTGTCCATGTTCCCGCAGCTGGTTCTCTTCAACTTTCTGTCCACGATTGAGAGTAGACAAGGGCGCGCGTCTTCCCATCTTGTCCTGTACCTCTGGGTCTCTGGCCTGCTTGCCAGCCAGTTCCTCCAAGCAGTAGCCACCAACATGTTGAAATGGGTCACAGTGACCCGCCTTGAGATTCCAGTGGGGTCTCTCCTGCAGTCGTTGGTGTTTTCCAAGGCCCTCAGGCAGTACGATACGGCCGCTCTCCACCCTGTCGAGGGGGAGGGGGACAACAACAAACGGATCGAGGGAGCAAGTCGAAAGAAAAAGGGTGACCGAAGAAATCAAGAGGCAGGGCAATCCGTCGTCGCCCTCGCAAAGCTGGACAGGTATGCCACGGGCAAAGAAAGCGTATTAAAAGGGGGGCTGGGGTACCGGTCTAACCTTTTCGCAGTTCAATCGTTGCCAACTTCTGCCAGTACAATAAGGATCTTCCCATGGCACTCTCCAAGCTCGCGCTTGTGGGCGGCTTCCTCGTTCACTTGATGGGTTGGATGCCGGTGCTGTGCGGTATGGGAGCGACTGCTCTGGTGTTGCCCCTGAGCATAGGGACGTCACGCAAGCTGCGCGTGCTCAACGCCAGCCTGATGAAGAGCCGAGACGGCAAGACGAATCTCCTGGACGAGGCGCTGCAAGGCATACGCCAGATCAAGTACTCGGCTCTCGAGCCGCATCTGGAAGAGAAGATTCTGGCGAACCGAAACGACGAACTCAAACAGCTCCGGAAAGTATCCATGTGGCAGTGTCTGCATGTCTTCCTCACCTCGCTGGGCCCGCTGCTGCTTGCCAGCATCGCTTTCTTTGTGTATCTTTGGCAGCAAGGAACACAGACCAAGGCATCCGTCGTTTTCACTGCTCTCGGTTTGTTTGGGCAGCTGGAGGAAGCCGTTCGTCTGCTGCCGCCTCTGCATTCCGTTCTGCTCCAGGCGTGGACAAGCGCCTCGAGGCTCGAAAAATACCTTGGGCAGCCCGACAAAGGACCAGGCTCGGAGCCGGGAAAGGCCATCGCTTTTAAGCATGCCACTGTGATATGGCCAAGTCTTCGAAAGACTGAAACCCCAGCGGAAGATTTAGCTGAGCAGCCAATAACCCGCTCCAGACTCACTGACGTTACCTTGGAGTTCCCAAATGGCGAGCTGAGCGTGGTTACTGGCAAGACAGGGTCTGGAAAGAGTCTTCTCCTCGCGGCAATCTTGGGCGAAGCAAGACTTGTTGCTGGTCGAGTATACGTGCCAAGCCCACCTCTCTTCATGGAACGTCCCGAGTCGATCCCAGATTCACAATGGGTTGTTCCCCAGTTGACATGCCTAGTCTCGCAGACGCCCTGGATTGAGAGCGGCACCTTGAGAGACAATATCTTGTTTGGGCTCCCCTTTGTCGAGCGCCGCTACCGCAAGGCTATCGCCGCCTGCGCTCTTGAGAAAGATATTGAGCTGCTCGCCGACGGCGACAGCACCGAGGTCGGATCCAGAGGTGTCATATTGTCCGGTGGGCAGCGCTGGCGGGTAGCTCTCGCCCGGGCTCTGTATTCTCGCGCCGGTATCTTGGTCCTCGACGACGTCCTCAGCGCCGTCGATGCCCACGTGGCTAGGTATATCGTTGACGAAGCCCTCTCTGGCGAGCTGGCGCACGGCCGGACTCGGATCCTGGCAACCCACCACCCCGAGCTCGTCCTCTCCCGCGCAAGCTTTCTGGTTCACCTCCGAGGTGGCCATGTCGAGTCGGCAGGATCACTCCTGAGCGATTACAAGGCTGTTGCGTTCGCCATAGCATCAGCCACCGAGCTAGTCGGTAAGCCCTCGGAGACTGGGCAGCTCCGACTCCTAGGAGCTAGAGAGAATACCGGGAGAGACCGACAGGACAAAGAGAAACGGCAGACTGGGCCTGTGAACTGGGGGGTTTACAAGGCCTACTTCGAAATCAGCGGCGGCGCCTTGTTTTGGGGTGGTGGGATAGCTGTAATCCTGTTCTTGAATCTCCTTGGGGTCGCCCGCACGTGGAGTCTCAAGGAAGTGTCCCAGCACGCGGCCGCGGGGCCCAAGGCGGTTCTTATGTCGGGTATTGATGCCTTTCGTGTCCGAAGCAGCCTGTTCGACCGCGAATCAGGGGCAAGAGGCTCTGAGACCAGAATTGGTTTTTGTAAGTTTGTTCCTGTCTTGGGAGTTTCGCTCTCTACCTATAGGTTCGTTGCCTTAGCGGTTACTGACCCTTTTCAACCACGTAGGGATGACTGCATATGTCGGCTTCGGCTTCTTCATTGCATTCCTCGAGATGCTCCGGGTCATGGTGGTCTTCCATATCGGCCTCAAGGCGTCCAAGCTACTTTTCCAACGCATGGTCCACGCCGTCCTCCGAGCCCCTTTGCGGTGGATCAACAAGGCGACTTCGGGCCGGATCCTCAACCGCTTCATCTCCGACATGACCACGATGGACATGAGCCTCGCGCAAAAGAGCTTTGCCTTACTAAACGCCGTTCTCTCTCTGGTCATCATCATCGGGGCTGGGTATGAAGCCGTCTCCTGTCGAGGGTCTCGCAAAAGGCGTGATGGGTGACAATAATGCTGATGATCGAACATGTGTGTAGCCTCTCGGTATCCTTCTCTGTCACCTTCGTTAGCATGCTTCTCTTTGTATACTACATCCGCACCGCGCAGCAGTACATGGACATGTCGCGCGAGGTAAAGCGGCTGAACTCAATCTCGCACTCCCCCATCTACGACCATGTCAGCTCTGTTCTCTCTGGGCTCTCGACTATACGCGCGTTCAGGCGTACCCATTTCTACATGGATCGTATGTGCGACCTTATCGATGACAGCTCGCGGGTCTCGTGGTCGCTGTGTCTCTCCAATCGCTGGAGGTCTCTTCGCATGGGCACGCTAGGCGCCTTCTTCGTCAGCGCCGTTGCTTCGGCTGTGGCCATCACGGGCGTCGACGTCGCTCAAGCCGGCTTCAGCTTGTCGTTTGCTTTGCGCTATACCAAGACGCTCACGTCTCTTCTCCAGGCCTTGACGTACGCCGAGCTCGGCTTCAATTCGTGCGAGAGGGTGATGGAATATGCCGCGATCGAGACGGAGCCTGAGGGCGGGCAGGACCCCCCAGCGGGCTGGCCCTCCGAAGGAAAAATTGCTGTCGACAACTTGACGGCCGCGTACAGCAGCGACATCGCCCCGGTCCTAAAGGATCTGACATTTGTCGTCAGGCCTGGAGAGCGGTTTGGAATTGTGGGACGCACAGGTGCTGGAAAGTCCACCCTAGCAGCCGTTCTCTTCCGTCTCCTCGAGCCTAGCAGCGGGGCTGTCTGCATCGACAACATCGATATTTCGACCCTTAAACTAACCGGGCTGCGGAGCCGACTGGCCATTATCCCCCAAGATCCATTTCTGTTTTCGTAAGTTGTGCCCCTCAACCCACCCCTCGAATCATGTATCGAACTGTCGATCGAGAGCCGACTTCTTCTGATTCTGACTACCTGTTAGCGGAACCCTACGCTCAAGCCTACTTCCAGCGGGAAAGGCTCTTGGCGATGACATCCTGCTTGCAGCACTGAGGCGCGTAAATCTGATCGATCCACGCTCAGCATGTCGGACCACGGCACATCATCAGGCCGGAAATGGTGATGCCGAGGCGGCATCTACCTCATTGTCGGTCTCCTATCCAACCGATATCTCGCCTACAGATCAACCCACTTGGGGAGACGCGCCTACAGGCGCCAGATCAGAGAACAGCCCGCCGGCACATGTCGAGCTTAGCCCCGGACCGGAGAGTTCCAAAAGACGGCCTCAGTCCAACACAATCCCAGACAACACTTTTGCGGGCCTGTCGACGCCCATCAGCCAGGGCGGCAGAAACCTTTCGCAAGGACAACGGCAGCTCGTGTGCCTAGCAAGGGCACTGTTGACGCGGCCGCGCATTCTCGTTCTCGATGAGGCCACTAGCGCCGTCGACCACGCCACCGATGCTGCCCTGCAGGCCTCGCTGCGTCGGGAGTTCGCCACCACCGGTTGCACCGTCATTGTCATCGCCCATCGCCTGTCCACCATAGCCGACTTTGACCGCATCCTGGTGTTGGAGAAGGGCCAAGTGGCCGAGATTGGCAGCCCGAGGGAATTGTTCGAGGAGGGGCAGCGGCTTGCGGCGGCCAAGGAGGCTGACATCAAAACACCCAGCGACGGGGCCGATATAGTTGAAGATAAAGGAAAGGGCAAGGCCAGAGTGATTGAAGCGGGAATAGGTGGGTGTGCAAGTGTGGACGCGGGCACAGGCGCGGTTGTGGGAAAGGGGGCATTTTATGAGCTGGTTCAGAAGAGCGCCGATCGGGACAGCCTCATGAACATGATCTTGTGTCCGGAGAAAGGCGGCACTTAGGAGCCGCGACTTTGCTGTTCAAACTCGGACACGGTTTCTCGACAGGCCTCTATGCTTACTGCTTAGTGAGGTTCTTGTCTGGGTTGGACATATTACTGTCCTAGTAGACCGCAGAGCGGTCGAGGCAGACACCGTCCTCGTCGTTTCTCGAAGAACGAAATATGAATTTACTATTGTTTTTTCTACGCTTCCGCTATTTGGATGTGATATACTAGCACGCGAGCGGAGTCTGGAGAGGAGAATATGCGGGTCCTCATAGCTACCCGAATAGGAGACGGGCTAGGTCGAATCGCAGGTCTTGCTTCTGCCCCCACGAAGCCATTGATTTCTCGCTCTTTGATAAGCCGGGTCGGTTGGTCGATCAATTACCTAGACTCGCTACACAGCTGAATACATAATTATTCCCCGCTCCGGTGTCCGTGGTAGGAAACGTTGACGTTGTAACGGCTAGACGTAGCCGTCGGGGGGCTAGAATGGAGGGTAGGAATTAGGCTCCCGAAAACAACCACCACATGCCCAGGTGCCCTCGGAAACAGCCGACATCATTCTGAGGGCGTTACCGGAAGCAGGGAAAGCCAGGGACAGGAAAAAGATAAAAGGGAGTAAGTCTTCGGTTTCCTAATAGAATATAGAGGGCTAGAGATTAATATAGCAACGTTCACGTCTACCACTTCCCTACCTCTTGTATAGCACCTTGCTGCCCGAGACTCACCCCAGACCATCACAAACTCCTATTCGGCTTCATTACGTTGATACCTTGCTGGGCTTTGCTCCGGTTACATATAAAAAACATCGGGTAGCTAACAGCGCGACCCCCTATTTGACCCATCATCACGAACACATTAAAGGTTAATATAAGCATTTGCTATGATACAGCAAAACTTCAAACAATTTTATGGCACAGACAGAGTTATACTAGCAACGCCGGTGTTAAGTCATAAAGGAATTCATAATTATCGCAAGCATATGACAATCGCAAGGGAGCCCGACCAACCAAGGAGAAAGTCTGGTCCAAAAAGAGTATCGGGAAAGATGTCTATTGATCCTACTTCCGAATACCGTGAGGCATAGCGAAGAGGATGCTACCATCTAGAAAGTATGCTATACTGGGGCTGCCAAAGAAAACAAGGCTCTATCTATGTGGGGGAGAAAGGGAAGGGAGGGATATATAAAAATAACAAAGTAGAAATCCGTGCTAGGGGTGTGTGGATTCTGATGACCGAAATCCAGATAAGCGGCGACAAGCACCTCTCTATCCAGCTTTCCAAAGTATTATGCCAAGGCCCGCAAAAAGATCAGCTTCGCTTCAACCGTCTGTCCCATTCCAATCGATGACAACCAACTAGCATCGGGACTAACAGGAGCACCACCAAAACCTGCCATCTTGACCAACCACCTCAAAAAAACCCTTCCTCTCATGCACACATGATCCACTCTCTATCCCAGAAGGAATCCACCGTCTCTACGAGACTGTCTCCCTCTCTCCAACAAATATACCATAGGACAAATGTTTACGTCGATGTGATTGCTTCCCACTTGGTTGGCTCTCTCCTCATGACTGACTGACCGACTTATAGATAGTCGCCTGTCGTCGAGGATATAAACCTAGGATGCTGTCTCTTCTCCGCTGGTAAATACGTTATGTCGCTTTGATGTATAAAGTAGAGAGGCAAGTCGGTATTGATGTTATTCTTTTCGTAAAACCAAGGACCCATAGCTGATGTATATCTCCCTTGGTTTCTTCGCGTCCGAATAGGGTTACTATTGCTTCTCCTAACTTTTCGTTGTTCTCGTATGGAGAACCTGTGATTCAACTTCCTTCTTACTCGGGTGTGAAAAAGTGTTAGATAGATCGAATACACCGACAGGAAAATATACTCTGACATTGCCGTCGTGGTAGTTAGGCAGGTAGGCGTGACTAGGAGACTAAGCCTCCTCGTCGTCGTACTCGGCATCTTGATCCTCGTCGCCCTCGAAGACCTCGCCATCATCGTAGACCTCGTCGGCCTCGCCATCAATGTCGGCCTCGTCAGCCTCTCCACCATCGTAGGCCTCGTCAGCCTTGCCATCAATGTGGGCATAGCCGGCCTCATCAAAGTCATTGTCCGTCTCCTTCGAAGTCGGGCGAATGGTGGTATACTCCATGGACCGGTTATTGACCTGGTGTTGGCGCACGCGCCACTGGCCGGTTATGTCCTTGTGCTTGAACCGATGTGCGAGCTCCTTTTTCTTCTCGCTGACCACTTTCTCGCGGTATTCATCGGTCAAGCTAGCTGGTAGAGCTTTCTTGAAAGCCTTGAGCTCACGCTCGAGCTTCTCGTGTTCCTCGTCGGCCTCGAGGAACTGCTGGAAATCCTCCCCACGGAGGTCGTGTCCCCTACGTATTATGACGTCTCGGGGTTGCTCGACGTCATCGTCGCCATACAGATCATCCTCCTCTTCGACGTCCCCAAAAGGGTTGTCCTGGGCGACAGGCTCGTGACGTCGGCGATTGTCCGGCAACGCGGTGCGGCCGGAGCGCGGAGACTGAGTGCCCGCAGGCTGGAAGCTTGCCGCGTTTTGTCGCGCAACATAGTCGCGATTATCCCGAGGGTTTTGAAAATAAACGACGGGCTCCCCTGAAAATCGGACCCTGCTAGGCCCAATGCCGGTGCCGGGAGCACGCGGCGAACTAACAGGCTCCTCTGAAATATAGCCATTACCGGGGGCGCGGGGTGGACGAGCTGGCTCCTCGGGAATATACTCGTGGCCGAGATTGGACCTATTATAGGCCGAGGACGATGATATGCGCGGACCAGGTCCACGGACGGGGTTGCGCGGCAGGCGCGAAGATCCAGAGGCCTGAGCCTCAACGTAGGGCGCACTACCGCGAGCCAGAGCCAGAGGTGCTGGTGCCGATCTAGTCAAGTCGACAACTGGAGGGGACATGCCCCGGATAGGCCTCGCAGTTCGAGGGGCATCGGCATAGAGGCGGTTACTGCCGCGACCAACAGGACGACCACCACCACGAGCAGTGGCCGAGGGACGACGAGTGGCGGCGCCGTCGGTGGGAAGGGGTGCCGGAAGACGGGGGGCAGCGCCGCCGGTGGTGACCCGAGCCCGAGTGGTTGAGGTGCTAGCAACCCGAGTACTAGCAACCCGAGTGCTAGCTGTGCGCGCAATGCGACCACGGCGCACGCGATTGCGTTCCCTATGCCCGGGATATGCCCGATCAAAGTCGAGCGGAGTAATCGTATGCCCACGCGGGCCGCTGAGCTCGCTTGACTCGATCTTGTCGGTGCAGTCGCGGCAGTACGTAATTAAATGGCAGTTGGCACAGCGCAGATTCGGGATCTGGCTCTTAGGTTTGGCACAGTTGTCGCACTTGTTTGTATTGGCGCCTGGGACCGTCCATCCGGTACAGACGCGCCAGGATCGAGAACGGGGGGCAGAACCAGGGGCAGGAAGAGGGGCCGGGGCCTGGGCCGGGGCCGGGGCGGTAGGGAGAGGAGCCGGGGACGGGGTCGCATCGGCAGAGGGAGGCGACAGAGAGGCACCCTCGTCCATTTCCACGTCACTGTCAAACGTGACAGTGACGGGCAGGGGCGTGTCGTTGCGCCGCTCTGTCATGGTAAATGCCGATTGCCACAGGTCGGGGTCGGCGGAAGGGGAGGAGGATGGTAGTGCTAGTGGTGGTGGGCAACCAAACCAAGCCAAGCCCAAAAAGAATCGAAGCCGGCGCTCTAGTACAGAGCAAAAGCAAACCAAGAGATGCCAATGCAAACGTACCAAGAACGAAAGAAGCCGAAACCAGAAGCCAAGAGGCGGAAGTCCAAGCAAGGCGGAAGACAAACTGCCAAAAGACGAAGGAGGCGGAGGAGGAGAGGGAGTGAGAGATTGTCGGTGGAAAAAGGTGAAGGAAGATCGAGGCTCGCAGATAGAGGAGGGGAATAAATACAAAACCGGCTAGGGATCAAATCAGCTGGAGCTGGCCCAAGCTGCACCTGCACTTCCTTTTGCTCCCGAGGGGGAAAGGAAAAAGGAAAAAGGAAAAAGGAAAAAAAGGAAACCGCCGGGCAACGTACTATTTTGTTCGGATGAAGCTGTCACGCAGGAAAAAGTAGGCAGCACGCGGGCAGTTCACCCTTCACACATAAAGATCAGACCCTTTCTGAGCACCAGCTGACCAGTGACATGCCAGGAACGAGCCCCCATGACTAGACGACCACGTATCTAGACACTTCCACAGTCTTGGTCTTTCTACTACGGTCCGTGACCTGACATGACAGATGCTGTTACTGCTGCCGTTCCATTTCATCCTAACTTCTGTGTCGCTCTGCCCTGCCCGTCGTAGAATCAGTACACGGTACAGCTCAGTCCTTGAATGTTTGCTGGCAGGGGACTTTCCAGGATCAGGATAGCCTCGATGCCTTTACTCCTCCCTCTAGAGGTTTATTTACTAAAGGAGGTATTAGCTATTAGGATCCCTTTTGCTTGATCCTTAAGGCCTATCTCTCCTCGAGAAACACGCATTAAAGGCTTTTCCTGCCTGGTCCATATGCCAAATATTTAATATGCCCAAGTACCACGCCAAGAAATATTCAGGGACTGGATTGTACCTTCCCAGTCAGGCCTCAACTATTTCTCGATGGCAGCACCGTCGTCCTAACCCAGACAGTAGCGTAGCTGGCAGTTTGGCCGTCCCATCTCGTACAGAAGCTGGACCTGCCCACGAGGACGATAAAAAAAGCTATCACGTCATCTTCCCGCTCTCCGAATTTCCAAGTCTCAAATCGCTTCTTATCAGGGGGCATGTGTGACCAGCGAGCCGCCCAGCCAGGCCAGCTGACGTAGTTCGGACATGTCTGATCTGATCTGAAGTATTACTGATGGACAACATAGGTACCCAGGTACACAGGTACGTAGGTACGTAGAGGAACAGCACCAGAGAATTGGAAGCTCCGGTGATTTGCAGGTACGCAGGTATGTACAGGGACACCACTCGAGACTTTGGGGCTCCCGTAATTCGTAGTCGCCACCTTTTTTTTTTTTTTTTTTTTTTTTTTCAAACAGACGTTTTCAAAATTGGGTGCCAAAAAAGACGACCACCTGGCCGTCTGAACAAATGCTCCAAGGCTCGGACCATATCCCACTAATATCAAATCACCAGGAGCTGAAGCGTACCAGAATCATATCGTGGGTTCTAATTACCCGCCTACGCAGCCTCCAGGCACCCAACCGTCATATGCCTTTACGTAATAATACAACTGCCTAGAAGTAGCCGGACCTATCTGTTTTGAATGAATAAAGAAAGAAAAAAAGGTGTCAAGATGTTTATTTACTTGCCCCCGAGACAAGGTGGCATTGGCCTCTAGGTATATGAGTATGTGCGGCGTCGTGTACGTGAAGTGTAGTTGGAATTTGGGTAAACGTCGGGTCGGAGCACCGACTGACGTTGCAGATCACTGGCGCCAACTTCGGAAACATCGGGCTGTCTGGGGCCACGCCACGGATTTAATCACAGCCTGGCTGGTCTGTTCTGTGAACCGGGGCCCTGCTCCACAAATCCACAAAGGCAGTGCCATGTTCCCTGGGGGTCGCCAATCAACTTAAATGACCCCCCTCCAGTTCCCCACAATTATTTCATTGGACAATGGATCGGGCTTCATTTAAAATCAGTCGCGCTGTTCGCGTCATGTTGGCGTTGGAGCGCGTCCTCCCCCTCCTCCCCGCCATCTGCGGCTTCGCTGTCTCCCAGATTCTTCTCCCTGGCCACGTCCCCCCTCCCTCGTCTTCCGCCTCCTCTATTCCCCCTGCTGACTTTTCGTGACCCTCCGTCACACGGAAGCCGTCGTGTCCAAAAGTGGGAACCCGAGTGCAGACAGACTGAATGTACACGTGTACCTCGTCCGTATTGTCTCCTTCCGACAGGTGTTGTGGCGGGGGCGCAAACCGGGAATTCTGCGAGAGCCGTTGCAATCTGTTATCGTGTGTCCTGCAGCGCTATCTATCATACCTAAGGTGCCTAGTCCTAGCATAGAATGTAGTGAATACTGTGACCTGCAGTTCCCCCGCCGAAAAGAAGGGTCTAGCTTCTACTCGACGCCTATCTGGCCGATATCGCGTGGGGGAGAAGGAGGGGAAGGAGAAGGAGGGGAAGGAGAAGGAGGAAGGGGATGCCTCCCCGAGGGCCTTTGATGCTCGGCAGGGCAGCATCGTCACCTCTCTCGCACCACCTGCTTTGTCGAGTCAAGGCAGCACACTGCTCCAGAAGCGTCGAGGCATACCTAAGCTAGGTAGACAAGAGATCACGGCAAAGGGAGACGGGTGTGAAAGCCAGGAAGTGAATAAGGTGACAGTGGTGTAGGCACTCCGTCGTGAGATTGCAATTCGTCGTCGACACTCGTAGTGGAGGGGGACAAAGTGGTGTGTGACCACCGTCGTGCCGACGCCAAAGGCGAGAACGAGCCTGCCGCCGTGCAAACAGGAAGCACGATGTATGCCGAGCTATCTGGGCAACCCGCAACCCTCCTTGCTGCGACTTGCCTGCATCGCGACCGCCTAGTCTTCTCCTCGACTGTCCTGTGTGTTCCCCCCCAAGTTCCTGCATGCCCGAGTTGCATCCACAAGTGTATCATCTCTTTAGCAGCAGACGATTCCGCACCCCACCCACACCGCACCGTGCTGTTTTGCCTGCAGAGGAAGATAACCTGAGTATGATCGCCATTGTGCACAGAGCGTCCCTCAGAAAGAAAGAGCCCTCTGATGATGTCTCTCCCAGTGAGGCGACACTGAAAGGGCGCGTGCATGCGCGTGTGGGTTGCCTCCGAGGAGGCGGACGGACCGATGCACAGACAAGAAAGGCGTCAGACATCGCAGGCGCAGAGTCGCTCGGAAATATATCTACCTACCTACCTACCTTAGCTATCCGTAGCCACGATGCAGCAGTTATCAACGCGGCTAAAAGACGCAGACTTCGCTCCCACCAGGCTTGTCATATCCGCAAGGTCGTTCGAACCTGGCTCAGCGTCCCTTATGACCTGGCATATTACCCGTTGCCTTGTCCCGAACAATCCGGTGTACCTGTTTGGTACCCGGTCCGAGTTCGAATATATTGACCGTCGTGTTTGCCTGTTTGCCTCGTGCTTGTGTGCGTGTGTGTGTGTGTGTGTGTGTGTGTGTGTGTGTAGAAGGGATAAAGAGAAGCAAGGCACAGAGTATAGGCCCCAGGGCCGAGGAAAGAGCCGCTAAGGGCTGGCCTGCTTTGAGGCTATCTCAAATTGAGGTTTGGTCGTCGGGAGACCCTTACTTCGTACATTCTACCTAACTCGAAAGCCCGGCCGACACTCGTACCTAATCTGCAGAAAAACTAGTGCTGTCTATGACAGAGAAAGGCAATCGCGCCATAGATAGACAAGAATTGGAGTCTGACGTCGTCGTCAGCTAGCTGCTGTTGCTGATCGGATCGGATACGTGCCAAATCGATCGCCGCAACGGGGCAACAGCTCTGGTGGCCTGGGAACCGCCGCACTGCAGTCGATTCTCGAGAGCAAGTCGACAACAGGTACTGGGTTCGCCCAGGTACCGAGCAGCCCTCGACAGATCGCCATGGCTTGATTGCTTCTTTGAAAATGTACCGCTCTTGCAGGATAGGGTACAAAGCCAAGAAGTACTCTCCCGTCTCCAGTGTCTGTCTGTCTGTCTGTGTCTGTCTGTCTGTCTGTGTCTGTCTGTCTGTCTGTCTGTCTGTCTGTGTCTGTCTGTCTGTCTGTCTGTGTCTGTCTCTCGTCTTCGTCACTCTTGAGTGCTTGCATCCGGGAGCCTGCAGCAGCTTCCCCACTGAGTAACCTAAGGACGGGCAGGAGCGAGCGAAAGGCCCGCCTGCGTCGCTCAGGCCCCCTTATTGGCCGGTCCGCCCTGATCACCACCTGGCTGCCCTGCCCATCCCGCCGCCCGTCATGTGGCCCACCCCAGAGAACAGAAACGGCCGGCCGAGGGAACCCCTGCAATCACCTTGCAAGGTCTTATTAGGCGCATTATTTCTTCGGCCTTTGGCCCTGCCAGCGCCCCCCCCCGGCACTCCCTGGGTTTGTCTGTCAGGGAAAGCTCTTCTTCACCCCCCTTCACCTTCCTCGGGTCTGTACCACACCTTCTTGCGCTCAACAACTTCACTTGCCAACCAGCTCGACCTGTCTCGAAATCACCCGCTGCCTTATATACCGGCATCGAGTTCCAACATCCTACACCGTCAGACGTCGAGCGACTTTTTTTTGGAGGGAAACCATCGGCTCCGAATCAACACGAGGCATCTCCACACCAGCTCCAGTCGCATAGCACGCGGGCGCATTCGTACGCTTGTCGCAAGCCGTTCAGTTTCCCGGGTCGTCCACATTTAGCCACCACCAGCAACCAGAAACCAGCCAGCGCTCCCGCTTTCCCTCGACGCGCCCATTATTAACGAGCTAGCCTGAGCTTTCCGAGACTATACTATACGTCGGCCACGTTATACGTATTATACACACTACGGGGGCGCCGATCCCAATCGCCCGCCATGTTGCTACCGTCGGCGTTTTCGTGCGACTCGTCGCAGCCGCCGCTCACGCGCCTCCAGTCGGCCCTCTTCGCATCGCCGCCTGCGAGCCCGCCCCAGCTGTCGACGCAGACGGCCGTCGGCAACATCTTCACGACATGCCGGTCGCTGCAGGCGCTCCTCGCGGCTCCCGCGCCGCCGCCAGTCAATGTCGCGCCCATCACGCCGCCAGCGTCGTCGCACGCGCACGCATACGGGCAGCAGCTACCAACGCCGCCCATGGCGCACGCACCGTCTCCGCTCAAGCTACGACTGCGCTCGCGCAAGACCGAAGGACAACAGCCCGGCGGCGCCGACCACGGGCCTGCCAGGAAGCGCATCGTGAAGCGGTCGGCCCCTCCACGCGGCGTCAACAAGCGCCGGCGTGCGCTGGATGACGACATGGGACGGGACGATGAGGACGGTCTCGAGAGTGAGCCGGAACACGAGTATGGCCAGAACAAGGAGAATGTCGACGACGACTCGGAGATTTTGCCGTCGAGGCCGCAGACACCCAAGCGGTCCCGCATCGCCCCCGAGATCATACCCCTGGGCCTGGAGAGATCAGACTACCACGTGCTGCACCACGCCGACGGCGCGCTCAGAGACGATAGCCGCAGTGGCAACGGTAACGGCATGACGGAAGGGGCAGACGGAGTCCTCGAGGCGGACGGCGAGCTGTGGAGCACCGAGGAGGACCGCATCCTCGTCGAGCTGGTGCTCGAGAAGCTCAAGCTCACAAAGTCGGACTGGCAAGACTGCGCGCGCAGCCTGGGCAAGGACCGCGGCAGCGTGGGGCGACGGTGGAAGAGCCTGATGGTCAACGGCGACGTAGGGCTCAAGAGGAGTAGTCGGCGCAAGATCTACGGCACGTGGAGGTGATGGCTATTAAGGAATAGCAGGCGCCTCCTCCATTCCTGCCTACACGACATACTGTACTACTATTACTACTAACTACGCATTTGTGTTTTTTGTAACATCAACTTTTAGGAGGGTTTTTCTATTTTTGTCAAGGACAACGGAAGCATGGCTTGGCTAAACATGCCTGGTGGCCACGGGGATGACGGGGGCGTTCGAAAGGGGGTTCTATGGGGTGGACACGGGGTGGACCACGGGTTTTTCGGGGATCGGGGAGTTGGTCATGATGATATCCCCACAGGTTGGCGCGCGTGTTGTGAGCGCTTGTTACTTTTTGCCTTGTTGCGCAAAGTTGGCACTCGGAGTCTTTTGGATATTTGCTACTCCATTATTATGACATTTACGACATAACTCTAGACACTATTTAGATTCTTCATTTTTGTTTCCTTTTCTCCTTTCTTGGTAGTAGCTGCCTTACCTACTGCTTAGCAGTGCTGGTTAATCTAACGCGCCGGCTTGGCCGCTTGTTTCGAAACTCTCCCCAGTCTGACTCTAATTTTCTGATATCCGCAAAGGTAATGCGTAAGATAATCACGGAGATTCTAATTATGGAGATGGGGACAAACCCGCCGAGCCTCAGCTCACCTCCCCTCACCTCGCAGCGTGGGTGAGGGAGGACCAGACCAATACCGGTACTTGTCAGGCCGGGTGGCTACAGCAGCGGCTCCTTACACACGTGGGATACATTGGACAGAGGCAGGCAGGCTCGAGGCTCCGGGGGGGGGGGGGATTGCGTGCCTTGCAGTGAGTGGGATAGATGCCGAGACCTTCCCTGGGAGTGTGAGATTGTGTGGGATTTTGCCATGCTTGCTTTGCTTGCCGGCGTCCGAAGGGATCTCAGCATCGGAATAACGCAAGGTAGGTAGCCAAGGGAACCGGGGGTGGCAGTTGTTTGTGTAATATGTAGAAAGAGAAGGAGAATGCGCCTCAACCACACGTCATGCCGCCGCCGCCGCCTCCGCCGCCGCCAGGAACAGGTCCTCGTTCCTGGATGCCAATGCGGAGGGATGGCAGACACTTGGTTGGCGTTGGGACCCGATGCGAGGCACAGCCAGTCAGTCGCCCTAACCATACAAAAGCTAATAACTTGAGGTAATCCTTTTGTTGCCTGACATGACCTGACCTGATCCCGACCCTGACCTTGACCTGGTCTTGATGGAAGCTTACAGTGCACCTACCTACCAACCTTGGTTCCTACCTGCCTGCCTGAGTCCGAACTTATAATACTTGGCAATCAATACGTGGGAAGAGCAATACGCGAGAAAATGGCACTACGTATGATGCCGTCAGCCGCTTGCTGACCGCCAGCCCACCTTACAGTTGCAACGCCTCACCGTGCCCGACGACTGTCCCCTCCTAGATAGTATGGCGGCGATGCGACAAGGTTTAGATTTGGGGTGGGTCAGTGAGCGCAACACGGCAACACGGAAAACGGAAGAAATTTGATCGATCTGAGCTTTTATTCGGGATCCCTCCCTCCCTCCTTCCCTCCATCCCTCCGATCTGGCGGCGCATGGCCTAGCCTTGCCGCTCGGTCTTGGGTCCGGGCCTACCTTACCTTATTATGCAAGATCCGACCCGCGAGGAGGGCCGTGGCCGTCTTGGACGGCCGACTGTGTGTGTGTGTGCGTGCGTGCGTGTATGTGTGTGTGCCCCTCCTTTTCTCACCCACCCCCACACACCACCTATTTCGCGGAATAAAGAAAAAATGTAGCACTTTGACAGGTGCGGTACGCACGCAGGAAACGAAACTGCAGACGAACCAGAGGGGGGACGGGTGGGGAAGGGAAAGTCTTAAGATGCCATAATAATGAAACAATATTTTCGAGGGGCAGAGGGGCTCGAGCTCGAGGGCGGGAAACATCCAATGCTTGGAAGCGAGCGGGATGGCGTGCAGCTTGTGCTTGGCTTGGCTTGTTAGGTCTGTGTCCACAGTCTCTTAAGTAGTGCCGCCGCTCGGGGTCCCGTCCGCCGCCCCTCGCCCTGGAGGGGCTCGGATGCTTGTTTTATGAATGTCTTCTCGGAAGCGATTTTCTTATTTTTTTCTTAGTCAAGTCTGGTCTTGATAGCGTTTCCCTCCCCTATCCAGCCAAACACCAAGGTAAGGTAAGGTAGGTAGCAAGGAAGATGGGGAGGGGTGGTATATAATGTGGAAAACACGCAAGGTACAGTACGTCCTCTGTTCCTGAGGCACAGAGGGACATGGAAGTAGTACGTGCTTTCTCTCGCGCTGGCTCCTCCTCCTCCTCCTCCTCTTCCTCCTCCTCGGCGCAACCATAAAACCCACTCACCTCACCTCACCTCGGACCTTTCCCCGGCTGTGCCCTGCGCTGGGTGTTGTGGGGAGGCGATGCTCCCGGCATCCTACCTGATCCCTTTCTCCTCTAAACGCCCAACACGCTCGGCTTCTCCACACCTCCTTGCATCGCCGCGTGCTATTTGCAGGATTGTTTCATACCTTGTTCCGCAGCAAGAGGGGTTACAAGAGATGGAGACAGAACCAGAAAAGAGAAGCCGAAATAAAGGAAAATAGCATGCGGCAAGTTGCTTATTAGTGCCTCAGTGCCTCAGTGCCTAGGTGGCTGACGGCTGACGGCTGACAGTGCCTGGCATGGCGGCGGCGGCGGCGGCGGCGAATAGCGACATGTTAAATTAGGTGAGCAGTTCTGCGGGCTGCAATGCCCTCCGCGAGCCTTTCCAGTTCCCACGTCCCTTCCCGTTCATACTTGTTCTATTGATGTCGCGCATGACCGCGCGGAGCGCACCCCTCGGCCGAAGGACGGGAGAAGAGGAGAGCCAGACCGAGGCGGGCTGTTCTGCTCCCGCCTTCCCAAGGGATGGCTGGCTGTCATGTCATAGCGAGCGGAACAAGCTGCGCCGTCCACCGAGCATTGGCTACCCTCTGTTTCCGTTGACCGTCTCCCCTTATTCTCTCCAACCTCGGCCGCCCTTCTGTCCATGCCTGCCAATGTTGTCCGTGCTTGGTCCCCGTCCGCACAGGCCGGGATTCCCTCGGTATTGTGGGGGGCGATCTCGTGTATTGTACAACACGGAAGCCCTCTGCTATTCTGTAGACGGCAGCTCTGCGCCGAGACAGTAGTTCTGTGCCCTCCTTGTCTGCAGGCAAGGGATAACACGGGGCCCAGTGGTCAGGACGATGCACTCTTCAGCTGTCAATTTCTGCCCTCCTTGCGCCGCATGTTAGATTTGATTTCGTGTCTATTGTATGTACAGGTAAGGCCTTGCTCACCCTGTAGACGACCAGATCTTAGAATGGGCCGACAAGGAGAGGGGCGCAAGTTTGTCCCCGTTGCCCGTCCTCCAGCGGCCACCGACTCAGGCCGCCACGACGACCCACAACGAGCCGTAACCCCCTTCCTCCCTTGTTATCATTATTACGGCATGGATGGCAGACCATTGGCCACTTGTGTGAGTTTCCATGGCCGATCGGTTGCGCGGGGCACCAGAAAAGGGGCAAATATGGGAAGCCTGTTTTGGACATCTGCCCTCTCATCTGCCAGCTGACTTAAACTCCTCTGGTAGTTTCTCGGACCTGCCGTCTCCCTCGTGTCATGGAAATTAGTATTACGCGCGGCCGTCACCATCCGTCGAGAAGCGTCGTCTGGACGTGCATTCCGTGCGCCGGCTTCGAGGTTATGCCGCCCTTGATGTCGATCTTGGATTCGTCCCGGTCAGCTTCGTTGTGGAGCTCAAAGGAGAACCGGCCGACCCAGGCCGCCAGCAGACAAGCAAACTCGGCCTTGGCGAATGACTGTCCGATACAGCTGCGCGGTCCATGTAAAAAGGTCAAAAAGGCATAGTTGGTCGTCGCACCGCCGCTCGCCGCGCGCTTGTCCCCGTCGAACTTCGGCATCCACCGCTCAGGGTTGAATTCGCCCGCGTCAGACCCCCAAATGGCGACAGATTTGTTGACGGCCCAGGGTGCGAGAAATATGGGCGTACCCTTGGGAACGAACTGGCCCTGGATGCTTGTATCGCACGCGGTCACACGCGATGTCGAGGCCACGGGGGAAAAGTACCGCAAGACTTCGTTGCACACGGCGTTGAGGTACGGCAGGCTATCAATTTCAGTGCTCGAGATGGCCGAGTTGCCTGTGATGGGTGGGAGGTTTTGGCGGATCTCGGCTCTTAGGCGGGCCTGGACGTCTGTATGCTTGGCCAGCAGGTAAATGGCCCAGGTCATGGACGAGGCCGTCGTCTCGTGGCCGGCGGCCAGAAACGTCATGAGCTGGTCCACTAGATTCTCGTCGGCGAAGCCGCCAGACTCGAGGGCGACCGACAGAATGTCGATATCCACGCGCTCCTTGCCAACTAGCTTCTGCTTCTTCTCACTGATCAAGGCGGCGCACGTCGAGCGTACGAAGCGCGATGCGTTGGAGATTTCTATGTTGCGTTTTAGAGGCAAGGCAGTGAAAAGTCGGAGCGGAATCAGCATCGACAGTGCTATCAGAATGCGTGGTTCCCTCGACGGCTCAAACAATGTCATGTAGCTCTGGTTTAGCTCGTTGCTGGGGTCCTTGAGGGCACCAAAGTCGCGGCCGAGGGCGGCAACGCCAATGATATCGAGGGCCACCCGGGAGGCAAATGAGCCAACCTCAATGACGCCAGTGCCCTTCTGGTCGGTGGCGGTGCCGGAGAGGATCTTGTCCGTTATGACTTGCACGCTCTCGCGTGCCTTGTCCCAGAAAACGGGATAGAGCTCCTTGATGTGGCGAAAGGCAAACGCCGGCATCAAGCTCTTCCGCTGCTTCTTGTGCTCGTCGCCCTCGGCGAGCAGCAAACCGATGCCCAGGAGGCGGCCGAGGAAGTGGCGGAACTCGTCAGACTTCTTGAAGTCATAATTCTTGGTAACCAGCACTTCGGCAAGAGCCTTTGGAGAGGCGATGAGCAGCCTCTCCTGGTTGAAGAGACCAAGATATCGTATCAGGCCGTAGTTTGGGATTGTGTTAATCCTAAACAAGGTAGTTGTTTATCAGCAAGCTTATTCCACAAGAGCAGCCGAGCAGATAGCCCGAGATCCACAAGGATGCGTACCACTCCAGCGCAGGTGCGCCCATGGGCATGCGGGATATTTTAGGGAACTGGCCAAGCAACCACGAGCCCCCGTCTGGCTGGGGCAGATGGCGAAGAGGCGAAAAGAATTTCGGATACACAAGGACCACCCAGACAGCCCAGGCGAAGAACTGGACGGCCCAGGCGGCCGCAAAGGCCGAGACAAAGCCCAGCGAAACCCATGGCAGTAATTTGCCAGACGATGCGAGGTAGCCGGCTGCCAGCGAGACAGCCAGGACAGTTCGAGAGGGAAAGCCCATGGTGAATATAAGATCGAGTGACGACGTGGGCGCCCTTCCCAGCTTCTCGTTAGTGAGATGGTTAGCTGGTGCTGGGGTTGACGTTTTGACACCTATGGAGGGGAGATTATTTGGTCGGACTCGGAACAGCGGCAGGCGGGCTTTATCCAAAGCCGAGCGGTAAATAGGTCACAGGCACGTTCTGCGTAACAATTACAGCCTTGCGCCGACGATGACCCCAGATTCGGGATCAGCGGCGGAGTTAAAGCGATTGATAGAATCTCAACTAAAACACGTACATGTGTGTACGTCGCCGGTGCCTCGCAAGGCCACGACGTCAGGCCCTGCTGCGTATTAATTATATCCGTAACCGTCCAGCCGTCATTTGTCACTGCGGATTCCCGCCCGCCCGATCTGCACGCATTCGCACTCGCGTAGTGTCCGTCGGAGCGACTTGTACGCCCACGGAGCCCAGCTCTCCATCGTCGTTGCCTGCCCGAGGCGGGGGGTTGCACTAATCGCTGCTCCCCAACGGGGGCCGCTGTAATTATGGCGCGGCCGGCGACATGGTTGTCCCGTTCCCTCGAAGTACATTCAAGGTACATGAAAATCGGCCTACCCGGTAAAAAAATTATCTGGCCTTGAAGCCCTGTCAAGTACACCTCCGCCGGGGTTTGTTTTGTTAGCTCGGTACATGCCCCACATTCTAACAAGGGCCCCTTGCTACATAAAAGTAGCCTGGTATAGAGCCAAAATTCAGTATTTTATTGTACCACCCTCAGCATCTATGCACATCTGCAGCCTGCGTGGCATCGAGTGTGCCAGCCGTAGAAGAAGATCTTCTGGCACAGCCTCCCACGCCGCCTCTAGAAGCCTGCGAAGGTCTGGTAAATCTAGCTCCTGAATATCCTCGCAATTACATTCAATCCAGTTTTTGATCCACGGCCAGACATTCTCAATAGGCGAGAGGTCTGGAGAATAAGGAGGCCAGCGAACCACATTAACTCCTTGCAGGTTGAGTGCTGCTTTGGTCCGCCGTGCCCGATGTGCTGAAGCGTTATCTTGTTGGAAAACCGAGGCTTGAATCTGGCGATAGAAGCGGATAATAAGCGGAATAATATGCTCGATATAATTATTAGCGCCGATTCCTCCATACTCCTTCTCCCAAACAAACCCTGGCCCTTTTATTCCACCTGCAAAACATCCCCAAAACATCCAACCTTTTGGTTTCCGCCGTTGAAGAGCAAAATCGGCAAGATCTTGCCCCCGGAAAAGGATAACGTGCTTTTTCCACATTGGGTCATTTATTGCCCAAGTTTCATCAGACCAAATAAAATCATCCCAATCTTCTGGATTTGGACGGAGACGAAGCTGTTCCTGGCACCAACGAAGCCTCTGCTGTTTATGGGCAGTAGTAAGGAAAACTCTTCTTGGTCGAATCCGAGATTCTCCTTCTAAATCGTGGACTGCTCGAACAAGGGCAGTTTCACCGTATTCTGCTAACTCTAAAGGAACGTAGTATTGAAGCTGATAAAGGGGAAGATATTGACGGCGTTTATCTTTTAAAAACCATTCTTTTAAACGTTGTTTCTGAGGGGTTCGAATCTTTCCTCGTCGACTTTTGCTTTTCTGTGGTGTCAACGGGCCCTCCTTACAGGCAGATTGGATTTGCCGGTTTGAGAAGGGGGTATTTTCTGCAATCTTCTCGTAAGTCCAACCAGCGTACTTCCGTAGGCCTCGAATTTCGGCCTTTTCTTCGCGTGTGAGGTCTTTGTTTTTATGCCGGCGTTTAGGGGTTGAGGGTTCTGGCAATTGCTCTGGTGGTGGCTCTTGTAGTGGCTCTGGCAGTGGATTCAGGAGGTCTGCAATTGCAAAGGGCATTTTTGGCTGTGGGCGACTGGCTGCACTGCGGGGTGTTCAGCATGCGAAATTTAACTCGCAGGTATTTTGCCACAGAAATTGCTAGAAGAATGACTTGGTTTCTATTTTCCGTATGCGGCTAGCCCAGATGACTAAAACACTGTAATCACCCCTGTAAGTCACTGGAGCTAACAAAACAAACCCCGGCGGAGGTGTAGATATGAAATCCCTCGGCTAAGCCTATATAGGAAGTAGCACGGTCCACGCCAAGAGATGTGTGCAAAGCGAGCTGCGCGGCCGTTGGACACGCAAGACGCCTTTGACCGCGTCACCTCCGCTTTTGGTTGTCAGATTTCCGAAATTTCGGGAGATTCTGGCTTGGAAAGAAATTCTCGGACACCACTACTAGGACTTCCACCATCGCCCCACCTTATTTGGAAGTTCTAGGGTATCAGGTTACATTTGTTTTGCGATCAACCCCCCACCCCCCGGTTGCGATCTCAATGGAACACGTTCGAGGTCCTGGACCCCAATCTAGGATGATGTCAAGGCAATCACTTCACCTACTTTGGATACCATGTGGCTTCCCATCGAATGTCCTTGGGCAAGGCTGTCTGGTTTCGTTAACCCAAATCAAGCCGATGTCCTTCCCGTTTTCCATGGTTTTCTCCCAGTATCTTTTCGTTATGCCTCAAAGGTCCAGACTTGTGTGATGTTGACTTCTGTCATGATGGACCTGCAGCAGGGAATCGGGACTCTATACTTACCTTCAGTAAACTTCAATGGTGCTTGGTTAACACCTACGCCTACAGGCACCCCCCCGACAGAAAGACGAAGAAAAAGAATGGGGGCTGAGACTATTCTGGCTTGGATTTCGGTTGCAGTTACACCGCCTTCCCAAGACGACCGAGAGCGCCATGGCTACTCGCCACGCTCACAGAGTATTGCTTTGACGGCGGTTGCCAGTCTCCTTTCGCTTAGCATACCCGTTTTCCAGCCACTTATCCCACTCCTAGTTCACGAACCACATGAAGCTGCCTGGACTTTCATTATAGTCATTGTTCAGCCACCGTTCCACTATATCGGAAGTTGGCTCGGGATCTAGGCTGGGCTAGCAATTTTTCTGGCGCGTCTTCCAGATATGCGATGGGCAAGGTCAATGATGCAAATGCTGGGATCGTGCTCGTCAACCTCGGGGTTCTCGGCGGCGGCATGACGCACAACGATATTGTTGGTTTCAGGTCATATTTGTCGACATCCAGCTGCCACATCTGACTGTCGGCGTCGATGATATTCGCGATGATGGCCTTGCGCTGGCGATCGCTCAACCTCAACGCTCCGGGATTCTCATCGAGAGACCCCAATACTGTGCCAGGGACAAACTCGTATATAATTGCCCGCACGGATCCCGTTTTCACGTCTTTCCCGACGAGCGAAACATCGAAGGTATAGGACCCATGGAAGCGAGGGAGCGTAGTGCCCCAGAGTGGTTCCAGTTGCTTGTAAGCCTTGACCTCATGAGCATAGGCTGCGTCGCAGGCATAGAAGGGGTCAGACGCAAGCCCAAAGAACAACGGGTCGTATAGTTTGGCCGCCAACAGGCCGTTTGTTGGCAGATATGATGGCGGCAGCTGCTTTCCAGCAGATTCGCTGGAGGCGTCTCCGGCGAGGAACGCGCGAGGTGAGTTGTTGTCGGGAGGAGTAATGGGCTTCACAACTACGATTTAAGAGTTAAATTCGTCGAGGACTCTCATTGTCTTCAGTGTCTCAAAGGACACCAAGCCGCCTTGGGTGATGCCGGGTGCTGGGGGGTGCTCCAGGCACATGTCCAAGATGTGCTTGTTTTTGATGTTGTCTGCGAGCCCCGGACACACGGATATATCTTCTTGGAAGTGGTAGTTTTCCGCAGCCTTTGGCGGGGTATGCCGTCGCCCGAAGAGTATTTTCCCTACGCGGTAGGGAAAAGGCTGGCCTGGGTAGCCTGACGGTAAGCTCCAGCCTAGGATGCCAACAGCCGAATGGGCTCTTCCGAAACGGAAGACGGGATACGACATGCCTGTGCGAGCAGAACGCGGAGGGAATTGAGATAGCGCTCTGGATGGCGATCTGGATGGTGATTAGGACTGCTGCCGTAACGGAGCCTGCGGAGGGAAGCTTGGTACCTCTCATTTGGCGTGGAAGAACGAATGAACGGCGTGAAGTTGCCCAAGTATGTTTTCAACGTTTGCGGCTGTCTTCCGGTGTGCCGAAAAGCGTCCGCGGGAGCTTTGGGGCCCGCTTGAAGTGTAAATACCTACCTCCGAGAAAGTATTTACGGGCATCAAGACTCGGAATCGCAGTCACAGATACTGTCAGCATTCTTGGGAGACTGAAACTAACACGTGATAAGGTGGTCTGGCACCTACCTAGCTCTTAGGTAGGTAGGTACATTACTCAAGAGTATCGTTTGTAACGGCCGGGCATAGCCATTAAATAACTAGAATGGTAGGGAGTGTGAGGGCCTGGTCCTCCAGACCTCCCAGACGCTCTGACTAATCAGACGCCAGCCGGGTGGATCCACCCGACTGACCAATGGAAGCTCGACCAGAGCCCCACCTTGAGACGCCTTGGAAGAATCTCGCGAGGGGAGGCTTTTGAGCTTCTTTTCCCTTTTCCCTTTAGTTTAGAATCTTCGTCTATAGCGCCCAATAGAGGAGTTCCACCCTCATTCCAAGCCGGCCGTGACAGGGAGGAATAGAATGTAGGGTGGAATGAAGTGAATAAGGAAGCACCCGGAACCGGGAGGTTACTTAAGATGACTTCAAAGAGCCCACAAAGAAGCCATGAGGAGAGGCTCTCTAGGAACCTTAGAAATAAGTATAAAAAGGGGGTGTTTTCCATGGGAAAGAAATGGGGGTAGTGATTAGTGTAAGAGAGGGCAGGTACGCCTGATTAAGGTGGTCACGATGTAGGTAATGAGTGGAGTGAGCAATGACTGGTATTGGTGTGAGACTTCAACAACCAACCTGGCCCTCGCAAAGGAAGGTGACGAGGGCCACTGCTTATATACATGACGGTGTGCTTGGGCCCGCGGACGAGAGGTCATGACAAAGGAGTGGGGTCTTGGGAAGCGGGTCGTGTGTGTGTGTGTGGGTTGGGGTTCTTTCCTTACAAATTAGATAATCTAAGTCAGCCTATTTGAGACCGGATAACTACTAGTTTATTTAGTAGTTATATACTATAAGTTTATATTTGAACTAAACATCCTTACTAATAGAGTGTCCTAATTTTTAATTAAAGTCACGGTTGCTCAAATTGACATAGCTATTCAATTCCGTCCGAGGGGCATAGTTTGATTTTAAACTAAGTGCCTTTGGTGATCCTTTAGAGGCCGAGACTTTGATTTCATATTACCGGTTGGCAGCCGAGTTCGAGCTGTGTAATGTTGTTGAATTAACTACCCTAGAATTTGAACGCCAACGGATGTTTGAACTTTAGTCTCATTCTCGTATTTTACAGTAGCCGACGAGTGTAGGCCTACACGGTGAACTAGATAAATAAATTTAGGTGCCTAGGTATGTAAGTAGGTAGTATTTGCTTTCTACATTGGAAGTGCGCTCTTCAGGTTCGAGTGAAAGGATAAAAAAGACAAAACCAGTACTCGATCTAATCAACGAGCCCACGAAGATGACGGAAACTCTACCTATCAGCAAAGGGTGCAACCTCAAAAGCAATTGTCAAATAGTTTCAGATTTCCTATCTAAGGATGGGCACCTTAGATAAGGTAGGCAAGGTGGGGACCTTCCCACGGAACTCGACTTGTCCCTTTGTACCTAATGCCGAGAGGGGCAATCTGTCTTGCAGCATGCCGCCTCGGGGTTACCTCCATTACCTTACCTTAAGTATTCCTGCGGGGATCTTCAGTCCCAGGCTAGCAACCAACACCATTCCGAATTCGGTCCGTGTCAACCCCTCCTGAGTCACTGCCTCTCCCTGGGCTGTCTCCTCAACCCGCATTTGCACTGAAATTGTTTTTGTGATACTGCCTGCCGGCCAAATATGGATTTCGTATCGAGCGCTGATCTTGGATCTGCCTCGAATCTAACGAGAGCGGCAGACCAATCACGGGGAGCAGAAACAGAGACAGAAAACCTGAAGGACCTCATCTTGCCCCTGCGCGATGCGTCCCGAAAGCTGGTCCGCGAGTGGGGGTTTCTCCGGCCGAGACTCGCCGGCTCGGCTCTCTCGCCCGCCGCGGTGCACTGCCTGATCGAGATCGGCGACCACAACGTGCGCGTCTTCTCGCACCTCTGCGCCGAGCTCAAGATGTCGCCCAGCCACTTGAGGCGCACTGTGGCAGAGCTCGTGGCCCGAGACCACATCACCGTCGAAAGTCGGGAGAAGCATCCATCCGCAGGCGAACAAGACAACACAATCTACTGTCTTACTCTGGCCGGCGCGAAGACGCTGGGCGAAATCAATACGTACGCCGAGACCCAGGTCGCCCAGGCCTTGGCCACGGCGCCTCCGGGCACAGGGACCGCTCTGATCACGGCGTTCCGCGTCTATGCTGCCGCTCTGGAGGTGTCGAGGCGCGACAGCACGGCCACTTCCCCGGGACTGCTGCCCAGCACCCCTGAGCAAACTCCCCGCGCGAGCCCGGAGCCGACCCTGGGTCTGCGTTCGCCGCCACCTCCAGCGGCCGCCGTCACTATTGTCCCGGGGTACCTCCCGGGCATCCTGGGCCGGCTGCTGGAGATGCACATGGCCTACTACTCGCGCGAATACAACTGGGGCAGCGTGTTCGAGGCTGGGCTGGGTGCGGCAATGAGCAACCTGCTGACGCGGCTTGACCACCCCCGCACCCAGGCGTGGTCGGCCGTGCAGGGAGGCCGCATTGTCGGCACCGTCGCCATAGACGGCCAGTACCCGGGCTACGATCCCGACGTCGCTCGGGTCCGCGCCTTTATCGTGGACGAGTCAACGCGCGGGCTGGGCGTGGGGCGGAAGCTGATGGCAGCTGCTATGCAGTTTCTGCGTGACGTTGGGTTCCGCGAGTGCCGGCTGTCGACGATGAGGAGCTTGACGGTGGCGAGAGCCATGTACGAGAAAGAAGGCTTCAGGATATTCAGTGAGACCTGGACCAACCGCTTTGGAAACGGCCACATGGAAATGGAGTATCTGTGGCGTCGAGACGGCGGTGGTGGCCTAGAGGCAGAGGCCTAACGGCCCGCATACAAACAGGTAAAGAAGGCCATGTCAAATAGCTGCGCGTAGGAAATGAGTGGCATGAGCTGGGGAAGAAGAGGCCGCTGCTGCACTGCGGCGTCCCCTAGTCTCCCGCTGCATGCGCTGCCATGTAACTTGACGTAGGCCGAGCTTTAGCAACTCGAGCTTGATGGTATGTGCCAGCAGAAAGAAACCGCAAGGTTACAAAAACCTCTGCATTCTCCAGGACGTCAGTGGACGCCACGGAGGCATTGAAACGGCGGGTGCTAGTATTTCTGCGGCCGCGCATGCTCAGTTCGTATATACCCGAGACCTCATCAGCTCTCCCACAAGCACCGACCCCCAGCACAAGACGCGCCACGCTGCCCAGACCACACCCAGGCTCGCGAGACCCAGGAGCACGAGCACGCTGCTGCGGACCTCGAAGGCCTCGTCGGCCTCCATCTTCATGAGGGTGCGCTGCTTGCTGTGGTAGAACTGGCCGCCGGCGGCGCCGTCGGGCGGCCGCTGCTCGCGCTCATCGTCGACGCGCGCAACATACTGATATCGCTGATAGCGGTAGATGACGCGGTGCAGCCACTGCGGCAGCCAAGCCGGCCGCCGGGCCCCCTCAGCGTGGAAGTGCGAACGCCGCACCGAGTAGCGGAAGTCGACTATGGCGAGCGAGACGAGAAATGAGACAAATATGACGGGAGTCATGACAAACTAGTTTGTCGGTAAGCATAGGTAGGGGCACCAAGATTGTGAGTGATGAACTTGCGTTATAGATCTTGGAGAGACCGCGAACCCCAGCATCTCCTTGGTTAGCGCTGACGACCGGGGGACCCCGTGGTTGCACCATTGTGCCGAAAAAGACTGGCTGGTGCAGCCAAATTATACTCGGATTCGCAATAGACTTGGGTTGTTCATTAATGAGCTCGTTGTATAGTGGATGGCAGAGAGGAAGATGAGCGAGGTTTGGGAGACGGCGGGATATCGGGCATCGCTGGCCTGGCCTGATAAGACGGGGGTGAGGTGGCAGTGTGCTGGGCGCCTTCCCGACGAACCCGGAGCCGCTGTGCTTCTGCGCTTAACGAGATTCCGAGATGGCGTGCACATGTACGTACTGTACTATATGTACTCTTCACAAACGCGGGAAAAGGGTGCCTTACAGATGCGCATGAAAATGAGGTGTCGTGGATACATTAAATCGTTGGGGAAATCTCCAATTGGTTCCTATATATGCCCTTTGTCTGCGAATTGGAACCAGAGACACACTTGCGAAATATTTAGAACGGCTTCTGTGTGAGAAGATCACTTGCGTCATAAGTGGGCCACAGAGAACATGGCCCCGTCTCGCTAGACAAACAAGCAACGGCTTTTTAAATTCGCCCTTTTATGACCCCATTGCGAGTCCTGATCGCAAATAAGTACTAGTTAGGCGGCAGAGAGCCACTTGGCAGTGCTGCCACTTCTCAGAGCTTGGCTTCTGTCGGGCCATGCAGTCATGGGAGAGCAATGCACTCAATCTCCACGTCGACTCCCTTGGGCAGCTGATAGACCGCGACACAGCTTCGGGCAGGCTTGCCGACGAACCACTTCCCATACTCCTCGTTCATGCTCTGCAGAAACAGAAGGCGACGCTTAGCAAAACCACCCCGGGCCGACGGCAGATGACTGGAAACTTACCCCAAAGTTGGCCATGTTGGTGATGAAGACGTTGACCTTGACCACCTTGTCGATGGACGAGCCAGCCTCCTCGAGGACGGCCTGCAGGTTCTTGATGCAAGCAGCAGTCTTCTCCTGGATGGTGCCCTCAACCAGGTTGCCCTGGACGTCGCACGGGATCTGGCCCGAGCAGTAGATGGCGGTGGGCGTCTTGATGGCTTGCGACTGGCAAAGGTTAAGAAGCGCGTTAGGCCACGCTCCAGTTCCTCATAAAAATCACGGGAAAGCCCAAGAGACATACATAAAGGTTGCCAACAGCTGCAACTGAGTCAGTCATGTCACTCCGAAACGAACTTGGAAATCGGGATGGGCGGCGACATACCGGCAGGCGCCTTGGTGGTGAAAACCGGAACGGCAGACATGTTTCGGGAGAGGCTAAGTCCAAGTCGAAGAGGAGTAGAGATCAGTGGCCTTGTCGCTGGCAATTGAATGAGAATTGGCAATGCTCGTCTAGTAGCAGTAGTCAGAAACATAGCAGAAGGGCAAATCATAGCACCTCTATGTATTTATGTATTTAAGTTGACACCGTTTTACGTCTCCAGCTCCGTTCTTCGGACCGTGAAGATGCGGGCAGTTTGCCTCTCCTGCTGTGGGTAAGTAACCCCGCAGTCCCGCAGTCTCCCGCCCGCTGTTTGTCAAGGTAACCTGGGATTACACAGCAGCCGCCCTTAATAATCCCGGGGCTGTATTGTTGATCCGCCTTTCCTTCCATACTTCGAAGTCACAATCGATGGCATCACAGGTATCAGGAAGGGAGCCCATGCGTTAATGGATATCTCGAGAAGGGGAAAAGGCTGACAAATCTTGTAATGAAGACGAGGATAGTAGGTTCCGTAGTTAACCTCATAAGGGTGATGGTGCCTTCCGTTTGTCCACCGAGTGACAGTTCTATAAGGCTAGAATGGTGATATAATAACCTCACATCATAACCGGGTCCTTTGGACGGTGGCGTAGACGATCTCGAGTCACGGTGTTTCGTCCTTCAAAAAAGCATTCGAGGGGGTAACGAGGAGCAATGCATTTGACAAAGTGTCTCGCCTCGGCATTTGCAAGGTGCAGAGGGGATATGAAATACAAAGTGCGAAGCATTTCTGGTCAATACTCGACCACAGAGCAAGACAACTACAAAATATCCTTGCCTTACGGAGTACATACGTACATACAGTACCTGGTATCCGGTAGCGCACATCTTGACAGGGTTCAACTAGGTTGGGAGCTTTGACCACCTTGCCTCGATCCCTGGACAAGTGTCCAGAAAAAAGGGAACACCCCTGGATTGATGGAAATCTGTCCGCCTCGCCGCCGCCTAAGGAGGGCTTCGTTCAGGGGCGCGAAGTAATTATTTCTCAGCCCGTTTTAATATAATCCATCAATCTTTCTCTACGCCCTCTGCTGGCTTCCCTTTGTCTGTGCTTTTCGATTCATCTCGCCCATTTTGGCCGGAGAGCGTCATTGGCCTTTTTGGCGTTATCGGTAAGTCTCCCTCCACTGTCCTTGATGCCGACCTCCGGTTTCCATACGATGCATTGCGTGGCCTTGAACCTCAATCCTTATTCCCCTCGTCCACCCGTGCCTCGTTCAAAGTTGCGCCTGTCGTGATTCTTGGCACACGCAAAGGCCACACTACGCTCCCACAGAAGGATCTTGGGACTTCTTGACATTGGCTTCTACAAGGCCTTGTCGGATGTTGCTTTGCGGTGCAGTTGGCTAACCGTTGCCGTCTCACCTGTCAGCCCGATCACTGGTTCTGCTCGCCATGGCTGCCACGACTCCCCAGGGCTCTGTCCGCCAGAGAAATGTCGGCGGTTCGAGCAAGAAGAATAAGGATGGCATCTCTGCGGCGTCTTCGGACGTCGAGCTTGACAAGATTGTCAAGGCCGCCCGAACCCTAGCCTCTGCTGCTGGTTCTGAATACGACTACAAGATCGTCGGCGTCATCATCACAGCCCTGGCCTTCCTCACCAGGTTCTGGGGCATCAGCCATCCAAACGAGGTTGTCTTTGACGAAGTTCACTTTGGCAAGGTAAGACCGCTTCTTTCTACTTGCAACCGTAGTCGCCTGACTGACCATCTTCCCCGTGCAGTTCGCCTCCTATTATCTCCAGAAGACGTACTTCTTCGACGTACATCCTCCTTTCGGGAAGCTCCTCTTTGCCTTCATGGGATGGCTAGTAGGCTACGATGGCCACTTCCACTTCGAGAATATCGGCGACTCGTACATCGCGAATAAGGTCCCCTACGTCGCCTTCCGCTCTCTCCCGGCCATCCTCGGCGCCCTGACCGTCTCCGTTGTCTATCTTATTATGTGGGAGTCGGGCTATAGCCTTCCTGCCTGCATCGTCGCCGCCGGCCTAATCCTCCTCGACAACGCCCACATCGGACAGACCCGGCTGATCCTTCTTGATGCGACCCTCGTCTTCGCCATGGCCTGCAGCTTGCTTTGCTACATCAAGTTTTACAAGCTCCGCCACGAGCCTTTCTCGCGGAAGTGGTGGAAGTGGCTTATCCTCACTGGCTTCGCCCTTTCGTGTGACATGTCGACAAAATACGTCGGCCTCTTCGCCTTCATTACTATTGGGTCGGCTGTTGCCATTGACCTCTGGGAGCTTTTGGACATCAAGAGACCGGGAGGGACGCTGTCGCTGCCCGATTTTAGCAAGCATTTCGCTGCTCGAGCTTTCGGCTTGATCTTGATGCCCTTCCTGTTCTACCTCTTCTGGTTCCAGGTCCATTTTTCCATCCTGACCCGCTCTGGCCCCGGAGACGATTTCATGACTCCCGAGTTCCAGGAGACTCTGAGCGATAACGTAATGCTCTCAAACGCTATCACGATCAACTACTATGATTCCATCACCTTGAAACACAAGGAGACCAAGGCATACCTGCATAGCCACGCTGAACGCTACCCCCTGAGATACGACGATGGCCGTGTTTCCAGTCAGGGTCAGCAGGTTACTGGCTATCCGTTCAACGACACCAACAACTATTGGCAAATTCTCCCCGTTCAAGTCGACCAAAAGGTTGACCATCCTGTCAAGAACCACGAACTTGTCCGGCTGCGCCATCTAGTGACTGACACGTACCTGCTGTCTCACGATGTCGCATCCCCGTACTATCCGACCAACCAGGAATTCACGACCGTCCCCCAGGCGGATGCGTATGGTGACCGTGTTGCAGACACCCTCTTTGAGATCAGGATTGAGAATGGCAAGCCCAACCAGGAGTTCAAGACCATTTCAAGCCATTTCAAACTCATCCACAACCCCAGCAAAGTAGCCATGTGGACACATACGACGCCTCTTCCAGACTGGGGCCATAAACAGCAGGAGATCAACGGAAACAAGCAGATTGCGCCGAGCTCCAATGTCTGGCTTATTGAGGACATCCCGTCAATCCCTGCAGACCACCCCCGCCGTGCCAAGCCCGAAAAGGAGGTCAAGACGCTGCCGTTCCTCCGGAAGTGGTTTGAGTTGCAGCGTTCCATGTTCTGGCACAATAACCAGTTGACCAGCAGCCACCCTTATGCTTCATTGCCATTCCAATGGCCGTTCCTTCTTCGCGGTGTGAGCTTCTGGACACAGAACGACACGCGGCAGCAGATCTACTTCCTTGGTAACCCCATTGGTTGGTGGATTGCTAGCAGTGTTCTGGCTATATACGCTGGTATTGTCCTCGCAGACCAGTTCTCCCTGCGTCGTGGCATTGATGCCTTGGATCACCGTAAGTTTTACGCCCCATTACACCATTCGGGTCATTGAAACGGCGCAACTAACACATGACCAGGCTCTCGCTCTCGTTTGTACAACTCCACTGGTTTCTTTTTCCTGGCTTGGGCGACACATTATTTCCCTTTCTATGTTATGGGCCGCCAGCTGTTCTTGCACCACTACCTCCCTGCGCACCTGGCATCGACCCTCGTGACAGGAGCACTTGTCGAGTTCATCTTCAGCGCCGACTCTACAGACCTCGAGCTGGCACACCAGGCAGCCAAATCGGGCAAGAAGGGCTTCGCGATCAAGCGTCATGTAACAGCTCGCGAGCGTTTTGCCGGCCAGAGCATGATGGGTGCATGGATCGCGACCTTTGCCATTTTGGCACTCGCGTTTGCCGGCTGGTACTTCTTCCTGCCGTTGACGTACGGATACCCTGGCCTCACGGTTGAGCAAGTAGTGCGGAGGAAGTGGCTGGGCTATGACTTGCACTTCGCGAAATAAGGGAGACTAACAGTCGATTCTGGGGCTCCCGTTTCAACTCCAAGTCTGTGATTTCTAGATCAATGGTGGCAATAAACAAGCTGTACGATTTTGAGGAACGTTTCTGTCCTGCCAGGAAATTGGGGTCTGGAGCGGGCGGTGTGATATCCCCGGAGGGCAGGCTTCATTACGGTGGGATTAAAAAGCACGTCGGTCTCTTTTTGGGGGTTTTTTGCTTGGGGATTTAGGGATATTTATCTTTGCATCTAGACAGTAAACGACATTATATAACTAGAAAGGCTCCAAGTACTACACTGCACTTGACATGGGATATCTAGGAGAGTTGGCGTGTTAAACACCTTCTCCACTTATTAAAAAATCACAATCGTCTTCGAAATGGATGTGTTTCCCCTAATTTCGGTATTTTAGAAGTTCTCTCTTCGGGGGTGATGAACAACTCAATAAGTAACAATGCCAGCATCAATGTAGCTGTATTCTACTACCCACTCAGACTTGAGCAGTGTTATCACGAGCAACTGCTAGGCAGCCGGTTGAGGGGAGCCCTTCAATCCTTGACTCGAGGAGTAAAAACCTAAACAACTTGGGTGCTGCCACAACTGCCGCTATGGCCCCAACTGCGCCTTGGACAAAATGGGATTTATATGCGCCCGACATCGTAACCTGTCAAATAATGTCTGCACCGTACCTACCTGGCCACATACTCGAAACGCATCGTAGGGAGGGCGTGTATAGGTATCAAGCCGTGGAGTCTGAGAAACCCAAAAGCAAAGTTAGCAATGTGTTTTCTCCTCAAGGTCATTTGTAAACCAACAGCACAACAGAAACAACAAAAAGACCAAGACCCTGTTCAGAAACCCAAGTTATAAGCATGACCGATCTCACCAGCTCGCCATCCCCCGTCCCCAACCATCCCGCAAGCATATGACGATGCAAGCGTTTCCCCTCCTCCCCAGAGGAGAGGAGGAAAGATCAGGGAAAGAAGAACAGGAGCCGGCCAAAGGAGAAAGGACAGACCCAAGCGGAACGTGAAGGGGGAAAGAGGAAGAAAAAGCCCAAAGAAAGAGAAGAGAAAAAAAGAGGCAAAGGCATTCTCCCCGAAAAACTCGAGTCGAAAAACCCCGAAGCAGTCTTCTTCTCTCCCCTTTCCCCAAGCTCCCCGCCCACCCTCCTCCCAACGCGCGCGCACAGAGAAAGCCTTTTGAATTCTCGAGGCGGTTCAGACGGCTCTTCCTATTTTGAGAATAAAGGGTTGCAACAGGAGTTGCGAAGATCATCATGGTAGGGTCTGGTCGTGTTTTCTCTCTTTCTCTCTTTCTCTATCCTTCCTCATTGGGGTCTCATTCGGAAGGCGCAAGGAAATCGGAAGAACTTACCACACACACGAGGATTGGCCGATCCTAAATGACGAGGCGGCGGGAGGGGTGCAATTAGCATTTGCACTTGCGACAAGCCAGAAAGGGGTGAGTAGCGGGCAAGCTGCTCGCAATCCTAGTAAATGCGGCTGACGGGCGAGGCTCGCCCGCCAGGTCGGGTGGTTTTGTTTCGGAGGATGGGAAAAAGAGAGAAACAAAATTTCGGAGATTTGTTAAGAATAAAAATATACAGAATGCGCGGCCCACGTCGGACTGCTAGGCCCAGCTGGACTCCAGCTGGTGGGCTACGAGCAAGCCCACTAAGCACGGGCCGTGGCAGAGTAAGGGTGGGGCAACGAATAGCAAGCGGAATCCAAGTTCCTTCGCCGTACAGCGTAATCCAGAACTTTCGCGTTGGGACAAATGCCTGGACTAAGAGCGATACATACTCAATTGTCACTCGAATGAAATCAGAATGTTGTAAATATATCTTTATAATCAGCAGCATCTAGCTAGTGACCTATTCCACCCGTAGAGAGATTATCGGCTTTCCGTCTTCTTCAGGGGGGCGTGATATAGAAGGTTCCGGCGTCAATCTGCTCAGTTCACTTCCTAGCCAAGAAGAAATAAAGGGAGCGAAGATGTGAGGCAAGAAACAAATCCAGGTAAAACACAGAAAGCCCAGCGTGTAGGATACAAATATAGAAAAAAAGGCCCAACTCCGAATACCATTCCTGCGCCTTAACCCCTGGGGTACCATTCCCCCACAAATGCGTAATTTACGCTTCGTAACATCATAACATAAAATATCTCGCCCGGAATTGCATCTCGATCGCAATCAAGAGCATGACTTTAGACCTGAACAACTCAGAGACCGGCGTACTAGGTACCGCTCCTTTTCACGACAGCCATCAGCGTTCAGCGTTGGAGAAAGGCAGCCAAGTCTTGCGACGACCAATCCATGTTCTGGTATGGATTTATCATGTCCTGGGAAGACGGTTGCGAATATCCGGCAACCATGCTGGGGACTTCAGCGGCGAAGAGAGGGTCATTGAACATGGACTTTGAAACCCCACCGCCAGGGAAAAGAATAAAGTCACCGTTATTGTTTGCGGCAGTCAGACCCGAGTAGTCCTGTTGTTGCTCGTCAAAGCCCTCATCAACCAGAGACGTAGGTGTGTAGAGCATTGCATTCCCTTGTCCGATTGGCGAGATGTGAGCGGGCTGGGTTTGGCAAAGCTCAGCCGCCGTGAACGAGGTATAGTGCTGACCCATTGCCTTGGCATAGACAGGGTTGACTGTAGAAGGAATTTGGGCAGTGGCGCTGTAGATGTCTTCGTAGAGAGTAAAATCGTTTCCGATGTCCTGGTATGCCGAGTTGTGGTCCATGCTGGAATCAGTGGACGGAGTGCCATTATCAACAGGCGAGTAGTCAAGGTTGATTTCTTGAGGAATCATGCTGTAGTCGCTGTCGCTCTGGATGTAAGTCGGGAACTCGATGTGCCCGTAGACCCGGCTCCACTCGTCAGGGGGAGTAGCAGCACCCTGGCCGTAGTCACTCGGGGGAGTGGGCATGTTCTGGAGTTGAGGAGTCGGCTGGGCCGAGTAGTCTGCAATGCTGGGCAAGCCACCCGACTTCTTGCCGTTCGTCTTAGTTCGCACGTACGTCCAGCCGTGAGCCTTCTCCATGTGCTGCTTGCAGTTAGACTCGCGTTTCGACTTGTAGGGGCATGGCTTGTAGGAGCACTCGAACATCGGCGGGGCCGATGAGTGCTTGTCATTGTGATGGCGGTCCATTTCCTTCTCAGTCGGCCACCCATAATCATGGTACTTGCACGTGGGAACGGGGCACTTCCACGGCCGGGAATGAGTCTTCTCATGCTTAGTGAGGTCGCAAGGGCGCTTGAACTCCTTGTTGCAGCCAGGCTCACGGCACTTCTTGGGGGCGAGCTCTTCGGGGCTGGCGTTCTTTTTCCGCCGTGCCATGGAGCGCATGATTTCCTCCTCGTCCTCAAGCTCCTGGCTGGCAGAGCGCTTAACTCGCACTGCACCATCGCCATCTTCCTCGATGATCTCGACGGGTTCGCCAGTGGCCATTGAGATAGCTTTTCCATTCTTCTTAATGCGAACGAGCTCAGCAGGCCGTCCATTTACATGGATACCTCCGTGGAGCTTGATCTCATCAGTGCTAAGAGGAAGGTTAGCACATGGAGAGTGGCTTGTCTGAGAGTGTAGTGCGTACGGATCAACATCCATCTCCTCAACCTTTTCACCCTTCTCCTTGGCGTCAGCAAGCTGTTGGGCGTAGTGGCGAATTTGGTCGACTAGGTCAATGAAATAGCCACCAGTGTAAGGGACGTCCCGAGGGCGAGTCTGTTCACGGTCGTTGAGGTATTCAACTGTTGCTTGAATGCATCGAATCGTTGTGAGGCAGAAATCCAGATACAACTCGGCAGCCTTGGTTCGCTCCTTCAAAAGCAAAATATGATGAGCATCAAGCCGAGAGCTTTTGTTGTTAATAGAGTGGGTACTCACTGGGGCGACGAGAAGCAGGATCTTTTCGAGATCTCTAAGGCACACGATCTCCTTGTCCTGAATTTTCCTAGGGCATTCGAGCACAAGAGGATGGAAGTCCTTAAAGGATGCCTTAGCCAAAAGCGGCTTAAGAGTGTGCTCGTAGATGCGGTTCGTGGCGCGAGAGCCAAGACCCTGAGTAGCTGGGGTGGTCGCCGTCCGAGAAGCGGGAGACCTGGTTACCGCAGTGCTCTTCGCCGGCTTCTCCTGCTTGTGCGAGACGTCTTTCTCGGTAGCAGATCCAATGGAAGTTCCCAGGCCGCTGTCCGACTCGTGGTGACGAGAAGGACGGCGAGTGCGAGGGCGGAGGACGCGGCGCTCAACTTCGGGCTCGGCAGTCATGATGGCGGTGTCGAGGGTGTGGCCAAGAACGCCTCTGGGAATTGGAAAACTGTTGTCGCGTAGGGACCTTCGGATAGATGGCGATGAAGAGTCGTTGGAAGCAGCGGCTAGGGCACTGTCAATGTCGCCCAGAGTCATAGCAACACGGCGGCGATGAGAGTCGATGACATCGTCCAAGTTGGTCTGGGATCGACGAGGCAGTGGCGGTGGCCTGAAGATGACGGCCTCTGGCGATGAGGGGGGAGTTGTGGGGGAATGGAAGGTCGCCCCCTTTCTGAGGACCATGTTGGTCTTAAGGGTCAGGACCCTCGAGTCCGGGCGAGTCACCGGTGTCCTACGAGGATTGGTAGACATGTTGGCAGGCGCGTGTGGGGTAGACCACAGTTCTCTTGGAGAAGAAATGCTCTGTCCAGTGTCCAAGTTAGTTATCTATGTGTTGATATGTAAGGCTGAGGGGAGGAGGCCAGGTGTGAGTCACAGCAACATGCGAGACCAAATGCAGTCTGGTCCACAATCACAACCCAAGACTTGCATGGGAGTTGTTGGTCAATGCCGAAAGCCGCAATGTCCAATCCTTTTACTACAGCGCAAGAGAATGTTCCGCCTTGATAGGGATATACGGTTTGATTTGGAGGTAACAAAAAGCAGTTCTTACGTTGAGTGAGTGGGTGACACGCTCACGAAAGCCGAGCCCGGCGCACGAAAGTAGGGGTGTGGGATGCGCGGCAGGGAACCGGGACCCCAATAGATTGACGCTCCAATAACCCAAAACACAATGGCACTGAAGACAAGGACGGAGAGCGCCGGGGAGAAGATGATGAGCGCCGGATAAGCGTTAGAGGAAAGAAAGCGAAAAAAAAATGAAGATGTAAGGCGGGCTTGATTTGATGGAGACGATGGGTCGAGCGGCTAGTGTATAGAAAGACCAAGCAGCAAGCGAGTAATGCTCGGGCCGGGGCCGTATGATGATCTAGTCTTAGCCGTGCGTATCTTGTCTTGAGCCTGAAAGATGGGCCCGTCTAGAATGTAGCGAGGCGGCCTTAGGGTTGAGGTGGACTGACTGTGTAAAGGGAAACAGGAAAAAGGGCACAGAGGCGCGTTGATGAAAGACTCGGGGACAGGAAGTGCGATGTCGTGAGACGGGGTAGAGGATGAGAAATGCACGGAGAGCGAAGGCTGCTGCCTAGCCAGGCGACCGGGGTGTGGAAAGCGGACCACGGGAAAAGCGGGTCCCAGGCAGGCGCAGCCCCAAGCCTGCTCATTGGCGATTGGTCTGACGAGAATCCTTCCTCTTGCGTGGTGTGCTGCACAGCGCCAGTGAACACACTGAGAGCAGAGTGGGTCGGGGTCCTGCAAGGTTCCCGGGACTCTGTCTCGGTTGGCTGCTGCTAGGAACCACTGGGAACTGTTAAAAGGAGACTTGATCTTTTTTGGCCGTGGAGCGAGCGGTTTAGTGCAGTTCTCCCTGCAGTTCGTCCCAAGCTGTTTGTCCAGGGACTAACCAAGCACAATCAATCCCGACTGCCAACCATCACTCAACCTGTCAAAGTACTTAGGCTGGCGAACATGCTTTGGTTTGTGGCTGCCACGTTTTCTTAGTCGAGGCAGACGCATTTTCCCTCCCGTCAATTGATGGTGGTGCACCATTCTGGACGCGCAGGGCATGACGAACCACCCAAGACTTGCTTGGGTGCGATGTGTCATCCTCAACACTGTAATGCCTCCAATCTGAGTTGTTTTCTGGCCTCTTTTCACCCTTAGATTCCTCCAAATGAAGAAGCCTCTGCGTCCACCGAACTACCAGTTTGCCGTCAATCACGGGCAAGACGGAACTCACGGCCAGCTTGGCGAATAGAGTGGTGGCTGTTGCGGCCGCCCGCGAGCAAGCGGCCAACCCACCGAGTTGCTGTTGCAATGGGCTGTGGCAAGGCAAGTTCAGGCTCGGGGCGGGCTGCCAAGTCTATCGGGGTACTGTACCTCCTCGCTCTCACAGGCCGAATTTTTAGTGTAGAACCGCCATCCCAGCATGGATTGCTTGTGGGCCTGTATGGTCGGTCATTCAGTCTAAATTACCGGGGCCGGGCCGCCAGCCCACTCACAGTGGCCCGCCCCCAGCCCGCGCACAAGGCTCAGCCCACTGGCCGGCTGGCTGTTCAAGCAAACGGATAGTCATCTCCTTTTGTCCAATACCTTGACTACCAAACGATGAAGAGTCGTCTGCGGCCGATCATCTCTTGTTGGTCAAACCGTCCTGGAGTTGGCCGGAAAACGGGATCACCGAAGGCAAAAGTTGCCATCAGTTGCTATCATAACAAAAACGCCTTCTAGTGATGTAATAATTCGAGGAATATGCAGTGAGAACAGGAGCGCATGACCACGCCTTACAATATGAAAGGGGTGGGAGAGAGAGGTCCTGAGCAGTGAGATTGTCCTAAAAAAGAGAGCACCGAGGAGTCAGGACGGAACAGAGGTGCAACGCCAAGTTGGCCCCCAGCCCTGACGCCTCTTCAGCAATGAGCAATGAGCATTACCTACCACTTCCGGAATGTTACGGATTACCCCCCCCCCCCCCATTGACACACATTTGGGCAGATTAGCTAGGACTCGTGTGACCAACAGACACGCAGTTCCCGGCCTCGTTTACTGCGTTCCAATAATGTCGCTGAGTCCTACTGAGACTGAGCCGAGTATTCTTTTTTTGGCCCCCAGGCGACTGTCCTAGCTGCTGCTGCTGTTGCTGTTATTGCTGCGGCTTTGTGGAGACGGAGACGCAGACGCAGACGCAGACGCAGACGCGCCGCTTCGTGTCCTCATTAAGAGCAAGACGTTTCAGAGTCACATGAATACTCCTTACTATCGGATAATAAAGCGCCCCTGCGGCACCTCGCCCTCTTCGCCTCGGGTGGCTCACAGGCGGGCGTCGCTCGTTGTTGAGTTTGTTCTAGCTGGCGTTGCTGCTACGTGGGCCCGAGTTTCGCATGCAAGCCTCTTCCGTACTCACCAGACCTGTCTATCCGTCCGTCGGCTTACTCGCACTCTAGACGTGGACTGCGATGCGTATCGGCAGAAAAGTCCGTACATGCAAACAAACCCATAGATCCGTGTAACGTAAGGTGCTGGCCTGCCTTACCTACAGAATAGCGGTGGGGCTGACTACAACAAAATAAACGGCAATGGGCAATGGGCAATGGGCAATGGGCAATGGGCAATGGACGCGGAACGGGGACTTGACGGGAGGGCACCTGGAACTGCCCTGCGCGGTGGAGAGGAGGGGAGAGAGCGGGGAGCGGGATGAGCACGGTTCCCTGACTTTCCAAGGCGCTCCAAAGCTTACCTGGCGTCTTCGTCATCTGCCAGCAGTCAATTCTCACGCACTTCCCCAACCAGATGTGCGATGGGCGCCAAGGATGGATGGATACGGAGTACTTTGTCAGCCCTACGCATTGTCAGCGTCGTCCTGCACCGTTGTGCGAATCAGAGGCGAGAGAATTGGGAGCCTCAATTCACGTTCAAGGAAATATGAACGCCCACACACGAACAAAGGTTATTTACATGTGCTAGAGACGATTGCGACGCGCAACACCGTCTCCTCTTTAACCCAGGCACCAATATTTCCAAGAAGCCGGTAGATAAATGACCCACGAGGCTACGGGTCCCCGAGCGGGGGGTTCTTCTTCGTGGAGAGGCCCGCCGGAGCGGAGTTTTACACTACGCCGCAATGCCCAGCTGGATAAGTCTAATCTGAGCCTAGTTCGGAGCTCTCCAAGTTACTTTGTAAGAGGAAGGAACAATCAGGGCCGCTCCTCCTCTCTTATGGTGTTTAGCCATGCCCACCCGACCAACCTAGAACCACTCACGTCAAAGTCCATCTCCGCATCCGCTCGTGGTCAAGGAAGGTACTCACTCGCCAAAAGAAGATTCCGAGTCCCAGACTCCTACTCCTTTCCCTATTCTGAAGAACTGCGAGTATAGCATCACACTCAAGAAACCAAGCCAAGGGATGACATCAACTCGACCACTACATGCCTCTCGTCTTTCATATGAGTGCTTTCTATTTCATGTTTACGTGTAATCAGCTTGTATTATCAATCGTTTCCTCTTCCCCCTCCTCTTCACTTTGCCCATGCCAATCAGGTCGCCAAGCCATCAACGCCTCTTGAGCGAGAGCTATGTGTGGACTGTGGTTGGTTGGTGTAAGGGGTCGGATTATTGAGGCCAGGTACGGATACCGAGTACCTACTTAGGCAGATACAATCTGTACCTTACCTACCACTTTCCATGCTTTGCGAGTAGTATCTCACACTTGCAATGCCCCCCTCCGCCTCCCCCGCCGGCAAAATAAACTACTTTACGTGCAGGACCTGGGGTAGACATACCCTCCCTCGCCTGCGGCTCTGCTGAGGCTGCCGAATAATTTGACGACCCCAGTGGGAGGCCCCGCTCACCTTGCATACATGCTCACCCTCGTTCGTCTCGGTGTGGGGGGAGAGGAAGGAGGAAGATGCCGTTAGGGCCCTTTTTCTCGCCGCGGAGTTTTTGGCTCTTTTTTTTCTTCTGTTGTTTGTTGGTGGTATGCCTAGACTAGTTGCTCCGACGAAGCCATCGTCAGGAAGGGGCTCGTCGTCGTAATCAATAAAGCGAGTTACGACCGACATTCACCACATGCGGCAGACAATGGCGAGACGATGCCTGCTTGCGATGCTCGCTGCCGGGCTCTTTCTGCAATCACCAGTCGAGGCAGCGGCCTGAGGGCTGCGCGATTCGTTGGGCCCCGGTTGGGGTTGGCTGTGATTCCGCGAACTGGTGGCGGCTGAGGCGGCACTCAAGCTACACTGGTACTACAATATGTGCTGCTGTTGCTGTCGGTGCCGTTGCTGTTGCCGCTGATCTTGAAGAAGAGCAGGTAGTGGCTCCTCGGAGCGGCTTGTGCTGCCTGGTAATAGTACAACTGAGCCGAGTCTCGTTGTCGCGCCGCCCCTTGGTGCCAGCCGTAGCGCTCCGCTACCAGTTTTGCCTGCCATCTCGCCTCGGCCGTCTTCCTCCTGTCTTCCTCGCCGCGCTTTCTTTCCTCCTCTTGGTGGCAGGCCCGGCACGGAGAGCTCCCCGAGACCTTGCTACGGGACTTCTTACATGCTTACCTTGTCCTAGCCCAGCAGAACCAAGATGCTCGTCCCGGCCGGGGCTGACTCGCCTCGCACGGCTCTTCCCAGTGTATTCCATGTCGGCACCCTTGGTAGTAGACGGTGCACATGTTCTTCTTCCCTGTCACTTGCTTGGTTCAGTTTGTCTCCCTCTTCTTCGGTCAGGCTGTCTCGTTTCGTTTAGCGTGGGGGTATGTCGAGAGTGGTCTCGCTCCTGAGTGTCTGTCTTGTGACTTGTTGTCGTTTATCTTGTTGCTACTGTTGTTACTAGCGATGTTTCCGATTCCGAAATTTGAAACAAGAAAGATGCATAACTCTAGGGAGTCAAAGACCGGGATTGTTCCGGCTCAGTAATTATGTAAGTAGGTCAAGACTAAGACAGGGTGCATAGCCCCGAACTAATTGTCTTGTCAAAGACGGGATTATGTTTCTAAAAAAAAGAAGACGTCTTTGTGACACTCGGGGTCGCATTATTTTTGGGAAGCAGTCGCTTTGATCAGGGCCATCTAGTTATTGCCAGTCCTGATAAACGTCACAGCCTGCAACTGGCCCAAGGTGCAACAGCACGTACCCTCGCCAGGTTAGACATTATTACTTGTTACTTTTCTTCCTTATTCTTGTTCTCTGTGCTCTCGTGTCTCGTTTGGAATCCTTGTCCTCGCCCGGGACCAGCTCGCTCTTGTAGGTCAGAGCAGATTATTCGACCTCAAAACAGACAAGCCCGTGTTTGTCACAGTTATAGCTCTGAACAGGATTTATAACAATATACTTATCACGGTCTTTGTGCCCGGATTCTCGGCTTTTGTCTTGGCTGCCTGCCTCTTTGTTCTTCTGTTCCCAAGCACATGATGTATTGAGGATGTATAAAAAGGACAGTAGGCTAGCAAATAATAGGCCAACGATCTTGAACTCCAAACTCTTGACCTAGGCCTGTAGCTAGATTTCCTTGAAGTCAGGACTAGTCCAGGTCTGCGTTGGATTCCCCGAGAGAAAGTTTATGGGATATTGATAGGGGTAAATACACACCCGGAAAGTTACCCAACTATTTATTCTCTAGGTAGGGAATGAGCCCAGCCTCTCCGAAGAAACCTAGTACTCTAGAGGAGGATACCAAGGTCATAGCCACCGCTTTCTTTTTTACTGAGGCCATGGCATATCTGGAAGGGGACAAGAGCGTGGAGGCTCTGATTCTGGCCACGCAGGAGGCGGCCGTACAAATTGCGCAGGAGGACAGATCGCCTGCCCTGGGCAGGGCTAGCTACAACATGCACCCGAGAGCCCTGGCTGAGACGGTGGTCTGGCTGGCCTCTCCTGGCGAGGCGTCGTTGCAAAGGCTCCTCATAGCCCGAGACGACGCCAGTGAAAGCCCCTTCCAAGTGAACCCATTCCAGGCCCCGGCCTTGTCGGACACGCTTCCGCCTATGCCCCTTGAGGACTCGGATCATCTGGTGCGCGCTGCCATTTCAGTGGCTCGCCCTGCCGGCCGTGAAGTATCTGAGGGTGTTGGCAAGGACAACTACGAACCTGAGCTTGAAGATCACGAGCTCGACGTCAACTTCGACAACGAAGACTACATTGTTGTGCCCTTGTCTCGCTTTTATCATTCGACTGCGCAATTGACAACCCCACTGGAGGACGGCGAGCCGTTCACGGACCACCAGGACTGGGAGGATATATATTCTGATGAATCTCGGGAAGAAAAAGGAAATCCACCCCCGACAACATGCCCGATCAACCTGAGTCCTCTGTATTCCAGATGACGAGCTCGGATGACTAGGACTGGGAGGATATTTACTCCGAGGAATTTCCTGAAGGAAAAGGAAATCCACCCCCCGAAAGCATGCCCGACCAAACTGAGTTCTCTATATTCCAGATGACGAGCTCAGACGACGACGAGACCGAGGACGAGTCTTCGTCCTCGTCCTCGGAAGACTCAATCTCGGAAGAAGAATGGCTGCAATATACCGCCGATCTTAAGATGGCCTAGGCCATCGCCCTCGGCAGAGCGCTACCTAGTTATGACGGGATGTACCCGAGCATTCCGGTTACCCAACAGTCTACCATGTACCACTACACGTCGCCCCGTGGAGAGTTTTACTTGAGGGAGCTTCGGAAGTACATCGATCTCCCCGCCGACTACCCCATAACGCAGATGGTGCTGAACCTGGTCTCGTCTTGGCACAAGACGCGGGAAAACGTAGAGGATAGGCACCCGAGTCTCGCCGCCGCCGCCAACAGCATCGACTTCACCCGCATCGATAAAGAGTCGGGCCTGTTGCGAGCCGAAAGGCAGATACTCGAGGTGTGGCTAGTAAGCCGACTCCCGCTGGTCGGCTGGTGGGGCGAGGCACCACAAGTGAAGGAAATCATAGGGCGGCGATTCAAGCAGACTAGGGACCCGAGCCCTCTGTCTCGAGTTCGATACGACTTCGACTAACCGAGGACCAAGGTGTTTTCTCTCTTTCGTAATATTCCTCGACCCAGGTAAGTAATAAAAAGCAACATTTGCTAACAAGCCAGTTTTGTTTACCCACGTGTCATTGTTCTTATCATTGACTATTCTCCCGGCCAGATTCGTAGTAATTGTACGATGTGATGGTAAGAACCGGTGAAATCTCATGAAATAGCCAAGTGTCTACTCTGTACCTACCTAGTAGCAAGATGTCTAACTAAAGTCAAAGCCAAAGCCGTACGTCTTTGGTAATTTCTCCTTCGCAATTCATAACAAGGAGAACGAAACATTTGACGGAATAAGCTGACACCTAAAACAAAATATACAGATCCTGCAGGGGAAAAATTGCGACAGAAGAGTCCTCCCTATCTATCCGTCATCATCACTGTCTGCAAACACAGGCCGCCTTCTCTTGGTGGCCGGTCTTTTCCGCACGTCTTTAATAGATTGTGCGGAGGGTAAGGCATCATCGTCATCGCTGAGTTCTGCCAACCTCATGTCCGCTCTTCGCTTCGCCTTCTCCTTTGATGTGCTCCTCGCCACTAGTTCGGTGAAGTCCGGCATGTCCTCGTCCGTCTCTTCTTGTGTCGGGCCAAAGAGCACCGGCTCAAAGAACGGCTTTTCTCTAGTGCGGTCAGGGCTGGACTCCAGAGTCTCCTTCCTGGCTCCAGGCCTCGCTTCATGAGAAGACACGAGGGTTGCAGGTGAAGTGGGCAGAAGCTGCATGCTTGACGAGACCTGATCGTCATCAACAACAAAGCCCTCGAGGTCGGCACCGCTGTCCAAGCCGTCTGACATTTCCATATCGCTGGTCCGGTTACAGTCGTCTCCAAAATCCTCGAGATGATCGCCGACCCGCTTGAACCTATCTCCAATCCCTTGCCCCTTCTTACCCCGGGGAGCGCTATTAGAAGTACTGTAACGAGCGGGTGGGGATGTCGTTGGTTCATCCTCATCGTTGTCATCTTCTTCGCAATCGCTTTCGAGGAAAGAGGGCACCGCTCGGGTTTTTCGAGCATCGTTTTTATTGTTCTTCTTTGCGGGAACCTGCCGCTTTTTTCGGGCTGGTGTCTCTACCACACTTTCTGACAGCTCGGTTGGGCGTGGTCTTTTGTGCACAGAGAGCTCGGCACGCCTAAGGTGTTCTTCCACTTCCTCATCAGTATCGTCTGCGAAGTCCACAACTGGCAGTGATTCCCATGATGCTGTATCGGTCTCGCCGTAAGGATACGTATATCTTTCCGGGGGCTCTTGTGATTTGCCTAATAGCTTAAATAGCGTCACGCATTTCTTGGTGTATTCGCCGTGCTTCAGGTGAACAGTGCGACGTAATAGTCTTTGCGCAGCTGGATGGGCTCCTAAGTTTGGGCTACCAATCTCTTCCATGTTAGACCGGCGGAACGGCAGGTCTCGATAAAGCTTGTTAAATTCCTCTGTTTGTGACTTGCTTAAAACCACCTTGTCGAGGTCTGGCAAATCCGAGATAGGGTCGGGTTTAGGTGGTTTGACCTTGGTGACCTTGGTGTCCTGCTTCGCTTGCTGGCCAAAAATTGAAGCCTTCACAAAGCCCGTTTGCACACCATTAGGCATATGGAATTTCTTCTTCGCCGGTTTCTTTTTCAGTCTGGCAGCAGACTTATTCGGTTCTGGGAGTGAGGGGTTTTGCGAGTTTTCCAATGGTATCTCCACCAACCGCTTGTTGACCTTGGGCTTTACATCACGCGGGACAATCCTAGTAGATAGGTCGTGGCGGAAGGCGAACCGGCTGCCCTCGCAGATGAGCTGTTGCATCTTCTGGTAGTTGTCCTTTGCCTCTAGATACTTCTCCTCCTCCTTACCCTTCATTAGCAGCAAGACAATGCTGCCTGCCCGCTTCCGGCCTGTCCGGCCCATACGCTGTAACATTCGTATGGGAGAGGCAGATGCATCGTAGCATACGATCAAGTCAACCTGGCCAATGTCGAGGCCCTCTTCACCAATAGAAGTGGCCACAAGAACATTGAAGGTGCCGCTCTTGAACTTTTCGATGGTTTCGATCTGCTGTTTCTGTTTCATGCCCTCACTTCTTTTGGAGTCGGCCTGCCCAACAAACACGGTCGCGCTGATGAGCGGTTGTTTGTTAAGCATACGCACAATCTCTTCTGCGCTATCCCTGTACTCGCTGAAAACAATAGATCTTGTAGCGGAGCCTTCGCCGGCGTCCATGAAGTGATTGACGAGTGTTTGGCAGAGATGTGTAAGCTTCGGATGTCCATTGAACGTGTCCAGCTTCATCCACTTTTCCATCATGGTCATCATCTTCTGGAAATGCTCATTCTCGAGGACCTGACGCTTGAGTTTTGAGCCCCCGCCCCGCTTTTCTTCCTCGGTGGAGCGAAACCCGGCCAGACTGTTGTAAAACGGCTTGATGCCATGGAAGTTGAGAAGCTTGATGGTGTGAGCCAGGCTCTGGAGAATGGTAAAGGCGGCAATGGTCATAAACTTGACGCCTTGGTTTACATGCCTGCCGGGGCCACTCAGCCATTCGCCCTTGGCCTTGAGCAGGCCATACATTGTCAGGCTCATGGGATCTCGCCCATAATAAATGTTCTGGGCACTCAATTTGTCTACAAGCGGCTTCAAGGCCTTTGAGAACAAGTCCCTCACCTCGAGCATCTCGTCGGAGGGGTCAAACGTGACTTTATCGATGTTTCGCGAATGCACGTACTGGCGAATGTCCAGAGACTCCTCGGTCCTGATTTCGACATTGGAGATTCCCAGATTGTCAATGACGTCTTGCACACCCTCGACCGTTGAACCAGGCGTTGCAGTCAGGGCGAGTACCCGGAAGCTCGTGGAGAAGCGTCTCATGAACTCGACGACCTTGACGTAGGCGTAGTCGCCAGTGGTACGGTGGGCCTCGTCGACGACAAGCAACACGATAGATTTGGGATCGGCGTAGCCCTTGGAGAGATCGTTGATCAGGGTCTGGGGGGTCATGAAGAACAAGCGTTTGGTCTCCCACTCTCTCTCCCGAAGAACCGGTGGGATCTCGCCCGTGAGTAGGGTGGCCTGCGACCGGGGAATTCCGGCAATGCCCAGACAGGCCTGGACCTGCTGCGACGCTAGGGGCTTTGTTGGGGCAACGAAGACGACTTTTGCGGACTTGGTCCAGCGGATGAAGTTAAGCATGACGGTGGCGGCAATGAAGGTCTTGCCCAGGCCGGTGGGCAGAGCGACGAGGGTGTTGTTGAAGAGGCCATTCTTGACGATACTGAACTGGTAGTCTCGGATGGCTCCCAAATTCAGCGGGTAGACCCAAGTAGCGAGGGCGTCGTGGTTCAGCTCATGGTGGGTGGGAGCCTCGGGTGCCAGGTCGGCGCGGAACGGACGACCTCCGGTTGGCTGGAGCTGGGACTGGGACTGGGCCTGGGAGAGGCGGCCGTCTGACAGGGTGCTGCCCCAGAGGGTAGTCTGACGAAAGGACGGCGGCGGGCCAGATTTGCACTGCGGGGGACGTTTACTTGAGGCGGGGGCGCGGCGTTTCTCGGGAGAGCTGTCATACTCATCCGTCGTGTCTGGGCGCTGGGCATTGGCAGATTGCTGCTGCGGGCGAGCTGGCGGCCAGCCTTGGGCAGGGGGATTAGCGGCAAGCTTTGGTATCGAAGAAAACACGCCGTTTGGCTGTGTGCCGTGGTTGTTGTCAGCTCGCAAGCCGATGCTGGTGGCCTGGGCGAGGGCCTCGATCAGATCCTCGTCGGGGATGCCGTCAAAGTCGTCGTCGAATTCGTCGAACCCGTCGTCGCCCATTGCCGCGGGCCCATCGAGAGAACCGGCGGAGATAAAACCAGAGCAGAACTCGGCGACAACAATTGCAGCAGTGCACTGCGTAGTATCTCTAACCCGTTAGTTGGATTGTGGGTAGTCGATCGCAAGTTTTCGAGAGACGCGGACGCGTTCACCTCAAAACGCCACGTCACGTGAACAGGACGGCGTTTGGGGGGCCAAAACCCCACCATAGACCACTCATTCCGTACTGTACCTGCGGATACTGCACAATGTATCCGGCCCTGCCGTTCTACCGAACACACAACCTCGCTGATTCGCAGGTGCCTGGCCGATGCGCAAGTAACTAGTCTAGCTATTGTTAGTCAGATGGGCTAGGTAGGTGAGGTACCTCGGGTCTAGCAGGGGAAAGACGAGAATTGGTTTGGTATCTGGTTTGCGTCTCTGCCCAGCTGGGCTTGGCCATGAGTTCCAAGGTGGGTACCCTCGATTTGACGGAATTTCCGACGCATGGACGAATCGAGGGCCATGCGCTGGTACGCCAGCTGCCGCTCGGCGTCGTTGAGGAAGCGTGCCTCGGATGCTGACCGCGGGAAATGCGAACAGCGAGAACAGCACTGTGCAAGACCCCTCGATCACGAACAAGTACCGCCACGACTCCAACGCCCCGCCCTGGATCTGGAACACGCCAAACGACAGCAGCCCGCCAAAGGCCGACGCAATGCTCTGCGCCGCGTAGAAAATGGCAAGCCGGCGGGCGAGCTCACCACGGCGGTAAAACCTGCGACACGAACAATTAGGAGTCGGCTGTTTTCGCAGCGGCTGCTCCTCCGGGACTTTGGTCGACCCGTCCAAGTACCGTTACGGCCGAGGTCAAAGAATTAGGGCCGCGGCAGGGAAGTAAAACAAAACGCCTCCAGAATAAAGAAGCTGCAGTATGGAAAGCCAACGGTGATGACTAGATAAACGTCGCTCGGCGACTAGCCGTAGCCACACCATTTATTACGGATGATTCTGCAAGTCCCTCGCATCCCCGACTTCGTGCAAGACACAGGCAACGAAACTTGGAGTAAAAGCTAAAAAGAAATTCCCGGCTTTATCTGGTATCTAATATACGAGGGCGCGGGTGTCTAATCTGTGCTACATAGTACTGTATACCCATTGATGACTTCTTTATGCTTACAGGGTTAGGGTAGCGAGGTTTTCAAGGGCGTCGGAGCACCAGATGTCGGATCATGTCGCCTTAGTTCTGGACAATTCGATTTTTTATACCGAGGTATAGAGTACTTGCCTAACGACGCCGATGAAGCTTTTATACCTCCCTGAGGCATTTAAGTAGATTGATATCCGCACTTTGGACTGGCTTTGTACGGGGGACCGAGAGATATTGAAATCGTGCTGTAATGTACATACGGAAGGTACCTTGGGTTATCCGTTTGTGTTTACATCATCGTGCCTCCCTGTCAAGTTTATGCTCTCGCGGGGTTTCGCATGACCCAGCTGCCCGGCAGGGCCAGCTTATTAGGCCCTGCCATTGGCTTGAAACGGCCCGGGGTTTTTGTTCGGGAAATAGTGGGATTGTGACTGAATTTGGCCAATTGGATGAGTCTGCGGGTCCTTGGTGGGTGGATCAGAAGATGCATAAGCCCACTTTTTTCGAGGTACCTGTATACCTCATCTTTGTTCTTAGCGTTGTTGGCTCACGCGCGCCGCTCTTTCACTTTTTGACGAACTCGTTAAATCTGCACCTTAGGTTGCGACTCGCGGGCGATTGTTGCCTCCGAATATCGCGACCACTTCGCCGCCTTTGTCTCCCGCATGCGACCGCACTGGGTTTTCCTTCTTTACCTCTAACCCGCCTTGCGTGCCCACTCTCTTTCATCTCGAAGCGTCTGCCTGCCCTATTTTCCACCGCGGGGCGCATCGCCCTGCCGTTTTCTTTTCGGGCCCCGCCACATTTGACGTTGACGGTGCCCACGATCTTTTCACCCCTTCAACAATTGCCCTTCTCCGTTTCTCTCCAGCAATCGTCTGCCTGTTTCTGCACGAGATCACAACCCTCAAAGCAGCAATTCGAGCAGCTCGGTAGCGGATACTCGGGCCTGCACACAGCGGGGCGTGCGCGACGGATCCTTCAACTACGCATTTCCACACCCGACCTCAAACACACACATACCTCCAGCGCTCCAACCATGGCGCCCCCCACAGGCCCTCGAGGCAATGCCCATCGATCCGTTCCCAGAGGGAGTCGTGGCGGTGGTATCACCAAGCGACGTGGTACCCCAATAACTGACAAAGACGGAGACGTCGCCATGGATGTGCCCGCAACAGGCTCCGGCACCAGCGGTGCTCCTGCACGAGATAATCGGGGAGCACGTGGCGGAAAAGGCGCTTCAACGCGATCATCTTCGCGGATTGCCGAGAATATTCGGAACTACGGTGGAGACTCTGGCCAAGGCCAAGGCTCCAAGGCGCACTTCAATAGGACGACATTGAAGATTCTTGGCCTCCGCAACAGCAAGGCCGCAAGCAACAACGATGGAGGCCTGGGTACTCTGGTCAATTTTATTCAGCGAAAGGCTTCCAAGGAGAAGCCGATCAGGATTAGCAAGGTAACGCTTCGCAACTAGCTAAACCAACCATTGAATTTTAGCCCTGCGACTGCTTTTTGTTTTGGTAACTAAATTCTAACACATAACAGAGCACCCTAAACGGCGATTATGCCTGGATCAGCGTCAACAAGGATGATGCCCCGGTTATTTTGCGACTCAACGGCTTCGTATATGCTGGCGCCACGTTGGAAATCACCGAGACCACGGAGAGGATGCCCAACGATTCGAGCTCGCGGACCACCACAGAGGAGACAAAGAAGAATTTGCTTGCCGTGTTGGGCAAGCGCTATCACGCTGAGCAGAAACTGCTGGATCTGTCAGCTCTTGGCACGGACGAGGGCCTGAGCATGATGGGTGCCTTTGGCTCGCAGTCACTCGCCGAGAAGGCGTTCAAGGCACTTCTGCATCTTGCTACATCGCAGTACAAGAACTCCCAGGAAAAGAACGAGGCCATAGAGGCTGTATCCCTTGCTCGGAACGACATTAACGATGTCCAGCAAGTCTTCACGCTCGTTTTCTCATTGCCGGACCTAAAGCGGCTCGATCTCAGCGGAAACCATCTCGACAGCCTCCCCAAAATTGCCAAATGGGAGCATCGGTTTCAGCAGCTTCAGGAGCTCCATCTCACCGATAACCCGATCATGAACCAGGACAACTTTGTCCCAGAGCTCCTCAAGTGGTTCCCGTCATTGCAGATTCTGAATGGCCAACAGGTCAGAGCTCCGGAAGAAATTGCGGAATCTTTGAAGCTCATCAGCCCGACACCTATCGCGCAGTTCCCATCGAACCTACGTGATGGAGAAAACAACGTGGCGTCCGCATTTCTAAGCGCATTCTTCATATTGTTCGACAGCGATCGGGCTCGACTGGCATCTGAGTTTTATGACGACGAGTCGTGGTTCTCAGTTTCAGTCATTCCGAATCCCGGCCGCACTCTTCCATGGAAGTCGTACCTGAAGTTTTCGAGAAACGTGAACAGAGTCTCCACTAACAGGAGCCCTGATTTGCTGAAGCGAATCTTTACCGGCGGCGACCTCATTGCTGGCTTGTGGGCACTTTTGCCCAGCACACGGCATCCCAGTCTTGACCAACCTGGACAATGGCTCATTGACTGCCACACTTTTCCCGGCCTTGCAGACCCGTCCGGTCAGGGTGTTGCAACTGGTTTGGCCATCTGTGTTAACGGCCAGTTTGAGGAGGCCGATACAGCGCAGAATATCTTTGGCACCCGTACGTTCTCGCGGACGTTTATTCTCGGACCCAGCAACCCAGCAAACCCGCGCTCTAAGCACCCTTACCGAGTTATCAGCGACCAGCTCACGCTGCACAACTTCAAGGCCAATGAGGCCGTTGTTCAGCAGGTGCCCGCTGTGTCTGCCATGCCCACCTTGGCGACAGTACCCACCGTAGCCGCCGCCGCTCCGGTCCCGAACATTGCGCCGATGACCCCGGACGCGGCTACGAAAGCCCAGCTTATTCAGGAGCTATCGAGTCGTACCAACATGACGGCCGAGTATTCCGAGCTATGCCTTGGAGGCGCTGCTAACTGGAATTTCGACCTCGCCCTAGAATCCTTTGAAAAGCTGAGGGCTACTCTGCCTCCGGATGCTTTTCTCCCGGTTGCCTAGAATGTACCGATGACGATGTAGTCGCCGGAATGGAGAGACTAAAAAGGGGTGGTTCTGGTTGATTTCTAGGGAGATTTGGGATGCAACCGCAGGTTGCTAGACTGCTTAGACTTGGGGGTTGGTAGTCAAGAACAAGGGGACGAACCGGCTGCGGTGACAATGGCAGTCTTTCAGCACTGAGGCCTGGATTGTTGAGTCATGTACATTAAAATACGCACACAGGAGAGGTGGGATGGGTCATTTTCACGGAGGATTGGTTCTGCAGACACCAGTATCTGCACCATATCATCGATAGGTATGGCTGGAGTCACACATTGTGGGAAGGGGCGTTTAGGACGGCTGCTTGATACTGAATGTTGGAAGGAGGCACCGGCGATCTGTCCCAGGTTGCCATCAGGCTCAAGTCGAGATGGGCTTATAGCTTCGCTGGACACAGCAGGGACGAGAATGGGAAATTTCTCAACGATTATTTCCGGCTTCAGCGTCATATTCTCCTGCGCTGTTTCCACTGGCTACGGTTTGAGAAATATGATTATAGCGAACAGCATTTGTGAAATGCAAAGAAGTCCGGCTATAATCTCAAAACTATCACGAAAATTGCCTCGTGATCTTTATTTTGTGTGGTCTTTGTTTGATTGCAATTGTCAAAGCCGCCAACCACGGCGTCGTGATCGGCGAGTCACGGAATTTCAGACCAATCGCCGCCGAGAAACGGCATCAAATCGGTCAACTGCGGAGCCGCGCGCCATGGCCTTTCTCCATTTTCTCATCACGGGCTGACGGGCTTACTTATGACTTGCATTCTTTGAGCCGCAAGGGCCGATCACAGTCACCACACACCGCACACTCCCTCCCCCCCTCCAGTTGCCGTGATGAGGGCAGCATCATCACTGGACAATCTGGGGCAGCTTGACACTCAGCGCTTACACGCAGCTTGAGACCCGGGCGGCTTTTTTAATGACGACGTTCGTTGTCTCTGTCCCTTCGGGCTCGCTGGCTGACTCGGTTATCGTGGGTATTGGCTGCCCGTTATTCATTCAAATTCTCCTGATCGATTGGCCGGCAAGCACCGAACCATTTAGGTTTTTGATGCAGCCACGCGCGGCATCCATCCGCATTCGCATCCACATCCGCATCCGCATGTCATCAGCCATCCATCCCACACACTGTTTCTGTTTTCTACATACAGTAGTTCGTATTTTGGTTTTGCGCCACGCGTGAAAACAGAGAGAGAGAGAATGACAGTGTTCCGTTTCTTTTCACTCTTGAATTGCATTCCTGCTCGCTCGATGGCAGGGCGTGGTGTGGCATGCATGGCATCGCATGATGAGCGCGGGTAAGGATGATGGATGGTCGAGAGACTTTTGGCTCCAGTGAGAGTCACGAGTCCCATGCTCAGAAGTATCGTATCCGTATCTCGCTGAGGGTCAACACTTGAAAGACTCAGGTTCCTTGCTGCCTGGTGATACCCCTCGTTGCTGTTGTTTCTACGATAATCTAGGTAAGGTTCCTTATGTGTGTGCGGAACGGCCTGCACAACCCCGAGCGACGCGCTGGACACAACAGCGCCGGCTGCCTACCCTACTGGTCGGAGCCTACCACCTTGCGGTGGCATGCCGTGATTCGTGCTACGTACATGACCACATTCGGGAGATTCTGCACACCCGAAGATCGGGCAGTGCCGCTCACATTGCCCAAAGTTCCAGTCTACCGTGCCATTTTCGTGCGATGTGATGTGCGCGGCTGGGCACATTTGCTAACCTTCCCGCCTTGGGTACTTCGGTGCCTTGAAGGCTCATACGTAAGATACCTTGTGGGGTGGGATGGATATTCTGCTAGACCTGATCCCTTTTGAAGATCTGCTTCGTTCTCCGCAATGGAAATGCTCTGTCCTCAGACTCTGGTATTCTTATGGGAGTGGAACTGAAGGATTGAATGAAGGATGCTAGAACTGATGACTTGCTTTTCGGAGCTACTTTACCTTACCCAAGCTATGTTGATGTGTCGTTGCATAGCGGCGATCTACGGAATAACGGCAACTTCAAGCTCTAGCAATGCTAATCTGGGTTACGGGTTATCACGACATCGCCCCTTGCTGCTGACGGCGGCGCCTGAGGTCAAAGTGCTGCTACCCAGCCTCTGGCCACAGGGCCGGCCGGGTGGGGAGAGGGGTGGTTGGACTTGGGGCTGGCGGCGTGGAGTCGTGGACACACAACCCAGGCCTGTCAGGGCCCCCCGGACCACCTCGGGCCCTCGCTCACCAGGGCCCCTCGCCCTACTAAGAGGGTACATAGGGTAGGTTCAGGGTCGCAACCGGCCATCTCGAGAGCGTTATTATCAGGCCAGACGGCGCGCCATGGACCATGGTTGCTGCCTTGTCTCGCGAGATTGAACACTCCCTATTCATTTCCATAGCGACTTTTCTCTCCTAAGACATGGCAGCACCGGGGACGGATATCTGTGGCGCCCCGTGGACAAGTCGGCCAAAGACAAGACCGTAGTGAAAGGCTCTCCCCTCTCACGTATTCGTAGGTTCCTCGTGTTTCCCGGAAGACTCGGCGGCTGAGCGCTGGTTGTTGTACATACAATACAGCCGTGCCGTGAAAATGCCCGACACCCGCATCGTGCTTTGAGCAACTGCGCCGGCGCGGTCAAGGTCAGCTGCGCCAACAAAAGATGAGGCGTAGGGTAGTCGGAGGTTTGTGAAGGTTGAAGAGCGCCGATTTGACGGTTTTCTTGTCCTTCATGACATCATGGCCCCCATCCGTCTGTCTCACTTGTTCCGCCTCTTTTGCGTGTTCAGCCTCTCTTGCCAGCCTATTGTTTTTGACATGGTGCTGGATACTGAGTATGAAAAGCCATTTTACAGGCTTCGACCCTCTGCTCGATAAAGAAATCCGTCCCGGGCCACGTGTGGGGTTTGGAAGAGGAAAAGAGAAGGTGTGGAGGGCGTGGATGCTCCCGCCTCCAACGTTTCTCCGCCCAGCAGCTCGCTCTCTCCACTCGGCTGTCCTGCCCAGTCGGGTTAGGCCTAGGGGCGCTCTGGGTGTTTCAAAATCGGTGGCATGGGCAATTGGACACCACCCTGCGAGGGGACGACCCGACCAGTAAGTACCACTAGGACATGGGCCTCTTGGGTCCACGGCGTTTCCATTCGTCCACTCTCAAATTTCTACGGAAAGCACGCGCGACGCAGTCAGTCTCAGCAGTCGTCTGGCTGGCGGCGGAGGCCTTTTTGTGGCCTATGGCCTTGTATATTCCGTGCCAATTTCGCCAGAGGCAATAGCCTCGTGATGGCGATGCTATTCTGGCGAGGTATTTGGTCATTTGCATGCGCTGGGCCACAAGACGACTTTTCAGGGCCCCGTTCCGGTGGTGTGGGAGAGTCGGTGAGAGGAGAGTTGCTATGTTGCTTGTGCTCAGAAACCTGCCGAGAACCAGAACAGGGCAACATCCCATGCAGACACACAGCAGCAGAGTCGCAGACAGACCGAATGACCGACAGACAGACCGACGGGCATCCTTTTTCAGCGCGTTGCTCTTCAAATGATTGCAATGTTGGTATCGGGCGTTTTGATGGCTCTTGGCCATGTCTTGGTATATTCCTACCTACCTACTCCGTACTTACAGAGTGCTGTTGCAGGATGGGATGGACTTCAAGTAAGGTGTGTGTACTGCCGGGTTTGGCTCTGGTCGGTCTGGCCTGGTCTGGCTCTGGAGGAATCGATGGGAATGGATTATCAGGAGTTTGGTTTCTAGAAGCGACTGGCGAATGGACCGCCAGACAGAAGAGAAAGGGCTTCTGCTCGTGCTGAGGTAACAACGAGGGAGGGTCTTGATTCGCAGACACATGCACCGCACCGCACTGCCAATTCTCTGTTTGCGCCTGTGCCCCTTTCCATCCAACTCTCGAGATCAGCCAAGCCCCCCCAAGTCTCCATGTCCCTTGCAGGGTCGAGCTACCCGAGCCAGGGCCTGCCGGGGGTAGCAATCGAGGTAGCCCCTGGCCGAAGGCTACAACCAAGAGCCAAGAATACTACCCAAGACCCTTGCTTTGGCCCCCACTGACGCTGCTGATTCGTCCAAGCCACCCCAGCTGCCCGCCCCTGGCGAGGACCCTCCGTCTCGTTCATTTCTTATTCTCATGGATGCTGGTTCGTTTTGCCCGGTGTCTCGGTCCCACTGGGCGGTCGTCCCTCTGTCCTGTCCCGTCCCGTCGTCCTGGTCCGTCCTTCTTCCCCTCTCTTCACCTTCGGCCGCCTGCTATTATTGTTTGTCGAGAGAATGAGTGTGTGTGAGAGAGACCGAGAGCAGCAAGCAAGAGAGAGCCGGCCATCTCCCTGATCGAAAAGCTCGTCTGGGCGTTTTTCGCACTGCGAGATCCTCTGTATCGATATTCGCCTAACCCGACTAACACACTCGAAACCGAGATATTGGACGACGACAAATCCGCATATCGTACAGCCCGCCCCCTCTTACCTAAACCAAACGTGTTCCAGGGGCTCGCAGGAGGCTCGTGTCCAAACGAAGACTCTTTTCCCACCCGGAGGGAAACAGCACTCCTGTCAGGCTCTCCCAACCTGCGACACGAAATCCCCCGAGGGAACAAGTCAGAGACGTGAGAGGAGCTTTTGTTTCTCTCTGCCGTCGCGATCGACCCCGAGAAACATCCAAAGGCTGTTCCGTCGATCACGCTCTCGCTCTCACCGACAAGGGCAGGCCCTCGCCTTCCAGACGCTTCCTTAAGGTCTACTGTCGAGTGTTTGCTGCGTGGCGTGAAGGTGTGCATCTGGCATCCTTTTTCTCTTCCACTTGTTTCGTCTGGCAGAGTGAGCTGTCACTTGTTGCACTGCACAACCTGCCGGTTTGGACCAGTACGCATCGCCACTCCGGTCTCGAAATCCATCTTATTCTAGGTCACGACTCTATAAATGCTGAATCTGCCTGCGAACGCCTAAGCCGTCATGTCTCTGTAACTCGAGGCAACAGCACCCGAGGCTTACCCCGCCGCATTGCTGCGAGCTGGCAATTTGGTACACGTCGATTCTGCAGAGGCCTGAAGGGAGGAGGCATTGCCCAACATGCCCCTTCCTCAGCCAAAGGTGGCGTTGACGGACGCGTGTTCGGTCATCTTCGACGGGACGCTCTATACGTACTCGGCCGATGCATTCCAGTCACTACCCTTAGAGCCAGGGGCTCGGTGGACGCAGTTACCACAGGGTGAAAAGGTCACGGGCGGAGTGTGTGTCGGGTCAACACCAGGCGACGCGTCGACGGCGGCCTTCTTCGTCGTCGGCGGCAAGGGAACGTCGGACGGGTATCAGGGCCTGCAGAAATTCACGTACGCCACGGGGAAGTGGGAGTCAGTAGAGCTTCCCATGCCTGTGACCCAGGACCGATTATGGCACGGCGCGACCTACATCAACAGCACGGATTCGATTCTCATGTATGGCGGCGCCCAGGACGGCTCACAGCACCCGTCTCAGCAGACATTTACCATTGGCGCCTCGGCGCCATACACCGTCTTGTCTTTCAACTCGGTCGCGCCTCCTACCATCAACCCTATTCTCCTTTCGTGGTCTGCTACCGAGGCAGTGCTCATCGGCGGGAGTACGTGGAACACTAAAATCACCATTTTTCGCCAGCCAGACTGGATCGACTCAGGGGCATCCCTAGCGGAGCCGCTGCAAAAAGATGTTTCTGCCATCAAGGCTGTCATCATAAATGGCGACGATGGGTCAAGAAGCTTACTTACTTTTGACATGACGGTCTCGCCGAATTCGGTGCACCGCTCTGTTTTGTTCTCGGCTGGAGACGTCCCGGTTGTCAACTCTCCAGCGATCAAGAGGAGGACGTCTGGAGGGGGCCATCGTAGCTTGGAGAGCGCGAGAAGAGACGCCACGCCGCTGACAGTGGCCAACTGGCCCGATTACAACTCGACGCTGGCCCCGAAAGTTACGAGGAGTAACTATGCGCTGGCACAAGATCCCAACGGCTTGGTCGTGATTGCAGGTGGAAACCAGGACGACATCCTGTGCATGTTCGACGCGAGGGAAAACAGCTGGCAGAATGCGACGGCCAAGCTGGTGGACCAGAAGCTGCTCGCAAGCGAAGCCTCGTCGACACAGTCATCACAAACGGCGACATCGACGGCTACGACAAGGCCCACAACTTCTCCCACATCCGCAGCAGCAAGCATTACCGCCCCCGTAGCGGCGACGCAAACGCCTGCCGCAACCACGCTGCCGGCGGCCTCAGAGACCTCGGGATCTGGAACCACTACGATTCTCGCCGCCGCGCTCGGGTCCATCTTTGGGTTGGCCATTGTCTTGGCTGGACTGTACTGGTGCATACATAGGAGACGGAGGCGGAACGCTCATATCGAAGCAGGCCATATGAGGAGAGCCAGCGGCGCATCGTCGGACGAAAAGGCAGGCGTCAAGTTTGCAAACGACAGCTTGCCACAAATTAACAGCGGCCTCGGCGTCTTCCGCGGACACCAGCAACAAGACTCGCAGGGCTCCTTCTCATCCATAGCCATCCTGATGGGCCGCCACAACCAGCAGAAGCCGGGACAGTCGGCGCCCATGCGTAACCTCAGCAGCAACACGAACCACAGCAGGCGTAGTTCCGAGGACAGCACGTTCAGGGCGTTCAAGAGCACCATCAGCAAGCCGATGCCCCAGGTCGCCGAGACGGCCAGGACCATAACGCCGTCGCCCCGACCCCAGGCCCCGGCCCAGCTCCAGCCGCTGGACCACGCCCCGCCCAGGCCTCCAGCACGGCAACCAGCCCGTGATGACAAGGGTGTCTCGTTCGCTCCAAATACTACTGAGCCCAGGCCGCGGAATCCGTCAGCGGCGGCCGCCATCGACCGCCAGGGCAGCATGAGGCGGAGTTCTGGGTGGAACAGGTACTGGTCCGGCGGGTCGGCTTTAAACCTACTTGGCTTTGGTAACGGCGCCAACGCCAACAACAGGAACAGTAACACAAACAATGCCAACGGCGGCGCCAACCAGGCCTCGCGGAGGAACACGGTGGCATCGGACCGGAGCTCCAACTACAGCAATCAGCACCGCATCACACAAGACAGCGCCACCGTACCGCCCTTGCATATCAACGAACCGCGGGCCTCGTTCAGCCGGGTCGCCGCGCGCAGTCCCAACATTGCCATGTACAACGCCGAGATCAAGGAGGGCATGACGGGCCAGATCGAGATGGAGCGGCCCGTGAGCGCCGTGAGCTCCGTTTCGGGGTATTCGAGCGGCATTCCTGCCTCGGTGCACGAAGCGTGGGATCCTACGGAGTTCGCGTTTCCGAAACCATGGGGCGCCGACCGGGCACCGGCGAGCACCTATACCGGCACCGATGCCGCCTCTTCGGCCCCCTCGTCCCAGCTGGCCCGACAGCAGCAGGCGGTCCGCGATGACATGAGCTGGCTGAATCTAGGCGACGGCCGGTGACGGTGACGTCTTTGCATGAAATCCACCAAACTCACGATCCATGTTTACATTACTCATGAACAACACCATCACCACCGCCACCGCCGCCCAAAAGCTCCCCACCGCCGCCTACATATACGAAATGCCATTTTCTCTCCCTTTGATTTTAAGGAGTCTTGCGCGCATATACAGCCGGTCTGGCTTACGCCCCTCTCTCTCGTTCATTTGGACAGAGACACGTGGCATTCATAGCATAGGAGACATGAAAACCCGTCTTGTTTTCTCCCACTCAACCATGCCACGCCGACACACACACACATATATATATATATAAGCATGAACTTTGTTTTGTGTTTCTACCTCTGAATGCCTCGCGGCGCCCTCGCTCAGCCAGGCACGGGAATCTTCTCTTCTTAATTAGCGCGGCATCATCGTCCTCATCTCAGGCGCGAAAAAGCTAGGGTTCAAAACCTTGTTGTATAAAACTCTCAACACGTCTTTCATCTTTTTTCTTTTCTTGATTCTGTACATGTTTCCGCACCAATTTCTCTCTCTCTGGGCACTGGCATTGCACTGGGCGACCCAGGTTTGGTCATTTTTATCTTTTATTTTTATCTTTATTTCTTATATGTGGCCTTGATCACGACCATCTCTCGCTCTCACACGCCACATTCACACCACCGAGACACACACATACACACACTCGCTCTTACACACACTCAGACCTCCATAGAAGAGGAGACGAGCTAGGCCGCTCGTTGCTCCCCCCAATGCGCCGTTAATCATGTCATACATCATATTTTGCTTTTGGATTTTGAGCGGCGGGGGAGGAGCAGCCGTCAAGCGTTTTTTTATTATCAAGATACCGGACCTGCCAATGGATATACCCGAGGTCCCTTGCCTTGCCTAGGTCTGTCGAGCCCGGCAGGTAGGTAGACGTGTGGATCCCCATTGGCGTTGTTTATTGGGGACACCACAGTAATGAGCTGCAGCTGTGCTCTCGTATGTATCTAGTAAGCTTAGGTAGCTCCAGACACACTCGCCTTTTCCCTGGTTCTTGGCCGGGGAAAGGTGAAATTTTATCATATTTCAACAAGAACACAAACATGGAAAGACCCGGGACGTGAACTCCCTGCTGCACGAGAGGCTCGGAGAAAGAAGGCACCAGCCTCGGGAGACCCAGTACTTCGTATATCGGTACAACCCCGTAAGGGTGTTGGCGTCATGCCACCCACCCACCCAGCTCTGGCTTCCATGCCGTCGAGGTTGCTGCAGACTGCGTTCATTCTGGGACCGAATGGTTGCTGCTTGCCTGCTTCTGGCACAGCGTCCAGGAACACAGTCCTCCTTCTAAGCACCACCAGCAGCAGCCAGCGCCCAGGCAGGCTTGCAGACAGAGCATGGCATGGCATCAGACTGGAAGGGGAAACACGGGCTGCTCCAAGAGGGCAACCCGAGAGAGAAGACTCCTTCCAGAACACCAGACCCTAGGTAGGTACAAGTAATGGAAGTTAGACGCTCATTCGTCAGCTTTTTCCCTCAGCAGCTCATTGGTGGCGCTGTCCACGGGTCGGGGTCGTCGGTCAACAGATCCAGAAAGCAGGCGCGGGGGACATGCATGTAGGTGGTGGTGCGGCGCTGTCTTGCAGTTGCCGGCGCTGCTCCTGCTTGCTGCTGTCAGCGAATTGCTGGGGGAAAGGTTCCAGGGCTCCCTTGCTCATCTCCGTTCATGACCCCCACCTCCCCCGCCTCGAGAGCAGGTCCATGCGTGGGGTTCAAGCCACCTTGCGCAAGAGCCAAAAACCCGAGCAGGAGGCTTCATGACCCAAGCTTCAAGGACAGCTCCAATCCCTAGATAATTTACCAGCCGGAGGCTTTCTGGGATATAAGATGCCTAAGAGCCTTGCGGCTCACCCTAGAAGCTCTTCTGAAAAGGAGGCGGTAGCTCTTGGAGCCCCTGGGAATAGAACGAATCCTCGAGACCTTTCTTTGTCTGTTCCTTGATTGATTTATTTGCTACAAGACTTGATCCTTATTCTTCCCCAGTGCCGTGCCAGGGATTAGACTGTAACGCGTGCATAAGAAAAAAGCAAATCACGAGCCATTTAAGGCCTGGTATGAAGTGAAGCGAAGCGGAGCCGGGACGCTAACTAGCAGTATCGAGATGGGGCAGCCGCTTCACATTCCCTCAATTAGATCTAGTGTAGCGAAGTCGGCGGGATTCGGCCACGACCGGGTGGATGAACGCTGGAGCACCTGCGTAATGGGATCCCGAGCCATTAACGTGAGGTCTGTTCAGCCAGCGCCAGTGCCCTCTATTGCATCCTGTACAGCCCAGGGTATGTAGGTATATTATTATATTAGTGATGGACGGAGGAAGATTAACATGTGTCTGAGACTCACGCCCACAAGCGTGAGGAGGGGTCGTGATCCAGATAACCCTTATCGAGCTGTATGTACTCTACATACGTACAGTACACAGCTGAGCTGATCAGCAGATCAGCAGATCCAGCCGCATTGAGGCGGAGGGACAGGAATCCCCTCCACCCGCTGTGACGGGTCTGTCTGTCAACTGCCTCACTATCGAGAAATGGAAACAGTGTGGACAGTGGAGTGGGAGATAGAAGTCTCGTTGAGGGAAGGTGCGCCGAGGGAGGCACTTGCGTCTGGGGTTCAACTGCAGCCCGGACGCATACAAACACCACTGTCGCAGGGTTCTAGGGCTCCCGAGCCAATTCGCGCAGCCATGAAGCAGACGCTAGCAGGTTCTGGTCCCTCCATTTCAGTCTCTGCTTCCCCCCACACCATCTCCTCCATCCCACTCTGCTGCCTTTGCGACTCGCCGTCCGGGGCCGCAACCCTTGACTTCCATTCTTGCTCGGCGCTCCTCAGTGCTTGCTGTCGACAATTGCAACCGACACGCGAACTTGAGGATACCTAGCAACTAGACCGAATGCCGGGGTACTCTAATTGCCGCCCGACAAGCCGTCTCAACTTAACTTAATCACGACGCCCCACCAAAGCTCACTTACGAAGTCGGGAACGATCCCCAATTTGTGCCGCCGGGTTTCTTGTGCGCCACCCGGACTAAACCGCAACTGCTAGGCTCGACGACATATTGGACCTCGGGGCGCTGCCTCGCTCAACGGTTCCCGCTACGTTCTGTCTTCTCTCTGCGCAACGTCGTGCTTAGAAGTAGTTCAAGCCGTTCGATACTCGGGGCATATATATACCGACGCTGTCACGACAGCATTCGCGACTATTCCCGCGACTTGGACTCCCAACCAGGGAAGGACAAGCTTCGGGTGCGCACGTACAGCATGGCCATGATGGACTCGTCGGCATGGAATGTATCGGATCACCCGATGCATCCCACAACCGACGATGACTTCCAGCAGTTCCTAGACATGAACGGGATGAGCAACCTGGCCGACAGCTTGAGCTACGAGTTCCAGGACTTTCAGTCTCCGGCCGGTGCCCACTTGCTGCAGGCCTCCTCTTCTCGCGACCACCACCTCGACACTCCCATGAGCGGCACCGACACCCCAATCCTACTATCGCGAGCCGAGTCGGCGCTCCAGCATCAGATTCCCGCCATAACAACCAGTGCCTCTTTCCAGACCATTCCGGCCACCATGATGCCGCCTCCCACCCCCAGCGAGGCCATTGTCGACAGCATCGATGCCCAGATCCAGTTCCTCCAGCAGCAAAAGTTACAGCATCAGCAACGGCAGATCGAGGAGCAGCAGGCCGCATTCTTCGTCCGCCATCAAGACCGCATGGTACCTCCTACCCCTCAGAGTATGGACCTCCAAGCTGGGACCAACCAGTTCTTCTCCCAACCCAACGGAACGGATCAACACCAGCAGCAGCACCAGCAGCAGACACCGGGGATAGATTACCGGTACCAGAGGCTGAAAGAGCAGCAGGATGTAAGCCTTCGCTCCGTGTCTTGGATGCCCGGCACTTGTACTGATGTGTATAGATGTCATTCACGCCATTGGTGTCGCCAGCAGTGACCCCGCTCGAGACACATTTCCCAATTGATAACCAGTTTACCGTCCCGGGAGCTTACTTCAGCCCGTTGTCTTCGCCGGCACTTCACGCGCAGAACGATTCGATGGCCATATTCAATCAAAGACACGGCGCCGCGACGACGAGCTCGCCAGGAGACATGGACCTGGAAACAACGGGACCCCCCTTGCCGAACCCCGGTTTGGGAGATTTAGCCAAGAAGATCCGAAAGAACGCGTCAAAGGCAAGAAGCAAGGTGGGCGTCAAGCAATCGCCAATCTCTAAGCCGATGAGAAGGAAAACCACAACTACGCCAACTATGAACGCACTTGTGCTGAGTGACCTTGTCGAAAGTGCCGAGCAAGGCCCAGATCGCCACCCCCAGTCATGTACGCCGCTGGTCCAGACCTCGGCTTCATCCACGACAGGGGCAACGGACTCGGAAAACGGATCGGTTTCTCCTCAAGCGCTGAACGACATGATGCCGATAGAGATGCCGCCCCCTCCGATCCCAAAACCACGATCTGCGAAGCCCTCTCCTTATATCGCGCCGCAAAGCAGTGGTGTTAGCACCGGCCTCCAGACTCTCCAGCCGGGGGCCTTGTCGCCGGCAACACCTGCATCGCTGATGAAACTAAGCTCCCCGAATAACCGCAATTCAATGGGGGGCACCAGCAGCCAAGACCCAGGCGACACGGAACACATTGAGAGTTTTGAACTCCCAGAGCCTGCTAGCGCCCCAAAGCCGGCCCGGCCTTCGGTGATCACACGAACGCCAACTCTATCGGCGCCAGATGCTAACCCCGTCAAGACGCCAGGCCTCACACCACTTCCGTCTCCTCGGTCGGCGAGGCCGCCGGCGACAACGCCGACAACGCAAAGCCCGCAGTTGATGATGAGGCCTGGGTCGGAGACGAGGAAGACGCCGTTGCTGTTGCCGAGGGGGAGCAAGAAGCGGCCGAGCGTGAGCTCGGTTCAGGTTTCGCCAGCGTTACGGCCCAAGATCTCGCCCAACATCAAGCCGTTACTGCCGGGAGGGGCCTCGGCCGAGGACACGGCTTCGCATCTCTTGGCGACAAAGTCCAACTACCAACGCATCCTCGAGGGCAACACGGTGCCCGGCGTGTCGTATCCGAGCGAGCTGTCGACAAATCTGACGTCAAAGCGGACGTCGCACAAGATTGCGGAGCAGGGACGGCGGAACCGAATCAACTCGGCACTTCAGGAGATTGCCACCCTGTTGCCTCAGGCACCTAAAGACATCAAGGAGAGCAAAGAGAGCGAGGGAGATTCGGACAACAAGAAGGACAAGTCGGGCAACAGCGTGCCGAACAGCAAGGCCAGCACGGTGGAGCTAGCCATCGAGTATATCAAACAGCTACAGCAAGAGGTTGTAGAGGCCAACCGGAGAGCCGAGGAGGCGGAGAAGAGGCTCGGGCTAAAGATGGTCGAGTGACGGAACGAGGCGGACTTAATGAATGCATAGCCTTTCGTATGGGCGGAAGGCTCGTTGGCTTGGCAGTAGCACGGCAGGGCCATGTGGCAGGTATGGCGTGCGGCATGCTGCAAAAGGCGTTTGGGATACTATAGTATGTGATGTACAATGACGAAGACTGGACGGGAGCGCGGTCGCGGTCAGAGCCTCATTTCTAGACTTGAGATGGGGCACCTGGTAAAAACCTGTTGGCTTTTGACGCGTTTAATGTGTGCTAACGCAACGATGACTTATCTACAGATATGCTAGCTTCTGAGCATTTACTCGGTACATATAGTCATACTTATATGTGCATGCATACGTACATACATGCCCATCTCGTCCTAATTATGGAGGGATGTATACGAAGTATTGCATACAATACGTACACATATATGAACTACCACCAAGTGCCTGATGGTCAGAAGAAAACAGTGAAGGTTGTGACTTTTGGCAACACAAGAGGAGGGAGGAAGGTATGGCGAAAAGGGCGGGCGGGCAGGCAGTTTTTTGGCCTACAAATGCCACATCTAAGGGTATGTAAATCAAAGAAAAGAGGAAAGGAGAAAAAGCGGTAGATAATAAAGTCCGAGGGCGACAAGGCGACGCCATCGTCGGCTCCGAGGTGGGCGGGCATCGGTCGGTGCTCGGGGGCAGTTGACCGCCGTCCTCCGCTCTCGTCCACTAATAATCGCCTGTGTTCCACTGTGACTCCCATCGGCCGCGAGCACTTACAGCGCACCTCCAAGGAAGGCACAGCCTGAGACTAGAGCCGAGGCCGCGCGTCTCGGCATGACGCGTGGCGTAACGTAGCTTGGGTGGCCTGGGATTGTCGTCTTTGTCAACGTCTAGGCTGGACGTTTACCCCACAAAAGTCGACCCAAACATCGCCCATGGCATGGCATGACAAGTATATGCTGTATGGTTGTGTCCGTTTCTGCGCCTGTCGACGCCGTTCTGTTCTTGCCCTACACCCCACCGCGCCGCCTTCCACGGCACGGCGTTCGCCTCCCTTCAACTTCAACCTCGGGGGCTGTCCATGTTCGAGGGCCCGTTTCTTGAGCTGCCCTTCTACCTAGTGGTTGAGAAGAAGCATGGAGTAGAGCATGGAAGGCAAGTCGGGTCCCGATTGCGTCGTAATTTGTGCGTGGCAATGGCCATTTCCACTCCCCCTTTTCCTCGTCGGAGTCACAGACTCGATTCTACTCTGGCTCGTAAATTCGAGATTTGTGAGGTGTGGTCAGTCTGTGCTGTACATACTGCGTGTATGTACAATACATACCTACACACGCATGCCTAGCTTACCTTGCCGGGCCCAGCCCGTGGGAGGCAAACACTGGCGTGGACGGCGCACCAGAGATGGGATTGCGTTTCATCTTCTCTACCTGCAACCTCTTATCCCTACCTTGCCTTAGCTACTTGGTAACCTCGGGCTAGAGTATATTAGATCTCCCCCCCTCCCTCTCTTTGTCGAACCGTGCCCAGCGCCTGCACTCTCTCATCATCCATTCCCACCCCCAGCAACCAACAACCGACTCTCTTCTACATCCACATCCACCCACACCTACACTCTTTAACTACCCGACCTATTCCAGGCACCGCCTCTCTACCTTGTACATCAAGTACACAACACCTACCTACTGCCTATTTCAGCAGTTACAAAGTAAACGGATAAACCGTGACCATGGCTTGGAACGGAGTTCCAAACCCCCCTCCTGGCCTCGGACAGCCCTTCTGGGACTTCTTGCAGTCCATGGGCTCTGACAACCGTGCAGCTCCTGGCTACGGTGTCGACCACGCCGGTCCTCAGCAGCAGTCGGGCTTCCCCTTTGGATTCGGCCCTGGTGCCCCCGGCGGCCCTGGCGGCCCCCCTGGCTTCGGCGGTTTCGGCGGTTTCGGTGGCCCCTGGGGCGCTCGTCGAGGACGGCACCACGGCTGGGGCGGCGGCTGGGGCGGCGGCTGGGGTGGCCGAGGAGGCGCTGGCCCCCATCCCCATCACCGCCATAGCAGCCACGGACGCGAAGGACACGAAGGACGCGGCGGCCACGGCAGACGCTGCCGCCACCATCACGACGATGACCACACTTCCAGCGGCGAGGAGGACCTGCATGACGTCACCGCCGCTGCCGCGGCTGCCGAGGCCGATATCCTAGGCCGAAGCGACCCCGAGAAGGCGGACCTAACCGATGCCGCCACCATGCGCGACCAAGACACCCCTGAAAACGACGAAGAGCACCCCGACCCCCCTGAGGAGGCACCGACTGCCTTCCCTCATCGCCCCCATGGTGGACGTCGTGGCGGTGGTCGCGGAAGAGGTGGCCGAGGCAGAGGCAGACATGGTGGCTTCGGCGGTCCACACGGCCCACACGGCCACGGCCACGGCCATCCCGAGGAGTTTCCTCATCCTCCTCCATTCGGTGCTGCGGAAGCTGGACCGTTTGCCGGTGGGTCCTTTGACCTGAACGGACTGATGAGTTCCCTCGCGAGCCACCCCTTTGCCCGGCAAATCCGGAGCTACATCGAGAATGCCCAGGCACACCAGCAACAGGGGCACAGAGGGGCAGAGGCTGGCAACACCAACGATGACGACTACGCCGACAGCGAGAGCTTCGTGCCGCCCGTCGACATCTTCAACACCCCTAACAACTGGACCGTCCACCTGTCCGTCCCCGGCGCCAAGAAGGACGACGTGGCCGTCAACTGGGACGCGGATAAGTCGTTGCTGGCTATTACGGGTGTCGTCCACCGCCCCGGCAACGAGGATTTCCTCGCCGGCATGCTCTCGGGTGAGCGCAGAGTAGGCATGTTTGAGCGCAAGATCCGGCTACCGCCGCTCACGTCAGCTGCTGCTGCTACTGCTGCTGCTACCGCCGCGGCTGAGAAGGAAGAGGTCGATGCCGACCACATCACGGCCCGCATGGAGGACGGCATCCTTATTGTCGTCGTGCCCAAGGCCGAGAAGGAGTGGACCGAAGTCCGCAAGGTCGATATTGAATGATTGCGAGAGTCGTGTTATTGTCTCGAGGGGAGAAAACAGGAGAGCAAGCAAAGGGAAGGAGACATGATGGGATCATGATCAAGAAAGGAAAAAAGGACAAAAAAAAAGGTTTGTCTTCTCAAGGAGGGATGGCTCCATCAAGTATACGCCGCGAGCTCCGACAAGTTTGTGTTATTGTGTTGCTGCGTTGTATTGTCTAGGTATCTTAAATAGGCCGGACCCTTTCTGCTTTTTTCGGTATATTTGTTGCATATTGGATACTAAAACTCATGAAACTTTTGAATCTCGCTCCTGTGTATTAATTATGGCCCCAAGAAGGATCTAGTTTCTGCCTCTTTATTTGACCAATCCTGTGGCTAAGTGCATGTTTTCTTTTGTTTACTTCAGAAGTGACTTCTAGATCTATCACCAAAGTGAAATGGCCTATACGTGACTAAGACCCTATACGTGACTAAGACTATTAGTTTCATGTGGAACCGTCTCAAGCGGCCACCCATCTCTCTATCTACAATGTGAACGTAAATCACAACCACAGACAGCCGCGCATGGATGCAAGCAGAACCTCTCGAAATTTACTCTTGTCTATCTGCCTATCTAGCAAACTATTTGCCTGGCTATACGATAACCCGTTAAGGAACCCTGTCTGACAACGAAGACAACACAACACACAGAGAAAACCCATATCCACCTTAAAGGATCAGCAAACAATCGAAACACACACCGCGCAGGGTCCCACGCCACGAATGAGCCAGGCCGACTCACATGCCCGCCCGGCCCAAGAACTACGCGGTCCGCCGCCTTGCCACGATAGCAAAGCCATTTAGCTCTCTTCCCGTATCCCCTACCAAGACAGAAAGACAGACAGTTACTTACCGCCACAAGAGTCTTCGGACGGTTTGCCTAGCGAGCGAGCGGCAAAAGTGGCCCCGCCCCTAGAGAGAGGAGACGACACATTTAGTATACCAGCGAGCATAGCAAGCGGACGAGATCCCGTGTTAGAACGGGTACAGTACTGCAGTATTCCATATCAGGCAGAGAGCTCTTAGAAGATCAGAAGAGGCAGTGGCGGCGGCGGGGGAATAAAATCTCTCCATCAACCAGTTAAAAAACAAAGCAAAAATCAGAAAAATACAAGACACAAAAAAAATAGGATTGTATCCCCCGTGTCAAAGCCTGCTCTCCCACCCCCTAGACGCCATATCTACCGCCCCTGACACAAAGAAAAAGAGGGCCAAGCCTCCTACCGCGGGGAGCAAACGGGATGGCAAGCAAGCGTGGGAAAAGAAAGCCGACTGTAGCCGCTCCAACCGTCTCGCCTCCCAAGAAACGAACCCAAGCATAGTTTCCCTCGGGACCAGGTAGGTAATCATCACCTAGCCACTGCAGAGCACCGCAGTCAAAAGCCCGGCAGGCGTATTAAAACGCCAAGTATAAAAAAGTAGATACACAAGAAATTAGACAATAGAGACACAGTCCGTGGAAAGTGATGGGCGTCAAACCCCAATGTCAACGGCCTTTCCTCCAACCCCAGATCCAAAGGGAAAAGGCTAGTAGATCGGCCTACTCTCCTCCCATTTCCGGAGAGTTTCGGGCTTCTTGTCGGCTCCCTCGAAGAGAAGCTTAGACGACGACAGCCCCGAGTCTTCAATCTCGCCTTTCACGTCTGGGCCCCATGATACACGCGCGCTCTTACGCCTTCGCGATCCGGATGCTCCTTCGCCGCCGGCAACGAGCCTGCTAGGTCCTATCCATTCCCAGGCGCGGCCGACTTCGCCGTTGTGACCCTCTCGCTGGCCCGTGCGGACATTGCTGTTTTGCTCGACAACGGCACGCACGCGTTGCCAGATGCGGTCCCGCTCGGCCAGGCTGTGCATCGACCGGAGCACGTCATCGCGCAAATTGGGGAGGAAGAGGAAGGCGTCGTCATTGCCGTCTTCGAACGCCATTTCCTTCTGGGCCGCAAGGCGGTCCAGGACCTGATTTACCAGGGCTGGAACCTGTGCCGACACGGCGCGGTACGATCGGTAGCTGCTCCGAACATACCAGCTCAGCAGCAACAGCCCAATCAGTCCAGCAATGCCGAGTCGATGTCTTGCCACCCCGAGCTTGACTGATCGCTGGATCGCGCAGGTGTACGAAAGGCGAGCGAGAGAGGTGGATGATAGTCTGGCATTTGGAAAATAGGTGGCACCTCCGGTTCTATGTGAACGGCGACGGGTCTGGTTAGTCCAGGTGGTCAGATATTGTTTTGTAACGCATGCAAGAGCAGGATTAAAGGGAATAAAAGGTATAATGGGGACGCGGACTCGCAAGGACTTACTCTTCCACCGACTGATCTTCCTGCTGCACCTCGACCTCGTCCCTGGACTTGATTTCTCCGATAGCCGCAGCCCAGAGCTCGTCGAACTCTTCCGCAGCCATCCGCTTGCTCCTCTTCTTGCTCAGCACTTCCTTCAGCTCCAGTTCCTCGATGGAAGGGGTATCCAGCGGCTGATTGTCTGGCTCAACGGGCTCGCCACATTCGAACTTGGCCCTTCGGTCCCGCAGTTCTTCAACTGCTCTGTCGGCAACAGCCTGAACTCGACGAACTTTCTCGCCGTCGGGCTCACAAGTGGGCGGAAGTGGAACAATGCCGCCCAAGGCAAGGGGGTGGGGCTTGAGGACAAAATCGGGCTCGCAGCGAACCAAAAAGTCCTCGTAGCAGTAAGCGTGGGGAGGGCAAGGCTCGCATTCTATCTCCACGAGCGGAGCAACCCAGTCAGGAAGCTCAAGATCCTGCAATCCCGCCTTTTCGACCCACTCAGTAGCCCATTCGGGAAACTCAATGTTCGCTGAAATGAGCCGACTTTGCTCTTGACCAAGCCCGCAATACCCAACTGCGATCTTCTGCTGTCGATACCAACCACCGTAGGCGGCCAAAAGGACCGTGACGAGCGACAAAATGGGTAGGGAAAGACGGCTTCGCCGCAATTTCCTTGACGTCCCGCTGCGAGCAATAGCTAGTTCGGGGTGGGCATGTTCCTCCTGAGCAAGGGCGAGCTGCTCGTCCGGAGTGAACTCTTCACCAGGTTCGATGGTTGCCAACACAGACGGGGGTGTTTTCGGCAGACCAACCTGGCTCATGGGCATCTCAAAACCTCTCGAGGCGGTCGTCGATCCATTCAGATTGCTGAACATGGGACCGTCGGTTCGTCGTCTGCCTGTAGGAGAAGTGCTTTTGGTCTTGACTGTCGAGTCCATGCCTGTGGTCTTGCGACGATTGCTCGGCGTCTTGATAACGGCAGGTGGTGAGCTCCCTCCGCTCTGGAACGGGTTATCGGTGGAGAAGACGTCTGCGGTTTCGGGTGTGCGCTTGAAGAAAACCTCCTCCTCCTCAGGCGGCTCGAGCTTGGGAGCCGGCGTTGTGCGCCTGTCCCGCCTGACGGATCGGGACGCCGCGGCGTCGGTATCGGGCGCCGTGTCTGTATCAGAAGCTGTGGGCAACTGGGCGCTCGCAGATCGCGATTGCCTCTTGCGCGGGCTCGCCCGCGAAGGTGCGGGCGGTGCAGGCGGGAGTTCGGGGTCTTCAGACTCGCGCTTCACCCGCGTAGTTTTTCTCGGCGAGCGAGCACGCGAGGCCGGAGCAGGCGGAGGCATCAGGTCCTGCTCGTTGGAGAAGTCGGTACTCGTGGTGCTCTGGGAATCGGCATCAACGATGCCTCGGCTAGAGCGTTTCGCGCGGGCGCGCGCGGCCAAAATCTTCTTCGATTGTGGAACGACTTCGTCGTTGAAGAGATCAATCAGTTGCTGCTTCTTGGCTGTGGCGTTATAGTTGACGTTGTGCGTGACCAGGATTGATCGCAGACGCGGAACTGTCAGCGACCGTGCATCGAAGTCCTCCTGCAGGTAGTCGACGCTCTCCGAGTCTGACATGTTGACGGTTGGGTTGAATTTGCAACTAGCTGGATCAGAGTCGAAACTGGGTCGAGTCGGGACAGAATGTATTATTATTATCAAGCGCCTGGCAGCGCAGAGCTGAAGGTACGGAGGAAAAAGTTGATGTGTGGACGCCTCTCAAGTCTGAAGCAGAGTAGCAGAATTGATACGTAGATGGACCGGAGTCAACCAACTGTCGCAGACAAGTCGCGGGCTTATCACGCTGCGCTTTGATTTTGGAACCCAAGCGATGCAGGTGCAGACGGTGTGCGATTAAATCAAATGCGCCTACTCCAGACAAAGAGGGCCGACTAAAAGGACGGCCCCAGACCACGATGGAAGGAGGTAAAAAGGTGTGCGTGGTGGGAATTTAGTGTTGATGTTGGCAAGTGGATTAAACAGCTCTAGTCTTCGAGGGCCCAAGCTACGGAGTAATCGGTACCTCGACAATCGCCGCAGGCTCGCTCGCAACTGATTGATGACGAAAGCGGAGCTTTTTGGTTGTCGGTGGCAACAACTTGGCTAGGCGGGCGCCCGCCTTGGCAAAATCTGCTCGAAAGCCCAGCCACATCAGCTGCGCCATATGCTGCGCCACATGTTGTTCTTCCCAGTGCGACCCCCTCCCTTATCCACATCATTACTTATCTGATGTACTCCTCTCATAACATAGCATTTAGTTCCCAAGCAGCCATTTATCAGCCGCCAGACTACGGGAACCTCTATAATCTCGAAATCAACTGCTGAAAGGCCTATAGCCTTCCTTGACCATGGCCCACCGACAAAGGAATACGAATAAAGAAAGTCCGGGCAAGGGACAGGGAGGGGCCAGCAAGACGACATCGCTGGCCGGTTCCCATGCTGTTCCCCTCTGAGCACTGAGGAAGGAGATGAACTAAATACCGGTGTGATAGAACATGGTTGTCATCAAATCAATAGGAAAACCCAGACTTGCCCCTCTTGGCAGCCACCACAGCTTCAGCCCCAAACTCGACGCTTCTTTTTTGTCGGAAATCTTAGGGCTTCATTTCTGTGATAAGCTCACTACATAATACTTTTTTTCTTCAACACCTTTCCAACAGCCTCCAAGCTGCGTATCCGTTGCCCCCTATCTAATTTTCATTCCCGCGCGTAAACCGAAGCCAACCGCGCCTCCGCCTCCTTGCCCAAAGAGCCACCAGTCCTCATTCTCGTACTACTTCGCCCTTAAATCAACTGCCCCTGGTATTGTGGATATCCAAGACCAAGATGTCCGTTGCTCCAATCTTCATCAGCTCGTCCATAACCGGGGCAATGCGCTTTTTCTCGACCATTGCACTGACGGCCACCCAGCCGTCCTCATCCAAAGACGTGACGGATGGCGCGCGCTTTCCAGGCGTGATTTTGGTCGCGTCCGAAAGGCTCGTTCTCGGAATGTTGTACTGGCACAAGACGTATTTCTGTGCAGTAATAACGCCACCGATACGCGCCGCAATCAGGTCCACCATGGCAGGGTTGCTGGGTGCCTTTGACTTGATCAAGATGGCAGACGACTCCACTACCGTGTCTATGGCCATGAGTCCGGCCGCTTTCATAGTCTCTCCAGATTCTGTGGCCACAAGTTAGCGGAGAGCACAGGGTGGGTAGGGAGCCGCCAAATCGAGCCAATTGGCGGAAAGCGAATACGTACCAACAAGGTCAACAATTCCATCGGCTACACCCAATGCACAGGCCGCTTCGACACTACCGCTGAGCTCGATGATCTTGGTGCGTAGCTTACGACCCGCAAAGTCGGCGTTGGAGTCTGTCACACCCTCCCTCTCGAGTTCTAGACGGGCAAAGTACTCGTGGGCCAGATGCACAAAGCTCGTCCCAACGTTCTTCCCAATAAGGTCCTTGCCCTCAGCGTACCCGCCCTTGGCAGGTGCCTGGACCTGAAGGCGGCAAGAGCCGAATCCGAGGTCCATGACCGTCTCACAACCTTGTGCTTTGTCTGACGGGTCAGGGCTCCCGTCGCCGCTCATGCGACGGGCGCGGGCCAATTCGCGCACGCCAGCATCGTGTTCCCTCACTTGGTCGAAGCCGGTGATTCCTAGGTCGACACGGCCCTCGCCGACGAAAGTGGGGATGTCTGCGGCGGGCAGAAAGACGAGGGCGATGGGCAGATTCTTGACGAGCGCAATGTCGAGGCGGTTCTCGCGCTTGAATTGGATGTCGGCGCCCTCGAGGAGGTTCAGACTAGCCTGGAGGAGGCGACCCTCTTTGAGAAGAGGCAGAAACCAGTTAGTACAACCCCCAAGTGGCCAAGAGTAAGCGCACCCGTGCGAGCAGGAGAGGGGATAGAGATGTGTGATGTGGGCGACCCACTCTTGGGCACTGCGAAGAGCAGGCGGCCTTCGAGGCTTTGCAGTGGCGTCAGCTCGTCTGCCATGCTCGCGGAGTGTCGACTGCCGAGGGGGAGGAGCCAACGGTCTGGCGGAGGGCCAGGAGAAGAGGGAGGCGGGGGACCAACTGATTTACAAGATCCATGGCCGGCTTGCCGAACCAGGACGTGGCGCTTGGGCAGGAAGAGGGAAAGGACTATGCGCTTCTCGACAGGCTGTATGTAGTGGGCGGATATCGCGCAAAGGCGGAGAGAGACCTGCAGGAAGAGAAGCGTGGGCCGCAAGTCAGTCAGGCTGCCGCAGCGATGTTACCAGACGCACCAAGCAAGCACAACGGCAGCATGGCGGGGTTCACGCAGCCAGAAACGGGGGGAGGGGCTTCGAGGACGAGCAGATGGAGTTGGGGGGCAGGGGGGGAACGTACTGCACAAGTGTCTAAATGGTCCAATCCGCGATCGAGATATTCAGCACGCAACACTTTTGCGTCTGCGGTATACGGGAATGGGCTGTAATATTCAGCCGCTCTCAATCTCACGTTGTCGTAGAATGGAGATTGAATTTTCGAGTTGGAGCCCACGTTCCTGGATCGGAGCCCCGGGCTGGGTGCCCCTCGTCGAAAGTGTGGGGGAGGTGACTCTACGATTCCCTTCCATCCATGTAGCTTAACTTCTGAAAGGCGGGGCCGGGGACCGGTTCCGATCCGACATGACTAGCTGTGGTTTATTCGCATCCCGACAATGCTAAGCAGGTCTGTATCTATTCACAACGTTGTCGCCTTCTATCCAATGCCCGCCTGCGGCTTGACGATTCACGTCTGCAGCTTTCTTTTTGAAATCCCCGAGCTGCGGAAGATGCTACACGAATTGCTACGCAGCGCTGCAACGTCATCTCTGTGTTTGCCCTAGTTGTTGAGCCGGCTAGGTAGCTGATAAAACTGTCACCAACTCCTCTTACTTGAACGGAGGGTGGTCAGCCCCTCGTCGTCTATCCCCAGAGTCCCAACTATCTCCAACAAGGCGTCGAGTAGCTCCAAATCCGCAGTAGCTCCGGCCATGCCGGCGCTCTCACCTGGTTCCTTTTTTGTCTTCTTTCTTACAAGCTTACACATACCGCCTTTACTTGGTAGAGCCGGCTATTCGTATGTGTGCGTCTGCAAAGGCTGGACTTGACTGTCCGTCTTTTCGTTACGACTGGCATTGGATACTTGTAGCGGTGCAGTTGGTAAGTGGACTATGGAGTACATAGTAGTCGAGCACCAGTGCGCTAATCCGCCATAGTTGCATCGTTTTCGCTAGCCCAGCTTACAGCCAAGGTATTCGTACTTTTTATAGGAGAGCTAGAACTACATCCTTGCATAATGTAGTTTGCGCCAATAATTGGGAAAGAAGAGTTGAAATCAGGGAGAGCAGAGCCGTTCTCTCCTCCGAAGTTCTTGTCACAATGGCGCCAGTGCCATTTATATATCTGTGGGTTCCAGACTCTGCAAATGCGAGATCTGTTTCGTGTTCAGGGGCCGGCAAGGTTGGACTCCGACGAGGAGGAACTGGATCTATAAAACCCCTGTAAACCCGCGCTTAAGCGTACGTCAACCGTCACGGCGCCCCTATTACGCGCCTCGCCATGCACTCTTGGCACCATACCCAGGGTGCTAACACGATCTAATCTAGCCTATCGTCGGGTGCCCAGAACGACTATCAACGAGAACGAGAGGAGCATCCACATCGTTGACACGGTATTCCTTTCTCATGCACTCATTCCAACCCCTCGAGCCAGCTAGACATTCTTGGATTCCTTCGTGCCCTGTGTTCTCATTGCTGTCACGTCCCACTCCGTTTGCATTGGACTGCTCCGCTCCCAGGTTTCTTGTCGGCCATATCTGGTGTGAAATACTTAAATAGACTGCATTGGTTTCAATTCGACGAAGCCCCCGACGACGCCCCCGTCGCACAGGCGCCGAATCCGGAAACCGTGCACAGCTGCCACAGCATCGTTGTTCCCCCCGACACACGAGCCAATTGGCCGTCGCTGCTCGCCGCCGCTCATCGAGTAAGCTGAAATCGCCAAAGGACACCCCATATGTTGGTAAGGGGAATTTCCTCAAACTCTCTCGTGCACCATTCCATCAGCTCTCCCAAGCAGGCGGGAATCCGCTTCGTGCCTCGTGCCCTGCATCGTGTATCGTCCGTCCCTCGACGCGACGTGCGTGGCCATGGCCGGACGGGTTCAAGTCTATCCCGACGGCACGCCCACTGACCATTTACGCCACACAGAAAATATCAGATCCGGATCACGCTTCGCTCGAGTAGCCCCGAGGCTCGACGTCGACGGCACAGACAGCCGGCCGGCACGTCCTAAGAACCCCGTAGCCTTTGGTAGCCCGATTCGCGACGAGGAACCTCCGGCCCCCCAGAACGGCCGGTCGGCTGGGCGGAACGACACCGGTTGGGATTTCAGCGATAGCGACACTGACGACCCCGGCGGCGGCCGCGACCGCGACAAGATGTCGACATGGGCTGGGCAGCCAAAGGTGGAGGGCAGTACCGAGACAATACGCATGTTGTTACTGACCTGCGTTTCTGTTGGCATTACGTCCGTACATATCCATCCTGTCTCCCGGCTTGATACAGGAGAAGGACAAGTTGCTGATGATAGCTCACCTTTAGCTTTACCTGGGGCGTTGAGATGACTTGTAGGCCGCGTGACCTCTCTTCCAAGTCCGTTTGTCTGTTGTGCTAATGGCATGTTGATACAGACTGCACCCCATATCTTTTATCGCTTGGCTTGAGCAAAGGTCAAACATCGATGGTGTGGATCGCGGGTCCTTTGTCCGGGCTGATAGTACAGCCGATAATTGGCGTCATCGCCGATGAATCCAAATCAAAATGGGGGAGGAGGCGGCCCTTCATAGCCGTTGGGTCTATAATTGTTGCGTGCAGTATGGTAGCACTCGGCTTCACTAAGGAGATCGTCGTGACCTTCGTGGCGGACAAGCAGCACGCCAAAGTGGCCACCATCGCTGTGGCCGTCCTTGCTCTCTATGTTACCGACTTTGCCATCAATGCTGGTAAGCCTTCGTGTCCTGCGCTTGCCGAATTGGGAGACAACGTTACTAACTCGTTCTCCCGTAGTCATGTCATGTGCTAAAAGTTTGGTCGTCGATACTCTCCCAATACAAAAGCAACAGACTGGTGCAGCATGGGGTGCGTAGTAGTTCTATCGCGAATGTCCAGACGTTTGCCGTCATCTAACATTGGTACAGCAAACCGAATGGGTTCCCTTGGACACATTATAGGGTACGGAATGGGAGCCGTCGATCTCATCCAGCTCTTTGGGACAAGGCTTGGGGATACACAGTTCAAACAGCTCACCGTCATTGCCGCGCTCGGGATCCTGGTCACTTCAACCGCCACCTGCTGGGCCGTCACAGAAAGGGTGCTCGTCTCAGTTAGGCATGACCCGCGCCGTGCCCAGGGCCACTTCAAAGTTGTTCGCCAAATCTGGTCGACGCTTCTGACGCTGCCCCCGCGAATCCGAGCCATTTGCTGGGCTGTCTTTTGGTCCTGGATCGGCTGGTTTCCGTTCCTCATCTACAGCAGCACCTGGGTGGGGGAGACATACTTCAGATACGACGTCCCTGGTGATGCTAGGAACACGAACGATGCTCTCGGTGACATGGGCCGCATTGGCAGCACCGCTCTGGCCGTATACTCGACCATAACCTTCATCAGTGCTTGGATCTTGCCGATGCTGATCCGAGCCCCCGAAGATAGTTCCTTTACTCCTCGCCCGCCCGTTAGCATTGCTCGCTGGGTCGCCGTTCTGAACAGCATGAAGCCCGACCTTCTCACCGCGTGGGTTTGTAGCCACTTGCTATTTTCGTTTGCTATGGCACTCACCCCCTTCGCCGCCTCGTTCCGCTTCGCCACCATTTTAGTTGGGATGTGTGGCATTCCGTGGAGCATTACCATATGGGCGCCGAGCACCTTCCTAGGAGTAGAAGTCAGCAAGATGAGTGGCGCATTGGACCCCTCGGTTAGCGGTCCAAACGGCAGCACCGCCGTACCTTATCGACGCCTGTCCATTAACACAGGTATCGAGCTGCGCGACAACCTTCGTGCCGACCTTATCGATCCCGAGGGTGGCCCCGCCAGCAACTCGAGCGGCGAGCTGAGCGGCGTGTACTTTGGTATTATGAATATATATTCGACCCTGCCGCAACTCATCAGCACCTTTATCAGCACCTTGGTCTTTACCGTACTCGAACCTGGCAAGAGCCCGGAGCTGGCTACCGACGCACACCCGAGCGAGCATAGTGACCCGGACGGGCCAAACTCGATTGCCGTGTGTATGTTCATCGGCGCCATCGGCTCCTTGGCGGCCGCTTGGGCAACGAGAAAGCTTCGGTATGTATAAGGTGCGCTCTTCAGGCTCGAGGGAAAGTCTGTTTTGGAAAGTCTATGTGGAGTCTATGGGTAAAGGATGGCGGCTCAAGAAATAGATTTAATGTGTATATAGATGGTTGAGCATGGCGTTTCAGCATGGCTAGGCATAGGTTTTGAGTTTCGTCAATATATTGTAACATACGTCAGGAAGTCTTTATCAGTACTCCCAGTACTCTTTTGCTTCATGCGCAAAATTATGTCAAATACTCTTGGTTTCTGTCCCAGTTGGATGGGCCAGTGTTGCGATAAACCAGAGCTGCTGTGGACTTCTATGACGACTACAACGGCCATGGGATCAACCCTGAAAGCCACTCCATCAACTTCTAACGCATACACCGAGGTAAGACTTTAGCTTTCTACGCGTACCCATGGTACCAATGGAAGGTAGAATATCTCCCCTCTACCTCAGCCTCCGAGCAGCCAGCCAGCCAGTCGTTCACCAACCACCTTTACTAAACTTGTGTTAATGCCCGCTAGCGAGAGACGCGCAGAGATACAACAGGAGAGACTACAACAAAAGGGTCGAGAAAGCAGTCGAAGAACGCTCACCGCCAGAGCCAGATTATTATATTTCGGTATGTACAAGGTTTCCTGTATGGTTCGCCTGACAAGTCTTGTGGCGCGGCCCAAACTACACAATGATTTGGATCGAATTAGTCCAAACCCACCATGCCCACCACCGTATATTCCATTCCTACCAAAACACCACCCAAAATCTTGACGCCGGGGACGTGGGGGAGGGTATGGAGGGTACAAGACATGACAAGTGGGAGAAAAAAAGGAAGGTTTGTGTTTTTTGTTTCTCCTTTGATCTTATTTTTTCCCTTTTGAAATGATGATGACTGGGAATACCTCGAGTCTCATTAACCCCCTTTTCCTACCTTTTCGCGCCCATCCCATGCAAATGCATTTATCACAATTGAAAAGGAAGAAGAAAAAGAACTCGAAAAGGCAGCTAAGCACACCACCGAACGATGCAGAGTTCCTGTCTTGTCCTACTCCGCCGACACATGATGTTTTATAAAGGAGAAAAAAAGAGAAGAGAAGAGAAAGAGAAAAGAAGAGACAGAGAATATTAAGAGTGAGAGCGATAGAGAAAAGACCGACGTGTCGAGATCCGGGTTGCCGTACTCATGAAATGACGGACAAAATGACTGCGTGGTCCCGCGTGCATAACGCAGTTCCTAAGCCAAAAGTCGACCGCTGCCGAGTATCCAAAACCTCAGCCAAGCGCCGAAAAGACTGCCATGATATCCAGACCCGCCCATCCTGGAATGACACAGCTAAGCATAACCCAGAAGAGGCGGAGCGTGACCTGCAGATTATCAACTGACCATCATAGGCTCGAGCCGCCGACTTTGCGATCGGCCTTTCAACCCGGTATTGCTCCTCGACCGTCACAGCAACCACCTTACATTATTTTGCATTCCTTGTCGTCTTTCTCCGTGGTGCTCTTCTTGATCTTAGCATTCCGAGGCGCAGCAACTTCCATCGGGGTCCCGCCGCTGACAGCGGCCCGGATCGCGGCCAGACGTATTTTTGCGCGCTCTTCGCCTGCATCGGCTGCCTTGACATACCACACGTTGGCTTCCAATATATCGCGTCGACAGCCTACGCCCATTTCGGTGAAGTACCCCACAGCGTATTGTGCCTTGACATAGCCTAGTTCTCGGTGTTAGCTACGGTCAAAAGTGGCAAAGATGGCAACAGAAGAGAGCTAGAAGCAACTGGGGTAGCTTACCGAGGTCCGCCGATCTTCTCGCCCACTCATAAGCTTCCTCTTCATCCTTCTCCAGAACAGGCTCCGCGCCAACCATGTACCAAGCGCAGAGTCCCATCATGGCAGCGGCATGTCCTCTTTCAGCCGCTCCCGTATAAAAATGCACGCTCAGAGCAGGATCCCGGGGGCAACGAAGCTTGCCGTGCTCGTACGCATCACCCATCCTATAATTCGCCTCAGGGTGACCCAAATCAGCAGCTTGGGTGAATAGTTCGGCGGCATAGTCCTCGTCCTGGAAGATGTCATCGCCATATCCAGTTTCGTACAGGCACCCTAGATGATACGGGGCGGCATTGTACATGGTGTCAGCGGACTCGGCGGCCAGCTTTAGCCACTTGATGCCCTCTCGGTATCGTTTCTCGCCCAGGTCTCCCGACAAACAAGCCTTCCCTAGTCTCGTCATCGCGCCCGGGTGCCTCTTTGACGCCGCTGTGCGCAAAAACTGCACGGCCTTAGTAGGGTCTTTGCGACAACCCCAGCCGAACTCATAGCACAGCCCAGTGCGGTACGCCGACTCTGCGTGGCCATGCTTCGCAGCGAGAACAAATAGCGGAAATGCCGAGTTGTAGTCCTCCTTTCCCTTGCTAAACAAGCCCGAGGCATAGCCGTCGGCCAGGTAGTACTGTGCGAAGGGATAGCCGTTATTAGACAGTTTCTGCAGGATGGCACGCGCTTCCCGCACCAGCTCTGGGGCAGAGTATGCTGCAGCTGCCTCCGGGGCCTTGTCCAAGTCTTTCCCAGGGCCGGGACTTTTAGTCCTCCTGGGCTCATCGAAGTTCAACCCTTGCTCTTGCACTGTGGCTATGAGGAACACTGCAAAGGAGTATTGAATAGACATGTCGTTAGTCTTTTTGACGTTCTGCCTGTACATCTCCAAAGTCTTTTGAGCGCTCAACAAAGAGGCATTGTTTCCTACTGCAAGTCGCAACTGAGAATTATCAAATGTTATCGGGGCCGGTGCAGGTTGCGGATATGGAACATTGAGCAGCTCCAAAAACGACGAGGGTCTCGTTTCGGGAGATTTTCTAGAGTGGGCAGATGGGGCCCTGTTGTGGGCACCTCCATATACGCCAGGTGAGCGCCCGCGGGGGCCGAAGTCGGAATAAATCGAATATGAAGAATGGGGCCGTGGCAGCGAACTTCTCCTATTATAGTTGGAGCTGGGCGTCAGATGACGGTTGATGCTGCCAGCGTTCTCAACGAGGTTGGGGTTCGACTGAGCCCTTGGGTCTTGGTCCAGTGCCACACTTGCTGGCCGTGAGAGGAAGGCAGCATGATGGTACTGCAGCTGCGGTACGGACTCGGCTCGGGCTGCACCGTATTCGATGAGAGAGCTCTCAGGTGACGCTTTTCCCGAATTGTTCTGCCCATCCAACACCTCATTAATTCCAAATACAGAGCTCGCACTTGTCGCGGCCGATGACTCGGTTGAGGCCTGCAGTTGCGAAGTACTGGCCGTAGTGTCCGACTCCCTGCTGTGGCGGTTTACATCCTTTCTCCTCGAACGGTCACTCAGGCTCGCATCATCGAGTTCCGGACTCAGGACGGCACCCCCTTGCCTTAGCTTAGCTGATTGCAATGCCAGGGTCGGTAGCGGCTTCTCGGCGTCGTCAACGACGGCTTGAATGGTAAGGGCACCGCGAGGAGCGGCTTCTTGCGGAAGATCGTGATCGTCGCGGGGCGAATGGGGCGGGGGCGTCGGGGCGTCGGGAGTCTTGGGAAGTGCGCGGTCGAGCAGTACAGAGCCTTGGTCAGAATTCTGAGGCTGCGTCGTCTCAATGTTGGCATTTGACGACCGCGGCCGGTCGTCGGGCAAAAAGCTAACTTTGACGGGCGATACGGGCGACTGGCGTAGCCTTGGAGATTCTGACTTAGGGACGCCAGGAAGCGGCTTTGCATTCTCCCCCCAGTCGTAAAGCTCAATAGGTGGGAGGGCGCGCAAAGGGACGGGTTTCCGGCGGCTGGGACTGCTGGTGGACGAGGACGAGGGGGGTTGTGGAGTGGTGACATCCGCCATTGCGGGCGGCGAGGGGCAGAGCCGGAAGTCCCAAGGTTTCGCCGAATTTCCTGGCGACGGCCAAGTCGGCAGGTCGACAAGAAGTGCTCAGTCAATGACGAAGATGGATGGGGCTGCGCGTTAATCTAAGGCCGTCGACCGCGTATTTGCGGATACCCGTCCCGCCGCTGCGTGCTTTCCTCGTTTCCTGCTGTTTTTACGCAGAATTCAAAACTCGAGCGTTCGACCCAAACGGCCAAGTTGCGGCAGGGACGAACGTTGTGGCCTTGGGGCGAGCAGGTGGCTTTTTCCGTAAGTACCTAGGTGGGAATTGGAGGAGATGCAGTATCAAACGAGCGACAACGACAAATGGTTGGCAGTGAGTGTGTTGGATTGAAGAGACACCAGCGAGTATCGGGGCAAACAATTGAAGAATCAAAGTCAAATGTCGGGCAGCCTGCTTTACGAGGCGAAGGCGAGGTCTTCCCGACCTATGGTATTCAGGGACTGGAGATCGGCCACCAAAGGCCCCCCAACTGGCTGGCCGAGTGGGCAGGTGGCTCTGCAGGGACCCAGACGAGAAACGCGTAGCCCCCCTCCCCCTTAGTCAAGCCCCATACGTGCTAACGTGCAGTGGAAACCCTGCTACAGTACGGAGACCCGTAAAACGTGTGGTTCTCCACTGGGAGGTGCTGGGCGTGCTGGGGTAAACGGGATCGAATCGTGCAACGCCCGTCAGCCACCTAAGAAATAACTAGCCGTGGCACGGAGAAGGACTCTGAATCTCTTGTACTCCGTACCATCCAATACTCCCCAAAGAAAAAAAAAGTCCGACTGAGTGATGCTCGACGGGTATCAGCTTGTTATTGCAGCATATGCAGAATACATGCATTTCATACGTAGCTAGGTACCTTACCTTACCTTGGGTAATAGATCTAGGCACGTAAGATATACCTAGGTAGGTAAGGTAGGGTATGTATTGTAATACAACGTCAAACTGTTTAGGATACCTGGTACCATTGCTGGAGCTTCCATTCGCATGGGGAAAGCAATGGGCACCGGCCTTGTGGGGAGGGCCTTGGACGAAGGTATTTCCGCATGCGTCTGGCCTCTGCTCAACCGACCAACCGACCAGTCCTCCGACTCCATCGGGTCGAATAAATGAGAGATAATTGTTCGCCGAGGCTGAGCTCCTTCCACCGCGCCTCTGTCGGGTCCCGTCTTTCTGAGGAGTCGGTAACGACGGGGGAAAAAAGGGTGGAAGGAGTGTGTGAACAGTACCGTGCCTTGCATGCGCCCTCTCCCAGTCCCTTCGCCTGCCTTCCTACCGATCTTGACTGTCGACCGGGCGGCCGTCAGCCATTCATCTCAGGTCGAGGTGACGTACTGTAGCCCGGAAGTTCCGACACCTCAGGGGCCGAGCGGCGGCGCTTTCTGAGCAACACCAACCTCGCCGTGATGCCCGTTAGCCAAGCAAGACGCAGAGCGAACATGGTGGTGGGTCGTGCAAGACTGTGTCCAGGTCCGCCGGATGGCCGTACATTCATTTCACTGTGTTGTATTGCACGTAGAAATATAGGCCGTATTGTACATACACATACTGCGAACGAGGGTTGGTGATCCCAACACTTGACTTCAAATCCCGTATTCAGCTGGGCTAACTACCGATGCTGCCTATTATTATCATCGTTATTCCACCGATGGTGGATGATGGATCGGATGGATGGTAGTACTCCATTCGCCCTACCAAGCTCGTCCGAGACTAGAAGCAAGTTGCTACCTAGATCTAATAACGCCAATCAAAGCTTGTATTGTTCTGTTCGGCCGAGTGAATAGGGGGGCCAGACATTAGACCTTTACGCAGGCCACATCTCAAACCCAACGAGGCCAACAAGAAAGGCCAAGCCGAACTTCTGGAATTTCTCTGGACTCCAGAAAGACAGGGGTGTACTTCGTAATGCGGGGCAGGCGTATCAGTACTGTAGTGGGTCTGTAGCTCTTCGTGTTGTTCGCTGCTGGTGCGTCATGAACTTTACTGAGTAAGTATAGTGTGCGGCAATTTTTTTTTTGGGGAGGTGGGAGGGATCATTAATCTAGGCCTTGGAAATAGGATCATAAAGTAGGTATATAAATTCGATGTCTTTCTATAATTGCTGAGCGTGGAAACCGTTCTCGGCTTGACTCGGTGACTTCACGGTGAATTCAATAAACTCGACATCAGGACCGGCTCTCGCCCAGTCAATCAGTCCGAACGATCAAACCTTGCAAATCCCGCTGATGCATTGTCATGCTCTTTGGATTTTATATGTTTATATCTCCGCCTCACAATCGCCATTCCTCACTAATTCACGTACCCCAAATGTCAAAAGTAGTTCAACTAAACAGCAACATTGCAGCTTGGCAGAGACATTGGCATCAACGCTTCATGAAACGTAACACACATATCCAGATGTAGGCAGTTACCTAAGATATATACCACACGTACTAGTGTGTCCTGTACATCTGATAAACCCTGATAAAATTGACTGCCTACCTCGGGTGGCGAGTCGAGAACTTGGAAGCCGACCAGAAAGCACAGGACCGACGGCCATGCGCTTGTTGATCAGGTGGCATCGATCGTCAGGGTTCAGTGTAACCTAACAACCCCCGTTCCGGGTGCCTGCTACGATCTTATTCGATTGTCTGTCCGTATATTTTGGGCATTGAAGTCCAACTAACCATGAGGAGGGTAATGGATGATGGCCCTCAGATGAAGATGCCAAAGTAAATTCTCTAGTTCGGACTCGGTCTTTTTCAGCAACCTAAGGTATTACGTAGGTTGCTGTAACGTCGAGTGTGGGTACTAAGCGCCCCTCTGGCCCGTTGTCAACTCAGTGCCAAGAGCGCGTTGCTCGTCTCTGGGTCAGTTAGGAGGGGAAGGGGGGCAAACAACAACTAAACGCCGACATTCCAACCGAAGCTACCTAAGTTAGTTCACGAGTCCGAGACCGAAATCTCCAATCTCGTATCACTTTTCTCGTGCGCCTACCTTTCGTCTCCGCTCCATCCGACATCCGGGAATTTCGTGGAAATACGTGCACATTTCAAATACAATAATAATACGGAGCTGACAGTGCGTCTTGTAACTCTCGTTCTCCCAGCCTGTGCCTCTTCAGAGAGAAACCTAAAACCCTGGACAAACCACAGTCATAGTCACGGGGTGGAAAAAGGGGAAGTGGGGGAGGTACCATGTTTTCCTGAAGCATCATTCAGATGACGTTTTCATCGCGCCAACTACACATCAAGACATGTTTCCCATCAAAGTGACTGAAACACATTCCAGCGCAGGGAGGGCAGGGCACGCAACCAGGAAACAGGTGAGATGTGTCGCTGGACTGGGCGTGCAGATCAGAAATTCTCACGACATCGAGAAATCGGTGCGACTGGAGTATCCGTGCCTTGGAGGGGGAGTCAGCTAACCGGGCAGGCCGTGGTCTTCCTGGCGAGGAATCAGACAGAGAATTGCCGGCGCTAAGGTACCTCAGCTAAAGAAGCTCCCAGCGGTCTCGAATTCTCTAACTCGGCCCCCTTTCTGATGCAATGATTTTTGCGTGTCTAACTACCACTCAACGTTACTCAAGTACAGCCAGTGACGGTCCAGCAGTTGACGATAGAAAAAATAAAGTCATCTTCTCTCCTACTAAGGTCAATGCGTAACATTGTGGGCTGGCTGATGAAGGGCCTTTTGTGGGCACGATAGAATAGCCTCTTTCTACTGAAACTTGGAGTTGGAACAAAACTCGGAATCGCGAAAGCTGTTCCGGGGAAGAGAGGACCACGGATGCGCCAGAAGCCCCAGGGCCCAGGCAACTGGCAAGCCAGCTCGCTTCACGCAAGGCGGCCTGCGGTGACCAGTTCTGGTGACACGCACGACCTCTCACCGAAAGCGGCCCTGTGCGGCGAGCTACACTCTGCTCCAAGAAATGCGTGCTGTCAACCCAAAAAGAGTTACACAGCGCCTCACACCACGGCCACGCCACAAGCTGGGCAGGGTTGGGAGGTCTCTCCGTTGTGGAGTCAACAAGCCTCATCCGTATGGCCTGGGGGCCGGGTGAAGAGGTTGGTGTCTCATGGAAGAATTGACGGGAGCTGTGTATGGCTGATGTCATTTGAGGAGACCAGACGGGGTGCATCAGATTCGGATTGAACCGCCCGTCTCTGACAGGACTTGGCGACGGAATCGCTTCTATGGGAGCTTTCAGACAACACACCCTAAAAGTTGGGACGGTGCAGTTTGCGGATCTCAACACCAGGAACGCGCGTGGCAATTGCATTTTGGCCCTCACTTACACACCTTTTACGGTTTGCCATGGTGGGGTGGCGGGAATCTGGCGCGCGTATCTTGATGCGACCTTGGCGTCGTGTGTGAACTGGGAAGGAACATGCCGAGCCGGGCTCTAAGATCAATCAGGCCCAAACCCGTCCAATTCTGCCCTTTCCATGTCACTACTACTACGTGTATGTAGTAGGTCGTTCGACAAACAACGAACACGACCAAGGCAGCCCGTGTGAGGGAGCCGGCCGCCCTTGCATCATCCCAAACTCTCTGGTGATGTCACATACCGCTCTCCGAGGTAAAATCTCGACCAGCACTCACCGCTGCCAAACGAGGCCAAATGGATTGAGCAAAGGGATTGTCACAGCCCGGCTGCTGGCCGTTGCCCCTGGTCACCAGGCCACTAGCGGCAATAAAAGAGAATGAGCTTCCATACATGCCTCGGATCGTATGTTGACAGACGCAAGTATTTAAATATCCATCGCGACACTTTGGGGAGTAGTAGTATGTTGTGTATCATTGCCAATGAAGAGCAACCTCACAGAAAGGCATCCTCGCCTCGTTATTAAGTATTTGAACAACCTCGACATCGGGCATCTTTGAGGGATTCTGACTGCCCAGGTTCCTAACGGCCCGAGTCCGAAGCCTTCATCCTTGGTTGCCGTACGGATACAGTACCTGAGGTTATTTATTATTCAGTGAAATGTAGATCCCTAACCCTACCGTTATGGAAATATTTTGACGCGCGTACCGTACATTACCGCCTGACTGTTTCTCGTATTGGTGCTGAGAATGGCAGTACTTGCAAATATTACTACTCCATTCAGGCGGGTGCATAGTGGGAACGCGGGACCTAACGCACCGTGCAAGGTTTAGTTTGTCCGTCTGGAAGCAAGAACTCCAAGTTGCAGATGGCGGTCTCTCCTGCTTTCCTTCTGCTGTCGCCCACCTCCAGTCCCGTCGCTTGGTTCCATTGTTTCTTCGTCCAGTCTCATTGACCATCCGGTCTTTGCACTCGTTTCCTGTTGTCTCCTTCCATCTCCTGCAGTCGTTCAAAGCTTGCATCTGCGGCGTCTTTAATTATTAGGCTTATTAGCCACCACGTGCGCCGGCTCAGATCCGCTCGAAACACCTTTTGTTTGTCGCAGGAGAAGCGAATGCGGATCAGACCAATCTTTCGTTCGGGCGTCGTTAGCCTTGAAACCACTGCTAAATCCATCAACCGCTTCAGCCTTGCTAGCCAAGCAACACGCGCGCTGCTGCTCCGTCGTTGGGCAGCCACCAACGGAGGAACCATCCTGCTGCACTGAAGTGTCCTTTATCCCCCTGCTCAACGAAGACCTGTGCCGCTGCACCGCAGACCTCTTACGGGTGATGAAGATTTTTTTTGCAGTACAGGCGTTGCTGAATGTGCCTGATCGGGAATAGCCAAGCAACAAAAGGCACCGAGGAACCGTCAGCTTGACGGTGTTTGCCGTGGATTCTCGGCTTTGTTGCTGTGAGCAGGGCGGCTCTTCATTGGTTTGGCGCCAACCTCCGTCCCCCGAGGAACCCCTCGACCGCAGCAGGACCCGCCTCTGCCAAATATATCCAAATCCGCCCAGCACCACCAGCCAGATTTCATAACAAGAAACTGTAAGTTGCATTGTTTCCCCTAAAAGCCCTGACACTGCAATTCGAGCACCTGTATCTTTGAAGATTGTTCTCGGCCATGCTTGCTAGCTCCTTTCCCACCTGACCCATCCCATTTTTGTTCTCGCGGTCAGGTAACTGCGCCTCGACGCGACCAACAGGGCGGCCGCCTTCGCACTGGGTGAAGCTCCTCCCACGGCCATCGTCGGATCGCGTCGTCTAAACATCATTTATAAACATCATCGTTAATTCATAGCTTCGTTCAGGGCCATGTCTCTTCCCGAGCGACCCGGGGTGAGGCCCTCTTACGAAGAGGGACGTAGCTACCGGCAGACGCCGTCTCGACGCCGGCCACCTCCCGGCGGGTATGAAGCTGCAGCAGCGCAGCCGCTGCACGAACGTGGGCCATCAGCCTCCTCTTTGGGCGAGACCATACAATCCCCTAATTCGAACATAGAGAGAGCCCCATTGTCACCGCCGCCCGACCATGCAAGCCGCGAGCTAGGGTTTCAACGCAAGAGGAGCCTCATCAGGCCAGAGAGAAACCGAATTGGCAAGGACCACCCAAACTACCATTACAGGAAACATGCTGCGAACATGAACACCTTGCCATCATCAACGGGCAACGATCCCATCTTTGAGAACTTGGAAGCGATTACAGATCCCTCTGCATCCGGCTCGAGGAACGACGATGCTGTCTCTGACGAGTCACCTCCAAGGAGGAAGCGCTCGTCGAGGCCCCATAAATCCGATGCAGAGAAGCCAAGTCAATCGAGGCGCAGAGCATCGAGCGGCGCAAAGCCTAGCAAGATCACCAAAGACTCGAAGTCAAAGCGCCACCAACGAGTCGAGCAAATAAGTCCGCCGAGCTTGTGGAACATCTATTGCGCGATAATAACATTCTGGTGCCCGGGATTCGTTCTCAAATGCTTTGGAATGCCAGCCAAGGCGCAACAAAGAGCGTGGAGAGAAAAGATGGGGTTGATCAGCTTAATCTTGTCCATTATGACAATCGTCGGATTCCTAACGTTCGGCTTCACCCAGGTAGTCTGCGGCAGCCCCCCACTCCGACTACACGTGAACGATGTTGGTGGCGGGTACATGATTTTCCACGGATCAGCCTACGACCTGAGCAGCTCTCATCACCCTGCAGCGTTGGGAATTCCTGCCCAAGCAAACGTGCTATTCGATCTCCCTGAGAAACACGGTGGACAGGACGGAAGCTTCCTATTCCAGAACGTCAATGGCAAATGCAAGGGGCTAGTGAAGGCGGCCCAGGGCTCAGACGTGCCGACAGACGCGAGTGGCAACCTGGCCTGGTACTTTCCTTGTACTCCTTACAACCAAGACGGATCTACCAAGCCAAATTTGACGATCCCCTATTACCTGGGATACGCCTGCCACACCACCGCATCTTCCCGAGACACTTTCTACTTGAGCCTGACGGGCGCAGCTGATGTCTACTTCACTTGGGATGACGTCAAGAACAGCTCGCGCAATCTTGTGGTTTATTCTGGCAATGTCCTTGACTTGGACCTCTTGAATTGGTTCAACGACACGCAGGTTACATACCCAACACGCTTCAAGGAGTTAAGGGATAAGAACTCCCCAGCAAATCAGGCCATTCGCGGTCGCGATATCACACGAGCTTTCCAGTCTTCAGGTGACAAGGTAAACGCTGAATGCTTCGAGGAGATTATCAAAGTTGGGACTGTCGATACAGACACCGTCGGCTGCATTGCATCCCAGGTCGTTCTCTATCTGTCTCTTGTTCTTATTCTTGCCGTCGTGGTTGCGAGGTTCCTCCTAGCAATTATCTTCCAGTGGTTCATTAGCAAGACGTATGCGGCCGCCAAAACCTCGCAGACATCTGACCAACGCAAACGCAACCGCCAGATCGAGGACTGGACAGACGACATTTACCGAGCTCCACCCCGAATGCCAGGCGACATTGGAAGCAGCGTCAACGGCTCCTCCGATCGTCAAAGCAAGCGCAGCAGCACGTTTCTCCCCAAAACCTCTCGATTCTCTGCCATCTACGGCACGGAGAGAAACAACCGAAGGTCTCAGATGCCTACCACGATGACAAGCCAAAGCGCAGCAGGTCAACTTATGCATCCCGGCACACTCTATCGTCAGGGTAACGACAGTCGGTCGAGCTTCATCAAATCCGACCCGTATGGAACCAGTGGCAGCCCTACAGATGGCCCTGGCCCTGCCGGTTTTATTCACGAGGCCGTAGTCCCTCAGCCGCCTTCGGATTGGATGCCGTTTGGATACCCCCTCGCCCACGCGATCTGCTTGGTAACGGCCTACTCTGAGGGCGAATTGGGTCTCCGCACGACCCTTGACTCGATTGCAATGACCGACTATCCCAACAGCCACAAGGTAATTCTCGTTATTTGCGATGGCATTATCAAAGGCAAGGGGGAGTCGCTTTCCACGCCCGACATTGTTATTAGCATGATGAAGGACCACACCATCCTCCCCGAGGATGTGCCAGCGTTCTCGTACGTGGCCGTGGCAAGCGGTTCTAAACGGCACAACATGGCCAAAATCTACTCAGGCTTCTACGACTATGGCGCTAAATCCGGCATACCCCTCGAGAAGCAGCAGCGAGTTCCCATGATGGTTGTTGTCAAGTGCGGTACGCCTGATGAAATGACCAAGGCGAAACCTGGAAACCGTGGCAAGCGCGACAGTCAAATCATCCTCATGTCCTTCCTCCAAAAGGTCATGTTTGACGAGCGCATGACTCAACTGGAGTACGAAATGTTCAACGGGCTGTGGAATGTTACGGGTATTTCTCCCGATTTCTACGAAGTTGTTCTCATGGTCGACGCCGACACAAAGGTCTTCCCCGACAGTCTCACTCACATGATCTCGGCCATGGTCAAGGATCCTGACATCATGGGTCTCTGTGGCGAGACTAAAATTGCGAACAAGAGGGCAAGCTGGGTTTCGGCCATCCAGGTGTTTGAGTACTTCATCTCCCACCATCTTGCGAAATCGTTCGAGTCAGTATTTGGCGGCGTCACCTGTCTCCCCGGCTGTTTCTGCATGTACCGCATCAAGGCTCCCAAGGGCGCCCAGAACTACTGGGTCCCCATATTGGCCAACCCAGATGTCGTCGAGCACTACTCGGAGAATGTTGTCGACACTTTGCACAAAAAAAACTTGTTGCTGCTCGGCGAAGATCGGTACCTGACCACTCTGATGTTGCGCACCTTCCCGAAGCGAAAACAGGTGTTTGTGCCGCAGGCCGTCTGCAAAACGACAGTCCCAGAGACATTCAGTGTCCTGCTCTCTCAGCGACGCCGGTGGATCAACTCGACGGTCCACAATCTTATGGAACTTGTTCTCGTGAGGGACTTGTGTGGAACCTTCTGCTTCAGCATGCAATTTGTCGTCTTTATTGAGCTCATCGGCACTCTTGTTTTACCCGCAGCCATTGCGTTCACCTTCTATGTCGGTAAGTTGGCGTCTTCCCTCAGCTATCGATTTCCCGTTTAAAATTGACTGCTAATGCTCGTTTAGTTATCATATCCATCGTACATTCGCCACCTCAAATCATCCCGCTCATTTTGCTCGGTTTGATTCTAGGATTGCCAGCTATCCTCATCGTGGTCACAGCGCACAGCTGGTCATATGTCGTCTGGATGTTGATATACTTGATGTCGCTCCCCATTTGGAACTTCGTTCTACCCACCTACGCATTTTGGAAGTTTGACGACTTCTCGTGGGGCGACACGAGGAAGACAGCAGGAGAAAAGACGAAGAAAGCCGGCATCGAATACGAAGGCGAGTTCGATAGCAGCAAGATTACGATGAAGCGATGGGCCGAGTTTGAGCGCGATCGCCGAAACAAGAACAACTACTGGGGCGCGAGAGATAGCACCATAGGTGTAACCCCCATGGAAGGCCACGGTCAGTATGAAGAGTATTATTCGGACGTTTAAGCAGGTATCAGTCATGTTGGAAAGAAAAATATTTGGAGCGACATAGTGCTATTTGGGTTATTATCATGGCGACGCGTTCGGATTCAGACGGCGAGTGACATTCCTTACCTATATGGCGGATAGGAAAATCGGCCAACGGTCCTGATTTGGTTCAAGCGGAAATCTTACTGCTCTCGGTATTTTGTGTCATCATGGCTATTCGGGGGAGGTATCCTATTGTCTCTTTGACTCTCCCATTAATTACACTTTCCGGTTTTCTTATTTTGCCCTCAACCAAAGTACATCATCTCATAGTTAGGCGGTTTGGCGAGGCATTGGCAAGGTGCATTTCACTTTTCTTTTCTTTCGTCTTGTTTTTCTGCGCTCGGGCTTGTTGGAGGGAGCATTCCTGTAAATAAACCGCATGGCGGCTTGGGCCTCGCCCTTTTATATTCTCTCGGCCTTTATATTAGCAAGAGGTCTTTCAGGCTCTTAACGGGTGCTAGGTTAACCAGTTCAAGTTTCCCTTGCAGCTGATACGAGGGATTATCTTGCTGCACTCTCGTGTAACCAACCAAGACTCGTGTCATCCTTGCATGTATGTACTGATACTAAGTCAAGTCGGCAAGCGGACCCCCTTCCTTCAGGTGGCCAAAGTCGGCACTTATTCGTCGGCCAGCACCGACACACAATGCAAAGCTAGAATTATTCTCCCCGCTCTGTCCGGCTCCAGGCTCCTGTATCTGTGTGCCTTGCCTGCCAGAATAACCTTCATGTACACCTACATTTTGGCACTTTTGCACACCGGGTGCAACGCAGCGAATCACAGAGGTGCTAGTTGGAAAAGGCTGTCAGCAACGCCTATTGCACCTCACCTTCGGAAAGCTGAGCTCAGTATTACTCACTTCCATCCAATCAGTGGGTAATCTTGGCATCTAGAGGTGAAAGTAAGAAAAGACAAGAGAAGAAAAGATAAGGGAGACAATAAAGAGTGCTAAAAAAGAAGCACGACCGACTACCTAGGCAACTTTCCTTGACATCGGAGACTGAGTCACTCGTCTGATAAAATCGCTGGCAAGGGAACCGGACAAGGCGTCAACCGGATCACTACCCAACACGAGGCCCCAAAGTGGCCTGAGAACGGACAATTCGGCCGGTCCGGGTTCCTGTACATGTCAAGTTGGCTCCTTTCCTTTCCCAAGCAATATGATACATCACTTTTGTTTCTTTCTGTTATCTTTTTGCGAAGAAAGGGAGCGCGAACTGTGGAGACAACAAGCGGATGACTGGCTAGCTTTCTACCGCAGCATCAGACACCCACATCGCCGGCGAGAATGGTTGTTTTTTGTCATTTTGAGGGGTTTCAATTTGAGCCTGCTCCTGGCGAGGCGCTTGGGGAGGTTACCATAGGCCCACGCGCCAAATGCAGGGAGCATAAGGGGCAAGAGGCGCGCAGTGCAGGCTCTTGATGAGGAAGAGGATCCCAGCGAGCCATCCTCTCATGGCGCAACCTACGTGCTAAGAAGGGACTGAGGTGGATGCACGTCGACCAGTTTAGAGGTCCCGTCTCTCTCCACGAATCCGTGTCCAGGCATTCCCAGCTTCCCCATCCCACCCCCGCACATGTATACATCCTACCTTACCTACCTAGTATGTACATACATACATGTAGGTAAATGCATGGATGCAACGCAACGCAATTTTACTGCTGAGGACGGATGTGCCGTAAATAGGTCATCCCAAGTGCACGGCTACTGTCTGTCGGGACTCGGCAGTCAGTTCCATCACAATGAAAACTCGCCAGGCCACCGCGAGAGCAAGAGTGGATGGCATGTTGTGGCTTCTCTACTGTGACAGTGACAAGACAAAAAGCGCACCCGAGATTGGCTAGCTGAGGGCAGAATAACGAAAAGCCAAGCACGACCACCACGGCGACGGCCGCGCCCGCCCAAGCCACCCACACCCGGCTTCTTTCCCCGCCTTTTTTCCTTCGGACATGACTGGGCTGGTGTAGATCCGGGTTCTTCTGCAGCTTCGGCAGCGAATCAACGCTGCAAAAAGGCCCCCAGTCAAAAAGCATGGAGTATCCGTAGAGAAAACATAACCCATCGGGTTGCTTACTTTGGAGTAGGCTGACCGCCCAGCCGCTACATCGCTAGCCTTCAGCTGTGTGCTGAGTGCTGGTGTCAAATTTCCTGATAATTCGTGACCATGACCCCTTTTTTACCAGGTATGACGGGGATGAAAGGGCGCCCCGGGCAACAGAGAAGGTGGTCTTGGGGGGGGGCAGACGGTGTTAGTTGCAGACAGGGATCCAACATCCAACATGGGAGTGGAGATGGTTCGCATGCTCGCAGCAGGAAGCTGAGTTACCTACCTCCTCCGTAGGTGGGATCTTGTTTGAGGCGTCGAAACGCGGGTGTCGTCCGCAAATGAACTACATGAACATGGCATTGAGCATTTGCTGAATTGCGCCGAAAGGAAGGGAAGCGTCTATCTATATCTATACTCTCTACAGTACCTAAGGCCCGCTCCGCAGCACTAGGAGGAACCTTATGTATGTGTGTCACTGAGGATTCTATCTAATCCTATCCATGTTCTTTCGCTATCATCATTCAAAAGATTCTCTTCCCCAAGCAGGACCAGCCACCAGCAACACAACCTACCTTAGGTACATGTATGTATCTCCCCAGGTGATGGGAAGGTGCACGAACTCGGGTGCATTACTGGACGGCAACCTGGAATGGGTACAGTTTACCAATCGGTACAGTGCCCGTCTTACCCAACCCCCACTGGGGGTAAGCGGAAAGTTGAGGCGAAGGCGGGCCGCAAGCTCAGTGACCACCACCTGGTTGCGCTTGCTGGGTTGGGAGGGACCTCCGGCCGCAACCCCCATCACCCCATCGTCGCTGCCCGGACATCACTTAGGTCCAGTGCCGGATTGACTCTCTCAGCGCCCAGCTCATCTCCCGCCGTGCAACTTGTCAACCGAAAACCACGGGTGCACACTTATACTCATACCCGCATAGGTCGCCATCTTGCTGCTGTCACCGACCAGACGCCTGCCGCACCACGCCTGCCACTGCCGTCGACCCGCGTCCCTGTTGCCTCCCTTGCTTTGCTGGTCGGTACTTTACCCCTCCGACGCCTTTCTACGCGCTCGCCATTCCCACATCTCGGGGCTCGTTGGTTTTCCTATCTCGCCCTGCACCGCGTCTGGACCCGCTTAGGGCACACTGGTGGTGGTGGAAAAAAGCAACGAGCACGGCGACCAAGCCCAACGTTAAAACGAAGGCATCCGTCGGCTATCTAACATGAGCTCACGGCAGCCAATGTCCCGAGCCCGATAACTATTAATAGGAAGCAAAAAAAAGTAACGCCAGAGCACTTCCCGATCCAATGCGCCCTCAAACCGGCCCCATTTGCTCCATCACATAAGACTGCCCGTCCACCATGCTGCCCGGCAACCTTCAGCCTTTGTCCTCTTCCTCTTCCTCGCAAGGCTGGCTCCATAGACTTGGCAACTTGGACGACACCTCTGCCACTCCTGCTCATCCGTCCTCCAGTCACCATCATGACGATATTACCATGATCCCTACTGCCGGCGAGGGAGCAAGCGACCTCGGCCAGGGTCATAGCCATGAACATGCTGTGGGCGACTGTGGCGGCGGTCATCACCTACCCCAGGAGGACGGCGAGTACCATGATAACGAAAACGACGACAACGACGACGACGACGACGAAGAATACGACGAAGACGACGGCGACAGTCTATGCTACGGTCAGCCCCATCACCATAGCCACCACATCCATCACGATCAACACGACCAACACCACTCCTTCCACCCCTACCACCACCAGCATTTGCCCCACCACGGCCCGCTCTCTTTCTTCGACCATATGGACGGCTATATTTCAGACGATCTTGATATGTCTGATGGTACCGGTGATGGCGCGCCCTTGGTGAATTACTTGGACGTCACCAGCCTGCTCACTAGCGACATGGACATGGACATTTCAGACGACTCGGGCACCGGCGACTCTGTCTTTGGCGACGATGTTGGTATTCCACACGGGACTAACGCACCCGGCAACAATGCGCTCCCTTCCCCTCCGGGAGTCCTGCTTCCCGCAACCCTCTCCTTTACGCCTGTCCCTGTGGCCTTTGATGACCAGCTATCGAACACTATGGTGGTGCCGCCGATAGTCGGCTCGAACATTATGTTGACGCAGCTGGAACAGCTTGCTGAAGCAGACAACGATGGGGCCGTCGCGGCTTGGTTTGAAGGCGCGCATCCTGTCCCTCTCACCAACCCCAACCCGCACACCCTTGGCCCAAACAACTACCGCTTGACCGACTTCCTACACCAATGGGCACGGCAAAGTCGTCTCTTGCCAGGTATGTCCCGAGAAAGGGGCCGGTATCCATGGCCAAGCAGGATCAGTGACATGGCTTCCAAGCCGCTCGACCATGTCCAGTATGGTGATCTCGAGGGGGATCAGTGTGACCTCCAGGGGATCGACTGGGAAGACTTGGGAGTCACGAGGAAGGAGGCCCGCGAGCGCAGATTACTCACTTACAACAACTATACAAATAACCCAAACTCGGACAGGTGGACAGTAAGTGCCCTCTTTTTGGTGGAGAGTTGGTTTTACTGTTAGCCCTGATACTTACCCGCGCCCATAGCCGAACCTCCCCGACGTAGACCTACCTCGTAGAGAAAGCTATTTCAGGTTCCGGCGCATGGATATAAGGCGCAACATCCATCTCACCCACTTTCAGCTGCGGAATGTGCTGGGAACCACGTCTCGGACACGCGCGTTTTACCCTGGCCTCAATGCCGTCTACCAGTTCAACCCCATCTCTGGGAAGAGCCAATCTATCATGAGGTTGAGCTACGGGCCCGGTTCCAAGGTCACTGCCATGGCTGCCGAGCACGGCGTCTTGGTCGCTGGCACTTTTGGCGGCGAGTACTTGTTGCGCCATATAGACTCGGGCGAGCCCGAGGAAACAGCTTGCCAGGAAGGTATCATTACCAAAAATTCGAGCGGGATAACGAACCACCTCCAGGTCCACCAGGCCCGCACATCTTCTGCCCCGGTTGCCGCTTTCGCCTCGAACGATATGCTCTTTCGTGTGCTAGACATTACTACCGAAAAGTGGCTCTCTCAATCGGCATTTGACTTCCCGCTTAACTGCACAGCTCTCTCGCCGGATCGACGCCTTCGGGTCATGGTTGGGGACCACTACAACGTTTTTATTGCCGCGGCAGAGTCGACACTTCCTGCAGGGAACCCCGAGATATTGCAAGAGCTGTCCAGCCACCGCGACTTTGGCTTTGCCTGTGCCTGGGCGGACGACGGCTGGACGGTTGCCACAGGGTTCCAGGACAAGGCTATCAAGATCTGGGATGCCCGCCGGTGGACTGACAGCTCGGGTTACGCAACACCCGTCTGTACGTTGCGTGCCGATATGGCTGGCGTTCGTAGCCTGCGGTTCTCGCCCGTTGGCAGCGGCAAGCGCGTCCTTGTTGCTGCCGAGGAGGCCGACTTCGTCAACATTATTGATGCTCAGAGCTTCCGTTCCAAGCAGACAGTTGACATCTTTGGCGAGATTGGTGGCATTTCTTTTACTAACGACGGGCAGGACCTTGCCGTCTTGTGCTGTGATCGCACTCGTGGCGGACTGGTTCAACTAGAAAGGTGTGGAGCCGGACAAGAGACATCGTGGAACCTCGATGAGGACTCGTTTAGTGCTAGAGACTATCGATGGTGCAGGGGGGCGAGCTTCGATTGGCAGCCTTCCTATTTCACCCGAGAGAAACACACAAAGGTGACCCTTTCACGCCGACGGAGGCGAGGTGCAGCGCTAGACACTCTGGAGCCATTTTGAATTTCTCGAAAAAGGAACATACTCAACATCCGGAGAGAAAATTCTATGCTATACCAGTTATTGACTGGGAGGCCGATTCGAGCACCGAGCCAAGTCACGGGTGAAGCCCCTGCAAGTCCACGCTAAGAAAATAGCGGCCTTGGTTTGGAAGCGCAATGGTCTCCTCCTAATAAGCGCAAAGACTCGGCGTCTCGCACAAGCAGGGTCTTCGATCCTCGTTTGTGTCTCTATCATAGAGCTGTCTGGCCGGCGGTTTGAGAGACCGCATACACCACATTTGTCAACAAGAAAGCCGCGGCGTGGTGGTTATGATCATGGCAATAGTGGTGGTCCAAGGTCGCCTATTTTGAAGGATCTCGGCACCCACATGAGGAAGGGTGGCGGGCAAGCACTGACGTTTGATTAACACTCTAGAAGTAGTGTCACCGTCGGTACCGCTCTGGTAATCGACAGGAACTAGATACGTTGGAAAAGCGGATTCAATGAAAAGACCGCCCAAGAAATAACAACATACGCCTCCCGGCCACGAACAAGAGTATGACTAAATTCGGCGCAAGTTGGCGAGGCGGGACGTGGCCAAGTTACTGAGTGACTGGCCAACGCTGGAGCTTGAAACTTCAAACAGGGGTAGAGCTGGTATATATATGCGGGAACATATGTGAATCCTGGGTATATGGGACATCAAGTGTGTTGGTGTTTTTTGGTCGTTCGATTCTTCATTCATCCTCCCAGGCGTTTGTTTATATCCTGTCTATCCATAACTCGCGCAAATTTATATCCTTACGCATCTGATTGGGACGGCCGATACTTGCGTGGGCTGAGATGAATTAGTACATGGACAGAAAAGAGCACGGCTAGAAGAGAGCAGCTAAGGCTACACGCGTTTCCATGTTAGTTTTGATTCATGGGGTTTCCACGCAAGGAACTATGGTTGTCGTGGTGGATGTATTGTCATGTACATAGCACTTACAGTTCAGTAGTTCTTTGTTCTATCTTCAAAACGCCTCCTAGTAAACGACGATCCCACATTGTTTGCTCAGGACTGTTGTTTGTCTTTGCTGTATAGATATCTACTTGTCCGGCACTGAAATACATGATATCGCGTTGAAAACTTGAACGGCTTTTGCCTCTTCTTGTCGTTGCATGCATGCATGCTTGCTTGCCTGACTAAGTTAACTAACTGCCCGGGCAAGGGCCTGCCACTTGTCCGTGAAACATTCCCGACTGTGATGGAAGTGAACTGATGTTCGATAACAGAAATAGGTGGGCCGCTACCTACCTATATTGCAGGTCGTATCGTATCAGTTACAAATCGCGCGTGGAATCCCTTGGCGTGTACTGTACTAAGTTCTTTGTCGGGAGATGATACAATAAATCTGCAGCAGGTTAAGCTCTCAGACGGAGAGACTGGTACCTAGGTATGAGAGGGATGTCGAAGCGTGGCAGGGTAACAAAAACACGGAGCAACTATAACTGCCTTAGTATGAAGATAATATTCTCTTGGGATATATCTGCAGGTACTTACTAAATATTACATCGGAACGAGCAAGAGAAACCACAAACGTTGATCGCTATGCACACTAAATACTAGATAGTAAATTACAAACATTATGAATCGGATCTCCAGCAGATTCCCAAGCTATGCGCATCCCATCATGTACGGCTATACATTCTCTCTCATGTTCAACTTGCCTTGGCATGCCCGTGACAGACCCGAGTGCTTATAGGGAGGGAAAGAGGTATTTTATCCAAGATTTGACAGGCCTAGCCGCTATGGGGAATACATATATACTCGCTGGAACATTACATAGCGCCGATGACTGGATAAAAAAAAGTTAAAAAAAAACACCTATTTACTGCTCAATCCGTTGCTTGAGCCAATTTTCTTGGTTTGGTTTGGACAGGAAAGCATAAGTAGGGGGGGTTCGGACCCAGCTCTACGATGAAGAAATGGCCCCAAACACCTCACCGCAGCCCCAGTGCTGCTCACACCCGCAGTTGCCGGGCTGCTTCCACTTGTCATCGTGGAGGGAGAAGAAAACAACTGACTTGCCCAGCTTCTGCTTGATGGATGCGAGAGCCGTCTGCTGCTGTGCCACGCCGGCGACGGCCACTCCGTTGGTATTGCCAGCCGTTGGCCATCCCGTCTCCATGACATAGCCTGGAAGGCCGCAGATCTTCTCCACAATGGCGAGCTGGCTAGCGACGAAGTCACCGGCGTCCTCGGGCTTGGTGTTGGCATTGAAATAGGCATGGGCATTGCAGGCGACAACGTCGATGATGGAGCAGATGGAGGAGACATCGTTTTCGACGTAAGACGCTACAATATCAGTGGTGGTGAAAGGACCCTTGTAGCCGACACCGCCGAGCTCCTGCTTGACGTGAAGAATCAGATCCCTTAGTTGCGCTACAGAGCAGTATTTGTTATAGATGGCCTCGTTGGCAACGACCACGAGCTCCACCGATCCCCACTGGGACCATGCCTTGATGGCGCTAATCTGGGTAGCCACGGTAGGCGAGCCGTTATCGCATTGTTTATTGCCAATGAAGATGCCGAGAATGAGCTTGAGACCCAGTTCTTGAGAAATAGGGCCAACCTTGTCAAGCGTACCGCAGTCGGTTGAGTACAGGCGCAGGCTAGTGAAGCCAGCGGCAGCAATAGCCTTGACGTCGGATTCGACTTCGGGCTTCTCCTTGCAGTCGCCGGTAACTGTGTACGCGGTGTAAGTCATGGCCCACTTGTCACCCTTTCCTCCGAGCGGAGCTGCGGGCTTAGGAACCGGAGCCGCTGGCTTAGGAACAGCTAAAGCAGCGACGGCGGCAGGCTTTGTTGGTAAGGCCGAGGCTAGGGCCGGGGCAGGAGTCTCGGAGGGATTGAAGGGGCAGTACACAACGGTGGCATGCTCGACGACAGTCACGACAGCAGGGGCCGTGTAAGTGCCCGGGCAGTAAGTGGTAACAACGGGGATGACAACGGTGGTAACTTCGGTGACGGTTGTGGTGATGGGACCGATCGTGTAAGTGCCGGCCGAGGGGCAGACATAGGTGGTCGTCTCAATCACGCTCGTCACGACTCCACCCTCGGTCTTGGTGGTGGCATACGGGCAGACAACCGTTGTGGCCGTCTCAACAATAGTCGTCACACCGCCAATGGTGTGGGTGCCGCTGGGAATGACAGTCGTGGTGGCGCCGCACTCCGTGATCGTCTCCGTCACAACGATGGTAGTTGCTGGGAAAGTGTATGTGCCGGGAGTCGGGCAGGTTTGCGGGATCGGAGTTGGGACGGTGACCGGGGCCGAGGAAGTTGCGGGGGCCACGGTCGTTGTCGGCGGCGGAGGCGGGGGGGTGCTTGTGCTGGGAGGAAAGTAAACTTTTCATATCGTCAGTATTCGTCTCCCGGACATCGCCAGAAAACACGAGGGGGCTTGAGCTAGGGAGCTGAATGGGTCGACATACGGCCGGCGGGACCGGTGAGGGTCGAGTAGATGGTCGTGCAGGCGGGGACGCATGACTCGGTGTCGTTGACGGCCTTCTTCTGGAAAAGACCCTGGTGGACCTGTCGATGGTCGTGGAGGTGGTGACTGGCGCTTGCACCGCCGGCGAGGACGGCAGCGGCAGCTGCCACAAGTGTAACCTTCATGTTTGTTGATGGCCGGGACGCGGCCGACTGAGAGGAATTAGGAAGCAAAGGCTGCTTTATACGTGGTAGCTAGGTAGGTACAGAATTCGATACCCTTGAAAACGAGTGCCCGCTGAAAGAGTGAAGCGGTGGTGGTGAAGAGGAAAATTAACGAACGGCGAAAGCAAAGGAAGCTTTCGGTGATGACAATAACTCCCACAACACGGAAGAACGGAGGGAAGGGGGTAGGGGAGGGAGGAGGGGAGAGGCGGTAATTAGTATGTATTACTGCTGGCCGGGTGTGGCAGCCAGCTTGGGACTCCTCACTCGACGAGTTCAGGGCCAGGGCACCTCTCTACCACTCTCGGGAGGCCGGGGTGTACGATGGAGTTTCTGACCTGCCCTGGAGTCTCTCCGCTCTCCGTGATCCGCTAAAACCAACTCTAGCTAGGGGGTGCTAATCAGAATAAGACGCGCCCAGCACCCCAGGCCCATTGGCAAAGCAGACCTGAGATGCTGAATGGTGCGTAGCTTGTCCTTGGTGTGGGCCTTTATGATGAGGTGAACTCGCCGAGTCCATGCGGAATTTCATGCCGAGCGAGCTGTGAACTGAGCACTCCAAAAAACAAAACCAAGCAAAAAACATTACTGTCTTGTGATAATACGGCGGGGACAGACATCATCGACCTGACCTGGCACGTCAACAACTGAGAGATACAGCACTCTCTCTCTGGCTGCCTCATCTCGATATTCGAAAACCTGGCGTCTGACGCTCAGACTGACTGACTGACTGACTGGATCGGGTAAAGAGGAACGGCGCTGCCTTGCACACGCACGCGGTCCAAGTCAAGGAAGGCCAAGGGGGCGGTGGTGGTGCCGCGGTGCGAGATTCTCGCAAATTGCCATGCCCAAAAAAAGGAGGTCACCAGCTCGATGGTACGTCGCGGCCCTTTGCAGCCCTTTTGGTCGTAGCGCAGGTGGTCAGGGACGGCAATAAGCCTCCAGCACAGGCGCTGCCAGGCACATGAGTGGCAACGGCGCCCTCTACCGGCCCCCTGGAGGACTGGGGAAATGAGTTAAGCGACATTGGCAAATTGCCAGCCACACACAGACGCCATGGGCCCCAACGGCAAAAGGGTCAAGATCATCATGGAAGATCTTCTCAACTCTCGAGAGTTGGGCAGTTGGGTCGGGCAGGTCGCATGCAAGTGATTGACAGATGACGGATGATAGGCCACCGAATAAATGCTGGCGGGCCACTCACATATCCAGACCTAGGTGAACGGAGTGATAAGAGAGCGGTTGATACGACTTCTAATGGATGAGCGATGAAGAGTGAAGATGGTAGCCTTCCTTCCCAATCACGCGCCGCGCCTTTCCTCGTCTGTTCCGTAATTGTGGGGATGCTCATACTTGGCGTGCCGCCCTTCTACTTAGATTCCATAGATGTTGGTTGCACGGATCTAGGAACCCGTAAGGGTTACCTAATCTAGGCTTGACAGCTGCAGAAGTGTAGTGCAGTGCACTGTCCTGTTCCAGCCTTTTTTTGTTTAATTTTAGTCGTTGAGGGTTGGGGTTGGCCTAGCTCGCCGCAACCCCTGATTGTAAGGCAAGAGGCTAATTTATCACGCCGTCACCTGACTGCGCGAAGCTGAGGCCGCAGCAGCTCTCGGTTGAACGCAACGCGGTGCGGGCCGAAGAAAATTTCCCAGACCAGGCCGACGTTGTTCTGGCGCGCAAACGAGGGGATCGCCATCGCCATCGCATTGCCATCCCAACGAGCTGCCACGATCACGATGCTCCGATCTCACAGCCAGGCCTCGGCCTCAGTCTCGGGCTACATTTGCTGGAGGTGTCTTGGTCGCAGCAAACCTGCACCTGCTTCTGCTTTCACTCGTCCTCGTCCGCATCCTCGCCAACATGCTCGTGGCGCCGCTGCTGCGCGACTCTTTTCTACTAGCACTGCTATGAGTGCTGCTGCCCATGGGGGCCACGATACAACCTCGCACCTGCGCCTTCCACCAAACCCGTCATCCCCCTATGACGGCTCCTGGGCCGGATCCGAAGCTGACCCCGGCGATAAATTGCGCGAACGCCTCCGCAAATGGGAGATGGACAACCCGCCGCCTTCGGTGGTAGTTAGGTCAAACGATGACGCTGTTGGCCCCGTCTCCAATTCCATGTCCGGCACTGTCGACGAGTACAAGTTCCTGCGCGGCCTTAACGAACCCACCGACAGCGACACTGATGTGAGCTTTGTTGGAGACGAGCTGGTAAACGTGGGCTTGCCGTCGGTCGGCCTGAAGGCTGGCGATCTTCTCGAGCTCGGTGCCGACAGCCTCCGCTTCAGCCTTCTCGCCATTTGTCTGGGAAACTTCAACGGCTACGACCATTTTTACACCAACTCGGGCAAGTGGGTTACGAGCCAGAACATCAAGACGCGCTTCGTCGTAAGGAACTTCATCCAGGACCCGGACGAACTGCAGGTTGTCATAGATGCCCTGCCCTCCACCTCTGGCGCTGCCGACGTCCTCGTTGCTTACCATACGCTTAATGCCGCGCCCTCGAGAGAAATTGGCGCTGCGCTGATCCGCCACATGAACAACTTCGACGCCGCTGCCCGCCGCATCCAGCAGACATACGCCGAGAAGCTGAACCAAATCTACCAGCTCCTTGGCCCCGAAGAGAAGCTAATGAGCCTGGGCGAAATCGCCCGCCTCGTCCTCCCCGGCGGCCCCATGAAGAGCCATCACACCTTCCCGCCAGACGTTCTCTATGCAGTTTACACCTTTCTCTGCTCCGACGACCTCGCCTTCCGCCCCGTAGGCCAAGGTGGCCGCAACCATCAATCCTCGCTCTTTCTCATGAACACCAAGGACGACATTGAGAACGGCAAAAAGGTCGAATTGATAACACGCCAATTCTACGAGGCCCGGGCCGCTCGAGCTGCACAGCGCAGAGGTGTTGCCCCCACAGCCGCCACCAAATCTCTTGTTGGTAAGCTGGCTGAAACTAAGTCGGTCATTGAGTTCTCCGAGTTCATAGTCGAGGCGCGGAGGTTCATTGACCAGAGCCGCAAGAGCCGGAAATGGTCTCCGCATGGCATGTTGGGTCCAAGCACTCTGAAGCCAACGCCAATTCCCGTCGAATGGTCCCCAACCGCTCTCCAGATCGTCAGGTTCATGGAGCAATGGGCCGCTGCCGCCAGAGTCTCCCGCGTCTCGCGTCTGCACGGCGCTGGCGCCGCGATTCTCCGGGCCGTCGACCGCTATGGCGATGCCATGCTCCTCGACGCCAACACCGGCTGGACCTTTCTCCAAGAAATCGGCTGGATCACGCCGTGGGACTTGCAAACTCGTCACTCTCTCCACCTCCCTGGAGTCAACATTGACAGGGCTGGCATCCTTGCAGTCAAACAGGAGGATTTGGAACCAATCAAATTCGAGCCAGATCAGCTGGCACCCCTCCGGACGGAGCTCACCGGTACCGTCTACTGCATCGACGCCGAGAGTGCCGCCGATATCGATGACGGAGTCTCAATCGAAGATGCCGGCGATGGAGCATACTGGGTTCACATCCACGTTGCCGATCCCGCCTCCCGTATCAGACACGACATGCCAGCGGCCAGGCGGGCGGCCATCCTGTCCCAGAGCATCTACCTTCAGGGCTACGAGCATACCATGTTCATTGACAATACAGTCCGGGAAACCTTTTCTCTGGCGCCAGACAGGCCCTCTCTCACCTTCAGCGCCAAGGTGAACGAGGCCGGGGACATTCTTGATTACAAGGTCACGCCAGCTATCATTCGGGATGTCGTGTACATAACGCCGGAGAATGTGTCTGAGATATGCGGCGACGAAGTTGAAGACGTAACTGTACCGCCCGACAGCTTTGAAGTTGGAACGCGCCCAACTGAATCCAAATCCCCGACCAGGAAGATGGCCAAGCCTGCCGAACTCTCGGAGCACCACCTCTCCGAGATACGTATACTTTCAAGGCTTTCCAAGGCCCTCCACCAAGTTCGTATCCGAAACGGGGCCGTGCCAACCCAGCCCCCTCGGATGGATGTCGAGGTTTCGCTTGAGCATACCGAAGTCGCAAGATATGCCGACGGCTTTCTGGGCTGCAGCGGAGACCCGTATATTCGTCTCTCGTACAGGCCGGGCAATTTCAACACTTTTACCAGTAGCTTGATGCTAACTGGTGGCGAGGTCGCGGCTCGGTGGTGTTCTGACCGCGACATACCAATTCCTTACCGAGTTGAACCGCTCGCCAGTGGGAATATAGCGGCCCTCCGTGACTTCACCCAGAAAATCCTATATCCCGAACTTGCCAGTAACAAGAAGCCGGTGGGTGAGCACATGCGCACTTTGAGCGTGCTCACTGGCGGGCACGACATTTCAACCAGGCCCTCAACGAACTTCACGATGGGTATAGACAAGTACGCCAAGGCAACGTCGCCCCTGCGCCGCTTCTCCGACCTGATTGTCCATTGGCAGATCGAAGCGGCTCTGCTGGAGGAGCATCGCCGCGGCAGCTCCCTTGTCGTGAACACGAAGTCGCGAGACAGGACAGCCAAAACCTTCTTGCCATTTTCAAATGGCGACCTTGAGTACGACATGTTCCCGCTTCTTCGTCTCCGGGAGTACCATGCCAGGATAATGGAGAGGCTGGAAGGGCCCTCCTCGTGGGCCCTCCAGGCGCTTTTGCGGGGATGGTGGTTCGGGGAAAACGCAGAGCAGCTCCCACGCACCTTTCGGTTCGCTGTCAACTTCATCCTGACCAATGGCATCATTAAAGGTAAGCTCGACTGGTTTGACCAGATTGCGATGCTAGACTCAAGGCATTTGGGGGGGGTGTGTCGGCTGAGCGAGATCAAGACGGGTGATGTCTTCGTCGTGGAAATAGACACTATCATTACTACTTCAAGGAAGATTTACGTCAGGGCGTTGGAAAGGGTCGAGCAATAGACTGTGGGTTGACTATTGTGTGTCCCAAGCGAACTACGTACATATGTATAAATTATTAAGTTTCACTGTGCCAGTCCCTGACTACCTACCTACCTAGGTACGCTGAGGTTTCCAGTCGCCCACTTGCACTCTATGTGGGTGGTCAAGGGGAGTTTGGTCGCTCCTTGTGGTACCTAGCTGAACATATAACGCTACACTAGTTGAGATGGTGCAGTCCAAAACAAAAAGAAAAAGAAACTACATCACTCTACTTTGTAACTTCCTTCTTCTCGCAAAAGACTTGAGGCCTTCCCGGCCGTGAACAACCATATCGGCACCGTATAGCCCCGCTGGCAAAAAGCGTAGTTATAGAGCTACAGAGTAGCCCATCATCAAGTCAAAGAGAAGAAAAAAGACTGCTTGGTATCATTCAGAACAGCGAGTACGAAACGAACTTGTTATCCATGACCGACACGGACAACATGGACACGAGTCCCCCCCAAAAAGAAGAATCGTTTGAAGAGACATGTGCTGCTACCATGACGCCATTTTCGTGTTGGAGCCTGGACTCTCCCGGACCCTGCCAGGTGGTGTCCGAACTTGTCCCCTCCCACTTTTTCTACGCTCTTCATATGCCCACATTATATACAATACAAAAAAAATTGCAAGGAGAAAACGCCGCCCCGTCCGTACCCATTGCTTGCCAGGATACCGCTTTGAATGCCCATCACAGCCCGGCAAGCACGCTTTGGATGCCGACGCTGCTCGAGTCATCTCTCCGCTGGACAAAAGCCTTGAAGTCGGCCTTCAGCAGCTTCCTGGCAGTGCTGGCGGGGCCGGAGGTAGCGCCGGCGGCCAGATTACGGGAGCGTTCGCGCAGGGCCTCGGGGCCGATGATGAAGAGGTATCCGACCTCGGTGAGCATCTCGACCGTGTGCTCGACGTCCTTGGACAGGGGCCAATCCTTCATGGTCGAGACGTACTTTGCAATGTCCTTGGTGACCATCAGGCCGCCAGTGGCGTTGACGGGGAACTTCTTGAAATGCTCAAACAGGAGGCGGTGGACGGCGACGGCCAGCTCCGAGCTGAACATCTCGAGGTTTTGGCCGTCGACGGCGCGCCCCGCCTGCGCCGCCACCTTGGCTGACAAAAACGTGCAGATAGCCTGGCACGTGGGTGTCTGCAGCGAGTCGACAAGGCCCTCGAGGTCGTTGTCCTTGGGGCGGAAGTCGACCTTCTTCTGCTGCGCCAGCGTCTTGGTAACCCAGTTCACGGCCACATCCATGGTGCTCTTCATAACGGCGTTGGTCTTGCGCTCTGTCGCCTCTATGGCGACCTTCGCCTGAGCTTCCATGTGGCGACGCACTGTGGTGTTCGACTCAGCTAGGCGGATGAGCACTGTCGTGATGAAGTGGGACATGAGGTTGGTAATGGTGACGGCCGGCCTGACGCGCGGCAGGTAGGACAGGTCGGGCTCGGTCTTGACGTTTTCTTGGGACGTGGCCTTTTCGAGGGCAGCGTCGAGGGCCGTCTCGACGTAGACCTGACCCATGCTGGTAAGGAGAAGGTTCAGAAGGGCATTGACGTCTTTCGGCGTATCGCTTGCCGACCCCATCTCAAGCGCCCTCCGCACGCTCTCGGCCAGCCAGATTATCATGCGCTTGGCGAATGCGACGTTGAGAATGCCGTCTTGCTCTGTCACCTCAATGTCATTCTTGTTGCTACTGTTGTCCTGCAAACCAGCCACGCGAAGCATCATGGCTTTCTGCGTGGGTGTGAGATCCGAAGATTCGAGGCGCTCCGTGTAGGCATCCTTGGCCGTAGCCAACAGCTGGGTGCCCTGCTGGGCGATGGCGGCCATGAAGCCGGTCGGGGCCTTCTTCCTCCTGGAGTGGAAAAGGGTGAATTTGAAGAGGAGAGAGTTGTACATTTCCTCCAGACTCTTCTTCTCGCGGTCGATGTACGAGTTGCCAACCAGGTATGGGACAAACAGCTCCTCCAACTGCTGGTCTAAGGTCTGCGAGATTTGGGCCGAGCACGGCTCAGGATGTTCTGTGAGCCCATGGGTTTTGAGGTCCTCGACCAAGGCACTAATGTAAGAACGCGACGCGTGCAGCGACCGCAGGAAGGCTAGAGAAGATATGGTGAGCCCCTTGTCCAGGACCATCTCCAGGCGCTGCTGAATGGATTGCTGAAAGACGCGTTGTATGAACTTGGACAAAACAGTCTCGTAGTATGGAAAGGCTCGCTTGATGATAAAAGACTCCTCCTGCATCACAATTTTGACTTCGTCGACGAGGGACTGCAGACTCGGCTCCACGCCTGGCGGGTCAGAGTCGGGATCTGCGAGCTGCTCCCATGTCTCGCCATCGGTGGTGACCTCGTCTGTTATGAGTTGGTCGCGGTCAATGAAGAACTGGTGCTGGTTCACAAAGGCAGCAATAACGCTGGCGCCGCCGTTGAAGTCGTAGAGCACTCTGGCGCACTCCATCATGTCGTCGAAGTTCTGGCGGCGGTAGCTGTTGTTGAATTGCTTCAGGAGGTCTTGTTCAAGCAACTCCGAGAACTTCTCAAGCACCTCTCTTGTGTTGTGACGGCGGGCAGCGGCCGCGACACCGTTGGTAGCGCCGTTGCCGCGGAAGCCGTTGGACTGGCTCCACGAAAGGGGGTCGAGGCGCTGGCTGATACGCATTAGCTGGCGGGCGATGACGGCACAGCGGACCTTGTTCTCGGGGCCGCCCTGGCGCTGGATCTCCTCGAGCGATGTCAGCTGGCCGGATTCGCTGACCTCGGTCCAGCACTGTATCAGGAAGGTTGCGTCCTGCGCCTTCCTCCGCTTCCTGTCGAGCTCCTCGAGCTTCTCGCCGATCTGGACGGCAACGTTGCCGCCGCCATCGGGGCCGGAGCGGGAGGCACCGTTGCCGTTGGCGTTACTGCTGCCATTGGCAGGGGTGGGGTTGTTGAGGGTCAGGTCTAGGGCCTCAAACTGGGCCATGGACTGGTCGAGCTTGCGGCCCAGGGTCTCGAGGGTCTGGTCATGTTGTATCTCGGCACGGCGGACTTGTGACAGGAGCTCTGATTCCTTCTCCTGCAGCTCGTTCGATAGGGTGCCCAGCTGTCTCAGGGCGTCTGGCCAGGCGAGGTAGGTCAGCAACCTGGGAGGAGAGGGGTGAGGCGAGAGACAGTATGTGGGGAAATGAATGCTATGGCATACTCTCAAAGGACCTTATCAGGGGCTTGGGATCGAAGGCACTGAATGCGGGACCGGAGCGACGGCTGGCGGGGACGGCGGTCTCGGCGAGCGAGTCGACAAAGTCGCGCACAATGAAGTCCTTGTTGGAGAAGTCCTCGAGGGTGAAGCTGGGGCCCTTGGGAAAGAGGGCGCGCGAGCTGGCGCTGGCGGACCCGCCACGTTCCAGTGTCAGGGTCATGGACGTCGACGTCGACGACATGGACGTCACTTGCTGGCGCTCGCCGGCCGCCATGGTTAGCGAAGCTTGCGGTCGTCGTGGTGGCTTCTGCGCCGGAGAGCCACGGCCGCCGGTTCCTGTGACGGGCAATGCATCTGCTTGCGACGACGCCATGCCACGGACCACGGACGGCACCGTATGTCGACAGGGTACGGATAGGTAGGTAGGTAATTAACCGGTGTCGGTGTCTGCTGCCACCTCGGCCGAGAGGTTAAGTGGGTATTCCGCAGGTCGGTTAGATCACCAAACGTTATGCTACGTAGTAAGGTATGGACAGTACATACAGTGGCTGCTGCGCCAGTGGTCTCGCACTGCAATGCACCCGCGGCACCACTCACAGCACCCCTAACCCACCGCTTCCCGTCTAATTATCTGCCCTCCTGCCGAACCTAACCGTTGTGCACTTGACGCTCCCTCCCGAGCCGAGTGCTTGCCCACCCAATGCCCCAGCCGGGCCACATTTCGTCAGCGGTATGCAAGCCGTCCCCACTATATTTGCATGCGCTGCAGTACCCCTGGCAGGAAGGAGGAATCAGGGCGGTGTCAGCAGCTGCATCGGTAACACGGATACGTACTCCGTCAGAGTGGAAAGCTCGGGTATCCAGGGATAGCAGCTTTCCAACCCGCCATTCACCCATCATGCCAATTGCCTTCACTCTAATTCTTCGACAGGACTGGTGTTTGTACGGTAACTCCCATAACTAAATAGTTGTTTGGTTTCCCAACTGGGATTCATATCTGCCCGTCTTCACCTGTCGCACCCTCCGATTCTGATCTGATCCCCGTGGGCCGAGCCACCTCGCCTGGCGGGCAACCTCGAGAAGCCGCCGCTTCATTCCACATCCAACCTCCGACGCCATTCCATACCATCTCTCCGGCGTCAACAAATAAAACACCCGGCATGCCGGTCTTGCCACTCAATCCGGTCAACCGCCGGGACCTCGAGGCTTACCGCAGGGATGAAAAGTACGGGCACAAGTTACTGACGCCCGAGGAGAGGCTTCGCTTGCTCAAGGTTCGTGGCATGGGCGGCACGTCGACGGCACTGCTGTGTGCACGTCTCCTCCCGCCAGAGAAACAATGGCGACGTACAACCGGGATATTGATGCTGACATGACACCACCGCAGCCCTACCTGCCCTCGCCGCCGCCGTCGCGCACCTCACAACGCGTCCAGAAACAACTCCCAGACCAGCATACCTTGGGCCTCCGCCGCTTCTTCAGGAGGCAGCTGCACCTGCTCGTCTTCACCTCCATCCATGCCGTTTTTTCGCTCTACGTCCACATTCGCCAGGCATACCACGCCGTGGCCAACCGCATCTACTCGGTGTACTACTACCACCATAGGGCTCCCGAGTTGATCCAGGGCGACGTCAAGGGGCTGCGCCGCCTACCAAAGCACCTGAGCGTCATCCTGACCCTTGAAGACAATGGCAAGGGCGGCGCCGGTCTTGAGCGGCTGGTCAACGAGGCCGCCGACATAGCGGCTTGGTGCGCTAGCGCCGGCATTCCACAACTTTCCATCTACGAGAAGACGGGTGCGTGTACTCCCGTCCCTTTTAACTCTTGCCTCCTTATGTTTAGGTTTAGCTGGCTGACTGCTTGGGTACAGGCATACTGAAGGGGTTCATGCCCGAGACGCACGAGGCGCTGTCACAGAAGCTATCTGCATACTTTGGGCCCGACTTTCCAGCACTGAGCCTCGGGGCGCCCCACAGCCCTGCCGTTGAGCCCCGCCTTAGCTCCCGGACGGCGAGGCGCGTTGATGTTGCTGAGCAGAAGCATCTCTCGGTTCTCCTTCTGTCTGCCGAGGACGGGCGGGACTCGATTGTCGACCTTACCAAGACGCTTGCCGAGATGGCACAGCGGTCAAAGCTCTCCCCCGCCGACATCAACATCGAGCTGGTGGATGCCGAGTTGAGTGAGAGCGTTATGGGCGAGCCGGACCTGCTTATTCACTTTGGGCCGTACGTCGAGCTGGCCGGTTACCCGCCGTGGCAGGTCCGCCTCACCGAGATCTTCCATGTGCCTGACAACCAAGGCGTTGGGTACCAAGTATTCTACCGATCCCTGTGCAATTATGCCCGGGCACAGATGCGCCTCGGTAAGTGATTGTGCAGGCGAAGCGAAACCGCCGGAAGAGCGTGATGATTAGAGCAGGCGGGAAGCACCGCGTCCGAACATAGCGATAGAAGGCTTGTATCATGAGCAATTTTCATTTATGTTATTTTTGCTGGGGGCTCTGGGTCGAGTAATCGATTATTTCATTTCCCCGGGGGGCACATTGCCCGGTTTTGATGTCTGTTTTGGTGTCTGTTGACACGAGGTTCGAACTGGCCCACGAAAGCTTCTGTGAGACTATGACCCTCTATGCGTTCCTGTTACGTGCTCGCATTGAGTTGTAGAGCTTTCCATACTTCACAAGTAGGTGACTGCCTTATGCTATACCAATGCTGCGCAAACTCGAGCTGACTGTGGGAAAAAGCGGAACTTTGATTTATTTACTTTGTCTGGAGTAACGTTGGATAGGCGGGTTGCTTCCCACGTGTAGATTGACGAGCCGTGGTATCCCGCGTGTAGATTGATTGGCGTTACCAACGTTGAATTGAGGCGTAAAGGGGTGTTTTACTTGCGGCTCACGTGCCGCTACACGAACAGTGAGAGCCTGAAATTATGGCGCTGTTAGTACCGATTTGTGGGGCCTTTTGGGAGTGAGTGGTAACGTCTATTAAGGTATCCGTACAGATGGGTATTTTCTTCACGGCCTGAGTTCCGACTGGAATTTGCAGAGTCACAGTCACGACATCCACCACCACCGGTTTAATATCGGTGAAAATATAGATCGGCTGCTAATTATGGGTGATGATACTACTGCTCACGGCCACAGCGAGACGGAGGGAATCACTACGGTTGGAGACATGAACGTGTTCCGGCCGCCGGTTGTGCGCTCGGGCACTGCCGCTCTGAACCGCGCCCTCTTCTCCAGGACCTTCGACCTGGCTGCCGCCGCCGTGAACGACCCCCGCCTCATCTCAAAATACCGGAACGCCTTGCAGAGCGCAAAGGAGCTCTTGCGCGTAGAGAGGATATCGGGCGTCGCTGCCCATCCAGACCCCGCCCTAGCCCAGCAGGGCCGCAAGTGCCTGCTTCTAAGTCCTAGTGTCAAGGCCAAAGGTTAGACCACGCCATCCAGTCTAGCCCAGCCTGTCCGCCCGCTTCGTAATACTTATTAAGGACGCCATGCTGATGTTTTGTCCCCCTCTCTCCACCTCAGCGCCTGAGACATGGGGCCCCGTACTTAGAGACGGTGTCGACAAACAGGACTTGTCTGTCGTCCCGTACGAGCTCCGCCTTGGCTATGATGACTGGTCTTACCGTATGTATAAGAGCCCCTATCAATCAATTTACAGTTCCCGGGCCTACCTAACCCTTGAATATAGATGATATCATAACATCGATATTCCCCGAGGAATTCCAAGATGAGATCCCGGCTGGCTTCAACACGGCCGGTCACGTGGGTAAGTTCTCTTTGCTCCGGACGGCCTCGTCGTCGTCGCCGTCGGTTTGCTTTGTTTCTGACCAAGCCAAGCACATCTGAATCTGCGAGACCGCTACCTCCCTTACAAAAAGGTGATAGCCGAGGTCTTGCGGGACAAGTCCCCGCACATCAGGACCGTCATCAACAAGGTCGAAAACGTCGGGAGCGAGTCGCAGTTCAGGACCTTCCAGTACGAGGTCCTGGCAGGGGAGGACAACATGGATGTCACCGTCTCGGAGGGCGGCTGCTTGTTCGACTTCGACTACTCCAAGGTCTACTGGAACAGCAAGCTTGAGACGGAGCACCGCCGCCTTATCGATCTGTTCCAGCCCGGAGAGGTCGTGTGCGACGTCATGGCCGGCATTGGCCCCTTTGCCGTCCCTGCTGGGAAGAAGGGTGTCATCGTATGGGCCAACGATATGAACCCCGAGAGCTACAGCTGTCTCCAGAAAGCCATCAAGAAAAACAAGGTCAGTTCCCCTGCTTTGTCTCACCCCCTTTTGTCTCGCCCCCTTTCCTCTCCTTTCGCCGTTCTTCTCGTCTTCCTGAGGCACGGCCCCTTTTCTAAAATGATAATAATAATAGTAATAATAATAAATATAGGTATCAAACTTTGTTCGGCCTTTCTGCACGGACGGACGCACGTTTATCCACCAGGCAGCCGACTATGTTCTTGCGGCGTCGGAAAAGGGCGAGAGCATCACCATCCCTGCGAAGCGCCCAACAGGCTCGAGGACCGCGGCCAAAAACAGCAACAACCCAGCACCAGAACCCCAGCTCATCTCCATACCGCCGATAGTCTCCCACTTTATCATGAACCTGCCGGCCTCGGCCATCGAGTTCCTAGGCTGCTACCGCGGGCTCTACGCCGGGCACGAGTCCCTGTTCGCACCCGGCACGGCCAGGAAGCTCCCCCTGATCCACACGCACTGCTTCTCCGTCAAGGCCTTTGACGAGACGCCCGGGCTCGACATCTGCGAGCGCATCACCAAGGAGCTTGGCTTCGCCGTGTGGCCCGGCGACACCGACACCGAGGGCCACGTGGCCATCCACCACGTCCGCGACGTCGCGCCGGCTAAGAGCATGTTCTGCGCGAGCTTCCGCCTGCCCCGCGAGGTGGCTTTTGCTCCGAGAGCCTAGGGGGCGCATGGAAGCGCTGTCTCTGGCGGCGAAAAAAAGGGGGGGGGGGCGCATGGATAGTCGCAAAAGGATGTCCTTTGCGGAGGCATAGCCAGAGCCAAACCGTCGGGCTTGGGTATTATTTGTTCCGGGCCCGCCCGAGAAAGTGTCATGTTTCACTAGAAGGACCCGATATGTCGGTCTTACTGGATGGATGGTTTCGGCATCTACTCTCTTGCCATCAAAGCGCTAGACGTTAAACTAGGAAACAAATGTCTTGATAGCTGGCAAAGCTTGCCCCCATTCCCTCCTTGTCAAGCGGTTACTGTCACACCTGGAGTTAACTGTCGAGTACTGTTGTTGTTGTTGTTGTTGTTATGTTTTTGTTTTTTATCTTCATTCGTCTACTCCAGGAGCGACTTCCATCCTCAGTCAGATCTCGCTGCAATGTAAACACTAGATGTAGCCAGCCCTTGTGTTTGGCTGCCTACCTTGCTCACTTGCGGCTGACACATGCATGTATGTAAAGTAAACAGTGAGTGACAGGAACGGAGAGGGGATGTAGACAAGCCACCCCCCCTTTTCAACTCAAAAATACATAGCACTCACCCACACTCTCTATCACGTCGTCCGGCTCAGCTATCCGCACCAATGAAGCCGGGCTGGCAGGTCCTTGCGGTCTGGGCCATGTATCTAGTCTTTAGTGAGGTGGCTGCTACACATGCACATATATCTAGATATGTACAGTGCTGTACGACAGCTTCCGCAGACACGACGTGTTCCGAGACCGGGGGGCGAGTCTTTGCTATCCGTCTGGGCTGGCTACCTACCTGCCTTGGGACTTCTTATCACTGCCTGCGTCGTGTCCTCTATCGGGGCCCAGAGCGGAGAACGCGCTTGCGGTGGATGGATAGCTCTAGCAGTGACTCATCTCCCCGTTTGCCGCTGTCGTTGTCGTTTGCCGCCGAAGCCGCCGTAGCCGTCGTCGTCGTCATCTACACGTATACATAGGCTCAAAAAGGGTATCCCCCAGACGGCAAAGAAAACACAATGTGAAGATATCACCCGTCAGACCAACGGCCTGTGTGGGGTGCCTTCCCGTGTCGAGGCTGCTCTATCTTTTTTCCCCATCTGTATATCTGCAAGCTGAGGTGCCAGCAAGCTTTGATGGATGGTTCCACGGCAGACCGGTGAGCCGTGACAGACTATATCGAGCGGGGACTATCGACATTGAAGGACAGGGTTTCTGGGCTTTGGGCCCCAGGGCTACCTGACTTGGCTCTGCCTTCTTGGCCTATCCCGATCGATCTGGTTGCACCGAACTCGCGCGCGCCGTAGCGTTCAATAGGTGTGTGTGTGTGTGTGTGTGTGTGGTGGCTGTGTGCTATCAATCTGGCATCCACACGCCGTCGGGAGGCTCCACATATTGGTCCCAAAAGGGGGGGCTCGGTCAAGGCACAACACCAGCTAGACAGGGCACACTAGGCCGGAAAAAGAGAGACGGGGAGTGTAAGAATAACGGGGTGGTGTAGCACTGCAGACAAAGAAACACATTTCCCCCATGTACCTAATTGAGAAATGGGTTGCCGAAGAAAGTTACGATAGGGACAGGGAGCCCGCCCGTGGGTGGGAGAGAGGGGGTGGATGTGGATAAGGTGAATCGCGAAGCAAAGATGCGAATATGCACAGCGGCTAGGGGCCGTCTCTGTCGGAAGCGGGCTTCTCCTGTGTCGAAGCGAACGGGTGGCTCCTTATCAAGCCATAGTTGACCCTACATATGGGTAAGGTAGCCATCCAGATAGAGAGCCAGCCAAGCCTTCCCGAGATATCGCGGCAGCCGTGACAAGGGAAGGAATGTGAGGCGCTTCGCCTGTGGCTTGCGGCGCTGACAGATGTCGTATAGCTGCGGGCGCGGAGGGGGCGGGAGCTAAGGGCGGACAAGAAATAAATACACTGAGAAATCGAAGACGGATAGATAACAACAGGGCTGGGACGGCAAGGTCTGTTCTCTTGTCTTTCTCGAACTACAGCTACATCAAAGCAACAACTAAGGTACATACCTGAGATACCCGGACTCTTGGACCGATGCAACAGAAACTGGGAACAGCCATGACAGGCCGCCCGCATATGTCGAGTCTTGCTCAGTGTGCATGGGAATGAAATTGGTGATAAGGAACCCCAGCGCCGTTTTCGCACTTTTGGATTTCTTTAACTGCAAAAACAGCATCCGATAGGACTAGAGGACCAGGACCATGCCCTCCCCCTCAGCATGAGGGACAGGAGCTATGTGACCAAGTGAGTGTTGCCAAGGCTACGTGGGAGGGGAGATGCAGATGGCCAAGAATGGGCGGCATATTTCCATGTCCACCGATGCGGCTTGGAGAAGCAGAGTGGAAGCAGAAGTGGAAGCAGAAGTGGAAGCAGAAGCTCACGATGCGACGTTGGCTGTACGTACGCACCTAGTGCACATGTAGGCAGTGGACGAATAGACAAACAGCGCGAGGTTTTGTACATGGACGTACCAATCCCTACCTTCCAGCTACGAGGGTACCTTGTTAGGACGTCGAGATGCTGATAACATTGCGCCGGGCAGTGGAGCTGTCGCCGTGGTTCATCTATTGTATAAGGTAGGAAGGTAGATGAGCGGGAGATCGGCTCAAAAACAGAAGAGCCTGGACCGAGCCTGGAACTTTTCGACCCGCTCTGGTGCCAAGACTCTTGACACCTTGACAGCGATGGAAACATAAGCCGGGGGACCAGGATGTCGCCATCTTTTTGGGATTTGGATGAGCAATTGTCCTGAGTGCTGTTGAGCACGCGAGCCAATTGATTCGAGCAAGACCCAGTAACAGCTGAAAACAGCCATTCCTGCCTTACTTTGGCTATGTTTCCCATCAGATGCCGCAAGGCCGAAAGCATTACCTGGAGAGGCCTGGAGAAGTTGCAAGTTGCGGGAGATATGGAAACCCCGGCAAGCTGTGAACGGAACAGCCACCTGTGCCGAACGTGGGGCGAGCGAGTGGACAGTAATACAAATGGGCCGAATTGTTTCTTAATACTCCGTACCGATTGGGTATGTATGTACGGAGTACCTTGTTAGAAGTACGAGGCATGTTCCGTGCTTGAAAATAATCTCGAACCCCCATGCCTCTACAAGAATGCATCTGAAGAGCTCCCGGGACGGATGCACGAACGCGTACAAGATGGTACGGAGTACGTGCCGAGCAATTGCGATACGACGAAGGCAGTTCCTATAGAGAGCGAGTGGTAAAGTTCTGGCCGGCCGGCCGGGGAGGCAGGACTTGCTGGCTCCATGTGAGAGCCTATGGCAATCCCAAGGGCGGAGATTAACAGCCAGGTAAGTAAGAGGTAAGAAAATATGGAGTTGGCCTCGGCACCGCTGGAGTAAAAAAAGGTCGAGAGCCGCGGTGAGTGTGGCACACCTTCATCGGGAGTAAAGAGAACTGGATTGAGGGTGGGGGCGGAGGGGTAGAAGTTGCCGGACCCCACATCTTGGCACGGCGGACATGGGCATTAAGTGCTGCGTCAAATTGACCTCGAGGGCACACCCACACCCGCCAACCAAACAACACGGCAGGGCAGGCAACGTGAAAGTGAGAGCTCGAAAATAAATACCATATGTATACCGGGAGTTGGTGCGGATTATTGAGGTAGGTACCTTGGCTCGTGGGCACACTATCTGCAGAAAGCAACACCTCCATTGATCTTGGCCAAGGCGGTTAAGTTGAGAACTCACCAGTATCGGCAGTTGAGGTTTCGAGCCGCGTGTTGGTGGCCCGTTTACAATTTTTTTAAAGTGAGTTCTTTTCGGAATCATCCGAAGCATGTTGAGTCTTCACAGTCGACACTTAGGAAGCCGTAGGGGGGGAAAAAAACCGAAGCTTCTCATCACGCCCCTGGTATTGTGCCCGCCGGATGCGAACTGTGACAATATAAATCGGATGCATGACTCGATGAGGGCGGCGGGCAGCCGGTGAAAGAGTTGGCTTTGGGTCCGTGGCTTTTCCCTGAGCATCCTGTTGGGCAGCGCTGCTGTTGGGTCCCTCGAAGACGGACCTACTGGATATGCTGCACCATCGTGCAGTGCGCGCGCATGAGGCTTGCAGCCTCCCTCCCCCATTGCCGCCATGGCAGGCCCAAAGTCCACTTGCCACATGTAGGTGCTTGTGATCTGTCGACAGAGCTGTAATGCTATTGTCTCGACACTTGACACTCTCCACCCCCCTAGTTGTAGACACAATAGACGGCGCCATGTGTACCAACTGTGAGAATTAGTAGTCAGTCCCAGTTACGCCCTGTTTCTATTTTCATCTCTCGCGCAAAGCTTCCTGGCATTACCTATCCCAGCCAAGAGCCCAGCAGTCGATAGGGAGTCTATCGAGGCCCCACTCGCCCCCTTTTGGGGCTTGGGAATTGGTTAGACAATCAGGCAACCATCAGACCAACATCATGTTGCTTGCAGAAACCCGAGCATTGTCGATGCTCTGAACCCACGCCCGAGGAAGATGTGTCCGGGTGGGAAGACGCATTCTCGGGCGTCTCTTGAGGGTGCTGATCGAGATGGTCGAGATGATCGACCTCTCACTCTGCCCCCAGGACAATACGTGGGCTTTAGTGCGTAATGGGCATCGGGGCAGATCTTACCTTAAATGGCTTGCCGTGAGCGGTATTCCGTCAGGAGGCGGAAGATCTTCAGCCCTAACATGTAGCTAGGTAATCAGTAACCATCAAGCTTTCGCCATATGGACCCCCCTCAAGGAAAGCAAGTATGTATAGTACTCCGTATAGAGTGGATTAGTGTAGCCGCTCCCTCTCTTCTTCCACTGTGTGCACGCAGTGAGATATGCGTGCAGTGTGCACTGGAAGCTATGAGCGGGACTGGGATTGCTTCAAAGAACGTCAGCCCCATCGCCGTATGTACATTAAGTAAGGCATACAGAGTCGGACGTAGCAATTACCTTCTCTGACGCAACCAGTAAGCTCCGGCATGTTCAAGACACCACTGCTGTGGGCACTGCCAAAGCCTGGGTCGAGACTAGGTGAGAATTTCAAGCTGCGGTCGTGCTACATAGCGCGAACAATGGCAGAGAGGACATAGGTAAGTAGGTGCCTTCTCATCTGGTTTGGCCCGGCCGACTACCTACGTTAGACTCGGTTGTGGTTCATTCGACATGTCAAGTATCTATCGGTTGGCACGCCCGGGACCTCCCGGGAGCTCATTGAAATAAAACAATGCTCGGAGATAATGGAACCCGTAGATACTACCGGCGGCAGCATGCTTGTTGGCTAATGTCTACTCCAGTCGTTCGATATCAGAGTGGGAAGTCGAAACTTGGCTGTTCCGTCTGTCTCGGAAGATGTGGTTTTGGCAGTTGAAACACGGCGCGCGGCGGCCCAGCAGTCGTTTTGGGTATTTTCCTCGAGATTTGTTTTATGCCATGAGACACCTAGTTAGATAGAGGCCAATGTGTGTAAAGGCGCAAGAGATTACGCAAGACTCCGACAGTCCGACTAAACCTCACGTCCTCGGCTTGACTTGACTTTTATTAGGTCGACGACCAAGGCCGCTTGTTAGTGTTGGAGCTAGGTAGGGCGTGAGTGAGCATGAAACCGCGCTTACTTGCTCAGGTCTACATCTCATCAAGACCTTCGAGGACCTAGTCAATTCGCATGGAACTGCCCGTGAGCCACTAGTAGCGCTGTTCCTCTCTTCGAGTTTTTCATCGACACATTGCCAACGGAAGAAGTCGGAGCTGCTGAGTCGAGACGAGGGCCGGCTGTACAGTAGCGTATGCATACAAGGAAGCAGAGAGCCGATCTTGGCCTCGGGAAAGGTTTCGGTTTCGGTTTCCATCCCAGTCTCCCATCTTGTATAACCTGTTGAAACAAGACGTCGCCGAGCAAATGTCTAGGTTGTTGCTTCGCTTCCCACAAACAAGGGCAGAGCTCGCAATTGGCACTGAGGCGTGTGTGGTTGGTGGGCAAGAAGAAAAGGCGTCCACGCGTCCGCCTCAGTCGTGGGTCTCCCGCTAGTCCAACAACTCAGCTCTCCTCGGCCTCGGGCCCGCAAACCGACCACCTCCTTCGGCTTCTCCAGTCAGTGGTAAGAGTGGAGAAAGGGGCGTGTTGAGTTGCCAGGATGCAGCTTGTACGCTGTCGGAGTTTGTTAGAGACATGGAAACCAACTCAATCAACTTTTGACAAGACTGGACGCAGGCCAAAGTCGCCCCGGGTACCTCGAAGGGCCGGTCCGTGCACTAGAGTGACCCCGTCGAGACTTCATGTCTGGCGGAGGCAAGAGTCAACTGCGGAACTGCCTTTTTGCACTCGTGTCTCCGTCTCTGCTCTAAAAACCCCAGTGGTAGGCTCGACCAGAACCTTGGTTGCGGACCGCAATACATGCCCGTGTGTAGCGTTAGGGTCCGCCATGTCTCCTACAAGCTCTCGCCCAGCGGGACGAGTCCCCGAGCCTAAGCAAAGCAAGCCAGTCAGCCAGTATTCGAGGCGGCGCCCGTGAAAGACGTCGACACGCATGAAGAGCTAGCGTCAGCAGCCTGGGTTGGCTCGCTGCGTAGGAAACGCAGGGCAGATAGCAGGCGTGAGACGATGGTATTTAACGCACGTCCGGGAATGTGATTTCAGCGCGGCGGTCTCCTTTTCCATTTTGCCAGTTTGCGACTTTGCTGGTCGGCTTGACTAAAAGGAACGGTCGTTGACCAAGCAGAGCGGCCATAGCTGGTCACGGGCTGCGCGCGACCCTCCCCCCCCTGGCGCGCATTCCATTCCAGCGATTCGTCTGCCCTCGCCTCCACGCCCTAGGCCCTACCCCGGTGACCTGCAGTCAATGCCCCAGACCGCCTCCAAAACTTCTCGGCAGCGCACGGAACCCGACTCGCTCGATTTATTTTTCATAATTGCTTTTTCTTCCCGGTTTCTGCTTGCCCCATGAATTTTACACATTGAATCGCCGGGTCACCAGGTCTGACGTTGCGGGAAATCGCCATGGGAAAGAAGATGGCCCTGGGATTTTAATGCAAACTGCGTCCTCCTTTTCGCCCCGTCCGGCCGGTTGCGAAGAACGCCTCCCTTGCTCCAACCCACGCCCAACGCAAACATCGTTGCCTCCAACACATTCCAGGAACCGCGGCGCGGGGGTCCTCAGGGCACAACACCAGACGCAACAGCGGGTCGTGGTCACGAGCCCAACCAAATCTCACCGAAACCCACACCCAAAAAACGGAGAGAAGCGTGAGTGACCACCCGCCCCGGCCTGCGTCGACCTGTCCCTCACCATCACATTGCTCCCCCCCATTCCCTTTGTTCACCATACCCCGCCCAATCGCGTGCTCGAGTCGGGGGTTCTAGCCACTGTCTGCCAAAGCTGGGCGAATGGGGGCACCTGGGCACCTGTTTGTTGGCCAGTGGCGGTTCGTCTGCGGAGTGCAGACTTCGCACATTATTCGGTCTACCAACCTACCATAGGTAGTTGGCGAACCGAATACCTCACCTTCATGTTCTTCTGCATGGCGCATCACGTTTTCTAAACCTGCTAGGCTGCCCCATTTGTGCTTTTACTCCTGCCCTCCGCTGTCCTGCGGATTCCAAACATTATCAAACCGCCGCCACGCACCTCCATCTCGCTTTTGGGATGCGTACCAACCGTCCTGCATGTTCTTTTGATAACGACTGCGCGGAAACCCCCATTTTCGTCCCCCCATTTTGAGCCCCTCTTCAATCACGCATCCCACTCTCTGGCACACACCTTGAGAGTGACCAGGGTGTCGACACAAGGGGGGCTTGTTCGCTGGCATTGGAACCCGCATCCGCTTAATCTGCACAAGTCCTCAGTCTCCGATGGGCCGGGCACTTACCCGCGCACCTTCACACCTGCGCAACCCCGTGCTCTGAACTTCCCACGATATATTCTTGTCTGGTCATTCAAGTCCATTCGTTTTTGCCCCCTGCTTCGCGCTGCTGAACGTTTGCGTTCATTGCATCCATTCTAATCTCGGTTTGCCCGCAGCTAGCGACAGCTCCAGCCCCAGCAGCCCTTGAGTCGCCTCCTCCCGAGACCCAATCGACATGATCGACGTCGAGTACGTCGTGGCAACCCTCTTTTCATAGTCACCGCCTTTGTCTCCCTTGAACGCCTCGCTCAGCCACAGCACGGGGTTTCGTCTTGACGAAAGCAAGGACAGGCCCCCACCTCACATTCCCGAGGCAATTTAGTTTCTCCCTTGGACAGGAATTGCCCCAATATTTGAATCTCGTCGACTGCCGGCACACCTATGACGGAACTTCTTGGTCGATTGTTGGAGAAAGGTTAGGTGTGATTTGGACGGGTGTCCAAAATCACCAGGGGTTTTTTTCTCTTTCGCAATGGCCGTTGTTCTCTCGTCGGAAGAGAATAACTATTTCTCATCATCGACGCTGCGCCGATCCCACTCGCAGCCCAAGTTCGTCGCAAAGCGCTCAGGCTTTCACACGTCTGCCTCGGCCTCGCGAATAGCCGACCTCTACCCGGACTCTAAGGCATTTGGAGATTCGGCCCCTTCCTCGGCTCCTTCATCTCCTCGTGGTATTCGTGTCGAGTCGACAGACCTGTCGTGCTCGTCCACACCGGCCACCAGCTTTTCCCTGGCATCAGATTCGGGTTCGGATTCGGACGACGACGAAGACGGCCACCTCGGCTTAGTCATCTCCGAAGAGCAAGAAATCATTCTACCTCAGTACGAGGACGTGGGGTACTTGAACAATTCAGCAGGGGACGTGGAGCCGCCTTCGAGCCCACAGACTGGTCTCTCATATTCCTCTTCTCCAAGCGACCAGGACAATTCGAACACTACATCAAGACCTGGATCTCCTGACGTCCTCGAACGGGCCGAAGATGACATAGCAATAAGGGCGCAGCCCTCACGGCATGTTGATTATCTCTCACACAACTGGCGCGAGGAGGACATTTGGTCATCCTGGAAACATATCGTTTCCAGGAGAGGCGACTACAGCAATTCCGCCCGGTTGGAAAACGCTTCCTGGAGGACATGGATGAAGTCCAAGAATAAGCTGAGCACTGTGTCTCCGGAGACGCTTAATTGGTATACGGCCCTCCGCCTTTTCTTCTTCTCGTGGCCCCCTCTTTTAAAGAGGAAATTCTCTAACACTTTGCAGGTTGAAGGATTGCGACGTGACATGGCTTTATGGCCCATTGCAGACCGGCACTGCTAATCTGCACACAAAGCACATGAACCCGAGCAGTTCGAGGCTGTCTAAGTCAAACTCCTTTGTCAACAAGAAGCCTATCTTGAAAAAGCGGAGCATGTCCGAGATAATGCTCCAAAGGTCGCTGTCTGCCTCGTCACTGGTAAAGCAGGCCGCAGCAGCTGTCCAAGCCCAGCAAAAAGGAGGCTTGAAGAGAATCGGCCGACGACCCGGCTTAGAGCGGGCAGTCACTGACTACATAACGTTTCCATTTTCGTCGGCTCGGGGCAGCTCCGATAACACGAACCTGTTCCCATCGACGACATCTTCTGGCGTTATATCCCCGAGCGGCGAACGGAGGCACATTCATTTTAATGAGCAGGTGGCCCAGTGCATTGCCGTCGAGGTCAAAGGCGATGACGACGATGAAGATGCTCGCGCAGACCGGTTTGCGTTTGACAGCGACTCGGACGACGGGGCCATCATGATGAAACGGACCACGTCCAAAAAGTTGAGGCCCGTGCTAAAGAAGGTGAAGAGTTTCAGTGTCAGTGGAGGAGAGAGCAAGACAATCGCCATGCTACCCTCGACGACGTTGAAATATCGAGATGATACGCCGGAACCAACCGAGTCGGCCATGAAGCACAGTACTGGCGTCTTCCGGAGCCCGGTTATATCCCCTTCGTCGTCGCAAGAGACGCTGCGCCCGTCCAAAAAGTCCGGAAAGCTCTTCATAGACGACGACGATGACGACGACGACGATGGTGACGACGACGACGACGAAGAAGAGGAGGAGGACCACGATGACAACATCAACAGTTTTGCCGGGCCATCTACGACAAAATTTGGCGAGGGCGCATCGGGGCTTCGTCGGACAACGTCTTCGAGCAGTCTCACAACAGAGCCGGTCGGCATGCGCAGGACGGCTTCAGGAATGTTCATGCCATTTGAGGACGGCGAGGCTGATTCTACTAATGAAGGCCTTTTCGGTCGGGTCATTGACACGGTAAATACGGCCCGGGACATAGCCCACGTTATCTGGAACGTAGGGTGGAGGAAATAAACCTTCTGGCAGACCGTTTCTTATTAACCAACCCTGTTTTCCAGAAGGAGGCTGTTCTCAAGAATTCTCATCGACTCGGGCCCGGCTCGAGGAGCTCGTCCAGGGGGCGTGTACGATAATTAAAAAGAAGGGGCTAGAGCGGGGTCCCATAGCAGCATCTTGGCCCAATGGGGGCCGTGATGGGCTCATTACGACGCGAACGACAAGGCGGCATCCGAGGCGCGGTGACGTCCGTTGTTTTATGGCATGAGAGGGGGTTGGCCCGGCTTTCGGCGAGGTTTTATTTACGATACGAAGCATGCATTGGGCTGGGGTGTTAAGCACACTTACTTTCATTTCGGCCTTCAGCTTGGCATATTGGTCGGTAAACTACCAAAGAGCTGGGGTTCATGGGGATCTTGGGATCGACCGACAAACCCATGGCACACCAATACCCGCCGTTTTCTCAACTATTTTCTTTGGCCTGAGGGCTGTGTTTTTTATGGATCGGTTTACGGCGAATGGGCTTTGACTTTTTTTCATGGCGCTCTACAGTAAATGCGAGCTGACAATGAATCAGTCGTACGGGTGTTATTGGTAAGATAAAAACTACGGGGGAGAGAAAAGCTGACTTGGTTGGATATTGTTTTTCTTTTTTTCCTTTTTCTCAGGCGAGGCTCTGTTGTCGTTTTCATGCATGGACCCACGGGGGTGTACAGCGGCGAGGCCAGATGGCATATGGCAGATGGCATTTTGAGCTTTGTGAAGGACTGTATTAGCGGTCTATAGTGTCTAAACACGACTTTGCGGGGTCTCGTGTCTAGGGACAAAGGTCCTAGATGCTTTGGGAGGAAAGAGGAAAGAGAAGATGGCAGCATCATGTGAACATAGTGACACAAATCACTATCAAATCAGGCAACGGTTCACCGTCTCCTAGCCAATAGCTAATTGACCAAGCCTAATTGACATAGCTCGCTTCAGCGGAGACGATAACCGTGAAACATGCCTACATCTTGGCCGCAACGATGCCTTATTTAGAGACCACCTGATTGATGGATGCTCTGGTCACGGGCACTGGATACCGGTACGTACAACTCGACTCAGATTGAGGCGTCATTTACTCCGTACTCTGTAGTTGTTCTTGCTGGTGCAGCCTTGTGGCGCTTGGGGCTGAGGTGTGGGGCTTGTGTGTAGGCGAAATCAGGCGTCAAGGCATCCTGCATTAAAGCCAGCTTGCTGCAGCCTGCAGGGCGCCTCGCACTGTACGTACAGGGTGCCAAGGTACGTGGAAGCTTGGCCGCTCTGACGCGTGCTTGGAGCTGCCTTGAGCTCCTGACGGACCTGACTGGCGACAGCCAACATCCCAAGCCCGTCTCTGCATCATCAGATTGCGAACCACCACCTGCCCTCGGCGTTCTACCCCGACCAGCTGCATCGGCTCGATACCGAAATACAAATTTTTCTATTTGACCACGACGACACGATCAGCTAGATTGATCGAGATAATAAAGCACCTGATAGCGCAAGCCAGGCCGAAGACAGAATGGATACGCTCGTAGCACGGTACAGCCGCCCGGCTTACCATGAGAACGAAGATTTCTCCGAGGAAGAGCGGCAGGGCCTCGTCGATTCTGTACCCAGTCTCTCGCTCAAGTTTGCCATGCCGCCCGTAGCTCATGTAAGTCGGCCTCGTCTTTCCTTCCTTTTGTCGTCGACATTGGGAGGAACTCGCTGACATGTCTCGCGTCCACAGCCCTCCGCCTGGCTCCGCGCCGCCACAGATGACCGGTCCAACCCGTCCTGCCCTATCAAGATTGCCCACGGCACAACGACGCTCGCGTTTCGCTTCCAGGGCGGCATCATCGTGGCGACGGACTCGCGCGCGACGGCGGGAAACTGGATCGCTAGTCAGACAGTCAAGAAGGTGATTGAGATCAACAGCGACCTGCTGGGCACTATGGCCGGCGGCGCTGCCGACTGCCAGTACTGGCTGGCCTGGCTGGGCATGCAGTGCCGGCTGCACGAGCTCCGGCACAAGCGCCGCATCAGCGTGGCCGCCGCCTCCAAGATCCTGGCCAACCTCGTCTACCAGTACAAGGGCATGGGCCTGTCCATGGGCACCATGTGCGCGGGCGTGACCAAGGAGGAGGGCCCGGCGCTCTACTACATCGACTCTGACGGCACCCGGCTGGCCGGCAACCTGTTCTGCGTCGGCTCGGGCCAGACATTTGCTTACGGCGTGCTCGACGCCGAGTACCGCTACGACCTGTCGGTCGAGGACGCCCTCGAGCTTGGCAGCCGTAGTATCCTGGCGGCCACGCACCGTGACGCCTACTCGGGTGGCTTCATCAACCTCTACCATGTCAAGGAGTCGGGCTGGGAGAAGCATGGCTTCAGCGACACGAACCCCATCTTCTGGAAGACGAAGCTTGAGAAGGGCGAGTTCAGCAACGTCACGAGCGACCTGTCAGAGCGAGTGTAGAACCGAGTCGGGGCAGGGACGGTAGAGAGAGGAGAGAGAGAGCTTGTAGCATTGTCCCACTATTCACGGGCACGGCGTCGGCATGGGGAAAGGACAAGACAGTTACAGCAACGCCATTTATATGTACAATACAAACATTAACCAACGAGGACAATAACAAGATCCACAGGGCACCTCATACAACGCGTAGTCCGGGGATGTGATATCTCCAACTGGCTCCTCTTGCGTTGACATTCGTGCGAATCGCGCAGCATAAACTTGAAATGTATCCGACGGTAGTGTGTATGTTTCAAATGTTTTCATGGGGTATTTCGGGATCTATGCACATATTTAAATTACATGCTGTAGTGGTTGTTACATGGACTTTGCACATTTTCATTCTCCCCATGCTCCCGCGAGTTCTTTCCCACATAGATCATGAAAGGAATATATGTACTGGCGGGCTCTATTCCTCTTGGTGATAGGAGGAAAGAATACCACCACCCTCGGCGGCCGGGTCGATGGACCACTTGCGCGACGGCAGTATGGCCAGGGCGTCGTTGGACCGCCAGCCGGCCTCCCACATCTCTGCCCCGGCCCACGCGATCATGGCCCCGTTGTCGACGCACAGCGCCGCCGGCGGCGTCACGATAGCCATGTTCCCGAACCCGCGCGCGTCCAGGAACCGCCGCACCACGTGCCGGAGGAACCGGTTGCTCGCTACGCCGCCCGCCATCACGAGCATGCGGATCTTGGCGAGCACCGCCCGCTCAGCCGCCGCCGCCGCCGCCGCCGCCGCCTCCGCGTCGGGTGTTAATGGCTCGCGGCTGGCCTTGGACCCGTCGCCGCTGTTTTGCCGCCGTGGCTTCCGGGGCACCGGTGGCGGCGGTTTGAGTGCCAGCACCACGCGCCCGGCCACGTGCTCAAACGCCATCTTCATGGCCGCGCGCGCCAGCACCCGCCGCTCGGCCTCGTCCATGTCAGGCTTTCCAGCGACCGCGCGCTGCACCGCGCTGCCCAGCCCTGTGAAGTTGTATTCCAGCGAGCGCCGGTCCGACAGCGGCGCCGGCAGCTTCCAGCCCAGCCCGGAGTCGAACTGCGTCAGCTCGTCGGCGCGTTTAGCCGGCGGCGCGTAGCCGTCGTAGTCGTATCCGCTGCTGCTGTTGTCGGCCGCCGGCGCGTCAGGGTACGCGAACTTCTCTAGTAGCGCTCCGTACATGACGTCCGACGCCCCCGACGTTATCGCCGATGGCAGCACCGCCCGCGCGGCGTGGTCCAGCATGTTACCCAGTGCCGTTGTCTCAGCTTCGGCCAGCACCTTATGCGACGTCAGCGACCGCGACAGCACGAGCTGCGTGTGGCCGCCCGACAGCAGGAGCGTGAGGAACGGGAACTCGGGCGTCTGCTGCTGCTGCGCCGCTGCATCCCCGGTCCTGTTTCGAGTAGGGGAATTAGGAGGAGTAGTCGCTGTTGTGTTTTGGAGAGAAGCAGTGGCGCCTGTCGGCCACCGCGCCATGGCGTCGACGAGCCGCGGCGTCAGCGCGTGCGCCTGCATGTGGTGCACGCCCAGCAGCGGCACCTGCATGGCCAGGGCGAGACCCTTGGCCATGGTGAGGCCGACGGACAGGCTGGCCGCCATGCCGGGGCCGCGCGTGACGGCGATGAGGTCGGGCACGCGGCGGAGCGTCCACTCGCCCGTGCGCGCGTCGCGGATCGGCAGCGCCCGCCGCCGCGTATCTTCGCCGCCGCCGCTGCTGCTGCTGCTGCTGCTGCTGCTGGAAGTCGCCTCAGGTAGCACCTGTAGCGCCTCTTGCACCAGTGGACCCAGCCGCGCCGCGTGCTCGACCACGGCCAGGCCCGGGTGCACGCCGCCAAACATTCGCTGGTCCGACGTGACCTTGTTGCCGAAGAGCAGCCGTGCCGCCGGGCCCTCCTTCTCCATCACCGCCACGCACGAGTCGTCGCACGACGTCTCGATGGCCAGCGTCAGCAGTGAGCGCCGGCCACGGGCGGGGGTGCGAGCCGTCATGGCTTGCCTTGTCGTCGCCGTAGCCGTCATGGAGATGCCCGCGGCTGCGAACCGCCACCCGACCCCGCAGCCGTGGCCGAGCAGGGGGCGCGCAGGAACCATGGGGCTCATCTTCAGTTCGGTGCTCCCAGGGTTGGCTTATATGTAAATGTATTCTGCTGCGCTAAGGTCGCGGGATCTCTATTGGCCGCAACGCACTCGCAGCACGAGCGTAGTTGTTATTGTTGCCTGTGCTGCTGAATCTGATGCGTACGCACGCATTGTACATACAAATATTGCCGAAGAATCCGCGATTCGTGTTATCAGAGGCATCCGTAGGTACCTACGTATGCAGGCGCCAGCAAGAGACGGTTGGTTTTGCTGTAGTGCGTTTTTTGCAGGCTTCTCTTGGCCAGGCCGCGAGTGGCAACAGGTCGAGAGCTTGTCCTGGGTCATCAAGGTTCCCGCCCTAGAAAAAAAAGGACCTCTTGATTTGACGGGTGCCGCCAGCTGTCCACAACTGCCAGGACACCAGAAGGGGCTTTATTTTCCCAAGGTATGGTACTTCACATGGGCTTGACAGTTGGTGCTGTTATTTTTTGGAATCATAAGTTTATCATGGTGCAACTTTCTGGAGTTTTTTATTATGCATGCATGCCATGTATCGGTGTATCGAAACAATCAGTAAGAAAAACAAAACAAACGCTGACTATGCTCCATGTCTCAACCAGCTTTCCCCTTTCCAGCCATTTATCATAATCACCGATTTTGCATTCTCTAGCCGCTAAGCGCTACAAAGTTGGTGTATACACACTTGCAGCCGCCACTACCCCCATCTATGCCGCCAAAGCTGGGATTCGGCACCTTCTGGAACGACGGATTGACCAAGTTCCCGTTTACCGTCATATCGTTGGGTAAGATACGGGCGTCACGGACAATGTGATGGTTGTCGTCTATGCTTCGGACAAATGACGTCTTGAGGTGCGGGTCGCCGCCGTGTGTGTCTAGCGTAATGGTGACGGGATACGGCAGCGTGCCCGGCTGCGTGTCGTTGGCGCTCGACGCGACGCCGCCGTTGCCTCCCACGAGCCGCGTCGTGTTGGACCGCCGCGTCCAGATCTCCACTTTGTAGCGTGCTGTCAAAAACGTAACCACGAACTTGGCATCCGACTTGAGCGAGCCGCCATCCTGGTCTGCAGGGTCCTGCGACGAGACCGATTGGTAGTACGTGGTTTTGTTATAGTAGCTGTAAAACCCGTAGTGCTCGGTCGGCAGCCCACGATCGAACAGCCGAAGTGGCTGCTGAGATGGATGTGCAAGGAGCACTGCTGGTGCGCCTGTTCCGTCCCTGTCGAGGACAGGCGGGGGGAGAAAGGACTCAAAATCGGGAATAAAGGTCGAGTTGCTTTTGGTGCTGTTAGAGCTCGAGCTTTGACGACGGCTAATCATGTTGGGGCCTGCTGAGTCGCCAAGGGATTCCAGCACACTGATGAAGAAAGGCGTCGGCTCCCCGGCCTTGTCGTCGGATACAATCCCGTCCGTCGTGTTGCCCAGAAACCAAATATTCTGAAAGTCCGGAGGAGAGGGATCTGGCTTGAACCCAACGTCAAAGGCCGAGCCAGCTCGACGCCTGTCTGTCGGTCGCCTCGATAACGATGCGACACCAACAGCCCCGCCGCGAGCGTCAAGACCGCGAGCTTCCGAGGACGCTGACACCGGAGTCGGATGGGGGGGCTCTTGGCCCGTGACGTTCCAGAGTTGCCGCGTGTTGTTATCGAACTGGATCTGGAAAACAAAGCTTGGCTGGTTTGCATTGAAAGGCGCAGCCGACGAGGCCTCCTCTTTGGGTAGGGAGCAGGTCCAGAGCGTCGGAATTTCAACACAAGCCGAGGTAGAATCAGAGCTGGGGCCGATTACAGTTGCGATGCCCGTGGGGATCGGCGGGAAGTCGGTAAGGTTGAGCCACGGCGATGGTGCAGTATATTCGCCGCCGCGGTGAGACAGTGTCACGCCGAGGACGACGGCCAGAATGATCAACCCGAGTATCCCGGCGCAAACTCCAAACCACACCCGCCTCCGTTTCCTTCCCTCAGGTCCGGGCCTGCCATAACAGCCACTCCCGGGAATACAGCCGCGGCCTTTCCACAGCCCGCCGATCTTCCGCGCAATAGCGTCCTCCTTCTCGTGTCGACGTCGCTGGCGCTCGGCTTTCTGTCTGGGGCCATTGCCAGTCATGCCTTGGAAACGATGGCCAGTTACAAAAGACCCAGGAGCCCTATTGGGTAGCTGAACAGGAGGTGGTGTCAGGGGCACATTGCTGAGGCTAATGGCGCCCTGTGACGTCATTGTCCTTGATAGGCCAGGCGAGACTGGGCCAGGAGAGGGTGGGTACATTGAGTTCAGGGGATGTCCAGGAGGGAACACGGCACGATATCGGATATTGTTCTTCTTCTTCTTTGAAGGCGGCGAGTATGGCGGGGGCACCTCAGAAGAGGCTCTGTTCCCCTCGTCGGGAAGTATCCGTGTCTTCTCTGCTCGAGTCTCAACCATAGCCGGCGATGAGGTGGAACTGGAGGTGGCTACAGAATGAGGGACACTGTGAATAATTATCTTTGGGGGACGGTGAGCCGTTTTTGTAGCCTGGGGAAGTTCACTTGTGTGATTGTCGTGACGTGTAGGTGATGAGTCTTTCTTCTCGTCCATCCCTTTCCACCATTCTGCTGACTCTTCGGCTTGGGGGCTGCCGGGACCTGTGGCTTCGGGTATCACAGGGGTTTTGGGCCCGAACGGTGATGTGACTTGATCCCACCAACCCTGGGATCGAGAGCTTGCCACCGTCGCAGTCCGCTGAAGCCCTCTGGGCGGAGCCTTCTGCCTCGTAGCCACAGGGCTCCCATCTTCCTCGAAGAGGGTGACTGGGGTTTCCATATCACCTTCATCCTCGCTGAGGGAGACTAGCGCCTGACTGACATATCTCTTATTTCCCGGGTTTCTCGAAGCTGGAGTATTGCCATCCAGATCGACAGCTGCAGCCGTCAGTGTTTGGGCGCCTGTAGAACTCTTTGGAACGGGCGGGGCGGTTGACTCGTTGAATCTTCTTGAGAAACCGGCACCAACAGGCCCGCGTGGAGTAAGTCCGTCGTCTGTATCTGGTGTGTCTGGGGACCAGGCGGAGGTCGGATATTTTGGCGAGGAGACCTTAGCCGGCTTGCTGAAGTACATTGGGAAGTCCACCGGCGTTTCCACGACGGCTGTCTCAGGGCTGATGATAACATCCGAGTCGGACGGCATGGCGAACCCGATGACGATGGGGCCGGGAGCGGGTGATAGATCGTCCTGTGTAGAGGCTTCGGCCGCCAGTTGTTCTATCCTCCTGTTCTTGTGGATTTGGCTGGGCTTCTTCTTAAGCCAACCAAAGGCGCTCGTGGATTCTGGCACTTTGCCCCCTTCTAGGGCCTGTAGCGCGGCCGCGTCGACAAATCTCCCAGCTCGTACCTCCCGGATTTGAGGGGCAGGCTTAAACTGTTGCGCAACGTGTTGTTGTTTCAGTTGCTGCTGCTGCTGCTGCTGCTGCTGCTGCTGGCGGAACGTTGTCATGTCCGTTACCACCTTGATGCCCGCTTTTGCATTCTGGGCCTTTTGCCTCTGGCGCGACTTCAGTCGCTTGAGTCTTTGGACGGACGGATGAGAAGACAAGGAAGATGGCTGTGGCTCTGGACGCTTCGATGTCCCACCACTTATCTCAGAACGTGTTCCATGGGTCGGGCTGATAAGAGGTTCATCTCCCGAGCCTGCGAGCGATATAACTTCATCGTCCTCCCAGTCCTCCCAATCCTCTCGATTCCCGTCGAGGGGAGGGCCAGGCGGACCGCGATAACGCGTCCTCGGGGTAGCCATGTTGTGCCAACAGTTGGAAACGGCTAGTGGTAGGATTCAGGTGCTTGCTTTTTCGATGTCAAGGTGAAGCGAATGTAAAGAGTGGGTTTCGTTGTTGAGGAACGTGGCATGGATGCCATTCAGAATGTACGTTTTGCGAAAATAATTGAGGAAGAAATCATGAAGACTGCCACCGCAACCTCAAGGCGGCGATAGTTTGTCAAATGAAACCAAAAATGGTGTGGCCGGCTCAAAGAACAAAGAGCGATTCATCTAGCCAAAAAATAAGGGTCCACTTGGGCACGAGGCCACGATGTCAAAGAAGGACGCGACAATGGGAGCCTATTGAGAACAATAGACGCGGCAAAAAAAGACCGGACGAGATGGGCAGCGCAACTCAAAGGCGAGGGACGGAGAAGGGAAAAAAACTAAAGAATGAAGCGCAGTCAAGGACCATATCGGAGCCAACAATGCCCGGACTCGTCTTTCAGCAGAGACGCTACCTGCCTTGCCTACAAACTACATTACCTAGGTTTCCGTGCATACCTACCCATGGATCCATGGGGAATGGGTATATTCATTCCCGAGAGACGCTGTGCCGTGACTGGCCAGCCTGTCTCGGTCTGCAGCTGCCCTTGTTTTCTGTCGAGCGCCCATCGACAAGGCGGCGCCCTCTTTGTGGACGAAAGGCGCCCATGCTACGAGGGGACGCGAGATTTGGCGCAGTTTGGGTAGGAAATAAGCGCTCACAGGCTCCTTGGTGTTGAGGCATTGGTTGTCGTGAGCCGCCCACTGTGCCGGGCTTGTCGCTAATTGGCTCCTGCTTGTCGCGGCCCTCATCTAAGCGACGGCCAATCGAGCTTTCGTTCCGCTTCAGATTGCAACGCGGACCGCGAGATACGTACGTAGTCAGATGGGCAAGATGGCGAGATTGCCACGTCGTCTCGTGTTCATTGTTACAGAGCTGCAGACTGCAGTTATTCCCGAGTCCTTTGTGAAGACGAGGACGTTGTAAGTCAAGCAACGTGGAGGCGCAATCCATTCCATGTGGAATCGCGGACGGGAAGAACAGAACCTGCCCGGAAGCACGGAACATGCCACTGAGGGGTGGGTGGTGGCCTCAGCCCTGCCTGACAGTTTGCGGGATGTGCGCTGCTGTGGAACCAGCCCAGGCAGCTCCACTCTAAACTGTCCCCGCTCATGAATTCGATTCTATGATGATACCGCCCATGTCTAAAATCAAACTGCCAAACTAGAAGCCGACTCCATCCGGGCGCCTCCATGTTTCGAAGCATACCACACACTACTGGAGGTAGCCCAAGATCCACATGAAGAGCAGCGTGCTTGACAAGCTGGCTGCTTGCTACTTACGGATAGTACGGGGTAATACAGCTTCGTACGGTACAAGAAGGACTCCCGTCTTCGTAAAGTGGGACAGTGAGTTGGCGGGCTAGAGAGAATTCCTCTCCTGGGTTAATAACACCACAGTCCGCCACGAATAGGGATACAAAGCCTTTTTTTCGGCTTTCACGTGCCGCGTTCTGTCTCAACGACAGGTCTCCCTCCAGCCAGTCAAAAGTACAATTCGTATCCGTACCAAGCGTTCTGACACCGTCTGATCATTATTAGTGATGATACATACCAGCCCCATTTCCTGGCCTGACTGTTGGTGACATGAAGGATGCATTACCCCATTCCCGACGATACGAACGATTCTTGACAAGAAACATAGATACGTAAACCCGCCGGCCGCGACCCAACGCCATAGAAGCTGCCAGCTGCCTTCGCTCTCAACTCTCCACGCAAACTGTAGTAGCCCCAAAGGCCGGCTCAGAACCAACAGGTCCTTCCTGGCTTGGCTGCCAAGGATGCCGAGAAGGCAACGCCTTTTGCCAAGACGCCAGGCTCTTCTGATCATGCACAGAACGCCATCTTCAACGACGGGTGTCATCAACATCACTCGAATCTTTCTCAGCCAGCAAACTTCTCACGACTGGTTATGCCTTGTGAGAAGCCGCCTTTTTCCCCCGTGCCGGTGGATTGTTTGATGTTCGGGGTGATCGAGTCAACTAGGTACCTACCTATGGGATAACCCAAACAAGAAATCACAGACGTACCAAGGCCGCGCTCTGGCTTCCACAACCGCATGAACTGGTACCAACATAAACTGCCAGACACAAAAAGGCCACGCTGGGATGCCATGACAGAGAGAAAACTCCTAAACAGCCCGACAGTCTATTAATTAATTCCCCGGCCAGTATTACAGACTAACTAAGGCAAGCAAAATGCGTACACGCTAATCGAATTCTAACAAAACCACCGCCCGTCTTACCATTGACAAGTCCCGTCCCGTCATCACATCTGGCATCGACGGACACGTATAGCCCTGTAACGCAGCACTTGGCTGGATTCACAATGGCTGTGAGCCCGGGCCGATCTTGGGCTAAGGAGGAATGTTGACGGGGTGGCGTGGTGTAAAACAACAAACAGGAGGTGCCCGAGCGGTGTTTTTCCAGGCCAGCTGCCAATGCGAAGCGCTTAACGATCATTGGCGGGGCCAGAACAGAGCCGGCACATATTAAAAATCGCAGGAGCAGCATTTTCCGGAGAAGCATTTTCCGACGGAGGAGAAGCAGTCGGTGATGACGGAGCTGCAGCTTTTGAAGCAGGCACAGGGATTGACGGAAAGTTTTATGTCATCACCACCGCGCATGTTAACTTCGTCCGTTGGAGGTTGTTCGGATTTCTACACAAGACACGAGTCAGCTTTTGCCTTTATTAAGAATCAGAAGGGAAGTAGCCGGTATTGGCAGATGTTGTGAGATGATGAATAGGCACCTTGGTCTGTTGGGGCTTGGAGAGGATTGGCTGGCCGTAACACTCACAAACTGCTTCATGACAACGCCATTGGTCACCTCCATAGGTTCCTGCTGCCGGGGCTGGGGAGAGTCCATGGCAGGCATGCTAATAACTTTCCCTAGAAGCTTGGGTACCGAAGGCCTGATTTTGGCGGAAAGTGTTGGCTGAGAGTGGTGTGCGAGCTGAGGTACCGTGGCCTTGGTTGTGAGGAACAGCAGTTCTGGGCCGGAAGAAGAATAGGTACTCGGTAGGAAGAGGAATGTCTAAGTAAAAACTCGAGGTGGCGTTGTCCGGCTCTCTTTATCTCTTGCCCTACCTCGAAACTGAAATAAGGCACAGAAGCCAGCATCTCTTGGCGTGTGGGCTTTTTGACTGCCAAGTCAGTGCACGGGAAGATTCCAGATAGCTAGGTCTCGGTTGGTGTGAAGCGGTGGTCTACGCCGCTTGGTAGGGCGAGGTGGGAGGGGTTGTGAGGCTGGCAGGGCCGCAAGTCGTCGGCCGCCGCCCCAGGCCTCACTGCCAAGTGGTGGGTGGAGGTGAAACATTCCAGTACCGTACCTAGGTACACGAAGCTGCTCTAAGACGCTTTTGTTTTGGGGGCAGGGCGACAAGCGGTAAACATGGGTGGGCTCTTGAAGTTTCTAGCACAACTATAGCTTTTTCAACTGCCGGTTTGGAAACCGGAAGCAGACCCGGTTGCAAGTAGGTACCGGCGGTTGGCTACTTACCTACCGTGCCGTGGTGTTGTGAGGGTGGGCCCTAGCTTCGGAAGCACTGCTGTTACACGAAACATCAAACTCACACTCAAAGACAAATCGGGGTGAGGCGTCGTGGCGAGCGCCGCCATCACCAGTAATCACAGAGCCAACAAGGTGATGTCGATCCACTTTTATCTTCGCATGTGCGCCAATGTAGGCTTAAAATGCCGACCGCCTGTGTAGCTCGGTTTTATTTCCAAAAGAATTAACGTTCTTAGCTGCGTGCCTGAGACATAACGTTAAGGCACGGCAGGCATTCGAACAAGGCGCAAGCGGCCGTCAAATGGCCAGTGAAACTACACTAGCCTTCACCTGGTATTTTATTTGCTCTTGGTTACGGTATATACGAGTATTAGCCGATCCAACGAGGGGGGGATGTCCCAAAGGGAACCAGTGAAGTTCCAGATGCACGTGACACAAAAGTCTTACCAACCCAATGTGCCCCATCTGTGATCTTCGCCGCAGTTGGGCGTGTAGCTGTTGTTGGTGTGGAGGCCCCTCGGATTGAGGTTTCAGCCCCGTCCACCAATTCAACCGAGACCAGAAAACCGGGATCGGCCCGCCTCTATTAACACCACTTCCCGTACCGAGTCGGCAACTAGGAAAGAGAAAATACCGGTAACCAGGAACTTGGTTCAAGCAACTGTCCGATCCGTATATACGAACAAACGGACTTGATTCGCATTAGTACTGAATACACACACAATGTAGTCAGATTGAGGTAAATCTTACAATTGCTTGACGTCTTACTCGACTGTGGGTTACACGATATTCGTCAGGGCAACACAAGCGACCTAACCGGCAAGGAGTCTGCTGACCAAGGAGCAGCAGGTTCCTTGGTCAGGGTGTTTCAGTAACTCTGACGAGTAAATATCATCTCAGAATAATGTACTGAGGTCTTGGGGCGAGGTTGTGATCACCTCGAGAGTGATTCCTCGAGACGCCAGAATTATCACCGAGGATAGTGCGGACAAAATTGCTTACTGAGACGGTCTCCAGAAAGTGTCGTTCAATTTTCACTATCGCGTATTCCGTCTTCTTTTGGCTTACGAATCCAATCTTAACAGCGAGCGGTAGGAAAAGCTCGCAATGAGAAACCGAGCTGGTATCGAAAGATAATTTCGTACACGAGACGTAATGTTCTGACTTGTGATGCGAGCAGTTTGCAGTCTTCTGTATAATTAAAAAGGCAGAATAAATCGTACCAAGTATGTACAACCCGAGCTGCCATTCCTTGTATGGAATAGCACGCTTGCTCGTTGATCGGGATCGCTAGGCACCAACCACCCTTGACTGTAGAGTAGCAGATCTCAGCAGATCTTACTTCCAGTCATGTAAAGTTGTAACTGAGCGGATGGAAGAGGCGAATATGGCCATTAAAATAGTCCCGTCTTCACGTCAAACATGAGTAGATATAATGCCCCATCCAAGAGGCAATCCGAACGACGGGCAAAAGAAGCCACCGTGGTTTCACCTTGTCGCGATCCCGCAAGATTGTGGCCGTTTTAAAAAGGGTTGGATTGTGCATCGTTGGACACCCCTGAGTAGGATTGGTATCTGGATGGGCACAAGGTTCCATGTATCCCCTCCTCTATAGATGTGGGGGGTGACTACGGACCAGATTTGAGGTTGCAGCTGAGCCGCGGTATTCCACACATCACAGTAGTACGTATCCTTGCTAATTACCTCAGGTTGAAAAGATTAGTTGCGCGGCCAGTCATTAACCCAGGCCAAGGCAATTTGGTAAAATACGGCAGGTCAACGTGAAAAGGAGCAGGAAAAACCGATGCGGCCTGGAAACGGTCTATCAATCCCCCTGAATTACTTTCCGCCGTGTATCCACTCCGAGTCACACAGCACACACAGCACAGTACCTAGCTTGCATCCGTCCTTCCGCATCAGTCTGGCAAACACCAGAGCAAACCACCAGGTGCTGGTTAGCCGCATTTTAATTGGCATTTCATCTTGGTCGCATGCCACTGCACTGCATTGGCCTCGAGCACTCTCCCTGGTCCGTCGTCCACTTTGGCTGGTCGCATTGCGTGCGGGACGAGGGAGCAGCGAGAAAGTGCACGTCGACAGCTTTAAAGCCACGAGGCGGCGCAAAAAAAAGGCAACCTTATTAGCTTCTTTCCGGCCACCGGCACCTGCACTGAGCCACCGACTGCTGCTCTGCGCTGCACCGCACCGCACCGCTTGGCCGTACACTAGCCTTTCAGCCTCTCCCCGATCTGCGCGACACGACACGCGCATCCAATCCGATTCCAGTGTCGGACCTGGTGGCGACCCATCAGTTTGCTGGCCCGACGTGGGGAAACCCAACCTGGCGTTCTTCAAGTTTGGCGGCACGTCGTCGTCGTCGAACGACGGACCGGCTCGATCGCCCTCACACAATCGAAAACGATCGTCGGCCGCTCCCCCCACGCCGCTCCGATTGGGCGATCGTGACTGGTCGTCGGAACATCTGGGGGTTCAGCCCCATTACCACCCGTCTCGTCTTTCGCCTATTCCGGGTACGTGTCCTCCCCCAGCTCCTTGTTCCCGGCTGGTAGGCAATAGCCGTGCCTTATGGCCGGAGGCGGCGGTACCTATTTAGCGCCAAGTGTTGCACAAGACGAATTGGCTGTGCAGCCCTGTACTGCGCTGCGCTGCGCTTTGCTTCGCTTTGATGTCCTGTACTCTGCTGACTTACCGACTGGGCCTCGTGTGTGTTCCAGGCACCCCCAGCTCCCCAATGTCTCTCTCGCGCAGCCCCTCTCCCGTCCCCGGCGGCGGGTGGGCAAGCCCTGGGCTCAACATCAGCGCAAGCGGCCGATCGAGTCCGACGAGGGGCTACTCGGGCTCCAGCGGCACACCCGTCATGTGGGAGTCGGCGAGGTTAAAGACCGGATACCCATCCTTTTCGACACAAAACCCTAGCTTCCTCACGCGACACATGTGCCGCATCTCGAGTAGCTTGTCGCGCTTCAGTGCTATAAACCCCCACACCGACAAAGAGAAGCCTGCCCGTGGTCGGTGGTCGATCCAGAGAGTGCCCCTGGTTGGACGACTAAGGGGTATGATGGGGCGTCTGGGCAAGAAGATGAAGATAAGGCTGCTCATCTTGCTGCTGTTGCTGCTGTCGATTATCGTATTTTACCAAACACGTAAGCTCCGAGCTCCACGTCTGTCTCTGGATGGAGAAGTCTGACCTCGTGCATAGCTCTTATATACCGTTGGCGGAGAACTTCATGGCTTGGCGGAGGACAAAAGTTCGTCATAATTTTGGCAGCCAACGTGGGCGGCGGGGTGACGGAGTGGAAGGGCGCGCGCGAGTGGGCTATCGAACGAGACTCGGTGCGGAATAAGAAGAAATACGTGGGCCGCTGGGGGTACGAGCTCGAGGTCGTCGATATGAGCACCAAGAAGCGGTATGCCCACGAATGGAGGGAGAGTTGGGAAAAGGTCGATTTCATTCGCACAAGCCTGAGGAAATATCCCAAGGCCGAGTGGTACGTGGTCAATCCTACTAACGTCCGTGTTATCTCCCCTTCTGACTTATCTGACTTGGCTCTCTAGGATCTGGTGGCTTGACCTCAACACGTTCATCATGGAGCCTTCCTACTCGCTCCAGAGCCATATTTTCGACCGACTCGAGAAGCACGTCTACCGCGACATCAACGAATACAACCCCTTGAACATATCACACCCCCTGACCGAAAGCTACCTAGATGCCGAGTCGCAGAGCCCCATTGGAGACGGAAACGCCAATTCGGTGAACCTGATCCTTCCCCAAGACTGTTCAGGTTTCAACCTCGGATCCTTTTTCGTGCGTCGGAGTGCCTGGACCGACCGGCTGCTGGATGTGTGGTGGGATCCGGTATCATATGAGCAGAAGCACATGGAGTGGGAGCACAAGGAGCAAGATGCCTTGGAGCAGCTGTACATCTCGCAACCGTGGATACGGAAGCACACAGCCTTCCTCCCTCAGCGCATGATCAATAGCTTCCCGCCCGGAGCATGCTCGGAGAATGGTAACGACACCCGGATACACTACGATCAGCGCGACCGGGACTTCCTCGTGAACATGGCAGGTTGCGAATGGGGCCGCGACTGCTGGGGAGAGATGTACAACTACCGGGAGCTCAGCTATTACCTGAACCGGATGTTGTGGGAGCGCTTCAAGGAGGATTTTGTAGCCGTGATCTGGTACAAGTTGACAGGCCAGAAAGTGAAGCTATAGAGGCACTCGTCCCCATCGGAAGCAGAGTATGATACCCACGACGTTTTTTATTCACCTACATGGGGCGGCGTCGACAAGATGCCGCTCTTTAGCGCAGTGCGCCACAAGCGATCCAGATTCAAGATTATCTACCTAATGGCAACGTCACATTCGAATCAAAGGACTTGCAGTCATCGCCGTATGCTTTGTGCCACCACAGAGTCAACAGTATTCGAGTATTTCAAGGGTCTTCTTGATATACACATCTAAGACCCTTTCAAGGGCCCGTTCAGAAATATTCGAGGGTCCTTGCTGTACTCGAATAATATCTGCTGCGGAGTGTTGAACATGCATAGTCGATTTGTTGGAGTCACGGGCAGAATGTAGGGGAAAGGTTAAGGCTTCAGACATGGAAATGTATTTTTATCGGAGTAAAACATTTCCAATATAAGTCCAGAGCGGAGGCAAGGGATCGCCGTCCTGCTTATATGCGCAACGCATCACTGTTTTGACGAAGGACTGAAACAAAAGGAGAAACATATGAGAGCTGACATAGTTTCTGTTGTAAGGTGTTACTAAAGATCTACGATGGCGTTGGTAGCAAAGGAGTGTAAGACGAGCTGAAGGTTGATATCAAGGCAGATATCGCAGTGAGTCAGTATGAAACATTTTATGGACCCTTTTGGTCATGTTTCTGGATGTACCTAATCACAAACATCGCGAGTAATATACCTACCAGAGGTCATTGCAAAGTAAATAAAGATCCGCGCAAAGACCAAGGAGATGTGGCCACACAAAATTTGAGCCCTTGTCTAAGTAATCTACCTTCCGGACCGATTGCTCGGAGAAGGCGAATGCGCTTGAGCTGGGGCGATAGATAAACAGATGTGAAACGAAACATGAGAGAGGGAACATGACTCGTTGCCGTCTCGTGGTCAATGACGAGTCGGCTGAAAGGTGGGTGGGTGAGTCTAGATCATTATGATCATTGAGTGAGCCGGAGGGTATCCCATGACAATTTACGTGCAAATACTCGGCGCCGTTGATCTTGGTAGTTGGGCAGTGAGATATTGGGCCCGTTGAGTGTGTCTGGGTGGGTAGATATCAAGAAACCGGGGTTTCGGGGGGCCTAGTTCACGAATTAGTTAGGAGAATGTAAACATTAAGTAAATAAGGCAGATAGCACCATTCTCCAAGGCGCAGCAGACTCGATAGAAGCTAGCTCGAGACATATAAAATTTATATGTATCGTGATGTGTGATACAGATGCACAAATGTATTGGCCGTACCGCGCCGTGACAGACGTTACGGACATAACGCAAGGGAATTAAGATGGATGAATGGGCAGGTCCTGGGTATGGGCTAAATTAGATGCAGGTTCATCTGAGGCCAGTCGTGAAATATCGAGCTCGATGTGAACCCTCCGGCCGAACAAGAACTTCAACAAGCAAGTCCATCAAGAGTGAAGTTGAAGCCAAAGTCAAGGCTGCCCGCCAAAGTGGACATGTGTTCCACATTCCCCACACACATGCGCCCCTGCAAGGGGAGTCTTGGCCCAGATGAGCCCCACATCAGATGCCGGGAGTGAGTTTGTGGCGGGTGGCCAGGCGGCAGATGATTGGCCCTTACTTCCTCATTCTCTTTTGGGCGGCGTCACAGGTGCTGGGCCCTTTCAACCCCACATCTCTCTGGAGCAAATCGTTTACCGCAGCTCATCGACGTGCCAAACTATGGGACAGTGAGCCACCGGCTCGGGACATCCAGCGAAGGCGATCCACACTCTGGCACAGATATTCTGCCCGAGGCCGCGCCTTCCACTGACCGCCCCGAAACTGGTATTCTCCGTGCTGGCTGGTGGTCGTACCTTGCATTCATTGGTTTCGCCGCCAAAAAGTTTGGCTGACAAGAAACTAACTACCTTCCGTACCTACAGTGGACGGGACGTTTCTGCATGGAAATTCTTGCCAGCCTTGCCAGCTTGGCGCCAGCGTGTTTCGTTTCTCGTGTTTCTTCCCTTCCCCTGCCGCGCGTTGCTGCAATACCATGAACCTTCCCATGTCTCGCCGCTGTCTAGATTGTTCTATCTACTTCACGGGTGCGCATCTCAACGAGGCTGCGCGCGCCAGCCAATCTAGCTGAATCTTAATATCGAAGCCATGGAGCTAGTGTCCATTGCCCCGGTACGACGGCCGAACTGACTCTGTTCCGTCTTCTGCGGCCGGGATGCACGTCTTGGGTGTGCGGGCTGAATAATGTCGGCCTCGACCCCACAAGGGGTCGCAGGAGAATCGCATCGCCTTGATTCATTGGGTCTGTGGTGGTGTGGTGGTCTTGACACCTGAGACTACGATGTAGGAAGGTAGCCGCATCTCAGCCGGGAAATGCATGCGCATGCACATCTCAACCCCCGGGATGCTATTTTAACAAGCCCATCCCCATACCCCCAGTGGCGGTAGTTTGGGCCCCGATCTCTGTATATCCTCGCCCACCGGCCCGGTCCTTCCCTGCCATTTTCTTCCCCATTACTGGCTCGGCCGTCTCTCTTTACGCGGCCCTGGCCATATGGTGGTTCACAAGTCGTCAGCCGAGGTTACTCGTTGAGTTACCTTCGTCCGAAGACTTCACTTTGTTCAGATCACTCTCTATTGTTCTATTGCCGAAGGAAGCAGGGCTTTGTTGGCTACCCTGTCTTTTAACTTTTTTTCTGTGCTGGGGATTGTTGTTTCATCTCTTTGTTCCTATTGTTCACATCGTTCGCATTGATACCTTTTCTATTGTCCCATTGTTCCGAGTGGCCGTCTCTAGGCTTGAGGTTGCGCCGGTCGCTCCCCCAGACCTCCTTTTATACGCTCTCACTCCCAACCTTGCTCGCCACTGCAGTGCTTAAGATATCTTGTTTCTTTTTTTCCCTCCAATTCACTCCTTAACTCCTCCGAGGCTACATCTCCAAAGCACAATCTTGTCTCTCCCTGACCATCGTTCCTTGTCGATACTGAAACGCAAAGTATCAAGAAAGAGTCAAATACCCGCCACTCAAGCGCAAAATGTTGTTCCCGGAAACGGTATTCCGAGTTGGCACTGCGGCTCTTGCGGCCGGCGTTGTGGCCGAAGCCGCCTCGGACTATGCCCTTGTCGATGTATTCGACAAGAGCAACTTCTTCAAGGAGTTCGAGTTCTTCGACGAATCTGATCCCACCAACGGCTTCGTCAAGTATGTGGATGCTCGGACAGCCAACGATGACAGCCTTGCCGGCTACTACCAGGACTCCGTATATCTCGGAGTCGACCACACCAAGGCGACGACTACCGGACGCGAGTCCGTCCGCGTCGAGTCCAAAAAGTCATACACCCAGGGCCTCTTCGTCGCCGATATCAGCCACATGCCTGCTGGCGTTTCTGACGCCGGCTCCTGCGGACTCTGGCCCGCTTTTTGGATGTTCGGGCCCGACTGGCCGAATTCGGGCGAGATTGATATTCTTGAAGGCGTGAACACGCAGTCATCTAATGCCATCACGCTGCACACAGCCCCAGGCTGCCACATGACCAACACTGGTTCCTTGGCCACCACAAAACTCCTCAGGACCGACTGCAACGGGCAGGAAGGCTGCAGTCAAAACACACAAGCCACCAACAACTATGGTGCCGGCTTCAACGCCGCTGGTGGCGGTGTGTATGTCGTCGAGTGGACTAGCACTGCAATCAGTCTGTGGTTCTTTGGCCGCAACAGCTCCATCGCCTCGGAACTCGCCAACAACAACAGCCAGGAGGCACCCGATACCTCCGAGTTTGGCCAGCCGCTGGCCGTCTTCGTGGGCGGCGCTTCCGGCTCCGGCTGCGACATCGACTCGCACTTCCAAAACCACAGCCTCGTCTTCGACACCACCTTTTGCGGCGACTGGGCCGGCAAAGTCTGGGCCCAGGACGACACGTGCTCGGCCCTTGCCCCCAGCTGCAGCGCCTACGTCGGCTCCAGCCCCAGCGCCTTCGCCAATGCTTACTGGCTTGTCAAGTCGATTAAGGTTTACCAGAAGCCCGCAGGCGCTAACGAGAAACGGTCCGATACACGCCTCCCGCTGCCCTTCATCGCCTAGATGGCCCAGAGCCTTGGGTCTGGGCGGGACTTCCATCTTGTTTACAGCTTTCCCCTTCTTCTTTTCGATATAGACTTATAAACACCTTTTTTTCTTTTTGGGTAGGACTAGTAGGGCGATTTGTTTACTTTCCCGTGGATTGTGGAAGCGAGTTTATTTGGCGTTTAGGGGCGGATGAGGGACGAAAAGCATGCAGACAAAACACTTTCGCACACGCACGTATCATCCGCCGACGGAACTCGAATTTTTCTTTTAATATCTCTTGGATGTACCCTGTGACGTGGTGGTTTAACACCGCAGCTGGCTTTTTATTCTCGCTCTTCTTCTTTTTGGCAGGACGCATCTCGCACAGTTCATTAGATTCTGTGTATATATTTATCTATAAAAACCAACATCTTCCGCCTTCAGCTCCGTCCTTGTTGCGTGGCCCGCGAATATCCAACACATTTACAGGCACGGGCGCGAAAGTCTCGAAATTAGGTTACCTAGTGCCATCAAATGCCAAGTATGCTTTCACGCTTGCTGCCGGGCTTGGGAGATTTGTTCCCGCCGATTTCTGATCTCAGACTCCATTTTCACGTTTGAGTCTGCAGCAAATACGTGCCGCGTATTGAGCACATCAACCGTAGTCAAAGATGGATTCTGGTTATGGGCCTAGGGGATAGATATATTGCCAGCTCGAGGTGTTGGGTTGGAAATACTCAAAGATCTGCCAGTGCACCGAGATGAAGCCAAGCTCTCTCTTGTCTCGTAAAACAACCATCTGCCCTTCACATGGCTGCTGTTTTGGCAAGAGCCTTTTTAAATTCATCCCATGAGAGTTTGGCAGATATGTTGATGTGGTGCTGGTTACTTGGCCTCCGTGTCTCCTTTCTCGTGTATATATACTCGGGGAGGCTAGCGGCCAGCGACTCCTGAATATGTCTTGACAGACCGGGGTTATCGATGCTATCAATGAATTTCCAGATAAAACCCACCTCCGAAATTGGCTTGCTGTTCTTGTATTCTTGGTTAAAAGAGCGGTAGAGTCTTCTGAAGTCGCGGCTGCTATAGGAATGCAGGGTCCGTTTTGGGCGATCTTGAGGTGAATCTTCAATCTTGCGCTTGCGGCCTTCAGCCAAGCGATCCGTGCCGCTATACTCTACTTGGCCTTTGTCCTTGACAACAATCTGGCGCTCTTTCTGCAACGGAACTTCCCTAGTGTCTGGTTTAAGTGATCAGAATTGGTATCTTCGCTTCGACGCAGAGTGTGTACTTACCAGGTTGGGTCGCACACATCTCAGCTGCCTCGGCTTCATGGTAGTCCAGTAATTTCATCAGTTTCTCGCTCCGAAGGAATATCTTGTTGATAAAGCTGACGGTCTCCGGCGGGATCTCCTGGCGAGACGCATCCATGCTATCTAATTTGCGGTCCAAAACGGATATCCTTTGCTCCATCAGCAGCTTCTCTGCCCTCAGTTGCACCATTTCAGCCTCCACGAGGCTTAAATTGCTGATAATGGACCGATTTTGCCCTCGAATGGCTTCGATGCTCTGCAGGGTACTCTCCTGTATCCTCACGAGGTCTTGCTGGAGATCGGTGAGTTTTTTGGCAAGTTCGGAAAACGTTTTAGTCGCCTCCTCCTTATCTTGGTCAACTTCCTGCTTTAATAGTGGAAGACTGCATCGAAGAGGCTTTAGCTCGTTGACCTCGAAGGTAATTTGCTCTGACCTCGCCTTCGACTCATCGAAAGCGGCCGTGACAAGTTGCTGGTTGCGTGCAAGGTCGTTTTGCAATGAGTTGATCAAGGCGTTGACCTGTTTGGTATGTCCATCAACGGCCCCTTTCAGAAGTGTCACTTCTCGGCTGTTGTGCTGGGCAACCAGATAGCTGGCCCAGCTGTTGCTCAGTGAATGATATAACCCCTCGGGGTTTGTTGACGCTGGACGAGTTTCCATCGAAGACTGCGACGACAGGGATGGGTAGCTATGCGAAGCTTCAGACTCTAGAAGCTAGTCATTCACTGACAAATTAGAAGACGGAGACGACATGTAGAATATCTGTTGGCGGGCACTGGTGCTGTCAATCTGCTTAATTCGGTCTTGTCGTGGACATGTCAGAGATGGAACTGCCTGCTTCATGGCCAAACCGATCGAACCCCTCAACGGTAAAAATTTAGTCGTGGACTTGTGTGCGATCTTGCCCGAAACCGAAATCGGTATTGGGAAGGCACAGCCTGAGAACCTCCTTCCCCCATGGTGATAGAATTGGATCCCCAACCCAGGCAGGCGTCGATGAACAACCAATGATCCCGCTCCTTCCCTGTAGACTGAGGAACTGGAAGTCCTTACTTCGAGCTGGCGCTAGCAGTATTCTTCCTACAATACACCTGATGACATATTCGAGACGTCCCGGTGTGGTCCAACCTTTGGAGATGTGGCCCGCGCCAGAAACTGGGCAATGTCGTCGATCTCGTCAGGTATTTTGAGAAAGTGACCCTCTTGCTCAGCTCCTGAATAATCTCTCTACTCCACATTGAATCCAGCCTGGACGAGTACTTGCTTGGCCTGCTGCCCAAGTTCAATGTCGACGTAGGCATCGTCAGTACCGTGGCCTAGGAACACTGGCGTCGATAATAGGGGCCTGCAGCCCTGCAGCGATGGAACTAAGGGCAGTTTCCAGGCGGCCATCATACCCTCTACAAACACGTCCGACTCTGTTCCCTTCCACCCAGGCTTTCGGGTTTGGCCCCGAACAACGAAATCCTCAATAGTCGAGGCAAATGGGAGCCAGCTGCTGGCCCCTACAAATGCGCCAAGCTGCCTGTTGGGGTTACCTCGATACATCAACGTCCACATGCCGATCGCAGCTCCCTGGCTGATGCCTCCAAGCACGAGGTTTTCGGATCTGCCGTGGAGCATTTCGGACTCCCTCTCCAGGATGGTCCCTATATAGGCCACCGACTTCTTGATCCCATCCATCTGCAGATCCTGCCTTGCATTTGAATGTGCCAAAGAGTACGCCTCGAGCCAGGAAGGCATTTGTTCTTTGAAGAGGTCGCTCCAGCTAGTTTTCGAGGACGGAAACACCCACCAACCTGGAAACATCAGCGGTAGTGTCATGTTGCCGGTTGTGGCTGCCTCAAGGAACTCCTCGGCGAACTCTTCGCCAGTGCTTCCTCGTCCATGCAGGACAACAGAAGTATGCGTGTGCCGGGCCGTGGGCTTGTGGACGTAGACTGAGCCAAAGGCGTCGCCCGGGGAAGGCGCTAAAGCATCCTTCTTGTCCATTTATTGTGGATGTATTTCGACTAGCTACGGCTTCTGAGCTATAGTACAGTTTACTTGAGTGGTAATAGCATGGATGGCACGTAGGCTTTCAGAAACGCACACGTAGGACTGCGAGCCGGGGCAGTCTTCGACGAGGTGTCTGCCCCTGACGGCAATGAGGAAAGCAGTGAGATTTCTGGGTCTTGACTACTAGGCAGGTAGGTAGGTACCTAGGTACCTTGAGTAATGACGAGGCGACTACGGAATAACACTACCGTATTAACTCCCGAACGAGCAAGATGTCGGTGGGTCACGATAATGGAGAAAGCCTTTTCAAACAAAATCATGATCGATCTACAAAATACCCATAACCTTAAAGCCCGATGACTCCTTGTATATCGCACCTTCTTTCTACTACACCTCCACCGGGGAAATACATGTTAGCTTGGTACACCAACTACTAGTATCTTTCAGGGAAATCTCGCTAATCACTAACTTTGCCACCTTCCCACGCTAACATGTATTACCCCTGAGGAGGTGTACTGTTTGCCGTACCCAATCGTGACGTGATCAGCTTCGCAGTGGGGCCAATTCCAAGACCGAGCTGTTCCGATGGAGAGAGGATGGGGAAATTGCGTAGGACTGTGGAGCCTTCTTTCTGCTAGATCTGATTGGCCAACGAAGGACAGTCTTAACTCCACCTTAAGGCTCTCTTGCTGCTAGCTCGAGGCAGCAGCCCTTGGCGGTGAACCAGGAAACAGCTCTCAGCTCCCCTCTCCCACTTTTACATCGCCCCAGTGACCTCCATTTGATATCATCTTCCTCAACTACTTCAACTCCATTCAAATAACATATCCTCGCACCTCAGCACATTTCGTATCTCGCCTCGCTGCATTGTTTTTAATAGCTGGTCCTATGGTCTCGTACCACCTCGGAGATCGCCCAGCACGGGTGCGACTCCTCAGAAGTAGTACCGAGCCCGCGAAGATGCAAGGCACCTGCGACGGCCCGGGCGGCGCCTGAGAGGAGAGATTCCGGCGGCGGAGGCCGCTCGTTGAAACCTTTCACCAACCTTCTCTCTCCGTACTTCTGCCGCAAGATCCATCTATGACACAGTCGCCTTGCCTGTCATATTACGGCCTCGTTTTCAATCGCCAAAATGTCTCTCAAAGCCGCCAACAAGAAGCACACGTCCCAGGCATGCCCGAGGCCTATGTTTCTCGCGTATTGAGGTCCGATTCTACCTGCGTCCTGCTTGCCTGCCCACTTTGCTGACATTGGCCGCCCTCTAGTAACACCCATCCTTTGCAATTGCCGCGGGCCATCGCTGGCATTCCCAAGCTGTGGATGCTATATGACGAGTCTGTGACGGAGCTTAGCCAGGCCGCCAGAGGCTCTTCGGCGCTTGGTTGCAACATGCTCGACAGCCGAGGAGCTCCACGACCCCACGCTTCGGGCGTTGGCTACTATTTCGCTCCCACTTATGCTTGGGCGGGCCGTTTTACGACCCGACCTCGTCCTGGGCAGGACGGAAAAAGGCCCATGGGTTGACCGGCGTACTCGGACGTGTCAACGGTGAATATGGTGTGAAAGTGGCATGCGTTACGAACCGCAAACGATTATATGGCTGCATCATAGAGAGGTTTATGGAACCAGTGTTTCGGTGAGTTCGCTACGTGCACGTCGCTCTTTCCGCAATGGGTGCTGACACTGTTCAGCGTTTCTCGCCTAGATGTTGCTCTTCCAGGGGCGTTCAGGCACTGGGACTTTAGAAGCCACACGAATTACGACTGCTGTGCGATGGAGAAGAACGAATCATCAGCTCCACATGAATCTCTGGTCAACCATTACGTGGTCGTCCGTGTTCATCTTTCTCCACGTTGAACAACAGTCTGGTTTGATCCCGCTTTGGGACATTTGTTTAGCCTCGGTAATATCTATCTCGACACTGTATTTGCAAATTCGGTCTTCAAAACGGCTTGACCAGTAGGTCAATTGTCCGCTGTTCGATTTTGGTGGCTATCTTGGCAGTAATGTGCGTATCCCTTGCCTCGTATAATCACGGGTTATCTTGACTAACTCGTTTGGAAGAGGGGAGGCAGTGCTGCCCCGAGCCTCGTCCTAGGCACGACGTTAAAAGGCCTCTGCCGACTGACTGTCTCTAGCTTCCACGCTAGACTATCAGCAGCTTTCACGCTAGATTTCGGTCGGGTAGTGACCACGACCACAGCTGAATAACCGACTGACGGTCACTAGATTACCCTAGATGCCAGTCGGTGATATTGTGTGATTAACTAGTGTTGGACTCACCCACACCCACGGCATTGGAATACCCCATAACCACGGTGAACGAGTCCCCGACCCAATTGAGTTGCCTCTGCCGTTGGCTCTACAGGGTTGATCTTGGATAAATCAGCGGTACCCAATTTCACTGGTGAGCCCGCCGGAAAACTTTTTTTTTTTAAAAAAAAAAAAAAAAAAAAAAAAGGAAAGAAAAAGTTGCACCTGCTTTTGGTCTCTTTTATTTTGAAGTTTAGAGTTTTTGAGCTGAGCTTCCGTTGGTTTTTCCGGGTCAGGTTTTTATAATCAAGCATAGACAATTGGGTTTATGTCGTTGAGGTAGACTGGGATGAAAATACTTTGCCATCTCGTATTTACGAGAAGGCCTCAGAATTATTCGACCTGGGCTGCCAGTCCATATTAGGCGGGATCTTCTCTGAAGGAGATAAGCGCGATAGTAGGGTGAGGTGCCTAGAGCCCCCTCAAGTCTTTGACTGCGACAGCAGCAATGCTGTAGCACGGAACTCGAGGTTACGCCATTGAGGGGGCGCGCGCGGCAGAGACCCTTGCTCCGGAGCCAGCGTCTCGGACTCGGCCGGTACGTCATGATCAAATCTCCGCTTTGTTGATATGGCGTACTGACGAACCATAGAGGAGGATCCGGGGGTATTACGACTTGCCAGGAAGCGTCAAACAGGTCGCGCCCGGCTTGTATCTTACTCCCAAACGCCTGATGAGGGGTTGCCTGTGAGCAACAAAGGCTTGGCTGGTCGCGTCTCCAAGGGGACAGTTACGCTACTGGTCGTGCTGATTCCTCGGGCCTTGCCTGTATCCGGCCCTCAACCACGTTCTCAGCTCACCAATGTGTCGACAATGGGGGTCTTCGGGGGTGGGTTTGTGTTCTCGAGGGAATGATGCCTGTTGATTTCCTTCCTGTACATAGCAGACAGAACATTCTCGAATCCAAGCCGACATTGGCCTCCGCATCCAGGCCCATTTGCGATTGTAGAGGACGTGAAGGTGACCTTTTTGCCTGTGTAAGTAAATGATCAGACCACAGGCCGTGCTTCTACCTCTGGGCATGCTTGAGGATACCTTATGTATTATCATAATGCATTGGGAGCGGGGGAGCCAGACTCGTCACCCCACCTCTCCGCATTTGCTTGCTCCCCACGATACGACACGACCGGGCCGACAAGCGGCTCCCCCAGGGTTGCGGGTCAATAGTTTTGCCTGGCTGGGTGAAAACGAAACAAGCTGGACCCCGGCTGCACTTCTGATGGCCGGCAAGGGCGTGGACCGTGTACTTCACCTACCTTACCTTCCCCCCTGATAGGACGCCCAGCTAAGATGGCTGCCTTTGTCCCGTGTCTGACCCTTTCTTTCCTCGTCCTTCCTCCCTTACCCGCCTAGCAACCCCGAGAAACTCAAGAAGCCAATATGGCCGGCGCGGAGACGGAGACGGCCCAGCCAGCAGACGGCGCCGAGTACCGCCAGTACCTGCCCGACCTGACCACGCCGCGCTTCACGGCCATGCAGAAGCAGGACGCCCACGAGTACGCCGAGGAATTCATAAATGGCGGCAGGCCGCCGTGGCTGCATGCCCTGTACCTGCACTGGCGCAACCTGTTCCAGGAGCCCTTCAAGGGCGTCACCAACGACGGTGCGTCTTTCCCCTTGCCGGTGGGTGGTTTTGGTCTTTACTGACACGGTGCTCGCTCAGGCCATGTGCGTCCCGGCCTGTTCACGCTGCAGGACGAGGGCATGCCCATCGACGACATCGTGGCGGCGGCGCGCGCGCTATTTAGCAAGCTGTCGGCCGAGCAGCTGGCGGCTGTGCAGTACCACGTCGACTCGCCCGAGTGGCGGTCGTGGTCCAACCCCGAGTTCCTGCTCAGCGACAAGGGCGTGCGGCTAGACGAGCTGGCGCGCGACGCCCGCGACGCCGCCCTGGCCGTGGTGGCCGCCACGCTGTCGCCCGAGGGCTACGCCAAGGCCGTGGCCGCCATGCGCATCAACGGCTTCCTAGGCGAGCTGGTCGGCGCCCCGCGCGTCTGCAACGAGTTCTCGTACAACCTGGTGCTGTTCGGCGAGCCGTCGGCCGAGCAGCCCTGGGGCTTCTCCTTCTACGGCCACCACCTGTGCCTCAACGTGTTCCTGTACAAGACGCAGGCCGTGCTGTCGCCGTGGTTCACGGGCGCAGAGCCCAACCTCGTCGACGCCGGCCCCCACGCTGGCACGCGCATCCTGCAGCGCGAGGAGGCGCTCGGCCTGGAGCTGATGCAGAGCCTGCCGGCGGCGCAGCAGGCGGCCGCGCGCATCTTCGCCGAGCTGCGCGACCCGGCCATGCCGCACGGCCGCTGGAACCACGACGACCAGCGCCACCTGTGCGGCGCGTACCGCGACAACCGCGTGGTGCCGTACGAGGGCGTGCGCGTGGCCGACCTGGGCGCCGCGCAGCAGGCGCTCGTCGAGCGCATCCTCGACGAGTACCTGCTGTACCTGCCGGCGCGGGCGCGGGCGCTGCGGCTGGCGCAGCTGCGCGCCTGGTTCCGCGAGACGTACTTTTGCTGGATCGGCGGCTTCGCCGACGCCGACGCCTTCTACTACCGCCTGCAGAGCCCCGTCGTCGTCGTCGAGTTCGACCACCACTCGGGCGTCTTCCTGACCAACACGGACCCGGCAAAGTTTCACATCCACACGCTGCTGCGCACGCCCAACGGCGGCGACTACGGGATGGCGCTGCGGCCGTTGATAGCAGGCGTCGAGCAGGCGTTTATCTGGGAAGGCTAGTCAGTCAGTCAAAAATGGATGGATGGGAATTGTACAGAGGAGCTGAGATTGGTTGGGGAGGGAAATATAGACCAAGAAACAGAAACAGGAACAGGAACAGGAACAGGAACAATGGGACTCGAATCGATTTCGCCGCTTCAACACGGGATAGGAAGGGAAAAGGCTGAGAGGGAGAATAGTCAAGACGTTTAAATTTATTTTGAATAAAAAAATCGGGATCAACGGGACGAGAAGCTTGAACATATGAGAACCGTGTTAAGAGGGGGTATTGAAGCGTTTCTCTTCTCGCCACAGCACCCACCGCCTTTCCCCCTGATATTGATATTTATATGTCATATTTTGTCTATACTAGGCAAACCAAGAAGCAAGCCACCAAAAAGCACTAACCAAAATCGTAATGTCGTTGGCCATTTCCCTCCGCAGCTCTGCACACCTGCCTATCGACCAACTGTACACGTCTCCATGGCGGCAAGCGAATTATCGTGTAGCTGTCCACATGGCCCAACATCACAGCGAAGCAAGATATTCATTCCCAGCTTGTCTTGCTGGCCACTAGCTTCTCACTGAACTCCTAGGAAGCAGCCCCCAGTTTCCTCCACACGAGCATTTCCGCTGCTGGCCCAAGACAAAAGTGAAGCCCGGGCGTGTTCCCCAAACATCCTCCATGACGGACGCGCAGCGCACACACCGGCGCCACTGCGGACCCGTGTCGTCGGCCGCCCCCCCGTGAGAGAGAGAGCTATTCTTGGCAGCCTTGGGGCCACTGAACAGCTCGACGCGCTTGAACACGTCGATGTATCTGCCGGCCGCCTTCTTCGAAGCCAGGATCTTGCGGTTGTCGTCCACTTCCAAGATGTCATAGTTTCCAAAATATAACCTTGCCGGGTCCGTTTGGCTGCGGAAAGCCGGCAGGCTGCTGTTGAAAAACTTGAAAAGCACGTCACGAAACCCCGGCGGCGGGTTGGCAGCCAGCAGCATGTCCAACTCGCAATGTGTCTGCGCCTTTTTCACCAGCTGCTCATTGGCATTGTTGTTTTGGCCCTGCTGCGAGTTTCCTTGGTCCCGCTGCTTGGGCTTGGATGTGAGCCCGGAAAGAGTCCTCTGGTAGGCCGCTTTGATTTCCTGGCTCAGTCCCCCGATGAGCGCGTCAAACTTCTGGACTTTGACGAGATTTGAGTTGGTCGAGCGCGCCATCTTTTGATATGCATGGTAAAGAGGCTCCGACGGGCGAGCCGTTGGGTTGGTAGAGTCGCCATCCTTTTGCTTCTGGTAGAAGTGGGCGGCACGGATGCACAGCGAATCGAGATGTACAAGCCTGCGACAGGCAGCTGATAGGAAGCCCCGTGTAGAAGAACAAAGCAGCAGATGCAAAGATACGTCGTCTTGAGACTGCAAGTAGGGTGCCAGCTCGGAAAAGCGCTTTGGGTCTGCCAGGATACCCATGAAGACGGGATCGCCAAGAAGTCCAAAAATGCAGTCGGTTATCCAGGAAAGAAGGTCGACAGCCCATTTGGCACAGCCAGCCAGGGCATCTACTACCTCGGGCTCATCCAAAGGAATCAGCTTTTCCTTGAGATTTGCGGGCGTATTGCTTGCAATGGTGATGAGAATGACAATGTTTCGAACGTTAAGAGCCAGCATGGCAAACTTGCCGCTGAAGGAGCGAGGTTGAAACTCGCCGTGAAACCCAAGGTGGTTGAGAATGCTGAGACAGAGCTGCAGGTTGTAGTTTCTGACAAGTTGGTCGTGGTGAGCGTCCTCGGAGTAGTCGACAGAGAACTTAAGCATGTTGACCATCTCTCTGATCCAAGCAGACGTGAAATCTATAACAAAGTGCGTCAGAGGTTGATGCCGCACTAGGCGTTGTCAAGAAATCAACAGACAACACAACACACCTGGCTTCCGAGTAAAAGGGCGCACAATGGCTAGGATGTCGTCGCAATTTGTTTGATGAGCGGCAGAAGACGATATTGCCAAAGTCAACGCTCCCAACACGGCGTTGTACTGGCCTGAGAAATGTCAGCGCAGGGTGCTCGCGCACATTGTCTTTTTCACCTGCGAGTTACCACTTACGGCTGTCTTGCAGTGCGGTGACTGGATCGTCCATGGGGTAATGCAGCCTGTTCCACTTAATAGATCCATCCTCGCACACTTGGGCAAAGGAGCAATTAGTGGGAGAGAAGACTGCCTGAAGGCCTGGAGATGAAGTTAGCTCTAAGCCAGATGCTCTGGGGCATGTCGACACTTACATGGAGTATCATTTGTGAACTGGAATCCGACTTGAACGGGGCTGTTGATGCAAGCAATATTGTGCTCATTGTATATCTCGTTCATTGTGGCTCGATCGCGGTACTGAACCGTACCGTCGCTGAAGACAAAGCAAATAACTCGGCCCAATTGCATTAAGTGGATTGAAACAATGATCTTGGGTATTACAACCGGGTCAAGTTTGCGCAGACGGCTCGTACTCTGGTGTCGAGTTAGCCACGTGCTACGGAAAGAAAGAAAATAGAAACCCCCCCCCCCCGCTCTTCGATTTGAGACGTACTGGAGGAGATGCTGCTGCATTCTTAGAACCTAACTGTGCAAAGGCAGGATGGAGAGTCTGTGGCTGATCACTCAGAACTTCCCATCGATCGATGATACTCTGAGACTCCTGATTGTAAGAAGTATCTCGTGGCAGGTAGGACCGCACAGTGAGCACGACCGGCGGGGTCAGTAACGGCGGGTTGATGGATTCTACCAAAGGAGGGAGAGTCTGGATATGAGAGAGCTGGGCCATGGACATGTCTAGACTAGACTCGCTCGGGCCGTACTGAAGCCAGCTCGTAACGGCGACGTGGCTCTCTTTGATGGCTGGGTTCAAATGTATGCTCCCGGGAGGCGCCTGCCTGTCGGACGGCTGGGGCAAGCCCCATTGTATCGATGCGCGGATAACCCTCAACTGCTTCGAGGCGGTTGCTAGTGAGATCAGGAGCTGGTTCTTGATGTCTGTGCATATCGACGCATGGGTGATGAGATCGTCGGACGAGGTGACGCTCTCGAGTTCTAGGGATGCCTCCTCAATGCGAGCGCTGTTTTGGGAAAAGAAGAGCTTGAGGACACCGCTAGCAGTGACCACCAAGAATGCGCTCTTGTTCGGATTCGGATGCAAGGGCCCAAAGGGAGGAGAGAACAGGGTCTCATACTTGTAGGCAGACTGATTCCATACAGCGGAACCATGGACAACAAGAAACTGGGAGCCAGCGTAAGCACAGGTGGACGTGTTGGGGGGGCAGGGCAGACAAGGAGACAACACACCTGCTTGGTGTGGTGAGAGGTAAGGGGTAGCCAGTAGCAGCCTACAACGGCGTTCAGGTCATCAACGGGGTCAACATCGAAGCGGCGCAAGCTGTAGGGGCGGTTGAGGGCGATAGAGAAGCTCATGAGGGTGACGCGGCCGACAGCGTCGATGACGGCGAGCTCGGGAATGCCGGTAGCAGCCCAGGCAAGGTGGGTGATGGGCCCGCCCTGCTGGGCGAGGGGGGGGGTGTACCAGGGGTTGGGGTCGGTGAGCTCCCAGTCGCCCGAGTCGGGGCGGCAGCGCAGGAAGCGCAAGTCGAGGGTGTGGCCGTCCTTGGCGATGGCGGCGATGGTTCCCTGGCGGGACCAGGCAATGCCCTGACAGCAGCCGCGGGCGCGCAGCTCATCGAGGCGCTGCTGGAGCTGCTTGCTGGGGGAAGGACGGGCGGGGACCGGAGGCATGGGGAGGGCCAGCGAGTTGTCCATGACGGGATCGCCAAAAAGGTCGACGTCGTGCAGGGCGGCCATGGCACCATCCATACCATGCATGTCGGTATCGACGTCGACGCTGACGCCAACGCCGACGCCGACGACATCGAGGCTGCCGCCCAGCAGGAGGGGCATGTCTTGGTGGGCGCTCATGGCGTTCTCCACATGGCCAGGATGCTCCACGCGCGAGGGCAAACTGAAAGCGGCGGCGGCCAACACCAGAAAGAGGCCTTGGGCGGCTTTCTGCTAGTAGAGTCAGTTGTAGGTACCGCCTTGGTTGCCTTGGGTAAGGTGTGTGGTGCGTACCTACCTACCTATGTATGTACTGTATTGTGTAACCTGCCTGGGCACCCGAGGCCGGAAAGTATTCGTAGAAGCCTTGGGTGGGTGGGTATCTAACTCTATCTCTCGCAGGATAGGCTGTAAAATAAGACTACGCCTGTCCAAGGCAAAGAAATAAGAGAAGGGAGTAGGTCCGTCCGTATTGGCGGATGGAATATACCCAAGGCAGTGCTGCAGAGAGGGGAGCTGCACCGACCGCTTATACACGAGTAGGTGGATGCGTATAGAGAAAAGGCCAAAAGAAAAAAAATACTTTGTAGTGTAAAACAGGCGGAGTCTACCAAAACTTAATAACCCAAGTAAGCTCAGTGATGAAGCAGGAAATTTGGTGGATGGGGAAAAAGGTCTTAAGCTGCCGTGCTAATAACAAAAGAGGCGATGCAGCATTCCCCTAGCAAGGTATGATACGGGTCATAACTTTGGTGTATCAAGATCAATAGACGAGAGGACTGTGCTGGCTGAGAGACGGAGTCCATGGACAGACGAGTTAACTCGATAGCTGTAATCCGACAGAAAATAGAGTTGCGGAGGAGGGGCCTAGATCGGATCGCCTAGTTAGGGTGCCTTCAACGCCCATCCAAAAGCAGTTAGACTTAATACTACGTTTTGCGCTTCTTTTTTTGCCCTGCCCTGCCTCTCAGGGGAGGTGGCAGCAATGCCAAGCCTCAAGTTACCTAAGTTCCTACGTAAGCAACGAGCGTATTACAGGGAATGTCTCCGAGCAACCAGCGGAAAGCCCCAAGTTTCTTAGTCAGGCTGTTACGTATCATTACCTAGCCCGTACCCTACAGAGTACGTAGTACAGATGTTTCAGCCATTAGCCTCGAAGAACAAAGCACAAAGCGAGCATCTTCAAGAGAAATGCTTATTTGGGGACATGCGGCTGCTTTGGGACTCTTTGTGATGATGAACAAAAATAAATCCTTTTGCTCATGCATCAGGTCCCCTACCTACGATACATGCAATCCCCTCGGCACCCAGGTCCTTCCAGAGGGCTGTAGTCCAAGTCGAAGTGTGCGCAGAAGTGGACAATAAAGCGTCTCAATGCCACGCCTCAAATCCAAATTCTGGCATGTATTTACGTAGGTACCTATTTAGTTATTTGAAGATATTTGGTGTTGTCTGTTCAAATGGACAGCGGCTGGCGCATCCCACTTCAAATGGCGACCTTTTACATAACGACCTTACTTGCCTGACCTTTTTTGCATTTACACTACTAACAGAGCAACTCGTACATATCAACCTAATTCGGATAGAAATGCCTAAGGCTTGCGAGTTGTGACAAGCCTGTCGCGGCCCAAGCGGATTACTAGGAGGGGGCTGGGAACAATCGCGACTGGAACCAAGCAAGCAAGACAACGGACAGAACGCGAAGGTACGGCCTCCAGGTACTGTAATATCCGTCTCTACTTGCCAAGCACAAAGTTAGTTACTTACGGATACCAGATTGAGACCTGCTGCTATTGTGCGTGCACAGATGTGCGAATAAATTTCTTGTAACCAAGACATTTGCATACCAAATTCCCTACTCGGCACAATTCGAATTTTGGTTTGGAGCAACGAATTGCCTAGATATTGTTCCGAGGCGGACGGAAATTTCTCGCTTCCCCCAATGTAGGGACGGTAGGCACCCTAGGTAAGGTACTTTCGTTTGGTGTCGCGTCTTCTCATTAGGCTCATCAGGACTCGGGGAGTAATGGAAGAAGGTAAGGTAGATCTGGGGCGCGGTCGTGAGGTAAGGTTGTTCAGGGATGCGTGGTTATGGTAAAACAGAAAGTAGGGAGCCGAAGCCCTGCTTCGCCAGCCCGCCGCCAACGCCAACACGGTGTGGTACGGTACCTACGTAAACGCCAAACTCGCAAACCCAATTCCTTTCCCGTCCCGTCAGCCAGCCCCGGCAAAGAACGTCGTCAAATCGTCTACCTCAACAACGCGAGTCACCTCCCTTTCACATTGTTCTTTTTTGCCCACCAACCGACGTGTCGAATGCCCGCCCAAGAATCGCACACACATTATTCACCGCTCAGCGAACACGACAAAGACATCGCCGAAAGAGAAAAAGAGGCTCCAAAAAGAGAAGGAATCCACAATTCCAGTCATGATATAACAAGCCGCCGCCATTCTCATTTCCACTCCTCTTTGCGCGGCCTCCCGTAACCCTGTTGGGCATTTTGTCTCGCACTGCAAAGGCAAAACCTGCCGAGAAAGCGCACCAACGCCCGGACACGGCTGCAGTCATGGAGCACTTACGACGCCCACCGTCATCGCCCCCTTCCTCTCCTCTCTCGGTTCTTTCTCAATCGCCCTCGCTGCCCCCGTCGCCGCTCATGTTGGACGCTTCGAAACGGTACCCTTCGCCCAGCTCCTCCACCGTCTCAAGCGCCGCCACCTCGGGCAGAGCGTCACCCATGAAGGCCTCGGACCTGTCCGATGCAACGGCTACGACTGAGGAAATCCAGGTGCGCACCGACGGCCCCCCGCCTCCCAAGCGCCGTCGGCTCGCTGCCCCGAGGCCGCGCACTACGGCCTACGTCGACCTCGAGGCCCGCAACCCCCAGGACGACGAGAACCTGGATACGCTGCTGGCAGCCCTACGCAAGAAAAAAAGGATTGTCGTCATAGCCGGTGCTGGAATTTCTGTTTCGGCTGGAAGTGAGTGCCTCTCTGCGCCGCGCCGCGCTGTTGCGCCCACCGCCCAACACTCGCGAATTTGCTGACATCCATGGTTTCAAGTCCCCGATTTCCGCTCTTCTACGGGCCTCTTCAGCACCCTGCGCAGCCAACACAAGCTCAAGGCGTCAGGGAAACACTTGTTTGACGCCTCCGTCTACAAGCACAACGCTTCTACAGAGTCTTTCCATACAATGGTCCGCGAATTGGCGCACCTGACGTCACAAGCCGAACCTACCCCCTTCCACCACATGCTGGCCTCTATCGCCGAAGAAGGCCGCCTCATGCGCCTCTACAGCCAGAACATTGACAGCATCGACACCCAAATGCCGCCCCTAGCAACCAATGTCCCCCTCAACACCAAGGGTCCCTGGCCAACCACTGTCCAGCTCCATGGCGGGCTCGAGAAGATGGTGTGCACCAAGTGCGGTCATCTCGAGGCCTTCAATGCCTCGCTCTTTGAAGGACCCGAGCCACCCCTGTGTGAGAAATGCAGGGAACAGGACCAGGTCCGGACCGCCTTCGCCGGAAAGCGTAGCCACGGCATCGGGAGGCTACGGCCTAGAATCGTGCTCTACAACGAGTACAACCCGGACGAGGAAGCCATTGGCAACGTATCAAAGGCTGACTTGCGGCGGGTACCCGATGCTGTGATTGTGGTTGGCACTAGCTTAAAGATCCCCGGTGTCCGGAGGATCGTCAAGGAGATGTGCCAGTTGACCCGGAGCAGACGAGATGGTATAACCGCTTGGCTTAACCTCGACCCGGAACCCCAGGGTGTCGAGTTCAAGGACTGTTGGGATTTGGTGGTTAGGGGAAAGTGCGATGATATCGCCGAGCTCGTAAACCTGCCTCGTTGGGATCAGCAAGATATAGGAGATCGGGATTCCTACATGGTTACAGGCGACGAGCTGAAGGAGAAGCGGTTGGCGGACAGCCTGAATCGCGCCAGGGTTGACGTCCTCCTCGAGCGTAAGCGCAAGCGAGATACTCCGGAAGATCTGGAACCCGCACGTCCCCCGGCGGTGGAACGGACGCCAACAAGCACTCTTTTTAGGCTCGCCGAGCAAGTCGAAGGGGGCATGCCAACACCCAGTGCAAGTCCCAGGATCCGGAGCCCCCTTCCGGTTGGCAAGGTTTCGGGCAATGTTTCTAGCAAAGGGAAGACGAAGCAGAGCACCCTCGCTTTTGGCAGTCTCGACGCTCCCAAAACCAAGAGCTCAAGTTCTGTGCCCATCAAGGGGAAGACAGCGGTTCAGCGAAAACCACGGCAGCCGAAGAAAGACCAACCTAAACCGCCCAAAGACAAGCTTAACAGGCTTGACCGGGCATTCAAGGCTACAAAATCAACAGCGACCAAGCCCCCCAAGGCTCTCAACGAGAAGCTTGTCTTGGGTCTCAAGCCGTGCGGCCTCCCATCGCCACTTGAATTGTCAACCGACCTGCCATCGTTGTCAGCTCTACCCGCACTACGCCCGCCTACCAAGACGCAAGCATTTATCTCGCAAACGGAGGAATCGGCAGCAACGAGCAGTGAGCTTAGCCTCTACATCTCTTCCAGTCCCCCGGCCACTCCAGTCTTGGGACCCAAGATGACTGAGACCATCTCTCCCACTTCTAAACCCCAGAGTCTCTCTCACCTTATTGATTAATGACATCTTCGTGGACTGGCTGTCTCTGTCTTCGGCATGGGTTCAGAGATGGTGTATGGCAAAAGCAGCCCGCTTCGCCAGAGACAGCGCGATGTCCTGTCCGTCAACGACACTTGCATTTATGTACGTTTGCGCGCAACATTATCTAACATTCCATGGTCTACTCCGCCGCATGTACATTGGAGCTGGACTATGTGTATAAAAGAAAACTAAGGTCGCCACCTATCTGGATATTATCCTTTTCGTCTAGTAACCAACCAATCCATCTTTTCTGGGGGGTTTCTTTTGTCAAGCATTATCGGAGAGGGGAAAAATATAACACCCCTAGGTGTTGGGAGTTCTTCGGGTTCGTAACCTTAGGTATGTCGCCGGCTGGTTCCGGCCACTAACTGGGGCTCTGAAAAGTACTGATAGATGGCAATTTATGTTGCATCCTCGTTTTGATACGCATCTACATGGCATGTCTAGTTGGCTACCAATACAGACTATTTTGGAGGGGAATTGGTGGGGAGGACACAAGAGTCGAGTTCGGGGCGTGCATGTATATATATACTACACAAGATTCTCATTCCCACCCGTATTTATCTATCTACCAAGTATTAGTTAGAGCTGCTGAGAGTAAGAGAGGAGTACTACATTTCAAGACTTCAATATTTTAAATGAGAATTATGGTATTCAGTCCTTCAATTCACTTCATTCACCCGTGCAGTCTTGTGCCCGCTCTTTCTCTCTGCCACTATCTGGGATTTCCATGACGAAAGAGCTAGAACGTAGCCCCTGCTGCTAACAATACCTTGCCCAACATGCAAACTTACAGCCAAATACAATCCAATCCCTGAATAATTATTAGCGGGGGACTTTCCAAGATTTAAAAGGCCTCAATTCCCTATGGCTCGCCCTATAGGTTTTTCGCCGAGGGAGGTAATAACTATTAGAACCCCTCTTCTGGAATCCTAGAGGCATATCTCCTCCCTGAAAGTACCTATTAAAGGCCTTTTCTGCGGACAATAATCTTCTCCTTGTTCCTAGGTACTAGGCCAACAATTCAGGGATTGGAGTGTAGAGCTAAGTTGGTCATGGGAACCCATAGCCAAGTACCTTATTTATGTGGACAACATGCTTTGCAAACTAGGTATCTACCTTATCCACACGTAAGAACGAACGCACACGCATGTGCATGTGCATGTGCATGTAGTGCGTGTCTAGCTCCTTAAGCACGTAGGTGCCCACTAGAAGCTCGCTGGAGGTAGAGTTAATGAGAACCAACCTTTGACAGATCCCTTTGGGGGGCATCTGAGGAAACACGCAACACAAAAGACTCGCTATTTTGAACTGTAGGTGAAAAAGGTCTCCTAGATGAAGGAGAAAGAGAAGATTCCTGGTTCAAACGCCGGTAACTTGCCGATACCTGAGATTTCCATGTAACAGCTACCTAACTAAGAGATGGTTCTCTCTCTCGCGGAATCGGTACCCCCTGACAGCACATCATCAGATTGGCATGACTAGAGATGGATGGCATAGGTAGCAGAAATATAGGATCTGAAATGGGTAGGCACATATTACCTCCGTACCGCGTATTAGCTTCACATATACATGCTGAGCATGTGAACAACAAAGTTGAGTTGGTCTTATATGTCTGTAGGTTTTCTATTCATTTGTCTAAAACATTTTGTTCTACACTGTTGGTGGGTGGGGAACTCCTGTCTCGTCGTGAGAAAGAAATGAAAAGAATTCAGCTAAGGTGTACACATTAGTCCGCCTTATTAGTAAAAGTTGAGATCACAACATGCCTAGACGACCTAGACGGCCATAGATACACTTTATCTGGGATTATCTTTGAGGAAACCCCAAAATCCTCTAGTCGCTCATGTCGTCTGGCACGCCGGGACCAAAGACAAACACCCATGTTTGCCCCCCACCCATTTTTGATACAAACTCCACGTCGCTATAAATGCCAAAACCCTCAGCCAGCCACCCTTCCCCCCCTCTCCTGCTAGCCATACGACTGTCTCGGGGCGCAGCCTAACCCAAACCAAATGCCAGCTCCCGACAAAAACAACTCCCCATCATCAAACCCTTTCCTTCGTCAATGCAATGCCGGGTATGTAGAGTTTATGGGTCCTCCTAGGGATAGGGAAAATATAATAAAACGAAACATGATCTCAATTACCATTACCGGTGCGCCAGCCAATGCGGAGATCTGTCTTGGGAATTACCGCTGTACAAGTACCCTCAGACAAAACACTCAATAGGGACTGTGCCGAGCTGGGGGGCTGCGGCTCTGCCACGAAGGACGCGTCGGTCCTCCTCTATCACCATCCCGGCGGTGTCGGTGGAAGTTAAGTCGATCACCATTTTCGTAGTAGTTCCGGCGCTTCGGCTCGTCACGCCGCTCATCACGCCGCTCTTCTCGCCGCTCCTCTCGCCGGTCATCTCGATAGGGGTCTCGGTCCCGGCCCCGAGCTCGGCGATCTTCGCGATCGCTGGCGATTTCACCATCTTCGAGGTCTGGATTCCTTGATCTCCGTACATCGATGGTACCCTCCTCCTCTTTCTTGACTTTGTCCTTCTCCTCTATGTCGCGAAAGATTTTCTGCAGCCTCTTGCCAGACACCTTGGATTCGCTGATGGGCCAGATGGACGACAAAAACTCCCTAAGCACGGTTAGTACATGCAGAGGCACGGACACGACGGTCGGGTACTCACCAGAACTGGGGCTCCAAGCTGTCAAGGTCGCTTGCACTCTCTCCACGTAATCCCTTGAGGAAATTTCCGAATGTGCGGATTTCCTCGCCCAATATTTTGGCCCGCTCCTTGGCCGCGGGGAACCGCTCCTTGGAGTATACTATGCGCTCCATGTTAGGCTTGAGAGGTCGCAGGACAGACCAAACAAGCTGTGCGTTGTCCGAGTTGTCAATTTCGTCATCGCGCAGCTTGGCAAGATCATGGAAGCGCTCAACAGCCTTTTGTCTGTCACGCTTGTATCTCTCCATGGTCTCGGCATCCATTTTCGGCTTCTCTTTTTCCTTCTGAGTCTTCTTGTCGAGCTTGCTGTCAATGCCGCGACGCTGGTCATCCAGTCGCCGGTGTTTCGAGTTACGGTCGTCGTAGCTATCAGGGCGTTTCCGCTTATGCTCAGGCCTCGGTGTCCCCTTGTCATTGGCGTTGCTGTAAGACCGGCTGTGGTCATGGTTTCTGTCCCGGTGCTGGCTTGGTTTCTTAGAAATAGGCGGAGCAGGTGAAGCCGAGACGGAACCTGGGTCGCCACGGCGATGGCCATTCATGAGAAGCTTTTTGCTCCGATGGTGGTTCTCCACAGCCTTCTTGGCAGCTGCGTCGTTGGAGTGCTTGGCCAAAAGGACAGACAGGAGGTACTCGGACCGCCGAACTAGATGGACGGCTCCAGGGGACTGGATGCCCTTGTCGTCGGTTTTCTTGCGTTCTTCCTTCTTGTCCACTCGGTGTTCTTCCAAGAAAAATTTGTCCTGCATCTGCAATTCGGGATCGTCCCGGATTTGCATCCAGGCACCGAATCCGTACAGATCAATACCCACGAGCAGCATCCCATCCTCGCGCGCGCCCCACTCGCAGGAATACTGGGCTGATTTAGCCGCATCTGGGAGTCTGAAGGTTTGGGGATTTCCATGTTCCCGAAGCACACGACGTAGCAGCTTCAGCTGGGGTGGCCGCTCCACAACAGTCTCGGCATTGACTTTTCGCACCTCGCCAAAGTCAACGAGAACGGCCTTCTTATCTTTCTTGGCAAGTGGCTTTCCGGCTCTCTCTTCCTCCTCGCGGAGCTTCTCATTGTTGGCATCGACGGCTTCGCGACTCAGAACCATCAAATCATCAATGATAGACCTGAGAAAGTCTCGGTCTCGATCGCTTAGACGAGCATCCTGGACAACCTCTTCCTCGCGATCATCAAGAGAACCGTAACGGAAGAAGGCGCGAATGAGGTTTCGAGTCTCCTTTTCATTCAGTGGGCGCCTAGGGTCTGATAGAAGCGCTCGTTGCTCCTCGAGTTCTTCTTGCTCCTGCTTCTCACGCTGCCTCTTCTTGGCGAGACGATCAGCGCGGTCAGACTCGGCAGTCCTCTTTGAACCCTTTAAAGTGGCCTTCCGGGGAGCGTTCTCTTCCACTGCCTTGGCTAGGTACTCGTCGTGTTGCTTCTTGTCTTCGTCTGCCTTGATGGCTGCAAGTTGCTCGGCGGGAATAATCTGATCCCAGTCGAGTGCAAGCTCGTCGACCTTGACGTCAGTAACCTGCATCCAGTTATCCCAGTCAATACCGCCACTGCTGAGGTTGATCTTGTCGTCGACATCAGTCTTTGTGACTTCGGCGTTTTCGAGAATGGCATCAATATCGAGTTGCTCCAACTTCTCCTGGTTGCTCGACTGTTCGAAGAGATTTTGCGAGCGCATCTTGAGAATCATTGAGATGTCTTCGGATGTCTTTGCCTCGTCCATCTTGAAGCCGCGTTCTTTAAACTGCTCTCTCAATGCCTTTCCTTCGTCGGTAACGCCAGCTTGGATCGTGAGATACTCAAGGAAAAGTTTGTTACGGGCACGCGTAACGACTTCCTCCTCAATGGTCTGCTTCGCCACAAGACGGTACACGTTAACAGGCTTCTTTTGGCCTATACGATGAGCCCGGGCCATAGCTTGCAAATCCGCTTGCGGATTCCAGTCCGAGTCATAGATAATTACGGTGTCGGCGGTCATCAAATTGATGCCCAGACCACCAGCTCGTGTGGACAAGAGGAAACAGAAGTCCTCGCTATTTTCGGCGTTGAAGTGGTTAATTGCCATGCGGCGAGGCCCGGCGGGGATTGTGCCGTCAAGCCGCTGGAACTGATAGCCGCGAATCCGCAGATAATCACCGAGAATGTCGAGCATTTTGACCATCTGACTGAAGATCAAGACGCGGTGGCCGTCCTTCTTTAGCTTAGTAAGAAGCTGGTCAAGGAGCATCATCTTTCCGCTGCTGGTGATGAGGCCTTTGATTTGGTCTTCTCTGCGGGTTCTGCCAGCGAGGACCCGTTCCTCGGCGCCATGAAACATGTACGGGTGGTTGCTGACCTTCTTCAGCTCCATCATGATGTTGAGTAATGACTGCTTATGCCCATTGCTGGCATCACTGAGGGCGGCGTAGTTCCGCGTGAGGATATTCTTGTAATACTCAAGCTGAAGATCGGACAGCTCCACTCGGATGATCTTCTCGGTCTTGGGAGGCAGATCCGATTCGACCGTTTCTTTTGTGCGGCGCAAGATATAAGGAGCGATCGACGAATGCAAGTTCTGGAGCTTTGCCTGTGTCTCGTACCGCTTGGCCTCATCCTGCTCAGGATTGTCGGGGTTGATGTTATTAGAAGTCGAGAGAAGTTCAAGTTCTTCATCGATTATAACCTTTCCTGGATTGAGAAAGTCCAAGAGAGCGGCGAGTTCCGCCAGGTTGTTCTGAATAGGCGTACCAGTGATGAGAACCTTGCACGGGACACCAAAGCTGTTGAGCCTGGCGTAAAGCTGGGAATCGCGGTTCTTCAATCGATGGGCCTCATCTACGGCGAGGACTTGCCACTTTATGGTTCGGAGATGTTCCCAGTCTGCCAGGATATAGTCGTATGAGGTGACCAAGACATTGAATTTGGGCTTCTTCGGGTTACCGTCCACGAGAAGTTCGTAATCTCGGATGTTGGCTCGCGCCGCCTCTGGCCCAAGGTAGACAACGTAGTTTAGGTCCGGCGCCCAGTGGTTGAAGGTATCAGCCCACGCAGGGATAACACTCAGGGGTGCTACAACAAGGAATGGGCCTTCTTGATCACGATCATTCCGAAGCCAGCTGAGAAATGCGACCGTCTGGACAGTCTTGCCCAGCCCCATTTCATCGGCTAGAATGACATTGTTCGCGCGGGTCCAGTTGAGGGCGAGGAAGTTGAGACCCTTCAGCTGGAATTCGCGAAGCTCGCCTCCCACGATGTAAGAAGGTTGCTTTTCCAGCTTTGTCATACGCGATCGAGTCTCGGGGTTGGTTTGCTTCCGATCCGACTGCCATGAACGAGACGAGCGGTCTAGAAATTGGTCGATCTTGTCTTGGGCGTGAGCACTGATGAGCGAGCCTGCTTCCCAGGTGCATTCGTCGTATTGTAGGCCTTTCCACTTGATCAAGTACTCGTCGTCATCATCGCCGTCTCGGAGAGCAACGACTCGCTCAACAGTGGTATAATCGGCCAAGGCCTCCTCCTCGCGCTCCCTGTCCAGCAACCATTGCTCTCGTTGCTCTGGGCTGTACTCGTCGCCACCAAACTTCATATCTAGTTCGTATTCGACAATCTTCTTGTAGTAGTTCTCAAGTCGGCGAAATCCGCGAAATCCGGCGACGCTCTCTGTAGTCTCCCACGTGTCGTGTAAATGTGACTTGCCTTGCCACTTGATAAAATACTCGAAGTCGTGTCGCGTGGAATCGGGTGCGAGATCGACGCCCTCTTTGGGCCGGTGGCGGAGGAGCTTTTCAATGTACGGCGAGTTATCTTCGGCGTCAGCGGCCCAGTAGTTAGGTGTAACACCCGACTCTTCCTCCTCTTCCCCTTCGCTTTCTTGGTAAGCGCCGGCAGATACCTGGGCCGCTCGGCGACTGGACCATCGCTTCTCGACCAGAGCCAGCGATGGCTGTAGCTCCTGTTGTCGGCGGGCCTTCTTTCGAAAGCTGCGGGCTTTCGCGCCACCATATGTATCGGAATCGGAATCATCCGCAGAAGTTTGGCGGGCAGGAGTGCCGCGTTTGGAGACTGCGGTTCATCGACGGGTCAGTTTAAACAAATCAACACGACATTTAGGCAATGCAATTGAACGCACCAGGAAGGGAGCGATCGACGCGCTCGACGCGATCAATAACGCGCCTTCTCTTGGCAGCTTTGCGGGGAGCAGGAGCGACATCAGAATCGGATGCTTCCTCTTCCTCATCTGAATCAACCTGTACGAGATTTTAGCACATCGGCAATGCGCGGCACTCTTATAGGCAGCTTAGTATTGACTCACGACTTTGCGGCGTTGGGTAGGACGCGACTATTCAGCTGTTAGCTCGTGGACTCTCTAAGGACGGATAAGACACAACCGTACACTTCGTCTCAAGCCGTACAACTCTGGATTCTCTCTCATGAAATCTTCTTCAGCCGCGTGGGCGGCCTTTCGCTTAGGGGCAGGCCGGCTTTCAGTGGAGGCGGCACGGCTATTTCCAGCATTACTCCGAGCGGAGGTAGGGCTCTCGGCCATATCAAAGTCTCCATCATCGGAAACATTATCACTCGAATCGGAAGCTTCTTCGATGGTCAGGTCCGGTTTTCCGGCTGGCGAGCCGGGCGCGTCCGGAGAGTCGGGCGTTAAGCGATCAACGTCGGGAGCCTGTACGTCGGACAGGTCGCTATCGCTTTGGTCACCATTGGCTACGTGACTCATGCGCTCATCGTCCGAAGGAGACGCATGTCCGTTCACAGGACTGGCTTCCGGTGATGTTGACATATTGATCTTCAGACCGCGAGCTGCCTGCTATAAGACGACGATGTCAGTGAGAAATCCCAGCCATCTAGCAACACGCGAAGCACGGTCGCGGAGAGAGGCCACACAGGCGACCCAGAATCAATAGAGCATAGCAGCGGTAGAGCCAGCAACATGTATCAATGATGCTTGTCGCATGCCGGGCCGTGTAAGTGATGGACGCGAGGCTGGGCTGATGGCAGAGGGCAATTGAGGCCATCGGGGGCTGTCGGGGAGGCGCGGGGTGACCAGAGCACGTCTAGGCCATCGCGGCATAATAATTCCATCGAGTTTCCAACGCTAGGTGACTCCGGAAGGCCGACAGGAACGACATCTCCACGGGGGCATGTGCCCAGATTCGATGGCAGGATTGATGGACAAGACAGGGTGGCTCACAGCACGTCACGGCAGATGCAGACAAGCAGTGGCAGCACTTACAAGTCATTAACAATGGCCTCCAGGCAGCAGACCGTGTTGGACTTCGCTAGGGTCGGTGCTGGCAATGTGTGTTGTGGGGATCTATCCAGGCCTGGAGACCCTGGGGTGGGCAGTGGTGATGGTGTACTGCGGAAAATCAGCAGTGGTGGTCGGAGGAGAAGAATGAAAATGAGAATCGGAGCCAGAAACCCACCAGGAAATGGCCTGTGCTTGGCAGCCAGCTGCTGCTGGCTGGCGCTGGCCTTAGAATCCCACCCCACTTAACCAAATCCAGCCCCCACGACTACCAACGATGAAGGACGAGGGACTCGGCACGAGGCAGGGGCGGGACTTGAACCTGCCCAATCCATATCAAAATATCACCATCAGCGAGTCTCTTTTCCCTTGGATCTCTTCTGATATGCTGTGCAGCGCCAAATTATCGTCCCAACAGTCATCTCGAATTTTCCCCTTGTACATTGCAACCACCCCTAGGGCGCTACGCAAGGAAGTCATCGACCTACAAAATAAACTTGCTCTTCGAGTCCCTGGCGGCAAGCCCTCTATATATCCCAAAAATCACCTTGAGTGTAGGAGAGGAGAGACAATCTGCATTACTATGTTAGATGCACCGAATGAAGAAGTCAAGGCCGGTGCAACAACAGTAGTTTTGTTCCTCCTTATCCTATAAAGCCTGTACATACCTCTTCCCGCAATAGGCTTATGTGAAAAGCCTACACTCCCCGGAGATCTGTTATGAGATCAGTTCTGGCGAGATGCACCTCACTTCTTCGCTCGGACATTGGCTTGGTCCCAACCTAAGGAATCGCGTGCAGGACGGCGAGAGAACTGAACACGTCACCACCTTACATATCTGCTTCCATAGTGGTGGTTTTGCCTTACCCGAAAAGCCCCAGAGGAACTACATTCACTACGCAAGGTTAATGACTCAATTGTGGCGCAATGGTCTGCCAGTCAGCGCAGCGGTTGTCGACGAGAAGGATCCCACGGTCCAACAGCCAGTGTTGCGCCGCTGCCACAAGGGACAATTTGCATAATACCATACTGCCCGAACTAGGTGCCCGTGATCGCCTCTGCCATCTCGCCTGATAATAGCTAGGATGCCTAACCATGTAGGCAAGGTAATCGAGAGCCCGGTTCCCAGAGTTTACCTAAGTAGTAGATAATCCGTAGCTGGCTATTTTTTTACGTCAAAGACATTTCTGTAGATTCGTTTGCTCCGGCATGTTGGGATCAATTTGAGAAACAAGGACAAACTTGCTGTTGCGTTGCAGTCAAACCAATCTTCGAAGCCCCAATTTTATACGGGCAGTTTCTGAATCGTGTTGAAAGCGCGAACAATAGGGTACCAAAATTATTGCGCTACCTACTTACACGCACCCTCTTTCTTCGAATAATCACAATAATGTCAATTCTAGGCCAAAATACACGCAAAATATACCAAAATGATAGTAATTTAATATTTAATCGGCTCGCCCTTTGAATCTCTGAGCAAATCCATCCTTTTGGGCATTGTATCTACTAACTTCATGAATAATTCAGGGTAATTTGGTCCTAGGTTTCCTGAATGGCCTGAGCTACCTGCGTAACGTTCTTAATCCTGTGACGTTGTACCCCTATTTTGAGCTTCATCCAGTGTCATATATTCTCAATAGGGGAAATATCCGGGCTTTGTGCGGGCTTTTCCAGGACCCTGACGTCGAAAGTCTTCTTTAATAAACCTAGGAAGCCGTTGTGGTGATAAGTTGTTCTATCCTCCTGTAATTGTACGCCGTGGCCGTACTTTTTCTTCTATTATAGAAAAGAAGGAAATGAGCAATGACTGGTATTGGTAAGAGACTTCAACCTGGCCCTCGCAAAGAAAGGGGCGAGGGCCACTGCTTATATACATGACAGAGTGCAGGGCTAGCGGGCGACAAAGGAGTGAGGTCTTGGCCCGCTCGGTACGCGTGTGAGTGGGTTGTGCGTGTGTGGGTGTGGGTTGGGGCTCTTTCCTTAAAATTGTGCGGCCGTCTTCGCCTACTTCGAAGTATGCCTCGTCTGACTAGTAGATTAGAGGCCAGGCAGTGTGTCTATTGCGGCGGCGGAAGTCTAGGCGCTTCTTTTTATTCTTAGGAGAGATCCAGGGCTTCTTGTGAGCACGCCGGCGTGCCTTGTTAGCCGGCTTGAGGAGCCTACGGACTGTGGACCAGTAGACCTTACGCCCAGATTTCGAGGGTGTTCCTAGGGTAGTGAGGGTGTCTGTTCGGGCTTGATTTGTACTGCGAATAATACGCCGAATAGCCAGCTCGTCGACTGAGACTGGCCTGCCGCTTCTTGGCTTCGAAATGAATGGATTTTCGAGTCTATTAGCCAAGTTTTCATTGATCCGTCGTATGGTCCGGTTAACGGTCGATTTCCCGGCCCCTACTTGCGCCGAGATGGTCTTGCTGGTAGCTCCGAAGACGTGGAGAGCCCAAATTTGGGCCCTTTTCGATTCTGAAAGTTCAGGGTTAAAGACCTTCGAAATGCCCACCATTTTGTCTTTGTTTAGAGAAAAAAGACGAAAAGATGGTGAAGAAATTCATCGTGGAAGATGTAGCCCTCACCGCTGTGCCATGACGATTGTGGCTTTTTTAGCGTGCAAGTGGCGCAATACATTTGGTACGCATTATATAGTAAGTATTCCGTACTGAGAAAGTTAGCTTACATAAGGTATTTCCAAACATGGAACCAACATTGATCCGCTTTTGGCTGGCTTCCAATCACTCGCGGCGCATTCTAGCTTACCACTGTAACCGGCTACAGTGGCCTTTGTGACAACCGCTGTATGTATCTATTTCAGTACTGTACCAACTTCCCATGCGCTGTACACCTGTTCCGGGGTAATAAATCCCAACTGTCAGGGGTCTTTCTGTTTGTGGTCAGGGCAAAGTATCTAAAAATTTCTAACAGTGGGCCCCTGGTCGGGTGGGATTTATTACTCGGCGGGAGGTGTAAGCCGATATTTAGCCCTGCCCCTCCTCGTCTTGATACACCGTCTACAATTTTTGAGAAAGCACGGTTTTGACCCACGTTGCCCCTCCTTTGAGCGCCCGAGTTCTTTCGCCCGCGCTACGACGAGGTCCCCTCCTACCGGATTTCCACTTTCTTTTTTTGATTGAGAGAGGGGATATTTGGCTCTTTAAACGATCACCGGTTTTTGATTCCTTGCAACGACATACCGAGCTTGGTAGAGCGTCACACTAGCGCCATGTCGGACAAACTCACTCGGTATGTTGCGAGTTGCTGCCGATAGTTCCTACTTGCACTTGGCCATGGAGTCTACGGGACTCGAGGCTTCCTGTTAAATAAAAGGCCCCTTGCTAACTCTTTGCAAACAGTGTCGCTATCGTGAATAGCGACAAGGTGCGCTGCGATTCTTGCGCCCTTGGCATCTGTTTATGACAACAAAGCTGACCCTAGCCGGTGGTGATGCGAATAGTGCAAACCAAAGGTTCGTGCCTAGAGGAATGTTCTGCGGTGAAGCATGCAATAGCAAGGATGTACTAACAGGATCAGAAATGCCGTCAAGAGTGCAAGAAATCTTGCCCGGTCGTGAGATCTGGTAAACTCTGCGTAAGCACCCCATGCCCCTTCCAATCACCCATCTTGGGAGGCCGTAACTAACTCTCACGATACCAGATCGAGGTACGAGTTTCCCTCGCCGTTTCAACTTCACTCCGCAGCGCTTTCGATATACCCCCCATATCGCATTGCGCCTCTCCTCTGACTCTTACGTTTCCAGGTGGCCCCGGAGTCGCGATTAGCCTTCATCTCAGAATCGCTATGTATTGGTTGTGGTATCTGCCCCAAGCGCTGCCCGTTTAGCGCTATTACCATTATCAACCTTCCCACCAATCTCGAGAGCCAGATCACGCATCGTTATTCTGCCAACAGCTTCAAACTTCACCGGCTTCCCATGCCAAGACCCGGGAACGTGCTTGGTCTTGTAGGAACAAACGGTATTGGCAAGAGCACGGCTCTAAAAATCCTCAGCGGCAAGCTCAAGCCAAATCTTGGAAGATTTGATAACCCGCCCGATTGGGAGGATGTCATTAAACACTTTAGAGGCTCCGAACTACAAAGTAAGGTATCTGGCTGGAATATGACGTGGCTGTTGGGCTAACTGGCCGTCAGACTACTTCACGAAGCTTCTGGAAGACGACCTGAAGTCTGTGGTTAAGCCGCAGTATGTGGATCAGATCCCCAAGGCCATTCGCGCGGCCGACAAGAGCGTCCAGGCTTTGATTGAGCGCGTCTCTGCTGTGGAAAACCTGGATCTGGTCCTCGACACCCTTGGTAAGTTTATTATTCGAGTGGGATAGCCCGTTTGGTGGTTGTTAACGGAGTGTAGAATTGCGCCACATCCTTGATCGTGATGTTACTCTACTCTCTGGAGGAGAACTTCAGCGCTTTGCCATTGGCACCACTTGCGTTCAGAAAGCCGATGTGTACGTCATCTCCGCGAATTTTCTGGGGACGCAGAGCTAATGGTTCCGCAGCTACATGTTCGACGAGCCATCGTCGTACCTCGATGTCAAGCAGAGACTGAGCGCTGCGCGCATCATTCGATCGCTCCTCCGCCCAGACGGCTATGTCATCGTCGTTGAGCACGATTTGTCCGTTCTTGACTACCTCTCGGACTATATCTGTGTTCTGTATGGCCAGCCCGCTATCTACGGCGTTGTGACCCTCCCCCACTCTGTACGCGAAGGCATCAACATCTTCCTGGACGGCCATATCCCGACCGAGAACTTACGTTTCCGCGAGGAGAGCTTGACCTTCCGGATCGCCGAGGGCACCGAAGAGTACTTGATTGAGAAGTCTCGGGCATTCCAGTACCCATCCATGGAAAAGACACTCGGCAACTTCAAGTTGTCAATTGAGTCTGGCGGGTTCTCTGACTCTGAAATTATTGTCATGATGGGAGAGAACGGCACTGGCAAGGTGAGAATAGTCATGGATCCGAAACCTGCCAAGGAATGAAATTAACCAAGGTGAACAGACAACTTTCTGCCGTCTTTTGGCGGGTGCTCTCAAGCCCGACGGAGACGAAAAGGTTCCCGAGATGAAGATTAGCATGAAGCCGCAGACCATCACACCTAAGTTCGAGGGCACCGTACGCCAACTCTTCTTTAAGAAGATCAAGGCTGCATTCTTGTCGCCACAGTTCCAGACAGATGTGGTCAAGCCCCTAAAGCTTGACGATTTCATCGACCAGGAAGTGAAGAACCTCTCAGGTGGTGAACTTCAACGAGTATGTAGTCCCACGCCCCTCTCGCCAATAACTAGAAACTTTGTCTATGGAAGCCCTGCTAACATTATTAAGGTGGCTATTGTTTTGGCGCTTGGTATGCCGGCCGATATCTACCTCATTGATGAGCCATCTGCATGTATGTTGCGCAACCAAGCCAACCTCCTGTTTTCCGTGTTTTATTGACGCTTTACTAGATCTGGACTCGGAGCAGCGTATTATCGTCAGTCGTGTTATCAAGCGGTTCATCATGCACGCCAAGAAGACTGCCTTTATCGTCGAACACGATTTCATCATGGCCACGTACCTTGCTGATCGGGTCATTGTCTTTGACGGAGAACCCGGCATCGATGCTCACGCGAACGAGCCCGAGTCGCTACTTACTGGCTGCAACTCCTTCCTGAAGAACCTAGATGTCACGTTCCGCCGCGACCCGACTAACTTCCGCCCGCGGATTAACAAGCTAAACTCGCAGCTTGACCAAGAGCAGAAGTTGGGAGGCAACTACGTAAGTCTACATAACCAGAGTGGAGACACAAGTGGCAACTAACGATTTATGTGACTTGCAGTTCTTCCTGGAGGACGTGGAGAAGAGTAGTTGAAGAGGGCATCCCCAAGGATGAGCGCCAGAACAAACACGGCCCCCCTCATGATGATGCATCCGATTCCGGCGTTTTAGGCGTATAAAATGGTGGTAGCTGTGAAGGTCGGCCCAGCGGCGCCCGGGGTCAGATTCCGTTGTAATTGGGTAGAATGTAGTGAAGGAATTACAAAATCTTTTTTTAATGCATAAAACAAATTGAGGGCCTTGCTCGTTAGTTTGTCAACGCAAGTGTGATTTGTCTGGGCATGGAAGAGCTGCCACCAAGCGACTGAGACTCTCATCTCAATTATGCAGCCACGAATAGCACACGCACAGTTCACTCCTTACTCAAGGGAACGAAGACAGCATGCTATAGTAGGACAAATCATCCGTTTTTTCTTTTCGTCCGTCAACTACCTGATCTATGATCTAACTACCTGCGATGGCATTTCAACCCAGAAGTAGGGAAATGAACCATCGTCTTGTTGTACACGTGCAGGGCGGGTTGAAATAAACACAAAGCTAAATACATGAAAACTTTTCATCTGGAAATCATGGCCGAGTTCCAGTTATGGCATAGCATACAGCTACTTTGCACAACACCCCTACTTTCATCCTGTGAGCAAGATGAGATGGTAAAGGGGATGAACTGACCGTTTTGTTCACCCTCCCTTTTTTTTTTAATACACTTGCACGCTACATAATGGTAGCCAAGTCGTCCATCCATGTCAGGGTAGCCAGCAATAGCAACGATGCTGGCGAGGTAGAATAATGGATACGTACTTGTAGACCCAACAGTACTTACACATCCTCAATCCTCTCCGGATGAGGCAAGAGACAATTGCGCCTCGTCGATATTGTCTCATTGTCCAACAACAGAGACGGCGCGGTTAATCCTCCTCAATTTCGCCTTCCTCGCTCCCGGCTCGGACACATGGTGTCTTCTCTTTCTGTGGCGTCATGGCGGTGGGACGAGCATCACGCTGGGGTGTTTTCTCGCGAGGAGCTTCGACTCTAGGTCTCTTGGCAAGTCGGGCGTCTCGTCGGTCTTGGTCGTCCTCGTCAGGTCGGGGGCGGCGAGATGAACTGGGTCTCTCATCACCATACGGAAGTTCATCAACATCGCGGTCTAATACTCGCCTGCGATATATGGTCTCTCTATGCTCCTCCCGAGTACGACGCTCTCGATCATAATGGTTCGACTCATCGGGTCGAGGGCGACGATCGTAGTCGCGATTGTCCCGCTCAGCGCGGCCACGGTCACCGCGATCACTTCGGTCGCGGTCGGCTCGATCACGGTCTCCATCTCTGTCACGCTCCCTTTCGCGATCCCCGCGGCCATCCCTCTCCCGGTCGCGCTCTCGGTCGCGCTCTCGGTCGCGGTCGTGGTGGTCACGACGATCACGGCGGTCGCGCTCTCGGTCGCGCACAGCATCGAGTTGAGAGTCGCCAGGTTTGCGGTCCGACAGGAGGTTTTCTGCCATGCTCGACTTGCGGAAATTTCGCTCGCGTTCCGCAATGGCCTTTCGTCGGTCCGCCTCGTACGAGTCGTGCTCCGGGCTGTGGCTCCTAGCGGAACGCGCACTGCTGCGATGAGATCGCTCACCTCTGTCACCACGGTGCCCATCCCCGCGATCTCGACGTCGCTGGCGGTCCTTCTCGGCCTCTTCCTCTTTCTCCTTGAGGCGACGGATATGCTTGTCAAACGCGCCTTGGCGAAATTCTTCTGAGGCTACGGCCTTAAACTCCTCACTATGGGCAAGGCGACCTTTGACTTGCTCGTAGGTATCCGTCACAGCGATTGGTGGATCCAGGCGCTTCATATGCGACCGGAGGGAATCAAAGGCTCGGCGCTGGTGGCGCTCTGAATGCCGATCGTCGTCATTAGACCGCTTCAGCTTCTTCTCTTGAAGCTAAAGTCGAAGGGTTAGCAGCTGCCAGTTAGGGGCATGTTGTGAGTATTTGAACACATACGCGTTCGAAAATCAACTCCAGAATGTCTTTGTCAATTTTGGACGTGCGGCCATCATCTTTGATAACTGCCTCAAACTCCTGAAAAGTCGTCTTGGATGTGATTTCGAAACGTTTGTCCTAGATGGAATGGGTCAGCCACGGTCATCCTGAGCCCTCTTAGAATAACAAACACTCACGTCAATGACGTCCAGAACATCATTTCTAGGTCCTCTCAAGGCACGCTCCTCTTCTTCCACGACATCCCAAAACAACTCCATTGGAGTAGATCCAGGTTGACCAGCCATGGCCTTGTAGCGATCATCGTTCTCAATAGTCGGATATATCTGGGACCACTTCGTGCCAGCCTTGATCTTGCCGGAGTTCTTGAGTTCACCCACGAGTTTAATGAAGCTGTCGCGGGCTTGGCGCTCTTTGCGCAGCTTCATGTTTTTCTCCTTTTGTTTCGAGTCGTTGAAAGTCCGTTCCAAGCCCTTGACATGGTTTTGGAAGACAGTGAGAACATCATACTTGCTCAATGACCGATATTTCTCTTCCGTTTGATAGGGTGGTGAAATTTCGATCGTAACTTGAGCATCCGACCAACGAGTGTACGGCTCTAAGTTCAGCTTGGGAAGCAGCTCGATCAACCCTTCCATGGCGCTCTTGTGCAAGGCCAGCTGCTGCTCCTTGTGTGCCTTCTTAAGATCAACGATGTAATCTCTGAAGAGTTGACGCCGCTCGCCTTCATCATTTGTCGAGCGAAAGATGGTTTCGCCCTCGATAATGGGGAGGGCTTTCTTCCAGCGAGTATAGTGCTTGATTTCGGGATGGCTCCGTAGCATGGTTGCAAAATCTGCGCGAAGCTTGGCCAGTCTCTCCTTGGCCCGCTCCTTATCTTGAACAACTACATCGTGGCAGTACTTCTCAAAAGCGGTTTTGCGGTCTTTGGGGTCTTTGATGGCCCGAAACTGGGGGTCCTTGGCCATAGCTCGGACTGCCTGTTCAAAGGTCCAGTCAGGTTGGACGTTGCTCCGACGCAATAGCTTTACGAAGGCAGCCTCGGCCTCCTCCGGGCTGGCGTACTCAGGATCGTTGCTCGCTGGGACGAAAGCAGGAGCTTGGCCATTGTTGCCGTAGGTTAGCTGGCGAGATTCACCGAGCGGCTCGCGATGGTCGCGTTGGTCACGGTGGTCGCGATGCTCGCGATGGTCGCGGTTGTCACGATCACGATGGTCGCGGTCACGGTGGTCGCGGTTGTCACGGTTGTCACGGTTATCGCGATGATTGTCGTACGATCCACCGCCAAATCCGCCGCCAAAGCTCGCCTGGTGACCACCAGAAGGGAATGGGGTTGCAGGTGTTCTGTGATTGTCAGCCACGGCGCAACGCACTCAAGTATCCGGCGGATGAGGCTTGGTTGCATACGCAGGTGTCGTGGGCGTTGCGTCGCCCACGCCCAGAGCCCGCTTGTAGGCATCGGGCATTTCCCAGGAGCTCTGTTTCGTGTCTGTATTGTACCAGTACTTCTTGCCGCCCTCGGCGGTGTACTCCTTCCAGGGCTGGTTCGCGAGCGCACGCTGGAAAGGGAGTCATGGTCAGTACACATGGCCTCTAGTCCCGAATCAAGCGGGGGAGGAAGGGGCATACCTCGGCGGGTGTCATCATGTCCTCGGGCTTGGTCCATTGGGTGACCTTTGTGACTGAGTTATAGTAATACACTCTGCCATCGGCGGTGCGATGCTCCTGCCAGGCGGCTGGGCCTGGCGGGGCGAAGGGGGCGCCCATGCCGCTCATTGACGTCGGCGATGCGCTTTGGAGGAATCGGCAATCGTGCGCGAACTATTGACAGGAGCAACGAGGCCAAAATATTCCAATCAACCAAAAACAGCAGAGAGTCTGCTGAGACAGACAGCTGGCTATTGACGCGCTGCTAGACGCGTGGGGCCAGGAGGGGTGAAGACGCGGAAGCAGGTGAGCGAGGTATGAAGGTTCAAGGAAGGAAAGCATGCAGGACTGGAGCTCGAAATCATCAAGAAATTATTCCGCTCCTTCCTTAGTCTCGTGTCGCGGTACAGGCGCACGGGCCAATCTGACGACTTTTGGGGTGGAGAACTGCAAGGCTGCCCCACCCGCCTCTTCCCTGAAGCTGCAGGTACCTGGGTACCTTCCAAGGCGGGCGCCTTGTCAGACAGGGGTTGGGTGAGTTGGGCCTGTCCATCGATCGCATCACAGGATTGGTGGTTTGGGGAGTGACTTCGACTAACGACGTACGGAATGCAATTCAGCACTGAAAATCAGGTGTACATTTTTCATACCTTATGCACAATTGACTCCTTCGGTCCCTCTCAATACACGCCTCGCCAGGAGCCCCAACTGCATGACGTGCCGAAGAATGGCGCCTTGATTGAAAGAGAAGAAGAGAAGACTGTTATTCGACATGACTCTTCCTGAACGAGACCATGCTAGCGGCGGTGACAACGACGGCAACGGTGACGGCGACCTTCTTGACCACTCGTATCTCACCTATCTAATCCCCCACGCATCCAACTTCGGCGCCGAAAAGGCCCTTCGCTCTGGCGACGGGCAGCCTGGTCGGGGCAAGCTCGCTAGCATCGAGCAACGCGACGTGCTGTTCTTCGGTATGGAGATTCGCACGCTGCTCCCGCTCGCCCGTCTCGCCCCGCTTATGCGCAGATTTTTACAGATGAGACTGTCGATGTATACATTGTACTCCGGGCCCCCTGCGCCAGCGCCGAGATATTGCGCCCGTATTTACCGCGCCTCGTCATTACCCTCGACGCTCAAATTGTGAATGGCCATGCGCCGGATAGGGATCCTCCCGCGTCGGAATCTATCTACAATGGCACAGTTGAGGATACCCTGCAAGCCATAATCGTAGAACATGAGGAGGCGGGCGATGACGAGGAGGTAGAGCATGGCGACGAGGATGGAAGCGGTGCCAAGCGCCCACGGGAGCGTTATGCCTATGCTGTCTGGAAGCTCCCCGTCTTCCTAGCCCGCCCGAGGATCAGGCTGCAGGCTCCATCTGTTGTTCTATCTGCATCCGCAGGCCTAAAGCCACCGCGGCCCGGGCGGCTCGGCGTGCCAGACGATGGCTACATGGAGAGTGGCGTGCCTTCTGGGCTAAACCTGCTGCAGGCCTTTGCGGACGATCCGATGCTGGATCCGATGCTTGGCGGCGCGAAGCCGCGTCTCTCGGCTCTCAGGGTGTCCCGGGTTGCTCCCGTGACGCAGGCCAAAGAAGCCCTCCGCCGTTTCAAGGGTTTGCAAAGTCTCAGGCTCAAGATCTATCCTGTCGCCCACACACGGGTTCGCTTTGCAAGGCCCAACACAACTCCACCGAGCTCGGCACTCATAGCCATGCTCGAGGTCGACTTCACCCCTTTTTTCGAGTGCGAGGTCTCGCTCGATAAAATTTCTCTGGCCGTTACTGACGGCAGTGTGGAGAATCTGAACAGCGAGGAAGAGGTTGGCCTCCCTCTTAACTGCGTGGCTCACGATCACCTTACGTTCCTGTACCGGCTTGCACCTCGCGAGCTCGACATCGCCGCCAAAAACCTGTCGCGCGATCTTGTCATCACTATTGACATCACCGTCCTCGTGCGGTCTCCCGACGATGACCATGAGTCGGATCCGTGCACGCCCCGCCTGAGCATGACTTGGACCACTAACCTTGACTTCACCCTTCCGCTCAACCCGGGCTTCGGTCAGCCCCTTACGCAGCCCATCCAGCGAGCCCACCGGCCGAGCCAGCTCTCCATTGGCGGCGATGCGCACTCACTAGTGGCGCCATCTGTGAGCCGCCCCGACGCACTACCCTCTCTAGAGGCTGCCACGGCGCGCACCACAGATACGATGCTGCCAGATTTTGGCATCACAGTGACGTTTTCCGGCCCCGACGGGCCTGTCTACGTTGGCGAGGAGTTCCGCTGGACAGTGTTCGTCATGAACCGCAGCGGCTCCGCCGCGTCAGGTACCGGCGCTCCTGCTGCAGTTGTTGCCGCTGCCGCCGCGGGTGGTGTGACGCGACGGCTTGCGCTAGTGGCCATCCCACGCCGTCGGCGCAACGAGCTGCGCATCATGCGCCCGCCGTCGACGGCCGGCGCTCCCGGCTCTGGGGCCCGGCGTGACCCGCTCGTTGCCGACGCCGTGCTCGACGAGAACGTCGTGCACGCCATGCAGCGCAGCAGCGTCGTCGACAGCACCGAAATCGTCTGCCTGTCGGCCGACGTTCGCGTCGGCCCTTTGGCGCCCAACGCCTGCGCCGTCGTCGAGCTGCGGTTCTTAGCCCTGCGCGAGGGTGTCGTAGGCATCGAGGCAATTAGAGTCATCGATCTCGGAAGTCAAGAGCATGTCGACGTGCGAGAGTTGCCTACTACGGTTGTGGTCAGCCGCCGGAGTAGGACGGATGGGGGCTAAAACGGCGATGATGTGCAATGATGGTGCCGGTTGTGCGAGGGAATAGCAGTGAATAGATTAATAAATGGGTGGATGACGCACGGAACGATGTTGTACGTTGGTATCCTCGTAAAAGGTTATATTGATTTATTCTGTCACTATATCATAACGCCTGTCGAGAAAGATGCTTGCTCGTTCCTCTCCTATAGTTAAGAAGAATATGCCGATTCCCCTCCCATGCCGATGCGATGCTATGAACAACCAGACGCCCTCGTGCAAATGCCGCCTCCCTTTTTTCTGCCGAAATACGCCAGCCGAGCCCTTCACTGCCCGTCATTCATTTATTGACCCATTCACTCCTTCCCAGATGTTAATGCGCTCATATTCATTGAAGTAATGTCCAGAATTTCTCATAGGCCGTTTTGTTTCTCATCCTGCATGCATACTTCACCTGAGATTTTTGATTCTTTTTCGTTTTTCAGTCGTCCCAGCCCAGTTGCTGGTATATATCCACGACTTTTGTCACTCCTCCCCCTTTAACTCCGAGGTCATTGTTGGGGCTCACGTTGGATGTCAAGGAGGTGTCGCCCACGGGGAGCCTTGACTTGATCGGGGTGTCATTCAGGCCCATCGCCAACCTGTCTCTGGCCGACTTGGGGTTGACTGGTGTCTTGAAGAGCGCGGCCAGCCCTGGTGATGACGGCAGCATGTCTGTGGCGCCATGGCCTTTGCCTAATCGGATCGTAGAGACAGAGAGGTACTGAGAGTTTGACGAGGGCGCCGCTTTCCGGGCCATTATAGGAGAAGAATCGAGAATATCGTCGGCAGCCGACGGAGGCCGGACTGTAGTCTTTGGGGCAAACGCCTGCCGTGACGGTGTTGCCTGAATACTGTCTGATAGCGGCCTTGCAGTTGCGCTGGATGCACTCAGCATGTCTGCGAACTTGCGAGGCACGGTCGATGCAGGGATAACCGAAGAACTTGAAGGCACTGAGTCGAACACGGCAATCGAGGGTTGCGCCAGTTGTGGCAGCCGAGAATCGGCGGCAATCACGTCCCTGAAACGATTGTTGGCTGGCGTTGCCTTTATCAGAACAGCAGAGGCACGGCCCGGTTTCTTCACCTCTGTGGGAACCAGTTAGTCCGCTCCACGATTAGCTTTTGATGGCAGAGCACTTACTTTTAGGATGAGAGTTGCTGACAGACACTCGCTTCTCCGCCTCTTCAGTCAGCTCCTTGTTAACCAGAGCCCGGTTTGGCCTCTTGAGAGCGGAAATAGCATCCTTGAGCTCGGCCTCAACATCGACCTTTGGCTTAGCCTTTTGGCCTCCCAAATTGCTCGGGGCCGTGCTTCGCTTAAAGATATTAGATGTTTTGTCCTTTAGCGAGCCGATCGCCCCTCTGGGGATCATTGACAAGAGCGGTTCGCTTCCCTCCCTCTTCAAGCCGGGGATTGTGGTAGCACTCGCAGTTCGCATGAGAGCTATCGCTCCCGACGGTCCCCGTGAGGCGCTGCGTCTCATTCGCTCCTTGGATAGCACGCGCTCCAGTGTTCTCTCCTTGTCCTTCCTGAGGGTTGGCGCCGGTCGTTTAGTGGGTGCACCAGGCTTTGCTTTTAATGCGCTCAAGTGTTTTGCCTGCTTTTCCTTGGGGGGCGACTGCACAACCGGACCCCCTAATTTCCGGTTGATTGAACCACAGAGTTCGGGCAGCCGCGCAGAGAAGCTGTGAGTCAAGGTGAGCCATTGAACTAAAAATGACAATTTGGTGAACATGGCAACTTACAAAGGCACTATAATGTCGACACAAAAGTCCCTCAGGGAATCGGAGTTGACCCTATCCGGTCTCTGTGGTTCTGACCCCCCGCCCAGAGCCTGAGACTCGGCTAAGGCTTTGACCTCATCGGTTGTCGTAGTCTGCCAGATGCAGAGACGGTCGGCGTGGACGTCGAGAAGCACAGGCAGGTTGTTCTTGCTTCGTTTTTTCGTAGCCGCCTCTTGCACCGCCTCCCGAGGAATTGTCTGGGACTCAGCCCCTGGCAGCTGGATCTCTTCGGTGTCTTCTACCGGCCGGCTTAGCGGCTCCAGTGCCAGAATTTCGAGGATCAGTATCATCTGCATCTGCGTTTCTCTTTTCCGCAGGCAGGAAATGTGATACTTTGTTTCTATATCCCTCGTGGACTTCTCGCTCTCGCCGTTGCTAACCGGCTCGTGAACAGCCCACCACCGTCTCACGTGTTCGTGCTCTGATGGGTACAGGGCGTCCTTGCCAAGCCTCGGCTTCTTGGGCTTTCTTTTCTTAGGTTTTGTCTCTCCGTCACCCGACTCGCCGACGAGGGTCTTCAGTTTCTCTATAATACCAGGCATTGTTTCCCGGTATTTCTTGTCTATCACCACTGTTGTCATGACGAGGCTTTTCAAGAAGTCTATCAAGTCGTTCATTTCAAGATTCGCATCACAATCTAAATGAAAGGCCGCGCGAGCTTGAGACAGCGGCCCTTTTGCAAAATAGGCCAGCGAACCCTATATAAGTAAGTAAAAAGAAACAAGCAGGCAATGTCGAACAACTTACCATAGAATGATACAGAGCCTCAATATATTGCATTCTGACATTTTGGAATATGTCTTCAGCACTCGGCTGCGCTGGGATATCAAGGTCAGGCTGCAAGGCTGGAGCGAGGCTACCCTGGCCGTCTGGTAGTGGCAAGGGGACATCTGCGGGCGCCTTGATGGGCGCCTCGACTAGTCCGCTGTCTTGGGTGTCCATAACTTCGGGCGCTGGTGTCTGCTCCTTGGGTGTCGATGCCTGGCTGGAAGGATCCTTGTCTGTCAGTGCGACGACAGAGCGTTTCCGGACCATGGACTGAATCTCCTCAATGGCAAGCCTTCTCCTCTTGCTTTCCTTGTACATATGCGGCGTGATCATGGGCGCGACGGTCGACTCGTCAACTTTTATTGATCTGCGGCTTCTCATGGCCTGACTGCACACGACGGTGGCATTGAGAACGAGGTTCCCAATATCAACCCAGGCGCCGAGCTTGCAAAGCACATACAAGCCGCTGCCTTCGCGCTCGATGGCATATATTATGCGGCTGGTCTCGGAGCGTGCAAGAAGCACGTTAGACCCTAAGCGACCCTCGAGGTCCAGGATTTTGATTTTGGACTCGAACAAGCGGCTGGCTGGGAAATCTCCGTGGGGCTGTGCGAGATCGAGGGCAGACAAATGGAGATGTTCACGCGGGAGAAGCATTAGGGGCTGCAGGATTCGCGGCTTCACTGTCAGGGTCGAGGGACGTGGCTTGTAAAGCAGAAAGTGTCAGTTTCAACCCAAGTTCTCACACGACTTGGTCGAGGCAGCCAAGGGGGAAAACATACCTTGAGGACGATGGGCGCCTTGAGAAGGTGGTCGGCGGCGGGGGCTTGTAAGCTTGAGTCTTCCGTGTCGGGCCTCCTGCGCTTTTTGGTACCAGACGACGATTGCGAAAAGGCATGGCGGGCGATTTGCGCCTGTGGTTGAGACTGGGACTGAGACTGGGACTGGTTCAGGGCCTCAGCGGAGAGAGGTGCGAGGATGCTAGAGCTCGAAGGTGGACGCGACGCGCCAGAGCCCAGCCTCGAGGCCGAAAACATATTGATATAGGAAAAATACTGGCCATCAATGGTGCTGCATGTTGCTGAGGTGGATTGGCAACCGACAAGACCGGGCGAGTATAGAATGTGGGGATCCAGTGCTTGTTAGACCGTTTGATCGAGGACGGTCCGTTGCAGGCACAGGTCCCGCAATCGCGCGGTCGATAACGCGTCTTGCCAATGACGCGCAAAATGCTTTGAACAGTCCAACTGTGGCTAGATTAGACCGGGCCTAGCTGGCGCCACCGTCAGAGCCACCGCCACCCCCACAATTACAGGAGTCGACCCCACACGGGAATCCTGCAGAAAACATAATGTAAATCTGATAGTAGTCGAGATACCCAGACACGAGACTCGGGATTCCCATTTACAAAGACTCCGTATTAGACTTTACACCTCTAATATTACTCCAGTAGTATTAAAATGACAAGGTCATTCGTACTAGTCACTATAGTAACCGCTACGAAAGGGTGGGGTGGTTGTGTTACTCGTTGTCACGACCAGGGCAAGGCATTAAGGTGAACTCAGTCCATTGGGTACTATCGACGAAGATTCTAAACTGAGGAGGGAAAGAAGGAAAAGTCCAACAACGCGTCGCGTGCTCGCGAATAAGTTTTCATCTATCAGTGGGGTAGGTGGGGCCTCGAGGAGGCTTCTGATAGGCCCGGGGGTTCTGGGCGGTTCTGGCTGCTTGAGGGCCAGTTTGGTGGACGGGTCCTCACATTACCCCCTTCCAAGCTCTGAGCGCCTGGCGTTCAGGAAGCTTGAAAGAGTACTGCGGGGGCAACTCAAGTATGCCTGGTGGCATGCTTCTTCTTTGTCCTCCTTCCCGTCGCATCGTGTTCCGCCACTTCATCATCCTCATGATCGCGACTGAAAGCATCGTCTGCCGCGTCTCGTATCCATTGCTGTAATCTCACTGGCGGACCAGCAGCCTCCGGGTGTTCTTTGTGGAAGGACTCCAGCAGTAATGGAGAGTTCTTGAGATCGCCAGCTGGATACCAGGTTTCGTCGGGATCCAGGCCGACCCAAGACACTTGGTATTGGAGCTTCTTTCGTTGATCGAAGCTGGCGAGGAGACTGGCCATAACCTTGCGATCAGGACATTTGCGAGCTTGGTGTCCTGGCTTCTTGCACACGAAGCAGAGGTCGGCTGCCTTCAGGATTTCCACCTCCTTCTCTATCGGTCGAGGTGCTGGGGCAACAGGGGTCGTGGTCGTCTTGACCTCGTTCTTGTATTCTCCAGACCGGCGGCGTCGAGCTTTGCGTTCGGTGGGGGACTTTTCTCGGCGTTTTCGACGCTCTTCGTAAGCTCCCTGCTTGGAGAGAGCGGCGCTGGTGACGAGATCGCAAAATCTCTCGTACGTGACGGTCGGATCGCGGGCATCGGCGAGGAGTCGGGTGTCGAGGTCTCTAGGGATATGGGCGAATAAGGTATTCTTGCTTTCTTCAAGGGGGATCTTGGCGCGGGCTGCCAGACCGTTAACTTTCGCGATAAATGCATGAATGTCGTCGGACGGGTTGTAGCGAAGCTCGCGTAGTTCGTCAGCCGCTTTCAAGGACTGATTTGCGTTGAAGTAAGCATTGGCCAGAGTGGCGATCATCTCGGCTGTCGAGTGGTATGGATGGGTAAGAGCGTCATATCTCGAGCGAAGAAGATCGGCGGGTACTCCTTTTGTAGAGGCGTAGACCAGGTCCATACGATCTCTCTCGTCGACAAAGGTCTTCTTGTCTCGACGACATTTGGCTGCCAACTTGAGAATCCAATCATCGAATTGGTCTTTCTCTCCTTCGAAGATGCCAGGATCCTTCCGTGATTCTCGGGCCCTTGCGTCATAGTCCGGGTTGGGATTGTCTTGTCCTTCGTTCCCAGGGAACGGGGCGAACTCGGGTTTGGCAGCTGGTCCGACTGGCTTAAAAGCAGTTCCGCCAAACAAGCTTTGAGCTGGGGTTATATCGCGAGCGGCGCTGGGTTGGCGAATGGGTGTAGAGGAGCGGGCATTTAGCTCGGCTTGGAGCCGGGCAATGGTGGCTTGAAGCTCTGTAGTGGTAGGCGTGGAGGAGGCCATGTCTGCGGTTGTTGATTGTGGGGTGGGTGTACCTGTGGCGATCATCTCGTCGTCTGTTGGTGCGGGGCGGAGGTTGTAATGGGTCAATTGTCGGTTGACTTCCGATTGTTCGGTGAGGATGCTGGAGTTCGTTATCTCGACTTCGACAGAGGCGAGAGGTGTATCTTGATCAGGGTCTCGCGCGGTAACAGCGGGCGATCTGCTTTCGGTGTTGCTGTTGGTAGTGACAGGTACTTCTGACTCGGGGTCACTGGGGTCTTCGGCGGGCTTGTTTAGCTCTGGGCTCGAGGGTGTATCGAGGACGGTGTCGTCTGGTACTTTGGCTGTGATACTCGATTCTCCTGTTGGGGTCCGGTCGCTGCTATCTTTTTTAGAGAGTCGATCGGATTTGCGTGTCGGTGGGCCGTAATCTTTCTTCGGCGGCATTGACTGTGCGGGGGTTCTGTGCCTTAGTTTTGCGTCGTGTACAGCCGACGTAGGGGTTGCAAATGAATGCGGGAATGAGGGAGATATATTTTACTTGCTTCGCCAGCAAGGAAGAGAAGAGTTTAGAATTGTGTCACGACCAGGGCAAGGCATTGAGGTGAACTCAGTCCATTGGGTGCTATCGACGAAGATTCTAAACTGAGGAGGGAAAGAAGGAAAAGTCCAACAACGCGTCGCGTGCTCGCGAATAAGTTTTCATCTATCAGTGGGGTAGGTGGGGCCTCGAGGAGGCTTCTGATAGGCCCGGGGGTTCTGGGCGGTTCTGGCTGCTTGAGGGCCAGTTTGGTGGACGGGTCCTCACACTCGTATTCTTTTATGTCCACCAAAAGGATCACGAACTACACCTCTACCGGGGAAATACATGTTAGCTTGGTACGTTGGTTACTATTAGTATTTTCTAGGGAAATGTCGCTAATCACTAACTTTGCCACCTTCCCACGCTAACATGTATTACCCCGGAGGAGGTGTACGGGGACACGAAGGCGCTCAGTCAGGGTGCCCCGCGGTCACGTGCTACACCACATGTTGGGCAGGTGTGGCCCGTGGGCTGACCTGATTGATCGGTAACTCCCACAGTTAAAATTAAAAAAACACCATTCAGGGGCTAATAGCAAGAATAAAATAGATAATATCTCCCAAATCCACAAAGTATGCAACAGAGGGGAATTGAACCCAACATATAAGACGTCCGCATGAGTTACTGACATGAGGAGTTCCAGCTTCTTCCCATATTAACTCCTCTGTAGGAATTACCGATCAATCAGGTCAGCGCACGGGCCACATCTGCTCAACACGTGGTGTAGCACGTGACCGCGGGGCATCCTGACTGAGCGTAGCACGTGACCGCGGGGCACCCTGACTGAGCGCCTTCGTGTCCCCGTAGTTCGTGATCCTTTTGGTGGACATAGAAGAATACGAGTAACACAACCACCTCACCATTTCGCAGCGGTTACTATAGTGACTAGCACGAATGACCTTGTCATTCCAACATCCTCATTACAACCTAGAACTACGCGTAACCTGATCACAAATATGTTACGGGGCAGCCTCTAAACGTGTGATCGGTCTTTCTAACTTTACGTTAAGTAGGTAACCTAGGTAGGTAATCGATTCACTGTTTGGCGTGACCGTATGTCACGTCTGTTCCAAAGCTGGCCAATTAATGCGGCACTAATTAATGATGCCTGCCTGCCTTGCCTTCCAACTATTTTTCGACGGCACGATGAAGCTTATTCTCGATGCACCCAATTAATCGAGATCCCGGGCTACTACTGCTCATTAAGCGGCCCTGCCCTGCCTTATCGCGCCACGTAAGGAAGGAGGTCGAAAGGCGCTCCACTGCCGGAGCTAATCGTCCGCCATAGATCTTACTTCAAAACACGCAGTGACATTTCATACTCTTGTAAATATCCGTAGGTATTTTCCTAGCCCGTACACTGGAGTGTAGGGGAATTTGGATGCCAGCTTGGCATCGCAGCACCAGGGCTCCCGTCTTTGAGCTGGAGCCTCCAGGCTCGGCGTGCTACCGAACATTGGACGTGCTCCTCCGCCCCGTAAATAAGAGGTCAGCCGCTATCCGTCCATACCTAGCTTGGATTTCGGGAGCTCCATGCACGCCTGCTGCCCACCACACCCGGTGCCAATCCATCCTGTTTGCCACTGGGGAGTTTGAGATGGTGTATGCCAATCTTCAAACTCCACAATTAACACATCGAGATCTTCTATCCGTTCTTCCCTCGCTCTTTTTATTTTGTTTTTTTTTGGTTGACGCAAGGCATAACGTCCAATGGAGTCTGGCAATTGACCCATACACTGCCAGCGCCAGCGCAGCGCCATCGTTATCCCCATCGCCGTCGCCGCTCCCCCACTCTGGCCTGTGCTATATATCCCATGGCCTTGTCGAACCGCGGCTGCGACATCTTGACTCCCCCTAGAAGCGGGTAATCGACCTTCTTGGGGCCCGGCCTAGCCCCCCTCATCTGATTCTTGTCGGCCTCGGCCTCGGCCTCGGCCTCGAACTCGTCCGATCATGGCGAGCGAAACCTCCCCCCGTTCCGTGCGCTTCTCGCAAGCTGAGGATGAGCAACTTACGCGCTCCGAAAGGCTGAAGAACGGAGTGCGCCCCGTGACTACCACGGTCGATTCCGAAAACTCGGGGTCCTCAGGAGACTCGTACTCGGACGTACACGCCCTAGAACAACAAGACGGACTAGGCTCACTTCCCAGATATGTCGACGCCAGTTCTCATCCCGGCTCCGCCGCGACGCCGCAAGCCCCGCCCGCCCGCCCCCCCCAGCGTCCTACGGCGCCCATCCGGACCCCTTCCAACACATACCAGCCCTATGTGCAAAGGCGACCTACCCAAACACCTGCCCCCTATATGAGCGCCGGTGCCCCTCATGCCCGCGACGGTTCGAGGCCACGGCCTATCGGCACCTCCAATTTCCGCGCCCAAGAGCGCGAGTACGTGCGGAGACTGCGCCAGCAAGACTACAACAATGACTATTTCGACACGCTCGGCCCTGGCGAGCAGTACGACTCGGACTCGGAAGGCGAGACGCCCTCGTCCGAGGGGCCGTTCGACAGCTACGAGGATGCACACATTATGTTCGTTAATAACGAGCAAAGTCAAATTTCCGAAGAGGACCTGAAGGACGTGCGGAACCGCGAGAGGCTAGAGTGGCACGGAATGCTTGAGGCTGTACTGACTGGCGACGTTGTTCGCCAGGAGAAGAAGCGTCTCATTGGGACGGCAGACGACGAGTTCGGCTTGACCGTCCACAAGTCGGAGCTGTGGCTAGGCATTCGCTCTCGCATGTGCGGAAGGCATATGTCAGTCCAAAAGCGAATGATTGAGGATGCACGGTCGGCTCTAGATCGGTCTGTAGAAGAAATCGTCAACTTCTCGATTGCCGGCGAGAGTGAGGCGGGGAAGCCACCCATCGACCAAGTTCGCGATATAGTCGCCAAGATTGAAAAGATCGAGCGGCTCTTTCCCTCGACTGGTGCGCTCAATGAAACGCTCAAGCCCAGCACCCAGGCAGCATACATAGAGACGTGCAATACCGTGATATCGTGGTACAACGTCAATGAGATGATCAACACGGAGCTGTCCATCCTGAAGAAATGGGTCGGCAACGACGCCCTCGATTTCCAGCGGCCTAAGGACATGTCGCCCAACGAGAACAGCCTGAGTGACGATTCATCCTTTTTAGACCGCCTCATGAAGGAGGAGGGTCTCAAGTCTCTCCACGAAGATCCCGGCGCCGACGCCAAGAGCCTCAAGAAGAAGAGCATGCTGGATGGCATCTCGAGGGTCATCTTGAAGGCCAAGCAGACCCTCATAGAAAATGCAGCCGGTTTCCAAAAGCGCCATCTCCCGCCATACATTGAAGAGCTTCTGACCCTGATCAGCTTCCCGTCGCGCCTTATTGAGGAGATCATCAAGGTCCGGTTGGCCTATGCCAAGAAGATGAAAGACTCGGCGCAGCAGAACCCCATGATGCAGGATCAGATGATCTCGCAGTTTCAAATTCTCCTCAAGTTGGCCATCAAGATCAAGGCCGAGTACATGATGATTTCCCAGCCACAGCCCAGCTGGGATCTCCCCCCGTGCATTGACGAAGACTTTGACCACGTCATCCTAGACGCGCTCAAGTACTACTTCAAGATGCTCAACTGGAAGCTTAGCGGCAACAAAAACACATTCAAAGAGGCTGAGTTGCTGTTCCAGGAGTGGGGATTCGGAAACGAGGTCGGCAGTATGTTGACACGCGGCGACGTCGAGGTCGCCGAGCAGTTCAGTTCGCTCACCAGCAAGGCCTTCAATCGGCTCAGCCTGACGTTTGAGAAGGAGCTCCAGCGGAGACCGAAAGAAAGCGTGGGCGAGATGATCAAGCGATACAAGCAGCTCTTAGACTCTGTCCGGGTCCGCGAGAGAATGCTGCAGCGCTTCTCCAGGATGCTTAATGAGAACTACGAAAACACGTGCGACTTCAGCATTGCCTTCCCCCCCGACAGGCTGCAGGACCTTTTCGACCGTCTGATAGAATCAGGCCACTTTCAGGTCTACAACAACAGCCCCGTGCACGACAACGTCTTGATCATTGCATCTCCCTCTCTGCGTGGCCGCCACGAAGAAATCCAGTTCCTGATGGGCACATTTTCCTTTGAACAGGTTGCCGAAGATTCTTCAAATCCCTACCTCCTCATCCTCAAGGCCGAGGACCCCCCACATTGGTTTGGGCCAACCCTCAACCTGTCTTTGCGGGATGAGCCCTTGGACGTCAAGCTAGGGCATATGAGACTTGTCGCCAGCGGTTCGAAAACGCGTCTAGCCAACACCAGGAAAGCTTTCCTCGATACCATTGAAATGCAGATAGACTTAGTTGTTGAGCAGAGGTCCAACCTGCAGAAGGTCAATGTTAGGCTCATGGAAATTCGCAAGGTTGCCTTCAAGCTTTCCAACTCCTTCATGGATAGCGTCGAGGCGATTAGGCGGCAAACCCAGGGCCTCAACTGTCAAGAGCTCATCCAGACCTGCTTCATCTTTGCAACCGAGTTTGGCCAGCGGTCGTTGCTTTACATGGACAACAACCGGAGGTCGATGAACAATATGAAGCTTACCAAGCTCGCGCTTGACTGGGTGAGCTTTATCTGCGACGACTGCAACCCGTCGGACCGCAAAACCTTTCGATGGACGGTCCAGGCCCTCGAGTTTGCCATGGGCATGACGCAAGGCAGACATATTCTAGCCCTTGGCGATGACGAATATGCCAAGCTGCGAGCCAAGGTTGCCGAGTGCATGGCACTCCTAATCTCGCACTTTGATATTATGGGTGCCAGGTCGAGTGTTGCCGCGCAGGCTGAAAAGCAGAACATGGAGGCTCTCATGAGCCAGCTGAAGAGACTCAACAAGGGGCAGAGCATGGATGACGACGAAGCCGCCAAGTATATCCAAGAGCACCGGGTCAAAGAGCTGCAGAAAGTGGACGATTATAGGAAGGAAATACTACTCGAGCGCTCAGCCATGGGCAGGGTTTTGGAAGCCTCAAACGACGTGGATCGGTCCGTCGCATGGCTCTCTTCCACTGCCAACAACTTCACCATGAGGTGGCAACAGGGCCACTTTGTGGGTGGAGGTACTTTCGGAAATGTCTACGCGGCCATGAATCTCGACACTGGCCAGGTCATGGCGGTAAAGGAGATTCGTCTGCAGGATCCCAAACTGATTCCCAACATTGCAGGCCAAATTAGAGATGAAATGCGTGTTTTGGAGTCAATTGACCACCCAAATGTGGTGTCCTACTATGGCATCGAAGTACACCGAGACCGAGTGTACATGTTTATGGAGTTTTGTTCGGGCGGCTCGCTCGCCAGTCTGCTCGAACACGGCCGCATTGAGGATGAGCAGGTCATTACGGTATATGCACTACAGCTCCTCGAAGGCCTTGCATACCTTCATGAGCTTAGGATTGCTCACCGCGATATCAAGCCAGAGAGTATGTGCTCTCTTTTCCCCATGTTCGCACTGAACATTCACGGAATTTGCTCATCAAAAAAACTCATTTAGATATCCTTCTCGACCACAACGGAATCATAAAGTATGTTGATTTTGGAGCCGCCAAACTTATCGCACGCCAGGGCCGGACTCTTGCACAGGATCTCTCCAGCTCCAAACCCAACAAGTCAATGACGGGAACACCCATGTACATGTCGCCGGAAGTCATTAAGGGTGAAAATCCGGGACATTTTGGCGCCGTCGACATCTGGTCGCTTGGCTGTGTCATCCTCGAGATGGCCACGGGCAGACGTCCGTGGGCAAACCTGGATAACGAATGGGCCATCATGTACAACATTGCCCAGGGCAACCCGCCACAACTTCCGCTCCCAGACCAGCTCAGTCCGCTAGGTCTCGATTTTTTGAAGCGCTGCTTCGTCCGAGACTCTAAGAAGCGGGCTACTGCCGTCGAGCTGCTGCAGCATGAATGGATCATGACCATTCGAAACAGAGTGGTGCAGCCGGGGACTCCTAGTAGTGATACCAGCTCCTCAGCGCAAACTACCCCAGGGATGCCTCCGCCATCGGCCAGCATGAGGGGAAGTGTTGGAGATGGTTTTTATTAAAATGCTCACAAGAACATGAGCGCTTGGTCTCCAATAGGGCCAAACAGCACAAATTTTGTGTCTATGAATTCTGTCGGCGTGTCTTCTTCCCTTCCTTTTTTCACTTCTTTCTTCATTGAGGGCTTGACTTTTTGTCAAGGCGAATGCAGAAAACGATACCCCCTAGAAACATATTGCTTGAAACATATTGCTTGCGTTTTTTTTCTCTCCTCTTTTTGTCAATATGGCTTCGGGGCGATGGTGTGCTCTTTTTATCCTGGCACTGACAAACTGTATACGTATCCAGCAAGCCCCTTCACCTCTGCTTGGTGGAGGAGAGAAAGAGGTCGGAATTTTTACTTGTTTATTTCTTCGTCGATGATATAGCTGAATAGAAATAGCTCCCACATAATGATGCCATGACTGTCCGAAGTTCCATGACCATCTACATGTGCGGTGCAAGTGTCTTGCGTATACCGGAGTGGGCCACTTACAATAATTGTTCCCGCGGACTACGGGCAGGTGGCCAGTCAACAGAGACAACTATGACGTCTTGCTGCGCCCGTGTCTCTAATGCTGTCTCATCGCTCAACTAACACTGGCCGCGCTGCTGCAATACAACTCCGGATAAATATCAGCGAGGTAGCTGGCGGTTATCAGGCTTTTACCGCCCTCGTAACACCTCCAACGTCCCAGAGGTTCCAGTCACGTTGCTGACAGGGACTAGCAAATACGCGCCACCTGCGTGACGTACATGTTGTATCCGTAAGTCCATCTACTGTAGGGCATCTCCCTATGTTTAGGTATATAGGTCAGTAGAACAACTCAGCGCCAACCAGTACCCAACTAGACGACAACCCAGGACCAACACAGTACCAACCTGGACCTAACCAGACGACAACCCAGAGCCAACCAGGACCTAACTAGATGGCAAGCCAGAGCTAACCTATAGATAAGATGGCTCTAAATCGACAGCAGTATAGTACGTACTGTACAACATATAGTGAGAAGGGGACTAGGAGATACGTTGTTGTGCATAGGAAAAGAAGTGGGGAATAACATGCTGGATCCTCGACTTGTGTGATGGTTCAGCTAGCTGGGTCGCTTAGCCACGGCGAAACATGTTGATGTCCAAAGTCGACACTCCCACTTCCCCACGGTTTTGTTAGACTCACTTTTTTAGAAGCCCGATTCAGCGAAAGCCAGGTACATGATATATGTTTTGTGTATTCATATACTTGTATATATTCGCTGATATGCGTGCTGCATATGCGACGAGAGCTGAGCTAAAGCCCGAGTTGCGAGGTGCCCGCCACCAGCCAGACGGAACTTGGTATTTGGTAATGCCCCCCAAAAACTCCCGCAGTATCAAGTCGCCATCCCCCATCCCAATTCCGTTCCAATCGACTGTGCAGTATCGTGGCAAATAAACATAGGAGCCTCACCCAGCCCCCCAGCTCCTAGCGGTAATGTTTTCTTCCTGACCCAAAGTAACACACCTCGAGCAGGTTCAAACCTTCGTCTGATAGCGGCGCACACGCTGGACCGCAGCGAGCTCTCCTGTCAGCGAGTATGTATGGGATACAGAACCACCACGCCTTCCGAAACGACCTGCCCCATCCCAAACCCCATTTCATACTTTATCATATTACATTAAACGAGTGCGCGTTTGAGTATCAGCCCGCAGCCTCGTGTACTGACTGGGCTTGAGCGACAAGAGGCCCCTAGAATCGCAGATTAAACAAACAAAATCGCTCGAAAACACCGCCGGATAAATCATTATTTTTTTCTGGTGAAGCCGCGCCCGCCAAGCGAGTGGGCTAATCACGAATGTTGGTACAGAGTGACCCATAGGGAGCGAGGGTTGTTGATGTGTGAGGTAAGCGGGTCCATAGGCAGACGAAACCCGCTTTCGGTAAATATGGTAGTTCATATAGAGAACAGTAAATAATACAATGGCGCGACCTTGTGTTTGTGTCGTCACTTATCTGTGCTGAAGTCTTGCGGAGTGACGTTTTGGGCGAACTGGAATTGCTTGGATCTGGGTGGCCCACCGGGCGAAGACCGTGCCGACGACTCAGGCCGATAGGAATCTGGGAAGTTGTACTCTGAATTCGCAAGGTTGCTTGGTAGATTGCTTGTGAAGAAACTAGTATATGTTGGCCCAACCGAAGGCGGAAAGGATGGTGTCGGGGGTTGGCTAGCCACATAGCCAGGCATTTGCGGCGCCATGGAGAATTCAAGCTCGGACCCTCCGTGACTGCAGAGACTGGGTGTAGGCAGAGGCTCATCGTGTGGCACGTAATTCCATGCTTGGTCAACCGAACTCGGATAGCACGAGTCTTGGAAGCCAATAGGCAGACCGGGAGTACCGGGTGGAGTCTTGATGGTGGGTTCGCTTTTGTACATATGAAGGCCATTGATGCTTCCCATAGATCCATACGTGTAGCCGTGTTCCTCGTCTGAAGATGCATTCGTGGTGACGGTATTCTCTCGCTGTTCCTGGCCGCCCATTCCGTCCGAAGCCAATGGGGGAGACATAGCGCTATTTAACGAGGCCATCATGGGGGAGTGCGCGCCCTGAAGGGACTGGTAGAGCACCTCCTTGTTTCGGTCTAGGCTGAACGGCGACCTTGGACCTCCAGCTAGCATAGCCTTCTGAACCCGTCCAGATAAGCTCCCGGTCGCAGAGGAGATTCGCCTGAGCGGGCTCGCCGTATCTGCTCTCCGGGGTGCGTCGAAGGCGGTTTTCGGTCCGGGACAGTGTGAAGCACTTCGCAACGACGTAAGACCAAGCGGGGCAGGGCGTTGCATGTTCCTGCGGCTTGCAATGTCGGCGGATGGAGGCGGAGACTTGAATCTCATTTGCGATACCGACGGGGGAGAATCAGGAATTGCGGAGGGTGAAAGGTTTTCCTCTTTGATTACATCCTCGGTCAGCTCCTGGTGGGATGGCGACTCATGTTCGTTACTCCTTGCCGCATTTTCTGCTATCAACTCAGAGGGAAACTGTGGGAGTGGCGGAGATGAAAAATAGTCTCTGTCCGGAAATAAATGGAATGGGCCCGAATCCCGAAGGATTCCGGCGTGAGAGGGTACATCGTCGTAGCAGGGCTCCCGAAAGCTTGCCATGTCTATTGGCTCCGATAATCCATAGGCGTACGACGGGCCACGGAACTCTGGCTGGTGCGGTGTCAGAGCGAAAGAGCTGGATATGGCGGCCGGCGGGGCGAGTTGTGGAAGACCGTGAGCGTGAAGGGGATGTGGGCTCGACGGCTCATAGTCAATATGAACAAAACCGTCGCTGTCAGAACTTGTTGGGGTACTATTGCCTCCGGCGATTGGAGGGAGGGTCGGGTGGTCAACCGGGTCGCAAAAGCTGTGGGAGTGGCGGTCGAGATTTGCATCGCCAGTGCCAGTGTCGTCGTCTTCGTCGTCCTCCTCCTCGTCCTCTCCAAAAGTGGCAGTCGACAGGCCTAGAGATTGATGGTGATTGCTCAGTCCGTAGAACTCGCTGATGGTGCCTTGCCCCTGATCATCCGATGACTTGGTTTCCGAGGCGGCTCTTTCTCTAGCCTGTTGAGCCTCAAACTCTGCCGTCTTCTTCATTTGCTTCTCCTTTGCACGCCGGTTCTGGAACCAATTCTACCATGACACGTTAGAACCGCAAACATTCATCAAGTCCGTTCAAAACGCACATTTATCCTGGGCACCTCGACGCCCATCTGTTCGGCTAGCTCACGCTTGGTGCTGCTGTTTGGCTTCGGGTTCTTCAAAAACTCCCTCTCTAGTAGTTCGACCTCGTCCTTTGCCAGCCTCGGTTTTGGCTCCGTCTGCTTCGAGGCATGCATATTCCCTTGGCCAATCATGGTCACCGCTGCTCGTTGGTGTTGTTGGTAGAATGCCATCAAGTGGTGATTCCAGTACGGATATTGCTGGGGGTGTTGTTGCCCATGTTGCTGATCTCCGTAAGTCTGGATGGGAAGGCTGGAATATGGGCGGCGATAGGGGTCCATCATCTCCATGTCCATATTGAAATGTCCGATACGGTTCCCACGGGGGGGACGGTTGAGCCAAGCTGGCAAGGGGAAACAGGCGAGACTCCAGGAGTCGATACCAACCAAGCAAGATATTGGGGCCCTCGGGTCGCTTGGGCGAGACGAGGCAACGCCTCTAGAAAAGCCGAGTTATGCGTGGTAGTTCTAAGTAAAGAGTGACTGAGGATTGAGACAAGCGAGGCGAGGGAAGTTTCCTAGTTGATATGGTAGGGAGCCTGATCAATAAACTGGGGCCAGAGGGGGGGGAGCTTGGGAGGTGGGCACTGCTTTGGGGAAGGCGAATTTCAACCGGTTTAAGAGATAATGAGGGGCCTGAAGCCACCGGAGGAAACAGAGACGGAAAAGGGAGGGGCGAGACACAACTTGTGTAAACAGGGTTTGTCTTGTCTCTCTTTCCCTGGGGAACTCGTCACGGCATGGACCAGTTCGACGGTGTCCACGGAGAGCAAATCACGACAAGACAAGGCAAGAGAGAGGCACCCGAGGGAGGGGGCGTGGAACAGAAGTAGTACTCAGTTCTTCCGGGCCCTGTGCTTTGCATACGGGTATCCTCTGAAGGAGTCCTGGATATTCCGTGGAGCGGGCTTCTTTGCCGCGAGGGCAAGGTGGTGGTGGTGGAGGTGGAGGACCTAGAGCCTAGAGCCCGGAGCCCAGAGCCCAGCATTCGTCTAGAGCTCAGAGGAGCCAGCCAGCAGCGCCAGTGATGGTGTGGTTCGGTCTGCACGCGGTAGGCGCTGGGACGGCGGCGGGTGGGATGGGCAGGGGTGGGAAGACTAGGGGCTGGGGCTTGGGGGAGGGCATGGGCAAATGTGCCTGTGCGTGTGAGAGGCGAGAGATCCTCGACAGGGGTCTAGTGTGGGACATTGTCATCGTCGACGACGCGCAGAACCTCCACGTACCGCTTCTGACACGGGTACCGAAGTACCTCTGGAGACTTTCTCGACCTTGGGTGGGTGGACAAGAGAACCGCGAGGGTGGGGACCGAGGTGGAAGCTAACGCACAGCAGACCAACCGGCGCCCCGGGGCATTTTTCTGACCAGCGTCCAGCACGGGGAGGGGAGGCTGCGTGGAGGGCGGCGGACAGACAGTGTGCAGAGGCTGGGAGCTGGCGCTGGGGGCTGTCGGTACGCCTTGGGACGGGGAATCCCACCCTGTCGGGGCCCACAGCTGGATGCCAGGACCAGGGGTAGGTGCAGCGGTGCAGCTTGCACAACCTAACCTTGGGACCTTGGGGTTCCCAGGAAGAGTGGAAGAGAAAGAAGACCGACAACGGCAACGGACAGGGCCCCGCCAGTGACGGACGGTTGTATCCCTGGCCGCCCTGCTTGAAGACTCGACAGGTGCAGACGGTCGCCACTAGCACCCCAGACCCTGCCCGACGGCCGACCTGACTGACGCCCGTCCAGGACACAGGGCACCAGGGCACGGGGCACAGAGGACCCGAGCACGAGCTGAGATGCAATGCAGCGCAAAACCAGACAACAACGCAACCACGCGGTCTTTGGGCTGACGAGAACGCCCCGGCTGCGCTGCAAGCTGCAGTGCGGAGACGGAGAGAGCCTTGCGGCATCTTGAGCATCAAAGATCAAGACTACTCGAGCCTCGATGCCCGACCCCGGTGAGAATGAATTAGCTACCAAGGCGAGTAGGTAGGTAGGTATGGAACGGTCGGAAGACGGAATCGGAGCCGACGTGGAAAAGGCGTTTGAAGGCGCCCCAAGGCGGGCGCGCACACACACGGGAGGAGGGGAGGGGGCGCGAGGCTTCAAGCGCGTCTTGAAGCCGGGCGGCACCGTACCGCGGCGCCAGCAGGAAATGAATACTACCTACCGTGCTCCGACCTACGGAGTACTGTTTGTACATACAGTACTGTATGTACAATACAAAAGGTTCCAACACACCGAACTTGGTCAAATTCGATCGATGGTGCTATCGAGACGTGGGCGTGACGACCTGAGGCAGCACATGCCAATCGCGACGCAATAATGGTTGCTTGCTCTGCTGCTGGTGGCCGTGAATCCGTGGTAATATCAATTCGGCGGCGGCTTGATCTTCAGCAAGGGACCAACTACTGGTGATCAATCCCATCGCACCCAGCGGGCGGGATCATTGCACCAGAAGACGACAATAGGACCAGAGAATCGCGAGCGGGATTCGATGGTGTGTGCCGACAACGGATCCAGGCTAGTTTGACTGAATGCTTCCTTTCCTCTCCTGCCGTCGAGGGAGGGCAATGGAAAGCGAGGATGGAACCCGCCGACGACGAGAAGGTGGAGAAATACTGCGCTGTAAACGTGGAGTGCCACCGATTCCTCGCACTGTCTCTATGCTCCATGTCCGCCGGCGTGCCACCGTTCCCGTATCATGTTAACACTGTCAAAGACTCAAGCGTTCCTGGGGGAAGGGCCGCTAAGGAGCCTGCCTGCCTCCAACTCAACTCAAAAGCCTCTGCCCTTTTGGATACAAACGTTGCTATACGTGGACTCTCCTCCAGTGCTCCACACCAAGCACAGAGCGCACCTTCCACCCAACGCCCTGTGCCGTTCTGTGCCGTGCGCGCGCCTCCACGTCCACACAGTCTTGAATCCACTACTACTGCGGCGTAAAACCTCACATATACGGAGTACAGGTGGACTGAGTTCACAGCATAGTAATCCGAGTGTAGGTTGCTCTCAATTATAATTGACACCCTCTCATTCAGTGCTCGAGACGCGTATGTAGGTAGGGACTGTGTGTAAGCGATACCTCCCACACTTCATATCTTAAGGTCGTCTTCCACTCTCTCATACAGTTCTACTGCACCGCAACACTGTGCTTTCCCGTTTCCAGTGAACCCGGGAGATCAAAAGACGAGAGACAGAGAGAGAAGGATTCGCAGGAGCAAGGTGACAAGACGCGGAGCTGGCTGGCTACGACTGGATGCCCACCACCCGCGTCTGCGAGTGGGCATAAGCGAACAGTCAAACCAGCCCTTCGGTGCCGAGATTCCACACCCAGACCCCATTGTCGAGCTGCACCACTTTATTTAACAACCAGTCTCCGTCTTGCAGGTCATTCATTAGCTTGCTTGGTACTCAGTAATCCGGATACTTGACCAAGGTAGCCGTAAGTTATATACTAGTATGGACGTATCTTACGGAGTAGTAGGAACTTCATTAGCTTTCCTCGCCGAGGGATCGACACTGGAGTCTGTAGTTGACGGCACGTCGACAAGCATCTCATATCTCGGGAGATGGGTATCGGACTGACGTGATTTTCCGCCACTACCTTTCCTTATCAAGTTGAGGAGATACTTACCTCAAGCAAGGTAGGGTCGAGCACTGTGCATATGTAGTCTTTGCCTTCTTACGTGTTTTAAGAACCTAACTACAAGTTTATACTACACTACGTACCTGGTGCACATGTTATAATCACCACCGTTTGTCAGGCCCGTGAGCTTCATCCTTGATAGGCCAGCTGGCGCCGCCCGGTAACGGCGGGGAAAGACCAACCCAGGTTCCAGCAAGACCGGACGTTTTTACAGCACTTGAGCTTTGTTTGCCTTTGCTTCTTTATCCAGACTCCCAAGAGACCGAGACTCGCCTGATTTAGATGCAGCATGCAAGTATGATGCTAAATCTGGCGATTTCAGCATTCCAAAGGGGCCTGGATTCTTACCAGAACACCTGTCTCGGCCTCGCCTAACCTATTTTTTCTTCTTATTTCCTCGATCGTCGAGGCTGCCAACCAAGAACAGGGGCCCCCAACAGCAGAGAACCAAACTCAACAGACTGCTTCGATATGTATGCCAAGCCTGCACTAGAAGCCTCATTGGCCTTTTGGCTGTCAGCTGCGAGCCATGGCTGGCCGAACGACGCCAAGGGCGCATCCTGCAGGGTGGTCTCTGGGCGCTACACCAGGACCGGATGCTATCCCACGATGGACAGACGTTTCCTTCAAGCCTATCGCAATTCAGTTAGTCCAACGTTCACCTCAAGGTAATGCGCAATACCCTCGAGGGCTATGGAATAACGGCAGATGATAACAGACACGCCGAAGTCAAAGCCTGATGCCTAACTGCGAGTTATATTCCGTCTCGGCGGATTTTTCATGTGTTTTTTGTTTTCCCTTTAGTTACTGTGCGAAGGTGTTTTTTTCCTGCTGGGGTGCCCGCAGCTCGCTCCTCGCCCCAATTTGTCTCCGAGGCATGGAAATGGAAGCCCTCCCCCGGTTCCTGGACTCCTGCCCCCATTCGCGTGGCTCCCATGCTGTGGGCCCTTTCGCTTACTCTGCCTCCTGATTCGCACAAGCACACCTGGCCTGCCTTTGCACCTGAGGTCCTCCTTGGACCTGGATGCCCACCCTGTCCTGTCGTCTTCAATCCGAAAGTCGTCTGATGCACTCACTTCCCACTGACGTGAGCAACTGTCATCGCGACGCAGCAGCCAGCGAAAGTTTCCGCGTTGGTGCCGCATCCATCCATCCATCCATCCATCCATCCCGCGGATTGCGCTGCAACACCGCAAGAACAGAGTGTTCCTAAATCTCAGGGCGTCCGTCCTTGAATCTTGATGGCGTACGGAAGAGGCAGAAAGATGGCGACGCGAGTCGAGGCAGGCATTAGAAGAAGGAAAAGAAAAAAGACTGCCTTCTGCGCTGACAGATTCCGTTCACACTCCCTAAAGATTGACCTACAACCTCGTGGTCCGATGCTGCCTTTTCCAGCACATGAGTAAATCTCCATGCGGCAAGCCTCGAAAGCCGCACGAAATAAGATTCCCAACACGAACGCTTAAGAGGAGAGCGTTGGCCGACGTGCGCCTTACCCTGCAGGTAGGAAAGCAAAGGGCAACTAGGCACCAAAGTCTGGTGCCCCCCGCGTCTCTCGAATGCCTCATTTGCTCGTTGACGTCTGTGAAGATGAAATGTGGTTGCACACACAAAAGCAGCAGAGGGACGCACGCACAGTGTGACACGGGAGTCGCATGGACGGACTGATTCTATTTCTGGAGCTCTGTATCCCAATTGCACCGCAAGTGGGGTCCAACTCTTGATGGACGGCTTTCCATTGGGGAACCACGCAGAGTGAGTAGCATTGGGTCCCGTCCGCCACGAGTTAGTTCACCAGTACTGAGGTAGAGTGGTGTGCGAGAGAGTGAGAGAAATGAAGAGAGAGAGGAAAAATACAAAGGGCTGGGCGCAGAAAACAGGCACGAATCGATGGGCGGCGCACTGAAGTCGGAAACAAATAGCTGGAGAACCCGGCAAAGAGCCGGAGAGGCGCAAACAGCCGATTCCCTGCCGACGCGGACAGAAAAGATCGACAATCGCGGGGCGAGGCTCGGCGCGCGGAGAGGCACCACCAGTGACAAGCATGCCGTAATAAGCGGGCGTGTTCAATTCCGTCCGCCCTACCCTATTTTGTGGCTTGCGGGCAGCTTTTTGTTTGGCTACTGCTTCCAGCTGGACAAAACGTTGGGTCAGGTCTCGCAGGTTTCGAGACGCAGAGCTCCAAAATCCGAACCGCTCCATCAAAAAAATTTTCTTAAGATGTGCAATATAGGCCCAGCCAGAGAGTGGTGCACCGTGACATCGGACCTAGGTTTGCTGAACTTAGCACCCTGGCAACAATGGGACCCGGCTTCTCGCTGGACATCCCTCCTCTCCCCTGGGCGGGATGTGAGCACAAGCCCCAGGCCGATGCCCCGGCGCATTGCCACCGGGAAGGGGGGGAGATAAAAATGGGAAGGGGAGAGCCCGGAAGCTATCCGGATAGCGAAGGGTAGAATGCATAGTAGAATCTGCTACATCCGCCTGTTCACATGTCGACATATTTCTCTCCAAACCCCAATTCCTGTCAGCTACGTATCATAAAAACATTGTCTCGTGGAGGGTCGTTTTTTGGGTCGCTTGGCTCGCAGCTGAGCGGCTTGACCTAGCTGGAGAAGTGAGGCGCGAGGCGGGGTTGGACGGGGACTAAGTTAAGCTTCATCCGATTGCTGATCACTCGCGCCGGGCCGTTGGGCTGATCTTTATTTTCCGAATAAGCTAATAACCAAGTCCTCGAACGCTGCAATTGAGAGGAATGATATTATAAATATGCACCTAGAGCATGCCGTAATTGCCTTTGCAAAATAGGACACTGGAAATGCTGGACAAGCAGGCACTTGGAGATCGGCTCTGTCGCACGAGATCCCATTCATTGTATGTACGGTACAAGCCCAGCGGCCAATCTGCGGTGGCTGAAGCAGCAAACCAGACACGTCTGTTAGGTCCAAGACTGTCTAGACACGGAATTCACGATTAATAAAAAGAACAACGAGGCTCTGCTCACACGGCCGTCAGGGTGGTGATACGGCAACTCAACTCAACTCGTCGAGGCCAGGCAAACCGCGAGAAACCGAGCTGGGGCCTGCAAAGACAGAAGTCGTTCAGTTCTGCCATATCATTGGAGCATGTTACGAGGCGGCAGTGGGGTGTTGGGCAGACGGGAAAGCACTGTGAGGAGTGGGGCCAGCGGCAGCGGCGCTAGGTACCTGTGTCTTGCTTGTGGACGGTTCGGCACAGAAATCTCTCGACTTGACTTGTTTTGGTTGTGGCACATATGGATATCTTGCCTGCCATTAGCGAGGGAATCCCTGCCAGGTATCCCGTGCTGTAATCCGCGCGCTAATAGACACTCCGTAATCCGAAGGGCAACGGCAAAACTCGGTACATATGGCTGTCCGTTCAATTCCGCTTACCCGCCCTTGCTCGTCGTCCAAAGGTGGAGAAGAGGAACCTAGATTTTCTCGCCCGAAAAGGACAAAAAAACACCAGAACACGAAATCCAATACGTAGCGGGCGCGAGCGCGGGTACAAACAATACTCAAAGGAGCTTCTACCGACTCAGATCAAACAGCAACGGTGTGCGTCGGGCTGGACATGGATCCCAAGTCATGGCGACAGTTATCGGTACAACCGATTCAACATGACGAACTGTACAGTACGGCGTCTCTTTCCACCCTAGCGACCCGAACAGATAGGGCCGCGGTGCGGAGCTGAAGGACTGAGAGTCCCGAGTGCTACCTCGCCCGTGATGGGGTCCTACCGAGCTCGTTGGTCGTGGTGTCTTGATACGGCAACCAGCTCGCGACCTCTCACAGATGAGAGCGAGCTCCAGGACAATGATAGCCATCGCTTGTCTTTGGTCTAATTTTCTTGGATTTTTATCGGCTGGCATAACATATTTTGTCGGGGGGAGGGGGGGGACGGCGTCTCACATTGCAAGAGGAAAAAAGCAGCAACAACTGGATTCCAGAGTGCGACGACAAAAGATTGGCTCTCAGCTGCCCTATAACATAACTTGGCGCGCGCGCACACTCGATATCCCATATCCCATACTACGTAAGTATTTCAGGCGGCACGGTCATCAATACGAGCTGGTGCAGCGTTTTCTTGCCGCCCTCCGCAAAACAAGAACAAAAACGGCGCTGCTCGATTAAGATGACCTTATGCCTGGATGGAGCACGTCTAAGGGGCGGGAGATTGGGGATCATATTCTGGCTCGGGCGCGGCCAGCCGGCCACGTGTTTCTGGAAGGGGACCCCTTGCCAAAAAGTGTTCTCCCCCTCTGGGCCCTTGCACGTCTTTCGCCCGCTCCACAGTGTGTGCCTTGTACCCGTAATGATAGCGGTACCTGAGGGTACTTTGCCACGTCCCCCACATGGAAAAGAACCCCTGCAACCCTTGCAACCTGGCACCATGTATTGCATCCTCGCATCAAGTTTGCACAGATCTCTTAGGTTCTGGTCGGTGCGTGGTGCGGTTCCGCGAGAACCCTCCAGTTCCAAGCCTCAGGCATCATGCAGTGCCTGCTCGTTTGCCTCAACGACAACACCACGAAGCGCCAGAATTTCACGACGTCTCAATGTCGAGACATTCACGGGGCCGCCATCCCGCCGCCAGCTCCGTTCCCTCCCGCACCTCCTGGCCCGCCACTATCAATCGAGCCCCAGCTAGCTTGCCGTCCCTCTCGGGGCAGAAGTGCCAGGCAATCCCGGCGTGGGGGAAAGGAGGGGGAGGGGAGGGTGAGCAATCTAATATTCAATTTGTGACGAGTCCGGCGGTCCCGGTTTTCCTGGTCCTGTTGCTTGAGCCTCAATGGAGACAAACGACGTCTGTTGGCGGAATTCCCTGGACTCGGAACGACAGGATCTGCGCGTAGTTGCAGGCAGTGAAGTGTCGTGTCCGATCTCTTCTTGTTGCCAGAAACCCCCCTTCTCGGAGACGTGATTTCGTCCCATGATTTCGTCCTATGTAACATGAAATAACACGCCTCACTGCACGTGAAGGATAGGTATGTTGAAGGAGGCTTGACTGCAACATCGAAAGCACTGGCCGTCTGGTTTATCTTTTCTCTGAAAGAAAAGCCCGGCTTTAGGTTCCTGCAGGAAGGGGCAGAGACAGATCTGCCAATCTCTTCAAAGCAAACACACACTGGGTTGCAGAAGCGGCGGGCACAACGACTGGCCCATGGCTTTTCTTGCGCAACGCCACTTATTATTAGACTAGGCACACGGGATCGGCAGTCTTTCTTCACCAGTGCTTCCCTGATAGGCGCTATGAGCTGCAGGTACGGCGCCCATGTCTGCACTCTGGTGAGCCTCAAAGACTGCTCTGAATTACACGTTCCAGTTCCATTATCTACGGGAGCCCGTCTTATTTAGAAGGACCCTTTAAGGAGGTTCCCGCGAGTTTATTGACCCTACTCTTGTCGAGTTTGGACGGCATTGGTTTTCCGACAACCACACACTGAACCTACCCCTGCTAGCTAAGTCAGTCATTTATCATCCGGGGACCAAAGATGCAGGAACCAGTGTTCTGGCGTTACGCATGGTCGCCGACCACTTTATGCTGTCAGGAGGCGCATGTCGTCGCCCGCACCACACCTCGTACTTACTTGCCCCACAATACAAATCCGCATTCTGGTTCCCCATCAAGTCCACCGCCGGCTCACGGAGGACAGGCGGCCGTGAAAACCCGGGGCCTGCAGAACCTCGCCGCCGGTGGCCGCCCCGGCCCTGTCTGTTTCTCGTTTTCCCTTCCATTTTCCCCTTCCAAAGCTAGCCGAGCTTCCTCGTCGCGGCTCGGTGGACTATCAGTGCCTCCAGTTTCCGACGCGTCGTGGGGAGATTGTCGCCTTCATGGTCAGCTGAAAGCTTGTTGTTTGCTCATCCTTTCCGTATCAGTGGGTTGGATTAGGTGCCTGCGGTGTGCCCCCGGGATTTTATTTGTCGGCCGTTGTGCGAGGACCAGATAATCTCTATTTTCTCAGCTGTCTCACCTCGTTCTATCCCATTAGGATGACTCTTCGGAGATATCTGCTCTCGACCGAAAGAGGGTCATAATTCGTGGATTACGAACCTGTTCATTTTACCGGTTCCGTCATTTCACATGTCGGTCAAACTGGTCAGTCAGTTCTCGGAAAGGCAGAGCGAAATTGCATCTGCTGAACCCCCACTTCCCTCTTCTTCCCTTCGCGGAATCCCCCCTCTGCGTCTGCGTCTAGGGAGAGGAAGATACTTGGTGGTATTCTCGTCAATGAAGAGCGAAGATCCCCCCCCCCCCCTAACCTGCCCAGCTTCCCCACGGCGGGTGATCAGCAAAGATCCATGTGCTGTGCTTGCTGGTCGTGAACATCCCTCTCTTTTGCCCCAGACAAACGATAATGCCCCCCCTGGCCGTTGACCTCGGACTATGATGCTGCTTTGCCACCTCACGGCTTCGCTTGCAGACATCTATACGTCAGACCTTGGACATAGAAACAAAGACCTACCGCAGGTCAGATCTCTGCCTTTTTTTTTCTTTTATCTGGGGCTCGTCTGCCAAGAGTCGAGACTCTCTCCACGGATCAATCCGTACGCGCGGAGCCTGACCCCGATATAGCCAGTCAGCTTTGCTACCTAGTAAGATATGTATGCGGAAATGATGCAATACAAAATCTGCGCCGTACAGCAGGTAGCCTGCGTGTCAAGTCTAGACTCCGATAAAGTCGGCATGGCACGAGTGTTGGCATTTTCGCCGGTCCAGAAGGTTACGCTTCTCAGCCGTATACGGATGGGTGGTAAAGGCCATTACAGCTGAGCCCTGGGCAGGTGTGTGTGGTGTCGCCGTGTGTTCAAGCGTTGCCTGCCCATTCATTCATACTTGCCACACACATGCTCCACCCGTATGTGCAGAACTGAGAGCCTGGCTAAGAGAGCGCCGAGCGCAGATACATGGACCGATCCCGGCTCATCTAGATCTCAACTGCGAACGACCCCCGGACAGACGTAAATGGGGGAAATACAAGCGATGGATGGCACTTGGCCGGAAGCACGGCACTCGTCCCTGTGAAGCCCCCCTCCCTCCCCGGCGATAGACGGGGAAGAGAGAGATAGGAACGGAGGCACAGGCAATCTCGCATTTGCATCTCGGGACTCGCACACGACGGCGTTGACCACACTTGGCAAGACAAGGTCTCTTCTAGGTAAACCCGCAAAACTCTTGTTGGCCACACCATGTCACAAATGAACGCCACCAACTTTTTCCGTTGCACAGTCACGATGGCAAGGCAAAACTAGAACATTTTCTGTCTCTGATGACGAGTTCCTTTTTGCGGGCTTGTCTTTCTCGCCTCATCACTGTGGTCGGGTCCGGCCATCAGGATTGGCACTTATACGCAGGCGAGGCATCCCTGGGAGCGTCGGTCCGCGACGATTTGTGCAATACAACCCGGGATGGTAATCTATTTATTATTATTTTTACATGATGCTAGTGAAATTGAGAGACAGCCAACAAACACTGAACCGGCGAGCCTCCCCTACCCCGAGGTGGCAGGCCTGTGTTCCTGCCCGGGCTGGGCCTCACATTAGCGACGCATGTGTTCACTCACAAACAACCACAACCGTCGACCCATCATCTCACTGCGTAACTTGGCAAAATTAATTTCGAAAAAAAGCTAAGCTCGCGTGTTTTTGGTCACCAACGCGTTGCTAATCTCCAGAGTGACCTTCGAGGAGTCCCCGCTAGTGCCGCCCACAAACCTCACCGACGCCAGATCCTTGACGACCCAGTCGGGCCCGGCGCTTAGGACCTCGTTAGCCGTATGGCTCGTCACAACAGCCAGGACCTTGCAGCCGGCGTCTTTCCCGGCGCGGATGCCGGCGGGGCTGTCCTCGAGCACAAGCACCTGCTTGTCGGGGCCGGCGAGCCCGAGCCGCTCGCGGCCGAGCAGGTAGCAGGCCGGGTCGGGCTTCCCGTCAGTGACGGACTCGGCCGTGACGAGGTGCTCCGGGGCGGGCAGCTTCAGCACGCCGAGCCAGCCCGTGACGAGCGGCACGGTGCCCGACGTCACGATGGCCCACGGCGCGTCGCGCGCGATCAGCCCCTGCAGGAGGTCGCGGGCCCCCGGAATCTCGACGGCGTCGGCCCCGTGGAACTTGGGCAGGAGACCTTCCATGTGCTTCACGTCTGCAAAGTCATGGCCCAGCAGCGTTGTGCGTCAGTGCGTGCAGAGAGAGAGAGAGAGAGAGCAGGAGGTGTTGGTGGAATGAGTGGCTAGTGCCACTGTGGATTGAATGAAAAAGAGGCTCACATTCCCAGTTTGCCTTTTCGGGAGCGAGGATCCGGAGTATGTCGATGCTTCTTCGCCCGTGCGATGTCCTGGTGGCGGAGGTTATTGAAGTCAATAACGTCCCTCCTTATATGTTTTCCATTTCTTTTCTTGGCATCTCTATATCCACCCGATTCATATCAATGTCTCCCCTCCTATCCCTCTCTCGGTACCTCACGAGAGGGGGAGACGGGTGAACAACACCAACAACTTACTGCAGAATGACCTCGGGTGATACCCCTATTTCCTGGCCTACACTGTTTTGTTGATCGGCGGGGTGACGTCAGTAAAGGGGGTTTCAAGAATGCTCAGCCATTTGGAGGTCGGCCCAGGAACTGGCCTTACGTTTCCCAGTGCTTGACAACGGCAGCAGTTGAGTCGATGATAGTGCCGTCCATGTCGAACAGGAAACCGTCAAAGCTGACCGACTCGGGCGGGGCGTCGAACGTTGCCGCGGCCGGAGACTCTACTATGCTCCCCATGGCGGTTGGTTGGACTGGCTGATCTGGTTCGTTCCTTACGGCGGATTTTCGAGGCCCAAAGGCGGGGTGCGCGTGCTTTTAGGGGGGTTTTTAGTCAAGACTGTCTTGCAAGGACAAAGCACAACAGATTTGAGAGGGTTAAGGTGATTGTGTCCCCAAAAGGTTTGCAACGAAGTCAAGACGAAATGCCAACGTTTAAATGCTTAGTAGGGAATGAGGAATTTATTGTACCATTATACTTAGCTTAATCGGAGCGGCGTCGGAACCTCTGTCAGCGGCCTGGTTTTAAGCCCCGACTAATTAGGCAGCTCCGCCTCCTACTTGGAACTTGGAGACATGGAAACGGGGAGCCGCTGGCTTTTCGAGTTGCATTTCGGGTGTGGCCAAGACGAGACCAATCTCTGGGCCGGCATCTGGGGCGTGCGTTCCTTGCTCACCTCAACCTTTTCTTTGACTTGCTCCAGGGAGAAAACATGTGCCGCGGTTTGGGCTGCTGCTTTTAGATACCCTGAATTTCTGCAGCATCCAGTAATCACAGGGATTAGCACAGGATTAACACAGACGTTATTACTATATTATCGCGATCCTGCTGTAATGATCTACTTCAGTCGCAGCACCTTTGTATTATCCCCGCCTAGTCTTCCGAGGCTACACCCTGCTGCGGTATGACCTGGCGCAAAGCTGTCCTGAGCTCCATCTCGACAGCTGGTTCCAGGTGTACCTTGGTGTTAGGGGCGGTTTCCTCCATGATATCAGGGGCAGTCTCCTCTGACGACTCCTGTCTTCTGTTTCTTCCCCATCCTCTCCAGTCCATGTCGTCCATATCAGTATCGCTGTCCCTAGATGACTCTGTAAAGCTGTCTTCGTTTTTTGGACTGATTTGTCCGGACTTCCTCTTCTTCTGACTTCGCGGGGTTGCCGTTTTTGATCGTCTACCGCCATATGCATTCTGAGGCTCTTCCCCAGTACGAGACATTGTCTTGTACTCTACCTTGCCATCTGTATCTCTAGAGACTCGGATGACGTGACGACGTTGGCCTGCGATGACGAAGAGCTTGGTCCGGAAAATCATAGCCCAAGCGAAACGGGCAAAGAGGTAAGCGCGAGACTGATTCTTGAGGGACCCGACGAGGGTAATATGTGAACTAGCCCATAGTTCCGCTGCAAAATCTGAAATGATATGCGTGACGTATTGAAGGGAGGGCTGAAGGGAAGAATCGATAGTAACAATCCTTGGAACAATAACAAACCACCGAGCGTTAAACGAGTGGTGTATATCCTTCCTAAGAGGAAGGAGGTTGCCTTGGTTGTTGATATCACCCCCCCCAAACATGTGCATTTGATTATCCTGATACCAACAATGTTCCTCTTTTGATATAAGATGGGCTTTTCGATAGCATAACTAGCGTTGGTAATACCGCAGTTCGTAGTAGTGACAGAGCTGGCGTTGATAGAAGGCCACCAATCGGGGATGCGGTTGTGGGGGAACTCCCAATCTTGGAAACTGGGGACGATAGGATAAAGCACTAAAAGGTTAGCGAATGCCGCTTAAAGGGAGGAGGGAGTTTTTACCGGAGCCTTCTACGATGAAGTAGTAATCCGTGTCTGTCAAGATACCATCAAGTGATACCTGGACTTGCTGTTGACCCGCCTTATCGAGAGAGAAATAGCTGTTGGCGAAGGCATTCCCAGCGATAATCTGGCATGCTAGCAGGGCTGTTCTATGATGTACGCCGTAGGTAGAAATCGATCTTGTACTATCGACGCGAGGGAGAGTTAGGAGCAGGTCGAGAGAGTCATAACCGGGATGGCGAAAGCGGATATGTTCTTCAGAGGGCAATCCGACAGCCGGATCAGGGGGCCGGGGCCGGGCCTAGGGCGGGTCTGTTGTGTCCATCTTCGCTGATTCCGAGGTGGCTTTCTGGCGGGGATGCGAGGTAAAGGTAAAGAATTCCTGGCCCACGGCAGCACAAAAAGAAGGAACTTGGAGTGTGCCGCACTCGACTCCACAGAGCTAAAAGAAAAAGGCTCTAGAGCTGAGAATCCGTGTCGGCTGACGTTTGTGAATCGTGCCTTCTGCTGTGAATCATGCCTTCTACTAGGAGTTGCGCAAACTTTGGAAATGGCCTGATATGGTGGGGACGAGGTTAATTACACTTTCCTCTTTCTTCCAGATTTGCGGCATCTCGAAATCGTATAAACCCCACCACATTTCTTGCGTAAAGTTTATTTCGTGGTTCTGCGTTTTCCCAAAAAAATAGAAAACATTGTGAAGATTAGAAAATATTCTCGAATAGTCGCATGAGCACACTATTCAGCTGTATCGGGAGAACCAGGAGGGAGACCAAGCATCCTAAGACTTTGACCCAGGAATTATCTTTAGTTACGGATAGAACGATCACAAAATGGCTTATATCTATCTTTGAACCAAGTATAAACTGAGCGCCATTGATGCCTCTCTCGATCACCTTAACAGACAGGGACAATACAACTGTGATCTTGAAGCATGATGAATCCTATGGTAGTTCAGTCACAAGCGTTTAGACCGAGGGGCTGACCGTGAAGTGAGGAGCGGACAGGAGGCGGGGCTGATAAAGGACCCTATCGGAGCGGTGATGCCTGGCACAAATTTTGTTTCCACCATAATTTTTCAGGACGTGTGGTGCGCAGAGACGAAGCCCAGAAGGAAAACCATAGCAGCAGCCACTTCAATTAACCGAGTCCATACCCAAGAACTCATCGAAAATGGGTGGAATCAACAAGCCCGGAAGTATGTATCCCCCTCTCCTCGGCCAAATTTCCCTAAGACCTCTTGCTTACTCGCCATCAAAAATCCAGAGCCAAAGTCGAAGCGGACGCCGACCCGCCTGAGGCACAAGATCGAGAAGGCGTCGGCCGCGAAACAGCGCAAGATCAAAAAGGCGGCCAAGAAGAGCCCCGAATGGAAGAGCAAGCTTAAGAAGGACCCCGGCATTCCGAACCTATTCCCCTACAAGGAGAAGTTGCTGCAACAGATCGAGGAGGACCGCATACGGAGGAAAGAGGAGCAGCTCAAGCGCCGCACCATCGCAAGAGGAACAACCGCTCAGGGGTCAGCCGCTGACGGCGCCGACGACACCGCTGAGCCCGATGTCATGGACGACCTAGACGTCTCTGGCGACGATGACGACAACGACGTAATGGACGGCGACGACGGGAGCGACGTCGACGAGTCAAACCCCCTCGCCGCACTCGTCGCCAGCGCTAGGAAAGCCGCCGAGCAGTACGAGCGCGAGTTGCAGAGCGGCGACGAGATGGAGGACGACGACTCGGATGACTCGGACGACGAGACCATGTACGGCGCCTCCGAGGTGCAGGGCGGCGCCTCGTCCCGCAAGGCCTACGACAAGGTCTTCAAGCAGGTGGTGGAGCAAGCTGATGTGATCCTCTACGTTCTCGATGCTCGGGACCCCGAAGGCACACGCTCGCGCGACGTCGAGCGTTCCGTCATGGCGGCTACCGGCGGAGGCAAGCGGCTCATCCTCGTGCTCAACAAGGTTGACTTGATCCCCCCCCCGGTGCTGCGGGACTGGCTCAACCACCTCCGCCGCTACTTCCCTACCCTGCCGTTGCGGGCGTCCAATCCTGCTCCCAACGCCCACACCTTCAACCACCGCGACATCACAGTCCAGAGCACGAGCGCAACTCTGTTCCGCTCGCTCAAATCGTTTGCCGCGTCCAGGAATCTCAAGCGCGCCATCTCGGTCGGCGTCATCGGCTACCCCAACGTCGGCAAGTCGAGCGTTATCAACGCTCTCATGTCGCGCCTCAGCGGCAGCCGCAGCCAGCACAACGCCTGCCCCGCCGGGGCTGAGGCTGGTGTCACGACCTCGATTCGCGCCGTCAAGATCGACAGCAAGCTGACGTTGCTCGACTCCCCAGGCATTGTCTTCCCGTCGTCGGCCTCAGCCATGCCGGGGTTCGTGCCAAAGAACGCCACAGAGGCGCACGCCCACCTCGTGCTCCTGAACGCCGTGCCGCCTAAGCAGATTGACGACCCCATCCCAGCCGTTAGCTTGCTGCTGAAGCGGCTGTCGGCGAACTCCGTCTTGATGGAGAAGATGATGAAGGTCTACGACCTCCCGGCGCTGAAGCTGAACTCTGAGAGCGGCGACTCCACCATGGACTTCTTGGTCCAGGTAGCGCGCAAGCGCGGTCGCCTCGGCCGCGGCGGTGTGCCCAACACCTTTGCTGCCGCCATGACTGTCGTGACCGACTGGAGAGACGGGCGCATCCAGGGCTGGAATACTGTCCCTGACGCGACATCTGCAAACAACTTGGCTGAAGATGATGCGATCCCCGACCAAAAGGAGATTGTTACGGAGTGGGCCAAGGAGTTCAAGCTCGATGGTCTCTGGGGCGATGCCGGTGGCGATGACGAAACAAAGGATGTCGAGATGGCTTGAGAGGGATAAATTAGATACCTGGGCCCGCCCTTGTCTCTTCAGTGTCTTGGTGTTTCCTTGGGTGGAATATGAATGCGGATCCGACTGTTATCATGGTACGCATGGCATGTCTGGTCCGTTGTGATCATTGTGACTACCTACCTAGCCACCACATCTTTACTTTTTATCTTGGGGGGTTTCTTTTTTTCTTTTTTTCCATTGGGAAGAGGGCGTTATGGCGTCGAAAATACGAATGCATTGGAACGGCACGGCGGGACATAGAAATACACAAGTCTGTTGACGCTATGTCTTGTCTTTGCCTGCGTACCCACTACTTTGGTTTCCAGGCAGTTGTGTTATTGCACAAAGAAAATGAAACAAGCTATGGGTAAGTAATGTTGCGTTCTGCTGTTATGGCTGTGAATCAGTTCGCGACTGCGTCTTCGGTAATGTGGTGTTGTCGTTATTTACAAACTGCTGTTTCAGCGAGCATGAGGCACGGTGCTGTTTTGCGCAATACCAGACAGACGACCGAGATGATCAAGATTAGATGCTGTTGCCCTCGTTGTTGTTATGTGTTGGCCGTGTGTTGCTGAATGGTGGTGGTAGAGGGAGCTACAAGAACAGAGAAAGATGGGTGGGCACGAAGAGCATATCCGATCAAATACTGCCCAATGGATCTTATTGTTTTCTCGCGAGGCGGCAGGCTTTCCCGCCCCCATGCATTTACTCATCATACTCAGCATGCCGAGCATGTATTCAAGGCCCATCTCCTTAGTCACTGCGAGAGATGATGCCCTCGCCCAAGGCTACCGTGGAAATCATGACATGGAGGCGACTAGCTCCACCGCACACATTTGTCTATTTACACGAGCTCCATCTTGACACCTCTCTTCCCTGTTGTCTCGTCTTTCTGGTCTGTGACTCTGACACGCACCTTTTGGAATAATTCGACAGTCACCTCTCTACTGCCCGTCGTCTTAAGCGTGTACGACTCGGCGTCGTACGTGGCTTGGGGTTCCGTATCGGCCAAGTCCCGGAGGCGGATGAGGCTCTCGATGCCGAAGCGTGGCACCAGCACCACGAAGCCGTTGCTGAAAATCTTCATGACAAAACCGTCCTCCTCAGTGGCCTTGCCACGAAGGGCCTGGCCAACATAGTAAGCGATGCTGGCACGGCCAGCTAGCTGCGCATTGCGATGGCGCACGTTGATGTTCTTGCACACGGCCTCGAGCCGGCCGCCGCTGCGCACGCTCGGGTGAACGGCCTCGTAGTCGATGGCCGCCGCGAGCTGCCGATGGGCGACCAGATCGGCGTAGCGACGAATGGGGGACGTGAAATGGGTATAGATCTCACTGGCAAGCCCATAGTGGCGGAACTCGGGGTAGGCTTGCGTGCCGGAGCAAAAGTACTCGGCCGACATCATGCAGCGGGTCGCCATGATCCGAACCAGCGTGTTGAAAAACGGGTCGCTGTTGTCGACGCAGGCGTCGAGGCTGTCGGCAAGAGCCTTGGAAGACTCGACACTCAGCTCGAGACCCTTCTTGACCTTGAGTTGATTCGACAGCTCGTCAAAGTTCGTCTTTGGCGGGGCGGCGTGCCGCCGCAAGATGGCCGTCTGTGGAAATGCGTCATATATCTTGGCGGCAACGCTGGTGTTGGCGAGAAGCATAAACTCCTCAACCAATGACATGGTATCGAGGTGTTCCTTGGTCTTGACGTCGATGGGGTCCGATGTTTCCGACTCCATCTGCACCTTGACCTCGGGCGACGAAAGACTCAAGGCGCCAGCGTCCATTCTCTTCTGTCTCAGCTTCCTGGACAGGGCAAGCAGGATCCGGATGCTCCCGGTGAGGTCGTCCTGTTGCGATCCGTCGTCGACCCTAAGCTGTGCTTGCTCATAACTGAATGCCTCGCGAGACTTGATGACCGACTTTGTAAATCTCGCGCCCACGATGTCGGCGTCCGGAGTCATTTCCCAGAGCACCGAAAACGCATAACGCTCAACGTAGGGCTTAAGAGAGCACAGGTCGGTTCCTAAAAGCATGGGCAACATGTCGATGCGCTTATCCACCAGATAGACAGTCGTACCGCGGATGCTTGCCTCGTTATCCATCGCGTTGTTGGGTTTCACAAAATGAGACACATCAGCTATGTGGACGCCGACCTCAATGTTGCCGTTTGGAAGCGGCCGCGAATGCAGTGCGTCGTCGATGTCCTGGCAGCCGATGGGATCGATACTGCAGATGAGGAGGTCTCGGAGATCTTCCCGGTCCTTCCACCCAGCGTCTTCTATGCTCGCTGGCACTTTCCAGTCGTGCCCTTCCTTGGGAAGGCAGTCCAAGACGGTCTTGGGGAATGGCCGGTATTGGACATCATACTCTAGGAGAAGCGCTTCGGTCTCGGCGGCCTTGGTTTCTAGCTCGCCTAGCGACCGGACGAAGTGGCCTGAGGGATGGCGGGACCCACGGTCCCAGGCATCAATGGTAACAAGAATGCGTTTCCCGAGCAGCTCTGCAACCTGCCTTGTGCGTAGGCGGATCTTGGGGATCTTCTTGTCCATAGGGATGACGAAAACGCTGTCCTGTTTCCTCCCTTGCTGGCCCGACTGACTGACAGAAGACTGGTCGATATGACCCACGTACTGGCGCCAATTACGTTTAACCACGCCGACGACCTTTGCGGTAGGCTGAGCGTGACCTTCGGTGGTCTTGCTCTGCGTGCGCTTCACATCCTCTTGGAGGGCTTTGCGCTCCTTCTCAGACACAAAGTCTTCGTTTCCTTCGGCATCTGGGTTTTCGTTCTTAGTGACTGCCTCTTCCTCGATCACCTGGGAGGAGGGTTCTTTCCACTGGTCCTTGGGCAGCACCTCTACAACGACCAGGTCTCCGTCAACAGCACGGTTGATGTTCTCCCTGCCGAGGACTAGCAAGGCCTTGGGAAAGGCAGGGACTCGAATGGAGCCCTCAAGGTAGTTGTACGGGGACACGTTGAAGATGCCCTGGTGAAGCAGGCCACTCTTGATCCCCGTCATCATCTTGGACATGGTGAAGTACTCGGGATAGAGGTTCTGCTCGCCAGGGCGCTTACCCTTGGCAGTGTCGCGATCCTCTGTCTCGGGGATCAGATCTAGGAGGCGGTCGCCATCCTTGAGCTGCTTGACATACTCGGTCAGGGAGCAGGCGTGAAGGCCCTCGTCCCTTGCCTTGCGCAGGTTGTCGCGGTCGTTGCTCAGCATGACCACGGCGGGAACCTTCCTGGCCTTTGTCCGGGCTAGGTGCTGAGCATACCATGCGACAGCCTTGCGCACGGCGCGGTCGTTGCGGTCGTTGACCGACTCGCCGTCGAGGCGGGCGACATGAGTCTCGAGGCGGAACTCGTTGAAGAAGACATAGAAGCGCTTGTCCTCGCTCTTGGTCAGGCCAATAAGGCGGTTGTATAGAGGTAACGAGCGGTTTCGCAGCTCCTCCAGAACGATCTGCAGGATAATGACGTCGTAAAAGGCCGAACTCTGCTCAAAGAGATCCATGGCGCTTAGAAGCGCATTGGTATCTGGCACGAGGTAGTGCCCTTGGGGAAAGACACTTGTGCCGGCTGGAGCATCGGAGAGCACAAAAGGAATGGCTACATGGCGCGCAGACAGTAGTAGGCAAGCGTCAGTGGGATTGCGGCCGTGGTAGGCGATGTGGTGTTGCAGGGGAAAGTACACATACCTTGGCCAGCGGCATCCTTTGGCACTGTATTGAGGCAGACATGGCAAAGCCTTGACGAGCACGGTATATCTTGGCGCAGATACACCTCGCGCACAATCTTCTGGACCTTGCCGCTCTTGGTTGACCGTACGTAGACTTTGCTCGAGATATTGGCAGCAAAGGGGCCCCGGTCGAAAGACCGCTTGAGGCTTGCCATGTCGGCTTCTGCGGTGCGGTGCTCTGCGGTGCTATGCTAGCGGCTGTTACCGGGCGGCGACTACGAGCGGCTGATAGGACTGCTCTAGCGTCTACTATTTGGATAGAAGTAGAAGTTGTGCGCTAGCGACTTGCTCAAAATGCTTTGTTTTAAATTCTAATTTTCTACTAGAATTTTTGTCGTACTTTGCTTTTGGGAAGTCGCAAATGGAACTGCAATCGCTGCTATCAAGCGCGGTGCGCTTACTCAGCCAATAGGACATCCGAAAGCGCTAAGCTCAAAGCCTATTGGCGCCACAGCGGATAACCCTACAAATCCGAACACGCTGCGGACGGAATACGTACCCCTAGAGGACTGAGGGCCCCCTCCTCAGATCAAGCCGCCCACGCGAGATGGTGTGAGGTATTCCGGCCACCAGGTGAGGGCAAAGAACGGGTCCCCACAAGACGGTTAATCTACAGTGTACAGTATAGGTAGGTAACTGGACATTCATAGGAATCACCTCGATGGCATTTCTGTTTTGGGTTGGGTATCACCACTCATAGGACTTAGCGGTGGATCGCATCGCAACTTGGCTACTCCGTACTTAGGTACGGAGTAATGATCAGTTAATAGATTAGCCCTGCCCGCCGACTCAGTCAAACAACGGCTTTGGGTATGATTACATCCGCAATGGGGTTTTCCTATTTTCAGTCAGATAAGTCGCAGGACAGCCAGCGGGCCATCATCATCATCAGAAGCCGGCGACTTTACGAAGGGGCAATGGAATCAAACTCCGATGGGATCTCCGTAACTTGGCGACAAACGCAGACACGCACGCATCAAGCGCATTATTACGACCTGCGGACAGAACGCAGGTATTGCTGCACGGTTATCCGTAGCCAGGTAAAGATCACATAATTTACCCCCACCCCCACCCCCGACAATCTGGGATTTCGACTGTCGAGAGTTTATAGTTGTAGTTGCTGTAGCTTGTTCTATGCGGGCGGCCAGCAAGGCATCATTTTGCTAATTGCGAATTAATACGCTGGCCTGTATCATATGATCTGCAGCATATTCAGCCGGCGTTTTTGCCAGATTGAAGAACCCTTGCTCGCTTCTGCGCAGTGAATCTCGGATCTGGGAGGGGCATGAGCGGGGGTAATTGGGCGCCGTGGTTCCATGTTTTTGGTGTGGGATGAACATACGTAGGTGGCCAAAGCTTAGAGCTTCTTTTAATGAGAAAACTTTCGACATGACCAAGATGCCCGGCCCGGACAAAAATAGCAGATAAGATAAGTTGCCGAAACCAATCTGGGGTTTATCAGAATCTCTAAACCTCTACTTATCGCCCGGACCAAGGTGGGGATGGTTTCAACGTCGAGAAAGCCGACAGTTTGGTAGTTCTCGACGTCCTTGACGAACACGGCCCTGTCAGTCACGGAATATCAAAGATTCTCTCTGCATGGCGAACTTGGCCATCCAGATAAGCAGCGATTGGATATTAGTAGGATTAGCCAAGAGGTAAAAAAGGTCTGATTATTATCTACTGGACTCATAATAAGCTATTACTGCTCAGTGAACGAACCAAGACATGTGGAACGAACCTATGAGCAAGTGCCAACAAAGAACCTAGTTTAAACTTTACAAACATACATACATGTGCAGCGTTAGCAGACTTTTTTATCAATACAATGCTTTCGTATGCGCATTCTAGACCTAGTGCTATGTTGGCAGAGGGCACAACGGCGCTGCCGCCCCCAAACTAGAAGGACCCTACCTACCTCTGTAGCTATCAGCGCGAAGGCGGGAAGCCACGGACAAATTCATTGCCGCTTGCGCGTGTTCACGCTTCTGATTCAGATGCAAGCCCGAGACCGAACCAGTGTGCGGAGCATGTCGTGTACCTCGACAGGCGATATGCAATGCAGGCAAGACATGAGACGCGGCTGACCATGAGCTCCTATCGACATGCTGCATATGGGTTCCATGAAGCCCTGGATGACGAGAACACGACGCAAGGCCACGGCTTTGGCCCGGGAGCCTAGGAGCAGTGTCGCGCCCGCACTCTAAATCAGGGTAAAATGCCGAGGGGGCAAGTCGCGCCCGCCTGTAAAGATGTTTGCCGTGCGCCTTAACACGGGCGAGCCGACTTCGCGTCCTTTGCTGTCCTGTCGCGGTTGGCAAAAAGATAGCAGCATTGAGTGAAGCCAGACCATTTCGGACCTGCGCTGCCCCATGGATTAGCCAGATGGGGGCGCCTTTTCGTTTCCACACCTCTGTGGGATGACCATGCTGCTGCTGCGCGCACACGCAGGATGGATGCGGATGGTTCGGAAACATGCGAGGGAGGGAGGGTTGTGAGGGGATCCACGGATCTGGGCAGCAAAGATATGCTAGCACCGGACTAGCACCGACTAGCACCAACTGCCAGAAGATACCAGTCTCCAGTTGAATTGTGTGTGGGCCGCGGAGATGGCTCGAGTTGAGGTGGTGTCAAGCAACGGATGACTTACATGAGGCCCCAGGCCCGCATATGGCTGTGTGGAGAGCAAAGGTAAGGTGTGGTGGGTGTGTGTGGCTGGCGGGTGGCCAGCGGGTGGCCAGCGGGCGGGTGCCAGTGCCAGTCGAGGTGGGGCAGAAAGGCTTCCACTCTTCGCAACAAGGAACTGGGACGGGCAGTTATGGACAACTGACAAGGACACACAGCCCAGGTCACAGATGCACGAGCGGGAAGGGGCCTCCCGCGCAAGTGCTGCTGCAACGACCGCTGCAAAAGCAACAAAAATGAGAGTGCATCTCTAGTGTAGCCGTCGTTAATGGGTGCAACCGCCAGGCCGACCGTGGAGAAAATGGAGCAGCTGGCAGTTTGACTGACAGGGCACCAGTTCCTGTTGCCGCCCGTCGGCCAAGCGGGAGGGTGCCTGGGGTGGCCCTACGAGAAGGCCGCCGTGGGAACCTCCGAGGAGGGCCATTTCCGATTTGAGGTGATTGTGTGGTTTGCTCGATAATCCGGCCCAGATGGCAGCCCATCCTCTCTGATTTGGCGTATGTACGGATACATACTGTATGCAGGTGCTGGGCTGTTGAGGAACAAGAAAAATTGGCACCAAAAACGCCAACTCTGTTCCCATTGATATTGCATAGCCATGCAGTTGGGATCAACGGTGGCACAGCTCCCCGTCCCCAAGGTACTGACCTCCTATATGTTCAGTATGTGCATATACTCGGTTACGTACTTAGGCAAACGCTGCGGAAGAAAGGCAGCTCCACTAACGGCGGCCGGCGCACACTCGCTCCTGTATACGTTCGGACGATGTGCCGTTGAGAGAGAGCCCGTTGCTGTCTGGAGGGGGAGGGGGAAATGAGGAGGAGTTGTGCGCCGATGGGAAACCCCTCAGAGTTTTGCAATGCTCGCGAACGCGGTTTCTTCGCTCTCAACTCAACTCGTGTCCATGATTTGCAGGACATGTCTGTGTGTCAGCTGGGTTGCCGCAATTGCAGCAGCCGCAGCCAATCGACGTGTGTGGATGCGCCGCCAAGTCGCATCGCAGCTAATCGCTTGCACCCCTGCCGCACCAACTTTTCGCCCCGGCCATCTTGGTCGGCTCCCCCTCCCCTTCCATCGAGGCCAAGCTCCGAGTCACCCCTCCCCGTGCCTCCCCTCCCACACCACCTCGAGGCCCTTCTTGCTGCGTTCTCCCCCAGACTTCTGGAGTACTGCGGCAAATTGATTGCGCCTTGGGTTGTTCGGAACCCGTGAAACCACATGGGTTGGTGTGGCGCTTCCAGCCGCTTGCCCTTTAGGTGTAGTCTAACTCTCAAAATCTTTTGAGGTTAGATGGGCTTGAATGACAGCGAGACCGACCAAATACTAGTCGAGGGCGGAGATGTGGAGGGTGCCGGGGGGGGGGGGGGGGGGGGGTCGATTCAACACACACAGGCGGAAACAGGTGCATGAAGGGGGGGCTGCCAAGATGGTGTCACGGTGACCTGGAATATCTGTCGTCTGGCAAAGAGTCATCAACCATTGTGGCTTTTTTCTTTCTCGCGAGCGTTATCTCTCTCTGGCTACTTCGCTCACGCAAGCCCGGTGTCGCGTCTCCGTCAAGACCTCCCTTTCCCCATGCCATGCCATGCCATCCCCACCCCCCACCCCCATCCAACTAGCCAAGGTGCTTGACCTGACGGCGAGTATAATATCTCGTAGCTCTGATTCGTTGTTCGCGAAACGGACTAGAGACATCAATACGGGAGACGAGAAGCCGGTCCGGGTCGCGTATATCAGACTGGTCTCTCCAGCAGTTCTTTGTACTCATCGATGACACTAAACATTTAGCAGGTTTCAGCCGTGGCGTCATGTTGCCCATCGCTCCTCATCAGATGTTTGTCCCTCAGCCAATCAACCAGCTACTGGCTTTGGACAATATTGACAGCTAGCAGTGATGGAGCTCGTGTCTTTCAAGACCATGTTATTTCACTTGGGCTGAGGGGCTGGGGGATACTACGCGAGCTGTGTCCAGCCATGTCCGGCTTCTCAAAACGCGGCGACGCAAACTGTCATGGCCCCTCGACCGACGAGAATGATCACAGGCCCCAGCCAGGAAGGATGTCCGAAAGCCGCGCATTAGACCAAGAAGGACACATCTATTCCGCACATTAGATGGAGCTATGGCGCGTTCATTATCACAGGTGGCTGGACTCTTGTGTTACCTTTGACCGTTTTCATGGCGTAATATCCAGAGGACTGTGACCATTCACGTGGTCGCTTTCTGCAGATAAGACAGGGGCGACAAAAGTGACGACAAAAACGTCAGCAGGCGCTGTCTGCTTTGATCTCGAGATAGAATACTATCTGTTGCGAGTCCGTGCCTGTCCTGCCTGATAGAGGAGCCAGATCCGAGTCTTTTTTCGACGTCGAAGCGACCAACGGCACAGGAAGAAGCGGTTAAGTGTCAAAATCGGCTGCAGGCTGACCTCATCCATCCATGCGATGGTCCGGCTGGGCTTCTAGCCCGGGTATCGGGGGCGGCTGTAATTGGGGTCGGAGTTGATTTGTTTTTGCCTGTCGGACTTTGGTTGGCAGCAGGCTTACGGATACTCGGTATTGATAATAATAATACGGAGAACTACGAGTGCCTACCGTGCCTAGTTGCGGGTTTTTAGACGACACCGAACCCTCGTCGCGAATGCGTGAAAACCAGAGAACATACCAGAAAGAGCTATGCTACTTAGTACACTTAGAGAGCAGAATTAGAGCGAGCTTGTCATCTGCATCACCGGGCTGCAGCGCAAGACGTCGCTTCGGCCTTTCTTTCTGGGAACGTAGCATCCATCAACCCGCGTCGCGCGTCCAGGTTTTTCCTGTGCGCCCAGGTTTCGTTTCGTATTTTTGCGCGTGGCTCTGGTGGGATATTTGCCCCGCCATCTGACGGCCTGGGGGACGCGAGAGAAGTGGGTTGGCGGGGCCGCCTCGTGGGGTGTCGGCGGGAAGCTCTGGGTGTGAAGCTATTGCCGAACCTAGCCAGCTTGTGAAAAGAGGTCCATCAATTCGTCCTATCATTGGCTCTCCGGCCGTCCTGTCGACTCATTTGGGCAACAGGTCCATGCACGGCTCGCCCAGCCGCTGCAAGTCGCAAACCGCAAGCTCAAAAAAGTCCCGCTCTCTGGGGCAGTGGGTTGGTTGGTCCAGCCTCAGTCCGGCATTTGTTGCCCGTCCGTCGAAGGAATATTGAGTCTACCACTAAGCTTGAACACGGGCCTGCAATCCTGATCTAAGAAGAGTATCAAGTCACAACTCGACGGCTGCGTTGGGCGGCACACTTCACCGATGCATGGCGGCCATTTATTGAAAAAATAAGCGCGTTCCGTCTTCTCAGTGTCGTACAAGCCAAGACAACGCCGGTATCCATGTACCTGAGAAAGACTTGTAGACACTGCGCCTCTGGAAGTCCCTGCAGGTGGATGGCATTTAGTCTTGTTTTTCTAGATTAAAAAATCCTCTCCACGCAGCGAGACTAGGTAGGCGAGAATCTTGGTATGTACCTGACGATTCAGCTGACGGCAGGATAAGTCGGATGAACCCATGGAAAGCGGAAGCGCCGCGTCAGTCTGATGCCAACTTGACAGTTGTATACGTCTTCGGGCCCGGACAACTCGGTTCATAGAAGGTTGAGTTCCGCCGCGTCCGAGATTTCGAGCCTCTATCTCGTCAGCACGAAAGGTCCCGCCGCCCTGACGAACCTTTCAACGCGAGCAGAAAAGATGTGCGTGCACGGGCGCCCAGACCTAGTAGAAGTAAGAGATACATGTAGTCGTGAAAGTGCGGAGTATTGCCCTCGTTGTCTAGACTAGACTTTGCACAGAGCACTAGCCACCGAAGCATGTCTGGACAGGATGCATGGTTCCAAAGGGGCGAGTCCCAAGAGACTGTTCACAGCGAGGTGCATTTCAGCCTTTGAAGATTAAGCTTACGACCGACGTTCCACAGCTGCAGTCGAGTCTGGTAGCAAGTCCGTTTTATTTGGCTTCGTATGAATTTCATACGTACGTAAAGCTTCCTTTCCACGGGATTTATCGCTCAGATTGTGCAGTTGCGTTGCTTGTGCCGTAGGTTGTACGACATCAACTCCCAGCTTGCGCCGTCAGGCTGCCTACGTGAAACCCCTGCACAGCTTGGAGTTTTGATGGCACACAGTCATGGAACTAAGGTACGGATTATCCTCCTAGATTCATAATCACCCGTCCTATCCGAAGTGAACTTGAAGTGCGCGGAGGTCGTCTCCGTTTGCGGGGTCTTTACTAATAAAGACCTCAGTGTTAAGAACTTGCCGCCTTGACGACTAAGCTCTAGATAGTGGAGGCCCGCCAGGGCAAACCAGTGTCCCGCTCGTTATTTACTATGCAGTATCATCTTCTACATATAAATCATGGTCAAGAAAATATGTTTTGCGGGTGTGCACATCACGACGGGTTCCCGGGAAGGTACCTTGGTTACATGTGTCGGGGACTCTTGGAAACGATGCGCACATCTTTCCCACGCCGCTTTCTCCTTGGCCCGACTTCCAACAAGGCTATTCCGAGCTAGGCCAAGGCGGGAAATGGAGCCTCTCAAGCCTGCTTCGCCTCCTTTCCGCAGGTCGCACATGCCCGCACCTGCCCGCACGTAATCGCGCCCCTCCCCCCCCCCGCCTCTCGTGATCTATGCTACCCTGGCGTGTGCCTAGCGTGACACTACTGCGCCGAGCAGATCCGTTCAAATTTCGTGATTTGATTCTTGACCATTACTTAGTATTGTCGTCGGCCTTTCTCTCGTCCCTCGTTCCGGCCGCTGGTAACAAAAAGGATGATAGGGATGGGAAGGGGTGATTCAGCGCCCATGGCGCCCAGTGGAGGCTTGTACCGTAGGTAGGTAAGGTATCTGCTGGTATCAACAACCTACCTGCAGCCTCACAGGCTCACGGTTTGGAAGCAGACCAGGCGCGGGGGTAACGTGAAGAACATCTGCAGTGGTGCTGCCGAAGCACTTTGATGGATCACGCCTTACATACCCGTCGTACATAGCAGCTACCCACCTCTCCCCAGGCCCAGGAGCAGGGCGGCCGTCTCAAACAAAAGGCAGACCCGTCAGCCAGGAAGCTCAAGCCGTTCCGCCCCCTCCACTCCCCTCCCTCCCTTCTCACAGGACGGACTGCAGCTACTATGTAGTGTTTTTAGGTGCCTAGCCCTGTCTGGACATGTACGTACTAACTGGGATGGCAACGCGGCAGACGGCCCTATATTGTACAGTAAAAGGAGCGGTTCCGTCGGAATGCCAAGTTCTGTCCGACAACAGCACGACTCCGACATTTTGGTACTGAGGAGGTAAGAACGAGTTACCTAGAACGTGAGGCGGCAAAAGAAAAGCAAAGCTACAGCGCAGAGGACGCACGCAGACGTACGTAACAGCATAACGGGGCCGTCATCACCTCACGGATAATACCAGCGGAATTACCCTAACAAGACTAGTTCGGCCAAAGTCGCGTCGCCAACGAGCCAGCCAAGAACCGTGCTATCGTCTACTGCGTACTAAGGAGGGGCCTGGGCGTTCCTAGTTGGCGGCGGCGGTCGGGGGCCTCGGGCCTCAACTCAAGCAAGATCATCAGCGTTAGGAGACAGTCATCTCCGTCCCGATCCTAAGGCCAAGCCAGGACCCGAGGAAAACAAGACCAGGGCAAGCGAAGCCAAGCCGCTTAAGCCAAGCCAAGCCAAACCAAGGGTACGCGCGCGCCCCTCAGCAGCAGCAGACAGACAGGGGAAGCAAGCAAGCCGTCAACCCAATCCCGCCGGTTGCTGACCCAAACAGCAGCCCACCTAGGCAGGGCATTCATTGCCGGGTCCTGCCACAACACTACGTACGGAGAAGCATGGCCATGGAGAGCAAGTAAGCCAACCAACCCTAGGCCACCTAGCGCCCTGGGCTTGTCGAGGAAGCCCCCCTGCTGAGATCCCCAGGCCCTTCAGGCCTGTTCCCGCCCATCCCCTCCCATTCTTAGGGTGCCTTTTGTTCCCTGTCGGCGCGGCATCCCATCCCGACTCCTCCTCTCCCGCGCACGCCCCACGCGCACTACTTGGTACCGATCGCGAAAGACGTTCAGAGTTGGGATTTTGTTTGTCTCGTGAGTCGTCACGCAGGGCGGGCGCCTTCCATGGCCATCGAACCGAACCTGGAAGGTATGTTCCTTCCCGGTCGGCCCATGTCGCCACGGCCCAGGGAAACAGTGCTTGACGGGCGTCAGGACAAGGCTGGACAGGGCAATACGACATATCCGTACGGAATATCCGTACTTTCTACGCAGTAGTTTCCATGTTTTTAGTCTAGTGTATGCCACCAGCATGGAGTGTCATGTCTCCTGTTCCTGTTTCTGTCCATCATTAGTCTTTCTCGCTCTCCGTGTAATGCTTGCTCTCTCCGCCTCGGCTTGGCTTTGGATCTCTCTTTAGCTTCCAGATTGCTGGCCGAAAAAAACCGCCCTCGCCTCGGGTACCTGAGGAAGCCGCGAAATCGTACCTACGGAACGGAATACCTAGGTACGGATAATTACACCGCTCAACGCACCCCCCTCCACTGCCCCCCTCCCTCGCCCCCCTGGAGCCGGTCTTCCAGGACGAGCTAGCGGGGTCCCCGCGCGTGCGCCTGCGCTGCAGTGCGCTGCTAGCAGGCTGGCTCTCTGGAACCTGGGCTCTGGCTCTGGCACGTTGCGGGAGGGCGGGCGAAAAGAGCAGGAACCAATCCGTAGTTTTTAGGTAGGAGAAGCAAATTAAGAACCTAGGAGCTTGGGGGGTAGAAGCCGCATCGGCCTTACTTTCGCATCCTTTTTTTTAATACTTTTACCTTTCATTCGACGCACCTGCTGGAGCGGCCCTGGATTTGCGCCAACCAAATGCATGAGCATTCCTGCCTGCATCACCCAGCGCGTGCATTCCAGACCAGATCAAAGCTTGAGCCCTTTTGGTTGTGTGCCCCCTCGGCCAGCCCAACTATATCAAGACACGTCGTTTCGCAGACCCGTTGACGTGGTCGACGTCTCCTGCACTCATGTACTCTGCACAGCCCAACGGCGCTGATAGTGCGACAATCAATCCAGCTGCGCTCAACACAGGTATGTCGCTGCCCGTCTTTTAAACATGCGTCCCAGTGAATTTCCCAGCCCTTGACCTGCCTGCCGATCGCCTGTGCGCGCGCGCTCGCTGCTGGCCTGGGCGGCGCAAGCCCTGCTCCTCTCAGTGTCGCCGACGCTTGGCCCACCCGTCGCCTCGAGCCGTTGTCGCAACATCGCCACCTTTGCCGCCGCCGGCTGCAATTCATCGACGTCGCACAGTGGGCAACCTCTGTTGGTCAAGGCTTCGATCTCAATCTCGGTCTGGGTCTTTGACCTCGTCTTTTTTTTTTGGCATCGCGCAGCGCGCATCGTCGCGCTCGGCACGTTCACCCAACCCACCCTCGCGTCTCCGCCTGTCGCCCGCCGCCCGCCCGATCGCTCGACTGCTCCCATCTGCACCGACGAAGAAGCCTTCGTTTCTCTCCTAACTCCACGTCATGGGCGCCCCATATTTCCCTCTCCCATCCGCAATGCTGATGCCCAGTTCCGCTCAGACCTGATTAAACCACCACCCTCCCGAGGCGTCAAGAGGAGCCACTCGCCGGACAATTACCAAGACTCAGGAGCGCCAGGGTCAGCTGGCGATGACGGTATGTTGTGTTTGACACTTGTGTAGCGGCGCCTCTGCGACCGGGTCTCTCTCCGCCCAGTGTTACATCATCTATGGACCGTGCGACGCGGCGCATGGAGACTTGGGGAGGGACATGGGATTACAGGCTGATGATTGCTTCTGCGCGTGTTCAGGTGGCGATAAGCCCAGGAAAAGAGGAAGACCGATGAAGTCCCGACAGTCCGGCAGCGTCGCCGAGGCCGCCAGTCAGGCACCACTCCCGCCCGTCGCCCAGTCGTCCATTCCCCCGCAGACGCCACAGAGCCAGAATGCGCCGCTACCCGCCCAAACTCCCGCGTACGCGCCACCTCAGGCGTCGCCTCCCAAGACGACGCCTACAAAGTCGACGTTAAAGGCGCTCCCCACGGTGCGCGATCACACGACTGACCAGCTTGGCCCCGGCGGTGACGAGTACATTCCGAGGGAGACGGACGAGGCCGGCGAGAAGAAGGTCTTGCCCAACGGCCAGCTCACGGGGAACCGCCAGTACCGATGCCGAACATTCCTGGTCCCACAGCGCGGAGACAAGCTCTTCATGCTTGCGACCGAATGCGCCCGCGTCCTTGGGTACCGCGACTCGTATCTGCTCTTCAATAAGAACCGTTCGCTCTTTAAAATAATTGCAAACCAGGTTGAGAAAGATGACCTTGTCTCACAGGAGATTCTTCCCTTCTCATATAGATCACGGCAGATCGCCATCGTGACGGCGCGGAGTATGTTTCGGCAGTTTGGCAGCAGGGTCATTGAGGGCGGCCGGAGGGTTCGGGATGACTATTGGGAGAATAAGGCTCGTAAACAGGGCTTTACCGAGGCCGATCCGGCAGGCGAGAAGAGACCGGGCGCCTCCAAGGCCCGCGAGGACCGCGATGCCGTTGCGAACCAGAATTCGACGTCTCTGCTCGGAGGCCCCCACGGCGAGATCGTCTACAGCACCAACCCCGGCCAGTTTGGTGGTGCTCCACAGCCTCAGCTCGTTCAGCCAGGTATGATTGGAGCGCCGCCAGGAAGCTCGACCAGAATGCCCGTGATAACACTAGGACCAGATTACAATGACACTCGGAGCCGAGATTACTCGGGCATTCTCAAGACTGGCCCTCGGCAGGAGATAACCGGCCCGCCCTACCAGGACCGGACGCAGCCCGCGCCCATATCCGAGCTTCATGCGCAGGCGCATCACGCCGCCGAGTTCAACCGTTCGGTTAACCAGCAGCGCGAGATCCGGAACGACTACATGCACGCGCTCTGGCGACGGCCGCACGAGCAGCCTCCCTCGACCACCATGAGCCAGCCGGTGAGCGCGACGGATGCGACGGCACCCCCTAGCCGGCCTTCCCCATCGCCGCATGCCACGACAACGGGAATGCAGCAGCCGGGTATCGTCCCAAATCAGAGCCCAATGATGATGACGGCCGCGCCATATTCACAGCCCATTCACGCCCAGAATTCTGTTAATCAAGGTACAATGAGAGGTATGGTTCAAGCTCAACCGCAGAACAATTCGAGACCAACAAACCCGTCGTCAGCAACGAGCGGGAGCATGCCGCAGACTAGCCAGAACTACAATTACCCGCAGCAGAATCAGATGTGGCCGTCAACGCCGCAGACGCCGCAACATGGATACTCTGCCTACACTGCCCAGTCTCAGCAGTCGCCTCACCAGCAACAGTCGCCAGCCCCCCAACTCCGCCATTCGGCAGGCGGAAGCCAAGTGCAGCCGGGGAATATGTCGTATTCCGGCATGCCCGGCATGGGCCAAGGATACGGCGCGCAAGCCCAGGGCATGTATCCCGCGGAGCAGACTCCTCGCCAGTACATGCAGCAGAGTGCGCCGGCGCCCGCCGTCACCCAGGCGTGGCCGCAACAACAAACTCCGGCGCAATGGTGGGCCAACCAGCCGCAGTAAAATGCGGCGGTGGCCAAGCAGTGTGCACTCTCTAGCCCGTTTCGGACGCAAGCTTGTTGGGGTCGCTTTCCCCCAATGATGCTCGTCAGGCCAACACGAGGATCGCATTTGAAACCCGGAATGTCATATTGTCCACTCTCGCTTTTTTGTAAAACTTTGGAACCGCGGACCTTGTGCAGATATTCACACAAAATACCCCGAGCATTTCAATCGGATGGAGAGGCGACGTGCTTTTTAGGGCAGGGTATGGTCCCCTTGCAGCATTCGACTTGGCATGGGCATAGAGGAGTACTTGACCGGGAGGGAACTTTTCACCATTCTTTTTGCCGATTCTCCTTACGATACCTTGGATTTTTATTTCATCCCATTCCCTGATATTCCATCTGAAATTTTGGAACAACCTAGTTATCCGACCCCGTCTTCCCCCATCTTTATGCCTCCGTTCCGACTCCCGTGGTCCTCCAACTTCATACATTCGATCGAGTTGTGCTAGGTGCTCACACTCCGTGGGCCTGGTACGGAATTGGAAGATGGGACAACCGCAATCCCCTAACAACTTGGCTACACTCTGTGGAACCGGAGGAGACCAAGCGTCGCATCACTTGCACGGGCGCCATGCGATGGGCGCCGGCCGGGACTACATAACGTTATCAAGTCGGGACCCCTTCCTCTCATTCCGCGTTATTTGTTCACTATTTCTTGTTCCCGTCTACGTTGTTTTATTCTTCCTATTCGGTATCGGGACTAGGTTTGTGTCGGTCAGTCGCTCTGCATGGTATGGGACGGCTTACTGCTTAACTCGTGGGATTTTCCTTGTGTTCCTCTCATGTTCTAGTATTGCTCGTGTTCCCCCCCCCCCCCCCCCCCTCGGACCTCAACATATCCATCTTTGATCATTTCTTCCTCCTTTTTCCTGATTTCTATTCTCCGCCTGTCGTTGATTCAATTATGGAGACGCTTCCGTGAGCACGTGACTCTATGGCCTAGCCTAGCCTGGCCTGGACATATCTCGATGCATGCATACAGACAGACAGGCCCGCATTGCTTCAAGCAGCATCGGAGGAGTTCATTACTTGTTCTTTGTTCTTTGTTTACTTTTTGACCTCTTTCTGTATTCGTCCGCTTCTCCTTGTCTTTTGGGGATAACATCTTCACTGTGTGAGGTTGTAAGGAAAGGGAGGCTATACTGCCGTTTTTTTTATATCCTTTATTTTCTCGTCTTGCTCCTTTGCTATCGCCATTCTTTTGTTCTTTTCTTCCTCGTCTCTTACGCGTATATGTCGTAGTTGTGTTACTGTCCGTCTTTTTCTTTCTGCTTTGCTCTGCTGCATGGGATGGGCTTGGGTGGTTTGGGAATATCCAGGGTGCGTGCTCGGTTGGGCTTTGGGACTGTTGGCTGATCGATTATGGATTTCTTATTCCCGCTGGGGCAAGCAGGTTGCTGAAGGTCTGCCTTGCCTGGGTGGGTGGCTGCTGAGGTAGTTGACTGACCGACTACCTTGTCTGGGGAGGATTTCTTTTTCTCTGTCCTTGAGCACAGTTAGCATAATATTATCAAGGTGTTTTTGTTGCCATTCTTTATATGTTTATGTGTGAGTGAGTCCCTTGTGGGTGAGATGGCGGGTGAGTGAATGAGTGAGTGAGAGTGGGTCTATATTACCGCGCATGAGTGGATGCAAGCAATCGCTTGTCAATTAGTGTCGGAGGCCTCTAACAGTCCAATCCCTCATATCCCATTAGAATCTAACCGTGACCCTGAGCTCTCAAATAAAAAGTCTATTAAATAGGCAATATTACTAGTCTATTTAGAAAACGAATGATGGCGGAGAGAAATCAAACTAGAATAAGGTTAACGTGTATTATAAAATATATTTAGATATACTATCTCCCGCGTCTCTCTTTATGTTGGAATCACCAGGTACCGGTACTGGAAACAACAGGGCGTGCTGCACGCCGAAAGCTGGTGGTTCAAGTGATGGTCATTGTTGTCTATGTCTGTCTAGAAGAAAGAGGTGGCCGTAGGCCACTTATATGGAATCTGGGACCCCTACGCCTCCACCGCCGCCTGTCTGGCTGATGAATGCGTTGCTACAGCCACCTCTATGTGGCTGGAATGCGCGTTGTTCCAACACTTTACTTCAAAGGCACTCGTCATGAATAAAAGTAGCACTCCTGTTAGGCGTCCGTAGCAATACCCCCCCCTCCCCCAGTAAATGCTACTGTCCCTGTATCAATCTGTCTAGTCCTTGGTCCAACGACCGTTGACTTTAGATAATCCCAATTTCGCAGCTTTCTCCTCCGGCATATCGTCCATGTTTCCGACAAAGACCTCCCGTCCCATCAGTGGTCCGATGGTTGGTAATTACCACAACCAAATTTTCTCCGCGGACAATGGCTTCGTCTGCTCCGTCTTGGTTTGCCACTTTGTACAGGATCATCCCGTTTGTGTTCTCGTGACCGACGTACATGCCTGTTTTTCCAGTAGCAACTCCTATAAACTACTCGCAGCCTTTTGCTCATATTCATATCTCAAGGTACTCAAGAGCTGTAATTGAGACAAGCTTTATCTTTTTCTCCGCACCATCAAATGTAGTACGTGACTGAGGCTCCCTTACTAGAGCTGTACAATCTAATCCCTGAATGTTTATTAGGGGGGGGGGACTTTCTAATATTTTTAAGGGCTCAAAAACTTACGGCTCACCCCAAAGGTTTTTCGCTGACGGAGGTAATCATTGATAGGGATCCCTATTATAGAATCTTGTGGCCTTTCTCGATCCTGGAAGGACTTATCAAAGGCTTTTCCTAGCCGGTATATTTGCTGCGATCTTTACTCCTTGGAAGTACCCATAGTCCTACGCAAACGACCATTCAGTGTATTTCGCAACGTTTGAATTTAATTCAAAGCTAGAAAGTATAAGAATCTACCTTCCATATCTATAACTAAGTCGGGATCCAGCCCGCATACATTAGAGTCCAGCCTGTACGCATGCCTCGGGACCATGCCAGCATGGGTAAAACAGGTATTCGCAAACCCACTGAGCCTTGCTCCAAGACTACGGCTTGGAACTTTCGTCACCGCTAGCAGCAGGCACCTTCGGCTTGGCCGCCTTCGCCTTAGCCGCCTTGAGCGCCTCATCCACCTTTGTGACTTCACTGACGATTATTTCGAATAGAATCCGGGTAAAGTTCTTCTCCAGTAGCTCCTGCTTCTCCTTAGTCGACCTCACGGGCTCAGAGTACACCTAGGCAAACATCAACACCTCGTTGTCATGTCTCATATTCATTGCTGGCTTGAAGTGTGCCAAGTAATTATAATCATAAAACACGAGGCCTGGAATCCTCCTGAGAAGCCTCGCGCTTGAATTTGCAAGAACCGGTGACGCCGAGGAGTCTGAGATGCTCGTTCAACAGAAGTTCGGCTGCGGCCACAATGTACGGTCCCACACGAGTACTGATTACACGGTTCAACGCCGTCAGTTAATTCCTTCACAAAAAGCATGGCGAATTTGGGAAAGTTGATGTGGCGGACCAAATGGGGATGGAAAGAGAGGGTTGCCTACATCACATCTTGTTCCGTATTTAATTCGGGAAGATCGGCGGGATTGTTAGGAATCGAGTGGACTTGCGCTTTTATCATCTCCTGATCGAAAGTGGCGGGATCCAACGGTCTCAAAGGGAAAGGGTGTATTTGTTGGAGGGCTAGGGGAATCGGTTTCGCCGATGTTTTTGTTTTCCAAGAACGGTTCAGGTTCGTGATGGCCGTTTTGGTCGGAAATTGGGGACCGGCGATCCTGAGTGTATCCCAATATGTCTAGGTCCAGAGCCGCCCAAGGAATTCACCGAAAGCATAGGAGGGGAGCCAGTCGAGGAAGACCTGAAAAACAGGCACCTCTGTGACTTGTGCTTGGAGCACTTAGCGCCATCCGGTCCCGCCACAGAGGACACCCAGCCGGTGAAGCTCAAAATCCTCGAGACAATCAGAGCCGAAGATGGCGCCGACGCTCAGCTGCTGAAGGTCGAGCTTCTTTCCCCCCCTAGGGACACGTCTCCCCCTCGCGGGGGGCCGGCAAGGACATTGGCACATCTGCTGCTTTCTACTCTTCCTGAACACGGCCTCGTCGCAAAACTGCTCGACCCGCTCTACTACGAAATCGGACCCCGTAACAACCCCTTCTTCTCGTGCCAGTCGGCCTACGCCCATGAAGCCAAGGCATTCAAGTACCCGAGACTCTGCTGGGGGGTGCCGCCCCCCAGCAGCTTAGCTGACCCGACAACACGGTGCAAGTGCCGTCCGAGACTGGGTCACAGGCACCAAAGAGGCGGACACTAGGCTTCGAAGCTTGCTCGCCCTTGTGCCCCGAGGGCTTACTTTGCAGAGGAAGTTCCTGCCTCGCCTTTGGCACCTTCGGCACCATAGCCGGAGCAGTACCAGTTCCCAACTGGACGGCTCAGCAATTGTCCGCGTAAACAGCTTCGGACGGGCAGTCCAGAGAATGGATGGGCGATGCGGCGGGCTTTGCAAAGTAAAAGGCGTAAAGAAAACCCCTCTAGTTTCCTGTAGAGCGGCACATGGCATGGCACGCTTCGCCCCGACTGTGCGTTACTGTCTCTTTGACTTTGCCTTGCCTTGCCTTGCTGGCAAACAGGTCAGTCACATTGGGAACCCTCTCTTCGGAAACTGAATAGGAGCAACTGGGAGAGTGTGCTCGAGCTGTACTATTATTAGCTTGATATCAGCTAGACGCTGGACAGTGGATAAGCAAGCCGGCTTTCGCGATGGCCCCAACAGAGGTCGTACGACAGAGTCTGCGTCACCCGCTGCGCAAACCCGGACAATTGGTTTCTTGCTCACAAGAGTAAGGTATTGAACACATTTATGCTCGAGTTTCTTTCCAGGCCCCCCCCTCTCTACTCGCTATCCTCTTCCTCGTCATCGAGAGCCTCGTCCTCATCCGGGCCTTCGCGATCCTCTGCCTCGCCAGGGTCGGCCGTCTCGTCGTCTTCCTCATCTGCGTCCTCCTCTTCCTCCTCCTCCTCCTCGTCTTCATCCTCGTCATCCTCTTCCTCCTCGGGCTCCTCCGGAACCGTCTCGGCGTCCGACGGCTCCTGGTCGTCGACGTCCATCCTCGACGCGTCGGCGCTCGTGTCGATCTTGGCCTTCTTGGCCTGCCTGGGCTGGCCGCTGCCCGAGTCTCCCCTTTGGTTGTCCCTGAGCAAGAAACTCGTCTCTGTGTCGTCCATGCCGTCTGCGCCGCCGTGGGACCCCGTGCTCAGCGTTGACGCGCCTCCGGCCCCCGAATGCGACCCGCCGCCGCCGCCCGTGACTCCCTTCTTGGCCGCCGCCACCTTTTTGCGATAGCTTGAGCGCTTCGACGTTTGCACCTCGTTGAATTCTTGAAAGTGTGTCAGGGATAAACTCGACCCTGTCTTCTACTGTGACTGGGGATACTCACTCGCAAACTCGGCTTCTAGCTTCTCGCGCATGAAGCCGTACTCGATGTCTTCGAGCGCCTTGAAGACGTCGGCCGGCATGATTGTCTTTTTGTTCGACGACAACGTCGCCTCGTTCGCCCTGTGACATGGCCCAGTCAGACACACGGGGTGGGGGGGAGCAACAATAGAACATACGCAGACGCCAGGTGGTTGATGAATACTGCTGCGCTCTTGTTCAGCGCGAGAATGGCATTGGCCTGTATTTGAGTGTTGGGCGGGAGCACGCCTTTGGCTAGACGCGTGATGATGGATTTGGGCAGCGTCAAGTCCTGTTTCCTGGTATTAGTCCTGTACTGGCAGATGGCATAACAGTAGTAAGGCGGTACGTGCCTCAATAGTTATCGCATCTCGTTCCCTTTCCCGCTCTCGTTCCCTCTCCCTCTCCTTTTCCTTGTCTTTCTTTTCTGACGCGGGCGCGGGCGTGGTCGCCGAGGCGGGAGGCTCCCGGACATCGGTGGCGGGGGCGGGAGCGGGGGCGGCTGGTTCCACTGCCATGGCGCTCTCTTCCTCGGCTAGCACGAACCGGGCTGCCGAGACCTCGCTCCTACGGGTGTCGCTCTTGCGGGCGGGCATGGTGGTGATGCTCGCTGGCGGGTGAGCAAGAAGTTGGGCGTTGTGGGGATCGCACGACAATGAAGGGGAGGCGAAGCCCTAGGCTGGGATGCGGGATTGAAGGGTAGGTAGTTTAGCTGCAGGGCGGTCACTTATGGTCGCTAAAAAAAATCACCAAATGAAGTCTTTAATTAGTCTTGCGCCGTGTCGTGCTGCGCTGAGGTTGTTCGTCGCCTAATTGCTTTCCCAATTGCGCAACGGCTCGTGTGGGGGGGAACGTTGAGTGAAGATGGGGAAAAAAATCAAGGCGCGTCGCGGCGTGCGGCTAGCCAGCTTAGGAGACGCGTAAATTGAATTGTCTTTCTTTCGTAGCATTCGCCCATATATAACCCTGGGTGCCCAACCCTAGCGTATTCAGGGGCGTGGTTAATTAACTGCCAAGCCACATGTTCTATGCTCATTTTACAACCCACGAGGAGATGTCGGGGCATCCTCTCCCAAGAAAGATCAAAGTCTTCGAGCTGGTTTCTCCCAGGGCAATTGACCAATTTACATTGAGTGAGGTTAAATAGCTGAATAGATTATTGATACCTCATTCGCAACATGCTAACTCGCTCGAGTCCTAGGCTTGCTTTTGCTTGGCACCCAGTCCGGCCCATCTTCCGCGTTCTTATTCCCTTGATCTTGCAAGGTCCGGTCCACCTTGCGGACACAAGCGTGCAGCCAGAACCGAACAGCGGTGTCAAACACACCGCTCACGGCGGCAGGTGCTCCGCCCTCAGAGACGGGAGCCGTGTGAACGTCATCATTGGCATTCCACATTCTGGGGAGGTTGGGTTGGGTAAAGGCTGCCTGCCGCTTTGACTCTGTTCCATGTTTCAAGTTAGGCGGGGTGACAACAAAAGTTTGCACCCTTATTTGGGAGGGACATGACTGCGGAATCGAATACCTACCAACCTTGTAAAAAGCATTGCTATCTGAAATCTCTCTGCACCTTGTGCGTACAGCATGCAGTCAGCTTCCTTTTCTCCTGGCAAATAGGCTTGCGCCGGTAAGATAGGTCGCTTCACTTTGCATGTTTCTTGGCCCTAATAATTAGAGTAAAAACGCCCAGTTTTTGCAACACCTATCTAGGTGGTTATATCTGCTTCTGCGCAGGAAACTAAGGTGGGTGGGTAGTACATCGCACCATGTCTACCTGCGTGCAATATGTAATGATACAGTGACCAGTGACCAACAATGACGAAAAGCTCTCCAGTGAGTCGAGTCGGGTTTGAGAACACTCCTCTTCCCTCTTCCGGAGTGGGGAACATGGTAATAACAATACGATGCAATGCAATGTAATATGATGTGAGGCTTGGTGTGAGCAACACCTCGAAGAGACAAGAGTTCCACAGAGAAGGCGTGATCTTAGGCCAGGTATCACCCCAAGCCAGCCCGTTGAAAGGGTAGACAATAAGAAAACAAAGGGTAGAGTATGGGTGGCGCTGCACCGCATCTTCAAAAGAATTGGGAAAGAAAGGTTCAGGAGACATGCTGCCCACTTCCGTGCCCCTCCTGTTGACAACCAACAAGAAAAACATAGCACAAAAAAAGACCATGCAACAGCCCACGGGGTATATCCATCTTAGGTTAATCATGAAATCATCAAAACGCCGACCAAATAAAAAAAGTCTCGAAACCCAAAGTAAGATCCCGATCTCGGTTGTTTGTGGAACAGAAGGGGGCGGGCGAGCGGCGAAATGCTCACTCTCCTTGCCCGCTTGAGCGCACGGACACGCCAAAACAGTAGGGGAATGAATATGAAAACAGAAACAAAATAAAATAAACAAGTGTAACAAATATGTGTGTTACGTCGTAAGGATGAGTGATGGAGGTGGGTGCCCAGTGAGGCAAATGTAATAATGAGGCGGCGGGCATCAAGCCAAGGTAGGTCCCCGCTCTCTGTCTCTCTCTCTCTCTCAAAAAACAAAGTTTGCCGATCGCATAGCCATGTTTGTTTCTGAAACAGGTCGGACTGAACCTTTTTTTTAACGGCGAGGCCAGGAGCGGGCCTCACCTGACCCACGTCATGCCCTGTATGCCATGCCGTTCCAGAAATGCCGAAAGTTTTGATGGCGTGAAACCAATCAACAAACGTCCAGAGCCAAACCCCCCCCCCCCCCCCCCCCAAAAAAAAAAAAAAAAACCGGGTTTCGGGTTTAAAAAAAAGCAACGCTTTGTTGAGGCTGTTGTTGGCGGCTCAGCCAATCGCGCGACCAATGTTGTCACCGTGAAACTCATCGCGAAACCACGGGCGCGATGCTGACGGAGATGAGAGACTGCCACCAAAGACGCCTTCGTCGCCGAAGGAGAGACGCGGGGGGATAGATGACGACGAGTAAACGCGCGAATGGCCACTGTGAGTAGGATAGGCGTCGTGCGAATGGCGGGGTGAAAGTTCCATGTCAGAGCCGGCGGCAGAGCGCTCGTAGCCCGCAAAGCTGCGGGTACTGCTCCTCGAACTCCTTGTCCTGAGGTGGTGGTGGTGGGAGGCGGCACGGCGGTGCTGTGATAAAAACGTAGGCGGTAGCTTGGAGAGACGCGAGGTCTGGCGTTTGGGGCTTGGGAGGAAGGGCTCGTCGCCTGGGATGGCCTCATCTGTGAGCCCGGCTCGCGCGTTCGGTGCCCTCGCTTGGATGGGTGTCTGCGGGAGTGCTTTGTCTAGGCTGAGCTTTCTGCCGCCCGTGTAACTCACGCGCGTGCTGTTGTGGACGAAGGAACGGGGCGAGCCCTCATCGCTCGAGACCCGGTACCCTTGGCCGAGGGCGTTGCTGTACACAATGACGCTTGGTGGTTTCTTTGCCGAGCTGGTTGACGCATGCTTCCCGTGTGACGGGCTCCCGCTCTCTCGGTGGCCACTTCCTGTCCCCGCCGCCGCCGCCGCTGTAGTTCCTCCTGCTGCTGCTGCCGCTTCGCCATCAGTATCCCCGCCTGGATATTCAACTTTCTCGCTCCGGGGCACTTTCCAGGTTGCGATTTCGTCGTCGTCGATTGGCGAGATGCCTCTGGCGAAGAAATGTAGGCGCCGCCGTTGCCAATATCTCCAGCAGATCAAGACGGCAGCAACAATCATCAAAGCCCCCACTACCGAGAGCACACTGCTGAGGGTGATCACGAGCGTCCTGTTGCTCCCGATCCCCGAGGCGTCGTCGCGCGTAGATCCCGTCTCCTTTGGTGAGGTGGTCGTGGATGAGCCCGCGTTCGACAGGGTCGTGTCCGTGGGCATAGTCGCGGTCAAAAGCACTTCGGGGCTTGTTTCCGCAACGGCCGCGGTTGTGGGAAGGATTTCGGTGGGAGAAGGTAGAGAGACCTGTGTCTCACTCTGAGAAGCTCCCGTAGGCTTAGCCGAGGGTCCTGTCGACGTCCAGCCTAGTTGTGGGGTTGAAGGCGTAGGTGTAGAGGGACGGGGCGGAGGGAAAAGAACTGAAGGTGGGTCCGTTAGCAAGGTGGTTGAGGGCCAACTTGTGGTTGCCCGAGATTTTGTAGGCCGTCTGTGCTGATCGCCATCTTCTTGTCGGGGAGCAAGACCAGGGCCAATGTCCAAGGCCACAACGGGGGGGGGAGGGGCGGGTAGAGAGAAATGCATATTTTCGAGGGGCCATCGAGGTGTGTCTAGCCCAAAGGGGGGGGTTCGGTCTTCTTTTCCAAGCCCCCAGCTAAGACACACCAGGTACAGATGAATGCGCCAGTGGATGGGATAGAGTGATGGAGACAGATGGAGCAGAACTGGGGGAGACCAACGTAGTGAGTGAGTGGAGTTAAGATGGGAGGAGGCGGAAAGACGACTCCAGATGTGTGTCGGGCATCAGTCCAGCGAGGGCGAGGAGGCCCGGTGATCGAGGAGGCTCGGGAGGAGGGGAGCGGGACGTAGACGAGGACGAGAACGTCGTGGGGGACAAGAGCTCCCGCGTCTATATACGGCCCAGGACGGTACGTAGGTAGCACGCTGGAGCAAAGGTAGCCCGGATCTCTCAGCCCAGCAACTGTCCAATATGCGCGGAGCCCACCACGATATCCGTATAGTAGGTGCGGCCTGGCTATCCAGCTTGAAATACCAACGAAACTGGGGCAGCCGGCAGATATACCCGCGTGCTCGAGCTTGCCATGCCATGCAGCATCCACACCTCTCAGGGCAGGCGCGGCAGGTAGCGAGCGGGGACGGACTTATACCATTCTTGCACATCCACATCCACATCCACATCCACACACGCACAACACCACCCAAAGCAAAGCACAGGGCAAAACAGCGCAGCTCAGCACAACATAGCACAGGCCAGGTCTAGCGGGGAGCCCCCGGGGTGGGAAAGGGGGAAGGGGGGATTGGATGGGGAAGTATGTACATTGCAGCATCATCGGCCTGCAGTGGGTGTGAGTGTGGGTGTGTGTGGGTGTGGGTGGGTGGGTGTGCGTGTGTGTGTGTGTGCGTGTGCGTGGGTGTGATGGTAGGTGTACATGCTGTGTCCACCAAGATCCCTTCCTTGCCCAGGTACCACACAAGACAAACACTAGGACTAAAGGTGGTCGAGGGGGAACGTGCATGCGCGAAAGACGTGCAGTGCAGCGGCGGCGAGCAGCAAGGTCCAGTGGTGACGGCGGCCACCTCGTTGTAGTGGGGTCGTCGGCGGTGGGCATGGCCAAGTTCCTTACGGCCAAGTTCTCTACAGCCATCCATGACATCCATGGCCCATGCTGTCGGTCGGAAGCAGGACTGGATGGAATAGGTGAGGCACCTAAGGTAGGTCACTAAGGCACCTCCTCAGTAGTCGCATGCACTCACCACACACGCTGAGTGGGCCACTACCTACACGTCCATACAGTATAGTGTAGTGCAGGACTGTTAGTACGAATACATATGTACTAAGCACATACCTTGGGATCTGTTTCGCCGTGCCTGAGCAGCAATGCTTCCAGAGCGGAGACTTGTCGGGTCTCTTTTGGGGCCCGTGGCTGGCCAGTGAGGTGGTTGGATTGGAAATCTCGACGGCCAGTCCACGGCGATCATCGCTGCTGGTGCGATCGGCTAGCATGATGTGGATACCGGACGGAGACCCCTCAGGGCAGCGACGGCGGGAGCACACTCAAGTTGCAGGGACAGGGCCGGTACATCCGCCAACGGGAGAAGGCGCGATTGCTTCCCAAGTGGGCAACAAGTGGGTTCGAACCAAACTGGTCACCTAAGGAGGGGGAGGAGGGGTTTCTCGCCCCACAGCAGCGTGGGAGAGGTGAGAGAGGGCGACCAGGGCACTGAACCTGACGACGACGCAACGACACAAGAGATTTGAGTTGGCCATGTCTGAACCACTGACATCGTCAATGAAGTCGCTGTGGCTTGCAGCTTACAGTGCATGCATCGCCAAGCTCGAAGCGAGACGCAGGCCGAGCACAGAGAAACACACAAACCGACCTACTACTCTAGGCAATGATACTACTATCTCCTGAATGGAAAGTTCCAATCTTTATCGAGGACAATGGTCGACTGTCATTGAGTGAATGGATTGAGAATGAAATGCGAATCTAGCCCTGGCCGCCGCTCACCATGGGCCGTAGGATTTAAGTTTTGTTTAGCAAAACCCCGGACTTGTATGCCTGCGCCTCAGGGACCTTTACCTGATACCCAAGGTTGCAAGCTCATCTCTAGATTTTGTCTGGGCGATAAGGGGCGGGGCTCAGGACCTCAAGACTTCAAGTCGCCATTGAAATGCGAGCTTCCGCACAACAAGCTTATTACACTGCTCTCGAGAGACCACAGCAGGATTGTGCAGTTCGATTGCGTAGGTAAGGCATGCATGCATCAAGAGAGCGTGGCCATACCGAGATTGCCAGAGTCTGCACACTCCCATGGCTCTGTTGCACAGCGTCCAGTCTGGAGAACGACGGCTGGCCATCGGGTAGAATGCCATCATGCCTGTCAGATTGAAATTGTCACTCATGGCACAGCAGCTTGCTTGGTAATGACATTTGCGGGGAGCTCGCTCGTTCGTAGAAGGGCCGTTGTTTCATCCCATACGCACTCGTTGTGAGTGGTTTGTGAGTACAACGAAGTCTCTCAGTTTGCCGCTCGTCTTTTTGTCAGCTTTCTCTTTGCTAGCTCCCATCTCATGGTTAATTCCCTTCTCCACGAGCGGCGGGCCCGGGAGCGGTGAGCAACTCGAACAACACCGAAGTCCTGATCCCCACTGTCGCTGATGGGCGCGGTGTGGTTCTGGCCCGCTTTGGCAGAAGCCCCGGGGGTTCGCAGTACAGGGTACTTGTAGCTTCCAGAGGGAAAAGAATAACCTGGAAGTCAAAGTCACTCGACCGGGCATCCTGTACCGAAGTGGATGACAGCGGGCAGCGGGAATTCCTGAAACGTAAGAAACCGGGCCCGGGTTTACTTGCCTGTCGTGGGTGTTCCCCATTGGCTGCGGAGCTAGGGCGGAGCTGAGAGAGGATCGACTTGCTTGAGGAGGAGCGTCTAAACAGCTCGAGAGACAGTTGGCGCTGGCGCCAGCGTCAAGATTCGATATGGCTTCCAAATGGGAGCTAGACATTAGTGCACACCCGTGTATGAATACAGGACGGACGATGCAACCGGATCCGCGACGCAATGGAAGAAGGCAAGCCATTTCTGCTCTTTCGGATTGCAGGTCTGCAAGGCACGCACTCAGACATGGTAGCCGAAAGCCAATGCGACCTCAAATGGATGTGAAGCCAATCTGTGCATCGTCACCTGCCGTCTCTACTGCAACCCACCAAAGGCATCTCTTGGCCAGGACGAGAGAGCTCAACACTCCTAGAATGTTCCGCAATTACCTGCTGCAACCTAAAAGACAGGAAAGCACACGAGTGGTTGATAGTACGGGCAAGCCCTGCTCCGGTCTCTACTGGCCTGTCGAGTTGGCCGTCTGACAGATGGGGAGCACCGCTTTCGCTTCGTAATCCGGAGAGACAGAAACCGCGGGCAAACTCGCTAGCTGTTGTGTTGTGCTGTCGAGGAGCTGATCTTCCAACAGGCAGTGCCGCAAAGAATGACAACACATCAGGTAAATCTGTGACAACAACCCCTCAGCCAGAGTCACATTAACGACACAGACGGATAAGCTTATTGTTGATTGGGAGGGTCATCGGAAACTGGGTTTGGGATGAAAGACGATCCGTGCTCTTCGTTTGTCTACGGTATTCTTTGTTGCTCACCTTGGAGGATCTTCTTTGTGAGCTGGTGGGAAATTCCGTCGAGGTGAGCTCGGACGTTTCAACCATACAAGTCACACAATCGCGCACAAATCAACAGTTCCAGTTCATAGCAATTGAAACGCGAACTAAATTGGAATTTTTTGCTTCTTCTTTCTATTTGCTTTTTCTTGGTCATGCTGTCCCTGTCTCACCTCGATTGACTCTCGAGTATAGATCAACTCCTGCCTGGTCGTTCGGGGCCTGGACCGGGGCCATCTGGCCGCCCTGAAGAGGGGCCGACGAATGAGGAGGGTCCGAAGCCACATCGTCCGAAAGATTGTTCCTGCATGACACCAAGAGCGGTGACCAACCACTTTTAACCCGTTGAGCTGCTAAGTATCGATAGAGTGGGGACGGGCCTGTCTCCCTTGTCTGAGCCTCGTATCCTTAAACGTCCTGTATTCGGAATACTTGACTTTATTCTTAGAGCCTCGCAGCGGAGAAGGCCAAAGCCGCTGCAAGTCACAAAGCGAAAGATGCCTATATCCCGGGCCCCCGAGGCAGGCTAGGATTGACTCGCCGTCTTTCGCTTCACAAGGTATACGCCTCGCTCTAGTTCAGTGGCATACATACTTGCCTAATTAGAAACAGACCGTGCGCTGCAGCAGCCAGCGCGGGCAGCGAGACTGAGAGAGAAGGTGCTGAGGGGCCCCGGCTGGCCCGCCAATCGGAACATGCGTGCCCAACCTCTCCCGTCAAGTTCAAAGGGACTTGAGTCTGAACTTGCTCGAGCCTCGGCGACAATCGAGCCTCGGTCGCCCGAAGGCGTCTTGCGCTTAGCAGATGCAACTCTCAGACGCCGTGAACCGCCATTTGCTCCTGTTTCGACGGTCCCGCCCCGTCCGTAGCCGTCTGTGTCATGTCAAAAATAACAAAAGAGTTATTTTGGCCAGTCCGTGCTCACGCAGTTGCTACTTTACTCAGTCCCGTCGGACGTACAGAGGTTATTACCTTGCCGCCGACTGCAGGCTCGATGCAATGGCCAAGCTCTGCCACCCTGCCGCCTCTGATCGACGATGGACGGACAGATTGAGGTGAGTGGCTGCAGCCGGAATCGACTACCACAGTAGACTAGACCTGTTCTACACTCTAGAATGGTCACCGTCGAGAGGAGAGGAGCGAACACCGAAGTGAGTGCCCAACTTGCCCATATCCGGCCTGTGTTCTCCGGCTCTGATGGATGCGAGAGTAGGGAGGCTCGGTTGTTCAGTGTCGGGCAAGGAGAAGTGCCTCCCTGGACTTAGACCACCTAGGGTTTCTCGGTCATTTGGCCGCTTTCCCCACCACACGTTTCCTCCAGACCGCTTCTTCCCACACCCTCAACTGCCATGAAAGTGTCTTGTTTGCCTTGGCCCAGGCACCACTTGGATTTGGAACCTGATGCCTAGGGCCAATGGCCGTGCCCAAGGCTCTCCAAATTCTCTGCGACAGTGGGCGACACAACCCCAGAGAACCCACACTCAGTCGCCCCGTTCGAGGGCACGGCATATTCACAGGCGGGCGATAATATAATTACACCACCATTATTAAGGTACTGACTGCCCAGGCCGCCATCTGGGTTATGCGAGATGGACGAGGCTATTCTGCTCGGGGCGCTTAGGGCGGACAGACGCACCAACTTCAGACACACAGACAATAAACCAAGACAAGCAATAAACCTCAATGCGCCCGACCCGACCAAGACGGCAGAAAAACTTTGTCGTCACAGATCGTCGTTGCGCACAGTCAACGGCATTGGAACGCATGATGTGCCAAACCATAGCCGGGAGCCGCACCCACACAGTAATCCACGCACTTGTATGAAAATCCGGGGCTGAACACACAGACAAACCCGGCATTCTCCCGCAAAGCATAAACCCCTGCCAATACGGAATTTTTGTTAATTGTTTGGCGCGGTGAGCTCTTAGGTAAAACTGCCTGCGCCTTCCTTCGTCTATTCCTTTAGGAACTGGTACGATCGTGGAGTGACAGAGACATGTGCAGATAGATTGTGGAGGTGGCTTAGAGCCCCCCTGACAATGTGCAGAACATGGCGCTCAAAAGTGCCGAGGCGAAAGAAGCGCCTCTACCGCTGAAAGCCCGGATCGACGCCGGTGGAGATGAAAGATTCACTAAACAAAAACCATCGTTTTCGTCCTGGACAAATTGTCATCACAAACAAAGGTCTCTCTCTCCCTGTGACGGGAATTACCCCTTAAACTCAAATGTCACTCAGTGTACGAATACTACTGTACGGATATGGTAAGTAGGTGCCTGGCCTTACGTACACGGGCCGAGCCTCTGGTGGGCTGTCCGCCCGGACGAGACCACTAGATGCCCCCGGTTCCTCCGTAACGAGACCCGCACCAGGAAACCTCCGAGTGAGAGCCGCGTCCGGATGGGGAGGAGGGGCAGGGAGAGAGGGGGGTGCCGCAGCCAAGCTTTCGTCCGTGACGTGGTCGCGGATTTGAGGCCCGATGCAGTAGGCCAAGGAACCAATCAGCCATCGTAGACACACAACAGCTCGGTTCCTGGGTAGCAGAGCTGGAGCTTGCCAGAAAGTGTGTGCATTTGGAGGTTCCGAGCTTCTGAGGCATCACTGGCTCTCACTGGACGGGGTCGCCTTGTCCTGCCCTGGGCGTCGTTCAGGGGTGCCCGCGAGGAGGGCTCCGTCCAGCGCACTCATTCGACCGTGACTTCTCAACGCTGATCACTCGCATTTCCCGAGAAGTGGAGCTGAGACTGGTGTCAAAAAGGTCCGTGACCAAGATTCGGATCAGTCAGTGTCGTGTCCTAGTGTGCTGTACGCGAGAATGGGAGCACTGAGATAAGGCAGGCAGGGCCCTGTCTATCTGTCCGGTGCCGTCACGCAGCTTGGGGTCTGACGGGTGGATGGACCGACAGAGGATGCCGGCTGATGGCCAACGAACTGCCTCCGCCAACGAGGTTCCGATGTGTTCCATTGTTGGTTGGCATTGAGCACAGGGCAACATGTTTGGTAAGTGCGTGCTGTGCTGGGACATAGCCCGCCGCCCTTGAGCCCTTCAAAGTTCATCAACCCGAGACCGCCTGAACCTGGGGATCTACGCTAAGCCACTTCTCGACTCGAGGTGGTGAGCCGGCTGTTGAAACTCGCGCTCCTGCCATCGATTGGCGTTTTCGGGTAGCGACGAGCCACCACATCGCCGATATGGCTTGCCCGAGCCTACCGAGGGCTCCTTACGCCCTTCCAGACTTCTCATCTATTTCGAGAGCCGAAGGCTTGGGGCTTGTGGTTGTCACTTTCTGTCGAGGGATGACTCAAAACACCACATTCTTTAGGCCATAACTGACTGACTGTTCCCCCGCAAAAGGAGAGCTACTACCCCAAGATCACGGTGGCAGCCAATTGAAACGGCCACCGGCCTCGCAGCCTCAAGGTTGGGCACCAAAACCCACCGCTCCTCCTCCTCGTCTCGGGCGGCCGCAGCACTCGCTACACTATCTGGTATCATGCACCTCAGCGCATGAAGCTGCCTAGGTACTCGCGTGTTGTGGACACCAGAAGAGCTTTGTTTTGAGCCGTCTTCAAGCCCTCGTCCCGGTTCGCCCCGTTTCGTTGGCGACCTGGGGCAGCAACTTGGTGTCGTGAACCTGGTTACCATTTTAGCATCCCCATCCTTTCCAGGCAGGAGAGGCTATGTATCAGGTCCATCCCACGAGGTCGGTGCGCACGGTTGTTACATCTCGGGCACATAGCTTGCTTGCCTATCTACCTTACCCAGTAGACTCCTCCTCGCGAGGTGGTCAGTTACAGCCCCATGCCTTGTCAAAGGCAGCAAAGGCCGCACTACGATATGAGACTAGCCCCTTAGCTGGTGTTTTCTGAAGAGGATACCATCTCGTTGCCGAGAGACTCAAACTCAAGCCGGGTGCTGCGTATTTGGAACGAATGCGGCCGCGCTGCCGGGATACTCCTGTTGCCTTGAACCCGCAACACCTCAAACATGCATACAGACACTTGCAGTCTTCTATCTTGCGTGTGGAGCAAAACCGTCTTTCCCACGAGGTTGTGCCGGGATTGCCAAAGTCCCCGCTCTTGGGCCAGATGCCGTGTCAAGCAACGCGGAGGCACGGGTCCCCTCTTTGGACGTCGTCTGCTTGACTATTGAGACGAGAGGCACTGAAGGGGCACAGGGGACACACACACTCTTTCTGTCAAACACCCTTTTGCTGAACTGCATATCGGGGATCGGAGGGCTACGGGCAGAGGAAGGGCTGAAAACCCTACGAAAGAATCTGAAAGGGACTCGAAAACCACCGGGAATTGAAACTCTGGCCCTCCAAGTACTCAGTGACAGGTGCCAATGATGCAATGGTGAAAAGACCGGCCTGCCCCCAAACAGGCCAAACACCGGGCTTCCAGCTCTCTCTCTCTCCCTTTGGCGTCTAGGGCGGCTCTGGGGCTTGCAAATGCCAAACAGAAGCCAAGCCAAGGGAGCGAGGAGGAAGGGCAGCTAACTCCCTGCGCTTAATCATCCACACACAGCCCGCAGATTCTGTTTGGCTTCGTGGAACCATTGGCAAGGAAGCGTCGTCTTACGTAGTAACTACACTTTGAACTTTATCCCACTATTATTTCTGTGACGTTACCCGCCGGTGAAGAAAGACGAGTCGGTTGGCCTGCCGGCAAAACTGAAGTCGGGGCTGACAAACCAAAAGTTCGTGACATATGTATTCCCTCTTTGCATATATCCTCGTGTTTTTTTCCCTCCCACCACCACGAGCGCTGCACCCGTGAGGCGCCGGCGCAGCCCCAGCGCGGATGAGGCACCACACCCACGAGGCAGCGCGCAAGGGGGGGACGGGGGGGGCGGCGGCACCTACACCACCTCTGGCAACCCCCAACCCAGCCCAGTCCGGCCAAGACTCGGGAAAGAAGGAAGCTGAACCCGACGCTCCGTGTCTGCGATCTTGTATGTTTGGGAGCTTTGCTGGCTTCCATGACATGGCCCAGCAACTGAAGCCGCCGAGGTAAGTACGTAGTAGGCATTGTGATGTGCGTCTGCTTTCGTATAAGGGAACCGCGGTTATGATGCTAGTAGTCAGTTGGTTCCAGCTGTATTGATGCTGCTGCTGTGCTGTGCCGCATCCTCTTCTCTCGTTCTTATGTTTTTTTTTTTGCCTTCTTCCTTTACATGCGTCGTTCGTGCCTGGCAAGGCGACCCATCACATCACATCGCAGCTTGGCTCTTTCGATATCCGCGCCATCTTCGGTACGAGGTGGAATGTTCGTTGCGGCCGGTCGGCCGGCGGTGTCTGCGAACACCCTATAGAAGGAAGCATAATCTGCGGCGCAGGAGGAGAGAAGGCTGGAAGGGTGAAGGGAGGGATGGAACAGGGGGGCACGAAGGAAGGAAGGGCGGGGGAAAAAAACATGCGCCCTTTTTTTTGTTGTTTCTTGGTTTTCGAATGAATCATCCTCCCTCGTACCGATGTAAGGCTGTGCCTTTGTGTAGGTCGGCTTGTTTGTTTGGTTTTTTCGACACATCACAAAATGAAGGCATGTATGGAGAAGATAAAACCCGGGATCCGCCATCTGTCGTCGGGCCCGGGAACCAACAACGCACCCACCGCGTGCATTGTATGTACATACATGTGTGGCTTGCAGGATCCATATACCGTACATACATACATACATACATTGGCGAGCCTCTCCGCTTTTTTTTCTACTTGTTCCTCCAGGGGAATGAATGTGGCTGCGATCGAGTGGAACTTCTAGAATCCTTTCTCTCGCATGCAAAGATTTGAAATTAGTTTGCATCGAATCTGTTCTTCTTCTTTTTCTCTGGCTCTTCTTTAGTCTTGACATTTGGGATGGATGATGTAGACAGTTGTTGCGGGCACGCACGACCACGGCGTATCCCTCCTGCCCCCTCGAATCTTCGGCGATAACCTCGCCTTAGTGTTGCTGTGTTTCTCCGTCTGTTGGTTAGCTGCGGGTTGCTGTAGACGTGCAGACGTGCAGACGTGCAGACAAAATAACAGAAGGTTAGGACTGCAGATTGTGGAGACAAAGGTTCCAATAGTTTTAGAGCTAAGTTGAAGCAGACCATGATGGTTAACCGCTGCGCCTGGAGGATTGGCAAAGGATTAGCGGTGTACCAAGCAAGCGCTTTGCTCTCGCCTCTGTCTTGGCGGCAAGACAGACAACGGGGTCGATGGATCAAACACGCTGACAATGTGTATGCCTGCGTATATTGGTGCTAGTTCCTACCTCATGCTCGTGTTTGGGGTTCTTTTATTTTGGCTTTGATGGCTCCACCCCAGTTCAAGACTCGGCGTCAATTTGACATGAAGGCGTCAACTAGACTGATCAGTGTATCAACATCTAGTCAAACGCACAAAAAAGCGAGAGCTATGGCTGTGGCAACTTATGCTATATGACTGTTAAGTCTCATGTCCTTTTGGGTTTGCTAATCTTGGCAGTTCCGTTTTATGGAACTTGTTGCGAAGGAAGTATCCTGAGAAAGAGAGTACTGAGAGAGGAAGGGAATTTTAATGCTGGAAAGTTAGGCGTTGATGTTACGGCCCTGACGGCTTGCTATCACAGAATGAGGGTGGATCCAGATGACCTCGTCCTAACTTGAGGCATTGCGTTTGAACGTGGCATAACCTCACTAGAGACTCACGAGAAGTATGCTAACTCGTAGTTCTAGATGTGTGGTCAGGTTTCTCTACTGATTGAGTCTAATGTTGAGAGTCTTGGGCGGTCTTGTTGTATATCATGACTTTGAGGGAACCCCAACGATGCGTCTAGTTGTTCTCGTCGGGAATTGGATGTGCCTCCGCCGGAGAGAGTCTTGGTAATTATAAATAAGCCCATAAGAAAAGCCAAGCGAACTGGATTAGATGTAGTGGATTTTGGTATTATTATGTTGTCGTGGGGATGGGTGCTGTATTGCCCCTAATTCGGAAATAGGGGCCACAAAGATAGGATACTTGGGAATATGTGTACATAGTTCCACAGTATACAACTAGCTCGACAGTAGGTAGGTAAGGGAGCTATTGCTATCTGGATATCGGCACTCGCCCGTTTTATCCCCAACCATCTCTTTGTACTGTGTCCAGAGGGAGAATGAGTCGAAACCAAAGTGTTGACTTTCACCTGGTAAAAGTTCGTATCCTTAATTATACCACCACCAGACAACACAGCCTGGAAGAACTGTATGGCTTCTAACATATCTACAGACCGAATGCTGGATACATAGTTCATCTTTAAGAGAATATGAAGGGCGCCTTTTCTAAATGCAAGGAAACACTGCATGGTTCCGGATTATTGTTCTCTTTGTTTATTTATCTGCATGACGACGTTGTGCAGCGCGCACAGATGGGCGCCAGCCAGTTGGAGCTCAATAGCTTCTTTTTGTTCTTGCCATCCGTCTTCAAACTCCCGCGATACCGGCAATGAAGCGCGGGCGCCAGTATGGAATCGGCCGGCTTACCAGCAGCACCCGAACTCATGTCGCAAACTCGAATTATCGCCAACTGGCATGTAGAGCTAGATATGTCTGCGGCACCTGAGAGTTCCTCAACCTAAATTAAACAATGTGCTCGTAAGATTTGCCATTTCTTGCACTGAAATATGATTGATGCAGTTGTTGTTTGTTGTCCGTTCCAGGCAAAGGAGTTGGCTTTCCCCCTTTTCCTCATTTGTGTCTTCTCGCTAGGTAAACTCTAGGTAACCCGAAAACTTCAGTGTTAGGTTCTAGGTTGCGCCCAAAGGAGGGTCTGAGATGGTTTGGAGATAAGACGCACGCACTTATGTGACTGCCGAAGTTGATAAGAGATGCTCTTACTGGCATGTTTATGTGTCATGATGTGGTGCTGATGTTGATGACGCCGCGATCGGGCTTGCTCGTTCGTATACAAGAGGTTACGGGGCCATCTCGTTGTGATATTTGCAGCTTGCTATTGGCCAATGGTGATGGTGACCCGCTTCCCCGCCTCACCCTCCACTCCCGCTGTGGGGAACTGTGGGGAGCTCCAGCTAAGCCGCGACAAAGCGGCCCAGCACCAACAGCGCCATCCTCAAGGCGAAGCACCGGACGCAGTGTCATTCGATAACGTAAAGTCGGAACGACGTCAGCAGTTATACTTTCCGAAGCACCCAGCACTCATAAGGTATCCTGTCGTGTCTGCCCTCCCTGCCTTGATTTCCTCCAACATGGCATCCCGCCATCTGAGATTGCTCTCTTTCCACTCTCCTATATCGCGAGCAGTCTCCTTCATCGCCAACAAACCGAGGATACGCACATCGCCACGAAGCCTCAAAGCCGCCAACATGTCGACGCTGGCTACCTTCAAGGTGCCCAAGGTGGTCAACGAGCCCAATGTATGTGACCGCGCCCACTGCGCTGCCCTTCTAAACATACAAGGCTCTGTCTGACCATAAGCCTCCCGGCAGCAACACTATGCCAACGGCTCTGCACAAAGAGCCGGCCTGACAGCTGCCATTGAGACACTGCAGAAGGAAGGCGCCCTCGAGGTGCCTCTTGTCATTGGCGGGAAAGAGGTAACGACAGTCCTTTGTTCAACAAGGCTGCCAATTGCTCTTATTAACCGTCGTCGTCGACCCGTTCTAGATCAAAACACCATCAGGTGCAAAGCAGGTGAACCCGGCCGACCACAAGACGGTAGTTGCCGAGTACTCGCTGGCAACGCCCCAGCATGTCACCACTGCCATCGAGGCGGCCCTTGTGGCAAAGTCAGAATGGGAGTCGCTGCCCTTCGCCGACCGGGCGGCCGTCTTCCTCAAGGCGGCGGATCTGGTCAGTTCAAAGTACCGCTACGACCTGATGGCCGCCACCATGCTGGGCCAAGGCAAGAACGCCTGGCAGGCCGAGATTGATGCTGCTGCCGAGCTCTGCGACTTTCTGCGCTTCAACGTGCAGTTTGCCGAGGAACTGTACGCCCAACAGCCCTCCCACAACTCCCCTGGCGTATGGAACCGCGTCGAGTACCGTCCGCTCGAGGGGTTCGTCTACGCTGTCAGCCCCTTCAACTTCACTGCCATTGGCGGCAACCTACCCGCCGTGGCCGCGCTTATGGGCAACGTCGTCGTCTGGAAGCCTAGCGACTTCGCCATTTCTAGCAACTGGTTGCTGTATAACATCCTGATCGAGGCCGGCCTGCCCCGGAATGTCATACAGTTTGTGCCGGGTAGCCCGGAGGAGGTGACCAAGGCCGTCTTGTCGCACAGGCAGTTTGCCGCTCTCCATTATACCGGTAGCACCGCTGTATTCCGCAAGCTGTATGGCCAGATCGGAGCCGGCGTCGCCGAGGGCCGGTACCAGTCGTACCCTCGGATCGTGGGCGAGACAGGCGGCAAGAACTTCCACCTGATCCATTCCTCGGCCGACGTTGAAAACGCCGTTGCGCACACGGTCCGCGGTGCCTTTGAATACCAGGGCCAGAAGTGTAGCGCCACCTCGCGGGCATATGTTCCGGCATCCATCTGGCCACAGTTCAAGTCTCGCTTGATCCAAGAGACGGAGAAGCTCAAAGTCGGCGACCCCTGTGACCACGGCAACTTTATAGGGCCCGTCATCCACACCGCCTCATTCGAGAAGCTATCTGGGGTGATCGACGAGGCCAAGTCGGACAAGAATCTCGAGCTCCTCACTGGAGGCACCTATGACGACACTCGGGGCTTCTTCGTTCACCCAACTATCTACCAGGCGCAGACTCCCGACCACAAACTCTTGTCGGCCGAGCTATTTGGTCCGATTCTGACAGTCTATGTGTACGACGACAAGAAGGACCCGGTTGGCGCCTTTTCGTCCGTCTGCGAGCTCATCGATGCCACCTCAGACTATGCTCTGACGGGATCCATATTCGCCTCCGACCGCGCCGCGGTGCGATTTGCAGAGGAGAAGCTCCGCAACTCGTCGGGTAACTTCTACATCAACTGCAAAAGCACCGGCGCCGTGGTGGGACAGCAGCCGTTCGGCGGAAGCCGGGCGAGCGGCACCAACGACAAGAGCGGCAGCATCAACATCCTGGGCCGGTTCGTCAGCATGCGGAGCATCAAGGAGGAGTTCAACGCCACGGCCCAAGTGTCGTATCCTAGCAACGAGATTTGACCACATCCGTGAACATAATTGCTTGGCTGTCCATTATGCTAAACAAAAGGGCGGAAGACGTGTTGAACAGGGCCGAGACATTGCCGCCAGTCGCTAGTCACTGGAACCGATGGCACGCGAATGTGTAAGATTCAGAAGGTGTCTCTTTCGAGGTACTAGACGGATACTTTCGAGCCTTTTCCCGCCCATCTTGTTTTCTGTCCGGCCCAATTCTGAATGAGTTTGCATTCTGATTTTGATGGAGCATAGCAACGCCTGCTGGAGTTTCTCTTCATAGCTATTTTTTTCCCCGGGGGAGTGGATAATGACAAGAAAATATAATGCTCTTTTTTTTGGGACTTTGGTCTTTTTTCTTTCTTAACATCCCGTCGAGTCTAAACAACAGGTGTGGCATTCCTCACGATAGTTTAGCTCAGCGACGAGAACACGCCCCTGATAATTGAATTGGCCATGCATGATCCGGTATGTACCATTTCTTACGTATACCAAGCTGACCGACGACTTCCAGTGCATGTCCTGAAAATGGGGCCGCGTTTACAGGCAAATACTTGGGCAATGTAGGGGAGCGGAGAGTGTCGGACGAGACATGTGTGAGGCATGCGCAAAGGACTGGACAGTAATCTGTCTGGCCTCGAATGGTCCAAGCTGAGAGCCCCACTGGCCCGCTTCCGCGATACCTTACCTAGGTAGGTACGAAGTACCTGGAATAGGGCAAGGCAGCCTGTGACAGGGCTGAGGGTCCAGCGTGACGATCTTCGTGGGGACTCTAGCCCGAACAATCGTCGTGCTAACCTAGCAAGATACGGAGCACCTTAGCTGGCGGTACCAGAAAGTCAGGCGGGTTTCAAGTACATACACCTACTGTACACAAGGTACCTAGGTGCTGTCAAGACGCCACTACAAGTTGCCGCACAGTCGTTCTTCAAAGCATAAGTTGGCCAGGCCCGGCCGGCCAATCAGCATCGACGATGGCACCTCGTGCCTCCCGTAATGAACCTGAGCACGCGACTGAACTTGCCTCCTCGCCTTTTACAGGTAAGAGCCCTCCTTCCCATAACAGCCCATCCGAGTCCTACCTATTCCTCACCTTGGGTCGTCGCATTACCCGCGCCGCACCCGCACGAATGTCTGAGCTCCTCTACCGTCACTTCTCCACAAGGTGACTCTGCTGCCGCTGCGTCGGAATGGCCCTTGTGTTGTTCTCCTGACCCGGCTCTCATATTCTCTTCAATCTCATTTCATCTCATCTCACGTCTTCCGAGACGCCGACACGATGGGTTCTTCGTCGCTGTAACCCTTTTCACTGCGAAATCGGGGGCCAATAACATACCCGGTACATACGGGATATCGGAGCGTCTAGGTTGGTTGGTCTTCGGCCCTCAACACGGCCAGCAGCAAGCCCGTGGCAGGTACGGTCTTGTGTGTTACAGAGCTCCCACAAAGGAACTATCAACCGCCCCAGAGCGAGCCCTACTGGTTGGTCGTGGCCATCGTTCCCCTCACCGTCGGCGGCAGCGGCGTCTCTTTGATAAGGCAGTCGGCTAGTCCGGCCTGCCGTCGGGCTTGACATCAGGCTTGTCGCTGAAACCGCCATACCCCTTTGCGCCGCTTATCATAGACGCCTTCTATTCGTCAGCCATCCACATCTGCTCGCCTGCTTGCCCGCTCTCCTTTTGTCGACACCTACCTCTCCAAGCACCCAGTCGCCCAAGCACCCAATATGCCTCGAGCTGCATTGCCTCCGACGCCCGCATCATCGACCGACATCAAGGGGAAGGATGGATCTAGGCTGGCCTCGCTTCAGCTGTCCTTTGAGCTGCCGCCGCCTGCCATGACGCCCAGCGGTTCAGCCTCGGACGTGTCGACCACATCCTCTCACGATCCCCCCAACCCGGCAAACCCGCTGCAGGCGAGCGAGACGGTCAAGACTCGTAGACGCTCCTCGGCCGCCCATGTCCAGCCCAAGGACCAGTTTGCCCTGCCACCCCCACCGACCCGGTCTCGGAAGATCATACAGATGAAGCCCCGCGAGGAGCCCTCGCCCGAACCCACAGCTGCTAACACTCGGGCTTCTTCGTCTGCCTCGAGGAGCAACACACTCGCTGCATCGGCGCCGGCAAGTACCTCTTCGAAGAGGAAACAGCCTTCCGCCACGAGTGCAGCCGGAAGAAAGATTGCGAGGAAGACGGCGCACAGCCTGATCGAGCGTCGCCGGAGATCTAAAATGAACGACGAGTTTGCTCTTCTCAAGAGCATGATACCCGCATGTACGGGCGAAATGCACAAGCTAGCTATCCTCCAGGTCAGTGCCGCGAGCCAAGGGAGCTGGCTCTCCTGCCCCGTCCACTGCGTGGAGCTGACGCAAGGTTCTAGGCATCGATCGAGTATGTGAGATACCTAGAGGACTGCGTTGCCCAGCTGAAGGCGCGACATGGGACGGATGCGGATTCCGGAATGGACGGAGCCGGTCTCCCATCGCCGTCATTTGTGGAGCCATATAATCCGGAGCCCAGCTATGCCGGGGATCCCTGCTCGCCTGACGTGGAGATGACTGGCTCAGAGGCTCCGTCTCCAGAGCTGACGCCCAATGCCGGACGGTCTCAACTGCCGTCGGTGTCGCCAGCCTTGCTCCCACAGGACTCGCGTCATCGCCATGACTCGTATTCGTCGGCCTCTTACAGCACGCCGGCCACCACCTCCCCGGCGTTTGGCCCGCAGACGTATGGATACGCACATAGCACACAATCAACACCGGGCTCGACACTGACGAGCCCCGCCCTGCCACCTCAACGAGATCCTGACCAAGAAGCAACTGCTGCATTGCTGATGCTGAATCAGATGGACAGACGAGGTGCGGCTGGGCGGGGGATGAGCGTGAAGGACATGCTGACGACATGACGGTAAAGTTTTAATGTATCTGATATTCAATGCTCATGTCACCATTGGCCCAGTCCCGGGCTAATATGGTCTGTTCTTCCTGGGTCTGGGTTTGGGTCTAAGTCTACGAACTAGAAGATGGGTTTGGCGGATTTCTCTCCCCAATCTTCATTTTTTCTACTTTTGTCCTTCGCGTCGGTATGAGCCTTGGAGTATATGGCTCGTCTGGGTCTCGTTTGCCGAGAAACGAGCGTGTCGAGTCCACCCAACAGAAGCTGTTTCACAGCACAAAAGCCTTGGGCCAGTTGGTTAGGAGAGGTATAAAAGCATGTTCTGCCCTACACGCTTTAAAAGAACTATCATTGCGAGTTTGAGCTTGAGCCAAGACACGAACGGGCAGCTGATCGCGGAATGTCGGCTCTGGTTATTCTGGTTGATACTCGAGAACTTGTTTCATGTGCAGAGTTTTGCTGTTTGGCGGGGCCTTTGAGTCACTAGACAGACGATGGTCGCCGTGGCAATCAACTGTCGGGCCCTGACCTCAGCCGCGTCCCACGTGGATTAAACAACAGCATCCCACACAAGCGGGTGTTTCGTTTCGGCTTTGCCCCTGGATCTTTGTCTTTTGTTTTGGGTTGGCACGTGATACCCCTAGCCTCGGACAACATTGTAGGAAACACGCTGCCGGCGGAGGGCTCTTGACTAACAATGAAACAAAAGCCGTGAAACATAATAATACCCAGCCGACCTCGAGAAATGCTCCAGCGCCCGAGGATGGGGTTATTTGAATAGATATATCGGCCGGGTCGTCTCCTGGTAAACAAGCAAACAAGGAAACAACAACTCTCTTGGGCATCTCTTCTGTAATAATAAACCCTCTTGAGTTTAAAAGACCGATCCCCTCTTCTTCTTGATACTGTGCTGCCTCATCTTATCTCGGTACTCTTATATATTCTCGTGAATTCAGCCCTGACCTGTATCGTAACCATCGGGAGCGTAATCCTCTTCGCCAGTAGGACACGCAACATGGCGGACGAGCTCTCAGCCAAGATGTCTTCCGAGCCTCTCTCGCCAAAGGTATACCTACTCTCTGAAACTCCCAGAAGAAAAGAAAGAAGATATATCATAACCATTGTTTCACTAACATACTTGCCTCAGCTACCTCCACACCAACATATCGACGACGTGACCTCAAACGCCGGCGCGTCCTCGGTCGATTCGCGCGGGAATCACCGCAGCCGCAACCGCATCCGCCACGACCGCAACCGCAACCGCAGCCTCAGGGGCAACAACAGCAACAACAACGGCAGCAGAAGCAACAGCGTCACCACTAGCGCCCCCCCGAAGGCCATGTCGCGGGTCCCACGCGAGACTAAGAGCAAGCCCGTCTGCCTGCAGCTGGGTCTTAATCTTGACATTGAGATGGAGCTCAAGGCGCGTCTGCGCGGCGACGTGTGCGTGGCGTTGCTGTGAGTTCTATCCTTCCATTCTCTAATCCTTCAATAGTCACGAAAATTCCATAAACAAACCGTTTCTGATATGCTCCTATCATCATTTATCTATCCGAGCTCTCCTTTTTTCTATCATCGTTCTCTGTACAGTTAATTGGCTAACCCGGCGTGAGACAGGGACAGAGACAGGGAGGAAAGAAAGGGGTAAGAGAGGAGAAAGGGTGACTGCCGAGGCGACATGATAGCGCTCCTCGACTTCGCCGTCGCCTTCCTCTCTCACTCAATATCTACCTACCTAATCCAACACCTAACCTCTCCGATTCAGCCGCGCTTCAAGCACTCAGGCCGGGGCGGAGCTGAGATGACAGGGTACGGCAAGCGGGGGCTGCCCTGGTTTCTTGTCACTTTAGGGCAGGAATATTGATAGAGACGGGTGGATGTACTGATATGTGGACTGAGCACGGAGTATTGGTGTTTGGAATTTCAATGTTTTCGTTTCATGTAGCCGGCGGAGGGGACGTGATGGAGTTACAAGAGCCAGCGATTCTGCTATTAATCTTGGAGTAATGGATAAACGTAATATATATATAATGGTGTGAGCGCGCATGCATGTTAAACAACTGCTGAATCTACTTAGAGATTATGTACACAAGCCTCCTGTGGGTGGCTGTGATGTGGAGATATGGGCATTTTGTTGAAGAAAGTATGTACAAGAAGAGAAGACTGCCCTGACCAACAGCTTCATCTGGAAACCGCGAGCTAGCTAGCAAAAAGCCGCCATAGTAACCAGTAACCTCGAAACAGAAAAGAATCTCCGTCTCCATATATCCTGTTAGAATTCCAACAATCTAACACGCACGTAGTGCGTGTACACAAGCACAGAATGGAATCGGGTGAGAAACGCCCAACCGCAATCCCATGGGGAAATGGTATGCAGAGTAAACGCAAGGCGCGGAAAATAAGACGGACAGGAAATTGAAAGGGCTGGACGAAGATAAAGATGCAACATGGCTCCAAATGCGACCGCCCCTCGTCCACCAACACCAACCCCTCCCCCGGCCTTCCAAATGCATCCTAATGCGCGTATTATTATTATTTTTTAGAAAGAATCATCCACTGGACTAAAAAAAAATACATTCTAGCCTAAATATCTAGATGCCACTAAAATACATCTAGTCCCGGAGCTCGGGCGCGATGGAGCCGTCGGTGGAGAGGGAGCCGCGCGGGGCCGCGAGCGAGGGCGGCTTGGGGCCCTTGTAGCTGAGGGTAGGGATGGTGAGGCCATAGCCCTGGGTGCGGCCCTGGGGGTCGTGTTGGTCGACCTCGACGCAGATGCAGACGTCGAGGCCGCCGTCGTGGCCCTTGCCGTGCTCGGCGGGGTTGGCGGCCTTGTGCGTGGTGCCGCAGCCGACCTCGCCGGCGCTGATGGGCAGCCGCGCGTCCTTGGGCGGCGTGAGCTTTTGCAGCTTGTTCGTCATCGACCGCTGGCTGCGGATGCTTAGTCCGGCGCTCGACCCCGGAGGCGCTGGCGGCTCGGGAGCCAGAAGTCCGCCTACGCTGGCGCCGGCGGCGCCGTTCGCATCGCGGTTGTTACGGCGCCCGTTGTTGGGAGAATTCTCCGTGATTATGGAGTAGTTTCGGCTGGGCATGGTGACTTTATTGTGGTCCGCTGTCTTGGTCGTCTCGCCGGGGTCTTTGTCAAACAGCTTCAAGAGGGTCTCGTCAGTCTCGTGGTTGAGGTGGTGAATCCTGTTCCGCCGCGACAGGAGGTTCGCTACAGCCGCGGGGGGCGGCTTGTTCACGATAGCCGACGACACGACGTTGGCGATGTAGCGGTAATCCTTCTCCACCGGGATGTTCAGACGCGGATTCGAGTAGAACCTCCCTAGAGCCGCAAGATGGACATCGCCGCCCAGTATAGTGATTCGGATGGAGAACTCGGCGCAGATGCCATGAAGCTTCTCAACCAACCAGTTTCGCTCCTTCTTGTGCGTCCTCGCCGTGTAGTGGTCATCCAAGTCGTCAAGCAGATCCACGCTGCCGTCAAAACTGTTGAAAAAGCTGCCGCCCAGGCCAACTCGCCGATTCAGGAACTTGACAGGGCCCATCAGCGGACTGGCGAATATGTTTTCGAGCCAGGTCAGGCGCTATTCCGTCGTCAGTGTTTAAACGCCTTTCGCAGCCCGGAGAGAGCAGACTCACGGGGTACGCAACGGGGATGCCCAAAAGGAGGATTAGATGCTGATACGGGTTGCCAGAGATTGCTGCAGTGGACAGTTCTTGGCGTAAACGGCTGAATATTTGCTGGTACGTTTCTGGGTAGTTGACTTGGTGCCTCGTACGCTAGTCGGCGTGTTAGAAAACCAGGCAAGGAAAATGGACCATATATTTCATACCTCAGTTCGCGCGTCAATACCCAAAAAGGCTATCCTGGCTCCTAGTCTCGCAAACATGTTGTGAGAATGCTCTGCCACATAGGGCTAAAATGTTGGTTAGCTGGGGCCGCCTTTCCCCTATGAACTTTTCATGCTTACCCCTGGTTCTGAGCCAACAATGTAGTTGGACTCGGTCATAACAGGATGGACAAATGTATTTATCAGCTGGTTAGGGTCAACTCCCAGACCTTCTTCGTTTGGCGCAGCCGGGACAGAATCTATCATTATTTGGTCAGAATAGTCATTCTAGTCGAGTGTTTTTAAAGGTGCTGACCTGAAGTGTAGGTGGTCGGAGGCGGCGGGAGGTGGTGCTGAAACAGCATATAGTACTTGTGGGCTAGACCGCCTATGCCTCTGAAAACCTGGCGAGACATCAGAACACGGCCAATTCTTCTCCCGGGTAACTGTTGCTGAGGCATCTCACATCGCATTTCATGAACTCATTGACATAAGACCCAAACCCGTCGATGATCTAGACCCAATTAGTCGACGCCTTGGGGCGGCTAACGAGGGCCGCAACTCACATCATGGTCGTCCCAGATATTCAGCTGGGGGATCTGACCATTCGCCGTGGCAAAGGGCTCTGTCCCGTACCTAGGAAATGGAGGGAATGTTGTGTCAGAAACGCCGTGAAGGGCCACAAGCGCAGCGACAGGACCCGGAGAGAGCATAACCTACCACCGAAGATAGTTTTTCAGGTAGTACTCATCGCAGTCTTCGCGGAGCTTTTCCGGAAAGGGATATTCTTTCCTCTTCTTTGGGTTTGTTATCTTTGTCCACTCGTTTAGCGGGCCTTTTACTCGAATGCCGTCATTGTAGATCTGGTCGCCACCCCCAATCCTGAAAGTAAGACTCGTTAGTAAAATATAAGCACCCCTCAGTAGGGAAGGGGACCAGGAGACCGTCATTCAACTTTTGCGGGCGCTACTAACATGACATGAAAGGGAACCTCGCGATGGCGGCGCAAGACGTCGTTCCACAGGGCGAGACCGCTCCAGGCCTGCTCGTCAGTGCCGACCGAGAAGCCGTTGCAGCTGTGGAACATGATCCTCATGGACTCGGACGCGGCCGGCACGTAGAAGCTGTTGATGGCCGGCTTCGTCTTGCTGGCCTGACGCATCCCGGACAGGGCGTATTCCCACTTGGTCTCGACGGGGCGCAGGTCGACGGCTAAGTCGAAGCGCCAGAACGTGCATCGCGGGTCCGAGTAGAGGCAGATGCCCTTTGTGGCCTTGCCGGGGGCGTCCTTGCCCTGGCCTGCGCCGCCGCCGCCGCCGCTGCCGGCGGCCCTCCGCAGGCTCAGCGAAGGGGCCAGCGGCTGGGTCTTGCCGCCGCCTCGCGTCACGATCAAGACGCTGCCAATCCATTGGTTGTTCTCCATGCGGCGGTAGTTGAGCAGCGGCCCGACCAAGATCTCCTTGCCGTCGGGCGGGGGTCCGCGGGGAGAGCCGAGATTGGCGGCGGCGACGTTGTTGTCGCCGTCGGCAGTGGCCCGGGATTCGGCGGCGCCGGCCATTACGGGCTTGAATCGCGGGGTGGATGGACGGCTGCCGGTGCGCTCTGGGGGCTCGATGCGCGACGAGTTGAGAAAGTCGGCCAGGGCGCCGACATCATTGCGCGAGTCGGCATCGCGCGCGACATGGCCCCTTTGCGGCTGCTGGTTTGCGTACTTGGCGTAGGATGACGACTCCTGGTGGCGCCAGCGCGTGGACGAGGCATGGGGGTTTCGCGACTCGGGCTCGTCTTCGTCCAGCAGATCGTCGTCGTAGGGCTCGCGAGGAGAAGACATGGCGAATGGCGCGTTGACCGTCAGCAACGTTGGGCGGTCTGGCGGCTTGATTCGCGGCTGGGTGGTGGCGTCCAAATGGCGACGGTGGTGGAGAGGGAGGGTGCAGATGACCCGGAATCAGACAGTGACAGTGACAGTGACGCACTGCACTGCGGCACTCGAAATGTTCCACGGGCAGTTACAGCCGTCAATGAGCTTGTGACCAAGAATACAAGACTTTATAGTACCCGAGACGAAAAGATAACAAGAGAGAATCGCGACCAAAGGTCAGCCGGACTATGCGCCGTTAACCACGGGAAAAGGAAATTGCACCGGCACGCAGCGCAAGGATGCGGGATGCGCCCCGATGTTGATGTCCACCACACCTCCCTCGCCGTCCCGTCAAAGCCGCTGGTTGACGAGAACTCGCCTGCAGCTCTAGCGGAACTTAATTGTCGATTTAGGCTTGGTGAGCAGCAGGGGTGTTAAGTATCCGTTTGTTGGTCCGGTAAAGAGAGAACAGCCACTGTTCTATCCCTTCATAGAAGAGTAGTTGCAAGTACGAGTTCACTTCGTAGCTACTTTACCTCTAAGACCTACTACCTAGTTACCTACCTGACATCTGTATGCACGGAGTATATACCAGATATCAGGGGCTACGGCAAAAGAAACAAAAGTTGGAAACCTGGCAGCTCGCCCGCTCGCTCACTCGGATCAAGCCTGGGCGCACAGCTTGGCGCACAGCATCGCCAAGCCTCGGACTCGCGCTACCTATTCCAGTCGAGGTTACTCGCCCAGCGCGATCCATGCCCGGCTGTGAATGTAGCAGCTGCTGCGCTGTGCTGTGCTGTGCTGTGCTGTGCTGTGCTGTGCTGTGTTGGTGGCAGCCCTCATCGTTGTGCTAAACAAACATGGCATGGAGACCGATGATTTCGAATCGAGCGCGCGTAGCTTGCGCCGAGAAGTTCTCCCGTCTGCGAGACCAGCCCATCAGATGGAATTGGAGGCCTTGCATTTGCATGGGTAATGGATGTGGGCTGGAGCTGCTGCAGCTGCTGCAGCTTGCAGCAAGCTGTGTAGCGACTTGCGTCAGCGTCCCCACTCACCTCTCTAAGTCGGGTAACACGCGGGACCATCAATGGCGTTTTTCTTCTTCGGCTTAGCCCTATCGAACCCCGGAAGGGCGGCATGGCATGGGCTTGGCATCCTTGGCATCGCTTCAACTGCAGAGTAAGACCTCCAAAGTCAGTTCCCAACACTTTTGCTCATCGAAACCTCCATCCCGCTATTTAGATGCCAAAGCTCTCACAAGAAGTAAACGGAGAACCAAACAGGACGGGTTATATTGCGCTTGAAGAAGTCAATATGTAAGTAAGGTAGCCAACATGCATTGGTTCTATAAGTACACGAGGTATTTAAACATCTCATAAATACATATGGAAACACGGGACAGCCCGCTATTCTATTTTGTACAGCCAACCTCCTCCCAGAAACAACAACCATCACCATCAAGCCTTGTTCGTCTTGTCGTCATGGGAAACAAGCCGGCCAACGAGTTGCGTCGCCTTGTCCGCTTGAACCGGGCCCGAGGCCTCCTCCTTCCTCTTCTCGAGGAAGTGGCCTGCAGCCATGCCAACAGCGAGCCCGACAAAATGCGAAGCGATGTCCAACATATGCCGCTTCGAGAACATGGCCGCCACGTTCAGCGCCACAATCAGGCCGATGAAGTTAAGCCCCTGGATGCCGTTCATTGGGTCAGGTGGCAGACCCAGGACCTTGAAGCCGTCAAACCGATGCATCCAAAAGTATGCCCCGGCTATACCGTAGATGGCCCCCGACGCGCCCAGCGTCGTGAGGTCCATCCTGTTCCTCACAACCATCGACGTCAGGCTTCCTAGGAAGCTGAGAACGCCTGTCCCTAAATACGTTGCGAGGAACCCGCCTCTTCCGACCTCTTCATGGAACTGGACTCCGATAAACCCAAGGAAGAGCATATTTGACGCGAGATGGCTGAAGAGTTGGTGGGAAAACAGGGCGCCGAAAATGCTGGGAGCTCGGGGAGTCGCGGCTACAACGAGAAAGTACCGATTCATCAGCTTCCATGCGAACGGTACCCTCCACATGCCGAAAACAACAAGATTGGCGAGCATCAGCATCCCAACAGTGGCTGCTGCCGGAGATGCGTCAGGAAGCAGCCTGTTCTCGTGGCAAGGCGGCTGGTAGAAATGAGCATAGGCTTCCAAACCCAACATCACGAGACCGGCAAAGAGTGCCGAAGGTAGTAGACGCTCCCACATCTTCATCTTGGGAGGTTCCTTCAGATCAGACGTTGCCTCAGCCTTTAGCTTTTCGATCCAGGGGCTAACGGCGCGTGGCTGGTTCTGGCCTAGGGTCTGCAGCGTGCCCGGTGCGGCGCGGGCCGCCTCCTCCTCCTGCTTCCGCTTCTCTTCCTCGCGTCGCTTGAGCTCTGCTTCCCATCTTGCCTTGTTTTTGGCGCGGATAACATCGAAGGCGCCTGTCCCGTAGACGTCCTTTGGCTTAGCACCGCTCCCTGCGTCGTCCTTCTTGTAGAGCTTTAAGCGTGTCTTGTAACCCAGTTCTTGGCCGATGTCCTTCCCTTTCTCGGCGGCGCCTTCGTTCGCATCCGGGTTCTCCAGCAATGCGAGCTCGTCCTCGGCTCTGAGGCCGGCATTCGTGACCTCGTCGACGGGCACTTGCTTGCGTAGGAACTTGAGGGCGGTGCGCTGCTGATCCTTGTTAAACTGCCTGGTGTGGACTCGCAGTTCTGGGTCGTCAAGTGTTCCGGCAACTCGGCGGCCGTGTAAGATACTCAGCAACTTGTTTGCCGCAGGAGTGCCCATGCCCGGCCCGAACAGAGCTACGACCTCGTGCGCCTCCAGGTCTTTTTTCCTGAAGGGAAGCCCCTCCTCATCATGGTAGTTTGGCGGTAGGTCCACGTAGTGGGTGATGACGGCATCGCCGAAAAGGCCGAGTGTGCGCACCCCGGGAGGCTGCGACAAGCGTGCCAAGCGAGCACTTCTCAATAAGGCACGGGAGTCTGCAGAGTTAGCCGAGCCAGACTGCCGCCATAACCGTTCTGGGTGTTGCCGATGTGCTGTGGAAGACTGCCAGGACGAGAAGCATCGGCTAGGTAGAAACGTGGCAACGAGGAAACGACTGGGTAGCGGGCTCGATAATTGTTGTGCCGCGGCCCGGACACTCGATCGGAAGGGGCCGGCATTGACGCCGAGCAAACAGCTCATTGTTGCGCCTGCAGTCGCGCCGCCACGTGCAAGCTACCCATCAATTGAAGCCCCTACGAGCGGGGGTTTGGAAGGGATGCTGTTCTGTCGTCCAGCGTCGCCGTGATTGCTCGAGGCCGGGCGAACTTTAATTAAAGTGTTGATGCAACCGAAGGGGGAAAAAAAACTGGGTGACCCAACAGGCCGGCCGGACCTTGAAAGTCGGATAGAAATATCCGTATTAGCCCTCTATTGGATGGCCCCTCTGTTTTCTTGCCCCACAGCGGGAACGTTAAAGACGCCCCGCCGCCGCAACGGAGCTTGACTGGGCAGGCAGCTCTGAGCTTGCGACAGAGGTCAGAACCCACTGGGTATAGGTTCCTGTTCCAACGGCGTCGTCCTTCCTTTGCAAACTCACGTATTTGGAACTACGAAGTAGCAACGGACCTGAACTCCCAACCACTTACTCACAGTGCAATCGCCCGAGGATCCCACTATTCCATAGCCAAGACTTCACCGGCACCAACTTTACCCCGCGTTAAAGTCAGAACTTAGAGAACCAACCAACTAGTGAAGAGGGAGGCACACAAGAACCAAAAGACGGAACATGTCAGCAGTCGCTACGCCCATATCGCCGGCGCGCTTCGCCGAGGCGCTGCGGGACCTGTCGCTCTCGTCGCTGCACCTCAAGGTGCTGGAGCTGCGCATGAGCATCGCGCAGCTGGACTACTCGAACGAGCAGCTGCGGCCGTACGCGCTGGGGGAAGCCGCGCCGATTTCCACCACAGACTCTTCTACGGATCAGCAGCAGCAGCAGCAACCAGACCCAGACTGTGTGGAGGCGATCCGCGAGAACGAGGAGGTGATTGTGCGGATGCAGGGGCGCATCGGCCTGGTGCGGGCCGAGGTCGAGCGGCGTGGCATCAGCTGGACCGAGTTCCAGAGCAAGGAGGAGGCCGACGCAGACGCGGCGAGAGCATCAGTAGTCAACGGGGTCAACGGATCAGGACATCACGACAACGACGCATCTGCATCTGCATCGGTAGTGGTAGACGAGGCCGTCCCCGAGCAGCACGCAGCCTGGCGCGACGGGACGTTCCAGACGGGCGTGATTCGCGGGGGGCAGGTGGTGTCTGGCGCGGGCAACTCCGTCTCCGGTTCTATCTCCGTCTCCGGTTCTATCTCCGTCTCCGGTTCCAGTTCCGGCTCCAGACCCGGTCACAGTGGTGGGTCTCTGTCGGACGAGGAGCTGCGGCGGAGAATCGAAGCCCAGCTACGCCTATCAACAAATGGCGTGAATGGAAACGACCACCAGGACGATGGGGAAGACGGAGGCTTGCACCTGTGACCCGGCAAACCCTATAATTATAGAACAACTAAAAATAGTACGAGAAACCAAGTCAGCCGTCTAGGTAAATATGGCTGACTGGCTGGACATGATGATTACCAAATTATAAGTAAATGGAAACGGTGTAATGGTCATCGTTATGTTTATGGGTTTAGGTTGGGATTGCCACAAATGGCTTCGATAGCCAGGCGGAAAGGCTCACAAAGGTAGTCTACATAGTTCTACCATTCATGGCGAATAGCCAATTCACGATGCAAGTATTCCACATCTAATGCAGCCTGCTCCTGGGCGGGCTCCGTCTTGCGCACATTCACGGCGGAGGATGACGACAAATAGAGCTTGGCAGTTCAGTTGAAATATGTACCTAATGACCTATGAATGCAACCGACCCGAGAACCCCAAAGTGTGTCTGGTGGAGGCAGGAAATGACTGTGCCGAGGACAGCAAACAGGAAAGAATAAACTAGAATATGATAGAGTGGTTGGCAGTTGAAGGAAAGTGTTAACATGTTCGCCAGAATCGATGAAAAAAAGGATGGCCACCGCCCATTTTACACCTTTTTTCTTGCCAATGGAGGTTTTTATTCCGAAGAGGAATGAAATCAGAAAGCAAAGAACAACGCCTTGAACCCCTTTTTGGCTCCCAAACCGACCAAGAAACATGACAAATCCAAAGCCCAAACCCAAAAAGGAGGGGAAAAATGGAAAAGGGGAACCAGACTCCGCTGCGGAAATGCGACCCCGGGTAAAACAAGCAATGTTGATGCCATAAACCGATGGTACAAGAAAGGACAACCACGAGCCAGAAACCGGCAGCCGCATGACAGTCGTAAAGAAATAAGAAAAGAGTGTTGTAAGGTTATTCGGCGTGTAAAACGGAGATTTTGTTGTTAGAAGTCTCAACTTCCTGCTGCTGCTCCTTCACCCTACTCCCTGCAATTACTGTGCTCGCGTTGGTGACTTCTTGCAGCGGCGAAGTCGAACAGTTCTTGTTATCGACTCGCGTCGATGAAGCCTTCTCTGTGATCTCAGAGCTGAAGATAGTCGAAAGCCTCGGCCTTTGGGCTACGTAGGCCGGGACAGAGCTGTTGCTCAGTGACTCTAGGCTCCTCGAGATGTACTCGTCCTCGTCCTCGTCCGACACAAACTCGGGCGTGACAGCAGCGCGGCGGCTCCGCCGACTTCTTTGACCAGCCCCTTCAGTCGAATCCTCCGAGTCGGTCGAGAGGCTGTTGCTTCTGGCTGTGCGCCGGCTTCTTGTTCTCACCGTCGACGTCGCAGTTGTTCTCCTGGACCTAGCCCTGTTCAGGGACGCTGTTGAATGGAGCTCGCCATCCTGAGGCACACCCGCCTGTCGAATTTTGGCCTCGAATGACTTCTCACCCACCAACCTCCCGAGTGACTGCCTGTCCGAGGATGTGACCGTTCTTCTAGATCCCGCACTCATCATGCTTGAGCTCCTGCTGACAGGTACCTTACCCTCCATGATTTTTGCCGATGGCGGAGGCTGCAGCATCCACCGGAGTGCATCCTTGTGCGCTGGTTTGCTTCTGACGACGGGCGGGTGATATTGGTTGACAGGCGGGTTTTTCGGAGCAAAGTAAAAGTTGTGACGATCTTCGTCCGTCACCTGCTTCTCGATTCCAAGCTTGGACTCGACAAAGCGGCCGGCGGTAGTACCGGCTTGCTTAAGGGCATCCATAAGCTTTTGGCCTGTCCGTGACAAATCGTTGCCCCACAGCTCCTCGTCCTCGCGCTGGTACCGCTTGAGGTTCCAGTCGTCGTTTGTCATGACGGACGCCGCCTTGCTCATGACGGGGCTCGTGGCCTCCTCATCCGGTGCTATCGGGGGCCCGTTGGCCATCTTGGGGGGGTCTGCTAGCACAACAGGGAGGTGATTGGAGTTGGGTGCCGTGCCGTCGGGATTGCTTATTCCAGCACTGCTCGCGGTGCCTACACTTGCACCGTCCCGGCTCGGGTTTGTCAGACCTCTCAGGCTGCTGTTCTTATTGCAGTTGTCCCCTCCACCCCTCTTCTTTGTTGGTAAACTTGGGCCCATCCTGATTTCCTCGGTCCAGAAAGGGTTCGTGTGGAATGGATCTGGGTGTTGGTATAGGTGTGGTTGCTCTAGCACGATGCGCGCCTTCTCCCCGCGCTCCTTCTTTGCATTTTGTTGCGCCCTCTGGCGGTGTCGAATATTGGAGCATGGCGTGCAGGCGAGGATGTAAAAGATAAATGATTGGGTAGCGACGCAGAACGACATGCTTGGGAAAGCCCGCGATCTCTCACTTAGTCAACCGTCCTGCGCTTGAGTCGAGCCCTCCGGCGTGAATTGCTTTTTTTCCTGTCTCCCTACACACCTAAACTGTGTTTCCTTATGTCGAACTCATGTGTAGGTCGGCGTAAGGGGGTGCAATTGGACGTCTGGCGAAGTGTGTTGGGTGGTGGTTTCGATTGCGTCCCCGCGTAACCGGTGGATGATGCTCGGCTGCAGCGAGTCTTGTGAGCCAACACCATAGGGAGCAGCAACCGTTAATTGCTTTTGGTAAAACCTGTGTCGGGGCGATTGGAAGATTGTCACCCGCTGCATTGGCAGAACCTCAAGTGGCGAGTAGTGACGCTGCGAATTGACCGTCTGTCTAGGTCGGATAGTCCGGACTGGGTGGCAGCCAGCAGTGACGGGCGTGGGGATGAATGTACGGGACAAGACTCTGTCCTCAAACAAACTTCGGGTGATCCCCCAGGGCTAATCCCCCGCCAAGTAGGGACGCCTCTCAGCCACCACTCGTAAAAGGCTCTCGGAAGTTGTGTTTTAACAGTGCCGCTGGCGTGCACGGGATCGGATGTGCCGTTGTGAGGCCCGGTCCGACGTTGTGAGCCGCGATTATGTCGGCTCCCAAAGCACCTACGGATGAAAGCAATTGGAATTGGGGGATCGTCTGCCGGCCTGTGAATAGGGCGTAATTCCGTACAACGGGGCTAGCCCAGAGAAACAACCCCTGTGTTTTTTGGGACTGTGATGCGTAAAAGTAGCCCCAGGAGTGGTTAACGTCAGCCGTCGGTAAGGCTAGTAGGATTGTTTGAACAATTGGAAACGAGAAACTTGCACAAGACGAGAAGAAAGGTAAAACAAATGGGCACACACATACACACGCACACACACAAACGCACGCACACACAATAGAAAGCGAGGGTGGGCGAGGGCGGAAGGGAAGGGACAATAAAGTGTTTATTTTAGACTTTGGCCACCAGGAACCTGGAAGACAATGGGCCTGGGGAAGACGGGAGGGGAGACTGCGCCAGCCCGAGCCCGCCTAGGCAGCGCCAGCGCCCCCCTTCGCTCCACCCCCACGATTTATGATCACCGAGGGGCCAGTGGCGGAGAGGCACAGCGAGGCTTGTCTGTTTTGGAGTCCGCGCTTGATGACCAAACAGCATGCACAACGCCGGAAACCGAAGATGTTTGCTGTCAGTCAGCCCTTCCTGCATTGACAGGAAGGATGACCTGGCTGTGCTTGCAGACTGCGGAGGATGCACGTGTACCGTATACACAAGTTCCAGATTTATGCCACCATTCGTGCCCCGTATATGGCTACGGCTGCGACTCAGGGTAGCCCTGCAACCGAGATGTCGGGAATAGCGTAAACTAAGGCACAAGGCACAGGACAGAGTCCGGATTGTGGTTGCGGCCTTTCCCAAGGCAGATTCTATGGCCTGGCCTAGACTCAGGCAGGGTATTAAGGTTAGGCTGTGTGTAGTTGCGGAATTATGACTGATGTGTTATCGACCGGGCGGCTTGACAACCGCGGAGCCCCCTCCATCCTGGTTTCCGCGGATGGATGCCAGTCAGGATTGATCTTGTTTCTTGCCTACTTTATGTCGCTGGCCACCTAGCTGGGAATCGACAGTACGTATAGATGAATCTGCTAGCAGCTTGAAGCCCACAACTCCCGTCTTCTATCTCAGTTCTAGAGGAGAAGGCCTCAGTTGGCGTGACAACTCACGGAGTAACCCAAGACTACCTACCTACCCAAACAAGACACACCACAAAACCATCGTGCAGCAGACTAGCGATGCGATGCGATCCGGTCTGGTTTACGTCGTACGTTGATTACGTGCATACCCGAGCGAGGTGGTCCTGCATGTCTGGATTACGGGCTGGCGGATCTTCAACGAGACACGGAACAGAAATGCCTCTCACATATATAGTACCACTTACCTTACTTATTACTACCTACCTTAAGTCCGTAAATATGGTAGATGGGCAGGTCCCTAAGGTACCCCGGGTTCCATATACTATATACTACTACCTAGCATCCTATACCTAGCGATCCGTACAAATAAACATATTCCAAACATTCTGCGAATCCCATCCATTGTGCGGACGGAACAAGCCCCGTCTGTGCGTCGCCAGGCGATTTTCTCCCGTTTCCATTTTATCCGCCGCAGGCTTTGGTGGGGGAGCAGAACCAGAAAGGCCCCCTTGTGGTTTGGCCGTGAGGTTACACGCACACACACGAGACACTTGAGAAACGATGGGCAGAACAGATGCTGCGCACCCAGTACATACGTACTCCGTACGTACGCACGCAGACATGATAGAGGGGCAGGGGAATCCGCTCGTCTCGGGTACAGTACGTACGCAGGTCGTATTATTTCTTCAAAAAAAAAAATCAAGATTTTCAAAGAGAAACAAAAGGGCCAGCCAACCCGCTCAGCGGACGCACAAATCGAAACGCCCTCGGGCAACACAGAGGCACATAGCACGCGCACCCCACGTTCATTAGAACACGTACATAGTGTACGTAGCAGGCTTCCCAAGTGACGACGGTGTGAAGGAGGGGGCCACGCCACATCCCACAAGACCAGATCTCGCGACTGATGCTAAGATGCGCGCGCGCGCCACACACCGCACGCATGTCGCCCCCGCCCACGTGGGGATCCGCGCTGACTGGGACGCAAACAAGCCATCATCCCTCCCCGTCCGACAGAACAACCGAGGCGAGTTTGAAGACTAAAACCTCTTCATTTGGTCCTTGACCTATCGTTTTGCAACGCCATAGCCAGATCTGGCCATCTGAGCGCCGCAGCAGTGTTCTGATGAGATATATACATTTCGCTGCCCTATGCCCTTTCTCTCAATCCTCACTCGTAGCGACATTAAAACCAGTCGGCTATCCGCTGTTTTCTCCATCTCTCTCCTCTGTAACACCCAGTCTCCCATAACCGGTTTGCCCTTGATCCAATTCTCGCAAGATCCATGGGAATAACTTGTGGCGCAGCGGGATACAGGTAAAGGAATAAAATAAATAAAGTTAAAATGGCTAGGCCCACGAGTGTTTTTGCTAATGATAATGTACATACATAAAACTCCTCGCACACAGCCGTTGCCAGAAGTTCCCGAATTTTATACGCAACGGTACACGATGCACAGCTTGCCGATGATATGACCCGGTTCGTAGCATCAGCCATGCTATAAGCCAAAGGAAATGATGCGGGGGTACAAGATACAGAAGCTCGCAATGAAAACGGCGTGAAGCCTGGCTGGTCGTGATTTAGACGTCCCATTCCTCCTCAGCCTCGGGCTCTTCGTTTGTGCTCAGCGCAGCAAAAGATGACTGCTGGGAGAATGACTTTGTCGGCTTGCCGCTGCCGTTGACTTTCGGGGCCTTCGCGACAATTGCGGGAGCAGCAGCGACGGGCGCAGATGGTTGCACGGGGATGACCGTTGGCTCCGATTCGCCTGCGCTCTCAGTCGCAGATTCCTTCTTTGGCTTGACCGACTTCTTCGTCTTGACCGTGCTCCAGGCTTCCTCTTTACGGAGGAGCTCCATTTGCTCCTCCTCCGAAGGGAGAGACGACATCCAGCTCTCGTCCTTAGCAGGTGCCGCGGCGATCGGCTTGGGGGCTGCCGCATTGGTGTGGCTGCTGGTGTCAAACGTGTCCAGTGGCTGGACGGCAGCGTGCTCGCCGTTAGAGAGAGTGCCATTGGAGCCGGATTTAGCACTGCTGCCGTTCCAGGCCGACTGTGCTGGCTGTGAGGCAACCGAAGAAGACCCATCCTTGGCGGCCCGTCCCTCGGATATGCGGGCCAGTCTTCTCTGTGCTTCCATAGCAATTTTTCTCTGCTTCTCTGCTTCTTCACGCTCGGCCTTGGCGGCCTCGACCTTTTGGCGGTTCTGGCGCTGCTTCTTCGTCTCAACCTCCTCAGCGGGCTTGACCTTCTTGACCTTAGTCTTGACCTTGTCTGTGCCGGTGAGGCGTAGAACCGAGGGACCAGTCGACTTGGGCTCCAGCATATCGCTCACGTCAAGAGCGTCTGCGGCCTTGATCTCGGGGGAGGCGATCGAGGACTCGTCGTCGTCTCCGTCTACACCCGCCGTCGAGGAGGGGGCAGAGACCTTTCCGTGGTCGACCTTGGGTTCAATCTCGCGGGCCCGAGATTGCTTCACAGACTTTTGCCGCTTCTCGTCGGTCTTTTTAGACGTGTTCAGAATCGTGCCCTGCTTGACGCTGGCCAGCTGTCGGGCAAATTCCCGGTTGTCCACCCCATCGTCGGAGCTATCGCCGGCGGGTTGGGTCGGTGTTGAGGGCTTTGCAGGTCGGGGCTTTGGCTGCGTAGCCTTGGCCGAGTCCTCAGCGTCCTTGCCAAATGCTTCTACTCGTTGGCGCTTAGCCTTTGGCTCTTTGCGGGCCTGTGTGCTCTGCCTGTCGTCAAGTCTCTGGCGCTGGGGAGCCCGCGGTGCATCGCGCCTTCGACCACCCGTGTATCGAAAAACATAATATCCGGCAAAACAAATAATGACAGTCCAGCCGACCAGAGTGGACATTTCAACACCCATGGTGAAGACTGGGGACGAGCGTCGCAGGCGTCGAAGGTGTGGGGTGGGAAATGCGAAGTCGGCGCAGAGAAAATTGTCACCAGGGTACCTAGGGGTTGCAAGACGTGGATGTGGCAAATCGAGGATTGGCGAGCGCGTTGCCAAAAGCCCAATTGCTGTTTGCAAAGATGGCGAAGATGGCGCAGATGGCTAGCAAAGCAATTGCGATCCTTAATTGACGGGTGGGCGTGTGGGGCGAAGGTTAGTTGTGCCACGCGAGAGCTCCCAGAGCTGAGGGCGATGATGGCAGGCACGAGTAAATTTAGTCGAGGGCTTTCGCGCAGGCTGAGGTATGCACCTTGAATGCTACAGGTCGTGAGACAGTGCGATTGGATGCGTGGATCGATAAGGTAGGTGAGGGATTTTGTCTTTAATAAAAAAGAAGGGGAAAGAAAAATGGAAAGGGGATGCTCGTCGTGAAGTTCGTCGAGGTTTCGCAAGGGGCCTGCTGGCTGGCAGTGAAAGGTGTTCAGAAGGTCGGCCTTTCAAGCATGTCCATTGGCCCTCTGTACCCTCCCTCGGAAGGGACATGAGATGCCAGACGTGTGTGGCCTGCACCCCTGTCAAGGGGCTTGGCAAAATCGTCTCACGTGATTCAGAAGGGACAACCGATACTCTCTTTAACCCAGGTCGCGTTCTTCTGTATTTCGTCTTTTACTCGGTACGTCCACACTTCCATAATGATATTATTCAATCACTTTTACTACTCATTCAAACCAGCGACTGACCGTTGCGCAAGTATGTTGGATTAGTCAAGCAGATTACTCCACAGGCGGATGAAGCTTGCTGCTAACTTTGTGCGACCGTCTGGAAGCTTTTGACAATCGTGGAACGCCGGCACGTTTAAAAAATAGGAAACCAAGATGACACGATCCAATCGCAGCCGGTTCCTGCTCGCTTTTGTTATCTTCCAGTGTATCTTCCAATTTTCTCGTGCAACCCTTGAAGTAAGGGATGTACATAACTGCCCAGGCATCCTCTGTTCGGCAACCCACAGGGCTCGATAAAGTGGGAACTGGCTCCCACTGAAAAACGAAGCGCTTTGCACTAGGTTCTTATAGGGAATCTGGTATTTGGAATATAGCCTACCTTGACTTGTGGGATTATGTATTCCGTACCTGGGTTATCTACCTGACCTATTCCGTATCTTAGTGTAGGTACGTCACCATCCAAGTATAGCGCTAACCGCCTCGGTCAAGGCGAGCCTATTCGGCATGTCAGATATTCTGTTTCCTAAATTGCTCAAGCTGTGCCCCGAGACCACCTAAACTTTAACTACGCGATATCGGCGGGCCCCTCCACTCTTGTTAACAGCCAAGACCGGCAAGAGCTACGCCCAACAGGGAAGGTACAGTAAGGCAGTTGCCAAGTGCCAACCCCTCTCTCATCCAGAGACTCATCCATCAGGTGGTTTGCTTCCAGGTTTCAGTGTTTCCAGGTTGTCATCTTCATTTTTAACGAGATAGCCTATCGAAAGCAAGGAGATAAACGGACAAATTGATACAATCAAGAGTCTTTTTCTCTTTAACCTTTTTTTTTACCTCGTAACGCCCTTCTGTTTCTTCTTCCTCTTGTTTCTGGATATAATTATCCCACCCCGTCTTGATCAGCCAAACGCAACTTGTCTCGCAGCATCAACTACTCTTATTATTGTTTACTTTATTACTACCTTGGCCCCTTGATATCGCCATCATGGCCCCCAAGAACCGCATCATCATTGATACTGACCCAGGTCTGCAGAGCCTGTCCTTAGCTGAGCCAAAGAGACGGCGCTCGTATTTTATATGCTGATGCTGATCCCCGCTCGCTCTAGGCGTCGACGATGTCTTGGCCCTGCTGCTAGCTCTCAGTGCTTCACCCGAAGAGCTTGAAGTCGTCATGTTATCAGTCACCTATGGAAATGTACCGTTGCAGAGGTGCGCCCGACTCAGTCTTGTACCCCCGCGGTAACGCCATGCGGCACTCAGTCTCACTCTTCTGTAGCTGTCTCCGCAACGTTGTAGCACTGTTTCATGTGCTGGAGAAGGAAATGAGCTGGCGCAAGTCCGCCGGCACGAGCGCCGGATACGGTGCGCTGCACTCGTTCAAGCCCATCGTTGCCGTTGGGGCCGAACATCCGCTCGAAGACGAAGAGCTTGCGGCCGACTATTTCCGTGAGACCCCCTGTCTGGATGTTGCAGAGCCGAGAGCTAACCCGCTTAGACGGCGTTGACGGACTGCATGGTGTCCACGATGCGGTACGCAGACTCCGACAACAATGGCCTTCTTCTGCCGAGCACTTCTGACCTTTCGTAGCACCCACATTTATCTCCAGCCGACACCTGGCGCTCCCTGTTCACTGACATCACGGACGAGCCAGCCAAGTCGGCTGAGCCGCCCTCCTACTCGGCATTCTTCACTCCGAGCAAAACACCCGCTCACAAAGAGATCCTCCGCATCTTGAAAGAGGAGCCCGAGGACACTATTACAATCGTTGCCATTGGTCCCCTTACCAATGTAGCGCTGGCTGCAGCTGAAGACCCCGGGACCTTTCTGAGGGTCAAGGAGCTTGTTGTAATGGGAGGTGCAATAGGAATCGAGGGCAACGTGACTCCTGTTGCCGAGTTTAACACCTATGCCGACGCAGTGGCAACCGCTCGAGTCTTTGCCCTCACCTCGCCAAACCCGGCATCAACCATGCCTCCGCTGCTCCATAGCTCCGTCTCCATGACATCCCTTCCTCCCTATCCTGCTAACCTCCCTCGGCAGCTCAAACTCACCTTGTTTCCGCTGGATATTACAACCCCCCATGAGCTCACGAGGGACTTCTTCTTTAAGGAGATTGAGCCCCTCAAGGCCTCAGGCAGTCCGCTCGCACAGTGGGCTGCAACATTCATGGAGGGAACCTTCAACAAGATTGATTCAATAGTCGGGGAGGGAGTCGAGGCGGGCCTTTCCTTGCACGATCCCCTTACCATTTGGTATATGCTACTCCGCGACGACCTAGCATGGAAGGCTGTGCCGAAGTTGGAGGACATTAGGGTCGAGACTTCGGGACAGTGGACCAAGGGAATGCACGTAGTTGACAGACGGGGGGTTGCGAAGCCAGAGGGTCAGGATTCGACGGTTGAGACACACCCAGCTGATCCCCTGGATGCCACCACATTTGACGAGATTCCCGGCGACACGATGGGCTGGAAGAGCGCCAACAAGGGGAACAGGATCAATAGAATGATCGCGTCTCCTGGCGAAGATGTCTTTGCGGGTGTCTTGATCAAGAGGATTTTTGGATAGGATCTCTTTTTGATTGTTGGCCTTAGCTTAATTCTGGGTATCTCAAATAGCTGTAGCTCAAAATACGAGCAGCTCAAAACTCTTTCTTGGATGTCAGCACAGGACTCTGCCAGCAACGAACATTTGACTGTGAATCGCATACCCATGTAATAAGGCAACCGAGCCCATGAATACGCAAGTCCTTTACCATGAATCCCTCTCGTTAACGCCGCATGATACTCCTTCGCCCTTCTGTAGCCACAGAACCATCCATACTTGGGGGTTTCTCCCCTTTCAGGGCTGAGCGCCTTGCCGGGCGCGAGCGGTATGTAATCAATCCCAGCCGTCTTCCTCCATGCCGCTCTTCTGGACCAGTCCTTATGGGTTTTTGGTCGTGCGGATAGGAGCGCCCTTGACCTCTGTCCAGTTGATGCTCATATCTAGCTCCTCATCGACGAGCCCGACCAGACACACGTTCTCGCCGCGGACAAGATACACCCCCACGGGAGTTTCAGTGGATGGCACGCCCTCGTCAGCGCTGCGGATTCCCCGCTCCACTGTATTCGATAAGACCTGTGGTTTTACGTACGAGGTAAGCTTGCGATCAAAGAGCGAAGATGGAGGGTTGCGATTTCCACTAGGGAAGCACTCATCTGCCCCTCCAACACCGCGTTGGTCTGGAGACACTGCACGTAACTCACTAAGTTGGTCGTGTTGTCGTACGACGACAGCGATCCTACCAGACAGCGGCCATCGGTAGTGATGATGCACACTTTCTCTAAAAGATAGGTGTGCGGGTCAGTCAAGTACTTCAATCGAGGGGGAAACCCTCTCTCTCTCTCTCTCGATCACATGAAGCTTGGTTGCGCAATCAAATAGGGGACCAGGAAACCAGGAGCTCACTGTCGACGTAGCTGCTCAGCGACATGGTGAGCAAAAGGTGAGAGGGCGGGAGGAAATCGATGAATCGAGGCTCGGGGCTCGGGGCGCGCTTGAGCTTTCTGTGCCTTCTGTGCCTTCTGTGTCTTCAATAGCACTGCGCAGGCAGTTGCGACGGGTGCAGATGGTTTGGATTTGGTGTTGCCAGTATGGAAGGAGGCAGGAGTGGTCTCGACGGGGTTCTGCAAATTGGGCTGGGCTCTCCCAAACAGAAACGGGCGACTTCTGAAAAGAGGTTGCTGCGGCGGGTCGAAGCTTCCAAAAAAGCTCTGGGTTCGTTTCCGTGACGTGGTGTCTGACGTGACGCTAACGCAGAGGAAGGTTAAAACGATCGCGGGGGAGGCGCCTGCCACGCGCAACTCGCTTATCAGAGATATGCGCCAACCGGGTGTTTTCACCCCTGAGTCTTCCTTCAACTTGCCCCTGACTTTGAGGTCACCAGCAAAGCAATTTACCTGATTCTTCTTCTCGCTCTCCGGTAATCTTAATGACTCGTATGGGTATTATTATGATCTACGCCCATAAGGCTGTAGTGAGAATAAAACGATGACCAGCCTCCTCTTCTGCCTCAAGCCAGATGCAACAGTACAATATGAGCCTTGATCGTGAACTAAATCGCCACATACGACCATACCCACTGGAAAATTCGGGATCCCGTCCGCTCTCCCATAGACAAGCCAGTGAGGGCCAGACTAGTAGTTGGGTCGGTGACGACCAGCGAATCCCTGGTGTTGTATGTTTTTGCATCCCTTTTGTTTCTTTTCCCTTTTTTTTATAGAATCCCATCCGAATTGCCAAAGCTTCGGAAAAAAAGACGTAACCCGAGGCACGCTTAGTGGATTCCAAGACGTAGAATCATCTATAAGATACTATTATAGTTTGCTCTTGGAGCACTGTCTATTATGTGACTCCTCGCCAATCTCTGATTTTGGGGGGAATATACAGTATTTTGTCCCTCCTGATTCTCTCACCGAGGACGCTTCTTTGTCATGATCTAGATAAAAGGCCAGTAAGAAAGAAAAACGTGCTCAACATGCCGGATCTTACTGGCGGAGACGTTGCCAGATCTGAGCGATAGCAGTTTGTCGGTCGTAAAGAGCCAAGCAGGCCAAGGCGGAAACAAGCAAGTGGTTGGCAGAGGCGGAGGGTCCAGCAGCGGCGCCGAGCCTTATATATATGAGAAAGCTGCAGTCTGCGGACAGATCTCGGGGGCCAAGTAATCCAAGATCTGGACAAGGGGCTGACCAGAGAAAGAAGGACGGTAATTTAGCCCCCTTCGATCTTGGCTTAGATCTGCCGGATGGAGAAGGCAGATATACCAAGACTGCAGCTCCACTCTCAACCGTCAACCTGGTTGCAGTCACCTAGATGTAGGACCCGACGATGACAGATGGTCCGGCTTGTCATGTAAATTTGCCAAACAAAGAGAATATAAGCGAGGACCAACTGGATTAGTGATGTGACTAAAGTAAGACCCTCTTTGGAAATTTGCGGAGCAACTTTGAGGTTGTTGCTCCTTGAAAACTGGGCCGGGGTGCCGAGGAAGTTGAGCGGCTCGGCTAAGAGAATGACGACCAGGGGACTATGTCTCTTACAGCGTATGCATATTCCCTCACAAAGAATCACTGTCATGGTTATTAGTTGCATCTGCATGGCATCTGCTCTCAATTTGCCCAGACTGTAGTTCGAAGCCGTTCACCATGATCTGGAATAAAAAGACGGATAGCCAGTAACGAGTACGCATAACAGTCGCCCATCCAATAAGATGAAGCTACCCCTCAACCCCGCCCTCGTGCGTGCTTAGGGCAGACATGCGATCATCGTCAGCTTAGCTTTCGACGACATTCCTGAAGTTACGCCGTTGCTGATCGCTTCTCGGCGGTTTTTTTTACTAACAATGAAGCGGATCTCCGGTTCATCTTGGTCGTTTTCCACTTGCATTAGTAGTTCGCGGAGATTTGAGACGAGCACAAGAGTGGCCAGTCTTCGAATCCGAAGAGTACAGAAGCTAGTGCCTGGAGTTGATTTGAATCAAGTCAAATTCCTTTCTACAACAACTTCTGACCGTCATTTTCGCTCAGAACCCGCCTATCTTAGCATCGTCCAGTCCCGTTCGCTCTCCGTCATGGATGCCAGCTCCAAAATGCTCAGGGCCAACCAGCTGAAGCAAATTTTGCTGGAAGGAAAGCGTCCGGCAATGGGTTTATGGCAAATGCTACCCGGAGCAAACGTATCAAGAGTACTGGCCAGGTCCGGCGCCGACTTCGTAATGGTCGACGCCGAGCACGGCAACATAGATGGTACGTGACTCTTCAGGTTTTGCAAGATCCACCTGGCGGTCCCAATCCCGCGCCCCCCAAATTAACAGCCTCGGCGGGCCTGTTTAATGATACGGTTCAGATTCTGCAATGCACGAGGCGGTTCCGGCCATTGCTAGCCTCGGGGTATCTCCAATCGTCCGGACACCAGACTTCCAGCCGTGGATGGTAAAGCGTGAGCAAACTTCTAGGATGACCCCAACACAGTCCAGTCATGGCACCGGTAGTTGCTAATTCCCTACAAGGGGCGCTCGACAGTGGTGCCCATGGAGTAAGAAAATCGCTACTGGCCCAATTGTCTGGGCGGAATTGCTGACGGGTCTCTCAGATACTGGTGCCCCTAATCCGGACAGTTGAGGAGGTAGAAAGATTCGTAGCTTCAGCCAAATTCCCACCGCAGGGACAGCGCGGCTTTGGCTCGCCCATCGCTATGCAGACTTTCCATCCCGAGCCGACGTTCACGGAATATCTGCAACAAGCCAACGAGAGCATTCTAACCATGGTCCAGATTGAGACAAAGGAAGCGCTCGAGTCGGTCGACCAGATAGCAACGCTTGTTGACGTAGTATTCGTCGGACCGTTTGACCTCGGCAACAGCATTGGCCATCCGATAACCAACGGCGAAATAGGCCAGGTGCTAGACGATGCCATTACAAAGGTCTTGAACGCCGCTGTAGCTGCCGGGAAGAAATCCGGCATTTTTTGTACTAGCGGAGAGCAGGCCAAGCACTATGCCGATGCGGGATTTCACATGGTCAGCGTGGCAACTGATTATACGGCCCTGGCAGCTACCGTGGTTCGAGCATTGGCAGTAGCTAGAGGTCAGGGGAAGCAAGACAAGGCCGCAACATATTGAGCGAGCAACATGTACTTGACCGAAATGAGATAGCTAGGCGGTCAGCAAGAGTCCATATGACAGGCCGTAGTGCGTCGCGGGCTCGCCTAATGTGTTAATTTTGCTTTTGCGTCTTCATTTCACATTCCATTGCCGTGTTCAGGTCTGGGCCTGTTATAATATGTGATGCAGTTGAACTTGAACTTGTCAAAGCGGACTAGACGGACTGTGGGCAGCCTTCATTTCCTCCGGATCATGAGAAAGGCCTTCCAAATGGCAAGGAGGCGGAGAGCCATTGTCGCCGAGCAATTAACATTATTCCCTCGAGTTGGCTCCGCTACGGCAGAGAAAATTGGGTGCGGTCGGTCTCGCAGATCCAGGGGAGTAAAGAAATCAGGACCTTTCAACCGTGTCCATCTTGGCGGTTACTTCGTCTTGGCTGAAGCGGTGCATCAATTTGACGGCCTTGGACGAGAGCCTGGGATCTTCATCCGGATTATGGGCCTTGCTGATGTGTATCTGCCAATGTTTGTTGAGCATTAGGTCCTGTAGGCAAGGTATAGGATAGACACATGGGGTAATCGGCATGCCAGACAAAATGACGGATTGCCACATTCTCATCCAGTGGGGAAGCAAAATGGCACACAACTCACCACAGGAACATCAAACTCATAGAGATTGCGCCAAGCCTCAGAGTCGTGTTTGATGATGTCGATTTCGCGAAATACAAAGGGCCTCTTGTCCCATACATCCGACAGGACCAATTTCGCCTGCTTGCAGAGACCGCAGTTTTCGCGAGTGAAAAGCGTTATCCTGCAGGCCTGTAGTAGTCGACTTGTGAGTTGCATGTCTTATTCTAGGTAGCTGGCAGTCGGCAAAGTTGGCTGTCGCGATTGGCCCGAGTTGGGATTGCAACAAAGTGTCCTTGCGTCTGGTGAAGAGAGAACGCGACTTTCTTTCCCTCGTTGGGATACTTGATGGAAAGTGGAAGAGCAAGGCTGGAAACTCAGGTCAAGTCTGAGTCTCTGAACTAGAAACATGGGGAAACTACGCCCGATTAGTCCTAGGCAGCTTGGAATCCGTTGAAACCGTTGGTTATCCGACACTAGGTAGGAACAGCGCTAGAACGAAATGCCCCTGCCTGTTCCCTTACTGTTACGCATATTACCTGACTTAGGTAAGGCAGGTAGGGCGAATAGCCTCCCCCGCCCCCACCTCATTCGCAGCGGGCAGTACCGGGCAGAGCAATCGCTACTGTGCTTGACTTTGAATGCAGCCGTTTATCGTCCAAGTTCCATCGCCTTCGAAGCTTCCACAAACACCAATCCCCAACTAAAATCCACCCTCCCAGCATTTTCAACTCGGCGAAACATCCGGCGCAGCTTTTCTCAGCCATTGCATTTCTTCTCCCCCCCTACCTTACCTACCCGATCTATCATATATACTTTCCGTAGGTAGTTTCGGTCTCGGCCTCACCAGCCGCCATGGCTCAGAAGTGTGTCCACCAAGGTTGCGGCAAGACATACACGGATGCAGATGTAGATGAGATCTGCCGCTACCACCCCGGTCCCCCGGTTTTCCATGAGGGCCAGAAAGGTATGTGGATTACTTCTACATATCCGTGTTGGAAGCTGCCTGCGGTAGCCAACCTGCCGGCTACAGTGCCTGGCCGACCCTAGTCGCCCACTGCCATGGCAAAGCAGTGAACAGTCTACATACTCACAGCCTTTCTACTCTACAGGATGGAAGTGCTGCAAGCCGCGAGTTCTCACCTTTGAGGAGTTCATGGCCATAGAGCCCTGCACCGAGGGCAAGCACAGCACAACCGACTTGCCGCCAAAAATCGAAAAGAAAGAGGCCGACCCCGCGTCCGCGCCCGTGCCGGCTGTTGGGGATTCTGCGAATCCTCCTCCTCCCCGTGCTCCCAGCTCTGTGGCCCAGGCTGTCCCCCCGACGCCCCCGCCGGTTTTGGACTCGGAGGATGACGAGGAGAACATCGACATCGCCGACGGCCGCGTCTGCAGGCGGAGGGGCTGTGGTGCGTCGTACCAAAGGGGGGCCAGCCGGGAAGGGGAGAAGTGTGTGCATCATCCCGGCGCCCCAATATTCCACGAGGGCAGCAAGGGCTACAGCTGCTGCAAGCGGCGCGTCCTAGAGTTTGACCAGTTTATGAAGATCGAGGGGTGCAAGACAAAGACCCGGCACTTGTTTGTAGGTAGCGGCAAGAAGGACACGGCGGATCAAGACAAGAAAGATGCGGCTGCCTCTGCAGGCGAGGAGGTGCTGGAGACTGTCAGGTGAGTCCCTCCCTATATCTGTGGCAACGGGTCGACCAGAGCCGCCAGAGTTCCGCAGCCAAGGCTCAGCCAAGGATGGCTGTGCTCCTGCCGGGCAACCCTGGACGACCGTTGTTCCGTTCGTCCCTTTCCGCACCTCACGCCAACCACTGCGGTGGCCTAGCTGACTTTAGTTTCCTTGGCCTCACAGAAACGACTTCTACCAAACTCCGACGTCAGTGATTGCGTCGTTCTTTTTGAAGAAAATAAACAAGGACACGGCTAAGGTGGAGTTTCGGGAGCAGCAGCTGGACCTGGACCTTCCGACCACTGACACCCCGTTGCCTAAACGCTACAAGGCCGAGGTGCCGCTTTTCGCGCCCATAGACGTGGTCAAGTCGTCGTTCAAAGTGTTGGGCACCAAGCTCGAGGTGGCACTGGTCAAGGCTGACGGCAGCTCTTGGCCGGTATTGCGGAGCGATGATCGGTTAACGGGCGAAATACTGCAAGTTGGCCGAGCCGGGAGGGTCCAGTAGGGGGGGGGTGTAAGGTCTGTGGCCGCGGCGAACGGCTCGGAATAGCGGTTTGCTTGGCATACACGCCCTCAGATTTTCTCTTATCCAGTTGTCAATGTCTCGGCCAGAACGCTGACCGCCAAGGGCGGCATTGGCAGAGCGAGATGTCGCGCAGTGGGAGAAAAAAAGAGAGGGCTTGCAAGGATAGACAAAAGTTTTGGAAAATCCACCTTCGGTAGGTATCCAAACAGAAAGAGGGAAGAAAAGGCCCGAGAAGCAAAGTATCTTTCTCAGCGCATATAGAGGCCAAGAGATAGGGACATGGGATGCATATACGTACTCTGTGGTGAATGCTAGGGTGCGAAGCGCATGCATCCACCCGTGGCTATATGTTCCTGTGAATTGGCGGCCACAAGCTCCCGTCTCAGGGCCTGCCTTGGGGGCCTGTCTTGGCCCTTTACTCCAGTCACACTCACGTTGGCCGTGATGGGAAACCTGGGTATCCCCCCCATCAATTGCACATTCTCCCTTCGACAGAGGCACACAACTAAAGCCTAGACACCTAGTTTTCGATCCCCAGCAATATGCAGATCCAGCCCGTTCCCTGTTCCCGCCTTGGGCTCTCTTAGTTCTTGGCTTACAAGGGAGTGACACCAAAGGCTTCCCTAACAATCTACGGACACATTTCATTTCCATTTCATCCATCCACGTCATACTGCCCGCCCCGGCGTTCCGGTCCCGTCCTCTGTTCGGGTGATACAGTTATCAATCCAAGCGACCAGGCCGGGTCAGCTGTCTCGGGTCTCATGTGTGTCTATGTATGGGTATGTATGTATGTCGGCCTTGTTCTCGCCTCATTGGGGGTCATTACCATGTATCGCTTACAAGAATAACGGCATGTATATGTGTATCTATGTGCATATTCGAGAACATGCGCCCCCCTTCCGTCCTTCAGTTCCCTCCTCCCTTTTAGCAAAAAAAAAAAAAGGCAACGAAAAGAAAAGTAGGAATCACATGCCACGACGCTCCGTCCCGTTTGTTCCGCTCCGTTTCTCTCGGCTTCAGCTCTAGCGTTGTCTCGCAAACTTACATATGCTGTACCGTACACACCCTGGCTTCGCCCGCCTTGGCAACGTAAACAACACAGCAGCCAGTCAGTCACTGCAGTGTGAGCACGCCGTGTCTCGGAGGCCGCGACCGGGCGGTCGGGAAGGGAAGGGAGGGCCTTTGGTGGTGGTTCTCGTCCGCTGCTTGCCTTGCTCCGTGTATCGCGCGCGAAGTAACGAATCGGGTGTCTGTCTCTCCCTCTCTCACTGCCCTGCTCAGCCAGGCCCAGGCCCATGGACCGCGCGTCCACGTACATGCCTACATACATACACTACATATACGTACATAGATAGGGAATGTGACCCAATGTGTCAAGACTGTACCACCGCAGATCTTTTCCCTTCTAGAGTGTTGGGAGAGAAAAAGAAGAGCGGCTCAATGCCGATCACGTACTGGCGGCGTAGCGGTGTGGGTGCGGGCATGGCTGTGTTATCTGCCCGTTCGCCCAGCCGTACGGATAGAGTAGGTAACCCGCAAGCGTTTGTTACCCTACTATACTGTTAGTAGACATGTACATATACGAGACAGTGGGACTCGGCTTTATTTTCACCAAACGAAAACGCCATCCGGACCTGAGTAAACAAGGTGATAGTTGACGATAATGGGGGGGTTCAACCCGAGCTACGTGTATCACTCTAGCACCCACTAGAAACAGTAAGTTCCATCCCGTGATTTCGTAAACGATTCGCAAACTTTTGTTGTTGCGCGTAGTCTTGCTTAAGAAAATGATTCCCTCATATTGTAATCCTACTATGCCTACCCTGCCATGCCAGTCCATCTAACTCCCGAGTCATATCCAATGCCGTGGATGTCATGTCACGTATGTAAACGGACTGTCGCCTAAAAAGTGCAGAAAAAAAAAGTAGAAGACAAACACCGTCTTCAAACGGGCGATGTCTCAGGCACAGCTATCCGTATGATGGCCGGCCGCGAATTTTGGGGAACCTGCAGAGTTGCTGGCGGCGAGTCGGCCCGGGGATGCAAGTCTTTTTCGAAAACGGCCGTCATGGATTTGCGGAACGCGACAATGACTTGCCCGTCCTCTCGGCGGCCGAGAACATTGCCCCTCTCCGGCGTGAAAGTGCCCGGGTCTTCCAGGAAGCGCAGGATTGGCGAGCCGTCGGGCGTGTAGCCGATCAGCGTAGCCTTGAACTCGGCGTCCTCCTTCTCGCTCTCCTCGCCGAGGATGGTATTCCTAGGGGGGGTCCGTTAGCATACAGCTTTGATTGGGGGAGATGGGGGGGGGGGGGTTAGACTTACTCCCGACTCATAGGAAGGCCGTTCGTCAAAACCCTGTCCGTTTGGTTTATGGTGTAGCTGCTGGCCTCTGACAGGCCCCTTTGCCTGCCTGTGCTTCTTGACCTGACTCTCTTCACGCGCTTTCGCATGGCTACGTGGACTGCGTGGCCGAGTCCGGCGACGACTAGAACGGGAGTCCCGAGAGCCAGAGCCCAGGGCCTAGAGTGATGTGTCAGAGAATGAAACACGCAGCGGAAGGTAGTATGGGCACTTACGGGTTCTTGTTCCCGCGGAGAGAGTTGAAGACGGCAAGCAGGATGCCAAAGATGGCGATCAACGAGCCGACCTGCATCATCGTCCACGTTGACCAGTATAGTGACATGAGGTCCTCGCCATCACAGAACTGGAGCGCCATCAACATGAAGACTTCCATGACGACCGACGTGACAGATATGGTTGCGTATATGGTGCACACAAACATACACCTCTTCATCCTGTGCCTGTGTTCGCGAGAGTCGGGTTCGACCGTGGACGCTTTTTCCAAATCACTTTGGAGTCGTCAGCCACACAAAGCAGGACGAAAAGGGGGAGAGAAAACACTAACCCGCTATATTTGAACGCAGCTAGAAACAGCATCATGATAACAAGAATGAATAGAATCCAGTAAATAGCATCGAACGTTCGCCTGCCTAATTGAGAAGCGAAAGCGGCATAGTGCTGGCACTGAGCAGGATCGGTGGGGTTATAGCCGCCGGCCATGGTCGTCGAGCTCCGCCTGCGGTCTCTGGCTGCTGTGGTGTGAGAGTGAATGAGGAATTAGAAGAAGTAAAACGACTGTTAGGCCAGAGTCACTCAAGTGAAGCTATTCGCGGTCGAGACGGTGTGTCTGGTAAGTGGCTTATTTGCACCCTGAAATGGGGGACGGTACTTGTATATAAACAACGAAGCCCGAGGGCGTACAAAAACGGTACAGTACAAAAGGGGTGTGAGGGAGAGGTATAATTCATACGGAGACCGGGGTCATGCTTGTACCCAATGTTACAAACGGCATCTGAATCGTGCGGGTTGGTCTCAAGTCATTGGGCTCATGGCTAAGGTGAGTGCTAGGTGGGGGTAGCGTCGACGGCGTTTAGTGACGAAAGCTCCACCAGACGCGCTGGCTGTGTAGGCGCATGGAAAGCCGCAGGGAGAACCCACGCAAACATACCGTGCGGAAGACGACTGGTCTCGGCTCCCAGCCTCGGCGCGTTGCAATCCTTGATTGATATCTGCTCGATCTCTTGGCATCCTCGGCGGACTGCGGCAGAGCCCCTCGCCGATCACTAGCTCAGCGGTCAGGAAGTTGGGCCAAGAACACCGGGTCCGAAGACGACGATCAAAGTTTCCGCAAGTCTCGGCACAGCGGTGCCAAGACCGTTCTGGGGCCAGATCTTTGGCTTTCTGTCTCTCCCTCCATTGCTATCTCTCTCTCTCCCTTTCTCGCATCTCTTTCTCTGCCCGACCCAAGGTCCGCACAATCTAGTTCATGCCCGGCATGAGCTCCACCGCGTCCAGGATCATACTCTTTCTTAATATAAATTCTCGGAGCAACATGAATTCTTCCCCTTCCTCTTCCCCGTATCGGGATGCTTGGGAGAAGCCAAACCCGCAGGCAACCTTGTCGAGCGCAGCCCGCTGTTCCTCGTAGAGCCACCTGTGGACGAGCGGAGTGCCGGGCGCCCAAGTGACGCGCTTCATCTGGTCATTTGCCGTTGTCAAGGCCACGATGCCAATTGTGCCAGTAAACCCAAAGTACGCGAGGATTCCCACAAATGCCATGTTAGTGGCCAAGGCCGGCTCGAGGGAATCTTGCAGGAGCGCGAGGTTTGTGGCGAGAATGTAGGCGGCAACGGGCACCGCTCCAGCGACAGATATAGGCAGTAGCGCCTTCTTAACAATCTTAGATCGTAAAAAGGCTTTAGTGGCGTACGCGTTCTCCACAACGCCGACGGCTGCATCGAGGTGCTTGGCCTCGATTGCCGTGTTGAGAGCGGTTTCAGCGACGGCTTGCTCTATGGCGTTTTGGATCTTATTGGGATTTGCCTTCACGTATTCGATGGACCCCGCGACAAGCCGGGGATTAGGCTTGGTTGCGTAGAGCTCCAAGACGTACGGGAACGTCTCTGGCCTGCCAAGGCGGGCCTGGAGCTGGACGTACTCGTCAAGCACTTGCGGGGTGATGGAAACAGCGGGGTGGGAGACGATGGCGTAAGCAGCATTGGAAATCCTCTTCATGACGTCTTCCGGCCGCAGCGGAGATGGGTCTGTCTGGCCAAGGCTGTCGGTGGCAGGGCTCTTGGAGCGCCTGTCCAGGTCCAGCAGACGCGAGGCTGAGGCAGGGATCTGAGAAGGTTTTTGGGCATCCAAGATCAGCCTCAAGTCGGGCTTGGCACAGGCGCGTAGAGCGGTAAGCGTCGTGTGTTCCGAGGGGATGCCCTGCTGGGCCAAAAATGCCTTGGTGACACGGTCGACGGCGGCAACGAGCTCCGCCAGGTCTGCAGCGGGGGACTGTGGCTTTGAGGAAGGACGAGGACGGGGAGTGCCATGCTCGCCGTCCTGACTGCTAGACTGGGGGGCGTTTTGGTTCTTAGGGGCTGGGGGGGGTTGGGGCCGTTTGGCAGCCTTTAGACACGGCTGTGAGGTTGCGAACAGGCGGGCAGCTCTAGGGGCGGTTGGGACAGATCCATCTGCCCTAGCCAGGCGTCGGCTGGCATGCAGTGTCACAAAGGAGCGCTTGCTCGACTGCTTGGACTGTTGCAGTGCCAGTGCTTGCTGCCTGTTGACAAGACCGCAGATCTGGCAAAGGCGCGGCGCCGGGCCGGAAGGATACGGGCGGAGCATGCTCTGGCTGGTGGTCGGGCTAGTCAGGCTGGTGTTGGTGCTGGTGCTGGTGCCCGTGCCCGTGTTGATAATGCCCGTAATATCTCACGCAGAGTTCCAGTCTCAGTCCCAGTCCCGGTCCCAGTCGCATTCGCAGTCGCAGTCGCAGTTGGCCCGAGGTCACTCCCGGCAATTGGCTGGTTACGTATCTGTCCACAGCGATGCAACGGAGTGCAATTGAGACGGACAGCAGTACCCCTGAGTACTGGCGGGGTAGAAGTTGCAGAGAGACACTCGGGACGATGAGAATATGGAGATGGGAAAAAAAATTAAGCTCGGAAGCTCGTGAGCGCGTTGGAGTCAAAAGAGAGCTCTCCTGGCTCCGGAAAGTCGATCGCGCAGATCCTTGCATTGGCTTGGGATGGTTGTGTTGCTCACCTGCAGTTCAAGAGTCCTCTAACTCGATTAGGCAGCATCTCCACCAAAACTCTTGAACTGTGCCGCCCATTAGTTCGTTGTCACGCCGCTTAAAGGAGCCTCTTGAGTCTCTCGAAACTCATGTTTTGCAACCAAGAAGAGTCTCTCAGTCAAGTCAGTTTGCTTTATTTTCGTCATCCGAATTTTCTACGTCTCAAAAATCTAGCCGTGGGCCCATAGTAGCCTAAACTCTCGAATTTTCTAGAGTACGTAGTGGACATGCCTGAAGGCATAGTTCGATGCATAGTCTAGAGACTGTGTGTAAAACTTGAATCTAATACGGAGCACGTACCCCCGTACGCTGCAGTAAGATGGTATAAGGGGCTCTCGGCCGTATTCAACCTCGTAGTCAAGTCTAGAAGGGGGTAGATGGGGTTTAGACTAGGATAGATCCAACGAGCTGTTAGCTAGTAGGCCTAGAAGCAACCGGACGGCTTCCAGGAAAATGGGGTGAACGCCGTTGCTTCTTCTGCGGCTTGGGTTCTGCATTCCCCACAGTCTGGTCTCCTTCCAGACGTTTCTAATTGCGCCCCGAGTTTTGCGCACGGTGCTGGGGCTGAGCAAACACCCATCAGCTAGTGACGCAAGCTTGCCAAGGCATCCAACCCTCTGGAAATCAACGGGCTTCAGAACTGCTGTACTGTGCATTCCCTAACAACCCCAAGGCCATCGCAGCTCGTTCGTTCGACCTCACCACCACACCACCTCCTCCTCCGCACATAGCGATCCTCGGGCAGGAGAGTTACAAGAGCGGTCAGCTTGTTCTGAATTGCTATCACAATTATACCGAGCCGGCAAATATCGTTGTGCATTAGTTTACACTTCTAGCGCCGACCAGCCCGACGCGGCCTAAGAACGTCGACATCACCTCTCTTCCACGTCACCCATCACAATCATGCCGCCTCCCCCACCACCTCCTCCTCCACCGCCTCCGGGCTTCGGCGGTTCTCCTCCGCCGCCGCCACCTCCGCCCCCGGGTTTTGGCGGTTCCCCTCCTCCACCGCCGCCGCCGCCAGGAGGGGCAAGTCTGCCAGCCCGGCCGCCTGCTGGGTTGCCAAGCAGAGTGCGTGATATGCTCTCCAGACGTCAGGTGGATATGGATAGACCTTCGCTAACGTCGTTTCAGGGAGCTTTGCTTTCAGATATCTCCAAAGGCAGAGCGCTCAGGAAGGCCGTTACTAATGATCGATCTGCGCCATTGGTTGCCGCTGGCGGCGCCTCGTCGCCCGCCTTCGCCGCCCTTTCCCCCTTAGGGGCGCCTTCGGTTCCTGGAACCCCAAGATCTCCTGCTCGATCGCCCGGGAACCTCGCACCCCCTGCCCCCGGAATCCGCGCAAGGAGCAACAGCGACACGGGCGACAGACAACAGCAGACGGCCGCGTCAAGCATTGAGAGCCCGCCCCAGCTGGCCGGTCTGTTTGCTGGCGGCATACCAAAGCTGCGCAAGACGGGAGGCGGCGTGGATACTGGCGGTAAGGAGTAGTTGCCCGTCCTGATTGGCCTCATATATATCTAACGATTTTGTCTGCCAGCAAACCAAGAGTCTTCGTATCTTTCAGACCCCGAGTCATCGTCGAGGTCGGCACCGAAGCCGCCCAGCTTTTCTCCAAGGCCACCACCGGGAGCCGCGCCCGCCATCCCGGGCAGACCATCGTTCCCAGGCTCTGTCACCGGCCCAACGTTTCACCCTTCGATCGCGAATCTAAGAAGGACAGCGAACTCTGAGGCCCCAAGGCCGCTATCATCGGCCTCCATGATGGCGTCACACAAGGGCCGTCCTCCCCCCATCGGCAAGAAGCCCCCACTGCCTCCGGGCAGGAAACCGTCGTCGTCGATATCTTCGGCTCCGCCGCCTCTTCCTGGTGCGCCTGCGCCGCCCCCTCCTTTTTCTCCGCCCCCTCTACCCGTGTCGTCTCCGCCCGCATCGTCTGCGCCCTCACTCCCCCCGGCACCCCCACCCCCACCCCCCGCCACCGCGCCGCGCCCGCCGCCCGCGCCGGCCCGGACACAATTGCCTCCTCCACCACCACCGTCATCTGCACCACCCACCAACTTCTCCCAGAGCGTGTTCGCCGTACAGGCTGCTCTCCGCGCGTCTGCGGCCTCATCATCGCCGTCGGCAGCACCGCCGCCGCCGCCGCCTCCAAGAGATGCGTACCGCTCAGCACCAAGTCCACCACTCTCGGCCCCGGCACCTCCTCCACCGCCGCCTTCAGCGCCCGCTCCTCCGCCTTCCATTTCGTATTCTGCCTCCAGCGCGTCGGCTCGGTCTCACACGCCGGGTTCCATGCGCTCCGCGTTGCTTGACCCTAGTAGCTTCACACTCGCGCCAAATGGAAGCGGTGCCAAGACTCCAAGCCCGACCCGCAATGTCTCAAATCCTCCAGGCCCGGCCCCAGGCGGAGCTAGGTATGTTGTGCAGGATTCACGATGGAAGTTCATTTCTGAAGACAAATTTCCGAAGCCGCGTGATTTTGTGGGCGGCCAGAGGCGATATCGTGCGGGACGCGGCAGCAGTGTGCCGCTGGACTTGAGTGCGTTTTGAGTGGTGGTTTAGATTGTTTGGAAGAGGCTAGAACCTCGAGTCTTCGATTTGTCACGATAGGTGCATTCAGCTCGCGTCTAGGGGGGTGGATATCTCTACGGACAGTGGGTTGTTCCTCGCAACTAGCGCAAGAAGATAAGGGCGCGAAGTAGCTACTTACACTGCGGTGAATTCAAGGCAAACTAAACTGCCTCGTTATGTCGTCAATTCAAGCGAGTAATGCCGAATCCCATTCCCCGAACCTTGGGTATGTGAAGGTAGTGTGCCTTGATGCTATATGATACGGGCAGGGATGGATATGTATCTTTTCCCCATACGTTTACGGATATTCTTGTTCAGCAAGAGCAGATGTGGCAAAGTTGTACATTAAGCTATGACTGTCTGGTAGGTTTTCATCTCACCATGAAACAGGCCAAAAGAGAGGCAACGAATGCACCCATACACTATGAACATAGATAAGGTAGACAATAGGTATTGAGCGGGGTGGCTACAACAAACTACCTAAGGATCGTCGAAGCAAATTCGTAAAGACATTAATAACCAAGGCATGTTCACATGACAGACAGACTGGTAGACAGGCAGACTGGTAGACAGACAGATACAGAGACAAAACGGCATATTCGCATATTCGCACATGCCAACGCAAAGACAGACAAGACGGTCGACAACACATTCATAGACAGACAGACATACAGACATAATCAGACACATTGGAGAAATCCCATGAGCACGCATAGGAAATCACGCCCGAGAGAATATGGACGCAGATTCACACACGAATACAAGACAACAGCACGTCCCAGCAGAAGTCACAATCAATACTGCAGAGCAATCATAAGAGGAGAAGCAAGATCTAAGGAAGGAGAGAGAAGGTGGGATGAGGAAGGAGAGAGAAAGAGAGATGACAGGCAGAGAGAGAGAGAAGAGAAAGAGAGATGACAGGCAGAGAGAGAGAGAGAGAGAGAGAGAGAGAGAGAGAGAGAGAGAGAGAGAGAGAGAGAGAGAGAGAGAGAGAGAGAGAGAGAGAGAGAGAGAGAGAGAGAGAGAGGCCGGCGAGAGTGATATAGAGAGGCTGGCGGGGGTGAATTGGAGAGTGGGGGTCGACGGTGTCAACCCAAACAAGCAGCAAGCGGGCGAGTGAAGGCAATCACCAAGTCGAGACCTTGGGCTTGAGGTAGACGTCGACGTCGTCTTCGCCAGGCAGGTCGCGGCAGACGAGGAAGGTCGAGTGGCCTCTCTTATCAACGACAACACCGGCATCACCGTCATCGTCAAACTCGACGAGGTCCTTCCAGGCGAGCGCAATCGACGCTACGGCCACGCACTCGCCGAGCACCGTGACCACGGTGCGCTCGTGGCCGTGCGCGTACCGCTTCATGTCGCCGTCGTGGCCCAGCGCCCGCACCGCGCGCCAGCTGATCAGGTTGCCCGCCTGCGGGCACGACGACACGTCCTTGTACCCGTGCACCGTGTAGTTGTTGCGGAACGTCAGCGAGATGGCCTGCGGTGGTCTCTGCGCATGTGTAGACAATACCACCGTGTTAGTTACACAGTTAGGGGGGAGAGGGGGGCATCAGGGGAAAGAAAAAAGAATAGCCGGCTGGCTGGTTGTTTCTCTGGGGAAGGAAGAGAATAGTGATGGAAACTAACCGGGCTTTCAGGGCCAACCTCATCTGGGCTTGCGTATCCTGGGGGTCTCCAGGTATAGGACTGCGGGATAGGAGACAGAGGAGCGTCGCCGGGATCTTGGATAGGGGGTCTCCTGGGGACCCTGTAAGAGACCTCCTCGTTTGGTGTGGTGTTGACTTGGGTCGCTGTGCTTGTTGTCTCGTCCTGGTACGGTGCTGCTTCGTCTGTGGGATAATACTGTGGATGTGATGCCGGGGGGTAGGATGTATAGTTGCCGCTGATCCAAGGGCCTGCAGCTTGCGACTCATAGTACCCTTGGACCGTCCTTTCGTCAGGAGCGTAGTCGTACTGACCATATGATGCGGCTTGCTGAGAGTAGTCCATCGCCGGCGTTTGTGCTGAGGGTGGTCCAGTCTGGGACCAGGTTGCGTCGTCTTGAGTCTCAAGAGTGAGTTCGGAGTTGTTGGTATAGTCCAAGGCCGGTTCGTTGTAGCCGGAGTAGCTGAATGTGCTTGTCTGCCCGTTAGGCACGTTTGCCGTATGGGTCAGGGAGCCGGCTGGACTCGATGCTTGGTGAGCTGGATGCCGGGCATTGTTGTCATGCTCATTAATACTGAGGTTTTGGACTGAAGCACTCAACTCGTCGTCTCTGGGAGTTCTTGGGGCCTTTGGCTTTGAACTCTGATGCTTTGGTGGTCGAGAGTCCTTCTTGCTGCTGCTTTTTTTCTTCTTGTAGAAAGCGTCTCCTGATTCAACCAGGGCCCGATGGCCAGAGGAACCGCTGTTATTCCCGTCCGCCATAGCATTGTTGTCCGAGGGGAAGCAAAAGGGAGATATGTGTACAAGAGCAAGAGAGGTGCAAGTTGCCGGGAGTAGGGCCACCACCAACGCTCTGCGAGTCTGTCCCTCCCGGAATACTTATAACCGCGAGCATAATATAGGAGGTTCAAAACTACGCACACAGGCGGGGTTACTGTTGGACGAGTCTGGGGCAGCTGTCCACATGGATGGGATCAAGACCACCCTCGGGCCCATTCCTGCATAACAAGACAGTGTTATTGGCAGGGTGATTGTCTCTGCATCTCGACGGCGTCGGATTTGGCAGGGTGTGGCTACTATGGTGTTAATGGTGCAAAGATGGGGGCATGGCAAGAGCCGCATTCCCACGGTTTCCCACTTGGTTGTCGGATACCTGGGGTGGCCCCGCCTGGCCGGCGGCTTTCTCTCTCTCCTTCTCTCGTCTGCATGCAGCGGCGGCCCAGCAAGCGCCCCTTGGGCTACTGCGAGAACTCGCGGGTTCCGGCACCAGCAAAGCGCACCAGACCAGACTGACCGCTCCTGTGGCAGCATCTAGGATATGCCGTCGGCCGGCCTGTGTGGTTGATGGCGCATTGCTTGGCCTCCCCAAGAGTCTTCCACGTACGGCCTTGTTCGTCGGGTCTGGCTGTGACGGGAGCTTGCAACCCGCCTCGGAGTGTGGTGACATCAAGTCATAACATAATCACTCGGCTTCTGTTCCAATGACGCATTCTGCCAGCAGAATAACACGACAAAAAAAGCAATTAGTGTAAATAGGAAGAAACAAGTGCACGTCACGAGAGAACGAGGCATATATAACACATCAGGCCGGGGGTCTGGGGTGCCGAGGCAGCGGTGCAAAACCACCACGTCCTTGCCCCGGACATGTGGCTCGCGGCGTGCGCTCGCGTTCCCAGCACGGGGTGTTCGTCCGTCCCATTTTCCATTTCCCCAATGTAGACAGACTTATTTGAGCCTCACTCCCAACGCACGTTAGGGCCAACGTCACGCGATGATTAGATCTCGGATTGCAGCGGACATTGGCTAAGCGCAGCACCAGTGCCTTGGGTGCCATCTGGAGTTTCCGGTACGCGCATTGTCAAGCTAGGCGTAAATTGAGAGACGGGTTTGCAAGCTGCGCGCGTCTTCATCGAAACAGGCCGCACTGTAGTATAGGTTACGGCCACGCTCTCGAAATTCTAATTGCAGACAGGGCAGCGAGCGAACCCAACTGCAACGCCGCAGTCTGGTATCCCGGCCTGCCCGTCGAGGCGTTATATTCGCATCCAGCCGGACTGGTAGCAGCATTAATTTCGAGGTGGTGTGCTGACTGAGTCTAAGCAAGGTGCGTATGGACGAGGAAATACCAGATCCTTGGCCTAGCCCAGCCAGGGCCAGCGCTGGGGCGTTTATCTCGGCGGCTGGCCTGCCTCTATTGCCTCTGGGGGGGATGGTAGACGTGGATGGTGGGCACCATCGGGAGAAGGAGAGGCGCTCCCCGCCAGGACCATCACCCCCGCGCGTGCCCTCGGCCGATGGCCTCGACGAGGATAGTGACGGGCGGCATCGGTAGATCAGTGCCACGTCAGTGCCGAATTCACTATCTTGTCAGTGGCAGCGACTGGCGATGAGGCTCCATGGACGGACCATATTGGCCAGCTTTCTCTCATGACACATCTCGCCGTGGGATGTTTCCTCGTTGGGAATGCGTCTGAGTTGCTTCGCAACCACGACTTGGCCAAGCCCGTCGAGGTGCAGCAGCAGCAGCAGCAGCGGGCTGGCTGGCTGGATGGCGGGCGGGCTGCGTCCGGCATGCATTATTCATCATCCGTCGATTCGACGGGAGCTGGCCCTCTCAGGACCCCTCTCTTCTTTAGCAATGAGGCTCAACCTAGCCGCTCTGGCCCATTGCAACAATCTCGCAGATTGAAGCCGGGCGCGTGGACCGTGCTGAGGGGTGAGATTCCAGGTCGTGCGTCGCCTTGCCTTTACTTTGCTTTCCTTTCCTTCCAAATGCCCGATTTCATGCGGAGGCGGAGACGGAGCGGGGCCCCCGCCAATCGATTGCGGCCCACCTTGTGATGTTTTCCTTCCATGTCTCTTCGGTCATGAAGTTTATTTTGTGTTGGCCGCGGGGAGGCGAGGTTGTTGCACGTTGGCACAATGGAGCGGGCCCGTCGACCTTTTGCGATGCAAGTTAATAACTGACTTCCTTGGTCTAAATTAATTGCGCTTGTCTTATCAATAACACCCTCCGGTTCATTAGCCAGGCACGCTTTTGTCCCTCCAGCTCTGTCACGTGCTGGAATTTAGTGCAAGCTGTCGATTAGACTGGGCGATTCACCTCGCCTGTGAGGGAAGGAGCGGAGGCGAAAGTAGAAGTGGGCACGAGCCACCTCGTTACCGGGTTCGTATGTTGAATGCGCCTGCTGACACGGTGGGGACTGAGACAGAAAGCCGCCTGGGGCAGGGCAATGACCTCCGCTGCGAGGTCACTCGGATTCTTCAGGGCGCATTTTTTATCAGAAGAATATTCGATCGTGCCGCGGGTATCTCTTGACGAAATCGATAATGCCGAAAAGTAAAGACTGACCAAACTGCCCATAATCCAAGTTACGGAGTATGTATGTACATACTGTACTTTGCTGATGCTCAGAAGTTACTACAAACTTCCTCCCTTCCATATTTTCCCCACTGGTCCCTAAGGGAGGCCCGTGGTAATAACGAACGCATCGCGTCATTAGAGTAACGTTGAGCCCTGTGCCAGCCAGCAATCCTGCCACCTGCCTGGCTTATGTACCTATTGTACATGTACAACAGCTGGGCGAAGCGAATACGGGCGGGGACTGCGCCAGAGTGACCACTGGCTTCGTCAAGGGACACTCACTGCCTGTACTAGGTGTACAGAACAGCATCTCTCTCTCTGGGTGGCAACCGCCTTTCCCGTCACGCATCACGAAAAACCCCCCCTCTCAGTGCGCAAACGACGCTATTGGAAGCTCTGCCTTCCCGCTAGCCAAACAGCGACGGAGCAGCCAGCGCAGCAACTTGAGACGGGCAGACAAGGCGACAAAGCACTCCGGCCCCCGACCTTGAATTTGTCGCTACATGGTACTGTATTTTCAGGCCAGCCCGCTTAGGACCGCCGCCTGCGGCTATAGCCCTCTTCACTGTTTGCGTATCCAAACCCGCACGCGACACATGAGACTTCGTCTCGTCTCCTCATTGTGCCATCCAACCCCGTCGTCACCCAGTTGATCGGGCCATTTAGACTCAAGTCCGCTGGGGTGATCTCCAAAATTACCTACACTACCTAGCTAGGTGCGCTTCCAAAGGCGGGGCTAAGCGCGGGGCCCAACAAAACCGCTGCAAGCTACAAGCGGTCTAAGTCAACCTGCCACAAACCCCCCACCGCCAATCATCAACACAATCTTACATCTATCGAGCGGCCTCCCCCATCACCCATCGCCTTCTGCAGGCGGACAGTCTGTTGCATCATGGCTTCAAATGACGCCCAGAGCCGCCACGGCGATGACCTGGCACGACAGCGTGGCGGAAGGCGAGTCCCCGTCCCTGCCTCGATTCCCGAGGCGGTGACAACAACAGCGCCAGCGCCAGCACCAGCCCGGTCAAATGCACCGTCGCCCCAGCGCCGGAATGATGGTCAGTTGTTGTTGCCCACCAACGCTCCGCCGTCTCGCCCGAACTCTCCGCTCACGCCTGCAGAATCCTGGGTCGAGGTATCGTCGCAACCGTCGTCGTCGTCGCTGTCATCGATAGGCGACGAGATCGTCACGACAGGCCTCCACATCGGCAGCAGCTCGTACCCGCCACGACGCCGGCGCTTACAGCTCCAGCAGCCGCACATGCCCCCTTCATACATCGTGAGCCACGCCGCTGCGCAGGCTGGTACCAGCAGCCAAGAGGAATATGACGAAACCGAGAGTGACGAGGACAGGATCATGACGAGCTCCACTGAGCAGGTCCACCCAGCAGCGGTGGCGGCCGCGGCTGCAGCAGCTTTGCAAAGGCAGCAAACAGCTGTCCGGACAGCTGTGGACTCGGACTCGGACGGCGATGGCGACGGCGATGAGAATGCCACGGCTCTTGGTCGCCCATCTGCCTCGCACACCTTTAGACCACAGCCAAATGCCTTCTCACACCCACCATCGCATCTGACCCACAGACACTCTACCAGCTCCGCTCACCCGTATCATTCTTTCTCTCAGTCCCGCCCTTCTATTCCAAACCGCACCCACACGCGCTCGCACCGTGGTGCCCCGAACATCATGTCTCCGTCTTACCAAGCAGACAATGACGCCGCTCTCCGTGCCTCTCTTACAACTTTACTTTCCTGCGCCGCAGCTGCCCGCGGTCTTCCCAAGAAGGACAATTCGCGTGCCGGACCGTCTGGGATCGGTACAGGAGCTGGCGTCCTACCGAGCTCACAGCCCATGGAGCTGCGGCTGGTCCCCGAATCCGAGCTCATGGCTGATAGTCCTCCGGCAGGGGCATCCTGGTCCGGCCCCGCCAAGGGAACCCCACTGCGAACCGCATCAAACTCTAGTGCCCCCAGTGCTCCATCATCCGCCTCGGGCCGCGACCGGGATGCCGCGACGGAAAAGGGCAAGAGGGCGGCCGCTACACAGAACAAGAGCTTGCGGGCCGCAAAGAAAAAGAAGACTGGCTCGTCGGCCGGCATCGTGGATGGCGAGACCGCCACATTTATCAGCCCCACCCTCTTGACATGGGTTGTGAGTGCCGGAGTCGTGGTGCTGGTTTCTGTAGTCGGTTTTGGAGCCGGTTATGTGATTGGACGTGAGGTGGGACGGCAAGAGGGTGCCATGAGTCTCGGTTCCACAGCGGCAATGTCCAACTCATCTTCAGGCTGCGGGCGCGAGCTGGTCAGGTCGACTTCTGGTGGCACGCTGCGACGATTCCGATGGGGCTCTGTTGGAAAGAGTGTCACGACTTGAATGACACCATTGCTGCATGTCTCTGCAGGCATTTCCTTGCCGGGCAATGAACGCATTATGCTTGGGGCTGGTCATCTTTGATCGCGAAACTTGCTCGTCTACAACCTCTGCGGGTTAATGAATGTATGTCGGCATGGCAACAGAAGACACGATACTTATCGATCGGGTATATAAACGGTGCATTTCCTTTCCTACTTGCGGTCAGTGGAGTTTGGACATTTCTTTACTGCACAAACAGAGAAAGTGGTGTTCTGACCGCCGAACTTGGCTAGCGCATGCTGCCATTTTCGGCGGCTTTAACACCAAGCGCACAAGTCTCTTACAAGTACCATTAGTATACCTATGTCATAGCAGCCTTTCTAGCGCATCTCCGTCACGGTCGAAAGAGTATCTTCGTGGGTGCTTCAAGAGACAGAACAACATAATTGATCAGTTCATCCGTTCCAGGGGCATCCGGGATCTGGGTATATGCCGCCACGTTTCGAACCTGGATGGAGGACTTCGTAACTAACAAGCCTGGATTCAAAGCTACAGAAAGGAAGAAGGACAGCAGGAAAAGGATGTGGGAGCGCAGACTACAACTTAAAATATATGTATGGGGGCGCCCAGAACTCGGATCCGCGTGAATAGTTCTACAAGCTCCATCTTGGCCAAGATTAATCCTACTTTGGGATATAGTCTTGGTCCTGGTTGCTGAGCTGCTTCTCAACTTCTTCCTCGGTTGCCTTGAATCGTTTCTCGTCTGAGGATGTGACTTTTTCTGGCGACGGGCGGACCATCTTCTTCTTGCTTCTACCTTTGAGAACCTCATCTGACCCCGCCTCCGCTTCAGTGTCCGATCAAAAGCCTCACTCTCCTGTACTCACTTATAAAACTGAGTAAAGGAGATGGTAATTTTCCCTTTGACCTTTTGGATCCCGGAGTGACAGGTAATTGTTCATCATACTCAGCCGTCTCCATGTCTAGGAGAGCAAATGTAGCCTTTAAGGTTTGCAAAGGTTGACAATCTAGAAGGCAAGAGGATGTGCGCACTACCAAATACCAAGAGCAGGTCTGCCAATTCCCATGTAAAACAGCAGAAATTGAAATCTTGATCTACATAGGACAAATGGAAACATCACATTGAACTAGAACATAGGCACGTCACGAAGCAATGGAGGAAGTTTTAGAGACGTGTGCATTTATTATAATCGTACAGATGAAGATGGGGAATGAACTACGTAAAGTAGTAAGGATGGGGAAAATGGAATACTCACCTAGGTAAGAGAGCCATTATGCCAACATCACCCAAGTATTGTAGTTGCACCTGTCGAGACATACCCTCGCCGGAGTCGTAAAAGGGCGAAAACAGGGAGGATTGAAGCCCCCGGACCATGCGTAAAAAAAGCAAACAAATTTCACCGACCAAACTTTTGTGTGCCCTCGGAACAGAGCCCTCAGAGCCCCCTCAAAAAGCCAAAAAGACGCCATAGCTGGTCTGTTCGATGGTGCCCATAGGCAGCCATCACGAACATCTTCCCACGCTTCGTTGTCAAAAAGCCCACAGAGTCCACGAGCCCACAGAGTGTAAGAAACCCATTCGTTTGTATGAAAACGTTTGCCTGTTGGCAAAGAGCCCACATGCCCGCTAGCATCCCATCGCGGCGATGCCCTGGAGAGCTGTCAAAGAGCTAGCAGCCCACGGTCAAGATCAAAGCCCTCAGGTGCATCGTTGCTCCATTAGAAGAAGTGTTTCCCTTCAAAGCCCACTACTCCCGATAAGGAGTTGAAGTTTCAAAGCCGACAACCAGCAAGCCCTCAAGTACAACCGAGCAGTGCTCTCGGCAAGATCATTTGCGAGTGCCACATCCAATTTAGAAAGTGGTCCGCTTGCCCGCGAAGCTGCCGCGGCCACCGCCACGGCCGCCACCACGGTCACCGCCGCCACGACCACGGAAGCCTCCACCACCACGGCCACCACCAAATCCACCACCGCCACGGCCACCACCGAATCCACCGCCGCCGCGGCCACCACCGAATCCACCACCACGGCCACCGCCGCGGCCACCGCCGCGGCCACCACCGCCACCATTTGGATCACGGGGCTTGGCATAATCCAGACGGACAGAGCGGCCATCAAGATCAGCACCATTGAGAGCCTCAAAGACGGTCTTGGCCTCGTCAATGGACGAGAAGGTAACATAGGCAAAGCCCTTAGGACGGCCGGAATCCCTGTGTAGATGGTTAGACATGAACTAAAGAGCGGTAGAGAGACGTGTGCTTACATATCAGTAGGAATGCGGAGGCTCTGGACCTGGGCAACCTCGCTAAAGAATCCGGAGACGGAGTCCTCGCTGGCAGTGAATGCCAAGTTTCCGACAAACAGGGTGTCGCTGGGAGGGCTGACGACATCGCCATGCTTCTGGGCACGGTCGGCAGCGCGGGCATTGGGGGCGGAATTGATGCTGGGCTTCTGAGCAAAGTCGAGGCGCATATCGCGGCCCTCAAGGAGGGCACCGAGCTTGGCATTGTAGGCTTTCTCGGCGGACTCGGGGTTGGAGAAGTCGACGTAGCCGAATCCGCGCGAGCGGCCGGTCTCCTTGTCGCTGACAACACGAGCGCTGAGCAGGTCCTCAAACTCTTTGAACTCCTCGAAGAGAACGTTGTCATCAACGCCCCATCCAAGGTTACCGACCCAGAGGGTGGCGCTCTTGTCGGAGGCCTCGGCGGAAGCATCCGTCTTGGTCTTCTTGGCAGGTTCCTCAACATCCTCCTCAGCCTTGCGCTTCTTGGAAGGCGCCTCGACCTCAGCCTTCTTGGCGACTGGCTCGGAGTCGGACGAAGAATCGTCAGAGTCGTCAGAGTCGTCGGAGGCGTCGGAGGCGTCCTCCTCGTCATCATCGGAAGCATCGGAGTCGTCATCGGACTGGAATAGGTTAGCAAAATCTCGAAGGCCATGTGTATAGTACAGATGAGTCAACGGACGCTATCCGAAGTGTCGGCCTTACTGGCCTTGCCGTTGGCAGCAGGCTTGGCCTCCTCCTCATCGTCAGAGTCGTCAGAGTCGGAAGTCTCGGTGGTCGCAGCCTTGGCCTTGCCGTTGGTAGCAACCTTGGCAACAGGCTTTTTCACAGAGTCAGAGTCAGAGTCCGAATCATCAGAATCGGAGTCGGAGGTAGCAGCCTCGGTGCTCTCCTCGTCAGAGTCTTCGTCGCTGCTCTCCTCATCAGAAGAGACCTTTTTGGGGGCCTTGGCCTCCTTGCCGTTGGCGACCTTCTTGGTAGCCTTCACAGGCGCCTCGACGGCAGCAGCCTTGACGACCTTGGCCGGAGCCTCAGCCTTCGCGGGCTTGCTGGCCTTGGAAGCCTTAACATCCTTTGATTTACCCATGATGGTGATTGTGAGGGATGAGTAAAATCGAACGGGATTGGCTATATGAAAAATGTGGAAGGTGTGGTTGCGAAAAGTTTTGGCAAGAGGCAGGACCACCGGCTTTATGCGAAAGGAAAGTGGTTGGACAATTGCGCAAGTGGAAAAAATTCTCTTATCGCAGACCTTGATTTTTCACTTTTTAGCGGGGCAACCAAAGGCGGTGAGTTTAGCGGGCTGGGGAGAACCTTGAGGTTCAGGGGCGCACTCGCACAGACCTTTGCAGCTCCCCACCCCCTCGCGAAATCTTCGGATTAATTCCTGAAGTCCTTCTGTTTCAGCCTAGCATTCGAGGCATCAACAGCTCTAGAGCTCGCATCGCTGCAACTGCGTGCATTGGCTGTCCGAGTCCAGCATCATACCGTCTAGCAACAGATTGACGGCAGCAACGAACTCATCGTCGTCTACTACACCGACACACGGCTCCCGGAGGATCTCTCGGCCGCCTCTGCGTTTTACTATGCCCACGCCCGAGTCAGCGGCCTTCCTGGCCAAGAAGCCCACGGTCCCTCCGACGTTTGACGGCGTCGACTACGATGACACGAAGCGCTTGAAGCAGGCCCAGGATGCCATTGTCCGCGAGCAATGGGTCAAGGTCATGATGGGACGTCTGGTACGGGAGGAGCTCAGCAAGTGCTACTACCGGGAAGGCGTGAACCATCTGGAAAAGTGCGGACATCTAAGAGGTCAGTTGGCTCGTCTCACTCCTCCCCAGCTGTCGGACGGCGCGGTGATACACCGGGACAGCAGAATACGACAGGAATTCGTTTCCATTTTGTCAAGGAATCGTGTCCAAACGCAGGCGATCTACCGGGGAGCTAACGGATCGATGTAGAACGATACCTCACACTGCTTAAGGAGAACCGGGTCAAGGGCTATCTCTTCGAGCAGCAGAATTACTTCACAAAGCAAGAAGAGTAATTGGACCAGCGCATCGCGGTGGCATTTGGGGATCATGAGAGTAGACGGAATTGGCATTTGCTCGAGAGCGGGAGGAGGGTGGTTTGTATTTGCACCTGGTAGGAGACCAACCATAGCGCAAACAATGCGGCCTCTTAGTGACATCCATTTCCTCTAGTCTCCTTTCCGACCATGAGACCCAAAATATGTAAATACAAGCAATTGACTCATTCAAAGCAAGCCAAGTCTATAGCACAGAGCTAATGCATGATTTTTATTGCGAGTGAGTTTTGCTTGCTATAAATGTGGTCGTTCGATTCCATGTCGCGCGTTGGATGCCAATATCAAAATGCGGGTGGTCCAATCCGCGCGCCGTAGAAATTTTTAGTTCAACAAGCTCCCGGCTCCGTACAGTCTACCTTCAACTACCACCACCTCCCACAACACACGTCCCAAACAAGCCCACATCCGACCGACCGGCCGCTCCAGGCCGCTCGCATTCCTTCCGGTCTTCCGAAAAACGGAAAAAGAAAACAATGATCTGCCGAACGTGTCTTCGACGGGCCGCAGGCTTCAGCAGCTCTCGACCAGCAATCCGGCTGCTCACACGCTCCTCCATCTCGTCCTCAGCCTCGACCGCAACCTCGGGCCTGGCCCCGTCAGTGCGCGGCGCGTTCTTCACAACTACCATCCGTGTGCGCAATGCCGCGTCCGCAACCTCCAGCAGCAGCAACAGCACAGCAACCGAGCTAACGCCAGTGATACCCACGAGCGAAGAGGCAGCGGCAGCGGCGGCGACAGCAGCGGCCGAGAAGCCCGCGCTATCGTCATGCAAGGCCGGGACCAAGCTGGCTGGGCTCAACTACCTCAAGGGGCGCAACGACCCGGAGGCGCTTGAGGACCATGAGTACCCGGCCTGGCTGTGGAACTGCCTCGAGGTGCAGAAGAAGGCGGCGACGGACGAGGACGCGGATGCGCTCGACGAGTTCTGTACGTTTTTTTTTGGTTCATTTTTCCCGCACATCTAACAAACAAACCCCCCTGGCTAGTCACTCCGAGAAGAGTGAGAGATAGGGAGAGAGAATGTTTGCTAACACACTCGGCCCCCCAGCCAAATCCCGCAAGGTGCGTCGTTTAGCAGCCAAGCGGCAGCGGACCCTCGAGGCCAAGATCCTGGCGTCGGGCGACATGGAGGCGCTGGCGCCCAAGATTCCACTGGTGAAGCAGACGATCAACCTGTTGGTTGGAGAGGGGCAAGGGCTGCCGGATGCCCTGCAGGCGGCCGAGAAGCGCGAGGAGCTGCGCGTGGCCATGAGGAAGGACCGCAAGTCCAAGATCAAGGAGTCCAACTACCTGAAGACCATGTAATGCTACCATTTCAAACACCCTCATCTGGCGTCTCTGGCGATTGCCCCCGTCCTTCTTGAGCCTTGCATAGGCTGCTGCTCTGTGTGGAGCCGCCTGCCTGATGACAGAGGTCATGTTGGAGGGGCTGTAGTCAAATTGTACAAAAATACAATGAGTAACCAAGGGACAATGTATACCCAAGGGCCTTCCATATGGACGGGATATCTATTATTTATATAGCTGAGTCTAGCTCAACCGTCACGAGCTCAGTTTCGTGCGTGTAAGACTATTCCCGATGTGTTATCCCTCCACCCACTAAACGCCGCATGTTGTCTCCGAATCAAAGACCCCCAGCCCGCTAAAATGCTGAATATTTTTGCTCAAACCTAACCAGTCTTGCCAACATGACTCCTCAAGCAAAACAAACAGTCCAGAACGCCATAGCCTGCCAGCATATAGAAATCCCCATTCTAGTCCTCGTCGACCTCGCCGATAGACGATTGCTTCAACTTGATTTCCGACCTTATACTCTTGATCGTTTCGCCGATTCTCTTCCTCATGATAGGCTGCTGCATCTTGGACAGCTGGTCCTCTTTTTCGGCCAGCTGTTTCTTCAAGTCGGCAATAGCCTTGCGGACACCGGCCATCTCGTCGGTCCTGTCCTCGTCGCCGTCATCGTCGTCCATGCCACCATCGTCACCGTCGTCGTCCTCGTCCTCGTCATCACCCGAATCTCCCTCTTCGCCGCTTTCCTCAGTCTGGGCGGCAGGAGTGCCAGTGTTTGCTGTAATGGGTGTGACAGCATCTATTCCAACCGCCGGCGTGGCCAAGTCCATGGGGTCGGCAGGTGTTCCCACGGCGTCCATGAACTCGGCCTCGAGTAGTGCGTCATCAACTTCGAACAGGGCTTCGGCGTCACCAAAGTAGTCATCAGGCTCTCCGTCGGCGTCAGCCTCGCCATCCTCCTCTTCTCCGGACTCATATTCGTCGCCGGATCCCTCGTCGTCTTTGTGTTTTTCGTCGACAAACTCGTACTTGGTGCTCACAGCCTCCCTGTCAGCTGCAAGCAAGCGTTCGACCTCAGCCTCCTTGTTTCTGATTTCGAGCTTGCTGAGCCGCTTCCTGAAGCGGCGGTTCCTGGCGTCGTGCATGGGCGGTGTGATTCCGTGAGGCCACCGCAGACCGTGCTCGACCGCCTTGGGTAGTATGGCTTTCTTGGCCTCCTCCTCGCTAGCGACTTGGGCGAAGACTAAAAGCATCTGGCAAATGTCTGCAGACTTGACCATCGACTTCTTGTCCCAAGACTTCATGCCCTCGGTGATAGTGGGGAGATCCAGTAGAATGGCCGCATATGCCTGGCCCTGGATCGTGAACATTATTCGACGTCCCTCGTCATCCAGGAACTTCATCTGCACGTCGGCACCGCCGTTGCTCTTAGGAACGCCAATTCTCCGTTCTTGAACAGCTTTTTGCAGATATTCGCAGTGTTCCCCAGGCATCATGCGCAGCAGGAACTGCTCCTCAATAATAGGGTCGATCTCTCTATCCTCTGCCTCTGAGTCGTAGCCCTCGCCAAGCGGCCGCGGTGGAATCCTCCCTATGGCCTTTACTTTTAACAAGGGGGTCTTTGCGCTGTGTAGCTGGCCCAGTTTGGCGCCCGTGAGCGGCTTGAGCGTGATCTTGGTCTTCTTCATCTTGGGCTCCAGGCTGGTGCCGTTGGCGAGCGGGGTATCCTCGTCGTCGCTATCGTGTCTGGTGGTCCGCTTGGAGGGTAGTTTTGACCTGGGCTTGGTCTTTGTGATCTTCGGAATGCCCGCCTGCGCGTTGCCTTCCGCAGGCCGAGGAGTCCGTGGTGGTTTTGGATCGGCAGGTGTCGGTGGCAGCGATTTCCTGCCGACTAACTTGATCTTGGGAAGCCCAGAGGGTGTCTGGGGGATGGGAGACATGGCAGTAGGGAAGCCAAAGCCTGGGGTGGGTGTGGAGGAGGTAGAGGCTGTGACAGTTGCTCCGCTCGGATCTTTGCTGATCTTGAGAGTTAGCCGCTTTGGCGGCGGCGGCGGCGGTGGTGGCTGTTCCATCTTGAAGAAGACGGCTTATCAAAGCGCAAGGCGGTGTGGTATCCTGCTCGCTGCTGAGAGATGTCGGCCGACTTTTCGTGCAAGTGGCTGCCCGAAGTGAGGAAGCACGCCGGCGTGGTCGTGGGCCGAAATGACGGAAGGTCACCGCAAACGGGACGAACTAGAAAAGATATCGCACATCAAATAAAGCTCAGATCTTGGCAGACGGAGGGCACCTGCAAAGCAGTGGATGCAGAGTTTGCGATGCGCTTCGCATCTCAAGGGAATAGGTGTCGAGAATATCGCGACGGCGCGGTGAACTTCGCCATAGGGAATCGACCTGGGCTTTGAAAATGTTCAGATACACCACCCAGAACAAGAACACTGCACGTCAACGCGAACAGGCGGATTAGAGCTCTTGGCCAGAGGGAAGGCCTGTGAGCGATCCGTGCGGGAGTTCACCTTAGCGACGTAACATTCAACCGACTCTACTCTATCGGTACATTGAAGAGAGCAATGGATAGGTCCTGTACAGTACGGAATACACACCCCACCAAACGTACGCTAAGAACAATGCCCCGTTTTAGTGCTCCACATTTTCCCAGTTTAACATCGCTGAGCAGAAGCAAAGGGAAGCAGTCGTCGACGCGGCCTTTCGTGACGGCGAGGTCGACAAGTCAGATTATATACAGCATAACAATAGCCTGGTTATGCCCCGATGACATCCGCAACAATCCGCCTCTAGAACAATAGACGGCAGTGTGGGTATTTTGATTACTGTTAGGTCTGAAGTCGCTTATCGGCGAAAGTTGAGCCAAAGAGTCTGAGCAAGCTTCCATCGCATTATGGCGAGACAGCACCAGCTGTAGTCATAAGAAAACAAGAGCAAGGGAGTTGCAGCAAGCTCTTGGCTGTTCTGGGGGCCTAAATACCCACGTATTCATCTCAGATCAACCACGGCCTCGCTACCCCTCCATCTCGTAGTTGCGAGAGGTCTGAGGAGGAGACATCTTCCACTCACTCACTCATCACCCACTCACCTACCTAACTCCCACTTTGGTACCACATTCGCCAACGTCAGCAATCTCTCTCTCTCACACACATACATCCGCGACCACGACCACCATGACGCCGCCGCCGTCGCTTTACCACTCGCTGCTGCGGCCAGCGGTGCTCCAGATCCTGCGGGCGACGGGCTACCACGGGGCCAAGACGTCGGTACTGGACTCGGTGACGGACCTAGCGGGGCGGTACTTTCTGCACCTGTGCCGGCTGACGGCGCTGTACGCGGCGCACAATGGCGTCGAGGACGCGACGCCGACCGTAGTCGAGGTGCGCATGGCGCTGCAGCACGCCGGCGCCCTGCTGCCCGAGAAGACGGAGGAGGAGCAGGACTTTCTGGGCGTCGAGGACATGCGTGGCGTCGAGGCCTTCCTCGAGTGGGTCCAGGGCCCCATGAACCGCGAGATCAAGCGCATCGCCCTCGACGGCGACGACGAGGCCGATGATTACCTAAATGGTGAGTTAAACATCCCTCGTTCCTCGCCACTCTCCCGTTTGGTAGACAAGAAGGGCAGATTTCTAATATCATCACTCCTCCCCCCTCTCCGCGCAGCTCTTAAGAAGAAGCACAGTAAGAACGAGGATGACTCCAAGTACATGGGCACGCTGCTCGGGCGGTGCAACGAGCACGGCGATGTGCTGGTCGAGGGCGGCGCGTTCCCCAGCATCCTGAACTGGGAGGAGCGCCTGCGTGTGGCCGCCCAGCGGAGTCCCGACGACCAAGACGCTGCGGCTGCTGCCGCAGCCGCCCGGGATGACAACGACGAGGACTCGCGGCCACCTAGTTCAGGCCTCAGCTCGCTGGGAGACCGTAGCATAGCCGACGAGATGGACATGTCGTGACCTGGTCACGAGGGGGAATGTTTCTGTTGCATGCGCGCTGACGCGGGAGCGGGGCAAGGAAGGGAGAGGTTTTCTGAGCCGGATGGAGTAGAGACCGAGTGAGCGAGATGGGAAAAAAGACGGAAGTGGGAAAAGAAGCATAGCGATGGCGTTCTGGTCTGTAAAAGGGAAAAGGAGCGGCGTGTATCATAGGTTGCTATTCATGATTTCTAGTATTTGTTGTGTCTATTATTTACTTCGTCCGTGTTCTGGTGCCAGTGGCGAGGAGAGAGTGAGCGGTGGGTGGGTGGGCTACCTCGACCAAACTTGCAACCATTTATTTGGTAATTGCCCGAGTTTTGGTAGCCAAATTGTCGTACTGTTCCTACATGGACTGGAGAAAGCACATCTGTACGGAGCACCGAGTTGTATATCACACTTCTTTCCATATGAAGAGTGCCTGTGTGGCAAGACGTTTCTTTCTTTTTTTTTTTGTTCGATCAAACCTAACCGTGAGACTGGCGATGGTAAACAGCCTGGTCCACCTAGATAGATCAAAGACAATATGGTTCTCTGGATCTAGACTGTATCTATCTAGATGCCCGTTGTTCCCAAGACCAACTAATTACATAGGTGGGCAGAGCCGGCATGGCGCTCGACATCTCGAGACATGTTTCCAAATCCCCGAGAGCACAACTGTACTTGGCGCGACACAACAAAACCACATCACCTCCCATACTTCTTCTCCGAGACGCGGTCCAGGTTGAAGGCGGCGCTGATCAAGGCCAGGTGGCTAAAGGCCTGGGGCGTGTTGCCCAGTTGCTCGCCGCTGCGTGAGATCTCCTCGGAGAACATGAGCAGGTGGTTCGAGAAGCTGAGCATGTTCTCAAACAGGTTGATGGCGCGCACGAGGTACTTGGGCTCGTAGACGCTCGCGCGCGTCATTGCCTCGACCAGCCAGAACGTGCACATGCTGAAGGCGCCCTCGCGGCCTCCTACTCCTGTTTGTGTGTAGTGGATACATTAGCTGAGACGTTGGGTATATATTTGCTCATCTGATGCTGGGTCCTGGTGGCATAAGGAATCAAGGAGAGGGAAGAAAGGGGGAGGGGGAGCTTACCGTCTTCAGACCGCTCTGTGTCGTAGCGGTACACCAAGCCGGTGCTGGTCAGGCCGCCCTTCTCTGGGGGCAGCATGATGCGGTCCATGGTCTGGACGAAGCGCGGGTCGTTGGGGGCAATGAAGAAGACCAACGGGGCGATGAGGATGGATGAGTCGAGCGTGGTGCGGCTCTCATAGCTCTGCACGAAGCACTGCATATCCTTGTTGTAGCCCTTCTTCATGATCTCCTCGTACAGCGTGTCCCGCGCCTCGAGCCACTTGGCGCGGTTCGGGCACGGGAAGTTGCGCTTCTCAGCGAGCCGGAGCCCGCGGTCAAAGGCCACCCACAGCATGATCTTGGAGTAGGTGAAGTTCTGCTTGTTGTTCCGCACTTCCCAGATGCTCATGTCGGGCTCGTTGACAATAGTGAGCACGTAGTCGAGCATCTCGCGGACCGACACCCACAGGTCCCAGTGAATTGGCTTGCCATACTTGTTGTAGAGGTAGACGGCGTCCATGAGCTCGCCGTAAATGTCGAACTGCTGGTGAAAGGCGGCGCCGTTACCGATCCGGACGGGCCTGCTGCCTCGGTAGCCGTCCAGATGCGCCAGCTCGTTCTCGGGGATGTCGGTTTCGCCGCGGATGGTGAACATGATGGGCAGTCCGCCGTCGGCCCCGCGAGACTTGAGAAGCCGCTCGCTGATGAAGTTCATGTAGGCGTCGGCCTCTTCGGTGAAGCCGAGGCGCAAGAGGATGTAGATGGTAAAGCTAGAGTCGCGAACCCAGGAGAAGCGGTAGTCCCAATTCCTTTGTAGGGGCCATCTTGAAATTAGCTCTCGTTACGCGCCGGGTTGGTGTTGTTGGAGGCAGCAACACTCACCTAACACCGCCGATATCCTCAGGGATGGAGAAAGTCGGGGCCGCAATGATGGCGCCGGTGGGCTCGTACGTCATTAGCTTCAAGATCATGAGACTTCGGCTCACCACCTCCCTCCACCGGCCCTTGTAGCTGGATTTGTTGATCCAGTTGTACCAGTAGGCCTGGGTGTCGTGCTGCTGGCTGTCGAGGACCAGCGGGGTGATGGTCTCTGTGACATGGTTTGGGAGGTCGTTCCGGAGGACTAGCGATACGGCCTGTCCTTCGGAGATCTTGATGGTGGCAACTATGCCCTCGCCCAGCATTCCGGGCCTTGCCACCTTCTTGAAGCGGACAATAGGGCAGGATTTGCCGTCGTCTTCACCCTTGTCGACGCTGACGTCGAGCTGAAGGTTGACCGTCTTGGAGTGGAACGTTACCGCCTTGCTGCGAGTGGCATGGGCGCCGCTCTCCTCTTGGAGGATTTCCGTTGTGTGCGGCTCCGATGCGTACTCGAACGCAGGGAAGATCTCGACATCAAGCTCCATGGAGCCCCTAATGCACTCGACGCGGCGAACGAGCCATTTCTTGAGCTCTTCCTGCACGCTGGTCATCTCGCGGTAGGCGCTCTGCTTGGGGCCCTTGAAGAGAACCTTGGCCGTCTTGGGGCGAGGGAAGAAGTCGACGATATCAACGGCGCCATCGTCATGGATGTACTTGGTCTGGAGGATGTTGGACGAGGCCAGGTACTGCTGCTTGGTGGTGCACGACAAATGTTTGGCTGGGTGGATGCTAAAGTGGCCACCTTTGTCCTTGTCGAGCAGACGACAGAAGACCGAGGGTGAGTCGAACTCGGGCCTGTCGGTGAGTTAGCTGTTGCCATAGAAAATAGGGGCTACAGGCTCAAGATGCCGCCCCTTTCCACTTTTTCCCTTCCCTTGCTCCCTCATTTCCAATGTAGGTTTTTGCTTTGGGTTAAGAAAGGAGAACAAAAAGGAATAGGAAAGCAAAAAAAGATGAAAAAAAGAAAAACGGCCAGAGCAGGCCAAAAGGCGGCCCGATGCTGAAGACCTATCTTGACATATCAACAAGCCTCAGTTTTTTGTTTTGCGTCGCTTGTAGCATGTGATATTTGACAGTTTGGGGATCAGACGCCCCGCCGTGAACAAGAGAATGAGGGGTTCACCAACGTCAACGTCCCCCGCCATTGTCTGGGCCAGGTCGGACACGAGCACAACCCAGAACCTGAATCTAGACTCACCAGCACATAAAGTCGACGCTGCCGTCCATGCCAACGAGTGCACAGGTCCGCATATTTCCAATGAGGCCATAGTTCTCAATGGGAAGGTAGCCGCCGCCGTGCGAGCGCATTTGGCTGGCGCCGCTCTGCGTTGAGCTTTGCGGTGACATGGCGATGGTCCGACTGCAGTGGCCGTTGGGTTGACCGGCTTGAGTTGATTAGCTTTAGTTTGGAATGCAACAGTGCCATAGACTGCAGCGACTGCGGTGCGTAGACGAGGGAGAAACAAAGGTAAACCTGATACCTTCGGTTGCTCTAGACGGACGGATAGGTCGGACTGGAGGCTAAGGAAGGAAACCAAACAACCGAAGGCTGGGGAAAAGGGGTGTTGGGGCCGTAACTAGCAGTAATGACGCACCGGCAGGCCTGGGAGGGTTATTGACGGACGATCTCAACGGGGCCGGCCTAATAAGCAGGTAATCGGGGCGATCGGGACGGATGAGTTAAGCTAGAGATTGACCGGAAATGCTGCCGGTTTTGAAGGCCGTCCATCGACATCAAACAACTATAAATACTTAAGGTGACACTGGAATCCGAATAATGGCTCACTAAGTGCCCGGTCAGCATTGGCAAGTGTAGCCGCAGCCCGCCCGTGCCAGGTCACAAGGCTTTCGAATTGACGCCGAGTGTCCAAGGTGCAGTGAATGCACTCCTGACTTGGCCAGAGTGAGGCTTCTCCCCCGCCTATGATGCAGCTAGGACGGGAGGCACCTCCTGAGTAAGCACCCTATCGCCACCTGGAACAGATACCTTACCGGCTACCTTACCTACAACATCGCTTACTTAGTGAATCGGCTTATTTTCGTCCCACGGGAGACATCCAAGGCCTACCTACCTATAGCCCGGTACATACATGTGTACACGTGTAAGTAAGGGAGGGAGCGCCGTGCTTTTATTGGGCCACGCCAAGGTAGATTGGTGCAAATAGCCATGCTTGTATCATGACCACGATGGGCATTTCCATGTATTTTTTGTTCAGTGCACAGGCGATAAAAGCGAGCTGCAATTCCTCGTAGCTTGGTGTGCAAAGGCCGCGGCACAGCTATCTCCGCCTGCCTTGAGCTAATTAGCATCCAAGTGGTCAGGAGAGAGGCTAGGTTCACTGGGGTCTTCCTCCTCTACAGCTAGCATCCGTATGAGTGCCAAGAACCGCAACCTAGGATACCTTAGATGCCTGACTTAATCCGTACCTTGGCTGATTGACATGGAGCGTTCTTCAGAGCCAGACGAGACTGACAGAAACTGCCAAACTTGGAGCTGAAGGGAAAGAGCACTCCCATATTTAAGTCACAGACAACGCTCATCGCCAATTGCTATGGGATGCGGAGTGTTCATCCGAGGAGAGTTGACCAACATTCCGTAGCATAAGCGAATGCGATGTTGTACACATATACGGAGCGAGTGGGCGGCATGTGTCACTTGAGTCTCAAACTTCAGTACCTCTGCTTCGCCTTGAGGCGCTCAAGTCGTGTCGGACTGAGAGGCCGCATTGTCGTGTTCTTTTCTAGTCAAGGGCATCGACCTACATACGTATTGGGCCGGGTTGTAAATCAGATGGATGACGAGAGACGAAAGCCATCCCATCATTCCGTATGGTTCATTGATTATTCCGGCGCCAGCCTCGCTCCGAAGTATTTCCTTTGGTAAGGCGGTAAGGCGGTTGCCAATGTTATATTGAATTGGCACCACAGTGGCCTCAGTGAGGCCAAGCCTCCGCGGAGCTCAGCGTTCCAGCGCCTTGGAGAGAGGCACTCAACAGAGGCTAGCAGGCACCCCGGTAGCAACTGCCTTGGCATAATGGCTTGAGCGATGGGCTCCCCAGCTTGCTCAGCAGGGAGCCTGGCTGATCTGAACAAGCCAAAACAAGCCAAGCCAATCAGCCCGCGCCTCGCGACCGCGCGAACTCCACCGCCATCCCTGACTTGGCTGGGTCTGTGGTCCTGTGAGCGATGCTAGCAGCGACTGGCCAGAGCTTACCGAAAACGACTCCGTCACAGCGTGCACAATTGGACAACGATGAGCCCGAAAGGACATGCTGCTGCGGTGCATCCACCTCAAGAATGTCGATTCCCCTTCCACCAGACGCCCAATTCCCCCAACTCGACACGGCATTGCCTCTACCGCCCCCTTCCACCCCCCAACAAGTCTTCGACGACGAGTCTCGCCCCAGCTCCCGGCCCCCTATCTCGAAACCACCAGATTCACCATCGGCACACGCGACCCGGACCCCTGGCCGGCTCCACGCCCAGCAGCCCGTTCCACATAGCCACAGCTACGGCTCCAGCGAGGGCGAGGGGCCGGATGCCGAGGAGATCGAGATGGAGCCCCTTCACCCCGTCGGCCACCGCCGCCGTCGGAGCAGTCTTATAACAGCTGGCAGTGCCTCGAGCAGCAGCCGCCGCTCCCCGCGCCCGAGGGCCCACTCTATCCGCAACCAAATCGTTGACGGCCCCGACAGCCCAAAGATACTCGAGGAAACCGGCGAGGAGAGCTTGGTTGCTGTGCGGCCCGACAGCCCTGGCGATGGCCATGGCAGTGACCTGTCTGAAGAGGACCTCCACGATGACGAGGAGACGGGCTTGACGCGCAAAGACCGGCAGCGGAAGAGACGGAGGAGGAGCCGAAACAGGTTGCTCGACCAGAGGATAGTCCGAGAAAAGGCGTTGCCCCAGGACAAGAAAGAGGCAGACCGCAGTGTCATGAAGAAACTGCTGGTGAATGCCTCGCTCATTGGCCTCTGGTACTTTTTTTCTCTGTGCATATCTCTTGTAAGGTCACCCCCCCTCCCCTCCTCCCATGCGCCTGTTCCCCGGAACGTCTCGGTTCTCGACTAACTTGGCCACTCTCGCTCGCCAGTATAACAAATGGATGTTTGACCCTAAAAAGCTCAATTTCCCGTTTCCCTTGTTCACCACGTCGATGCACATGCTCGTGCAATTTTCCCTGGCGTCATTAGTGCTCCTTTTCGTTCCCTCGCTGCGGCCACAGAACAGCCACAGGTCGGACAGGGGCCAGTCGAGGCATGAATTGGAGCCCGAGAAGCCGCCCATGACCAAGATGTTCTACCTGACGAGGATTGGCCCATGTGGTGTGGCCACGGGCCTCGATATTGGCCTCGGAAATACTTCCCTCCAGTTCATTACTCTTACATTTTACAGTAAGTGCGATTCAGAAAATGGGATTGGGCATTAGGGGGCGTTGGCTGACCAAAGCAAAACCAGCCATGTGCAAGTCGTCTTCGCTGGCGTTTGTGCTCATTTTCGCCTTCATTTTCCATCTTGAGGTGCCCACGTGGCGGCTCGTGACTGTTATTGCGACCATGACTCTCGGAGTCATCATGATGGTGGCCGGCGAGGTCCAGTTTGACCTGGGCGGGTTTTTCCTAGTCATCTCTGCCGCGTTTTTCTCTGGCTTCCGGTGGGGTCTCACCCAGATTCTGCTCCTCCGCAATTCCGCAACGTCGAACCCCTTTTCTAGCATCTTCTTCCTCGCGCCCGTCATGTTCCTGACGCTCATCGCCATCGCTATCCCGGTCGAGGGCGTCTCGAAGCTGATCGATGGCCTCGGAACAATCGCCTCGGAACAGGGCGCTCTCATGGCCCCCCTGATCATCCTCTTTCCCGGCATGATTGCCTTCTTTATGACTGCCTCCGAGTTCGCTCTGCTGCAGCGCACCTCGGTCGTCACGTTGTCCATCGCCGGCATCTTCAAGGAGGCCGTGACCATCTCGGCCGCCGCCTTGGTGTTCGGCGACACCATGACCCCTATTAACATCGTCGGCCTGTTCGTCACGATCGGGGCTATTGGTGCCTATAACTATATCAAGATTAGCAAGATGCGCCAGGAGGCCCAGGAGAGCAAATTGCGCAGCCTCGAGCTGGACGAGGATACCACCGACCCACAGACCCATGGCAACTCCTCATCTCCCAGCAGCAGCGATGCGGATGCAGATGTAGATGGCGATGACGGAGAGGAGACGGGCCTCCTACGCCGCAACAACACCGAACTCAGCGAAGTGCTCTTCAGCGCCGACGGCGGCGATGTGATCATCACGCCCGAACCATCACCGTAGCTCACGGAGGCGCAGCAGAGGGCTGCTACTATGGAAGACTAGAGCCGGTTGAGCCGCCTCGTCTTGAGGTATTAAAACGTCGAAGGGGATGACTTGGGACCTAATGTCGCCGTATATACTCGCACAAATCTGCGTGCCTATTTCCTTTTTCTGGGTTGTCTGTTTAGACGAGCGGGCCACATCATCTTGTGTTTCTTATGTCCTACATATTCGGGGCGGGGGCTTATTTCCTTACACCATACAACCGTGATACCCACACTCGTGTACAGATATCAATTTTTCCAGGTCAAAATCTTTACTCTGGTATTGCATTTGGAAGGGAGAAAATAGAGTGGGACGGAGATGAAAGAGGCTGCTGAATCGTAAAATAAGCTGGATTTGTCTTTCTCTTTCTCTTTCTTTTTCCTTTGGAGCTCATACTCTTTTCTTCATTACATTTATCACTGCATTATTTGTTTCCTTTTGGATACTTCGGGGTGGTTTTATTTGTTTTGTTAAATAGTGACCGTCTGTTATTGGGAGCTACCAGCTATTCCCCTATCTGTAGAGAGATCTATTCCTGTCCAAGTGTAACTGCTGTCAGTTGTCTTTCGACTTCCTCGACTAAGCCGTCTCTTGAAACAAGCTGGCCTTGATCTTTCTCAACAACTTCCTCCTTCCCGCCGTCAATTTTCGAGAGAACTTGTACTACAGGTTCCTTGTCGCTTGCCCGCACCTTCAACCGAACCTGCCCAGCCGCAAATCCGTCCGGGCCAAGGATGATTGATTTAGAAGAAAACACGGTTCAGAGAGAAGCCAATTCCATTTCCGTGCCATCAACCCTATTCCTTTGGCCTTGCTGCTGGGAGGTTTCCAGACAGGCCAGCAGAGAGTCAACAAACACAAAGAGAAACCGGTTCAATTCCCACGTCAATTATCCCTGATTCCTTAGGCCACGCTGCCGGTGGTGTGTCTCAACAGCCCGGCAGGTAGTCAACAAACACGGCTCGGAAAAACAAGATTCCTTCATTTGTGAGAATGTCCTTTCGGAGCAATCTGCTGCGTCAGGCCATTATTGTCAGCGGTCAAACGTGCAATTTAGAGAGTAAACAGGCTGATTTACTATTTAGGCCTTGCTACTAAGCCTCGTTGTTCAGCGATGCTGAGATAGGCCAGCAGTTAATATTCCGTACAAGTTATAGAGGAACCAAGTTCCTCTATGATTATGCCTCTAATCAAGACCTCATTGCTGTCCTGTCTGCTGCATGATTTCGCAAGCGGTGTGATGTTATTGCGTTAAAGAAAACAGCAAACCCGTCCTCTGTGATGGGGTCGCTATTTACATTTTTCTTCAACATGTCGATATAGATAGATAAGTGTCTATCGATCGCGTCTCGTCCCAAGTTTGGGTGCTATTGCACAACCGACGTGCCTGTGGCCGTTTAGTACTGGTAGCAGTGTGTTGTGGTGGTGATCCTAGAATCACATACGACGCGTCGCGATCCTCAAATGAGGTGATTAGAATTGGGGGTGTGCACTCGTTGAAAGAAACTGGTGTTGTAGGCTCCTTGTCGTGCCATATCGGCGATAATTCTTAGGCCTTAGCTTCCGCCATGATTGCAAAGCCCGATAATAAGCCGTTTAATGGGTTGCTTTGAGTAGTCATCTGGCGTGAGCGAATTGCAAATGAGAATGAGGCTCAGCCAAGCAGCCGCAGGCCACCTCGCGTCTTTTGGCCGGGCTTCGTGATACCGCCCCCAATAGGGCCGAGAGCCGGCTCGTATGGAGCGCTATCTTTGCCATCTCCCACGCCGCTGCCGCTCTTATTCTTGTTGTCTTCGTTGGGTTTGCTGCTTCTCTTGTGATTCCTGGCGCCTCTGCGGTCTTCCTTGACGACTTGGGCCTTGATCTCGGTCTTGGCCTTGCGAATCGTGACCGGGTGGCTCTGGATATACTTGCCGTTCATCTCTTTGGCGGCCTGGAAGAAGTCTTCGGGGTCGCTGAAACTGACAAAGCCGAATCCCTTACTCTTTGTCGTGCGCTTGTCGCGGACAACCTTAGCCTTTTGTATGCTCTTCCAACGAGAGAACGCCTTGTACAGAGACTCATCTGTCGTCTCGCCAGCCAGGTTACCAACGAATAGACGTAGATGCGATGGGTCCCATTCCAAGAGTGAGTCGTCCTGCCACTTTTTGCCGCCGCCTTCTCGGTAGACGGTCTTCTTTTTCTCGCCGGCCTGACCGCCGGTATTGCTGGCATCGACTGGCGTAGTTGCGACAGCAGCAGTAGCGGCAATAGTGTCCGGAATGCCACCGGCTACGCCATAGGCCTGGCCAGCTGCTCCAGCCGCGCCAATGTTGCCGGCACGTCCAGCAGCGCCCGCAGGACCTCGGATCGACGGTTCTGAAGGGTCTTTAGGCATATACGCGCTCTGCCACTGCGCGATTTGTGCTGCCACCTCGGGGTTGTAGTCGGAAGTGACGGCTTGCGTGCTGGGGGCTGGGAAGGGATTGCGGATCTGGGGAGCGCCGGCGTAGCTAGCAGCGGTGGCAGGGGCGCCATAGTAGGGCTGCTGTTGCTGGTAGCCTTGCTGCTGAGGCTGTTGGGGATAACTATACGGGCTTGCCTGGTTGTAGCCACCGGGACTAACACCTAGGGCGGGAGCACCCGGAGCGGTAGCCATGTATGGAGCGGTGGAAGGAGGTAAGCCATAGCTGCCAGGGGCGCCATAGCCCGCGCTCGAGTACGAAGGTGGTGCAGTGGTGACAGGATAGCCGATTGGCGAGGGAGTGGAATAGGTCGTGACAGAGGGCGCGGCCGAGAATGCAGGTTTGAAGCCCGAGAGTTTCGTAGCGGGGGGTCGAGGAGGAAGTGAGGGATGCGACGCGCCCTTGGAGGCACCTGGAGGGCCGGGGTACGACATGATGAACTTCTCGCGCAACTACCGAATCTTGGTATGTGGTATATTTGTCACGTACCTGCGACCCGGTCCGACAGCTGCTATGGTTGTAAGGGTATTGATCCGTTTAGTCGAGACGAGGTCGTGTGTGGGTTGGACTTTGTGGTCGGAATCGTTTTTGCGATGATCTCGAATGGAAATAGAGTCATAGGTGAAATGCGCGCCTGAGAAGCCAAGAAAATAAAGAGTGGGCCGCGGTTCTTGCCTGCCAAAGTTGGGGTCGCGGTATTTACCAGCCACACTTGCGCCTCTTCTGACCACCGCTCTTGTTATCGCAAGTGCGGTCGGTGGCTGACGTTTGGCCGAGAAGCAGAAACCAGTAGCGCTAGCCAACCAATGCCAAGCCAACAATTGCCCTGAGACCTGCCCGTCCCAAGCTCCTCCACCCTGTCCTGACATCCACAGGATGGAGGGGTAAGTTTCCTCGACCCCTCCAGAGGCTCCCGGCTTTCTCGACTGCCTAAGCCCGTCGGCGGCGACATTTAGAAGATGAGACACTAGCTCAACCTTGCGGACAGCGATCGGACGCAAGGACTCCCCTTCGCCAAAACTGCAGACTAACTCTCGGCTGCCCATTGGCTGGACAAAAAGAGCCTGAAGTTCTCAGTCGAGCCTCGAGATCCCTTGCGGGAATTTGGCCCGGGACCAAGTTTACCATCGTACTTGGTGGACCTGGCTCGTCAAACCCTGTTTGCTACTAGAGTGGGAAGTGGGCAGCTTTTTTTTTCTTTTTCTTCCTCCATTAGCTCATGTGAGAAGGCAAAAAGCCATTGTAGGCTCTTTGGTAAAATCTGGGCAAAACTAAGAAGAATCTCCCCATAATGCTACTCTGCTGTGCGTGGGATGGAACCGGGAAAAAAGGGAGCTCCGTTTACTTTCTAACATTAGCGTCCCGATGCATCCGCGGACGCCGACGAATTAACCAATCCCGAGACCATCGTTCTGATAGACATATATATGACAAGAAAGTGGATATATAGAGAGAGAGTAAGCGATCTCCATGGATATTGACAGGAAAGAGAAGGGATTGGGGGGGCCTCCTTTGGGGCAACAACTAAGGCAGCCAACCTGGAAGCCACAACATAAGCTCCCGCCATTGCCGAAGTTGCAGTCGGGAGGCGGAAGCGTAGAGGGCTGCGCTGTGACCAAGGTAGTCTGTGCCGTCTCCTGTCTAGAGCGGCGCTGGCATTGCGAAACCAACAGACCCCTAGTCCGACGAAACTGGTTTGGATTCGGACCAAAAAGGAGCGAAGGGGCAATGTTTTCTCGTAAGAGACGCTGCCAAGCGTGTGACTTTGGTGGCATTGTCCCTAACAACTCCGAGGCGCGGGCGTTGAGGAGCGATGTTCGGACCTGCCGCCGTCGTGCTAAGGTACCTCCGCCTGCTGTCAATTTTATCCTTACGAAGTCTCCGTATCCTGGGGGCGCACTTCCTTGCCGCCAGTGGATCTCCGCGCCCTTGACCGGACCTTTGTTTTCCCTAGACGTAGTATGCCGGGAACGAGGCTTCAGGTTGTAGCTCAAGCCAGGTAGCCCAACTCGAGCTTAGTTTTAGCAAGATAACTCGCTCATAATAGATATCTTGCAGGAGTATTTGTCGAAGCTCAGTAGAAGCCAAGAAAGGTGCAACTTCGTAGCTACCTACCCACCTGACATAGCAATGGAATGGGCTGAGTGCTTAGGTTAGGCAAGGTAAGGTAGGCTCGGGCCAATAGACTGAGCTGTCCACTGGGATCGCAACGGCGAAGTGCAAGGAATGGCGTGGGATGTCCTCCAAGGGGCCCAGTGTTACGATACATGTATATACTGAGTGACCTTGAGTGACCTGAGTAAGCCCCGCGCCAATTATCCGTCCAAGCTCGTGGACACCCAGGTGGTTCCCATTTTAACTAGGTTCCCCTCCGACGTCCAGAGTGCCCTTTCCAAAAGTTTCGTCATTCACTTTCTCCCTTGTCCCCTCTTCCCCATACAAATCCCTCGTTGAGAATTCACATTCCAACAGTTACCACCATCGACCGAGTCGAGCGTCGCATTTCTGAGAGCTACTTAATTATCTCTTCATAGATACCACTGCGTAGCATCAACCTGCTTGTTGCTTCATCATGTCTGGTCCAGTGTAAGTTCTTCATTACCCCACCTCCCCGCCCGGCGAGTCTTGCAGAGCCCTTTTGGGTCGTTGGCTGCTCGTCCGGGCAACGCATTTGTCGGTTCCTGTCCTGGCCTGGATGGCATTCTGCCTTTTCGTCCATTCCCCTCTTGTGTTGCGCTGCGCTTTGCGACAGTATGCAGCTCCCGTAGCGATAGATTTGTTTGCCTCATAATACCTACTGAGTCCCTCCAGCGCCCGCCTAGCGAACATCAACGTTGGCGGAGCTGTGAAAGAAGCTGCCTCCTTGAAACCCAAAATCCAGAGAAATGCTAACGATGGTGAAAGCGCTGATCTCGGCCTCATTGGCCTGGCCGTCATGTAAGTCAAAGTCTACTGCTCCCTCCTGTCACGTTCCGTGATGGCCTTGGCTGACGCTCGCAAAGGGGTCAGAACCTGATTCTCAACATGGCCGACCATGGTTTCACGGTCTGCGCCTTCAACCGTACTGTCTCCAAGGTCGACGCCTTCCTCGCCAACGAGGCCAAAGGCAAGTCGATCGTCGGTGCGCACTCTACTGAGGAGTTTGTCTCCAAGTTGAAGAAGCCCCGTCGCGTCATGCTTCTCGTCCAGGCTGGCAAGGCCGTTGACGACTGGATCGAGACGCTCATCCCCCTTCTCGAGCGCGGAGACATCATCATTGATGGTGGCAACTCACACTTCCCTGACTCCAACCGGAGAACGAAATATCTCGCGTCCAAGGGCTTCCGCTTCGTCGGCTCCGGTGTCTCCGGAGGCGAGGAGGGTGCTCGCTACGGACCGTCCATCATGCCCGGTGGACAGGAGGATGCGTGGCCCTACATCAAGGACATCTTCCAGAGCATCTCTGCCAAGAGCGACAATGAGCCATGCTGCGAATGGGTTGGCGACGAGGGTGCCGGCCACTACGTCAAGATGGTGCACAACGGCATCGAGTACGGTGACATGCAGCTCATCTGCGAGGTATATAACACTTGCCTTGTCAAGCACGCACTACCTACGCCGGCTTGCTAACGGACGGTTAAAGGCGTATGACATCATGAAGCGCGGCCTTGGACTCTCCAACAAGGAGATCGGAGACGTCTTGACTAAGTGGAACAAGGGTGTCTTGGACTCGTTCTTGATTGAGATTACGAGGGACATCATGTACTTCAATGATGAGGATGGCTCACCGCTTGTCGAGAAGATCCTTGACAAGGCCGGCCAAAAGGGCACTGGCAAGTGGACCGCGGTGAACGCCCTGGACCTAGGCATGCCCGTCACCCTCATTGCCGAGGCTGTTCTTGCCCGCTGCTTGTCGGGCATCAAGGATGAGCGTGCCAAGGCCTCGACCAAGCTGGAGTTTGTGGGCCGCGCCAACACGTTCGAGGGTAACAAGGATCAGTTCCTGGACGATCTGGAGCAGGCTCTCTACGCATCCAAGATCATCTCGTATGCGCAGGGCTTCATGCTCATGCAGGAGGTACGTCGATATTCGGATGCGGGTGTGTGGATGACAGTGTCCTAACAAGCATCAATAGGCGGCGAAGGAGTACAAGTGGAAGCTCAACAAGCCCTCTATCGCTCTCATGTGGCGCGGCGGCTGCATCATCCGCTCCGTCTTCCTGAAGGACATCACGGCGGCTTACCGCAAGGAGCCCGATCTCGAGAACCTTCTCTTTGACGATTTCTTCAACAAGGCCATCCACAAGGCCCAGCCAGGCTGGCGCGACGTGGTCGCCAAGTCTGCGCTGCTTGGTATCCCGGCTCCGGCTTTCTCTACTGCGCTGTCATGGTTCGACGGGTATCGCACCAAGGACCTGCCCGCCAACTTGCTGCAGGCGCAGCGTGACTACTTCGGCGCCCACACGTTCAGAATCAAGCCCGAGAACGCGAGCGCCAAGTACCCCGAAGGCAAGGACATCCACGTCAACTGGACTGGCCGGGGAGGAAACGTGTCGGCTTCGACTTACCAGGCATAAAAAACGGGCCATGATCGTGACGGATTGACGACGACAGGAGCTATTCGGTAGGGATTGCCCAGCTCCAGTGGCGCTTTTCGTAGATTATACATAGAGACCGCACGACCAGAGGAGCTACCATGATTGATCTGGAGTCCTGGACATGTGCACCGGTGATGATGATTTGTGGACGTTGAATGTCAAGATCTACAGGATCCAGATTCAGGCCAGATCGGGTCGACCTGGGTCAGGCCATAGAAACGAGACAGCTGAGCCAAGTCACGTGTAAAGGCTGTTCAGGTTTAGAGAGAGCGGCTATACATCGGTTAATAAACCTTGAATGTTCCTCCATGTGCTGATTGGATGACCGCCGGAAAGAGGTCCACCTGATTTCGGCCAGCCAGCCGCAAGCTTCCGGTCTTTGTGACAAGGCAGGCGCGAAACCATCGAGGCGCGACCGCAAAAACGTCAGAAATCACAGAGTCGCGACGAGGCCCGCTGTTCTCCTCAACCGGCCCTTGAACATATTGCCTCTCCATCCCAACAGTCTAAAATATATCTCAACACCGCGGTCGATTTGTCGGCTGAAATAGTCGCATTGATCGCATCAATTGCTTGACATAATTAAGCCAGCTGTCAACAGAAAAAATGGCTGGTGATCCGAGCCAGAATGTCCATGGGGACCTTGTACGTTCCCCGCCACCATGCACTCGCACGCGCGCATTCTCGTCGCATGCTAAGACAGTGATGCGCAACAGCTCCCACATGTCCATCTGCTATCGACGTTTCGCTATGCATTGATGCCGCGGGTTGATCCCCCGGAGGTAACGAAATGGCTCCTCTCTGCCCCTAAGATTGCCCGCGACACAGCGCCTTTCTACTGGACCTACCTCGACTGCCCAGCCGACGGGACCATCTTCCTGACATGGCAACCGACAGCCCGCCGGAGTGTCGAGTATGCCAGCGATGGATATGTCTGGGCTGGGCCCGAAATTTCGTACCGAAACGAGATGGGAAACGGCTTGGTACGTTGACGTCCTCTTGTAGCAGGTGTGGTGGGTTGAGCAGGAGCGCAACTAACTATTGGCGCAGTATCTTGAAGCGTTCTATCAAAAAGCTGGATTCCGTATAGGAGAGCAATTCACTGTCCACTCCAGGAGACGTTTCCGCCTGATGCCTCCCCAAGTGCCGGTTCAGAATGTTCCGCAGGTCGACCCGAACCTCTGGATTATCCATTACGGCCCGAGCGAGAAAGCTGATAGGCTGCCCGTCAACATGATTCCAGCCACACCACCCATGCAACAGACAATGAATATCAGGCAGCACCTGTTCCACCTGGGTCAAATTGTTCGAAAAGAGTTTATGCTCTCAGACCGTGTGAACTGGCCCCATCTACCGCTTCCCGGACGTGGCCAGTCCATGTATGCTGCCCCGATGCCAGCCCGCAACGTTCCTCAAGCCATGGCTTATCCGCCAAACCCCAGCCCGGCCATTGGGCCGACGCCTAGACAGCGACGTCCTGGACCCGGCCAGGGGCAAGCGCATCCGCCCCAGGTTATGGGCGCACCTTATCAGGCAATGGAGGGCGCTTTCGATGATGACGAGGATACTTCCCGTGGCGACTTGTTCGATCACCTCAGTCCGCGAGAGGTTAGTTTATCGCGATATCAGCAAAACCACGAGTGGATGGAAGAAATACTCTCGTCGCCATATCAAATTGGTCAGATTGAGGTGGCGGATCTCGGCTTGGGTCGGCGAGGCGAGCTTGGCTCGCTTACGCAAGGGATATTCGAGGCTCAAGGAAGCGATGCACTTGCTGACGGACCCAAGACGCCATACACCGGTCATCTCGATCCCGAGTTGGCAGAAGAGTTCCGCAAGCGCGTGCAAGAAAAGACAATATCGGTCAAAGAAGAAATCGAGAAAATGAAGGAGAAGCACAACAAGCAGCTTGCGAAGTTTAAAGGGAACGCCGTCATCAACCAGGCTGAGCAGGAGCTTCGGGCGTCCACCCAAGGCACTGGTCCAGAGATCTGGCGACTTGAAGGGAGGCTGGAAGACGATGAGGGAGTGGGCCACGGGAATCAGAGACAAGGCAAGAGTATTGAGGATATCCTCGCGAGTGTCGAAGAGGTGGTTGGCAAGCAAGCTGTCGTTGTGCACGACGTACACCGGGTTCAGGATGGCGGATACCAGGAGCCAGCTCCAGAACCAGAACCGGAGCCGGAACCAAGACCGGAACCCGTAGCACAGTCGCTTCCAACCCAGGCCGAATCCGCTCTCCCGCCTACCTCAATGTCTCGACAACCCTCCCAGGCTGGATCTCAAAATAGCGGTGTCATGGTAGGAGACTCGGATATCGATATGGGCGGCACGGCGGCTGGTCTGCTTGACCAGATGCACACGGGCTTCTCGTCTACTTCAACACCCATAAACAACTTCCCGACCCCCCAGCCTCATCTATCTGCTCTCCCGTCGAACGCCGCCACCCCGGCTAACCTCAATGTCCCCTCGCCTCATGCGGCACCAGCCCCAACATCACAACCTCCGGCAGCTGTTGGCGAGGACGTCAAGATGGAGGATGCCGAAGCTGCAAGAGGTACTACAACCGGTCCAGATCAGGGTACTGGGAGTGATGACTGGGTTGTGGTGCCTAAAGGGGGCGTATCTCCCGGATCAGCTAGCAACCCAATGGGGTCCAGTGCAGGTAACCAGCCTGTCGGAACAGCCGCAGAGACAAATACAGCTACTGCCGACAGCGGTCCCAGCCTTGCGCACGGTAGCAAGCCTGCTTCGGCTGCTGCCACTCCTGCGGATGGCTTGGCGTTTGATGCCGACAACAATGACTTCAGCTCACTAGGCGACCTCGACACGGCTGGTGATGCTCTAGCGGGCTATGATCCTCCCAGTATTGATGCTGGCGGGCTCGGCGATTTGCATATGGATATGGAAGACTCAGCTTTTGGCGATGCCTTTCACGGCGTTGAGCAGTCCGGAGGCAACACGCCTGCCGATGGAAATGTGATGTAGGAAAACTCTGCTTTCGTCGATCCCTCTCTCGGCGTTGAGTAGTCCAGGGCCAGCACACCTGCCGATGGAAATGAGATGTAGGACACGTTTATTCAGAGTAGCTCGCCTGACGATGGTACGCAAAAACTAGGGGGAGGGGCGCGGAGGTTGTTGTATGATTACCAGCGAAGAACTATTTTTTAACCGGATTAAGGACGAACGAGGCTGGGTATTATGGGGCCCAAGAGATGCGAGTTTGGAGACTTTTTTCAGTTTCTTTTACCTTTGCTTACTTTCTTTTTACTTTGGAGGACAGGCTGGAAGTCGGCCCATTTAGCCATGTATGGTGGTTCCCAATGGAAGCGAATATATCTAAACCCCCTTTTCTCTCCCGGATTCTTTTTTGCAGTGTTCTCGCTAGCGATATCATGATTTCTTCTCCAGTGACTCACTGATGTGATACACGACTGCTTCATCGGTCTAGGATTGTTCAAAATATAACAATGTACTCTGTACTCCGTAGAAGGCAGATATTTACTTGCCATGTCGTATTGTTCAGTCTAGCCTTGTGTTGCGGTATGGCGCGATAACAAGCAGATACTCGTTTGCTTAGTTCGGCCTGCTGAATCCCAATGCATTCGAGGCAGGTCTCCCTTTGACAGTACCTCGCCGAAAGAGTTAAAGTACAGGCCATAGCTGTAAACACTACCAATGGCGAATGCTGCTCATTTCTTGGCCGGAATTCCCTGTCACGGTCTGTAGCTTCCACGGCTTCGTGTTAGGCCTCTAAATACCCAAGATAGTCAGCTGACTTTGAGGAAATCTGATAAGCTCTTACGAGATGTTTATATGTTTGTGAGAAACTGCGAGAGCTTCTACCTATGGTAACTATTCACTCACATACCCTACAATTGAGGGTCCAAAACGGAGGAAACACTATGTATCTAGGTGTTGGCTAACGGTGTAGCTGTCGATGCTACACTATAGAGAACGCTACAAATCTGCAATAATGATATCTACGGGTATGCGAGGTGTGTGATGGATTAGGGAACGAGTATGTGCCCGCTATCACGGTATTCAACGGCCCGTTGGCCGAAGGTTCTCCTCCATGAGCGAGACCTGTCTATGCGTTTGCTGGCTTGTTGTGACTGGGCTCCGCTTGGCCTTTAGAACTGTTTGAATACTTGGTGAGACGGTAAGTATAGTATTCTTGGGCCGGAGAGTGAGGCCACGCTCTTGACGATGGCTTGATTTCGAGTCCTTTGTAAGAGGTGAAACCTATTCACCTCTTACTTCCTGTGCGGTGGAGTTTGGTGGCCGCCAGGGTTGCTCGATATCCTGCTCCTCGATATCTCCCTCTTCGACATTTTCCTTCTCGACATCTTCCTCCCCCCACAATCCGTGAAACTTCCGGTATTCGTATTCGTGAATTGCTAGTCTCCACTTGTCCTGAGAGGCATAATCCAAGATGCCAAGTCTCTCAGCTTCGTCCAAATCTTCTTCCCACTCACTCGGCATACGTATAGTATCGAGTTTTAGTCCAACTATACTCCCCGGAGGTGGGCCGCTAAAGAGAGTTCTCAGGGCGCCGGCGGCTTTTTGGGCCGCTATGATAGTTTGAACTGTATAGCGGAGCTGGAGATATTCAAGGCACGGGAGGGGTCGCTTCTTCAGGTTGGTAGTGACGAGCTTGTATATATCGTCATGTTGTATAGTCCTATTCGGATTCTCGCGACCGTCCGTCAACTCAATGTGCAAAGCCCTTTCTTGGGCGGTTCGATGAAAAGCCAATCTCAAAGTGAAGCTCCTTGAATATAACTACCTGAAGGAAGAGAATATGGTCTGGGTCGGTCGAATGCTTGATAGGACGAAGGCCAAACTCATGCATATCCCATATAATATGTATACTGGACGAGAGAGGAAGGATGTTTCTATCCTCCTTTATATCTAGGGCTGTAATCTTGTGTTATGGCTTCATGGAATGTCATGATGGCACTGACAACGAATGGGTTATCTGATCTCGCATGTATTTCCTAACCAGACTACCTTGACATTGGCTTTATAAAGGAGGAGCTTGACTTCCAGGGTTCATGGTTGACAGGGACGAATCGACGTTGGTCTGGCACAACAACACCGTCTGAACATCGAGTGTTTGGTCAACCCATAAACCACTCCTCCGCATCAATGGTACCATGGCGCAGAACTGTTTTCACAAAGTTCACTTGGCGGATTTTGATTCAGAAGTGCTTCTATGACACATGTTGTGCTCGAGCAGTTGCTTCCCTGCCGGCCGTCCCGATTCTGTTAAGCTCAAAGTCCCCAAAGCAACTGCGCCTTAAATTCCCCAATAAAAAAGCCCAACCCTTAGAACTTGCTAAACTTCTTGACCGACTTTCCAGTACGGGGAAGAACACGGAGAACGTTGAACCGGACCTAGATGGTAGCGATGTTAGTCTCAACCGGGGGAGAGAACAGAGGCAGCCAGCCGGCAACTCTTGTCTCTGAATGCGCGGTGCTCGTTCCGGGAAGGATAAAAACGTACAGTCTTACTCAAAGGCCTGCACTGGCCAACGGTAACCTGATCACCCTCCTCAACACGGAAAGCGGGCGAAACGTGGGCGGCAAGGTTCTTGTGGCGCTTCTCATAACGGGAGTACTTTGGAATGAAGTGGAGGTATTCGCGGCGGATGACGATCGTCCGGTGCATCTTGGTCGACACGACGGTGCCGGTAAGGATACGGCCACGGATTGATACCTGGCCAGTGAAAGGGCACTTCTTGTCTGCAGAACGGTCAACCAATGTCCATCGCAATTCTGCGCGTGCTCCAGCATTCGCCGTCCCCTGCTGTGATAATCCATTCCACCATGATGTCGCGGGGTTGGGGCTGGTCGTTGGTTTTCTTTCGGTTTCGAGCGATTGCAATTCACGGACGGCTGGGTGGGAGCGTGCATCCTTTCGTACGTACCGATATACTGGCCCTCAATCGCGGCGATCGGGGTCCGGAAACCTAGACCAACGTCCTTGTACCATCTCCGGCCACCCTTACCCGGGCGGGCAGACTTGGCCTTGGTCTTGCTGTTGAGGAAGACTTTTTGAAGTGTCAGTGTCGATGCCCTCAAAATGGTCGGCTGCAGGTGCAGCAGCGGTCGCCATCTCTGTTTTCCTGGAATGGAAACTCACTGTGAGGCTGCTTCTGGAAAGCGCGCTCGTTCTGGACGCTGAGTTCAGTAGCCATCTTGCTGGTCGGGTATGGCCCAAGATGTGCTGGTTGTCGTCGAGTGCGTGGTGGTGGTGGTCGAAGGTTAAAGATCACGGTCACGAATTTTGCTAGTTGGGGAATGTTTTTTGGGGCCCGAATCAAAAAGTGTGAGAGGTCAAGCCACACTAGCCCACCGACCTTGTGCACGGAAATGCTTGGCAGAGGCTAGTGTGTGGGAACTCACCAGCCACTAGAAAGCTTCTGGAGGATTGGGAGTGAGCTAAGCTAAGTGGGGCTAGAAAATCGGGTTATTTACATTGCAGTGACCGGGCCGCCAATCAGATTCGGGGTGCATGTAAACAGCCACTTGCCCCTCCAATCCGCCCTTGAATTGGCAGGTACGAGCGTGATGGTTGGTTATAGATTGTACCAAACTTGAAGCATAGTGTTTGCAGGCAGGAACTCCCCAGTGTGGGCTATTTTCCATCGGCACCAACTCCCGTCGCGTCAAAGCCAGCTCTTGCATGTCGCGATTAACTCGATTACTTCATGCTACCGCGAGAGGATCTGGCGCATTTTATCACCATTGCCAAAATGCCGTCGCAGGCCGAGGCCACCCTTCCGGCAACGCGCAGAGCGCGCAAGTCGATATGCGGCCGCTCACCGACGAGGAAATCGGCCGACAGAGAGAATGCTACGGTCGACCTGGGCAGCGCTATGGCAGTCGCCAGTCGCAAGAAGTCGTCGAGAAGCAAGAGCATGGGCCCTGGCGGGCTCGACATCCTTAAGCAAGGCACCGGCAACCGCAGAGTTGTACGTCCCCTCTCCCCCACTCAAAGCGACAGATGGATCAAGCAAACACTGTTACTGACCCTGCTTTGTCTAGTCTCTGGCCGCGCCATCCAAGCCGCCGCCGCGGTCAATTCTTAAGCCGACGATTCCCCTACTTCCAGAGATCCCTCCTCACAAGCCGAAGCAGTCAAATGCACCCAAAACCAGCACCCACCCCCTAGACAGCGGCGAGAATGACGGGGCAGGTGCTGGGACCAAGGTGGCACTGCGGACCGAAGAGGAACAGCAGGCTGCTGCCCGTGAGCGTGAGGAGCGAGAGCGCGCCGTCATGGAGAAGGAGGTCAATGACCGCAGAGAGGCTCGCAGAAAGTCCTTAGCCAACCGCAGGGTGTCCTTCGCCGCCGAAGCGACGCTGCACACCTTTCATGAGATAGAATACATGCAGGACTCAACTACGTCCACCGATTCAACGCGCCGCGCATCTTCGGTGGCCGCCCCTTCGCCTGCCCCACGGCCACAGGAGCAATCTGGCCCAGACGCGTCAGAACCGCAATCTCCCCCTCAGGAACACGTGGAGGAAAAAGTCCCCGAGTCTCCAGCCGACCAGAGGGAACTCCACCAGAGGAAACGCCGGCGCAGCTCTGGCGCGGCGACTTTAAACTTTGAAGACGCAGATGATGACAATACCATCACTTCGACGGTGTACGATTCCGACTTCGAACATGCTGATGATGTCGCCTCGATCCACGGAGAGGAAATGACAGACTCCAGTGAAGACTCGGACGAGGAGGATGGTACCCTGATGACTGTTGAGGCAGAGGAAATGACTTCGGCGTCAGTGGCGTCCACCCGCTCCAGATTCAGCATGGACTCTGGCGGAGATCTCGACGAGAATCTCCGGCTTGCAGCCCGCATGGCAGCCACCCAGCGACCTGACGAAGACGAAGAGGAAGAGTTCATCGCTGGGTTTGCGGGATGGGGAAAAAAGAACCCTGTTCACGCTGAAGTGATCCGGGAAGTTGAAGAAGTCAATGCACCCAGCCCTGTCCGCAATAGGAGTCCTACAGCAGAAGATCAAGGGTCCGATATGGAGATGGAGATGGAGACGGAAATGGACGTCGACATGGACATGACCAACGCAGTTGGGGGCATTCTGCGCTCAAACACGTCACCAGACCAGGACCAGGACCAGGACCAGGGCCAGGACCAGGAAATGGATATGGACATGTCAATGGATGTGACCAAGGCGTTGGGGGGGATCATCCAAAAGCCAGCAGCACAGACGCGCCGAAAGTCGATTAGGACACGCTCCCAGCCGGAGACATCTGAGGATGTGATGTCTTTTGGCGAGCAGACCATGGAGCTCACGGCGGCAATTGGGGTTATCCAGCATGGCAGGGTTTCTGACGGGAGCCAATTTGACACAGACGGCAATGAGGATATGTCCATGGAGCTGACTACCGCAATTGGGGGTCTTTTGCCGGGCAACATCTTCCAAAGCAGTGCGCAGGAAAGCCGTCGGCGGACGATTGCCACACGAAACGAAGCAGACTTGCTGGAAACCGCAACACAAATCCGAAAAGTCACAGAGGCGGAAGCCGAGGAGGAAGCAGGTGTTGATGAGACGTTTGGGATGGATATGACCATGGCTGTGGGCGGCATCATCAAAGCCGCCGCACCCACTCCTGAGGCTAGGTCGGCAGCGAAAAAGATCATGGCGCAAGAGGCCGACGCGCCAGACCATTCCGTCACAGCATCGACTGAAATAATTTCGTCTCCGAAACGTCGCGCGTCTCTAGTCGTGGGCGAAAATGGCAGTCCCGAAAGGGCTCCATTTCAAGGCAAAGGCCTTCGCCGTAGTCTACCTCGCGCTACCTCGCCGGGGGCAAGATCTGTAGCGGATGCATCGAGCTCGCCTATCAGAACTCCTTCGCCGAGCAGGAGCCCCGTGCGAAGCACGCCATCTCCGCTGAAGACGCCGCCAGCGATGATAGGGAGTCGATCCAACTCACCGAGGCGCCAGTCCTCAGGCAAAGCAAAGACGACCCCTCACTCTCCTTCCAAATCAAGGCTCTTTCACCAGGACCCAAACACCGGGCTCAATACCCCTCGTGTGGTTCTGACTCCTCAGGGCCGCCGGCTTTCCGGGCTCGGTGTTGATCGGTCGGGACTGGGATCCCCACGAGTTGCCGAAATATTCGACCGCAGGACATCTCTTGGCGACGCGGCGACAAGTTTCATTCCAAGCAATGCGAACAATACTCGCCGTGCCGTCGTGTTTGCAGACCCTCGGGCAATAGAGGCCGAAATTGATAGGGACCGGCTGGACGAGGAAGAGAAGGAAGACAGCCGCAAGATTCTACAGCGAGAGGCTGAAGGGCCCCAGGACGAGGGTGACGCCACACTCAACCTGAGGGAGAGGATTCAGGGACTTAGTCCCAAGAAACCTGTACTATGGGGTCGCAAGAGCCTACACGTCGGCAGCGCTAAAGGCTTGCTCGGGAAACGGCCTGCTGAACTAGACGATGACGATGACTCGGAGAATCAGGACGGCGTGAAACGGCTTAAGGGGCATCAAGGCAGTCCGGTGAAAAATGTCAGGTTGCAGTCGCCCCCCTCCAAAGCGGAAACCACAACAGGTCGGAAGACACGCGCCGGCCTGAGGAGCACAGCGCCCGCGGATGCCAACACCATTACGCCGACAACTGCCGGATCTCCCAGTAGAGCAACGACGCCCCGGAGTCAAGGCCGCTTCCGGAACGTCGATGATAAACTAACCAATACTGTGGATTTCGGGCATACCGCCCACGCCCCCGAGGCTGAAGGCGACGAGGAAGACGATGGAGAACGTATACACCTCCAGGACTTCCTCAACATGACGAGCATCCGCTTCATGGAGCTCAACACGACAAAGCGGAGGCATACAATTGCTCCGAGTGCACCGCGAGACAGCAATGCCTCATCAGACGGGAAAGAAGATGTTAGTCTAGAGAGTTGTGTAGTCGCCGGTGCATGCACAGTGCCAATGTTGGAGTTGTATCAACATGTAAGGCGGTCTAAACATAAATCGCAGGAGAGAGTGGCTAACGGTATTGCAGTCTTGCCACGAACTGAAGAAGTATATCTCCGAGGGCCGGAGGATTGTGCGAGAGATCGAAACCGAGACGTTTGAGGAAAACCCGCCTCTGTTTCGCGAGTACATGTCTGCGACTCCCGAGGTTAGGGTACTTATGGACAATCAGTTCAAAAACGTCAAGACGCACGCTCGGCTCCTCAGCAAAGCCATGTGGTACGAGTGGCGCATGAAGCTTCAGGACGGGCTCAAGGAGGGCTTGCTCAAGATCTCGGAGGGCATGGACAACGACGAGCGACTCCTGGCGAAGCAGCAGGAGCTCCTCTCATCAGTTCTGCCAGACATGGTCAAGCGGTTCGAAGCGCTCGAGCGAGAGCATGAGGATCTCGAGGCTGCCGCTCGAGAGCTCGCCGACTGCGACCCGGATGAGCTTGAAGCAGCCCGCGTAGACCTCATCTCGGCGGAGAAGAGCATCGCCGAGAAGACCAAAAGGATTGAGGAGCTTCGTCGAGATCTAGAAGAGTCTGAGAAATGCACCGACACGCTTACGAAGCAGAAACAACAGTGTGTCGAAGAGATCAAGGAGGCTGATAAAATCCGAGAGGAATGCCGAGGGTGGAGCTCTACCGAGATTAGCAAGTTGAAAGGCAAGTACACAACGAACGACTCTCAAAGGCTCTAGGAAAATTTAGCTAACTGGTAACAGCCCGAACGGACGAGATTGAACGACAGCACGGCTGGACCATCACAGGAATTTCGGGCAGTGTTGTCTCGATGAGCTACAGGCGTGAAATAGAGCTCGTCTTTGACACTACACTATTCCAGGAGCGGGATGAGCAGGAACAACAGCAACAAGATTCGCGCATCGATCTATGGTACCTTGCCGATAAGCGCGAGCTCAACCCGCTGCCGGCGACACCAGAGAAGGACTTCTTTCTCCAGTGCATCCGCGACCACGTGCGGGGGATGATGATGGCGCCCTCTTCGTCCGCTCTACGCGTTAGTCGCCTGCTCAGCACCGTCAGCGCGTCGTGGGACAAGGCCAACGCGGTGGCCCGCCACGTCCGCCTGCTCAACCTCTCCTTCCCGACGTCGGTAGCCAAGACGTCAGACGCGTCCATCGCCATCCGCTCGTCCCTGCTGCTTGTGCCTCTCCAGACGCGCGCTGAGGTCGTCCTTACCTTGCAGAGCGTGCCGGGTGTCGCTGGCGAGGCCATCGAGGTTGCCGTCATGCCCGACGCGCGTGTCGTCTACGGCGAACCGTTCAATGTTGTCAAGATGAAGGACTTCCTGGCCACCAAGCTTGGCGGCTGTGTCCTAGGCACAGCCAGCGATAGGAAGCAGCAGTCCTGGAGTGACGTAGTGAGCGAGTTGCACCGACGGCTGCTGGCCAGGGGAGTAAAGGCCCGGCAAAAGTAAATAATTAGTTCATTGTATTTGTGTATGGAGTAAGGGCGGAGCATGTTGAGTATGCGATGCATATCTTTTGCGGTCTGGGTCTGGGTCTGGTCTGATTGGGTACTTTTGGGTGGATGGGATGGCGCGGATCTGATACCCCCTCGCTTTGGAGATGAATTATGTGTGAACGAATAATAAGAGTTGTAATTTGGCCTCCAATGCCCAGTATCATTACTGTTCACTATAGGCATTCGGCCATGTTAAGGTAATAAACCACTGGTTGTATAGAGACTATGACTAGAGTATATTTCGTTTCGTCTACTTCAATGAGGCTCTGCTCAGGGAGGGACTTCCACAGTCAGATTTATCACAAAGTGAAATGGCTCATACCCATCACCACGTATTACAAATTAAAAGGTATGACTAGAGTATACTGTTTTGTTTTAAGAGAACCTCGCGGCGACTATCTACTTTCCACTGGTATGGTGTTAAGATGATGGAGGGATATCAAGGTTCTTTAAGCCTCACACACAACGGCAGTGAACTGGTATCTGGTAATTATCTACAGCCGCCGAATCCCGAGTTTCCCCAGTTGAGTAAGTACTGAGCTCACTTCTCGTAATTATGCAACATGCCTGTCGATGTCATTGAAATGAACATAATTTTAAGAAACATGAAGGGATATAAAAATAGGTACGTAGTTAGATCATAAAAATCATGAGATAAAAAATCATAGCAGCGTGTCAATCATGTCCATAAAAGGGGTATCACTTCCATCGCTCCCCAGCAGTAGAGCATCCATCTAACCTCTTCGATGCTTCTTCCTTTCTGCCCGGCGCCGCCTCCTCCCGCACCCCGTCGCGGTACTCAGCCCTGAGGTCTGTTGGCCTTTGTATCCCGGACTCGGACTCGGACCCGGTGGGGCTGGGGCTTCGCGACCGCCGAAGGGCCGCCCGAGGAGCTCCCCCCGCTGGAGTGGTGGTGGTAGCAGCCGTCCGCGAAGCTCTGTCCTGTGTTTTTGCCGCTGCCGAAACCATCCAGCCTGTCCTGTTGAGGTCGGATGCCGTCCGGTCGAGATACAGTTGGAGCGTCGCCAGGTCGTAGCCGAGCCGGGACCGGTCGGGGCCGGGCTCGGCGGATCGCGGCCGGCGCGGGGTGTTGTTGTTAGCCAAATATGAGGCGGCGGCGGTTTCTCGGTTCTTTTGCACAGCCGGTGATGCCAGGGTCTGGGTGCTTCGTGTCTGTCGCACGCTGGGGTCTCTGCTGACTCTGAGAATCTGTACCGGATGGGATCGCAGCGGGTCCTGCATCGCGGGACGAGCGGGTTTGAGGTTGGATGATGGGGCAGAGGGAGCTGCCGTGGCGTCGGGCCTCGTGAGAACGATCGTCACGTCGCACAACCTATCTACCGGCCTGGGGGCACCCTCGGACTCTGCCTCGTGTCGTGGCTGCCGTTGGGGGGGAGTAGCACTGTGCCAAAACCCAGACCGGCGCCGCCGCTGATCGAGCTTGCTGTGGGCGTCGCCGGCGGCCAGCTCAAAGACAGAGTTCCACAGACCCCCTGGCCCCTCACCCCCTTCGCTAGCTGTTTCTTCGCTCATGTCGGCCGAGGAGCGCTCGCTCCCGCTGGAGAGCAGAGCCTGGCCGTCATCTTCTGATGTGAATGTCGAGCCGCGGCCGCGCTTGGGGGTTCGCTTGAATAGCGCAAGGCAAAGCTTGTCGGCCACGCTGAGATGTGGCTGTGGATGGGGATGCCTGTAGCCACCGGGCACGACGGTGTAGACGCCTTTGGAATCAAACGTCGTCTGCTTCATTGGCGGGGGGGTGGTAATCGGGATCGGGGCGGATATCTGCAGCCGCCGGGCTCCGGGGGCGGATTCGACGTCGCCGCGACGGCTCGGGTCTTCTGGCCGATGCCGTGATAATCGCAGAGATATAACGCAACCGGCCGAGAGCAGCACTAGACTGGCGCAGGATAATGCCACAACGGCAAGTGGCTGGACGGCTTCCTTACGGTGTTGCGCCATGTAGACGGCTGCGTATATCTCGACAGCTGTCGTCAAAGCCAGCAACGGTGTTATGAGTGCCAGCTCGAGCCGGGAGAAACGATGGCGGTCCATGGCAACTGGCGACGGCTGGAGCTTTGAGAAGCCGGTATAGGCCATGGTGGAAGAAAGGGAGGAGGCGGCCGACGTGGATGGGTAAGGGTATAGGTAGTAGGTAGCTGAGTTACCGCAAAATTCAAGTCGAATCGAAAATCGATGAAACAGACTCAAGTTATCAGAAACAGATAGGTTAATGTACATACAAACCGATAGCAGACCACTCATATTCAGGCCTCCAAGAGCGCCACCGTAGGGCTGACGATGCACATCGCAGTCGCGACAGACGATGATTGGGCCCAAGAATCAAGACGATATCGGACTGGTAACGTTCCTTTGCCCAATCGGGCAGTGGTGGCGTCCGGTGAGGCTGTCCTCCAGCGAGTAGGAGCTGACCTGAACTACCGAATGGACTAACGGAAGCTACCGACTCGGCCATGGCGAGTGACAGTGTGTAATGTGTTTGGGCTGCAGACATGCCAATACGGGCATCTGGGTCTTGGGAGGAAGAATTCAAGAAATGTCTTGGCGGCGGCGGTGTAGGTGTGCTGACGGCATAATCATGGCCGTGATTATGGTAATCAAGTATTGGAGAATGTCCAGTGAAAGAGGGTCAGAGGTATTACTCATGACACGACGCTTGACCGGCTGTCAGTACATAGAGCTCACGGTTGGACGACGGATAGCTTAGCCCAAAACACCTCTGAATCCCCATGGGCAAGTGCGTGAGACTGCATGGTGCTATCATTGCTGGTGCAGTCCCCGATTGGGATAAAATCCGGCTCTCGGAACAATTGATTGATCAAGCTGCACGTGAGACGCACGAGCTCGCATACCTGGCAAATGGCAACCTTCCAAGTTGCGTCACAGCCCCCTTCCATCGTCTCTTCCCGTGCGGCTCGGCGAAGCGTCAGGATGCAGTAAATTGTCTCCGCAGCCAGCAGATACTGGATGCGCAGACTCGCACTTCCTTATTTCGCAGCACCGGCCGACACTTTGCACCTGCCGTGCTCTTTCCCTTTCCCCACGTACCTACCTTAATTACCTCGTACATGTGAAAAAAATCCTCGGAAGCTTCTCGGAGCAAAATGTCGGGCTTGATCGGCTATCCTTGGCAGCAGCGCTTTTGATTTGACCACCGACCCGCTCAACACCCGCCACGAGCTCCACCGCTAGAAAGCAAAATCTTCGCGCTCCAGCCTCCCGTCATCCACAAGCCAAACTAACACACCGCTCTTCAACAACAGCAAGACAAGGGCATGTGGCTCAGTTGGTAGAGCGTTCGCTTAGCATCTTCTCTTGGTCAAATCTTGGCTCTGGAGCTCGTTGATGCGAAAGGTCCTGGGTTCGATTCCCAGCCTGTCCACATCTTCAAAACATTTTCTGCTCATCTACACGCGTCAGTGGTCTAGTGGTTAGGGCCCCTCCCTTCCAAGGTTGCGGGAGGGGCTCGATTCCCTTCTGATGCAGATACGCATTCTTTTTGCCATTTCCTTCTTTCCTTTTGTTATTCTCGTTTGTTCATCGTGCTTCGTCTTTGCCAGATACTGATACCAACCAAGCAAGGCATCTTTGATATGCTTTACAAGCTAACGGTTGCGTCCGGCCGAGAAGAAACCAACGAGACAAGTGTCAGTCGGACAGCTAGATAATAGAGTGGATACAAGCGTGGCCCGCCACCATGACCCCCAGAGACCACAAGTCATGATACTCAACTTTTTCACCATGTCGCCGTGGACCCGCCCTCTTCTGCCTTTCTCTTCGCGAGACAAGGCTAAGGGGTTAATGTCCCATATCTGGCGAAACCTTGAGCCTTCATTGTGTCAACGCTTTCCGCCCCAACATAGCTGAGTGATTATCCTGAACCCTGAAGAGCTGAGGTGCCACTGACATGGAAACCCAGAGCCTACTTAACTGCTGCTTTAGACCTTATAAGTTGGTTGTTGGTTATCTAGTACCTGTGAGTTGCGAGCCGTCCTATAACACCATTGTGTCCACATTCAGCTACGAACAATTCCTTGATACGTCTCATTAGGTACCCACCTACTTTCAGAATTGACGACCGGGAGACAAATCTTGACCTGAAAGTCTTCGAGTCGTCAAGATGTTGGCAAGACTCTCACCACATTTTGGGGGAAACTGAAGATTATCGGGTGCAAAATCCGAATTCGAAGCTTCGAATCGCCTCTCACTCTATTAGAGGGACTGCAATGCCTGGGTTTTCGGACTCGGAAATGTGGCGCGAATTGAGCGGTTGCTTGCCGGGCTTTATCAAGACCCGAAGTAAAGGCCGCCGTGCAGGCTCGGGAATTCGGGCTTTATCACTGGAATCGGCGGTCAACCGACTCCCAATTCCGCCCCCCCCACGATGCTACCGAGCCACGATCAAGCGGAAAGCCTATCACAGCCGGCATTAACGGTACAAAAAACTCGTCCCGCGACGCGCACTAGCCAGCTACGTGACCTTCGGGAAAGGCCCAGACCCCGATCTGCTATGTGATACAAGCTTAACCCATCTGCATATAATGCCTACCTTTCTCTCAAGATTGGATCTATGCTTGGACAAGATGCAAAGTGCCTGAAGATTTGCAATTATAGTGTCTTTGTCTCGACCTCCCACCCAAACCTCACCTTCTTTTACATGCCGGAATAGACAGGTCCCGCAAAATGAGCGAGCTTTACGACGTCGTCATTGCGGGCGCTGGGCCTGTCGGGCTCTTCCTGGCTTGTGAGGTCGCGGTAGGCGGCGCGTCGGTGCTGGTTCTGGAACGGGATCCCACGCCCGAGTCGCCCTGGGAAAGCAAGCCCCTGGGCCTCCGCGGCCTCAACACGGGGTCGGTTGAGGCCTTTTACCGCCGTGGCCTGCTAAACAAGCTCTTTGATCCAGCTGAGAGGCCCGACTCCAAGACAACGCCCGGAAAGTTCCAGTTTGGCGGCCACTTTGGCGGCATCGGGCTCAACGCTAACTAGCTTGACTTGGCTCGTTTTCCTTACCGCCTCCCCGGCCCAGCCCTGATTCCCGGCATCGTCTACGTCGACGACGTCGAGAAGATTCTGACGGAGCGTGCCGAGAGCCTGGGTGTTACTATTCTCAGGGGCAAGGGTGTCGTGGCTATTGCCTCCCATCACGCGAACCCACGCCCAGCGCGTCACGGGCATCCCCGAGACGGAGCTCAAGATCACCACCTTCCACCTTCCACCTCGCCACCTCCTTCACAGACCTTGCGCGCCAGGCCACGAACTACTGCCGCGGCCGCACCCTGCTTGCCGGCGACGCAGCTCACATTCACGCTCCCCTCGGCGGGCAGGGCATGAACCTCGGCTGGAAGTTGGCGGCCACAGTTCGGCACGAGTCTTCGAAAGCGCCAGACCACGACCACGGGCCCCTGGCGCTGCTCGGCTCGGACGGGGCGGAGCGCGAGCCGGTCGGGCTCGCTGTGCTCGAGTGGACGCGTGCCTAGATCATCGCCATGTCGCCCGACGTCCACGGCGCCGCCGTCCGCTCGCTCATGGCGGATCTTCTCGCCACCGCCGACGGCACCAACCTCGCGCTCGGCCGCTCGTGGGGCCTATCGCTGCGCTATAGCCTCAACAGCGACGACACCGGGGGCCCGAGTGCCCACCCGTGCGTTGGCTGCAGCGCTCTCGACTTTGAGCTGTCGGACCGTTCGAGGCTGGGGGCATACCTGGGGCAGGGCAGGGGGCTGCTGTTCAGCCTCTCAGCCGGGGACAGCGATACCGACGACACAGCGGCCGCGCTCAAGGATCTCGTTGTGGCTGTAGGCTTCAAGTATGCCGGCAGGGTCGACTATCTCGCTGCCGACGCAAAGGACACATGCGGGCTCCGTGCGTTGCTGATCCGACCCGACGGCGTCGTTGCGTGGGTAGCAGCCGAAGGGGAAGCGAAGCCTGACGTGGATGCGGCAAGGACAGCACTGGAGCGGTGGTTTGCTTTCTGAACGAACCAAGGGACGGGTTTTACGTGGGAAGAGGCAGTCATGAAAGAGAGTGGCATGTTGTCTCGCGTATCTGGTGTGTATTGTATGACAACTTTCTAGATCAATCGCCACTTTGAGAAGCTGTATAGATATGAAAAACCCCGGGGCTCTTTTCTTCGATCCTATTGAGCACAGAGATGACGTCCGGGCTGTGGGTTTGACCTGACATCCCCGTTTCCCACTGCAGAAATTATATATGCTCATGGACGTATTTCTATACGCTGTTTGCTCCGCCGGGTATTGGCTCTTTTTTTTTTCGTGACCAACTCTAATCTATATATCGCAAACGCTGTTTGCAGACGACCGCGCGGCAACGGTCGATAGAAAAACAGCCACCGCCAGGGCAATAAAGGAGTCCGGGCCCCAGGAGTTAAAGCAGACGAGAAGAACGGTCCCTAAAAAAGAGACGAAGAGCGAGAAAGGGGCAAACACAGGCCTCACCAGAGGCAGCAGTAGAAGCAGCAAAATAGAAGATAAACAAAGGCCAGAGAAACATGGGCTCGCGGCCCGGCAACAAACTAATGAGCGACTGACTTGCTGGTACGTCAGGTAGCTACCAAAAAAGAAAAGGGAAGCGTGGCAGGGGAGAGATCTCAGATCTCCTTTCCCACGCACACGCACACGCACACGCCCGCACCGAGACTAGACAACCTACCAGTCAGCAAAGTTGCTAGCTAGCTAACTTACCTACCAGCCAGACCAGCCCGCTAGCGAACCCCTGAACATGAACATGAACATGAACCCGAACATGAACCTTAATCTCAACCTGGAGCTGAACCGAACCGACCCGAGCCGAAGTGAGCACGGTGGACGCGTCTGTGAGAGCGGACGGCGGCCGCGGTGGGGGATGGGATGGGATGGGATGCGGTGGGGGGAGCGGGTGTTAGTTCGCCTCGCGTCGTCACACGAGAAAAAAAGTCGAGAAAGCGGCCGTGCCTGTGTGTGTGTGTGTGTGTGTGTGTGTGTGTGTGTGTGTGTGTGTGTGTGTGTGTGTGTGTGTGTGTGTATGCGTGTGCGTGTGTGTGCGCGCGTGTGTGTATGTAGTCTGTACTCCAGATAGCACTGTACAGTACCTGTCCATGGCGGGTTTTATTGGTGCGTTCGTGCGGGCGGGCGGGCGTGCGCGCAGGGCAGGGCAGGGCGGTTTCGGTGGTTCTGCGATCTTGATGACAAAAAGAAAACAGAAACAAAAAGCAAAAGAAGAGGAAAAAAAACCTAGCTCATACTGGGCGCCACCACTGAGGTGTTTTCCCAACGGGGGGGTGTGTGCTTGTGTTTGAGAGGGGTCTCCCAATGTGGCGGAAAGGGCCAGAGGAGCAGCGCACAGAGCTAGGAAGCTAAGGTAGGTAATGTACACAGTACTGCACATACCTAGCTGGAGGTGTTAGTAGTGCAGTGCAACTAAAGTTTGACTGTTGCACGGTTGCTATGTGAAGACCCGAGGGAGAGATGACGGGTGGGGAAAAGGGGCGAACATCGACTGGGCGGGCTGCGGAGGAGAGTTGGAAAATGGGAGGGGGAATAAGACAAGAAACAAAGAAAACCCGAAGGGACCAGCAAAGAGGAGCGTGCTGCACGTATCGACCAAAGCTGTATCTCAACGTGTTGTTAAAGTTCACAGAAAGTGACAGGCACGAGCTAGCTCGTCCTGCCAGCTAGCAACACGAGAGGCGGCTGACATTTTGCGTGTAGATGTGACGGCTGCAAGTAGTGATGCCGGCGATGCTGCACGTCGGTAGCCAGGCACAGAGCATACCGTGCATGGACAGGCCAAACAAATGGTTTCGAGGCAATCTCTCGGCGGCGAGGCGGTGTAATTTACAGCACACGTGTGGTTTTCGCCTCGTCGGGTTCCGCAGTCGTGACACCCCATCTCGAGTAGCACGGCCATTTTGCGGAGTCCGGCCCTTCGTGACCGAACGCTGCTACGCAGAACCGTGGTCACCGAGATACAGGCCTGCTGGGTAGAAGTGTGCTCATGCAAATCCCAAGCCCGCAATGCTTCGATTGAAGACGGAGGAGCGGGACTGCCTGCCTGCCTGCAATTCTGGGGCAGAAAAAGGGGGCGGGAGGAGGAGGGGTTCCCAAAACAATAGGAAAACAGTGGGCCGGGAGCGTCATGTCTCATGGTGATGTCCCACTCGATGATAGCCTGGGGGTGTGTGTTTGTTGAGCTGGCGAGGCACAATGGTCTTTTTGCACGAGCTGAGCAAAAAGCTTCTCGCCCCCTGTGTGGCCAGAAAGGGCTAAATAAAACCTCCATGGACTGGGCGTGAACTTGCTGTTCATGGCTCGTCCATGGCTGGAGATGCATGTCATGCTTGGCATGTCCGGCGAGAGCAGATGGTAGGTAGGTACTGCGGTACACACAGTAATTAGCACGTAGGTAGCTGTGGCTCACATTCGTGGGCGAGTTAAATTGGGGAGGACAAAGGAGACAATGGGGACCCAGCTTAGCCTATGCTAGCACTGAGACATCAGTGGGCAGAACTGCACCATTCTCCGAAGGCGTCGATAAAAACCGAGGAACAAACAACCCGGAGGAGGGCCAGACCCAGAGAGCAGGGGCGTCTGCTTATGACCCTGCTGAGCTGGGCTGGGCCAAGGCAAGTGGGCGTGTCGAGATGCGTGTGCCGAGTACGGAATACGGGGCTATCACACACAGTGCACGTCAACGACAACTGGCGGGCTGAGGTGAGTTGCCGCATGAGATGGTGTTCTGGGTCTTGAGAGCTGACAAGCCAGAAGGGAATCCCGATGTCCGGAACGAAGGAGTTGAGTTGGGTGTGCGTCAGGAAGACCACAGTGGAGTGGGCCCGGGACGCGGGTGAGCCTGGAGCTCCTGTTGGCCGAACCGGCGCCACGCGTCGGGCCCCTCTCTCGGGGGCGTCCACTGGGGCACCGGTCTGGCCTGGCTTTACGGAGGCGGGCAAACGACGGGTCATCGGCATGAGCTATGGCGCCATTCGTTTCCCACTCCCGACCCCTTGGATGATGATCTGCCGTGCGTTTGCAAACGACTGGCCCTGGCTCTCAAGCGCACGTTCCACTCCCAGGGGCTACCTGCCAGCTGCCTGCCTAAGGTACCTTAGGTACTCCGTAGTTCGCTGCTGGCTGGTGGAGTGCAACGTGTTACGGTGACATGCGACCTGTCATTTGCCGACGACATCGAGATTTCCCTCGCAGAGCCTGTGCAACCGGCGCAGGCATCACTCACTGGCAACAGCAATCGGCAATATGCCCTGGGGTCTGCAGGGGACACTGGGCCATTTGTGGGGACGGATATCCGTACCGTGTCCGTACCTCGAGAGAGGGTTTGGGGGGGCTGTTACTGAGTAGAGCTGGAACAGGATGTGTGTGTGGGCTGCCAGCCATCATGATGAGCCCCGCAACCTCACCTCAGCTCCTGAAGCAGGTGAAGGTACGTACTACGCACGTAGCCGCAACAACTCTAGGGAAGCTTCACCTCGGGCGGCACACCTAAACGTTATTCTAATAAATTCTGCCTCAAGCACCCGGAAACCTCCATCCCCAATCCCCCCGGCCCCTCCTCCGCATTGGGCGGAGACAAGGAAGTGGCAGCCACAGAACCTCAACCCAACCCACAGGCGAAGGGAATCCTCGTAAACACATAACCCACTTCGGTCTTGGTGAGGTGGGCGAGGTGGGGAACGAGCACCTTTCTGGCTGTGTCTAATCCGTAATCGAGGGGCTAATCTGCAAGGGTCACTTTTCTGGGGCCGGGTCGCAAGTTTAGCGTCGCCGACTCGGGGACCAAAACTTCAACTTCGAGGCTGGAGATGCTTGCGCACCCAGCTCTGCTGGGAGCTGCTATAGCCAGCCATAGGGAGAGTCAAGAGTCGGCCAAGCCAAGGCGTCTCGCTCCGACATCCCGCAGCGAGCCCCACCGCTCCAACTGTGCCAACCTCGGGCGGATCGGCGAGACAAACATGTTTCGGTCACAGAGGTAGTTGTCCGACAAGCAGTTGATCGACATCGGCTTCCCACCCCCGTCGAGACTGCGTGAAGAGACGTCCCGTGGAGAATGAGCTGAGGGGACGGGTACACTGGTACCACCAAAACCAGGCGATAGGAAGAAGCGAGGCAATGCGAGAAGACCAACGCATGGGAACGAAAAGCCCCGGAAAGAGCTCGGGTGACAGATGTCACTGTCAAAAGCATGCGCTGGCGTTCATGGTGCACGTCGCCGAGTTGTTGTTATTGCTTCGATTTGTCTAAGCACACAGCTAGTGAACACGAGTTCGTGAGGCCCGGTCAAACAGCTAGCCAACAAATGTCGACATGTGTCCAGTTCATCAGTCCCCAAGTACGCCATTCAGCACGTACTGTACGTACGGGTATCTAGTTCCCATCCCTGGTGTATTGCTGGCTTTGAGACTATACCAATTTTTTTGAGTTGTTGCGGCCTGATCGCCTGCTTCAAGTTAGGTAGTGTAGCTTTCACACATGCTTACCTACCTATTCCCCTTCGAGTCGGAGCAGCCACGAGCGGACTCATTAGCGCAAGGCTTGTCTTTGCCAGGAACCCATTGTTCCTCCTGCAACATGACGTGGGGGGCCAGAGCAGTTGAGTCTGTCCGTTTCTTTCTACTGGCACTTCTTTCTTTCTCACGGCGCCTTTCAGGATAGTAGGACTCCGAATACAAGCGAGACGCGGGTGCAATGGTGTAATAGCTGGGGGGCCGTGCGTCTCTGATTGCTTGATTGTCTCGAGCAAAGACAAACAAAGCTGTGGCTTGCCAGTCGAAACGGATGTCCAATCAGCCTGCCCCGAATCTCGGCCGTGTGGATTATTAGTTGGTACTGGATGCTGGGCAGCACAATAAGCACCGATTCTAGAGAAACGAGCTGGGGACCAAAGCCTGCCAGAGCGTCAACACAAAGTCGCACTCAACGTCTTCGGCGCCGCGTCCCCGGATTTTTATCCGTCGCCAACGAGCGGGACGCCGCTATATACGTATGCAGTACACACATTACTCCATAACGAAGACGGGGTATCTTGGTCATTGGTGTGATAATCGCTCAGGGGGTTGCCACGAAACGGAACCCCCAAATCTAATCTGAACACTAAATCACCGTTGGGGGTGCCGGGGGCATCTCGAGCTAGGTGCGGGAACACCATGGCAGCTGTGCCCACCGCGCCCCATGTGGGGGGACTTTTGGGCCCCAAGGCCAAAAGGCTGTGGGCCTGTCGTCCAACCGCCGACGGAGTGTACGACCGGATGTTCTCCGTAGGAGTTTTCCCGTCAGGTCGGCTCGATCTCGGCCGGGCCTGTCGTTATTAAAACGAAGCGGACTGTTTTGGACTGATGATGCCCAAAAAGCCAGTACGCGTACGGAATATTCAGAAGCGAAACAAAGTGCCACCGACCGCGGGCTAACTCAGGGGCGGCCTTGCTAGGAACGGTATCGAGGTATTTCGCCGAGGGAGATTGCAAGATTGGGACCGTGTTTGGGACAGAGGATTTGCTTCCCGGGGGGGGGGGGGGGGGGGTGCCGAGGCGAGACATCCATCCATGGGCCATGATGTGCTCGACTTGTGAGCTTGGACTGCAAGGGAGCCCGTGTTCACCAGCATTCCTCGCGCGCTTTCGAGCTTCCCGACTCGTTCTTCGATGAGCATGATTACCGTTGTTATGTGTCCTCCGAAACAGTCGCTTGGTTGCCGGATTATTACCTGCCGAATGCTGAGCGCGAGTCGTGAGCTTAGCGTAGACCTAGGAAGTCCTAGCGTTGCATTTCTGGCCGCGACATGGTCGAGGGGGTCGTGCTGTGAAGGCACATGCTAAAAAGAGGGCACAGTGGCCGCCTGTCAGTGGCCGCACCCCCTCGTGCGCTAATGTGAACTCCCCGTCGCCATTTTGGATCGCCATCTATTATCCGTGCCAGGGTCGGCCATTTTCTGGAGGCGATGGATGTGACGCCACGCGCTTCTCCGCCGTGACTGCGCCGGCGAACCCACAAGTCCACCGCAAAAGGACCCCAACAATGCCATTCGAACCTTGATTTAAGCATACGGTCGCAAGTTCGTCGTTGGGAAAGATGGTCTGTCAACGTCGAGACGGCATTTGATGTTGAGAGCAGGGGCAGCGAGACGATGACTATTCCCGTCGCATCTTGTTCTAGCATCGAGGCTAAAAGAGACTGGGTTTAACAGCGCCGTCTGGAGATTCTGGGGAAGTTGACCGTCTGATGGGCGATGGGACCAACCTACCAAGAACAATAAGTGCCCGTTGCCGCATCCTCTTTTGGTGCCGTGCCACCGTGCCGCCCAGAGCCATCGGCAGCTACCTTAGCTATGTGCTATTTCGGGCCTGTCGAACGGTGGGTTATTGAGCAGCCGATGTGGGCCCAGGCCCCAGACCCCAGACTACCTTACCTACTCGGCACTGCATGTACAGAGCAAGCAAGGTAAGGTAGGATGGATCGATGGGTCGATGGCGAATGCGAGTGGACGTGAGAGGCACGTAGGTATCGAATTGTTTAGTCTGAAAGCTTGCATCCAGTCAAAGAAGCAATGCATGTTTCAAGGCCCGATGGTCGCGTTGGTTGATTGTCATGGCCTTCGATTGACCTCAACCACGCTGCGGTAACGAGGGGACAGCCTGGCAGACCACACAACCATCACATGGAACCCGGAAGCTTGTTGCTCATCGTCCAGGGAGGGCAGCCTGGAAGCTCTGCAGTCACCCCGCCTTCCTCCCTATCCGCGCTTCTTGAGGAGGGAAGCACGATCGACCTGACTAGGAAGGTACATGCAATACAATACAATGCGCCTTGGAACCTTATAATATTTGCAGCTGAGAGCCTTCCGTTGATCCAGGCTCTTTCCTCGAGCCCTGTCCCTACGAAGTTTGTGCCACGAGCGAGGTTTCGGACCCCAATCCCCAATGGAATGGAAGATGCCGAAGTGAAAATCAGGTCCTGCAATAGGGTCAAGGTTTCAAGACGTGTTGTCAGAGGCCCGGCTGCTGCCATTGTATGCGACGTCATGGTCAGATTGCCGACCCTGGCGCTCGAGAAACAGGCGGATTGCATGCATTTCCTTTGCCTCGTACTTCGGGGCATGTGTCGATATTGTCAGGCTCACCGAAACAGACCCGATGGAAACCGTCCACTCCAACTACACCTACACCTTGGGACAGGAAACCTTAACCAAGGTGAGGCCGAGTCCTTTGCCGGATGGTATTTGGCGAGAAACCCAATTTTATTCCCAGAGAATGACCCAGGAATCCATGTGCGTTTATGACTAGCCCTTCGCTCAGATGCAGGCAATCAACTGTCTAGACCACAGGCCTTGCGCTCTTCACGTGGCTTTGACGGGAGGATCTAGCCCTCAACACCACATGTGTCAGCTCATCCATCCACCCGTCTCATTTTTTAAAAATACCCCGAATGCAGTTCCCACTATTTAAAAGTACACTAGTGCCGAGTTGCACAAGCCCTTGGAAACATTGCAATCATCCATCGAATCTGGCAGCTTTCTTCCCCAGGCTTATTTACTCAAGCCGCGGAATTAGCGACCCAAAGCAACGAGTCTTGGGTCTGAACCGCTGACTCTCTTTACCTAAAGGTGCCCAGACTATAGAGACAAGGGACATGGGCTTGCAGTTCTGATATATATATTCTTGTGGAGAAAAACGTCACGAAAAGACTAGAGGGTCACGTCCAGTCGGGGAAAACGCCGCGCATGTATGTACTGCACGCCGTGTCTCTGGGACAAACCGGACACTAGTGTGGCTAGTGTAGTTAACTAGTAGAATCACGGTTGCTGTCAAGCGTTGGCCGATGAGCGTTGACACTTGAACGAACGACATATCCATATCTTGGTCTGTAAACCTAACCTAAACTAGCGGGTGTGACACCCGCCGGACGCCATAAGATGATTTGTAGTAGGGCGGGATACTCAAGTTCGGTCCCGTCGCCTGTGAAGGCCCCGGGCAGCTCCGTCTGCTATTGTATCGCGAGAACTGCAGCAGAACCGGATTGTGCACCCCGAGGAAGTTAGGAATGGGAGCGATTGCGAAATTGCGTTCTTGTGCAAGGCAAGGCAAATCCGACCAGAAAAGCCATCATAGGCGACCGACATTAGAAGAGGGAAACGGCGGACCTAATTCGATAGCGTGCCAACCCTCAATCAGGTTGGGGTTACGTACGGAGTACCTAGCAGCACATTGCTTCTTACCTAAGGGTCTTTTTTCTGCCCATTCTATACTAATATAATACGGATAGGAGAGGGCAGACAACCAGAGCTGACCAGCCTCCTAGACAATTGCCCGTCTCCCTCTGTGTCCACTTGGTATGCAATGTATTCCATTTATATCTGTTAAACAATTATGTCAATTGCGTGCATCGTGGCTGAGCGCTGGGTCGCCTTTCAAGGCAACCAGCCAGGCACCTGGACATGAACTGCGAGAAATGGAAAATTGGATTTCAGGATCAAAGGGGGCGCCTTCTAGCTCAACCATGGGACACATAGGGTTGGATACCACGCGAGCATTTTACTTGGTAGATTCAACTCCAAAGAAAGAAGGCGCTCGACATGCCGCCGACTGAAATGACCGACATGCGGCCAGGCACCGAGATCTAGCACATGTATTGTTACTTTACAGGACATTCCGCCCGCATTAAAGCCACGCCGTGCACGGCTTGCCAGCGCTGGCGGGAGTCCTCGGCAGGGGGTATGGTGTGAGTATCTTGAACAGCATGGCTAACGTGAGAGCAGGTGCACGGACGTCTGGCGAGCGGGACGCGGGGCCGAGGGGCCTCTGGCAGGACCCTCCAGTGGCCCGCTGAGCGCCTAGCCTCCTGCCGTTTTCAGCGTTCTGTTAGTGCATCTGGTCGCGTGTACCTAGGCCTTCGGCGGGCCAGGGTATGGTGTGCGGGCAGCGCCGAGCACGAGCGCACGCACGCCCTCGACTTGGCTCACTGGGACCCTAGCCACGCTTCGACTGCCCTGTACCCGGAACCTAAGGTAGGTAGGAACCTAGGGGCATGCGGGCGGCCCCCATGTGCGCTCGCTGCACAGCGGGCAGCATCTCAGTATCTCAGTAGCCAGTGCCTAGCAGCAGCAACAGCAATGGACATGATCGCAGACAAAGTGTCTACCCACGGCAAGTTACTCGAGTTGGGTTCCAGTGTGAACCTTAGAAAGGTGAGGCACCTAGGTAAGTGACAGGGTAACTATCGGTAAGGAACCTTACCTTACCTTACCTTGGTCAGTAAACTTACCTTAATTGCCCCACGAGATGGCACCCATGATGTATGCACGAAGTACCTTCCTCTATCACACACTAGCGCATGGTACTGTCGCTGTACGTAGCTGCATCCATGGCAGTGCATGTGCCCACGCGCATCCACATCGACCTTGAGGGCCCTTCTTCGCCGGGATGGGATGCAGTAAGTAACCCACCCTGGCCATAAAAGGTGCCCGTCAATTCCACTAGCCAATCCCCGTTCCAAAGGCCAGCACCCTCCTTACCAGCGGCCCCTCACCTGCTAGCCGGTGCACACCCCTGTGCCAGATCCAAATGCTGGGTTCTTTGAATGAAAAACGTGCTGGCCCGTCCATCCTGACGCTCGCCGTTCCAGGGCTGTCTGTCGGTTCGTCCTTTCCATCCAATGCACCTCACGACTTTTGCTCACGATACGCAGAACACCGCAGTGCAGCGCACCGCAGCGCGTAGGCACACTGCCTTTCGACAACGAGATTTGCGAGTGGAGAATCGATCTAGACAGCTGCCGTCCAATTGACCACTGCGCAAGCTTTAAATCTTGCGCCGTAACGCTCGCTATCGACACACATCTCCGGCGGCTTCGCTCTCCGGGCTCGACAAAATCCGCCCCCCCCCCCCCCCCCCCCCCCCCTAAATACATCGTAATCATTGAGGACGAAGTGGCGAGGCACCAATCCTCTCAAATTTTCTTGTACGATACCTGTGAAATTCGAGCTACGGACACATTTGAGACTCTCGGTTCCCTGCAACCATGGAGTCGCATCGGCCGGCGTCTCAAAGGTTTCCTGCCGGGCTGGCAGGTGTGCTCAACGCGCCAGAGGGGCACCGCGACTCGGCCTACTATTCGAGCACTGATCCCGCTAGCAAACGTCAGTTCTATGAGATGACCTGGGCCCCCGGCGTGTCCCCCGAACAAACTAAACAGTTCGCTCCCCGAACTGATAGAGCGAGTTTATTAACATCTGTCTTGCCAGACACATCCGCAGCCTCAGGCATGGGGATCCTCACCCCCGCCGGCTCTGGCTTCCACACATCACCCGTTGACAAGACGCCTTCTCCCACCAGCGCCGGCTCCAATCTTCTCCCGCGCCCGTTGGTGTCCCCCATAAACAGCAATATGAGCGTGGCCTCGATGGTCTCTCCCACAACCCCTGGGAGCGCAGACCCCCGCCGATACGATCGTCCACAGTCGTTAGATTCGGCGCCAAACAGTGCCACCTTCGCTGTGAGTGGGGATATGCCGGAGGCTCTATCGCGGAGGGAGAGTGTCGACAGTCGGATCAACCAGGGCTTCAACGACATGAGGCTCGGTAACAATTCACCGTATGCCAGCCACAACCAGTCCACTGCTTCGTTCCACAACTCGTTTCAACAGCAGAGACCCCCCCGGCCTGGAATGGAGGGTCTCGCTGGTCACCGCATTTCCAATGGATATCAGCCGAGTGCTGAGCGCAACCCCGAGGGCCCCAAGACTATGCGAGTCGCACCCGCCATTACCGGACCGGCGACAAGCCAAATCGCCAGGGCCGCCGAGCCGACGAAGGGCCAGGCTTGGGCCTTTCCCGAAGAGGAAATACAAAGGATGCCATCTGTCGCGACCCAATCTTTGATCGACTCGAGGAGGAGCAGTATCGCCGACTCGCTAGCAAGCAGCCAGTACACAACCGAGTCTCGGCTCCCGCTGGGCCAGAGGCGGCTGGACGACGGTCTAGGCGGACTTGAGTTTCAGAGCTTGGCGGGTGCATCTGGCGAGTTCTCGACGGTCCACCACCATTCGCTGCAGCACAAGCAGCTTGGAGACCTACAAGACGAGGAACTCGGCCCCAATTCCGCCTCGCAGCCTTATAGCCGAACTCCAGAGTTGCGTGTGAGCCACAAGCTAGCCGAGCGGAAGCGACGAACAGAGATGAAGGAGCTCTTCGAGAACCTTCGGGACATGATGCCACAAGAGCGTGGGTCTAAAGCTTCTAAGTGGGAAATACTGACAAAAGGTTAGTTTGTTGGCTGGCCTGCCTGCCACGTCAGCTCTCTCTCCATATCTGACTGTGCACTAACACCCTACGAGCAATTTCGGAACACCAGCGGCAGAACGACACCATCAGGCTCCTCCAGAATCACGTTTCCCAGCAGCAAACCGAGCTGGACAAACTGAGGCGAGATGCGGCGGCTTTGCGTGCCGAGAATGATCGGATTCTTCGATCTGGTTCTTCTCAGAACATAGGTGACCATTATGCCAGCGACCCATACGGAAGGCCGTCAAGGCCCCCCGAGTTGCCTCCATTGAGAGCCCTCTCATCGTCCGCAGCGCCTGCGGCCCCAGATTCCATGACGGGTGTGCAGTATGAGGCTCCGAGGACTAACGGCTTTCGGTCTGATGCCCCGAGATATTATGGAACTCAGAACCCATCATCCGCCGATCCACAACGCTTCGACCCCGACAACAGAGGATAAATTCTCTCGTCGGCCGGGGATTCCATTATCCAAGGGGGGTGCTTGCCATAGTGTGGTCGCATAATAAGTCGCCCCATATAAACGCACAATCGAGCCACTAACCTGTCAAGCTCATTCGTTGTTTTTATTTCTTTTGCTTCAAAGTTATTCGACTGAACCAGTTGTTACACTGGTGTTGTTCCATTATTCTTATACCCCATGAGCGACATGTTGGAAGGAGCGCACCTCTGTCGTCTTTATCATTTCTAGCTTTCTGTCATCCCGTCTCCCGACTCGTGCCACCCCTGGAGGCTTTCGCCGTCAAATTGGTCCAAGGGTACGGTGGTGAAGGCGTATTATATAGCCGCTCTATTTTATTGAGTCATTTGCGAGGCTGATCAAGATCATGACAACAACTGCCATCATCCACCGGGTCATTTTAGAAACTTAGTCGGAGGTGCTCGGCTCGACGATACGCGATAGAACCTTTCCTCTGGTCTTGTGTGCATATATATTTTTTCACTTCGGGGTTTGTGGTCTCTGTGTAGGTATACCGGGAAGGATTTGACAAAAACGGATGAGCGGGTCCTTTGGCTTTTTTCTTTCTTCTCTTCAATGTTGTTGCTGCCATTAAACGGCAGTTGTTTTCGGTTGGTCTTATACGCAGGCTCTCCAGACGTGGCTAGGTCAGTGGGTGTGTTCCTTTCTCTTTTTCTGTCCTGTGTTTATAGGTGCGGATGGATTGATGGGATGGTGGGATAGGCTGGGCTTTTGGTTGTTTTGAATGGGTTGCGAATGATGGAATAGGTGGAGCGACTTCTTTTAGCTTGGAACACGCTTGGAGCAAGGGAGGAAATGGGATTGCTATCACTAGCAACCGGGAACGGAGAGTTACCCTGTCAGAGACGAACTCGAGAGGTGAAAAAAAAACACTTTTTAGGCGGCTCTCATCCTGTTTTAACTTTTATTTTACTTTCCATTTCTTGTTGCCGCTCAGTGGCATTGTTCCGACGCCGGGCCGTTCCTGGTGCGGAGCGGGCACGAGCACAAAGTGGCAAGCATGTACCGAGGCCAGGAAAAGTAAAAAAAAAAAAAAAAAAAAAAAAAAAAAATACGGTACATTCTAGTTATTCATTCTTGTTGAAGGGCCTTCAGGGGTGCTGCTAGACGCAATCAATCGGGTGCCTTTGAACTGCTTATTGCGGTTACACAATGATGTTTCCTGCCTACTGTCTCCCGCCCACTGTCTCCTGCCTCCTGTATCTTGTCCTGTCCTTACTGTCTTGATTCTTGGGTCTGCAAATAGCTTAGGTAGTTATATGACAAGGCCTGATGACCTTGGAAGGAAACATTCTCCCCGTATCTCTGTACTTGATTGTCTTCTCTCAAGATGGGAGTTTGGACGAAATGGTACCTACCACCCCACACAAGCTTCATTTCCACCACATGTATGTTTGACTTCATTTCATTGTCTCTCACATGTCATATAACACGCCCTTGACATTGCAGTTACGCACATGCCTAGTTCAGTTACAGTTACCTCTTGACAGGTGAAACTCACGTATATTTGACTTCATTTCATGCTGTTCCCCACACGTCATATAACACGCCATTAAAATTGCAGTTACGCACATGCCTGGTTGAACTCTAATTGTTTCTTGACAAGTGAAACTCTCATGAACGTGAGGAGCGCATAATGGCACGTCGTCCAACCCTATTGACTGTTGTGCGTGGGCCACACGGCAACACGTTCACAGAAACCTACGCTTGACAGCCTTTCTGGGCATTTGGGAGTGCCAGACAGGAGGAGCAAGGTTTCGATATGTGTGTGCGGCTGTCGGGTAATAGCACTAGGGGAGTCTCGTGGCGCGGCGGATGCTGTCGAGGAATTCAGCGGCGCCGAGCGTCGTCCGCATCATCGCACCTACGAGACCGGATGGTGCTGGCTCAGTGTGTGATCGCCGCTGTACTTTCTATCCGGGCATCTTGGCCATGCGGAGCCGTCACGAAAGCCCGTTCGACAGGCAAGCGGGGAGAAGGGTTGTCATGAAGGGTACGAGGCTCAGCAGCGGTTAGATAACAACCACCTTTTTTGGAAGCCGGTCTTATTAAATAAGATGAGATAAATACAGAAGTCGAGGCCGGGGCTCTTGCTAACTTCTCTACAGAATCACACCACCAGCTGTATATGAAAAGATCTACTACCACGATATCCCAGCTTATCCATTCTCCCAGTCACGCGGTCTATCAGATCATCCACCTCATAGATCATCCTTTCGCACTCTTGATCCGAAGCGGTCTTGAAGGCTTCGTAATTCTGCACCTGCTCCAAGGCCAAGAGAGGGCTCACGCACAAGAGACAGATCAGATCGCCATCCTCGTCCCAGATGTCAGCTACGAGCAGGCTGAACTTCCTAGCGTTAGATCCTGTCTCCTGGTAGTTGATAGAGTCAAGCGTGCTAGCACATCCAGCACAGCCCGTCGTAGATCCATAATATGACATCCAGCACGTTGAAGTCGGTGAACAGGCACGGAAACGGCAACTTGGCGTCCTGAGCCCCAAACTCGAGCAGAATGTCGAACGTGTTTCCAGGGCCCGCCGGCTGCTCGCGAATGGCAGATATGCTCAAGCCCTCTAGAATATGCGGCTGCGTAGAGCCCAGATAGCGCTCAAAGGCCAGAACGGCGTTCATGTCCGGGAGAGACGACGCTGGCAAGCTCGCGTAGTCGAATTTGTGTCTCGTGCAACAGAGCGATAGCGCGTTCGTCTTCAGACTTTCCGCTATGATTCTGGCCCGGACGAAGCAGCAAGCGCGGTATTTGCTTCAGAACTCCTGGCGCGCTGCTGGCATCGGCGGGTCCTGGGCCGCAAACTCCAAAATCGTGTTCCACAGCTCGCCCGGTAGCCGGGTTCCGCCTTTGCTCCGGACGTGTTCATGGCCATTCGGCCGGGAGACGAGCTGGCGGTATCGCGCGCCGATGGCGTCTGAGTCGAGCAGCAGTATTCTGTCTGCCAGACCCGGCTAGATTGCGTCTCTGAACTCTAGTGGCCGTATGGTTGCCGCGTGGTGCTTGGTCGGCGGCGAGGTTGGGAACTCAGCTTTTCCGCGCACCTCCCCTCTGTAGAGCCTTGCATGTAGCCGTCATAGTAAGGAGCTAATTTGGTTCGTAGAAGCCTAGGACTCTAGCTCGTTTTTAGTGTCATGTTTTACTTTGCGCGGCTTCCTCTGGACCCGGCCGGCCTAGTCGACGTGCCTGATACTTAAAAGCCACATCCGAAATTCACGACCTTACCATAATTAATTAACGAGATTTTCCTGAAACTGAGACCTTAATATTTGGAAGTTGCGATCGTTGCGAGCCCGTACAATTGATCATGATTCTTGTGCAACGGAGGAGAAACAAGCTGGCTGATGTAATTGCAACAGATGCCTGGGACATCCGTGTCTAAGATTACGAGTTTTGTTTGCTAGATTGGGCCGGATTGCTTCGTCAAACTCCAGCTGCCGCATATTGTGTTATGCCTGACTATTAGAGGGTGATGCGTGAATAATGTGAGCTGGTAGAATCGTCGAGGAAGACGAAAACTGGAGTATAATGTTCTCGTAGGGGCCGTTATAAAATTTTGCTCTGCTGCAGTTAGAATTTTCTTTGGCTGCCGGATGAGGAGCGTAGCCCGTTTGTGCCCATCAAGTTCCCCATTGCTCTTGCCGAAACAGGCGGACAATTTTTGGCACGTACGACTTTTAGTTTTGGGGGCAGCAAGAGAGAGTCGGAAGGCGCGCAAGCAAGTGCATGCACGTGCTGTTCAGTCTTACTACATCCTGTTTCAGACAATTTTTTTTTGGTCCAAAACTCTCTATACGGTCCTAACAGATCTAGAAGCCGATGAACTGGGAACAAAGCCAAAGCACAATTTTAGCCCCTCCAGTTCATCGAATTCTTGTGACCTGATCATTTCCGTGCCAGCAGCCTGTCATCAGAGTCTGCGCCGCTTTCGAGCCTCTGTCGTCGCGGTCACTTCCTGGACCAAACTCTCTCCGCTCAGGATGCCAATCACGGCTCTCACATTTGTGGAGCTCGTTGCGTTGTACCACCTTTCCTTGTCAACATCAAAGACATTAAGTTCCTGCAGCTGAGTCCCCAGGTCTGGGTAAAAAGGTCAATGTTAGTAGATATAGAAGAAAATAAGAATCAGGGCAGCCCTACTGAACAAGGTCTTTGACAAGTTGGAGTCGCTATTAGTAGATGGCTGGGTTTTTGACGGCTGGGTCGTTGTTGGCAGGACACTTGATGGCTGGACAAATGATGACTGTTTTTCTGACGGCAGGGGAGTTGGTGCCTGGGTTTCTGACAGCTCGGGGTTTGAAAGCTGTGTTGTTGACATTTGGGATGTTGACGGCTGAGTCGTTGATGGCTTGGTCACTGATGGCTGGGTCGTCGATGACTGGCGTTCTGAGGGCTGCGTTTTCGACAGCTTAGTCGTTGGTAGCTTAGTTTTTGACGGCTTGGGTTTCGACGGCTCAGTCGTTGACGGCTCTATCACCGATTTCTGGGTTGTTGGCGTCCTAGAAGGTGCAGCTTTCGGCATAAACGGCAGATCCTTGTCAATATCCATCGGCTCTGGTTCCGGTGTGGAGAATCACGAAAATTGGTAGCTTTCACTGTCGCCGTAACTGTTACCGTCACGGCCACCGTAATCCCCACCGCCCTCGCCCAGAAGATCATTCGTATCGGATGACGAAGACGTGGCAGGCGGCTCTGGCGACGAGCAGCGGGCCGCGGGTTTGATATCGGATATCATTACAAACGAGTCAGGATGCTTAGGCGTTACCATCACAAAAAGTACTCGTCGTCTTTCTCCAGATCATACTCCTCATGGGACTCTGTCGGGTCTATCCATTGGTGCACCCGGCAGGTGGGGGGCTGTGATGTAAACGCCTCACTATCGGCCTGGTGTTTCTCATGGTCATGTAGGTCATCCCTGGGCTGAAGGCAGGACAGCTAGTTCGAAAACGCTGTAGCTAGCACATTTGTTATCAAATCTATAATACAGGTAAAACATAGCAAGGTTTTGGCGAGATCAAGGATTGGTTGGTTGGTATTTACCATCTTCTGAGGTTAGCAGGGTGTTACGAAGGCTGGAAAATGTTGAAGCTCGGTGACACTGGACCTCGAACTCGCCCTCATCCTGACTTGTTGCCGTTCTGAACTCTGTAATCTGACAGGACAGCCCGAGATGAGGGCTAGACGCGTTATTGATGATTAATTTGCCTCTGCGTAGAAATGCGAGAAGACGCTGTTCTGCTCGGATGATCTCCAACTTCCTATGTCGCTTTGGGGCCCACGCGTCATCTTGGCCAAACACGTCTTGCGGCACCTGTTCCAGCGCTTCGCCAAGAAGTCACTTGACCGTATGAAAAAAGACGTCGACTTCAAACAGATCATCGGGAAGGCCGAGCTCGTCCACGGCAAGGGCAAGCGAGAGCCACCGTTCGTGGATTCGAAACAGCCAATCTTCCTCCGAGAAAAAGAGGTGAAGGTGGAGTTGCCCAGCCTGGACGAAGCTGATATCCATTTCCTTGGTCATGGGACAGGACCGCAGGCAGGCACCGAGGAGGCGGCAGACAGATGCGGCAAAGCCAGTTTCAGGGGCGATAATGTGCTTGGCCATTGTCAGATGGAAAGGGGTAGAAAGAACTAGATTGGATTTTGTCAGCATGCTTACCAACTACTACCACCTATTATCGCTACCTACTATACTATATTATAGGCTCCCTAGATCAGCCAGAGAGAAGACAGAATGGAACAAGACCAACCAAAATAATCTTTATCATTAGAAGTGCAACACTTCTGACAGCCATGGTAAAGCGCCGGCACTCCTCCTCCTCGGCGGTACGGACGAGCTGGTATCGGCGCAGGATAGTCCAGTACGTCTTGGTCAACTGAAAGCCTTTGCATCCTAGGCCTTGAATAACATGTTTGAGTCTTGGGTTCTAGAGACGGGTAAAACCAAACGGAAGGCATATTAGTCCAAGAAGGGGGCACACGACTTGGGTCGCACCGTAGGAGCCTGTCTCACATTACTGGCGTCTTCAGCGCAATAGTACCATCTGCCTGCAAACTCATCGCCAACAGGGTACTTCTTGAGCCTCGAGGCCATACTTCGCGTCAAGTGCTTTCTAGATCCACACACCTCGGCGATCTGAGAAGACTGGGGATCGTTGAGCATGTCGCTTAGCTCCCGCACCATGCCCGGTTGCGCGTCGAGCACGCAAGACCATATGTCGTGAATGGACCTGGACTCTTCTTCTGCGTCGCCTACGGATTGCCTCTCTCTGTTGGTCGACCCGAAGGCAAAGTTGTACCCAAAGCGGAAGGGGAAGGTCGTGATGCTCGCCGAATGCCCGGATGAGGACTCGCGTAGCAGGAGGCCCTTGAGGTAGACGCTTCCGCGAAGGTACTGGCTCGTGAGAAGGTCGCCCTTGGCCGCGGAAATGATGGCACCATTGTCGGTGCTATGAAGGAACAGGGCAGCCTTAGTCCAGGCATCGAAGTCGCAGCGCTGGACGGGGCTTCGAGTGACCATGTCGCCTCGCTCGTTGCGGCCCTTTTTCTGCTCGCCGATGACGAACTGCACATCGCCGTCGGGAGCTCCTGCAAACGGGACAAGGGTCCTCTCACTGAGCCGCCGGGCCTGGTTCACGGCATTACTCATGCTCTTGTGAGACATGCGACTCAGACGGGCGACAAGGCGGCCGCGCGTGGTAAAGGCAAATCTCCAGTCGAAGCCGCCTGAACGGCAGCTGACCATGTGGTTCTGGCGACCACGCATCAAGACCAGGAGGGCAATTTTCATGCCTTCGCCATGGGCCCCGGCTTGTTTGTTGTCGCTAGCCTTGCTTGTGCCGCCCAGGTCGAGGTGCCAGGGCTGCAGGGTGGCAGCCCGGTTGATTAGCTCGATTGTGCCCGCGCCGTCGCGAGACTTGAAGCGCAAGTAGCCCAGACACTGTTTCTCGTCACTGTCGTCGAAGCGAAGCACCTTGTAGACGACCTCGGTGTCGCTGCCCCGCGTCTTCTCTTCGCGAAAGACGTGGAAGTCCTTCTCATCGAGGCCGAACGACTTGATGATGGCGTCTCGCCTGCACGGGCACACACGACAGATGTGAGCAGGTACGTGGTTGATGAGTATGCCATTCCCAATCGGCGGAAACATGGAATTACTCACCAGTTCTGCAACAGCTCCCGAAAGGCCTCTAGTGGCTTCTAGTTGGTGTAGTTTGCGTTGATGCTGAAATTGATCGTCTTGCTCCTCACAATCGAGGCAAGAGTTATCTCGGGGTCGTGGTCGAAATCCTCACCACCAGACTCATCCGACAAGAAGTCGGCCGCCTTGCCATTGTTGTTGTTGCTATTAATCGTAGCCATGGGCCTCACGAGGCCTTGAAATGAGTCGCACCCCTCTATTTGGCATCTAATGTTGCTCTTACTGAAAACGGCAAGAAGAAGCAAGCTAAGGCGATCCGTAGTAGGTAAGATGCCTAGGCAGTACCTAATTAAGGGACGACGATGATGCTGTAAGCACTGCTGCTGCTGCTACTGGTACTGCCTTACTACCCAGTAGAACTAAGGTAGGGTAATTCCTGTAGGCACTTTATGGGAGCAGGCCGGATATTTCGTGCTTGGGGAGGGGCGCCTGTCGCTTCAAATATGTGCGGAGCACGTATACGTGGTAGATTACTTGAGGAATTTAAGCTATCTCCCACAGCTGAGAAATTTATGGTTGGGGGATGGGCTGGTGGTGCAGGAACTATTAGGTAGGTATGTACCTAAGGTAGGTACATGTACATACCTACCTTGAGAATAATTTACACTATTGATTACAGGGAAGTTGCCTGGGAGTTGACGCGAATTCATTTTATCCCTGCTGCCTGGAATTGACCCACTTTTCAAGGAATTCAACCACATTTTTCAGGCCCTGGTTAGCATGCCTCTGTACTTCCTTCATTCTTGGCCTCGGAATGCCCTTATTTCATTCAGAATGCCCTCATTTCGGGCTGATTTCAACACTTCCCTTGCCATCTCTCAACGAGTATAAGGAAGCGTTCTTTTGTGAACTTTTGGACGTATTCGGCCAGACAATTCAATGCGCTGTCAACTTCGATCACATGCAACAATCTCCAGAGGCCGGATTTCCTGAAAGGACCTGCTCGCTCAACACTAGCCTAGACCCACGGGGCAACACCAAGCAGCCGGTAATTAATTAGAACACGGAAAGAGAGAAACCCATTGTCGGAAGCGAAAATTGAGAACCTAGACACATCTCGAAGATCTGTCGATGCAACGGCACTCCGTCCCATCCACACAAGGGCCGCAACACGCTCCGCAACCAATCCGCTTAGACTCTTTTAAGGGAGAGGGAAGTGGCCGCTCCATTCAGCAACAAGCCATTCACGCGTTCACCGATTTGCCTGAAACTGCACATTGGCCGGTTTCCCAAATGTGGCGGGCTGGGACCACGGACTGTTCCTCTGCGGCTGCCAAACGTGCCAAATGGCCCTGTCGGAGCCCAACATGGCCAGCTCGAGCCGTCCGTCGGCGTTCTGGGCCAGCGCGACCGAGCCATCTGTGGGCTCTGGCCCGCTTCCCGAGGGCACCTGGAGCGACCAACTCGACCAGTCGCCGCTTGGCTTGGTCTGCGAGATCTGGTAGATGCCGCCTTGGGCGGGCATGGTGAAGATCAGCGTCCCGTCGGCCTGCGCAATAATGGCCCCTGGGTCCGTAAACAGCTTGCTCGGTGACCCGGGATTACCGTGCGACACGAAGCTAGTCCACCCGCCGTTGATGGTCGTCTGCGAGATGCGCCACATTTTCCCACTGGCCGACGGGATGAAGAGCTGGATCCGGCCATCGGACTGCGCTGCCGTCATGGGCGGGATCCCCGAGCCCGCAAACGTCTCCCCGGACGGAGTGCCGTGGTTGAACCAATTGGACCAGCCCCCGTTCACGGAAAGCTGCCAGATGTGCCACAGCGCACCGTCATTACCCACAGCGAAGACCTCCATCCGTCCATCCTGGCTGGTGGCGATGCTCAAGACACCCTCGATGCCGCCCGACGGCGAGCCGCGCAAATCCCAGCCCGACCAAGAGCCCCCGGGAGTCGTCTGCCAGATATGGTAGAGATTCTGGTCGACGCCTTGGGCAAAGATTTCGAGCCGCCCATCCGCGTTGGCTGCCACCGATGCCGAGTCGGTTATGCCCACGGCTTGTGGATGGCCGAGGGATATCCAGCCGCCCCAGCCGCCTCCCGGACTCGATTGGGGCACTGACCACAAGTTGCCCTCATTGCCGCGGACGAATACCTGCAGACGACCGTCCACGTTCCGCCCGACAATCGGCGACCCGCCGAGCACAACCCCCGAGGGGCTGCCGTGGCTGTACCAACCAGACCACCCACCGTTGACGGCTTGCTGCCAGACATGCCACAACGCGCCGTCGCTACCGTGTGCAAACAGCTCCAACCGCCCCTGGGCCCCCGGTGCCATCCACGACGCGCTGCTCCCCGCCTGCAGCATCGTCTGGTGGCTCCTCGCCAGCGCATCAACCAGGGCCTGGCCTTTGGGGGAACCCCACCCGGTACACAGGTCGTAGCCCACTACGGCGCTGTACTTGCTTGGGTTGACGCCGTTGAAGTTGTTGCCCGTGGTGACGTCATGGAAGGCGGCTGCATAGCCCGGCGACCCGCCGCCCTTTGCAATCTCCCACAGTGCCGGGTTGGCGAAGCCGACGGGTGGCCGGCCTGTCGCCGCGGCCTGCTGATTGGCAAGCGCCAGGAAGCCCGCCCACAGCGGCGCTGCCGCGCTTGTCCCGGCGAACCCCACCCATGCTCCCTGCGAGTACACGCTGATGCCGTCGGCCACGATGGCAACATCGGGGGCGTTTCGTGCCGTCGAAGACCCTCCCGATGCTGTGTAGTCGAGACTGTCTTGCCACCACGGTATCACAAACTGCGCGTCACCCCCCGCCCACGGGCTGTACCCGCCGCCGCTGAACCAGGCTGTCGTCTCCGACACCCAGGAGCCGCCCGGCCCGGTGGTCACCAGCTCGGTGCCGCCGACAGAGGTGACGAGGGGATGGTCGGCGGGCGGAAAGGCACCGCTGCCCGTGGCCTCGTTGTAGGACCCATAGTCGCCCGAGGCCACAAAGAGCGCCTGGCCCTGGGCGGCGAGGCGGGCCAGGGCGTCGTATACGTTCTGGTCGTAAAAAAAATAGTATGACGTGGTGATCTGGCGGGGAAGCGGCTCGCCGTGCGTCGGGGTGGCCATCTCGTGTAGGATGTCGATGACGCCCGCGCTGGTGTAGTCGACGCCGTAGACGGTCACCTGGGACAGGCCCGGCGCCATCGAGATGACGAGCTCAATGTCGGCCGCCGACTCCTCGTTGGGGTTGCCGCCCACGTAGCCGTCAATGTAGACGTTCTGGATCGGTACTGACGGCATCCCGTTCTGGCTCGTGTACGTCTGGATGTCGCTGGCCAGGTATCCCGTGAACTCGAGCACGCCTACGACCTGTCCCGACCCCGTCCAAATCACGTCGGGCGCGTACGCCGCCCGGAAGTCCTTCCCCGTGTACAGCCCGTTGCTGCCTGACCCGGTCCCAGCCGACCTACGGCTGGAAGCGGTGCTATTGTCGCCGCGTGATTTGAACAGATTTGGCGCCCGCTGGAGTCCGTGAAAGTTGTCCAGCCCCGTGAGCTGCAAGCCCGGGATGTTTAGGGCCGAGATATCGACATCGGCGGCGGGCGCGTAGAACCGCCGGTTCTCCGTCTGGTGCTGGTACTGCTGCAGCTTGGTCTTGAACGCCTTGCTCACGGCGTCGGCCGACGAGCGGACATGGATGAGCTTCGGAGGTCGCGACGACGTCACGTTAAGCTGGTGCGCCTCGGCAAAGTCCAGCAAGTGCTGGAAGCTCTCCTTGGCCGGGTCGAACTGTGCCGAGTACTCGGCAGGGCTCAGGAACTGCCGGAAGCGAGACGAGGTTGGGTCGTACAGGTCGCGCAGCAGAGCGGCCTGCGACGCCGTGTTGTTGGTCGGCAGCGCGAGGACTACGTCGATGGACGTCGACCCGGGTAGCTCTCCCAGTGGCTTGAGGCCGACGACGGCGCTGAACACGTGGCCGAGCAGCTGCTGTCTGGTGACCTTCATGTTGTGTGTTGCGTGTGGGTGAAATTGACGGAAATGGAGGCTTGGTCTAGCCTGAGAATGACCCTGCCGGGCTCTTGGCTGAGAAAGTTGGCCATTGCGAAAATATTTGGGAGACTTCTTGGCTCATTTATGTGTTCCCGAGCAGCCCTTAAGCTTCTCGGAAGCAGACTGGCTACTCAAAAGTCGCGAGGCATGCCCACTCCAGACAAGCTTGCCCATTGACTCATCAATAGGAATAGGAGGTGGCAGAACCGCCCATTGAGACGCTGCAAAATTCTTGCCGGCACGGTAACATGTCGACACCGCCGGGTTGCCAGTTACGCCTGCGCAGCTGCGTGAGGCTGATGGTCGGAGATTCCAACCGTCGCTCAACGGTCTCCAATGATCTCCCTATATGGTACTTGGCATGGTGTTTCGGCGAGGCAGACATGCGCCGCTGGCGAATCACCAGCCGGGAAACGGGCACCGCTTCATCTCAGGCCCCAGCCAATACCAACGCGTGAGGCTTCGGTGAATACTCCCCCTCAGCCGCAATGCTACGCGTGTGGTCGAGCGCCCGTGTCGAAGGTGTGGCTGGAACGCCAAGAAGGCCCGAATAGCCCAAGGTTACATGACTCCCTTGCTAACTATCGCGCCTTGTATTGAGTTTCTGGCTTGATTTAAAGTCGAGAAAAGAGAGAGGCGATGTTTTTTTTTTTTTTTTTTTTTTTTTTTGATTTTGCATCCCCGGTCGAAACCGGGATAGCTGGCTATCCGGCAGCGGCTGAGCGACGCGGCCTCACTTTGGGTTGTCGCATAAGTGATTGGTATGAAGGTAAGGTAATAACTGCAACGTAGTAATTTAAAAAGAAGAGAGAAAAGCGAAGCTGTCATGCGAGTTTCATTGTCAGCTTTAGGTACTGAGGTAATTCTTCAGAATCAAAGTCCAAATTGTTCTCTTTAGCAACTGAACGAGCTCTGTACCTTGGTTATTTCACGCATAAAAGTAGTGGGAATTTGGGGGCTAATTAAGTCTCTCTGTTCCCAAAACAGTTCCCCGCCTAGGTACGAAGTACCTGCGTAACCAAATGTGAGGAATAAAAGGCCACCAATAGCTTTCAGGTTGTTAGTGATGCCGCGATCCTCCGTGCTAACATCCGACCCACCACGGGTGCTGGCGGAGGGGCGAAATAAGTCCGTTCGCTTAGGACACGTTAACTCCGGCGGCGTCCAATGGAAGTTCCGGATGCCCGCATGGTCAGCCAGCTCTGCATTCCTTCTGGGATTCTCCACTATTGAGATCTGAGCAAGCTTCCTTCTATACTATGTAAACCGGAATTTAAATACCGGTGCTAGTGCTCTTCTTTTCCTTGAACACGCCGAAAGCTCGATGTAAGTTCATGACTCTTACTGCGCGTTAATCCTGAATAACAACAATCTGCACAAGAACGGATGAGAGCGTATGCGAGGGCGTATTCGAGTGTATTGGAATCCGAAAATCCCCATCCCATAGTGTTCGACAGTCTTTGCACCAAACTGGGCACAGCATCGCGGCCGATGTCGTAGTCGGAGATAGTCGCCGATACTCCGTGGGCCGTCCTACGCGGCATAGAGAGAACCGCGCGGTACGGAGACAAGACGAGACACCGACAACAAACCCAGGATCCACGCTTGAGTCGAGTCGTGCTTAAAGATGCCGGATTCTTTCTTCCCTGCACTCACATCCCACCGGCACCCATCGCCATCAATTGATCAATCATCTCAAGTGAGCCAAAGTCAAACAAGATGCACACCTACCCGCACGCACTCATCGGCGCCGCCGACACTATCCCCGTCAACGAGGCCAAGCCTATCATCTCGTTTAGCCCCGTCGTGCTCCCCGCCCCAGGCCGCCCCGTCAACCTGGAGCTGCGCGTCACGGTGCCCGCCTTGGGCGACGGCGACCTGCCCGTTATCCTGCTTTCGCACGGCATGGGCTGGAGCAACTGGTTGTCGTCGCTGGAGGGCTACGCGCCCCTCGTCGAGTTCTGGGCCGCCCATGGCTTCGCAGTCTTGCAGCCCACTCACCTCAGCTCCAAGACGCTTGGCCTGACCGCCCCCGAGGGCAAGGAGTTCTACTACCAAGACCGTGCCGCCGACATGGTGCGGCTGGTCGACGGGCTCGACGCCATCGAGGCCGCCGTGGGGGCCGCGCTGCTCGGCGGCCGCCGCTTCGACCGCACTCGCATCGCCGTCGCTGGCCACTCGCTCGGCGCCTGGACTGCTAGCATGGTGCTGGGCGCGACGACCACGGACCTGCGGTTGGGCGTCACGTGGGCCGAGGCGCCGGACTCGCGCATCAAAGCCGGCGTGCTGCTGGCCGGCGTCGGCGACCCGCGCGACAAGTCCGAGAACGGCAAGAAGATGATCGGCTGGTACGGCGGCGACTTCAGCGCTATGGCTAAGCCTGCGCTCGTCGTCTACGGCGACGCCGACGTCTCGCCCCACCTCACCACGCGCGGGGCCGACTGGCACGGCGACGCGTACGGCCTCTCCCCCGGCCCCAAGGCGCTGCTCACGCTCAAGGGCGCCAAGCACGGCCTCGGCGGCATCAGCGGCTGGGACGCCGGCGAGACCCAGGACGAGAGCCCCGAGCGCCTCGGCGTCGTCCAGCGCATGACCTGGGCTTACTTGTGGAGCCAGCTGCACGAGGGCGACGGCGCCTGGGCCGCGGCCTGCAAGGCGCTCGGCGCAGAGCAGGGTTCTGTTGAGAGCAAGTGAGGTTGTGGTTGCAGGGCTTGTGGATAGTGCTGCTCGTGATGGTTGCGAATAGTCAATCAGGATATGAGAGAAATGAAGTTGAGTTGTGAATGGCCAAGACGTGAGAAATAGATGCATCGTGAGAAATAGATGCATATATGCTTGATAAGGTGAGGCCCGCGCATCGTGAAACAGACGTGACAAAATTGTCGAGGTGATTGTGTGGTATATACAAGAAAGAAGAAGAGTAATTGTACATGAACAGATGACGCCAAGACAGTGAATCCAAGATTTCAACCAGAGACTCCAGGGAAAGCCAAAACGATTTCCAAAAACCTAACCCGAACTTCTAGAGTGCAAGTCAACACCGCCGCTAGTCAGACCAGAAGCGGCGCCCCGAGCAGAAACGTAACACAGCCCAATGGTAAGTGCGACCGAGACGCGCAAGAACCAGCCCGGCCAGCAGCCAAGAACGCCTACCTAATATCTATTCATCAAGTTAGCAAACGCACCAGCATGCGACCACCCACCCAACGGCTCAAGACCAGTTAATACCAACTCAAATCCTCCCCAGGATGCACACGACGTGCTGGCGGAGGTGTGCATTGTCGAGGCGCTGCTGGCGGAGCTGCAGCTGCGCGACGTGGATCTGCATGGCGGCCGCGCGCAGCTGCAGCCGGCCCAGCGCGCAGCTGATGCCGATGGCGAGCGCGGCGAGGACGACTGACAGGGCTGTGAGGAACGTGTTCAGGTCGAACTGTGATGTTGGTGTGGTATTGGTATTGGTGTTGCTGGGCGTTGTTGCGGTCGGCGGCATCGCCGTGGTGGTGATGACGGCAGCGGCTGCGGCAGCGGCTGCTAGGGCGGGGAGGATCATGGATCGGTACAACTGGATGTGCCAATTGAAGTGGGTTTAGTGTATATTTGGGTTTAGTTGTGCTGGGAACTCGGGAAATTTTCTAGAGGATTGGGTTGATACTGAGCGGAAAAAGATGGAGGGTCCTGGGTTGGACTGAGTAGAAATGAAGATGGAGAAGACGGGCGTGGCATTTTTTTCTGAACGGGGGGATTTGGGTCAGGCACTCGCTGCAGCTATGTTTGCGCTTGATGGTAGTGTTGTTGCTAGGTGATAACTGCGAATGGCTTCTAACTGCGGTGCATTACTGAGAGTGAGGGGCGAATCAAAGCCGCGCCTCGAAATTTCCCAATTGACGGGGGCTTGGCATGTCTCAGCTCCCCAACGACGAGCTGTTTGGTGAATTTGACAGGGACAAAACGGTTTGCAGATGCCGTCAGTCGAATTGAAGACTCTGAATATACTACTTAGATTCCTTAATTACATCCCCAATCACTCAGGTAACCGCAATCGAGCTCATGTTAAACAGTTCCTGGTTGCTTGTTCGTATTCGTCAGACGTTGCAAAAAGCGTCGAGGAGAAGAACAACGCGTCGTCTGTCCAGCCCTCTGTCCGTTTCGGGCTTTGGCTGAGCAACGGTAGGTGCCAGGTGAGAGGCATCCTGTTCTCAGGCAAGCGCCCCGAGACCAGAATTAGAATGGCTGGTCGCAACGAACCCACCACCATAAAGGCCTCCCCGCGATTGGCCGCAAAACCGCGCCACGGGCTGGGCGTTTCGCACTTCGCACTTCACTTACCGCAGTTTCTCAGCTTCGTAGCTTCGCAGTCTTTTCCCCACCAACGGCCAAGAGCATTGACATTGACCTGAAGAACGCAGCCACCAGTAACCAGGCGCACTCAAAGTGTTGACCACAATCCGTCGAGTCAATGTCTGGGGTATCCATTGACTCGGACCCAAGCCTTCTGTCCTTTGAAATGGACAACTCGCAGCCACTACCAACGTCTTCGGCGCCATCGACTCCCTCTTACTCACAGAGAAGAAAGCGCAATTTCACCGAGGGCCAGCAGGCCAGAGTCAAGTGTGACAACTGTCGCGATGCCCATATACTAGTAAGTGCCTAGCTACAGTGCAAGTGTCCGTGTTGAGAACTTGATCGCGTTTGCTGACACCGAGCTCTTCTTCAGTGTAGCCCGCCCAGGACCAGCCCGACGCCTCTGGGGTGCGACACGTGCAAGAGATCAAAGAGACACTGTGGCGGATACACAGTAAAGGTCCGACGAGAAAAGAGACAGAAGGAACCCGAACAAGCGCCGCGAGCGACTCCTTCCCAATCCCGTCTCCCACCGGCTCCTGGAACCTTAAACCGCTCGACGACAACTGCTCAAAATGCATTGGAAGCGGCGTTGCCGGAAGTAATCGAAAGCCAAGGCGATTACGGCGCGGGAGACGGTGAAAGCTTGCCCAACACTCCGACCAGAACCTTGTGGCCTAGCCAGAGCCAGGATTGGGACTTTCAGGATTTGTGAGTAGTAGTGGCAGAACATGCCCACTCTCGACGTCTCCTGCTAACTGACGGCCAGGGTGGATGCAGCCATCATGTTCCAACTCAACAAGATCGGGCGCGTCATTCGGATGCGTCAACAGCAAAGGGTCCTCGACCTTTTTGGCACAACCCATCAACCTCGGGTCGAGGACGGCGGGCTGTATCGGTCTCTCAACGAGTTTGCCAGTCAGCTGAGGAACAGAGCTCAGCGACGAATGGCCAGAGTTACGGCGAGGTCTGCAGAGGAAATTTTGCTGCGCCAGATTCTTGCTGCTCTCGGCCCCCCAACCTGCAAATGTGATATTGCCGTCGAGATGATGAGAGGCGAGGTTTTTGGAAGCGAGCTTCTTAAATTCGCGTCGTCCATCTCCCAGTCCAGCCGAGGCCTGTCAGGCGAGAATATAAGAAAGCTAGACGTGCTGTGGGATAAGTTGGGAGAAACCGCTCCTCGCATCAAAGAAGTATTTCATGCAGACGTTGAACTCCTGGTAGACTACCACTTCCTCGCATCGGAGTTTTTGGCGGTTCTAATCAGCACATCATGGGGCTGCGACATGAGAGACAACGAGTTCATCGACCTCTCATTCCTTTGGGGCTGCATCTTCCCGCGCCTTCTAGATGCGCTCAACAGAGACCGGGATCTAGCCTGGCTGCAGACGCGGACGGGTGTTGTGAAAGAGTTCCTCGACCAGGAACCTGAATTCACATACACATGGGTGGGCGAATGGGGCCAAACATTCTTCCACGTGGCGACCTTGTTTGAGAAGAGAGACGAAAGTTGGGACATGTTGAAAGCCCTTACCGCAACCATGCAGACAGATGATGACGGCAGGACCGTTTTGCATTATGCCGCCGCTGCCGGCAACGAAGCTGCCTGTCGAGCTATGGGCCTCGGCGATATTGGGGTCCGCGATCGGGACAACCGATTACCCGTATATTATGCGGCTCGCAACGGGCACCACGCCGTGACAAGGTTCTTGACGGAATATATGTGAGCGGATATGGTGAATATGGTGGACAGTGGAGAAGGTGGACAGTGGAGAAGGTGGACAGTGGAGAAGGTGGATAGTGGAGAAGGTGGACAGTGGAGAAGCTGAACCTAGTTATAAATAATTCCAGATTTCAATATCCTAGCTGATTACCCAATTATTTGACGTGGCTACGTAATTAAATAGCTCAGCTAACGTAGTTCCCAATTCCAGCAACTAGCAGACCTTAGTTTGAGGTCACAGTCGTCTAGCTTCTTTTCATTCTATATCTATACTGAAACAAGTGCGATAATTACTCGGAGAGAAAGTTGACGTGTTTCAGTCATTTGTTTGTTGTCACTGTTGTGGAGCGGAGTTTCATACCTGTGTTATATTTATTATTTTTCACCTAATCGTATTTCTAGTGGGACACGGCGTCCATTCTTGTCCTACCAGATCATTAAGCAGTAATTTCAATAAGTATGCTCACACAGGATGCCGTGAGATTTGTGGTAGTGAAGGAACATGTAAAGTACAGTTATATACCTAGGTTTGCTGAGTGGTCAAGGTCCGCGGCCAAAGAGAACTATCAGCTCACCAAGTTTGCTTGGCACAATTGAGCTTCTCATACACCATCCGTCCAATCTTAACCATAATTTTCCTTATCAGAGTTGAGTCGTTAGCCAGGGAGATTTAAATAGCTTCGCGTCTAGCTAAGTTTTCTGTTTTTGAAAAGTGAAGTCCCACACTGTGTAACAAGCCCACGTCCATCCATCAACCTGTTCAGGAACAGACATCAACCCGTTCAGAGGAACAGAGACACTGTTCCCCATTAGTCTGCGAACGACGCGCCAGCGGGAAACCATGATTACGGTAAATTTTATTCGCGACAAGCAGGACAGAAAATCATTCCCGCTCAACGTCAGAAACATCACTCTGCATAGCGACTCACCCTCAACAGCAGAAGGGCAAAGCCACCGCAGATACGTCAAGACACCTCCTCGACAAGACCCAAGGGTATTCAGACAATCAACAAGACAAAAATTCACTTTGACAACAGCTAAGACATGGCGAAAATGGCGAGTACGCCTTGCGACAGCGCGCACTACACAGCCGACGACGACGCACACAATCACAATGAACCCCCTGCCAGCCCAGCCATGAACGCGGAGCACGACAGCTCAGACGGCAAATACCACAACAGCGCGCAGAGCCATTTCCAGTTCACCAGCCTGCTCCAGACCCTCGCTGAACAGTCGCACACGGCTCAGTCACGCCGCCAACGCCGTGCGCACACGCGCCCAGACGGCTTCTACTCCGCTGAGAACAGCAACGCAGACGATGATGACCACTGCGACCAGCAGGAGCCCACCGACCCGTGGGAGGAGTACCGCGCCGCGCAGTCGCAGCCCAAGCAGCTGCAGTATCATCAACAACAAGACTATCACCCGGATTGCTATCACTCGGATTCGGAGCTCAACGTCACTGATACATACGAATCAGAGTCAGAAATTACAGAGCAAGACATATCGCAGCTACAGCATCCGCGGCAAGACTATCATCACTCGGACTTGGACCTCAACGTCACCGAGGCAGATCAATCACAAGACAAGTCGGCGTCAAAGGAAGAGCACGCAACACAGGAAGCCTCGATCTCGCCCGAGGCGCGCGCCGCGGCGCAGCGCAAATTCTGGAACGAAGGGTTCTTCATCGACGACGCGGCCCACATGGGCGTGGCGCGCGAGTATTGGATTCAGCAGGACCGCATTCTCGGGACCAACTCTCACGGAACCCTGAGCCGCTGCAACTGGATCCGCATGTACGTCGTGCCGCTGTGGATGCCGCTGCGCCCGGCCGGCGTGCCGGCGCTCACCGTCACGGATCCCGACGGCCGCACGGCCTACCTTGACGATGTGACGTACTACGTGGACGATGTTTTTGACAAGAACGAGGGCTAGGACTCCGATTACGGCTATGGTTCCGATTCTGGCGAGGGAGATGTGGTTCGTGGTGCTGGCGAGGATGCTGGCGAGGATGCTGGCGATGTTGATCGCGGTTATGACGCCGATAATGACGAGGAAAACGAGAATGATGATAATAGCGAGGGCAATGGCTCCAGGACCAAGGAGTATGTACAAATCTTTGAATACGGTGCCAATTCCGAGTAATTGGCTCTATTGGATGACTGGACTAGATGATCACGGGCTGGGTGGACTACGGTGCCCGGCCTTGGTTCTGTTGAGATTGGAGGCACTTGAGGAGGCATAGAGCGGCACTTTGTATAATACTCGGAGACCCTTGACGAGGTATAGATAGGCACCTGTGTATAGTACTTGGACACATTTACGTCCCTACCCTAGGTTCTGGTGTGTAAATAATACTTGGAGTGACAAAGCGGCGGCCCTTTGGAACAATAGGTCTTTATTCCTATTACTAACCCTACTGATTCTCATCGCCATCTATAGCGTAACTAACAATGGTATTATTCCTGCTATCATCTACCTATTCATCATCTCACTGCACTAAGAAGCGAGTGATATCTTACACATCAAAAACACAAAGCCTCTATACCTCGTCTTCTATCCGCCTTACACACAATGAAGCGATAACCTACCGATAATATACTAAGGTTTTCTACAAAATCAACTTTATTGTCACGACCAGGGCAAGGCATTGAGGTGAACTCAGTCCATTGGGTGCTATCGACGAAGATTCTAAACTGAGGAGGGAAAGAAGGAAAAGTCCGACAACGCGTCGCGTGCTCGCGAATAAGTTTTCATCTATCAGTGGGGTAGGTGGGGCCTCGAGGAGGCTTCTGATAGGCCCGGGGGTTCTGGGCGGCTCTGGCTGCTTGAGGGCCAGTTTGGTGGACGGGTCCTCACATTTATTATCACACTAGCATTACAAAAGAAAATGATTAGTAAATAAACTGGATTAAAATTGAAATGAAAGTCTATATAAGATTTTTTGCGGCGTTATTACTATTGTTCCCGCCGAAAAGTAAAAGAAACCCTAGAAGAAAGGCGGAAAAAAAAGAAGAATTAAAGCTAGTAAAGCTTCTATGCGGTTGCTCGGTAGTCTTTCCCTTGCCGGTGGAATTATTGGGAGTCCTAGAGGATGCCTTGGCGGTCTTCGCCTCTGGTGATGTTAGAGACTTTGGCATGATTGCTGTGCTCGATCGACCGTCGACGACTTGCGATGTGAGATTGGCTTCTTGCTCAGTCGGTACAAGCTGCTCGAATGTACAGGACGTCAGTGGCATCTCATGCGGGGGTGAACGTCGGATTTTGCTCACTCTTGGCGTTGGGCGAAATTTTGGTAGTTGACGATTTGACGAAAGTAAACGCCTTACGCTTCGCCTTCTTGGGTGTGATAACCTCCTCTTTGACGTCACCTTCATTCTCACCCCCTGTGTCTTAGCTGGTAGTGGTGCTCTCCGTGTCGTCCTTTGCGACCTTAGCCGCCTTTTTCTTTCGCTGCTTAGCAGTAGGGATGGGAGAGCTGTTAGTCTCTCCGTGGCAGCCACTATTGAAGAACTGTGTGTTAGCTTGGCGCGGCTGGGGAGTTAAAGCGTTGATTACTCTCGGTGGCCGCAGTGGTGGCGCGGGCTGCCTTTACGAAGTAGGCGAGGAGTGAAACCGCACTTCGAGCCAGCCTCAACAGAGACAAGACGCCAGGGAGACGGTTTAAAATCTAAAGGCACGGGTCATGGCATGAATGGCTATAACAAGCTCAACAGTTCTTTTGGTTCGAATGACGCAACGACGCGCCACGCGCAACCCAAAAGCACGTCAAATTTGGGTTGGAAGCGATAAGAACATGTTTTTATAGATGGGGCAATATTCGGACCGATCGGAGGTAGCATACCTAACAACCTAGACTAGGCTAGCCATTCTATATTATCGCCGTCGCCTTGCGACCCATCCTCGTTTTCCTCCGACTCATTCCTATCATCATCCCACACACCCATGCTCTGATCTGAGTCATCGCTTCCCGAATCAATGTGGAATCCTGTTCGGAAGGGGAATGGAATAAAGCGTGTTCGATTCCAATCCTCCATGTTCATGAAATATGTTGAGCAAGTGGACTCAACAGTAGCAATACACCCATCAAACCAACCGCAACCCGAGAAGTATTCCATCATCTTCTTGTCGTACAATGTGGCTCTGATTGACGGTTCTCTATCCTGAAGCCCATTTAGTAATGCTTGCATGTCGAAATGATCCGAGACCCAGTTGTCACCCTGTTCAAGTCGACGATAGGTCGCCAGCTCTGTTTGCACCGCTGCCCAAAGAATGCCCATTTGCTTGCTTGAGCAGTAAAAATTGGATAGCTGTACTCCCCCTGTCTTCGAAAAATGAGCACAGTCACGATCCTCTTGATGTCGTTCGTCGGCCGCAAAGTGTAGGATCTGTACGAAGAGACTCCATCCTAACCGAGCTGGTGATGGCAGGTCGTCCACAACTTGGATGGTTATTTCATTAGCAAGTTCTAGTGGTGTCAGAAGCCGATGGGTGCATTCATTCGCTTCTTCGGGTAATGAGAACAAGGCAGGGATGGAGACTTCGCTCGGGGTTGCTGGATCTGCGCCGTGGGCAAGCAAACATGCGAGGCATGCGATAGCTCCAAAGAGTGTCTCTCCCGCTGTTCCATTCCGTGCCAACAGAAAGGCGACCAAAACCAAAGTGTGGAGCGGACCCAGTTCAAGCTTCCTGCGGCACCCAATTCTTCCACAAGTTTTGACAAACAAACCACTTCGAGTGTTGACGTCTGGACTCCATGACTGGCTGAAAATTGCCGTGATCGAATGGCGTACCGCCTGCGCCGAGGTGTGACAGAATACATGTTTCCAAGAAACGGGGATGGTTGCCCTTCCAGATGCGCAGGGTGGGCGAAATATTATCGCTGGGGCAACGATAAATATCGCTTATCGCCGATAATCGTGCGATATCGTCGATAAATATCGATAACATTGATAATGCTTAGTCAGCTATCAATCTATCTCCGCCTCAACCTCCACAACTCGTTCTCGAATACATCCTGGCTCCCCCGTAAGCCCTGACCTAATCCAATGCTTCAAGCATTCAAGCATTTCCACTGTACTTTCTCCTAGTCGCATTCTTTCCCACGTTATCGTACGACGAGCCCCAGAAAAGACCCTTTCCGGCTCAGCACTCATTGCCGGGATTGATAGGATGTTGATTGCCAATTGAGATAGCTTCGGCCAGCGTCTTCGTTGCTCTATACGGAGCCACCAATAGAGAGATGATCCTTCGATTTGACGAGGTGGCTCTGACAAGTACTCTTCAAGTTCATCTTTGCTTGGTGGTCTTGGAAAGTTCTCAAGACCTCGCATTAAGGTATCCAAATCATCATTCGGATTCGGATTCTGATCTTGGCTCCTCTCCTTCTCAATCAGAAGAGCTGACTGTGGTTTATTTTCTGCTCCTTTGAAGTTGATCCAGAGCGTTTTGACCGCTTGGATTGCTGGCTTGACCCATTTTTTCTCCCAATTATACTTGAGATATTCAGTCTTCCTCGAAGGATGGAAAAGAATCGCAGCAGCATAATACGGAGTATCTTCCGTTTTGGCATAGTATTTGTCGAAAGTCTGCCAGCTCTTTTGGATTCGTTGAGAGATAAAGGGATTAGATTTGAAGGTTTCCTGGCTCCTCCTATAATGCTGAACCAACGCATCCATAACAAGAAGAACTCGGTCGATTGTTGCATGATCTCCCTCAGTAGTTTTTGTTGCTGAATAAAACGGCTTAAGGAAGGATTGGATAAATCGAAGAATCTCCCAATCTTGCGGAGAAAGAAAGTCAGACTTCAGCTCTTCGTACCAAGCTTTCGAATAGGTATCAAGGGCTGATTCCTTTTCCAGTGCAACTCTTAACATCTCGTACCAGCTATTCCACCTTGTGCTATTATCGAGAGGAATATTCCGGCCGGCAAGAGTTTTAAACTGATTCGTACGAGAGACTGAACCACGGATGTGGATGACGATATTATGAAGCTTTCCAAGGGGGCCGATATTGCGAAAGAAGCCCGATTCGAAATCTTCTTCTTCTTCATCCTTTTGGAAAAGAAACGCTTGGACTGCTAGGTTGATAATATGCCCCGTACATCTGATTCGATTCTCTGACGCCTTCCAATAGAGGCCTTCTTCTTCAAACTTCGAATCGAGAAGTAAACAAAGTTTGTCATTAGAGGTAGCATTATCGCCGATAAATGCCCCAATCTTGTGATAGATTCCGAAATCCTGAAGAGTTTGGAAGAGAATATCGTGCTGGACCTCAGAGTGGTGTGAAGGAATAGAAGGTAGAGCGATTAGGGCCTTGACTAATTCCTCGGTTTCGAAATCCACAAATTGAGCACAAATCCCTAGGAATAGCTTGTGATTTGGAGAAGTCCAAATATCCAGAGCAAGGTGGATTGTTGAGAGCGCTGATTGGAGCTTCTTCCGTAGAATATCTTTATGAAGATTGAACGAGCTGCTAATCCGTAGTTTAAGCGTCGAATGTGATGAGATAAGACTCTGAGCCTCAGGATTTAGCTCCTGACAAAAGGCACGAAAGAATGGGCTCTCGATAATCCGGAAGGGAAGATTTTGGGTGACAATCATAGCAACAAGGGCTTCATTGAGGGTTTTCTGGTTGAGAATCTTCCTCATAACTCGGGTATCCAATTCAGAAGTCTGATCGATTTCCGATGCCTTGTTGTATAAGAAATGAAGAGATTGAGATGCCGTACGAGATGGGGCTTCGAGGGTGATAGCATGCTTGCGAAGGTGAAGTCGTACATTCGTGGTGCTTTGCCCAAACCAAGGGCAGTATTGGCAATAGTAGAGACGATTTTTGCCTTTGTGTGAAGGCTCAGTCGATAGTGGCTGTCGAAGATGATCATGTAGACTTGACTGAATAGTTTCTTGAGATACCAGAGATTCCTCGGTATCTTGTGTCGAGGGAGTGGACATTTTGTAGTTGAGCCACTTTCGTAGCTATATTACAAGGCGTAGCCGATGAAGATGATGATATTGAGGGGAGAGGAGGGGTAAAAAATTATCTGCTTACTAAGCAACCGATATCGACGATATCGGTCGATATCGTCAATATCGGCGATAACAATTATTGATTCAATATATCGGCGATAAGCTTATCGTCGCCCACCCTGCAGATGCGTAAAGCTGGCGAACACAGGGCGTATCGGCATCCCATCTCCCGCAGATGTCGACTTCTTCACCGGGAAACCTGGATTGGCTCTCGAATCCCTTACTGACAACCGCGGGAGCCACTGAAGTGTGTGATCGGAGGATCGTGATCATCAATGAGTCTAGAACTGTATGTCCCAAATCGTTGCGGTAAGTAGCGGAAACGGATGCTCCAATTTGCAAGGATCCGGCCATGATGTCGATGATGAGACAGCAAGTTTTTGCGCCATCCAGGTGAGCTGCGGCAAGATGAAAGGGGGACAACGTGCGCAGCGCTGCTGCGCCCTCCGCCATCCTAAAATATGGCTCTTCCACCAGATACTCAATGTGGTCTTGGTTTCTCGCAATTATTGCCATTGCAAAAGAGTCAGCATGGAGCTGCTCCTCTGGTCGCTCGAGTGCCAGGGTAATTGAAGAGACGGCCATTGGGAGACTTTGGCTTTCAATGGCAGAGAAGCTATTCGTGGACAGTGCCCCCTGAATTGCTCCGGGAAGTGACCTGGGCCCCGCTTGCTCATTCCATGCAGCCCATGTTGTCTCGTCCCCGATGTCCTGAACCTGACCCTCCTGTCGAGGTGGAGGCGAAGGCGACTCGATCTCTTCATACTCCACGGGTTCCTCATAGTGAATTGTCCACCGGCACAACTGACTCGGGCCCTGGATTGATTCGTCTTGGATTGTGGAGCAAGGGAATGCGACAGAGGGCAGAATGGCTCTAGGAGTGGGCGATGATTGACTAAGACTCTTAGCAGCAATCAAATCCTGGGTCTATGCCTCGGGGCCGCGTCCCTAGTACTTGACGGTCATGAAGGAGAACATCCAAAGATCGTGGAGCCATGACACTGTCAGTCTAGAGAGGGCGGTTAGCGGCGTCCCGAGTTGAGAGATGGCGCTTGGTTCTTAACGGAATTGGCTTACCTTCGGTCATCAGGAGAGAGCCGGGTCAAAAGTTCCTTAAGTCGGCCTTCGATAAAAAGGTCTGCTCGGTCGAGCTTGGCCTTGTCCTGGATCATCCGCGTGGTGGGCGATGCGGCGGCTGGTGATGAGAGAGGGGATTCTGTGCTGTGCGAGCTATCGACGATAATAAAACCAGGCGAGGCCCCATCTTGACCGAATGGTGAGGGGTGGCCCAGAGGTATGCCGGCGTTGGATAGCACAGCTGCGTACGGTAGACTCCAGCGCATGAATCTTATTAATGAAATGTTAGTTCTAGTCAAGTCTCCAGAAAAGTGGCCCAGTTTCTGACTCACATTCCGCTGGCCAAGTCTGGCTCGGGTTTGTGCCGTATTTGATCGCCAATATAACGCTTCAGCTGCTTCTTGCGTGTCTCAGTCATCTCCTTTGCGAATTCGCCCTGAAAGATGGCAAGGTCCGACGTGCTGGCGGCTGTTCGAGCGCGCTTGGCATGGCGCATGATGATCTCGTCCTTCTCTTTCTTCACCATGCGCTTTCTAACCCCCCACTGTCTGAGGCGATAGCGGTAGTGCGTTGGCCTAAATATTATCCAGTTAGATGGCCGGTAATTAACCGTCATAGAACTCAATCCAGAAGATAATTGAACTCACTGAGCATCAAAGCGGTGATCTTGCTTCATCTTTGCAGCAAGCTGCGGGAGGGTCAGATTTTCCTCCATGAAGAGATGGACGATCGTGTCTTTCAACAATGGCCATCGTTGATCATGGGGAATCGAGCCAATCTGAGGGCCATTCACGGGCCCGGTGGCGCCTGAGAGGCCATTGCCATTCAAGGACAAGAAAAAGTTGTTGAAAGGAAGACGCTTGAACTTGAAGAAGCGAGGTTCGCTGGTAGCAATAGGGGTTAGATTTGCCTGCTTTTATGCTGCAGTAAGGCTGCCAGGCTCAGACCCTTCGGGACCTTCGGGTGGGGGCCCGACTCACCGCATTTCCTTCCCCCCAAAAAAAAACCCCCCGAGAAAGCGTGTAGGTCGCACAGAAAGTGAGGCGCTCGTGTGCATAGACAGCGAGAACGCGCATAAAGAAAGAGCTTCAAATGGCAACACCAATGACAGCAGTTCTCGGAGAGCTCTTGTGGGGCTTTACAAATGGGCAACACCCAATGACAGCAGTTCTCGGAGAGCTCTTGTGGGGCGTTACAAATGGGCAACACCCAATGGCGGCAGTTCTCGGAGAGCTCTTGTGGGGCGTTACAAATGGGCAACACCCAATGGCGGCAGTTCTCGGAGAGCTCTTGTGGGGCTTACAAATGGGCAACACCCAATGACAGCCAGCACAAAAAGACAAAGGCCAATGAGGCAACCCGGGGCAGATAATTGATGATAATGACGATTGGTGCGAGTCGAACGGGTGGTCCCAAGTGCTGCACCATCTAGGAACCACACAGCAGCTTGGCTGCTCTGTACGTATTGCCAATTCAGGCCGATAAACAAAAGGGCAGAAGCGAATGGGGTGGTTATACGTGGTGGGTCTGGCTTTGCCCGTCATCCTTGCTACGTTTTCATCTGCCTAAGAAAGGTCTGCCTTTTACGGTTCTTTTCTTTTGCGCATGTGTTTCATGGGGTAAATCCCCCAGGCCATGCTGGAAGTACCGCAATGTCCAACTTGATCGTCAACGTCTTGTTCCTTCGCCGAGGCAACAGCGGCAGTCGACATCCATGTACCGCGTCAGTGTTCGATACGCGTACCTTCACACTGTACTAATTACTCCCATGAAAGCCGGGAATGAGAGGCAGATTCTCCATTCACTTCACTGCCTTTGATCCACGCCTACATAAGTTGCTGAAATTCCCCCCCTCTCTCTATTTTCTTTCCTTCCTTCTCCCTCTGCACCCTCGCTCCGAGCAGGAAGCCTTGCAACGTCTTACTCTTACAGTATAGTCCCGCCGCTTTCCCGTGGCAAACATATTCTCAACCCATCCTCTTCAAGTGGCCTGTCAACCTCACCATACCCCATCAGCACGTCCCAAGCCTACTCCTGCCCTCCTCACACAACATGGCCCCAGACAGCGAGACCAAAAACCCCGGGAACAAAGGGCAAGCTGATCCTCCCAACCACAACTCATCCGGCTCCAGCGACCGTCATGGATTGCCCGTCCAAGCTCCCACGACCTCGGACAACAAATACGGCCATCAAACAACGCCGCCGGTAAAGGAGAAGTCAGCCATGGATGTCGATCTTGCCTTTATTGGCTCGCAGTTTGACGAGTAAGCATCTTCGTTAGGACGAGTCCTTGCCTCACTTGACTAAGAATTCATTATCTCCAACTAATTAGTGCGTACGAGTGGCCTTCCGCCTGACCAAAACCATCTCTCGTCTCGCCAGACATGCCTTGGCCATGGGTGTCCGTCGACCCACCTCCCGGGCGGCCCGTCAGACACGGCAAATCTTTCATCAAGGGCCGCGAGACCACCAACGCTTGCTCTTCCTGTCGTCACCCGTCTCCCTCGAGGCTGATGGCGAGCTCGGTGGTTGGGAGACGTTTGTCGCTCGCCAGTTCTGTGGCTCGAAGGAATAGATTGCTAGACATATATAATTAGGTAGTCATAGATGTAGTCCCCGTGCGCCGCTGGTATCCAAGTTCGCTTTTACATTGCTGTTATAATTTTCCTTCAAAGAAGAAAGCATCTTCGAAATTACGGGTGACTGTGAATACAAATTGCTCACTGGCATCGAAGCATCCGCAAGCGAGTGAGATTCCTTGGCCTCCATGACTGCAACGAAGGTAACAAGGTGTTAGGGATATACTGCCAGTAATTACGCACTAATGCAGGGCCAAATAATATGGATCCAATTCAGCGTCGTAACTGTTGTGGATTCGAAGGACAGAAAGTCTTGGGATCTTCGCACTAGCCTGATAAGGCCCATTTAATACTCTGTAAAGAGATTGGGGGTTTTCTAGAATAAGCCCATTTCGTCATTTGCAGCCAACCAAGCCCTCTTTGGTTTAATCGGCAAGGGTCGTGGCTCCTGTTGCACAGAAGTATTGCCCCCTAGTGTCACGGTCGCCAGTGGGCACATGACAGGATTGACTCTATTGGTTGCATTGTACTTAGAGTGCGGTCTGTGCGCTTCGCCACCAACGTGCTCAGCACCACCTACTTCCCCGCGCCCTGCGCGGTCCCTGCGATAGATTCCTTCTTTTCCTTCCCTAGCTTTAGATCCACATTCGTTACTGCATTCAATCGTTGACTTCCTTGCGGGCCGTCACACCTAGACTGGAACAGCTGCCACCAGTATTTGGAATTACGCCATGCAGACCAGCCTCTCACTCGAGATGAAGATGGCTGAGTGTAAGAGAAGGCAGGTACGCCGGATCAAGGTGGTCACTGTGAGGGCCTGGTCCTCCAGGCCTCCCAGACGCTCTGACTAATCAGACGCCAGTCGGGTGGATCCACCCGACCAGCCAGAGCCCCACCTTGAGACGCCCTGGAAGAATCTCGCGAGGGGAGGCTTTTGAGCTTCTTTTCCCTTTTCCCTTTAGTTTAGAATCTTCGTCTATAGCGCCCAATAGAGGAGTTCCGCCCTCATTCCAAGCCGGCCGTGACACAATTCTAAACTCTCAATTCTCATCGCTGGCTAGCGATCAATAAATACGTCAAACCCCACAAACAACCCACTACGTCGGCTGTGCACGACGATAAACCAGGCCACAGAAACCCCCAAACACCACAGCGTCGATGCCCAAGAAGAAAGATTACGGACCACCGATGCGCCAATCCGAACGCCTCTCTCAGCCAAAAGAGCTAAGCGAACGGACCCAGGAGGAAGCGAACTTGAAGACCCAAGAGTCCGACGAAGAAGTCACAGCAACCCCCTCGAGCACAGAGCTTGCTAAGCCCGCTCCACAGCAACGCGACACAGAGCCAAACGAGCCAGTCAACAGTATAGAAGTCGACGCCCCGATAGACAACACGCCGGGAAACGAAACCCGTAGCGTACCGGGTGACGATGGCGCCCCGAGCGCCGAGGATTACCGAGTTCTGCTTGCCCAAGTGGCAGAACTCAGGGCGGAGGCAGCCGCCCGCACCGCCGACGGCGTCAATCGCCGGGCCCGAACTGTCACCCCCGCTGAGAGCGCTTTCAGTGGGGACAGCTTCACACCCATTGGCTTCGCCGCCCTTCCCGCTTTCAAGCCCTACGGTCAGGACCAGCACGCCGCCAACCAAACCTTCGACCGGAAGGCTCGCAAGGCCGGTGTCGACCCTGGAGTTTTCAAGGGTGTTGACGGAACCTTCGATAAGTGGATCATCAAGGTGGCCGACAAGTTTGTAGAAGACGATGCCACTTTCAAGACAGAACGTAGCCGCATGGCGGTTCTGAACTCTCTTACGGAGGGATCCCCGAACGACCTGCTGGAGAGTCGGTACAGCTCTCAGGAGATGCCCTTCCGCAACGTCGCCGAGATGGTGGCTACGTTGTCGACTGTCTACCATGATGACAACCAAGCCACGAAAGCCAGGGCCGAGCTAGCCAAGCTCAAGTATGATCCGGCGAATAAGGACGTGACTATCCATTCATACATTGGATTAGTCAATAGCTTGGCTGATAAGGCTAATATTGCCAAGTCTGAGCGCAAGACCCTACTCTATGAGCATATTCCCGCCCGGCTTGACACCCGACTCTTGGGAGACTCAAAGAACCCGACAATCTCCTACGAAGCTTTTGCTGGCAGCGTCGCGGATGCTGCTCTAGCCCACCAGCGCGCTTGGGAGGAGAACAGAGAGCGCAAACAAGAGAAGAGGGATCGCCGGACACGTTCGCCAACCACTCACAGCGAACGGGCCTATGTTGGGGAGTCTCGGTTCGAGAAGCCAACTTCCCAGCCAGCTGCAACCAAAGTTCCCGAGGCTAAGAAGGATAGAGGGAAAGACGATACTTGTTTCATCTGCCGTAAGGAAGGTCACTTCGCCCGTGACTGCCCCGAGCGGAAGACTATGGCCAAGATGATGCTAGACCTCGACCAGGATCCTCCTACCTCCCCGGAGCAGTCATCCTCGTCGTCTAACGAATCGGAAAACTGCTAGGACTGTCGGAAGTCTCCACGACAGTCCGTATACCACGACTAGCTAAAGTGAGCAGATCGTCTGGATCAAAAACCTTCCTATTCCCTATTCAACTCCAATTGGAAGGAATTAGCCTCAAAACCAAAGCTCTTTGTGATACCGGAGCAGATATCTATTTGTCAATGACCCCGAAGATGGCCAATAAGGCCGTGAAGCTACTAGGCGCCGTTCGAGAACAGCTATCTAAGCCCATCCGCCTTAACGACTTTAATGGGGTGCTCGCCGCCAAAGCCACCCACCAGATCCGCCTCTCCCTGGAACTCGACGGACGGAGATTTCCACGACAGAAGTTCCTCATTATCCCCACTGCCGACGATGTTATTATCGGACAAGAATGGTTCATTAAGTATCGCGTTGGCCTTTTCCCCGCCACGCGAACCATGATCTGGCCTCAAGATCTACCAGCGCTCGCCAAGTATTCGCCCACCATTACTATTCCATGCCAGACTGGTTTGCTTGACATACAGGCTCAGGCAGACGCGGTGCGTCGCGACCGCCTGATAGCTGAGGACGAAAGGCAAGCGAGGGTCACCAAGATTATCCAGCGCCCTTTGAGAACGAAAAACCCAGTTTTAGCGCCCATCGCCCTTTCTAGCCCCAGAGACCAGGACAAGTCCCTCGTGGTCAATATTGCAGCTCTCTGTAGGCAAGTGGAAAATGACCCCCGGCAACCTGGATGGGCTCGACAGAACATGCCGGATACACCTATTTCTTTGAACGTCGTTGCGCCTCGTCTAAACTGGCAGACCCACGACGGGCAGCCAATTCCTTTCCCTGCTGGCGAAGATCCCGAACACGTCAAGAGAGTTCGCGATAAACTCCCAAAGGAGCTCGCCCATCTCGAAGGCTTCTTCTCCAAGAAAGCTTCGACCGAACTGCCGCCGAGCCGTGAAGGGTTCGACGTGACCCTAGACTTGGAGC